TAAGTTTATAACTATAAAAAAATTTACGTATAAATAATTTATAAATTTAATTTTAAATATTTATTTCGTCGTAATATATAAAAAAACTTTTTAAATATTATAAAAAATATATTAAATCTTTTAATAATATATATATTTAAGGAAGTTTAAATAAAAACTTAAATTTATTAAATTAAAAAACTTTGTTTTTTTTTTTTTTTTTTTTTTTTTTTTAAAATTTATCATTTATTTTATTAAATAAAAAATAATAATAATTATCCGTTTCATTTATTTAATTACATATTTTAATATTTGTAAATATATTATTAAGTTATAATTTCATTTAACATAACATTAAACTTAAAAATATAATTAACTTATTTTTTATTATTTAAAATAATAATTTTTAATTTATAATCGTTAAATTAATATTATTACATTATAAATATTTTAAGTATTATTTTTTATACGTTTAAATATAACGGCGAACTTACGTTAAATTTTATTATTTATTTAATTAATATTATCGTTATAAATTATTCCTTAATTTAATAACATGGGTTTTATTTATTAATCGGTTTATTTTACATGTTTTAACTTATAGCTTTTTTATATTATATTATAATAAATTAATTTTTAACGTAAATTAATAAAAACCATTACGAAAAATTAACATTAATATACCATTAAATTCTTTATTAAAAAATTTATTAATATTAAAATTTTTTTAAACTTATATATTATATAAGAAAAGAGAATTAACGGCGTGGATTTAATAATATTTAAAGTTATTTTATTTTTTCGAAAAATATTCCTACCTTTAAAAAATATTTAAACATATTTATAAATTATTAAAAAAATAATAATTAATTTTATTTTTAAAACAAGTGCCGGTTAAATAGTTTTTTAATTCTTTAAATGCCGGGTTTATTTATTTTTATAATATAAAAATTATAATCGTTAATTATTTTTTTAAGTTTAACCGGGTTATAGTTACCATTTATATTAATTTATTAATATTACTTTAAATTCTGTTTTTAATATAAAACTTTTTTAACCGTTAATCTTAAAATAAAAATCCTTTAACATATTTTTATTAAATGTTAATAAATATAAAAATAATTTTCATTTAAAAACATAAAATTAAATTAACAAATAAACTTTTATTCTGCTTCGGGAATATAATTTACATTAAATAAAACTTAAAATAAAAAAATTTTATTTTTATTATTTTAAATTTTTTAAATATTATTGTTTAAAAAAAAATAAGTAAATAATAATTAACTTCCCTTTTATAATACCTAAATTACTTTTATTATATGTTTATATTAAGTCGAAAATAACGATAATTTTTTATAAAATAATTTAATAAAATTATATTATAAAATATATTTTATTAAAAACGTTAAAAAAAAGCTTAATCGTAATATTAAAAACACGTTTAAATAATAAAAATATATTTTCGAAAAAACATAACTTTATAATAATTAATAAATAAAATAAAAAAATAAGGTATAAAGCATTTAAAAATATTATTATTAAATAATATATAATAATTTACTTTAATATTAAAATTTAAGAAAAAGTTGGTTATAAATTTAAATATTATTTAATATTATTAAAAAAAGTAAATAAAAAAAATAATTAAAATGCCATTATTTTTATATTAAATTAAATGAAAAAGGTGCCATTTTTAATAAGTTAAATAAATATCTTAAAAATAAAGTTTATAATATATATTAATATTATTAATAAGAAATTATCGCTTTTTATATTTTTTTTATATTTCGTAATATATAAATTATATATTTAAAATATTATAAATATTTAAACCGTTTAAAACGATAATAGTTTAATATTAAATTACATTAAAAAAATTTATAAATAAAAAATCAAGTTTTATAAAAATAACATGTTATTTCGTTTTAAAAGGTTTAAGTTTTGAAAAAGTTTAATTATAAAAAAAATACGGAAATTTATAATAAAAGTTTTAAAAAAATTAAAAAAATTAATATTAATATTATTTAAATAATAATAAATAATTATTAAAAAACTTACTTAATACCGAAATAAAGTATATGTTTTATTTCTTTTTATTTTTTTTTTTTAATTAAAGTTATTACTTTTTAATATAAGTTTATATATACATTTAATTTATATATATATATTTTTATTTTTTTTAATAAACGAATACCATTTTAATTAAATATATAATAAATAATTAAAATCTTAATAAAGTTATAACAAAATTATTATATTAAATAATATTTATAATTATTTTTAAGTTTTTAATTATTTAATTTATAAAATTAATTTCTTTAATTAAATTTTATATATAATAAATAAATAACGTTTTTATTTTTAACTTTATATTAACACTTAAACTTTAAATATAATTTAATTTAAAAATAATTTATATATAATTAATATTATTATAAAATATAATGCGATTTAAAGATTTTATTAATTTTATTTTTACGTTATATAAATAAAACTTTTATATGTTATTAACGGATTTATTACGGGATTTATTATTACATTTATTCGTTTATATTTACTTATATCCGTTATTAAATTAAATTAATCTTTTTTATAATATTATTTTTTTTAATAAATTTTTTAAATTATTTTATTTTAAAACTTAATTAAATTAAAAAAAAACTTTAAAACGTATAAGTTATATATTTAAATATATTTATAAATAAATATTTAAATAAATATAATTTATTTTTTTTTTTTTTATTCGTTTATTAACATTAAATGCTTTATCCCCGTTATTAAAAACATTTTAAATTCGTTATATTACGTGTATTTTTTATATTTTTTTAACGTAAATAATTAATAATATTTAAAATTTTTATTATATTTATTATTAAATTACATTTAAAAATAATAAATTAAAAAAAAGTTAACTTAATATTAATTATTTGTTTTTAAAAATAAAAAATTAATACCATTAAATAAAATAATAAACTTATTAATTTTTTAAAAAAAAAGTTAAAGGTTTTTATTAATAATAAATTAAGTTTTAATTAATTTTAAATAAAAACTTTTAATTAAAATTTAATAAAATATAAATATTTTTTTATTTCATTTAAGTTATTTACTTATAATACGTTTATTAATAATAATAATAATTAATTAAAAATAATAAACAATGTTAATTTAATTAAGAGCAATGCTAGCCGCGCAGTATGATGTTCCTTATCTCCGCCGCGCAGTGCCGCTAAAAATCGCGCTAGCGTTCGAATGGTGTGTAGAACACCCTCTAACGCTGTACTTAGGTTCAATCAATTATTTCTCGCTCAATACTAGCTCAAATCTCTTGCAATTACAATAATTCGAAACTGCTCAGTCTACTCTATATACAGCTCCATTTGCAGGACATAAAACGGGCGTCTTGAAGAGATATTGAACGTTGAAAAGATCGGTCGGATTGAAGCATTTCCAACACTTGCGACCGCGATCTAAGTACTCCTCTAACTTTAATCTGTGATAGCTTCTTTAGACTTGCGTTCTAAGTCTTGCAAGTAGGACTGTATATAGAATGGATTGAGCGCTTTTATTATATTATAATTATTAGAAATTTGAACCAAGATTCAGTGAGGAATAATTGATTGAAGTTGATTAAAAACAAGTTGTGTGTCGGTGTTGCAAAGGTACATTCAATTATATGACGGTTTGTATGGGAGCAAAGGTACCTAATCTATACCTCTTTCGGACGCGCTTTTTTAGCGCTACTGCGCGGCGGAGATAAGCAACATCATACTGCGCGGCTAGCATTGCTCTTAATTAATTATATTACTTAAGTTTTTATAAAAATTAAAAAAATATTTATTAATAAAGTTATTATATTAATAATTTAAAATTTAAATATATATATTTATTTTATTAATTTTTATTAATTTAATAAACTTAATTAATTATAAATATAATTTTAAATTAAATAAATTTTTTTATTTAATAATTAAATTTATAATTAAAAACATTGTTATTAAAAATTAAAATTATTATAATATTAATTGTTAATTAATAACTATAAAAATAAATTTAAATTAATAAATATTTTTTAATTATATTTATATTTTTTAATAAATTTAATTATTTATATTATTATAATTAATATTATTTTATTTTTAAATTACGTTTATATAAATTATAAAATTAATTAAAACTTTTTTTAATATTATATCGTTTTACTTAATTATTTTAATAATACTTATATTAAATATTATTATAATAATAATAAAAATAAATATTCGCATTAACTTAATATATATTAATTTATTTAATAATAAAATAATTGTTTTAATAATAATAAATTTAAATAAATATATTTAAATAACCGGCATATTTAAAATTATTTTTATTTTATTTTTATTTTAATTAACATTTAAAAATAATATAAAAAACATTTAATAATAATAATATATTTTAAATATTATTTTTAAAATAATTATTAATTTAAAAACTTAATTATTTATTATAATAAATAAAATTAAAAATTTTAAACGTTAAAAGTTAATTATAATTTTATAAATAATAATATTTAATATATATTAATATTTTTTTTATAATTTTAATTTATAAAATATAAATAATTTATTAAATAAATAAAATAATTAATTTTTATATTTAAAACTTTTTATTAAAATATAATTTTATAATAATAACATTAAAATAATTATTAATTAATTTTAAAAATTATTTTAAAATAATTTAAATATAAAACATTTAAACTTAAATAAAATAACTTTAAATTTAATATATTATAAATAATATAAATTAAAAAACGTTATAACTTCTTATAATTTATAACGCCCTTTAGTGTTATAACCCTTATAAATAATAAAATACAATATTAATAATTAAAGCTTACTGTGCATTTATACAATATACATCGCAATACATAAAATGAATTGGCGGGTTGGCGGATTCGGTACTATCGTCCGCCGTCCCCCTGTTGGCACGTCAAAAGGCTGCAGGTAACCTAACATGCGTGAACCATTCTGCTGTTGACGAGCCAGTTCCCGTTTTCCTTGGCTTGGATGCACCATGTCCTGCACTGGAAGTTTTTCTGGGGGCAACTTGTTCCCGAGATTGAAGGATTATGCCAAAGTGTACCTTAAGGATATGTAAGCACCTAGTAGCTTAGCTATTACTTCGTTTTGACGATGGTTGCTATCATATTTTTCTCTAGGAGTGGAACGAGCTAGAAATCTTCGAAGATAAGACCCAGCTGAGTAGGTAAGTACGCATCAAGTATTCTAGAGAGACGTCGTATTCACCTCCACTACTTATCGTGCGACGAAGAAGACAGAGGTTTAGCGATGATGAGTGGAAACCGTTCTGTCAATCTTGAAAGTACAATACACTGAGAAGTAATTCGGCCTCTATGAAATCGCCAAAGAGTATCTAGGATGAAAGGAAGCTGACAAGTTATGCTCGGAAGCCAGAGACTCACTCGAGTCGGGAGGAGAGGGGTGTTCTCTTTAGTGAAAATGGTCATGGGCGTATTGCTCCATGTAGCAAAAAGCGAGATATCAATCCGTTCAGTTCCGCTGAAGTTTGGTCGATGTCCTATCATGGCTATCCCATACCGAATCATTTCGAAGCAACCTTCCCATTCCCAATGAATACATTCCACTTGAGCTAGACAACTCGCACGGGCTATGCCATGTTCGTCGCACCTTCAACGATGCCAACAACGTTGTAGCGCTTGGAGAAGAAAGTGACCCAGTCATCTAATGTTTGCTTTTGATTGTCCTCGAGATCTTGCCATTCTGGGCTTACGTCCTCTGGCTTTGTAGATGTCTTCCCCAACGCACGAGAGGCATCCTTCCCTGCAAAAACTGAGGTACTATTAGCAAACATTCCGTCTCCACATCAAGCTACGAAACGAATAAAATTATTAGTGAAGCTGTAGTTCAACGTGAGATATAGACTCAAGCTGATAGCTCACTAGCCGGCACACAACAGTAGTTTACGTGCTATACAGAGTCGGAATTTCGGGAGAGGCAGTGACACGCCGTGTTGCATAGATTTCTAGCACGAGGAAATGAAAATATCGTTACATACCATGGTACGAGCCACCCTCTCGATACGCCTTGTTCCCGCTCACGTCATAAACCTTGCCCTAGTAATTGAATGAATGTAAGAAGCTATAAATATAAAGAAAGAACATTCATAAAGCCTAGTTTAGTTAAACTATTGGAAAAGGGAGCGAGGGTCCAAGGCGGCTGGGAAAACGATATGCTATGTCTGAGAATAGAGGGGCACACCTTGATCGCCACATAGGCCTTTTGCCCTTCAGATCCTATCTCGAGATGGTCAGCAGGATATTCGGCAGTTTTCTAAGGACTTGGAGTTATGTGGGAAAGTATGCCATGAGACATAGATATGCAATGTCGTCCAGGTTATATTGGACTAGGTAAGTATGATAAAAGGGCAACCCACCATCAGCTTTTGCTAATTCTTCGGCCGAGATAGGATCATCTTTAGGGGGATCCAGATTTACGGGAGCCTTAGGCTCGAACTTGCCCGACATTATTATTGTTAATTGTCAGTGATGCCACTGATTGTCTAGGCAGGCAGATATGTTTATTCCTATTGTTTAAAAAGAGATAATTTAGGTGTAGAGTTATGAAGGAATCATTCAACAAAGAGAAGGCGAAGCTTGACATGAATATCTAAGAGATTAAAGTTGTACCGAGGAATCAATCCAATGTTGCTAATTGGTGCGGGTACGTGCACGGGCCAGATACAGAGATACATGAGCCCATATCTGAGCTCAGATAACAGAAGCTCCAATAGAAAATCTCCAATACAACGTCATCAATTTCAACAATTTAAAAGTCGCTAGGATTGATACAGACTTAAGCCGTCTATTCAACTCATGGTGATACATTCCTCCATAACCACCTAGAATGTCTGCTTTGCGCGCCGTCGCAATATTACCCACAGTATTACCCCGTAGCAACAACCTCCAACATGTTCGACATGCCCACAAGAGGCTATCGAAACAGTTCGCGCTTCTCTCTCCCGCGCAAATAGGGCGAGCCAAAGTCAACATCACGCCCTCCAAAGTCACCATATTTCTTAATGTCCAGCAAAGTCGGCAGGAGTCTTCCAAATCTTCGCAAGAATCAAACAAGCAAATACCGCCGCTGCCGCCTTTCAGGCTCCTCCTTCGAGCCTTGAGACAGAGCTTAAGCCTTCGTCCTATAATAGGCGCATTTCGTGACCAATCTTTGCGCTCACTATTTCGACAAAGCCCAGAGGAGCTTGTCATTGCTATTATACTGTAAGGAAACTTACCATCCTAACCCTGATCCAAAGTACATCATACTGACCCTACGGACCTATCCTAAGTTTATGTGTCGTATCTGGCTCATGCGTTTATGTAGTCTACGCCTATTTTAACTATTTCCAGTCCGAACAATTCACCCGCTTCCCGCCCGAAATAGCAAAGTCTCTTCGCCGAGCACTCTATTACAGCAATTACTCGCCGGACCCGAAGCTAGCTCTCAAGTACTACCGTCTCGCCTTGGAGCAATGTACCCAAGCTGGCCTTGATCCGTTCTCTGATGAAGTTATGGGACTTAGGATTCAATTAGCTGCGTGGTTTGAGAAAATCGGTAGTTACAATAATTCTATCAATGTCTTAGAGTCACTTCTTCAGGACAGTAAACAATGGGTTGAGGTGATGGAGAAGAGCGTCCGAGACGGACTGATCGACAGTTCGGGGAAGTTAGCAGGCGCAACAAAGCAGCAGCCTTCCATAAGAGAAGGTGATAGCGATCCCGAAACGCCTACCGAATTCGAAAACATGTGGGCCAGGAGGACAAGAATCCTGGGGAAATCGGTCGGAATAAGTGTCAAGCTCGGAGAACTTTATTCCGACGAGCATGTTCGTCAGGGCGGCTCTGCTGGTGAGCACTTAATATGGGCAGTCGAGACTGTCTTGAAAGAACTTCAAAGACGCCAAGCCGAGGGTGTCAAAGAAGGTGAGGGCGACTGGATGACCCCGGAACAAATTGGAGGTGCTCTCGAGGGTACGTTACTTCGACTTCCCCCGGGACTCAAGCCCAAGAGACTATTAACACATAAGCCAGCATTGGGGAACCATTATGAGTCCAAGTCACAGCACTACCTTGCAGCGCCGCTCTTCCTCCAGGCAATCTCGCTCTCGCCCTCTAATAGCTGTCATACAGCCGTTCTAAGTAAGTACCTACCTACACAGTCCATGTTATGCTTTGCGATATACCCTCTTCCCCTACTCTCTTCGCCACAAATAAACTTTAGTTAGTATATGTGCTTACGAGGGGTTTTAAAAAGTGAATAATCTAGCTATCTCTCTAGCGCAGCAACCCGTCGAAACTTCAGCAGAATCCAGCGATGTCTCTCAAGCTAAGGGATCTAACGCGGGTGCCCGCCCGACGCGGTCTGCCCTCCTAGCTAGTGCCCGCTCATGGGCCTTACAAGCTCAGAAGACGGCTGAGAAAGTACAGGGTGAAGATAGAACTATTGAATGTGACGAGACTTGTGCGGTAGCGCTCTGCAATCTTGGAGATATTGCATCCATGACTGGAGACATCAAGGAAGCCAGGCTCAGATTTAAAGAGAGCCTGAATTTAAGCAGACGAATCTCATTTGAACCGGGTATCATACAAGCCGAAGAGGGTCTACGACGTCTACCTACGACACCATCCATCTAGTCTATATGATTAGGTTCGAGCTAAACATATAAGGATGTTAACTTCTCTCCCATGAAAGAGGATTCATTACACGGACGGAGTGAATCTCATCGAGGAATTATCCGTGATTACTATCCAAAGTAGTTCCAAACCCAGGTCACCGAAGCTCCAGGCTTTTCATCACGCAGGCAAGGTGCACAAGAGCCTTGATTCGCAACTGGTTTGAAAATAAGTCGGTGGTGAAACCTCTTTCAAGACCACTTCAGAACCTAAAACGTGCAGATTAAAACACTATTGGGATGAATGTTTCTGAGATGGTTTCCAGCAGGGGCACAGAACAAACCACAATAATTATTTGGTGATGTAGCTTGTGCTAATAAGCTATGCTAGTCCTACATACTTCAGTACTTCGACAGCTAGGCGATACAGTGAAGTGCTGTGATAAAATCTATAAATATCAACGTTCGGAGATTGCTCGCACTATATGAATCGTACATGACGCCCGAGGCCGTACCCGAAGCCGACGAATTCCGTGACACTGGACACGGGAGACACGGTACGGAAGCGAAAACGGAAATGGATAAGGACAGCGAGCTCGGCCATCAGGAGCAGGAAGCGACCCCTGATGCTTAGAGTCTTCTTCGGCCAATTCTCACGCGCTTATCAATAATTATTCTACAAGCTAAATTCATATCCGCGGGATTAACACTTGCGTATGAAGCGCAGTCACCATCTGGAAATAGATTCTATGTTCTAAAACCGCACGAGTGTACACGTCGGTACCGCGCCAAATCTCGCGCTCCTCACTTCCGCGGTTGCGCTCCTCGCAATAGGGCCGCGGGGAACGGCGGAGTGCATGTCCGCTTGGCCTGTCAGAACCCCGGATCAGAATGTACTTCTAAGTAGCAAATGCGACCTAGTGGCTAACAAAGTTAGGTCCATTGGTTTCTTATAGCGGTCATGAGCACGGACGACGAGCGGTCTCGCCTGTCGCGGTGCATATTTACACGTACTTATTCGCAAAGGAATCATTGATCCTGCAACTTTAATCTGACATACATGACATACCTACATGATGCTTAAGGTTATTACATGCCTATCAATATATCAAGCGGCCAATCTGGGGGGTCGGGTCAGCGATGCGGCCCTATAACCATAATGGGGTCTACCAGCATTACGTCCTCATCTGAATCTATGATTCTCGAACGTTGCCTCGGGATATCTTGGCAGGGTTCAGAACCTATGACGTGGGGGGATTTTCAAGCATTCGACGAACCTCACGTTGTCTTTATGACATATCATCAAAACATGCTGGGGAAATCCATGATACGTTTCTCGTCCGGCCATATCAAACGCGTATTCTTCGTAAGTCTCATTGGCCGCGCGGATGATTTCGGTTTGGCTGAAGCTCTCTATCTACCTAGGCGGGATATTACCGCAGCAACACGGAGGCGCCTACGGGAGTTGACCCGGTTGACAATCTGTTCGCCCCGGATCAAATACACTTCGGGAATAGAACGTACGAATTGTATCGTAAATCTATTGATATCGTGTTCTCTATACACGACAATTATAGCAGTTACTAGGTTTCCTCTAGTAGTCTGACGATGGAACGAAGTCTCCGGGAGAGCGATATTTGCGTGGAGTTTACACGATCACCTCCTTCGGACTTAGGCCCTAACTTGGTTCTAGTCTCACTACGTTGGCACACACAGGTGGCGGCAAGGCAAGATATATTATACATATGTATAGCACTATTTACTATATACCCTCTTTGAAATCCGGTCCCGACTAGGATAGTATAGCGCCAGGTACCTACGACTATGCCATCGCCTCTTTTCCCTATCTCCGAGGACCCAGATTCGCATGTTACAAGCCGATAATTGGATGTCCTGATCAGTAATCAGAACATAGACAGCCGATTAGCTGAAGCGAGCATGCCTTCCTCGAGAGTGTCTTATGTAAGATCCGGAAATAGTCGGCTCTTAAAAATAACTATTTTAACTACCTAGCTGACCAATGTTAGTCATCCTAACTATTGTTTTTCAAGTGACCTAAAAGACTCGACCTAACCAGCCTCGTGAGACTAAACAAGGGGGTAGTCGTCGATCCCTGCAAGCACGCTTACGCGCTAATAGATCGGTAGCAGCATCAGCAGCATACAACTACCCATGTAGGTATTTAGGTAGCTAATCCGTGCGGTGAAGATGCCGCTTGGTTTATCAAGCTTCGTTGAGTATCTAGCAGATTTGTGATATTCTAGAAACAAATTGACTTCTTTTACCTACTAGGCAGGAGACAGTTTAAATCTGTCAAGTAAAATACAATACGACATATTTCAGCGGGCAGTTGCTTCACGAATTCGCCCATGGCCTACATTTAGACCTTAGTTAAGGACGTAAAAATACAAAGGCAACCAGCCTGCGGCTTAATAAAATAAGGCAATGTGTATCAGCTACGTCTCTGCCGTCATATGTATGAAAATGGGCCTCTCCACGATGAGCACGTGGGGTAAGTTAGATGCAACGAAATATATGTCGAGTGTTTAAGTGCTTACAATGAACCCAATGAGTTCAACGTAGTAGGGAACCGAGGCATAACCACCATGGGAATACTACCACTTGAAGTTGCTGCTGAGCATCATATTTGCACCGCGAGATATGCGAAAGGCTGTATCTATTTGATCCCAAAAATCATAAACCAAATAAACACTATACAGATCAAACCGTCTGTAGAGAATCACCAACAGGGGGTGGATGAAAAGGAATAGCTATCACCAAACCAGATACCTACATATATGTCTGGGTTTCCACTCGTTCTTGAACTTAATGTGGAGAAAATCGTGTGAACCAGACTGCTGGAAATGTTATGGGCGCAATGGCTGTCGATGCACGGATATCGCGTAAGGCTTGACATCCCAGAACCTTCATTGCACGGTTTGCCGAACCAGATTCTGATGACAGGTAGCAACTAGTCCTCTCAATTTAATTACTCACCGAAATATGTCAGTCATAAAATATATTATATGACGGGGCTGAGCGGCAAGGCAGATCGACTTATCCAATAGCGCTCGAGGCCGGCATTGAGGCCAGCGCCGATTGCGAACATGCGAACAAGCTACGAATTCGATGGTGTGGGCAGGTATTTGCGATCGTGTGACAGCCAGTTAGTCTCACGCCCCATCGAAATCGCCTTTATTTTGACGTCGACCGTGACATCAACCCAAATTGAAGTTTAAGTAGACTGCGATGCCTTGGACATACAGCCGTATAGCTCCTCGGCATCCGATCTCGCCGGGAAGGGAAAGTATACCAAGTATGGAATTTCTGACGATGGTAGATACGTTCGTATCTGCGTTTACTCTCTGCAACCTGCAGTCTGTAGATGCCGCCATGCCACGCGAACTGACTCTGCGTTATTAGGTAAGCTTCGTTTCCGAGTTTCCTGTGTCCGAAGAAGGCCTATTTCCCGAAAGAGACCCCGCTCACTCCCCCAAAATGCCGGATCTCGGTTTTCCTACCCTTCCCTGCCGCCTTGGGGATACTGGACCTGGAACTTTCAGGACCCGACTTATTGACAACGAAAGAATGGACCAGGAGCCCTGTATGCGGTTAGACGGTAGCTCCGCCTGCACGTTCAGGGATCACAAGGTACTTTCGAATACATTGGATGACAAGCCGACATATCTTTTGCAGCGCCGTAAGTTGACGACACGATACTTTAACTATCCGGACTCGGCGAGCCGTCCAACAAGGATATCTTCGAGTAGGTGAGATTTATATAGAGGTAATGCTTGGTTGATCATTTCAAACGATGCTCGCCAAACTTCCTCAGTTCCAAATCAAAGACAAACGAAAGATATATGCTTCACGTCATCTTCTCCTAAATTTTCTCTCTCTAACAACCAAAGCCAAGAAGCCTTGTTCTTCGCTTACCGCTAGCTTCGTAAAGAGTGACATTCGAAAGGAATAAAAGAAAAGAAAAGAATAGAAACAACAATTAGGCACATAGATATGGACGAAGTCGACACTATTGCTACTGGTCTCGCATCTCCATCGAAGCCGATGCCGTACATATATGGCGATACAGACTTGTATCTCGATTCATCAAACGCTTCGACAACCTCCAGTCCAATGGATCCGCCGGTATGCGGCTCGCAGAGGAACTTCTTCGAATGGTAGCTAACTATAAATTCGCAGTACGATATAACATTTCAAGGGATGTATCCTAGTCCCGAACACACAGACGGATCAGGGGAAGCGACGCAGTCCTCGCCACAACAGTCCACTAAGCCTGTGGCAAAAAGAAAACGCGAGAACAGATACAAGAATGCACCGCCATCTGTCTTATCTGTAAGCCGAACAATTCACATCGGGATAATGATTATAAAAAAAGTCGCTAAGAAGTTGCCTGTCGCAGCGTCGAAGAGCTCAGAATCGTGCATCACAGCGGGCTTATCGGGAACGAAAGGACCAGCGCATCAAGGACCTCGAAATTTTACTCGGCGAAGCTCAGAAAAAGAACGACGTCCTCAGCCAGGCCTATTCCAGCTTGCAAGCAGAGTATGTCAGGCTCAAGCGCGAGCAAGAGGCGGTCGATCACTACCAACAAGGCAGTCTAGTATATGACCCAACCATCTCGGCATCAGGAGATATGGACCTATTCCTCTACAACAATAGTTCATCAAGTTATTCCATGTAAGGTAGTGAGAAGACCGGTTTATTCCGATTGAGCAGATGCTTCTTAACCCTTGGGCTTGGAGCAATCAAAGAACCCACGCGCTTCGCCTGGACCGACCCGATCATCGTTTCCGAATAATCCCTGACGATTAAGGCGGAATTTGACCAGTGAAATAGACGGCCAACATCAGCGCCCGGCTCGCTGGAGGGTTGCTCGATGATGTAAAGACCCAATGTCGATAAAGGTCTATGTACCTGATTGATGAGAATATCAGATATGGGTCATGACCCTCCTTGTGAGCAGATGAGGAATGCACTATTCCAAAATTCTGCGCAACCTCATTTATCTATAATTGACGTTTTCGGGCTACTATAGGTAGCTTCGTATGGGGTTGGATCAAAATTAAAAGCTTGTTTTAAGAAGCGTATGAAGAAAGATATGGCTTGACTGTGGTTACACGCCTAACCAATGGCGATTTCTATGCCAGATAGGGGTCGAAAGGAGAGAGCACCGAGTTTCGTCATCATATAGGAAACCTTACTGAATAGAATTCCTGCCAATCAGGGCAAGGTTATCATGTTGTTTCTGCTTTTGCGCTGCTCTGCAATGGTCCTCGCCTTCGAAGATGAATGACGAAGATTAAATCCATGCCCATCGACAGAGCATGCTTCTATTCTCCTGACTCGGCATCGACGGACCTACGAGAAGGTACAGGTCCGGTGTGAAGAGGCTGCTTTGAGACGTTAGGGCCACCGTTTATACGCTGGTTCTGTGGTAGTTCAGCGGTTGATTTACGTGTCTTGTCTCCACGGCTTGCCCTTAGGACCGCGGCAAGCGTACGATGTTTGTTACGTGGTGTGCTCCACGGCTGTGCTTCGCGTCAACGGGCGGCCTTTTTTAACGTTACATAAGGACACAACGATGTCACATTAGAAGCCTGACATTGGCTTTAAGCCTCAAGAATGAAAAATATGACGGCAAAATCTTGCCCTGCTACTCGCTGGTAGAAAGACTCCCTAAGTAGGACGGGACACGGAATTCCTGCAGCGAGAGAAGATGAGCTTTTTCGGTTGGTTCTCAGGGTTTGTGTTAGGCCAATTTTTATTCTAGTGATTAGGGCTTCTAATTTTTCTATGTAGGCATGAGATAGCACTTTCCCTTCCTATGACTTCCTAATATATCTTGGGGAGAACCATGGGCAACACTAAGTGTACACGCAGAAAATACATCCACGACTACCCCGTGGGTAGGTACCTATGTATCGCTCCTTCTCCATAGATAGCCGAATTCCAAGTTAGGTCCTTGGTGTTCGTTTATCGTGCTATTACGTGTTTCTGCTGACGAGTCATTCGCTTTTCTTCACCACAACTCGTTTGCATTATTAACACATATAATTAATCACGGAGGCTACCTACATAGATAGTTAAATATATGTGTATGTGTACCAAGTCATTTCCTTTTTCCGGTCACCATGTACGATTTGAGGTTGCAAGAAGACGAAATCTGTTAAGGGGAAATAGTGGATAAAGGGTTGTGTATATATAGGGGGGGCAAACCCCCTTTAACCTACGGCTGGCTTTGAAGAAATTCAGGCATCCATGTTAATACAGTCAAGAACTTACCCTTGCCCGCGAGCCACCGGCAAGCCTCTTCCACCTAGCTCTCACTTGAGACCAAGCTAACAACAACAGGGCTATATCCTCTGACAAAATCCTATGTGGGAGTACATTGGTTGGTAGGTAATAAATTATCCAATTTAGCCAGACTTTTGACCACGCGCACGATGGGTAATTTATATTAAAACCCATTGATCTGTAATCAGCCGAACTAACTTTAATATATCCAACATTAGAAGTGATTTCCCTTTCGCTAACTCTCGTGAGACTAAAACCTTTGGGAGAGGCTCCTGAGAGTTGAATAGTATCAACTTAGCACCGCCTTTACCCATCACATGCACCAAAGAAGAATCCGCCATCATCCATTCCAGGTAGAAGTAGCTTATCGTGATGAAATCATAGAATTAGAGTGAAAACGAGAGCGAGCTAGGCTGGTATATGAGAAGGATGTCGGTATGTTGCAGTTAGAGCGGTAATTTACGCATTACCGCATTTCCTGTTCCGAATCTTGGCCATATTCCATCATATATCAACCTTATCCCAGTTCTATGGGGTCTTAGATATATCTCGGCCTCAGCCATCTCCTTCATGTGGTATTTTCAACGTTGTGCCATACATCGTCCACGATACTCCCTTCAGGCGGAGTAGAGATGAAACAACTAGGTATCTCGATTTCCTGGATGCTTTGCCATCTATGGAAACTTACTAGAGCAGACTTTCAGAATGAATTCAAGAACATCACACGTGGATCTGATCTCCTATTGAGGTGGGATCCGACCGATCCGACCGACTATCCTCTTGTAATCCACTCTCGACTCATCAATCAGACTAGTCAACACGGGGCAAATTCGTTAGAGGTTAATGTCACAAGTAGGAGTCCGTAACACCACTGTGTGCAGGTTCTCATCTCACTTATCTTACCAGTTGGGCTTAATGCTTCTTCGTTTCTCTGGCAAAGTGTTCCATATCCACTCCCATATCTCGAAACGGCTAAATACGAGGTAGAAGTGTGGTCTCGAGATTGGGAACAATCAGTGTCGGCTTTTGCTTCTTCTCCATATTTTACGATCTCTGGATCAAAGGAAGGAGAGAATACGGATAGTGTAGGAAATGTGAGGCTTCAAACCCTTGGTTCGTGATGTGTGCGTGTGTACACTAATATAGTAAATAGTCCTTCGATGATACGATAGTTATACCATCCAAGCCCACGACCCACCCGATTTCTAAAGGAGGAATCAATAACAATACCGCAATCGCGGCTGGCTTAGTAGTGCCCATTGTGGTTATACTCGCGATCTTCGGTTTTGTGTTGACGCAAAAGCGGCAGAAGAGAATTCTGGAAGAAAAAAGGAAACAGAGAGAGGAGCTCTACATTGACTGAATAGGCATAATAGTATACAGCGGGAATTGTTCCTTTCGTGATGTAATATATCACATCGTCAATATAGACTGAAATGACAATATCTCAGCGGCTATCCTAGCCCTAGCTTTTGACGTCCTTTTTTAACCTGGGTAGCAAACACCTACTCTCTTTTATTTACTGTTCATTACTTGGAAAGCGTCCCCTTACTCGGCTCTAGACTTTAAACATTAGGAAAAGTCATGATTAATCGTTGGGGAAATGGGACTAAGGAATAGATGAGAACTGGCCCCGTCTTTGAAAGGATCACCACCTGTAACACGGGATTTATGGCTTAGAAGATAGGATGAGTATTAACTTAAGCTTTTTCATTAAAGGGCCGGGATTTGAACGTTACTCTGATACCTGCGAATGGGTCGAAAAATACGAAATAGGTAGGAACGAGGCGTTTTATATCTGTAAGTTTTCTAGCTCAAGGAACGAACAAATGAAAGCTACCTTAAGCTAAAGTGAGATGCAGGAAGCCGTCAAAGATCGGCGGCGGGCAGGCGGGACGAAGACGTACCCGCTAGTAAGAGATCTTGATTAAGAGCTGATCCTACATATAACTGGTTAGCAGCATCGCACAAGCATCTGCCAAGTAGAGATGGTCGTCGATCGGGATCTAGACCCTGACTTTACGCAGTAGAGCAGATTTTCAATACCTTATTATGGACACTGCGCAGTAAGCTTGGATGCTATTCTGAAACAGGGGTGCTCCGCGCAGAGAGCTGGAAACCATACGGCGTGCCTAACTGCTAGCCATATAACGAGCTAAGTCAACCAATGGCGAGACTGCGACGCACGGTACCGCTGATAAATGGATTGATTGGATCTCGAATAAGTTGAGTCCCCCTACACGTAAGTCAGCCCTCACTATATATAATTTTTACATCAAGCGTCGTAATGAGTAACGTCAGTAAACACCCACTTTATTCCTTAGCTAGAACAATAGCTCTCTGCGTAGGAAATGCTGTCTGGACAGGGGAAAAGATTAAGAATCTACTTACATATGTTAGGTAATTAAGAAAAGAAAACATCACGAAAATATAGGTGTAGATCTTTTCCAACTTGGATGAAAATACCCCGCATAGTTCTTTGATCTTGGATGCAATGAATTGTTCCCCAATCTCTCCTTGACCACCAAAGAAACTGACAGCATGTTTTGTGCAGCTGATTTTAAAGATAAAAGGTAAAAAACCGCGTGGCCAGTCCCACATTGAATCCCCTTTTCTGTTAGTCCAGGGACCTAGGGTCTTAATCAGGTCAGTATGTTATGCTTACGGAGACTACCCCTTGTTAACCGCGAACCGAAGGGGCTAAGCCAAACTAATGGCCAACTTTTGGCGCCGCCGCTTCGTTTAACGACCGCATGTCGTTCGTTGTCTTGTTTTCTACCTAAGACCTTGATGCCAATCCGGAAATCCTCATGATTCGGACTTTTCCAAGAGAGGAAATTCGTTTCCGTTATGTATAAGTATAGATCATGGCATAGAGCGATTCTATCCAATGATAACCTCGCCTATTAAGCGAAATGCTATCATAGTATATCCGTATCAAGGTAGGTATGTACGTAGGAAGTAGTAGCAGTGCCGCTAGTTGGCAGCATCTACGCACCATTCCAGGCTTAGGAATAATTGGTTGCCAGTGGCCTTCATGTTTTTCCATCCAGGGGCTCTTGTTCGTTGGATTTTTAAATATGTCAAGGCCGCCGGTTCGGGCGTGGAAGGCTTTCCTTCTTTGCCTACGCGGTTCTCCTATTCTCAAGATACTATCTTGGACCACTGGGCTTGCTACCCTTTCTGACGTATCCTACGTCGTCCTTTCGTTTGTCACCCCTGTCCCTCGTTCATATATATACCTATACTATAGCTATAGCAATGGCTCCTTCGTTTCTTAAGAGTGTTGGCGCTGCTGCGGCTGCCTTTGCTGCTCATGCCGGCGCCACTCAGTCCTATCAGGTTTCCGAGATCTATAATTCGACGAACTTCTTTGACAAGTTCAACTTCTACACAGTGAGCGGATAACACAAAAGCCATGTCACTCATTGCTCATGTTAACGTTTGTGATATTAGAGCACCGATCCCAATGGCGGTTACGTCCAGTTCCAAAGCCAATCTGCCGCACAAGACCTCGGCATAGTTAAATATCAGAATGGTGCAGCATACGTCGGTGTAGATACCAGTGGTGGCTATAGTGCCTCAGGAGTCGGAAGAAAGAGCGTTAGGTTAGAAAGTAAGAACGTGTACAATCATGGTTTAGTTATCGCCGATTTCACCCATCTCCCCAAGCCCGTATGCGGCTCGTGGCCTGCATTTGTAAGTCTGCCTCTATTAAAGATTCCGTCAGTGTCTGGATACTCCTATATTCTTGAGTAGCTAACTTGGATGCAGTGGTTCTTCGGTGCACCGTGGCCCACCAAAGGGGAGGTGGATCTGTACGAAAATTGGAATGACCTTACGTTCAACCGTCATACTGCCCATGTCGACGCGCCTTCTGTCGTTGGGAACTGTACGCTTGCAGCGGCGGATATGACCGCGACGATTGACTCTCCGAACTGCTATGACTTTGCCGCAGGACAATACGACTACCAAGGTTGCTCCGCCTCGGAATACTCAAGCAACTTTGGATCATCCTCTGGTGGTATCTACGCGATGGAGTGGACTTCGGACTACATCAAAATCTGGGACTGGTCAAGAACAGGAGCGCCCTCCGACATTTTGAGCGGAAAGCCATCGCCTAGTTCGCTATGGGGCACGCCTTCCTACGCCATTAAGCAGTGCAACATCGATAAAGCATTCAAGGACATGAACATGGTTTTGAATATCGATTTTTGCGGTGTTGCTGGGCAGACCGACAAGTGGGATTTAAGTTGCCAAGCTGAAACTGGATATTCTACCTGCGCTGAATATGTCGCCCAGGGGAATGACGACTTCGCTGATGTCTATTTCCAGGTTGAGGATATCAAGATCTATCAGCTTGAGGATGTCCAAAATTCGACTTCATCTGCAGTATCTAGCGCTTCTAGCTTGAGTTCCTCCGCTACTACTTCTGGCAGTGTTTCGGTAGCGACAACGTCCTCCGTGGCATATAGCAATACCTCATCCACTATCTCGCCAGCTGCCTCGTCAACCGCCTCTGATGATGATGACGATACCTGCACCGACGACGAGGGAGAGTCCTCAAGTTCATTTGTGGCATCTGCAACCGCGAGCGTGTCAGCTACTACGACCGGGTCTTCTGGTAGCTCGCTCGTAACTGGCGGCGCATCTTCTACATCGGGACAGATCACGGCGGCCTACCCTTATGGCAACTCCTCCTACGCCGTATCCAGTCTATCATCCGAAGCAGCAGAGTATACCACTTCAACGATTTATACAACTAGTGTCCATACGGTTACATCATGCGCTGCTACAGTGACCAACTGCCCTGCCCGCGGCTACGTTACTACTGAAATCATCTCCATTGGAACTACCGTGTGTCCCGTAACAGCTAGCGGCTCATCCCCCGAGCCGACGACAACAGCTAGCATCCCCGAAGGTTACACTACAAGCACTGTCGAAGTGACGAAGACTTACACGATCACCTCGTGCAAACCAACCGTTACCAAATGTCCTGTAGGCGCTGTCACTACCGAAGTCAGCATCACTACAACTGTGTGTCCCATCGGAAGCTCGAGCCCTAGCTCTAGCTCTGGCCAGCCGGCCGGAAGCACGGGTACAGCAGGCCAGCTTGTCGGGAGCACCGGCGTCACAAGCCAGCCCGAGGCCGGGAGCACAGTTACAAGCGGAGTCTCGGCTTCGTATCCCGTAGCGACAGGCAACGCGGCTACGCCGTCAACAGCTGTGGGCAGTGGCAGCAGCAGTGGCAGCAGCGGAAGTAGCAGTGGTAGCGACAGTAGCAGCAGTGGGAGTGGAAGTGGAAGCGGCAGTGGTAGTGGCAGCGGAAGCGGAAGCGGAAGCAGCAGCGGTACCGACGTTTTTGTAACGGCAACCGTTTACCCTATCTCGAGCGGCAAGGTGAGTTACAACGCGACGTTAACGGCATCTGTCGCGAATTCCGCAAGCGCAGTGGCGACTGGGAACACAGGAGCGTCAACCAGCAGTGTTGTAGAGATCAGTGCTGGTGTCAAGACGAGCGCTAGCTTTGCGCTCGCCGGTGTGGCAGCATTCTTCTTCTTCGCTATGTAGATTGATTAGATGGGGAATGTATTTTAGGATTGGGTTGTATGATGGTAATTGGTAATCATATACTCTAGAATATACTACATGTTAGAAAAGTGAAGCTACTCATTTTTCAACTTAAGTCTTAAGATGCACAATACATGCATTCATGGAGGTTATGTCTTTATCAAATACACTATGCCAAGCAAGCCAGACTCCAATATTACGTCAGTACTATATCTACCTAGATACTTCGTACTCCGCGAAGCAGAACACCAAAGTCATTTCTCTCGCTGCGCGCGAGAGAGCGTACTCTTCATCATGCTGTCGCGTCGCTTCATACGACCACCATGGCACTCTCTAACGACCCGAATATCTTCCCGGTCTATCCTAGCCTCCCACCCCCCTCGTTTCACCCAACCAAGTCGACTGTTCTCCCAAACGCACCTCCGAAGAAACAACTGGCCAAGTCCTCGTGAGACGCGTAATTACAACCATGACCCTCACTACCGACTCTCCCAGGCTAAGCCCCTCATAACAACTAGCCGACTTAAAAGGGTAGCCCGCTCGCCGAGTCTTCACACCGTTATCGTTCTCTCCGTCCTCGGTGCGGTGGCATTCTACTTTGCCAATATACAGACCGTACCCGTGTCGGGGCGGCGCCGCTTCAACTGCTTCAGCGATAAGACTGTAGAGGCGGCGAGCGAGGCCCAGGTTAAGAGGCTGATCTGGGAGGTGGAGCGCTCCGGCGGCCAATTCCTGAGCGACTGGGATCCACGAATGATTATGGTGAAACGGGTTATGAGAAAATTGATTCCCGTCTCGGGCATGGAAAATGCGAATTGGGAGATTAGGGTGATTGACGATCCTCGTACGTGAATCTCGGGATATTGTCTACGTCGATGCAGGTGTGCGAGACATGATAAGACGTACTAATACGCCAACTACAATTAGACACCGTAAATGCCTTCGTCCTTCCCGGCGGCAAGGTCTTTGTCTTTAGCGGCTTAATATCTATAGCAAGGAATGAATATGGCCTCGCCGCCGTCCTGGGTCATGAGATCGCCCACAACCTCGCTGGGCACGTGGCCGAACGTATGTCGGGGCAGATTGGGGTGAATATTTTACTCTACTCTGCCATCCTCCTTACAGGTGGGCTAGCAATGCTTGGCACACATTTCATAGGCGGTGCAATTTTAGATCTTCTGTTCTCGCGGCCGATGGGCCGCATGCAAGAAAGCGAGGCGGATTACATCGGCCTAATGATGATGGCGGAGGCTTGTTATGATCCGCGTGAGGCACTTGGATTTTGGAAACGCATGGAAAGAGCGCAACAGGGAGAGCCGCCCGAATGGCTGAGTACTCATCCATCCGTATGTGCAACGTCTTTTTCTCGAGTCTCGGATTTGCTCGGTTTAGAAGCTAATAACGCACAGAATTTTAACCGAATACAGAAGATAGGGGAATGGATTCCCAAAGCTCTGGAGAAGATGCAGGAAAGTGACTGTCGGGGTTCCTCGGCGTTTGCCGACTTATTTAGAAAGGCCATGGAGAGAGGTGTGCTAATAGAGTAAGGTAAATTTGTACATATGTATACAATGCTAAGTTACGGTGAGGGATACCAGTGTGAAGGTGAGCTATCGGCTGCTATCCGCGCATTTTACTCCATCTCGGTCAGTATTAGCCCATATCATCGATGATCATTGACTTTAAGGATGGCGCTATCCCAGAAATGGATTAGCGTCTCTCACCTACTTGCATATGACCAATGACGTGAAGCGTAATCCAATCACCGCTTACGGTAGGCACTTTATGGTCTCGTGCCGAGGTTCTTTGAATCCGATCAATCTAAATCGCATTTAATCGCGGCTATGTAGATCGCGACAAAGCCGAATTTCCTCAACCAAACAAAAGAATACGCAACACCAATCTCAATTTCTGTAAATCGAATCCATACTAGCCTTGCATTGAATCATTAGCCAACGACTCGCTTTCCAATTCCCGCGTAATAGTGTCGATTCCGGTATATTTCACAATGTCTAAAAGATTCACGGCGAAGGATGTTGCCGAACATAAGGACGAGCAAAACGGCATGTATATTATTGTGGACAGTGGCGTTTATGATATAACGAGTGAGGCTCTATCTTCCTTAGGACACAATCGAATCCGTGTAATATATAGAACTGACAAAACTCCCGTGCCGTTTAGATTTTCTCGAGGAGCACCCTGGCGGAGCGAAGATCCTAAAACGAATGGCTGGCAAGAACGCTACGAAGCAATTCTGGAAGTACCACGGCAAGACTGTCCTGGATAAATATGGCGATAAACTAAAGATTGGCGACCTGGCAGAAACGGCAAAATTATAAGAGAGATAGTTGCATACAGACTCAATCCGACAATAGAAGAGTCATGATATACGGGACCGACGACATGGCGGCTGTATTACCTACCTCTGGATTTACCTAGGTACCTATATTTGATACATGCCCATCTACGTGGGAGTTAAATAATCTTCATTTTTATCGAGACGTCAATTGACTGACTTACCATACACTCGGGTTTTTAACTAATTAACCAAATCTTACACTGCCAATATAACCCATTGAATTCCGAATGGCGACTCTAACATCTAAACTTCGTGAGGCGCAGTTCTTATGAGGTTCGTGTCTGCTACTGCAAAAGCAGAGCTCGCGCACAGGGGTATATATCAATCTCAATATTCGTATCCGTCCTGTTATAAAATGCAGAGATAGAATAAGCACTGCTCATTGCGTGTAATGAAGGCCGTAGTTTAGAGTGGCAGGAATAGAGCTGTTGGTTCATTGATGTCGGTAGGGAGGTCTAGTGTTTCGCGTCACTGACTGGGCGACTGGAAATATTGTCTCGATGAGAGTAGGTTCGTTCACTTAGACTACATTTAGTCCTCCCAATATAAGCGATAGATCCTAAGACTTAAGATATGTAAGGCCATCCCAGGTGCCTGGCATGTTTCGGTGATAAAATTATAACTGGAAACCGACTTGGGCGTATATATTCTTTCAGTCGTAACTCGTTGGCTTAACGCCGGAATATTTAGTCAGATTAGATGTTGATGTTCCGGTATAATAGAACAATGTAATGACCTGGGAAGTGACAATTGTTTTACTATATAGTTTTGACTTTGCGTCTATTATTTATGTTTATTCTACAAATAAGGATAACGAACCAAACAAAAACAATTATGAGAGATTAATAATAAGAAAAGGCAACTGAAGGTCTGGACCTAAAGCTTTAGAGAAAATCGGTGCAATTCGCGATTTAGAGGTACGTATTTCGGTATCCACTGAGCTTTTTGAGGAAAGCCGAAGATGCGATACTACTTCGTACTTGCCTACAGAGATCCTAGGTAGGTCCCACGGAAATTTATGTACAGTACATATTAACCCACATACGTTACTAGTAGCATCAAGAACAATGTTGAACAAGCCCAATATAGCATAGCTGAGAATAGGTACCTAGTGCATTACAGTAATTCTATAGACTTGACTACATCGATACACTACGCGGATCGTACTACGCATACCCATAGGTAGATTATTAAGGGTTCTCAACCTCGATGTGTTGTCCTTGGCTACTCGCCCTGTCGCTGAATCGTCAACATTGCTCAGGCCTGAATCTACCCAAGTACCTTCTAACTAGGTTCATCGTCGATTTGTGCCTTGGCTTTGCTGGGATCCAGGAACGTCGCGATACGCAGTAGGTAGTATCTAGGTACTTAGGTACTTCAAGGTTGTTATTGATTGGGCAATTTCATGATCCATCGTCAAGTGGTCGAAAATTCACTCATTTTTGCTACCGCGCTTTCTCTAATGCTGTAGGGGCAAATCGTAAGCCTCGGATAGTCGAAATGACGATACGAATAGTCTCGTGACAGAAAGAGACATTTTTGACAGAAGACTCTCTTTACCTCTTACATATGCTGACCCTTGAAAGCTCATAAGAGGTAACCAGTTACAAAATGTAAACAATACTTGACTTTAATGTTTGGTATAGCTTCTTGCGGTATGGGAAAGGTACCTTTCATTATCGCATATCTACCATGAAAAAGGTTTAGATGGTTTTAAAACTGAGCGGGCTAGTGCTGTAAAAGGCTAGTGTCACACTACGCCCGGACCGTCTGCAAGCCTGACATCACTCGCACCTGTCGCAGCTGGAGACTTGCACGAAAACAAATCCCTACCTTAGTAGCGACTCCACATCTTTCTTCGACTTTTCTCCATCTGCAAATCCAAGTTCCTACTAACCTTGTATCTAAATCCTGCGATACCTTACCGACCTATCCAGAACCCCAGCTAAAGTCTTTCGAGCAAATTCTATACTGATTCGTTTAAGTCATCTAGAAACGTAGATTAGGAGTATGTAAGTATATCTTTCCAATTGATCTTCCAAAGTCAGATTTCATAAAGAATGTCACCATCGCGTGCCCAAGTTGGTAGGATCCTATGGAGGCCATGGACCCCTTCAACCCTCGTCGCATTCCCTCATTGCGCGCAGATCGGATGTTCCTCTGCTATCCAAAATGCGGCATTACAATAATACAGCTACCCACTTTGTGGATCCGATGACCCCGGTGCCTGTTAAACCTCCACCTACAAAATCGCGCAGAATCCAACCGCCCTGGCCTACGGTGGCTCTGACTGGCCTACCAGCAACACTTACCGAGCTCTTCCATGGACCTGTGCCGGAACAAGCTTTTTTGTTTCCCTCGTCTCCAGTCTAACGCCGAGTGCTCATCTTATTATTATTTCCTTTTTGACCCGAACCTTTCCCACCTTTCTTAACCTCTTCTTCTTGCTCTTCTTCCCTCAACTCACTCGTCCTTGCGAAGAAACTCTCCTCTCACGATCTCGATCCTGTCCAAGGGCTTGTGTTGTTCGCACATTTCAGCTTCTCTGACCGTCAAGCAAACAGTTAAGCTCCACCATCACGACCACTCAACCTTCTACACTCCACATACCACCACAACGCCCTCCTGACCGCCCGAGAGGTAAGCTATATTTTTATCAATTGAGAGCTGAATTGGCCCATCCACAACCGCACCGATTTAAATTACATCTCAATTCTTCCTGTAACGCCTTTTTGTCACCCAGAGGAGCTATCTCAGTATCATTGGCCGGAATGGATTTGAGTCGCATTGAGCTACGAGGTGCGGCTTTTTCAGACCACACCTGGATCGCGACATAGTGACTTGGGGTGGCAAGATGAGCGTTCGGTGTATCAATTGGCTTGCCTAATTCGCCTTTTGAAAGCTTCTCAGTGATATTCTTGCTTCACTAACTCGCATGCTAAACATTTTAACAGACCATCAATATGCCTGCGATCAACAAATCCATCGTCGCACGCGACACCTTCGGCCACATTGTCCGCCGTGAGAACTGGGCTGTATGTGAAAGACCTTCTACCATCTCTCATTAAATGTTGGATCGCCATTTCCAATTGAAGTGGATCAACTGAGCGATGGCTGTAATCTTGAGGATGTGCTAACAAGCAATAGCGCCAAGAAGCTGGTGTCGTCGTCGTGTTCTGCATCGTTTTCGTCGTGGCTTGCGGCCTGATTGGTTTATGGATATCCAAGTGCCTCGCGAAGCGAAAAGCCCAGAAGGCCACTGTGCACGCATAAATGACCTGAACGAGAGTACGGGGGAATATGGGGGATGAGGTTGCTACGGACGACGAAACGAGACATCATTGACGTGCTACCGATTTCGATTCGGCAATACGTCTATCCCTCACGGATGCAATTATCATCCATGTTTATATACGAGAGGACCTAGGAAATGTGGTTGGCGGTGGTTCAAAAGAACGTTAGCCATGTTGCGCTTCACATGTCTAGCATGCCATTTATCGACAATCTCTAGTTAAGAGATGCCAGTCTCGATAGAGTTTCAAATACTCTAATTTTCTCTAATACCAATTACTTTTGATAACTCTTCGCGTCTAGACATCAGAACTTTGCAGTGATCATCATTTCCTTCTCTAGTCGGTCTAATTTGGGGACTGAGGCTCTAGGCTCATGGCCCTGCTACTCTATGAACACGAAAGTAATATGTAGGTTATGGCGGTAGATTCCTAGTAGAGGTCCATCTTTTCTAGATGTACTAACCCATTCGCTGGCTGCAATGCGCGTTAATACCAATTCACCCGTGTGCTTGTGAAGTCATAGGAGGAATAACTACTGACCGGTGAGAATTGTCTTAACTTTATCCCAGCGTTTCTAAAGACTTGAGCTGTCTCCGTATCCATACTATAACCTTGGCTATACACTACCTCGCTAATGCCGACTTGCACAATCTTGATGCTACATGTCAGGCAAGGACACGTATTACAATATAAGATACTTCCATCGCGAATCCTCTCGCGACCGGCCTCTAGCAACGCATTTTCCTCAGCATGGAGGCAAAGGCAGGTAGACAGCGACGTCCCGCTGCCCTCTCCCGCATTGCATCGGGGGCACCCGCCCTCTCCGCAGTTTAATAGATGTCTCGGCGTGCCGTTGTAGCCCGTGCTGATGACGTGGTGCTTAGAGTCCACCAACACGCACCCTACGGCGCGTTTCATGCAATTACACCTATGCGCGGCCAGTGATGCCAAGGACATGAAGTAACTATCCCAGCTGGGGCGTAGACGGTCGGGGTTCGTCAGGTCCAGTTTACCCAGCGTCGCGTATAAGTGTGCTAGATTTGAAGAGGTATTCAGGAGCCGAATCGCGGCGCGTGACATGAGCGGCAGGACGCCAGAAGCAGCGTCGTACAGATGGTGGTCAGATTGGGATACGAAATCTTCAAGCGTGATGTGGTCTTGGTGACCTGTTTCTTGCTGCTTGCTGCGTCGCCGCTGGTAGCGCTGCCAGCGCACAGTCAGTGGCGCATCGACACTGATTAAGATAAAGAATGGTCGCCTGCTAAGATTCTCAAGGACGGTCTCGTCATGTACATCCGTTGTTACCCATCGAGAGCGCCAAAATTTGGTAACAAAGTCTAGAAGTTCCGTCGTCGCTGAAAAAGTATAAGGTGCAGCTGTCCGCTTCAGATGTTGAGGAAATCTTTTCTCTGCGACATCAGGGGCGGCTGATTCTGTCTCAGACTCAGACGTACCCGAGAAGGCATTGCTTGGAGGTTCTGTTATATTCAAGTGTAACTTCGTGAAGCCATGATGATCTATTAGGTACTGAGCTACCGTGCTCTTACCGGCACATTTTGCTAATATTAAGTGTAAGTGAGAGCTTCATGATAAAAGGGGGCAATGTGCTGAGAAGGATTAGGAACTTTACCGCCACAAATTCCAATAAGCATCTTTCCCCTACGCCGGCTATGCTTTGTAGTTGAGTTTTAAGTTATGAGTAAGAACGGTAGGATTATTATATCTCCACACAGATTCTTACTAGATATTGTCTTCCAGTGTAGAGGTATAATTAGGTAAGCACCTTCGTAGTACCTAACCTAGATCCTCATAACCGTTCAGGGCGCGTCGCGGTGAAGAAGGAGAATGATGGTTGCCGAGATTTAGCCGAAAATTAATTGGAGATTTGCTAAACTCCAGCAGAACATGTACAAGTTACAAACTCCATACTCACTTTTATCTAAACCGCTGCAACTCCATAAAACATACAGTGCCAAGAAAAGCCTAGGAGGGGTGCCTGCAGTTTTCCGTCTTTCAGGTGCCCCTGGTAAGCTGGCAGGCTATCAAGCTGGAAGGTGTCACATCAGCGGAGAGGTTGGGTGTTGCCAGCCTTAAATGCATGGGATCATGCCAGCTTCCTTTTTACATCAGCAACATCTCACTGCCTTGTGGTCACGTCGTGACTCTTCGAACGTGGGACGTGTGACCTCAATAATTCATAAGATCCATTACTATACGCACATGCACATTACTAGTACTTACCGGTAGACAACCATATATAAATAGAGCGAGACCTATGCGCCTTTTATTTGTCTACCTCAGTAAGTATTCATTCTCATCTTCTATACACTAGGTACATATTTAGGTACCTAGTACCGGTTGAAACTTAGTCGAATTCAAAGTTGTGAACCGTCATATGTCATCCATCCCTTTAGAAGCTCCAATCCACTTGCGCCTTACAGTCCAAAAACGCCGCCCCGCTCTTAATTGACTTCACCTGCCCCTCCTCAAGCTCACTCATATTCACAAACATTAAACGTCAAACGGGAAACCTCTAAGTAGTTCATCTTCTCTTCATACGTCGTCTTCGTGTTGTAGGATATATGATATCTGGTAATTCGTCTATTTGCGAGAGTCCATGATTCTATAATTCCCGCAACTTAGTTTAAGTGCAACATTAACATCATATATTCGTTAAGGCTTCACTCGCTGCCGACCACTGCTCCGGCAACATGGCGGCACTCAAGTTCGCACCCTTTGCATCTGAGATCGAACTGCCATTCTACTCGGCCTTATTTGCATCCAAGTTAGACCATGACAAACTCAGCGACTCTGCACGACCAGTCTTAGGGCTCTATGAGCCCCGTCCCGGCACAGCTCCGGACGACAGTGTGAGAATGCAGATACTAGCCAGCGCACTTACTAGTAATAAGTACGATCTCATCTTATTTTACCTAATTTTATTTCTTATACCCAGGTAGTCGCTGTTTATCTTGTTTAGCTAATCATATTATCTGCAGTGTCCCGTTGAATGCTGTGAGAGCGGAGGGCATCATCAGAAACACAAACACCTTGGAGGCCTTTAAGCAAGTAGACAAGACTGAGATGATCAACAAGGCCGCACGCCAGGTTTGTCCCGCAATCTTCTCAGATGGGTAGTCTCTTACCTAGCCACAACTAATTGAATAAATAGATATGGGATGCAATCAAAGATGGGACCATCTATTCAGTTCCTTCACTCCTCTCACATTACATCATACTCTCCTACGCAGATCTAAAAAAATACCGGATGACGTACTGGTTCGGGTTTCCGACTCTGCATTCTGATCCACAGTGGAAGCGAACTGGAGATATTCTTCGGTTTACCCCAGATGAGGCGACTGCCTTGGTCGATCGTGTAGGAACTTGGCGATACACTATTGACGCCAGAGAGCATGGCTTTTTCCTTGCGAAGAAGATTCGCATCAGAAAGACAACTCATGCCCTACCTCCTGCCGAGCCAGTAACAGATGAAATCGGGTATAAGTGGGAAGTCGGCTCCCTTCGTGAATTCGAGACTGGTTTCTTCCGCGGGGTCTCCGAAGAAGACAAATACGTAGCATTTGTCGACCCATCTACCTACGAGGAACATCCAGCATGGCCCCTCAGAAATCTACTGGTTTTGGTGAGACAGCGGTTTCACCTAACCAATGTCCAGATTCTCTGTTATCGGGACATTCAATCGCGCAGACACGAAGCTCGCAGCATAGTCTTGCCGCTTGCCATGGATCCAGTCGAGAGCATCGAAACGACAGAGATGCCAAAGGCTACCGGTTGGGAGCGGAATCCGGCTGGAAAACTGATGGCGAGGTCCGTCAGTCTAGCAGAATCCATGGACCCCACACGATTAGCCGACCAATCAGTCGACCTCAACCTTAAACTGATGAAGTGGCGGATTTCCCCAGATCTCAACCTTGACATAATCAAGAATACCAAGTGCCTTCTCCTGGGAGCCGGCACGCTTGGTAGCTATATTTCAAGAAATCTAATGGGATGGGGTGTCCGCAAGATCACCTTTGTCGACTACGGCGCAGTATCCTTCTCAAACCCGGTGAGGCAACCATTATTTACTTACAATGACTGTTTGAAAGGAGGTGCTCCAAAGGCGACTCGGGCAGCGGAGGTGCTCAAGGAGATCTATCCTGGCGTTGACAGTGAAGGCCATGTTCTTTCGGTCCCGATGCTGGGTCACCCTATAGTAGAGAAAACTCAAGGAGATTTCGAGAAGTTGAAATCTCTAATCGATGAGCACGACGCAATCTTCCTTCTGATGGATAGTAGGGAGTCGAGATGGCTCCCTACGGTAATGGGCAAAGCAGCAGGGAAAATTGTCATGAACGCGGCCCTCGGTTTTGATACCTACGTAGTCATGAGACATGGTGCGGAACCAACAGATGGAAGTGAGGAGACACTAGGGTGCTACTTTTGCAACGATGTAGTAGCACCTGGAGATGTAAGTCCGCAAGTCTGCGATTGCAGTGCTTAACTAATATTGAACTAGTCACAAAAAGACTTGACTCTCGACCAACAGTGCACAGTCACGCGACCAGGCATAGCTGCGATTGCGTCAGCCCTTCTCGTCGAGCTCCTAACGAGTCTCCTACAACACCCACTCGGCCATCACGCGCCTGCTCCAGCAACCAGTACTTCACCGGGAACCTTTGAAAGCGACTCCAGAGATGAGTATGCTCTTGGCATAGTACCACACCAAATTCGTGGATTCTTGAACAGGTTCCAGAATCTCATCATTAAAGGTCATTCATACCCATGTTGCAGCGCATGCAGCAAGCCAATCATTTCAGCATATAGAACAGAGGGGTGGGATTTCGTAAAGCGTGCCCTTGAAGATAAAGAGTACGTAGTTGAACTAAGCGGCCTAGCCGAGGTTCAGCGAAAGGCCGAAGCCATGGCTAATGAAGTAGATTGGGAGGATGAGGAGGGAGGGAATGATGGAGATGACGAAGGAGTTCTCATATAGAACCTTCTCCTTCGCATTCACCGTGATCGTCGCAACCGCCTAAGAAAGACACGTATTGATCGCTTCAAATTCTGGAAGTGGCCGCGGTGGTCCAAAGTTGATTGGAATGATATGTCGACAACACCGAGCGACTCGCCAGACTCGTTGATTCGTCTACCACCCCACATGATTCCACACGATACGCACATCTCTCTGCCTGAGGAGGTGCGAATGTTCGGTCCGAGGCAGATGCGGTGGCATACAAGCTCGGATGGTACGATAGACACGATCATATCCATCGAAGAGATTCTTAAGGAAGGGCCGCCTTCGGTTTCATAAGAGGCAGTGCATTGTTGTTCACTAAAAAAGGGAAACTTTTATGTAACTTACGATTCTTCTCAATCTTAGAGGAACAGGGTAGCATGATTCGAAAGGTTGGAGTTAAGGACAGGAAAGCATCGAAGCAATTCAGCTTAGGTTAGATTAGGTTAGGTTAGGGAGCACTATTAAGCTAGCGAGGGGATTTCTACAGGATTATGAAGGTACGCGGGATGTGATTGAAAGTGCGATGGCCGGTGTAGTGTGGCAAATGCAAGGAACGCTCTCAGTCATATAACTAGACTCTTCTAATCATTCTAATGTTAGTTATTAGGTCCAAAATAGTTCTGAAGAGCGAGGCTACTGTATTATGTACTCGAATAGGTAATCAACCTATAAAGGGTGAATAGGGGTATGACTCGGCTAATGGGTCGGTTAGACTGACACTATACATTTAAGCACCTACATGCACGTCCATAGATCGGCTTGAGTTTTCTAAGAGGCTGGTTTTGTTGAGATTCTAGGCCATAGAGTTCAGTCCATTCGACACAACTTTCTGGGGAATCCCCGTAAATCATTCCGAATATCCATCGAGTATTCAAACAGCTACCTATCTATATGGTAGATAGCTTCACTTAGGTAGAGGTTAAAGAGCATTGAAAAGCACTTATCTACCTAGTTAGGGAGGTGAAATCTCGGAATATGATGTGAAGTATGGTCAAGATTGTGTACTTCATCGGATCATCACCCTAGAAGCCTCTTATACAGGAGCTTTTCGTATGGTAACAATTCGGATATGAGAGATTTCCAGTTACTACCTCCTATTAAATGCCCGCCTTGTTTTCAGAGATGCAAGCTACCCATTCGATCACCCCACAACCCCAGAGGAAGCAAAGCTTTTGTTATTTATAATCAAAAATGGACCCAATTTGTCTAGACCTTTTGCAAGCTCCCATAGCAGCTTCAATGGCAACTGTTGCTCACTCGAGTCATTTCATCACCTATGATAAGTAGGTAAGATAGGGAATGCGGTCGAGAACCCGCGCGTTCAGACTGGAAACTTGGACAGCGCGGCGGAGATGACACATGTAGTGCCAACAACTACCGTTAGTTGATCCACAGACTATAGTCCCGCTATCCGCCGCTATTTCTTCTCCGGAGGATACCCTAGAGTTTCATATCATAGTGCCGTCGAACCTTGCTACCCTCGTTTTCTCTCAGGGGTTTTAGCTTGGGGATTTCAAACTATCTAGTCAAGATGTTGTGGGGTCTTGGGCCAACTTGCGAGTCGTGGAGCTTCGATGCTCCTTGCTCGAAGAGCACGTTTGGGATCGGTTCTATGGTTCCTTACAACTTCTTGACTATGTATTTCCATATTTACAGGGCAGTCTCCAGTAAGGTAACCGAAGTTGTATAAAGCAGTGGATGATCTCTCTTCGATGAGATCGGTAAGACATCATCAGCACTTCACCAGCGCCAACTCTATTCTCTCTTACCCACTATATACCGTCTCGACCTTCCTTTGACTCGTATTTTATCGACATATTGGCTTTCATCGTGAATTCTCTCTTACATCCTCACCTTTTCCCATCAAGGTTCCACTAGTCGACATATATATTGGCAACATGGTTCGATTTCAGGAACTTGAACAAGCAGCGTGTGACGTTATTCAAAACGTGAAGGAGATTCAAGACCTCAGACATGCGAGGCTTTCAGTCATTGGTGGCCTGGCCCTGTGGCATTACCTTCCTGAATACCGCACAACGGATGTGAGGGAGCCCGTCGCATGAACTTCAAGAAACGTAAGCTAATTTCAGATTGAAAGAACATCAACTTCATAACGAACATATCGACGTCGCCCAGCTCGCTGAAGAAGCGCTTGCTAGAACGACCAGACTCGCCCTTTCTCCAACGCTCACAAGCGCTCTTCTACAAGTGTCCTAGTGGGGAGGAAATCCGAATCGACATCAGCCCCGAATGGCTTGTAAGTTTTGTATGTTCTTATACCAACCGTCATAGCAAGCTGACAGATACAGTCGCCTTACCTTCCAGAGTCTGCTGCGAAAGTACAGGATATCTCGCGGGACGAGATTCCGTACATCTCCCTCACCGACCTCATCGTATTCAAGCTCGACTCGAGCGGGCTGAGATCGAACCCTGCTAAGAAAGAGCGCGACGCATGCGACGCCGCGGCACTGGTCGACTTGGCATGTTCACGCAGAGGCTCTGTAGACCTATCCAAAAAGCAAGAGCAAGTGGTCGAAGAAGCACTTTGCGACGTCGCGAAATGCGGCGCGAAGGAGAAGGGCTGGTGGGAGAAGCACATGGGCTTGGAGAGCAAGAACCTCGAAGTTCCGGGCAGATCCCAACAGAGACAAGGCCGCCCTCATTCCAAATCGGACCCCTCGCCGTCTCGGACCAAGATTACCAACGACCCTAACGCGGCGTGGCACTACGAGAAGCTCGACCGGGCGCACATACGGCAATTCAAGTCGATGCACAGCAGCCGGGCGAGCGGGAGGCCCGGGATGATGCGATCGGCCTCGCACCGGATGATAAGGGACACCGGACTGATATTGACGCAGCCGAAGACGACGCACGCGAGCCTCCAGAACGAGATGAAGCGTTCCGGACTAAGCAACGAGGTTAGCCCGGAGTCGCCGGACGAGCACGACGAACAGTACTACACGCTCGAACCTAGAGGGAGCCCACTCCAGGGGAGCCCGATCAGAACCGGGAGAGGGTATTTCGAGCTCCCGCGCACGCCCGGCGGCGGCTTGGGGACGGTGACGGAGCACTCGGTCGTGGGAGTGAGGAGGACTTCCAAGGCGGGATACTTCGACCTCAGCCCCGCGGACGCGCCCAGCACGGTGGTGCAGCAGAGGATGCGTCCGGGGCTGGAGAAGAGGAGCGTTACTTTTCTCCTGTAGCAATGCGACGAGTAGGAGGGGAAGGAAGTCGCGTGCTGCTTGGTAAAGGAAAGGTCGTCGGCTATGTTTTTCATACTTAGGGTTTAATACATGATACCATAATCCCGAACCGATCTGGACGGGGGAATTTCTGTATTTTCTTTTTATGAAGATCGATAAAAGCCGTGAGGCTGGAGCCGCGGACGGTGGAGATATGGTTCTTGTATATTTTATAAATGCGTACATAGGTATTATCTATTCAATACATAAGTAGCACTGATTACCTGACATGTTCGATGCAAGATGAGAAATGGAAAAACACGTGCCCACGTCAGACACGTTTCTCGTCCCGTGTAAGTGAATCCCGTATTTTAGTACGTTTAGGTAGAAGTTATGCGCGTGGGGTAGGATTAGATGTTGGTTAGTTCCAGGTGGGGGGAATGGCGGCGGGATAGGGGGTTTAATGCTTGGCATGCTAGGAAATAACCTGTAATATTGCCCGGCTCGGATGCTCGTGGCCTGTGGCGCAGGGAATAACGATCATCTGCTAGTGAACTTAGAAAACCTGTGACTGGAGGCTTTACTTAAACATCCATCTCTAGAGCTTGTTTCCTAAGACAACTTCTTAGGACACAGGCTCAGAATTTATAACCGTAGCAACAACTATCACTTTTTCCCTTCTCTTCTAATATTTCCTACTTCTTCAATGTTTCCTGCGGTATGTGATACTTGGTCGGAACAAAGGGAAACGAAGAAGTGAAAAAAGCAAGAATTCCGGGCAGTTGGGGAAAAGGGACAAGGATTCATTTCCTTTTGGAGAAAGTCGGCGTCCGTCCTCGTCTCCGACTTGTGTCATCCTCACATCGCAGCCATCACGTGGCTTTGTAAGACAACTTTGGACCTGCCCTTTTTTTCTTGCTGGTTACTTTCGGGAACTTAGATGTTTCAGTGTTTCGTTTCGCGGAACTCGTCAACTGCATAAATAACAATCCTATAGAGGTCTCGTCGGTCTCTCGGACTGGATAAATGGGGTTATAGCGTTGCTCAACGTCCGTACTTCCGCCCTGTATCCCTTCCATCATGAGGTTTCCTTTTCGAGTCCGCAGGCGCCAAGAGTCCGTACATGACTACATCGGCGTACTGGTCCCGCTCGAGGAGGCACACTTACATAGCCATTCCGCTAGGTCCGGCAGAAGCGAATTCGAAGAGGTGAGGACTAGCTCCGATGACCCGGACGACGAGGCCGAGTCAGGCCTGCCCAAAGATGGCGACAGTGAGCATACTGGCATGTTGCAGATGAGTGCCGCCGAGTACACCATCGAGGGTCTCAGGAGGGAGGTTCGTCGAGGTGAAAGACGGCACCAATGGACTGAGTACGAATGTGAGTTCATATTCCCAGGACCCGTCCGAAATGCGACCAGGACGAGGGAGGAGAACATTGCTGATAAATCATGGCAGTAAAATCTAAACTCATTAATAAGGCCATCCAGGACATAGGTATGGGCCGGTATAATTGGCAGCTCTTCGTTTTGTGCGGTTTTGGTTGGTTTGCGGACAAGTGAGTGTGCTCTTCAAAGATTACTAGATATTTTTGCTGATCTGGTTGGCAGTTTATGGATGCAAGTGAGTAAATGGCATATAGGCCTTTCTGAACCATTGATTGAGTACCACTATCTTACGCGTGTAAAGGGCGTCTCTTTAACCCTCCCATCTCTCTCTGGGGAGTTTGGTGTTTCGGAAAAGCAGGTTAGATACACTACAAGTTCTCTCTTCCTCGGACTTTGTTTTGGGAGCTTTTTCTGGGGACTTGGGGCCGACATTATGGGCAGACGTATCGCCTTCAACGTTACTCTACTAATCACAAGCATTTTTGGCATCTGGGCGGCGTACGCACCAAACTGGGTATCGGTTTGTATTCTGTTCGCTTGCATGGGCACCGGAGTTGGTGGAAATCTACCGGTAGACGGAGCACTCTTCCTGGAATTCTTACCCGACTCCTCGAGTGCATTGTTGACCCTCTTATCTGTTTGGTGGCCAGTCGGCCAGCTCGTCTCGTCGATATTTGCCTGGTACTTCATCACAAAATGGCCCGTCGAACAGGGATGGCGCTATTTCATCATGACGATCGGGCTCATAACATTCGTCATGTTCCTCATCCGATTCGCCATCTTCCGTCTGTTCGAGTCGCCCAAGTACCTACTGTCTCAAGGGCGGCAATCCGAAGCTGTTGCCGTTATCCATGGCATTGCTTACCAAAATGGGAAGATGACCTGGCTCACCGAGGAAATACTAGACGCCGTTGCGGACGTGGACGGTACTGAACGCACACCAGCAAGGACTTCAACAACAAGTATTATCAAGAAAAACCTTTCGTCTTTCTCCCTCGATCGTATACGACCACTTTTCCAGAATCGCAGGCTCGGTACAGCAACGCTCTTGATTTGGTTTTGTTGGAGTACGATAGGTTTAGGTTATCCACTATTCAACGCATTTCTTCCTCAATACCTATCTCACGGCGGCTCTGGTGCGCCAGTAAACGACGAGAGTATGGTGGCGTATGATGCTGCCTCGTCAGCAACTTACCGCAACTATGCTATAATATCTGTAGTTGGTGTGCCAGGAAGTCTACTTGCCGCGTATACCGTGGATCATAAGTCTCCATTCCTCGGGCGAAAGGGAACGCTCGCCATTTCCACGCTGGTGTCTGCCATCTTCTTGTTCTTCTTCGTCAAGTTCGGCACAACACCCAACTCGCAGCTCTTCTTCACCTGCGTCGAGGCTTTCTGCCAGAATATAATGTATGGTGTCTTATATGCTTTTTCGGGTACGTACAAAAACACATCATCTTGAGATTTCAACCTTTCAGACGTTGTCTTGATTTCTCTGGGCAAGATAATGGCTAACGTTTTTGGCAGTGAGTGAAACAATCCCAGATCTATGTAACCAAATACACAGATGTAACATCCAACGCACACATATCTTAGAAATAAATGGAAAAGTTACTGACGCAATACGTTAATACACCAGCCTGAGATATTCCCCGCTCCTGTTAGAGGAGCCGGGACTGGCGTGGCTAGTTTCCTAAACCGCGTGTTGGGACTCATCGCCCCGATCCTTGCTGCTAACATACCTGGCGACGGCACTACAGCTCCTATATACATGTCTGCGATTCTAATATTAGCCGCCTTTGTAGGGATGGTGTTGATTCCCATCGAAACGAGGGGTAGGCAAAGGCTTTAAGTGTCGAACTCCGGGCATATTCTCTGTATCAATAGTACTTGTACAAAGACACACATGTTCACCTAAGTATTGGATAGCTCCATCATAGCTTAAACCACTAGTTTAGTCATGATAATATGAGAATGGCAGTGTCTAAACCAATCATGTAGGCTCGTGTATACAATCGCTAATTAAGTGAATGCTCTATGTGTGGTTCATCACCTATTACCCTTAGCCCCAGCAGGAGCGTCTACTCTCCGCTTCTGGAACGACCGTCCCAAAGCGTCCTTCACCATCGGATCAGCCCGGATCGTGTTCTGAACAAGCCATTCCTTGAGCTTCATCCGCATGGTGCTTATCACCTCGGGGTCGCCGACGAAGGGCGCCATCTCCAGTTCCATAAGCCGCGTCGCGTCGACGTCCATGCTCCGCGCCGTCTGCTCGAGCCTGTCTAGATTCTGCGATAGCTGCTTCTCCGACGCCTCCCCAGGCCTTGTCCCCCGCCTGTCGGGAGGCTGTAGTAGTGGACCTATCTGCGAAAAGGCTATGTACAGCGTGATACTCAACTTGCGCGCGAGCGAAATAACTTGGAAGGGCAGGTAAGGCGGGTGGGTAGTGAAGCGCGTGAGCATCGGGTTCACGAAGTTGTCTAGGAAGCGCGGGAAAGACGGGCGCGTGACGGTGTGCAGTTCGAAAACACACAGCACGACCAAGGTCAGCCATCGCCAGTATCGTCCCCAGTCGAGATAGCCCAGGAGCCCCAGCACGTACATAGCTACGGCGGCGAAGCCGTAATAGGGTATCAAGACCTGGGCACCGCGGACGACGTAGTCGTGCACAGTAACGCAATGCTTCCAGCTAACGACGTCGGGGCCGAAGCGTTCGTAGGCAAAACGTCGAGCGGGGTCGACGAGGGTATCGGAGGCGGTCTTGAGGTGCATGAAGTAGTCGGCTTCAGTCCCGTCGGCGGCCCCAGAGCTCATCACCTTGTCGGGATGGTGAAGGGCGGCGAGGCGGCGAAAGCGGCTCTTGATGTCGCGCTCGGAGGCAGAGAAGGGGACGCCGAGGTCGACGTAGTAGTCGGAGGCGCGGCGCATCTCGTAGTCGGCCTCGTAGATGGTGTAGAGGAGATACAGGGACACGACGAGGATGTGGATACGGCGACGGTGCTCAGCATAGCGGGGTGTGCCGGGCGCGGGCTTGCGGTCGCCGGCGCGAATCGTTATGCCATAATAGATGGACTGCACCCAACCTGTTACAAGCTACGTCGTGTCAGTCTTAGCATGAAATATCCTATGAGAGGATACGAGAGAGTGGAGGGAAAGAGAGAGAAAGGAGGGGAGCTGTAGGACGCACGTTCGGGAGGAATGTCCACCCCAAGAGAGAGAGGACGTTGTTGCCAGCCATATTGGTAGTTGTACCAGTAACTGTTGCGGGTAATGCAGGCTATATCATGGCTAAATAATGATATGATTACTCCGGTAACTTGAACGAATCAAAGGATGTTCTATAGAGAAAGAGGCCGCAGTAACGAATGATGTATTAAGATTCTTTGAAGCTTGCTAATGTTAAAATGAAGTACATTATGTAGCAGTTCCATACCACATATTACCTAATACACTCGCTAACTAACAGGTGTACATTCCCTGAGTTTAGCTAGACACCTAAAAATAGGTACCTGCTACCCGTGATAGGGTTCCCGCCTCTGGTGGTCGTACAAAGCTCAGAGCCAAAGCTGATTGTATTCTACTAGTATATAATCCAGTCAGCCCTCAAAGTTTGATTTCATTCAAGTCATTTCGCGCTTTTAAGTCAAGTACCTTAGTATCCTAGACTCACAATTACTGCGGATTATATTCACAAGATACTTTATTTTGCTCGCATTTGCCTTCATGTTTGTGCCGATCTCTTTAAGCAATGCATGCATTGCAAGAATCACACCAACAAAACCCAGCTGGCCCAGCTGGCGATTCTTTGGGCTTCAATGATGCGTCACATCATGTCACTCTCTTTAGACCCTTACTCGTCCGTCACTATGAGCATTCCATCCTCCATGCCGATTTCCAGACCCAAGGTTCTAAACTTGCGACTACCAATTCAACCCTAATAATAATCTCACTGCCAATGGATTCCACATCATGAAGTCTCATCCATGCGCATGACTCATCAGGCATCGGAGTAATATACAAAGTGGCGCGAAGAAGAAATATCAAAAGAAGCGGTGAGTTTTAAGCGTGCTCCGATCACTCACTGCGGGTGCCGTGTCCATGTGAGTGATTTCGTTGTTCTCGTTCATATTGCTAAGCGAGTGAGTTGGCTGCTCCGAGATCTCAGCTGAAAGCTGAAAGGTTTTGGAGACATCAACGTACAGCATTGCGTTTGGCTTCTCTCATGGAAAACCGCACGTAGCTATCAATATGACTTAGTCAATGCGACACATTGGATGATAAATCTTCAGGTCATCCCATTGACAAAGGAAAACACGTGTGATGATACGTACGTAAATAAGAGACACGCCATCGTGAAAGCCGCTGCAGGTGCCATGATGGTCTCAGCCAAACAAGTTCAAATTAGCTCACAGCTATAGCGAAATAGATTAGGATGAGTAGCGCACCCGTGGCGTGATATTTCCCCTCGCAGCCATGATTGTTTTCTATCAAGGCCGGATCGATCTCATCGGCTACCGAAAATAAATGAAAATAGATGAATAGCTTCAGAAACTGTTTTGCGTTGGATTGCCGATCACAGTTCGTCACACGATGTTTGTATGTAGGTGAGTATAATTGAGAAATAAACATCGATGACAGGCAAATTGATAACTCTGCCAGTTGTTTGCCAGTGCCAGTGGTTAGGTAATTATCATACGATAATAGAGTTAATTAGGTTAAAAGGAGACCCTGAACATCCCCATTCTTAGCTTCATTTTTTTACTATGCACATAACCTCAATTACCATTCACCAAACCTAACTCATAAGTCTTTATGTCGGGTACATTAATAACCACCTACTTGAGCAGGTGCGCTCGTCCAGGTCTGGTGGCTGTGCGAAAGTTGGCTATGTGTGATTCAGGGGTTCATAGGAGAAAATAATATCTACGTGATTAAAACTAATCAGAGCACCTGGGCAGGTATATATTTGATTCACTCATTTTCAAATCAAATATCACCAATTGATGTTACTGGGAACTCATCAAATATGATTTATATCAATTACTACCAAATCCATAAGAGACACCTAGATATGTTTGTACAAGTTGAAGAATGCGAGATGTTGATTACCTAATGAGATATAAAAAGGAGTATACCTCTAATTCCATTCTCAATCCAAGAAAATAGTATACGACGCTTAAAACATCCTCAGGAATTACTGCATCTTCGTCTGTTCGTCTGAATATTTGGAGACCGCTGTATCAAGGTTAACATCGCTCCTAGATCGAAGTTCTTGGACAATGAGACTGGTATCACGGTTCCATGGCCCTCACTGGTGGCCTTGAATCGGATGTGTCTTGACCGACTATGTTCTGGTTGGACGGAAGCTACCTAGGATCGTCAAATCGGCGAGAATAGGGTGATAGTTATTATACCAGCGTACCACATTGTATGCATAACCCATGGACCCTTTCCATAGAAACTAGGTCCTTGGTAACCTAGATTCAGCCTCGTTATGTAGGGGTGCCCGAATAATGTGGTAGATCATGATCTGCTTCCTCTGTGGCTACCAGTGGGACCCTTTACATGCAAGAATTCAGTGTCGGTACCATCCTTTAGGGTAGTGTGTGTCTCAATGCTACCTTTGGACGAAGCATCGATCGCCTAGCAGCATGCGGCTCGACAATTTATTGGATATGATACCCATATCCAACGGCCGAAGGCTATATGTTGGCTTTATTTGTATCCCCTCTAAGCGCTGACTCATCCTAGCATTGGTTAGATTTCGTGATAGTGCTGACATAGCTGTGGATCTATCCGGAGAATCGGACCTGAATGGCCCAGCGAGCATGTCATAACATGCCTAGGTATTCCATATAGAAAGTCAGCAATAATAGATGAGATGGATATGACCCCAAGTTCCGAGCCTGGCTAGCAAGTACTTACTAATAGCATTGACTTGATGATATTCTGAATTTCATACAGGCCTATGCTTTATGGATTTCTACCAACCGTTGAGGACGTGTAGTGTGACGTTCGGCATTACCTCATATATCTGGTTACTATATGGTCAGATCTTGACCGCAGAAGTGGCAACTCTAGACCGAGAGAGTCCAGCTACATGTCGTGCTCCTGTTTTAATATTCCAACGGTATTTAGCGCTTGATTATTTAGGGAAGGTCTTACAGCCAACTATCGCCTGTATAGCCACTGTGTACGGTTGCAGCCGAGGTCTCTGAAGATCACATACCTACCTAGGTATGCAAATTCTCATCCACGTATACCCAACTTCGCAAGAATGATCGGTGCCATGGATTGATGAGGAAGTTCCACCGGTGACATGTCGTGCATATGTTGCTGACCGCACATGGCAATGTTCATCTGACCATCAGAAATGATTGATTTGGGCGATGGTTGGGCTGAGTTTGCTACATCGTCTTGATAACGTCTGCAGCCACATAGTGATCCCGTTCTAGCTTCCGTCAGTCAATGTGCCGTCGTGCAACGGGGCAAGGTGGGAAGAGGTATAGAAGCAATCGGTTCGTTAAAAACCAATGTGATCTACCTACAGTTTAGGTCCGTTGGTTGGCCTAAGGTCGTGATAAGGGGGGAGATTGATTGGCTTTGCGATGTCTTTGCTTACCATTTCAGCACCACAAGGCGTCAAGCGCCATCTATCAGAGGCCAATGCCAAGTCCTGTCGACGCTTATGTGACGTTAAAGCCATCAAGAGTATTTTCTTCGTAGCGGCGTCGAAATCCATGTCTCATCAGGCATGCTTCCCGATGAGTCGATGTGTTCAAAATCGGCAGGTGCCCCCAGCCCAGTACCGTCCTCTTATGAAATGAGGACGTCCATCGGTGGGCTAGTGGCGTACTTCAACCGACTTCCTATTAGATGAACGAGTAACTGATGCATAGAACGTTGTGATGACCGGTGAGACAGGTTGTATTTTCAACCAAGTCAACAAAATATAATAGCATAGGAAAAGTAGCCTTATCCGACCAGGTTGGGAGCACGGTAGTAATTAATGACAAAGCCATAAGAAGCTAGATTGCGGGTTCGTAAACGAGTGTGACATCTTGCGAAGTCAAATTCTCGGGTGCTGGACCCGTCCGTTACTCTCGGCTAGAAGTCTAGGTAGCATGTGTGTAAGCGAGGTTCATGATACGCCCCCAATCCAACTGTAAAGTTGCACTAACGAATCATTGGCCGCATCCACACATGGAGAGTTATACGGGTTTGGTGAAAGAAAATATGTGCGTCGAGCTCCTTCGATGGCGTTGTAGATATCGTGGGATTGGGGTACGAGAAGTGGTCGAATCTCTATCCTTCTATATGCTCCCAGCCACCGACCTCAGTGGTCTTTCATTCCATAGACAACCATGTCATTTGTGGCCGATATTCGGAATATGAAGGCTCTGATCCGTAAGGTATCGAATCGGAGAAGTTTCACATTACCTAGGCAATCAATTCTTCCCCAAGTCATCAGACCAACTCGAATGGCTTTCGAATAATAAATCCGAACACAATCCACCCCTATTTCTCTTGCGGCCCTAGCAATTCGCATGCAGACCTCACAGGTATCCATAGGTCTGTCATAAGACCAGTAGGTGTTCTTTCTTACGTGAGCGGTAGGGTCTGGGGATTTTCAGTTATACCTATGTTACAAGTTACCTAGTGTAGGCAATTTTCATTTCCCATTGAATCTCGCCGGGCAGGAGAACACGGAATAGATAGTCGGACGGTTCTACTCGCTGGTAAGTTATGCGTTGGGTTCGGGAGAGGATGAAAAGAGGTATTGATAGAAAATGCAGCAATAAAGAGATTTGGGGTCCAAAGCATTTATACCTAACAATATATATAGTATTTCAGGCCCCTGCATCAAAACGTCGTTCAACCAGTGCCGCCTTTGAAACGAAGAATATAAAAACCCTATCGGAATTACGCAGATACCCAATACCAATGCAAGTCAAAGCAATAAGCCTATATATTAAGGCCAGGGATTGAGTTGGCGGTCGATTTAGGAAAGTTAAGTGCATTCTATGCACCTAGACTAAAGGGGCAATATGAATTCATTCAATAGAAGCTGAAAGAGAGGAAAGGGGGAAAAGTACAATTGCACGTGTGGGATCGTGCCTCAACCCTCAAAAAGCCTACGAAGTAAAGTTTGAGGCTCTTTGCTACATGCCGGGCTAACATACATGGATATTCCAAGGTTCAACAGGTTCCACTACATTAGTGAGGCAGTAATACTGGTACGCTGCGGAAACCCCCCCCCCCCCCTAGTCCGCCGTCCCCCTCCCTTAACTTCCGGAACAAGCTGGAGAACTTTACCTACTAGTACCTACCCAAGTACAGGTAATAAGGTATACCTGTCTGGGTACTAATTAGCCAATTGTACCTACCTACCTACTTAAGTACCCTAAGCACGTATCTGAAAAACGCCTCGGAATGTCTCGATGCTGGCGGAGAGTTGACGATACTGAGTAGTACGGTAATTTCCACTTATCCGGTACCTTGGGTGCCATGCGGATGCATATTTCCCCATCCATACCTATACATTACGTAGGTACCTGGCTAAGTACCTAAATGTCACAAGGGTATCCCAACTAGTAGCCTACGCTATCCCTGCTTTAAGTCAACTAAGCCGATCTACATACCTAGTACCTAGTGTAGATATCGTCTCGCCAAATACCCAAGAGCCTCATTTCGTCCTCACTGAAGCCCGATGACCCGCTGCTTTTCCGCTATTCTATGGAATTGTTCGCAATGATGAGACCTGAACAAGGCTGCTCGTGTAGCATTCCGCTTGCACAGCCTACCTTATTAGTACCTTGGAGATATGAAAGTAGTACCGATATGCTAACGCATGGAACTTCTAGAGCCTTACTACTTAATCACAACCCCGGATGAGCCTCAACCCAGAGATCGGCAACGCCGCCAATAAGTATCTCTCCAGCTCCCCGGGGGTCCTGGCATAAGCTGTCTGTCTAGTTTTTGGCCTCGACTCCTTCCTTTAAAGCACGTACGTTATGTCCAATCAGTGGCTTCAACTCCTACCGCGTTGAATCGATAGGATTAGTGCATAGGTTCAACCGAGATCGATGTGGGCATCGAAGAGCATAGTGGTCACGCCACAAAGGACATCTGGATTACAGCGGTTGCCCTATGAAATAATGGCGTATATTGTGAAGTACCTAGACCTTGAGGATATCTTTATTTTATCGTTATGCAGCCGTCACTTTCAGTACTTAGTAAGAGAAGAGAGGTTTTGTAAAACCCTCATCAATGTGAGTCTTCAACCTAACTCGCACCCTGGAGCTCTTGCTAGTTAGCCAGGCTACCCAGCAACGCGTAATCCACTGACAAATCCACATAGATGAAAGCCTCTCATACAATTGAAGCAGATGAGGCACGGAGGAGTGGTCAGTTCGCACGAGCTCTACGGCGGGTTGCAAAGAGGCGCCAAGCTCTCTCCCAAGCATCACCGTATGTTGTAGGAATCGTAGGCGTCGCCGACACTTATGAATATATTCGCGGAATACTTTGCTATATCATCGAGTCACGGCCTCAGCGGTGGCTACGAATTCTTGACCTGCACGGTTCGGCAAGTCATGAAATTGTCGTAGATATTCCAGCCCTAATCCGCGAGGCCGTGCCGAGGTCAGCGAAAAGCCGTAAATATAAGTTTCGGGTCTTATATCATTCGAATGGTATTACGTCGTGTTTGTTTTCATTCGCGCTACCAACAACGGAAAACTGGTTATTGATCTTTCAAGCCGAAGAGAAGAAAATCGTGTCCCAATTTCGGCTTGATTCTACGGCTAAGATATTTGTGCGAAATAATAAGGAATTTCTATATTTTGGGACACACTCAGAAGAAGGCGCAGATGGGTTTAAATATTGGGTCCTCACTGGATTTCGCATAGAGGATCGCTTCTGGTTCCCTCGAAAAATGCATTTAACGAGTGTAGTCGGGTATGACATTGGCACCACGGTTTGTTTCGAAATCATAGACAATTATTTCTATGGACTATCGAATCAGACAGACTTCGAGTTCAGGGAGACCGATTGGATTTCATATTACCACTGCTTTCGCTTCCCCCTGCACGACCCAGATCGTAATAATATCCAAATCATGCAGAAGAACAAAAGTTGGAGGAGAAAGCATGCCGAAGGACCTATCGACGATCGGTGGGGGTTTCTCAAGCTAGAGAAAGAAGAGGCTTCTGGCAAGATCAATATCATCGAGTCTAGGAAGGAATGGCTGGCCGGAAAGAGTGGCAGTCGACGAACTTATTACATCACTAAGGTGCTTTTCGACAGTCCGGAGTCAGCTGGTGAAGAAAATCACACAGCCATCGGAGCTAGTAGAGCATCTAACAGAGGCGTTAGGGTTGGAAACAACCCAGTTGACTCGGATGTACCGGTTCGAGAACCCGAAAACGTTCATCCAGGAGATGATAGTTCTACGACGCCAGCGTTCACGCGTAGCCAGACACATCTACGCTCTTACCAACGATGTTCTAATACGTATTTAGATTTGGTTGATGATAATTCCGGCGGGTCGACCGGTCGACACCTACGCCTAAGAACTGGGCATAGGAAACCGAAACAACAACCCCTGGGAACGCTGTTGGCATCGAACGAGAACATAGATTTTGACGAATATATGAAGCAGTGCTATCACCCTAACGAGATATATTTCTGGCCACCGGAACAAGATCAGAATCAGCAATTGTTAGATAAAATTTACAAAGTACTAAACCCGCCCGGTTACCTAGGTAGTATCACTGCCTTCAGCGATGAACGTTCGTTAGTCTATGGCACTGGGGAAGACGCAGACGGGCCGAAGGTTTTGATCTATGTCAGCTTCGATCCGGCGGCCAGGCTATCCGGCATGTTGCGTGAGGGGTACATACTATCAAGCCAACATAATGAGATGGCCAGTCAAAGTTATAGCTTAGCTGCACAAGCTAGTGGAACCACGAAACGCTTCGAGGATATCATAGCCGAAGACACAGGCAAAGGCAAAGGCAAGGTCATTGGTGACGGTCCTTTACCCTCCTATATTTCAAATCCTCCGGACCCGGAGCCAGTGAGCGCAGACTGCAAGCCATGGGCTTGGCTCGAAAAAGCCATGCATCGGGATCCGGGTTTCACAGGGACACTTTTCACATTTGCACACTGAAAAGTAACGGATCAAGATGCAAGTGAGATGGCACCTTTTTCCTATTCACGTACTGTTCTCGTCCTAGGTTACATTTCGTGCAATTAAGCCCCTTCCCTGCAAGTACCTAGGCTATGCAAAACGAAAGCAGTTATGAATTGGCGAAAAGGGGTTCTAGACCGGTAGGTAACTTGGGACATCCGTCTCTTCATATACCTATAGGTTTTACAATAACTTACCGGCTAGGATAATTAGCACCCCTTATGCGTGTAAATAATCCTTCAAAAATACTTTGATGTTGTTGAGGCTGTCATTGCCATCGGTATCTTGTCGTGCATTACCCCCTATTCTGCTGTGTGACTTGCATATTACATAGTATTCTCGACGTGCATTAACATTGGGGGCTGCGGCAGGCTGTTTATTGGCAAATATCAAAGATACCCTTGCACGCAGTTCGCCTTGCCTCAATGTATGCCTTGACGATTTCGGCAATAGGTATTATCAACAATTTTTGACCCCATTTCAACCCCATCAATTTGTATCCATGCATCCTCTGATAGGTCCATGAGGTCACTCAATTTGCTTACCCAGGTAAGTTACCAATATGTTCCATCGCATAGATTACTAGCCACCTGACATTGATGTGCCACTTAATATGACGGTCCAATATCACGACCCTTTGAGTATAGGACGGTCTAACCGGGGTTCCATTGACTATGTGCGTATGTACAAGTTAGTTCTGTTAGATGCCAATTACAGCTACTATATCCCCGGCCCCCATGTAGTCCCGGCTTGGAGTCAGAGACAACGGACGTGGATATTCGGCAGATCATCCCTGCACTATGTATCTCTCCAAAGCGCGCGATCGGGCATCCCCGGGCAGTCTCCGTCAGACGAGATCGGATATTGCGTCCGAATAGCTTACTATGAACGATAAGATCTCCAGCCTTGTCTCCTACATACCTCAACCTAACTAATCTTATCAGCCTATGTCTAAGGCGATTCTACCTTTCTTTGCTTAGCGAGATGTCTTCTCCCTTTCCGAGCCTGCCTCTACGGTATGCACACAATGATTTTCGGAGGACTTTGTTGCATCAATATGTTTAGAGTGGCATCATATATCAGACGGAATGGTACAAGTGTATTATATCTTTACTTTTATTGTCATATTGTGGCAGCCATGTTATTGTCAACAATTCACAACCGTCCACGGACGTCCTTTTCTGCGTCATGACCCCTGAGAATGCCACAATAAGGTCACTGGGAACAGATAAATAAAAGTGCTAGCAAGTCACCATAACATCGCACAGGCAAGCCACTTAATGACAATATGTCGAACACTTCTCAGAGGCCCCGTAGATTACATGCCGTACAAATACAAAGCAATGTATTCTACGGAACAAAAAACTTCTAATCCGATGATCTAACTACTCGCCCATACTGGCCTAAGATTCTAACAATATTATCCTACTTACAGATGCAGGTAGTTATCAATAGGTAGTCTCGTGCTTGATCATGACGTTCAATAACAGAGATTTGAATATCCCGACACTAAGTAAAGTCTCAGAACGGGCTGTGTAGTTTAACTACCTACCACCTAAATAGCGATGAATGTCTTTCTCTTCCTACCTACTTTAAACTCACACTCATACAGGGGCGCTAATACACTTTGATATGAAGGCTGAACCAACACAGCGACTTTATCAACTCTATATCTACGAAAGACGGACGGCTAAAGGGATATGTTGAAGTTAAGATATCTATATTTGCCTTGAAAATAATGGCCTTCTACTAGCGAGTATCTTGGATTAATACCTGGATAGCCTTAATAACATAGCTCGGACCATCTTCTCGAGAATACATCATTAGACATGAGCGTCGTTGTGGTGATAACTGGCACTGGTTTGGGTAGCAGGGTGGCCAGGCTCTTTAAGTGATAAGGCACCGGTACATCTGTACGGTACAACAATCGCCATTGACAAAGATCGATATCTAAGAGTGGCGAATAAATAGTGATCTTAGTTAACAACGCGTGCCTGCAGGTATCGTAGAAGGATTAGGAGGCGTGTCGGAAAAGGCACCGGTCTGAGTATGGAAGGAATGGCCCCCACGGATTCCAGTTTCCCGTCGATGAAACTACCAACATGTAAGTCGTTAACTGGAGTATCATCGCTCACGAATGGGAGACGATTTCCTGCATAATGGAAAGATATGTGTGATCTAACCCTTAAGCACTGACCATGGCTTTTCTCATCCATTCGACGTCATCTAACAGCTGTCGTCTAGTGAAACAGCCGAGTAGATTAGGTAGGCTCTGATCTATTGCTGGGAGTACTATCCGTACAATTACTTGCTTTATCTCTCCTATTTATTTACTATATGTATTCCCTAAGTACATCGGTAACCTAGGTGTTCGTCGAGTTGTTGCTCTATTTGAAAGAAAAAAGAATCTATTTGATAATAAATCTGAAATAGTCAGCCAATCCTACGTCATGAGAAAGGATAGTCGAACCACCATCAGTAGGTATATTTGCTGATAAAGTCACTACGGCAACTTGATATTCCGTTTGGACTGTGGTCGATGAATTTCTTGGCAGGGGCGCTCGGTGTATGTAGGATGTATGTAGGTATTGATCACTGATCACGTGGCTGGATATTCATGTACAAATTTATCCATCCCGCCATACCTCCCAAGTTCTAGATACATTGACATACACGTGTACTGTAGTACGTAAAGTAACACAGACTTATCCGCGGGCGCCGCGAAGAGTGGGAAGGTGGGGTGACGACATTCGACCTGCCGTCCCTGTGGTCTCAACGTTGAGGATGATTGGACGAGGATCGTCAATTGAAGACCCCTAAAAACAGTTCAATTAGTCCGTATTAGGTTTAGCTCCCAGAGCTACTCACGCGTATTGCTCGTACCACATAACTCAACTACTGCAAACCACATAACTCTACTGCAAACCAAGGCTCTTCACCGCAAATATGGAGACATGCACTCCTAATTCTATCTCCTTTCAATTTTTCATTTCCATGTCGTCGTGAGAGGCCTGCCATATTGGTTCTTTTTTTTCTTCTTTTCCCTCTTCCCTATTTCTTTCTACCACTATAGGGGAGGTAATAGAAGAAAGGATTTTAATAAAAAAAAGAAATTGGGGGGAAAATGGCACGTTCGTCGGCTTCAACTACGACCAGCGCCTCTGAGGCGTCCAAGTCGCAGAAGACGATCCGCCTCAACGGCAAAGGCGGGGAGCCTGGTCCGCAAAATGGAACCTCAGACCTACAACGAGATCCGATCGAGGTCAAGTATCGCGACTTCTTCTGGACCTACACCGAAGAGCCGCATCGGACGAGACGCCTGGCCATTATCAAGGCGCACCCCGAAGTGACCAAACTCTGTGGCCCCGAGCCCCTCACCAAATATGTTGTGCTCGGCGTCGTTTCTCTGCAGATTTTCTGCGCCTACCTTCTCCGCAACACCCCCTTCTTCTCGGCTCCTTTCTGGCTGCTCGCCTACGTCGTCGGCGCCACCGCCAACCAAAACCTATTCTTAGCCATCCACGAAATCAGCCACAACCTGGCCTTCCGATCCCCCACCGCGAACCGCCTCTTCGCCATCGTCGCCAACCTACCTATCGGCATCCCCTACAGCGCCTCGTTCCGCCCGTACCACCTGACGCATCACAAGTCGCTGGGCGTCGACGGCCTCGACACCGACCTGCCCACCGCGCTCGAGGCCATCTTCCTCGACTCGATCCTGGGCAAGGCCTTCTTCTGCACCTTCCAGATCCTCTTCTACGCCGTGCGGCCCATGTGCGTGTACAGCGTGCCCTTCACCTGGGTCTCCGCCACCAACGTCGCCGTGCAGCTCGCCTTCGACGCCGTCATCCTCAGGACCCTGGGCACCCAGGCCCTGCTGTACTTCATCCTGTCGTCCTTCTTGGCCGGCAGCCTGCACCCGCTCGCCGGCCACTTCATCGCCGAGCACTACGTGTACGAGACCGTGACGCCCGCGCAGGCGAACCCGGACAACCGGATGGCCGTGCCGGAGACGTACTCGTACTACGGGCCGCTCAACTTCCTGACGTATAACGTCGGCCTGCACAACGAGCACCACGACTTCCCGGCCGTCCCCTGGACGCGTCTGCCGAAGCTGAACCAGATCGCCAGGGAGTTCTACGCCGACCTCCCGTACCATCGCAGCTGGACCTACGTCATCTGGCGCTTCATCTTCGACGAGAACGTGGGCATCCGGTGCAGGGTGAAGCGTAAGGAGGGCGGAAGGCTCGTCGGCCAGAAGGCCGATTGGAAGCAGGACGAAATTGAAGCTTAAGGAATGGCACGGACTGCATATAAGACTATGTGTTGAGAGTGAATATGTAGTACATTATCTCATAGGAAACTGTATATTTACTCCCTATAGTGCCTTTATTCAGATATGGTTTGGCGCTGGGCAAATGGAGGCCAAGATAGAATCGACCTCCTAAAAATACGTACATAATTGTCTCTAAATGAGTTACCTCCGTCGCTTCTGCATATATGATTTGGTCCCCTCGTTACCAAGAGTAACGCCCCAAGGGCTGGGTAAAGAGAGATTACTATTAAGAGCTACCAAAATCCGGATGATCATGCGCATAAGTCACTTATATATCCAGAACATAGGATGAACTACGGCCATGCCGAGCTTAGGATTTCACGACGATCATGTGAGGATCGCATCAATTTCATGCAAAGTATATATCAGAATGCTCGTACCTCTCAACAACCAAACGGGGGGACAAAGGGAATACATGCTAAAGTACAATGTGTCTACCATGACGAAGGATAGTTTAGATCCTCCGTTCCACTTACAAGAATCCGACCAAGGGAGCCTGACTTCCAGAACCTCAAATTACTTCTGTTTCACCTACCCAAGTAGGTAGGTACAACTTCCTTTGCCCCCACACCTTCATCTAGGAGGTTTCCCTATCAAACCCACGACTGTAGAGTATCCTCATATTTGTACTAGTCAAATCTCGAAGCAACTCCAATTTCCATCACCACCTAGAAGAAGAGATAGGCGAGCATAAAACTTAGGAAACACAGAATGGCCGTAATTTGGATGGACACGCCCTCAGAGCCAGTCGGTGTCTGCTGAGCTAATTCTGCAGGCCTGGGACCGGAGCCACCATCCGCACTCGTCGTCTTTCGCTGTCGTAGACCTTCCTTGTCTTGCTTCAGTTGCGCAATCAACTTTTCGGCCTGGATGAGTTGTTGCTTCAGTTCTTCGGGGCTAGCATCTGTCTTCTTGGCGGTTACGGTTGCCGCAGCCGCGAGGGACGGGACCTCGTCACGCTTGGTGGTGTCCTTCTCTTCTACCGATTTCTGATCTGTATGGCTGCCTGAATATTCGCCCGGGGAGGAATAGGCAGGAGGAGCGACGTCAGGTGTGGCCTGGGTCTGCAGAGAACATTGAGTGTCAGCTCAACAGGTATCCAATCAATTACTAAAGTAGGTACGTAATACGAGTAAACTTACACCATTAGCCGCTGAAGATTTGCTGGGTGTCTCGAGGTGAGCTGCTCCGGGAGCACCATGTGGAGGTAAGAACACCACACGGATCTTCTTCTCTTGTATCGAAGACTTCTCAATACCATCCCACTTTTGTATCGGTTAGCCGGATGACCAATATAAAGGGGTAATGTGGTAACGTGTTGCTTACGATAGATGCGAGATTCGCGAATTCCTTGTCGCCTGTGATTGGGACAGATTGGACTAAGAACTTATCCCGACATTTTGCATCCGCAGGAGGCTCCTGTTTCATAGCTTGGAGGATGACTGTGGTGTGTTAGTAAGCGGGTTAAGTATGATGATGGTAATGCGCACCTGAAACTTCGACCTCTTTTCCAGGCTCAACCCGGCCTGAATTAGGCCTGACGCAATACCTTGAATAAAAACCATGGTCAGTATAATATTGCTACCTGGTAAAGTATAGGATATCGCATATCGCTACGGTAGGTAGGACGAGGTGGCATACTGCTTGGGAGCGGTGGTTTTGACCTTTTGATTTGTTAGTCGGGGATCACGACAGACTGCGCGGATGTTCGTAAGTCTTGGGCCATACCTTGAAGGCAACAGGGTGGGTGTTCGGGTTCTTGATGCGTAGAGTTTCCGAGATTTCCGCCGTGAACGGTCCTAAGAAATCATGAGCATACACGCTGTCGCAGACACGATAGCAGGATTCTTTTATGACGTACGGTGGAAGCCGAGTTCCTGAGGATCGATATCGACGGACATGTTGACGGTAGAGATGCGGTGTATATACACTGCAAGATAAATAAAGTCGGAAAGTCGGTTCTGTGCGGTGAAAGGCTGCTTCTAGAGCAATTTCGAAGGCGCCGAGGTAGTTTGGAGAGTGATCGCAAGCTCAACTTTTGGACACGAGGGTACGTAGAAAACGGAAATGTAGAAAGAAGAAAAAATTGTTAAGTAAAAAAGGGAGAATTAACGGTGGGTTCAGTAATTATGGGAATGGAAGGTATAACCTAAGCGTTAAGAAGAATGAGAAAAGTTAGTTTTGCAGAGAACGGGAGAACGGCGACGAGGGAACGTGAAGATGGAAATCTGGCTGATGGAATAAAAAAGCACAGGCGACGGTGGTGTTGTTCATTCGTGTTACGACATCGGGTTCACCTGCAAAATGCACTACAGCAAATACCTAGGTACCCAGTAATAATAAGCCTTAAGCGTAAAGCGTATCAGGAAGTTATTGAAGGAAGCTGGCCTGTCCGGTGCTTTGGGAGCCCTGGCCACTATGCTACCTAGGTACCCTGTCATAGGTACCCCAACAGCCTAGGTGCAATAGAAATCTGTTCGTAGGTACCTGCTTAGGGGGTATTAGGGAGTGGGGATTTAATCCATTGTAATTTTGGTTTAGTGCCAATTACTAATTGCTCATCCACGGTTATGCGCCTATCAAATGTAAAGAATGCACGAGCCACTTGACACTAGCCCATGGGTAGGTGCATACCAGGTCTCATTAACACATTAGTACCGGATATGTGCAACGCCACGAGGGGTACCTTCTGAAAATGCGTGTACCTCCTTGCACATACATTCATACGTCCGAACATCCATACATGTGAGGCAACATCCAGAATGACGTGCCACTAAAAGAAACCTAAGTCACTCTCATCGTATCTGCAGCTTCCATGAATTTCTTCATCTTCGCGACAACACTTACACCTTAGGATTGTACACGAATACCGAACACATAAAACAAGCATCAAGTTAAGTACTAGATCAATGATATAACTTGGAACCATCATCGGCCCATTCTTTTCCACCAAGCAACTCACAACACATCCTCTCTCAAAGCCCAATCTTCCCGGTGACCTCAAATCACCTACATTTAACTTGCCCAAGATGTCACAATCAGTACTTGAACAGCTCCTGGAGATGGGCTTTGAGAAACAACGTGCTGAGCTGGCCGTGAAGAAGTCCGACGGGTGTAAGTATCCTCACTTTGACAATAGGTACCTACATATGTACCTAGGTATACTACTGGCTGTGGTCGACAACTGATGAACTGTCCTAGTGCCCGATGCCATGGACTGGCTGGAAAGAACCCAGGACACTCCTATAGATGAGCTCCTCGAGGAAGAGAGCTCCGGTGCCAACGTTGCAAAAGTCGACGGGGGCGCAGTAGCAATGTCACTCGTTTGCAATGAGTGTGGCAAGAAATTCCGTACTCCAAACGAGGCTGAATTCCATGCCAATAAGTCGTTAGTATAATCGTCTTTTATTGGCCAATCAAGTTATCATCAAAACTGATTTGAAATATCAGAGGTCACACCGATTTTGCTGAGTCTACCGAGGAGATTGCCCCTCTCACTGAAGAGGAGAAAAAGAAAAGACTCGAAGAGCTCCGTGAGCGTGTCAAGGCGAAGAGAGCTGGCCAGAGTGAAGCGGAAAAGGAGGAACAGAAGCGGAACGAGGTACATTCAGGTCAAGGTCTTCGGCTACGCAGTTACATATCAACTAATGTTTTGTAGAAAATCCGCCAAAAGGCAACCAGGGAGTCTCACGAATTGAAGGAGGAAATCCAACGCAAGGAGCAAATGAAGGAGGCAGCCAAGAAACGACAAGAGAAGCTTGACGATATCGAAGCTAAGAAGCGCATCAAGGCCAAGATCGAGGCCGACAAAGAGGAGCGTCGTCGCAAGGCGGAGGAAGCGAAAGCCGCGAGAGAGGGCCGATCCATTCCTGCCCCCGCTGCCGCCCCGGCACCTGCTCCGGCTACCGCCCGCCCCGCTGCTACCCATAACGAAGCTCGCTTAAGACTGCAGACCTCCGGTGGCAACGTCATGAAGACATTCCCAGCGGACACTACCCTTTTCGAGGTTGCACAGTCACTAGAGTCTGAGAACGGGCTTACCGTTACCAAATTTATCCAGAACTTTCCCAGGAAGGTTTTCGAGGGAAATCTCGACCTTGGTAAGACTTTGAAGGAAGCCGGATTGGTCCCTAGCGCTGCTCTTATCGTACAATGAGCTAGCTACTCGAACTAGTTTCATGGTTCTCGTGGATGCATGACATGGCGTTTGGGATTGGCTCAGGAGGGTGAAAAGGGGGAACTCGTAGAACGAATAAATACCTAGGTAGTTGGGAGGAAAGTACGCTTCACTAGGAATAGCATGGTGAATCCTACGAAATATCATGCTAGGATCTCATAGCTTAAGTCTAAGCTATCGCCGCGTTTCGGCTTTTGCTGCATAATGAACACTTTGCGGCATAATGGACTCATAAGTTTGTTTCGTCTTTAACGGCTTCATTTGTAAAGCGCATCGTCATATTAACCTATGACTGAGTGAACTTTGCCCATGGCAACCTGATATTGCCTCCTTCACGCCACACCAATGGTGTATGGAACCCCGGAACCATGCAGTGAAAGTACAAAAGGGAAGGTGAATATTCGTTGTCGCGGAACGTATTTAGTCGAATAGACCGAAGCCCATGTCCTCGTCCGACTCTTCCTTTTCTGAGCAGGCTGTTAGCTAGGTCCTGCGATGGACGAAATTGCGGTTGTGCGCAGATATTAAACGTACCTTCTTCCTTCTCTTCTTCCTTGGCCTCCTCAGCAGCACCAGCACCAGCACCACCGGCGGCCGCACCCGCGCCAGCAGCGGCAGCACCGCCGCCAGAGCCGACGTTCGACAGCAGGTCCTTTACATCCTTGCCCTCAAGAGCCTATACGCGTATCAGTGAGCAAGCTTTCATCCTCCCAAATTCGGTTCTGCGTCGTACCTTGGCGAAGAGTTGCGTCCAGATGGGCTCGACGTCGACGACCTTGGCAGCCTTGAGGATGGTCTGGAGCTTGTCGGCCTGTGTGTTGATATCAAAATTAGCATCTCTGCGTAGAGATCCGCATCGTGGTTCCCGAGGTCGAATTTCTAGGGAATTATTGGAGGGGTACGGGTCGGCGGCTTACAGTGATCTCAACACCGTCGTCGGCGAGGATGAGCGCCGCGTACGACGAGGCAAGTTCGGCAGTAGACATTTTCGTAGTTTTTGTCTTGGGTGGTAGACGTGAAGTGGGTGTGTTGAGTTGATCTGAAGGACACCTCGAAAATGAAAGTTGATGTTGGATTTGCGCTCGTGGATTATTACTAAAGTCACTTTCAATTGACAATCCGAAATTTTTGGTGGGAGGAAAGGTAGGGCTAACACGGAAGGAAAATAAAGGATCCGTGCTTAAGACTCGGGAATGACGCTTATTGGCTAGATCTCTATAGCCAATCAGGATATTAGATCTTTTGCCCCGCAAGATCACCCGAAAAAACACTTGCAGTTTCCTTGACCTCCGGTTATGATGAGCGATGAGCAAACGACCCCACCTGCCCGCTTTAGCCTTTCAGCCCACTTCGCACCTTGCCCACCTTGTACATATCTTCGTTGCAGGTTGCCTCTTCCTCCTTTCCGGAACTACCGTAGCAATCCTACTTCTCACTACGTACATGCGTACAACATACCAATCAGAAGCATTTTGGAAACCCTTGGTTTTGGGCATGTGCTCCCTGAACAGTTCTAAGATATCTGGCAACTCCCCTGCTCCCCTGCGCTGGGTAGCTGCTCTTTCCTGCAAGGACGAAACGTCATTGGTTCTAAGGCAGCACCTGCATTTCTAGTATCACGCATGTGTTTCTCATATATTCAACCATTATACAAAATTTCAATTTGACGAGCATTATTCATAAGTGATCGGAAAACCACCTACTCGGGTACTTATCAACCACATACTTACATAGGCATCACTGGACAAAGGAGGAAGCAGAGGAAGAGGAGGTCCGAGGAATCCTCTTTATCTCTATCCTTTATCATTTATTTCTTCACAAGGAAATATTCACAGCCTACGAGAAGCTATCTTGAGCTTGCAACCGCCATAGAATTACCAACTTTCCTTGGAGTCACTAGTATGGAGACGCCTAAGATACCTGGTCCAAAGGACCAAGGGGAGAGGGAAGTTCTCGAGAAATTGATAGCTATCCGCGACCAATTGCAGCTACGTAAACTCGATCGAACTACCTATGTTCGAACTCAAGATGTCATGATCCTATACGACCAGGTTGTCGAACAGGTTAGGATCCTGAGCGAGCTCAGAGATGGGAAGTCTGTTGAGGAGAATCGAGGTACTGTGACTTTACAATATTAGACCATTATCGACCGTTTAATTCCATAGTCCAACGCTGTCGCGAGCTATTAATGGCTGACTCACACAATAGTGGACAGAGTCGTAGACAGTTGTTTCCAGCTCCTGTCGCTATTCTTCATGACAATCGGCCGAAACAACGAAGCTCCCGCCGCATATGCACTGACGTCGACCATCAGACGACTCCTGGATCATCTGGCTGAAGCTGACTTGTTCTGCGCCCAAGACCTCGAGACCTTGTCCCAAACTCTCGAGCATCTATCAAAAATCGTACATAATTCTGCTAGTACCAAGCCTTCCCCGTTCCTCGAAAACCTGATTGCCCAACGGATAGAGCGGTGCCGAGCATCCTTATCGGTTCTGCAGAAGAAAACCGACGAAATCGCCGAGCCGCTGCGGCCAACGGCGGACAAACTTGTCTCCATTCTGAGACAGATGGCCGTGATCAATACTAAGACTAAGGTATATATTTTTAGTAGGTTTTACCATATACATTCTTTTACTAACAATATATTTCAGTTCACGCCTTCAGAAATACATAAACGCGAGGCAGAATTAAAAGAGATTGGAGAGAAGCGGAAGGATGGGCAATTCGTCGACGATGATGGCAACGTTCTAAGGGGGAGCGACAATATTTCGGCGCTTCTGGACAGATGCTTATCGTATACGAAGATAGTACTCGAAAGGTGCGCCGCGCAAATCTGCCTATTCGGTCATATCCGCTAATGTCCCGCGTAGAAACGGTCAATTTCCAGAGAAGTGGAAGTCCACCTATGATGTGCTTGTCGGTATTAGAAATGAACTTGATAGGCTCTCGTTGACCCAAGCATGGTCTTTGCGAGAAACTGATTTATACGATTACCAACGGCAACTTGACAAGATTGACGAGAGCAGGGTCGACGGTAACTGGGTGGATGACCAAGGACAGCCAGCTGAACTTTACGTTCAACGGGTACGTTCTTGATTAATGCAATTGTCAACAAATATCAGAATACTTTACTAACTTGACCCCAGACTCTTCTTTACCTCATTAGAAGAAGCTACGGTTACATATATCATCTTATGATATCGTCGGAACCCGTCTCTGAGGCTCTTCTGCCGATATATAATCAACTCCAAACGCTTAAACGCTGTCTCGTTGAGGTGAAAAACAGTGGAGGAGTAACGTCAGCGAGGGAGCTTTACCCTTACAGCATGAAATTACATTCGATTGATAACATGAGAGTCGACGGCAAATTCATGGTCGGAGAGGATATCCCTGAAGGGCAAGGTAGCGTGGCTGAATTACTAGCCGAATGCTTTGATCTAAACTACGAACTCCGGGTAGCTGCGGAGTCATCGACGGGATCGCCGACGCCGGAGCCGCATACGAAGTCGGAGTCATCGACATAAGCATAAGTTTATTGAGTTTAGGGGGTTTATGAATTTATTACGAGGATGACTTGTTTTGTCTGGACCGGTTTGCGAGCGAAATTGGGCTTGTATGGTTAGTCCAGTCTTCAAGGGGAGTACTGATGCTGTACACTCTACTGCGGACGGGGGGGATCCAAAAAGCGGTAGGGGAGTGGTTTGGAGTAGCCGTGAGTATTAAATATGTGTAAGCTATTGACATGAACTGAATAGATCAGCGTTACCCATCAAAGAGTATATCTAGTCTAATTATTCGTAAGATCCATGAATTGTCCCATCGACGTCAAAGTTTGTTAAGACAATTAGGGGTATCTGAATGCAAACTTGGCCTGAAGAGATGGATATTTCCAATTAGTAAAGCTACGACAAATCCATTACAGGTAATGCCGGCACCTACCGCTAAGATTAGAGCCTAGGGTTGAGTTGGTTGTTAGCATGTGTCTGCTGTGATAAGACTTAGAAATAGGAGGTGATTTACATTTTCAGTATCCCAAACTCCGGATTTGGTATAAATGTCTTTCTCGATGATAGCCTTGACTTCGTCCTTAGACTCGGCAACGACTACTATCGTGCTACCGTACCAGTCCCAGGTCGAGGGGTCGTCGCTCTCGGGTTTGTCTTTGAGGACGGCACCTTTTTCATAACACTTAAGCTAGGTACCTCGATACCCATGTCGGGCGAAAGGAGAACTCGGAGAGGATCATGGTTAGGTGGCCGTACCTCCTGTCTTAAACTGCTGAGATTCGACATACGGCTTTAAGCCCTCGAAGTGCTGACTGGTCGACGGGGTGTTACGTGTAAGCTAAGACTCGTGCTCTAAAACTTGCTAGCGAGATATTGGGTGTTGCGGCTTATTCGCCCGACTCACGCGCGCACTTCAATCCTCTTCTGCTGGGTACCCGGCTTATCGGGGATGACGACAAGCCACTCGAGCTTGCCGGGAGGTGGGGTCGTGATGGTCGCCATTTGCGTCTTGACGGGGTTTCGAGTGAATCTAACGGTGTTAGGTTGAACTCTGGCGGATACTGGCTGGAAGAGTCGGCGAACTATCTTGAAGCAAGAAGCCATGAGAGAACGTTTTAAGACGCCTGCAAGCTGACCAGAGACTATATGTATGTCTTTTTCGATCAGGCCAATGTCGTGCTCTGATATTTGCCGGCGCTTTTGACCCCGAGGTTCGATCGATCCAAGGCAATTGGAAGGCGTGCCTACATGTACGTGTGGAGTAAAAGGGCGTGGAATGTACTTGGATGTACCCACATATAGAAATAGCTTCCTACGCCCGGCATCATTGAGGCTATTGTGCGATTGAGATGATGGATGTGTACGAAGGAGGTACTAAGCTATAGGACGATAGGTGTAATACAGAAACTGCATAATAATGCATATAGCAGTATAACTTAAGTATATCAACCCCTCATACCCTCCTTCTCTTCAATGTTCCCCGCATCTCTCAATTACCTAGGTACCTAGGTATGCATCCAATAATGCAATCGATTGCATTATATATCTACATATACGACGCAACATTGAAGCTTGAACATTGCACCGTCACACCTCTTCCCCCAATTCCGTCATCCTCGTCTTCTTTTCCGACCAATTGGGAAATTCTGAAGGATTATTGACTGCGACGATAAGAGCCTCCCTACTCCTTGCACCTCGTGTGTACTTTCCCCATTCTCTCACATGTCACGGCACGAGAACGCGCGATCAGATCTTGAGTCTTTTCTACGTTCCCTTCCCTTTCCCTGAGTCAATTCCTTGGCTTTCCGGGCCTCTTCCGCCCTGATCCCACCGTCTTCGCCCTTAACTCGGAAACCGAGTTCCGGTGAAGCCGCCTCACTTTTTTCCATCTACGCATTTTTAGTTTAAGATATTATTATCTACGGCTGCTAGGGCTCCGGGTGGGCGGTAATTGTGGATGTGTGACTCTTAGTTCTGGGCACACATAGGTACTTACATGGATATGCATGGATGTCATTCGCGTGTCAGAGAGGTCAGGGAGAGGGAAGAAACTTAGGGCTATCATCGGCGTTGGTGTTGCACCTGTGTCGTCATCGTCCGATCCCATAGCCACCTTGGACCCTGAAGATGCTGAGAATGCCATGTTGCCGAGCTTCGGCGGTCTAGACAGCTAGCTACCTACGCTCTAGCTGTGGCCATGTGCATCCCCCGAATTTTCCAAGCCCTGGTGTATCATGACTATTTCATTAATAAGGCTTGGTGGAAGCCTCGGCGCGGGAATGAGCTATTTTGTTTGTGGCTTTTAAAGCGTGACCTGTTTCCAACATTCCCATACAAAGACAATCGACCTTCACTAGCCGTCTTCGTAGGCATATATTCATATTGACCTACCTACCTACTCATACTCACACATATCCGTATACACTCTACACTTACTAGTAGGCACTTTACAGCCAATTCTCAAGTTGCCATACTTTTACGTCACAAACTCACTTGCTACGAACTTACAACTCTATACAACACACCCACAATGCTATCCACCTACCTCCGCAGCGAGTCGCGAAGGTGGGCAGCTCAACACCACCAACGGCAGAGCTACCCCGCATCCGCATCTCCCTCCCAGGACGAGTCTAGCAGCTACGAAGAAGACAGCGACAGCGAATCCGTCTTCTCTCGAACCAGCAGCCACCGATCCAGGAGGTCCTCCGTCTCGAGCATAGCATCCGAGGACGACGAGGTAGCCCCGGTCGCATTCGACCAGCCGCGGGACCTGAACGGCGCGCCCATCACCATGTACGCGTCGCTGGACCAGGCCGTGGCCCAGAGCACGCAGGTGCTCGAGGCGGAAGGGCCGCGGCGGCTGGTCACGCCGGGAAAGTTATACGAGAACGAGGAAGACGACGACGAGATCGTCGAAGAGGAAGATGAGCATGTGACGGCGCAGAAAAACGATGACGGCATAAGGGCTCAGCACTACTACTCGAGCGGCCTCGCCCGCACCGTCGCCTCTAGCGTCGCTGCCGCGGGCTGATTGAGACGAATGAGAAAGAAAAAACAATAAACCAAAAAACGCGCCAAGCTCTACACTGTTTCTACTAAGTTAATGATGCTGCGACAACGCACGCCTTGGCATAGTCTTGGAAATTCTTGGAGTTTTGGGAGATTGACTTTTTTTACGAGCCAAGAGAAAACCTTGGAAACGGGCGTTCCGGGGAATTTGTAGCGACGGGAAAGGGCGGGCCATTGGTGGCGTTGTATACCTAAGTTTCGGAAGGGGCCGATGCTAATCATTTTCTAATGTGAGGGCTCCAGGAGAAGGAGGAGCAACAAGATACCCAGAAATATGATAACGACGCCATCTCATCTCTATCGGAATTAATTTATATTGCTTTTTTTTCGTGCTCATACTCAACTCGCTTCTCATGTCTTAAACAACGAAAACAGTAAATTCTAGGTACTTGAAAGTTATACAACTTGCTACATCTGCCTCATCCTCATCCTCTATTCTAATACATCTACCCTATAAACCCCCGCACATCTAACCAATGCATGACTTGTACATGATGCCGTGGAATGTATAGGTATATAATCTAAGCATATATCATCTATTGTAAGCCATATAATGCAATAATTGGATACTGTCTCTATAGTTTCGCCTTGGGCGATTCTTGTTTCTGCATCGTCTCTGCCACGATGCGCCTCTGGATCTTTCCTGTCGCGGTCTTAGGCATGATCTCGGTGAAGTAAACCTGATGTCATGATTAGCTTCCCACCCCTTTCTGCAGATAGAGCAAGACAACCAGCTGTAACTCACCTTCTTGGGGACCTTGAACTTAGCCAATTTCTCACTAACCCACGCCTTCAATTCGTCTTGATCTAGCTTGGCCCCGCTCTTCAGCACAACGGCAACGCCGATTTCTTGGCCGTAAAGCTCGTCGGGAATGGCGAAGCTTACGGCTTCCGAGACAGACGGATGCCTCGTTAGCACGTTATCTAGCTCGATCGGGCTGATCTTTTCACCACCCTTGTTGATAAGCTCCTTGATTCGACCCGTGATAATGATATAGCCGTCCTCATCCTTCTTGCCCTGGTCGCCGGTGCGGAAGAAACCGCCCTTGGTGAAGGCAGACGCATTGGCAGTTGGGTTGTTGAGATAACCCTTGGTTACATTTTCGCCTAGGATGCAGATCTCGCCCTCGCTGCCCTGCGGTACCTCATCACCAGCATCGTTGAGAATCTTGACTTCTACACCCTGGCCTAAACCAACTGTGCCGGGCTTTCTCTTTGCCGGAGGCAAGGGGTTAGATGTCATTTGGTGCGCGGCTTCAGTCATGGCATAAGCTTCTAGCACAGGCGCCTTAAACTTCTCCTCTAGCTGGTGGAATACTGTTGGAGACAGCGGCGAGGAGCAAGAGCGGATAAAACGAATCTTCGGCAAGGGGCTTGGGGCTGGGTCCTTCAGAAGGATCTGATGTATAGTCGGCACGGCGGTATACCAATTCGCCCCGTAAGTGGAAAAGTCCTGCCAGAAATCGGAAGCCGAGAATTTAGTCGGCACGATCATGGAGCCGCCAGAGTAAAGAGGAGCCAGGAGAGCACAGAGAAGGCCGTGAACATGGAAGAGCGGCATAACCAACATTGTACGATCTTGCGCGGTAAGCTGATAGGTGGCTTGAATATTCCCTACATCGTTTATTAGTCCTATGGTACTTGATATATAAGCTGACGACTTGGGGACATACTCATCGTCCTGGTTAAGTTGCGATGTGTTAAAGGGACCTAGTGAACTGGTTAGAGAACAACTACAGGATATGCGTCGGACTGTCTACAACGTACAACTTTAGGCCTTGATGTCGTGCCACTAGATTTATAACAGTCAGGCCTCATCTTTATAAAGCTAGATTCTCAACTTTTTAGGCTCTAACGCTTACCTCGTGTGCAAAACCAACGCGACATCATCTGGCTGTGGTTGGAGAATCCTCTCCTTAGCCCGCCCCTTAAGCTGCCCGAGGTCTTTAACATCCAGAATCACCTCTTTCCTCACACTGTCCCAGTAGCACTCGGCAATCGCAGCTTTGAACTTGCGCGCTGCCTTGACAGACGGCGCATCCGCTTGGTACGCCCCTTTCGGCACAAGCACAATGGCAGATTTAATGTCTTCGATATAAAACTCGAACTCTTCCTGCTTATAAGCCGGGTTTAGGGGAGCGGCAATGCCGCGCTGCCACGAGGTAGCTAGGAACGAGACGATGAATTCGTACGAGTTTACTGTCGCGATCGAGACTGGAGAGCGGTGAGTAATGCCGATGGCAGCGAGCTTGCGCTGGAAGGAGGAGCATTCTGCTACGAGGTCTAGGTAGGTCGCCTTCAACGGGGCCGGTTTGGAGGGTACTATGACAGCGACAGAAGAGGCTACGCCATTGATCGAGTCTTTGAGGGTGGACATTTCGAAATTTTCGGAGTTTCTAAAGTGAAGTCTAGTTTTTGGTATTACTTCTAAGTGCGCAAGACGAATATGTCTAGAGAGGATTCATGCAATAGAGAGACAAAATATGAATGAAATAGAAAAATACAAAATCAAATTCGCAATGAGAAAACGAGAAAAAAAAGCTGCATGTATTTCTATGTACGAAACGTATGATAGTAAGTCAGACCCGTGGATCTGCGACTCCGGCAATATCAATGCAAGTTTGAGGTTGTTGCCGTTACGTACATACATGTACATAACCGTTGATACGGCAATCCGTCCAATCCCGAGCTTGTTCGGTTACCTGACATTGGGAAAGCACGCACCTAGTAGCTCCAGAACTACGCTAGGCAATTAGTGTCAATGACCCCAAAATTAGTGGGTATGGCGATATAGAACCCCTGTAGTTGCAGAGCTCCTAGCGTAAGTCTTCGCCGAAACTGAATCTTGAATTTCAGCCTTCTCGTTAGCCTCGTTAAGAAGGACAACTAATAATCGATTTGCTGTTGAACGGATCTCATTCTTTGTTAACGAAGGCTTCATAGCAAGCACAACAAACAAGAGGCGTTACCGTTCTATTAGTCATGGCTGCTCAACAGCCGCCGCGGTCAGGTCTGTCCCTGTACGCCAACCTTCTCGAGCCAGAGGGCGACTCGGCCGCTTCCATATCCCGCGGCCCAGTCGTGTCGCAAGAAGCGCTCGACGCGGTAAAGGAGCAGGAAGCCTCCAAGAAGCCCATCGACTCCGCCCTGCGCTTCCAACCACACCCCCAGATCCGGCGCCCGCAACAGAAGACCCAGAAACCCAAAGCGAGCTTCCCGAAAGCGCCTCCCGCTCCTCCCACCGCCCCGGACGTCGCCGCCCAGGCTCCGTCGAAGAGCCGATTGGCCGACTGGGCGCCTACCGAGGAGGATGAGTTCATGTACGGCTTAGGCGAGAAGAGAGCTCGCGGCGGGCGCAGGAAGAAAAAGAAGAAGGAAAGGGAGGTGCCCGTCGAGACGGACTGGGACGAGATCTACGACCCCTCGAGACCCACGAACGTGATTGAGTATCTGCGGAGCGACGAGCGGATCCGCGAGGTGCGGGAATGGAAGGACTTGCTTTACAAACACAGGCGACGCGACGACGATAGCGAGAGGCGGGGAAGCTGGAGCAGCGAGGAGGAGGAGGATTCGAGACCGGCACAGAGTAAGTTGAACGATATAGGACAATCCCTAAGGCCATGTGTTTGCTAAAGTATATGGCTTTGATAGATCGATTTGCGCCCCCTGATTCCTACTCCTTCGCACCACCACCCCCTTCACCCCCGCGAGCCCCGCTGCCAGACGACAAGACCGGCGACGACGCCTACGCACGCCGTCTAGCCCTGTCACAAGGCAACGTTCCTCCACCACCGCGCTCGCCCTCACCGCGCTCGCCCTCACCGCCCCCGCCCCCTCCTCCCCCAATAGCACCAGTAGCAGCTCCTCCCGAGCCAGAAGCCGCGACAATATCGCGCGCGCCAGTGCGCTACGCACAGCCGAACCCGCCACCACCGCTCGATCCAGACGCCATGGACGAGGACGAAGACGAGTACGTGCCGCCCGAGCCCGGCGCCGGCACCACTGCCGCCGAAGCAGAAGAAGAGGGAGAAGCAGCGCGCAGCAACCGGCCGGGCCAGAAGGGCTTCGCCGCGCGGCTCATGGCCAAGTACGGCTGGTCGAAGGGGCAGGGGCTCGGCGCCGAAGCGAGCGGGATCCTGCAGCCGCTGCGCGTGCAGGTCGAGAAGCGCAAGAAGAAGCCGGACTCGGAAGGGGGCGGATGGGCCGAGCCCGGCGGGCGCGGGCGCATTATCGGGTCCAAGACCGCCGCCGCCGCCGCCGCCGCAGGCGGTAGCAAGTTCGGGCCCATGAGCAGCGTCGTCGTGCTGCGCAACATGCTCGACGGCATGGACGACCTGCAGGCCGAGATGGAGTCCGGGCTGGGCCAGGAGATCGGCGAGGAGTGCGGCGACAAGTACGGCCGCGTCGAGAGGCTGTATATTGACGTTGAGGGCCGCCGGGTGTATATCAAGTTCACTGACCAAGTCTCGGCTCTAAGAGTAGGTTTTTGCTACCATCCTCGCTCGGAATAATCTCCCATACTCCCTTACCCTCCTATGATGATTCTCTAGTAAGGGGTATATTGGATTGTGCTAACCATCGTGACCACGAAATATAGGCAGTTAATGCGTTAGACGGCCGCATATTCGCAGGCAACACCATCGAACCTCAATTCTACGACGTCGACAAGTTTGAGAACAGAGTTTACGAGTAGATAGAACATGTATTGGGACGCAGGCGGCTATCTTGTCTAGAAGAAAAGCTAGAGAGGGCGAGAGGCAGCTCTAAGGTCTGCTGTGTCTACTAGCTAGTAATAAGGAACTCGTGATAAGTACTTAGCAGGCTTACTCTATCGCTACCTTAGTATGCTATAGTCCGACGACAGAAGTGGCAACAGTATCAACAGTCTAGCGACCCGTCATATAAATTCGAGACTCAGTGGTAGTAATTCAAATACAAACTACACACACCACATTTGTACCTACAAAGCAATGTTGTGCATGTAGGAAGGAGATAAGCCACCCAAGGCTAAAGTTACGATAATGTTGTATGTTCACTTACCGACTTGTCAAGAAAGCCATAAAGCACTTGTGACTACAACGTTCACCTAGGTAGATGGGGCTTAGGCTCAGAAGCAAGTTATACTATAACACCTCTACAAGGATTGTTGCCAGATCATGGTCACTTCCAATTAGTATCCTCTGCACTATGAAGACTCTTATCAAGTCTCGTAATTATACAGGACAGCAAAGTAGTACAAATTGACCGATTACCTAGACGCCTATCAACAGAATCACACTAGAAGTTTGAAAGCCATGTTCCGAGTAGCACATGCATCAGTATTAAGTCTAGCGGTTCCTTATACGTAGCCCTAGTCGCAAACCGCGACCAATGAAATGACAACAGGTTTTATGACACTGGAAAAGGGAATGTCGAGAAACGCCACCATCTTCTCCCATCATATTCTTCCACCATGCTCCAACACCTAAAAGTCACAACTTATTACAAGAGAGCGGCAACGAAGGAGCCGAGGGCAACCAAGGTGTAAAGCGCAGGCATGCTGGTGCCAGAGCCGGGGGCAGCGTTCTTCTTGTCGCTGGTGCCGTTGGTGCTCGAGCCATCGCTGGAAGCGTCAGAGGTGTCGTCATTGGCGTTAGCATCCTTGCCTCTGCAGTCGTAGTCGCCCTGGACGACACCACCCTTGTAGCTGCCGAGGGAAGTGCAAGAGCTGGAGATATCCTCAGTGCTGACAACCTCGAAAGCACCCTTGACGTCCTTCAGGCTGGGGAGCTGGACATCGGTGAAGGAACCTCGGACCTTGACGGCACCGCCGATCTCGTTGAGGGAACCAAAACCGTCAAGCTTCTCAAGACCGGTGTTGTTGGCAATAGTGAAGCCACCACCAATGCTCTCGAGCTTGGGGATCGAGATGTTAGTGACCTGGGGGTTGCTAACGAAGGACAAGTCACCGGTTTGGATTTGAGTCAAGTTGGCGGCAATGAAGTCGGTGAAGTAGTTGGAGTCGAAACGCATGGAGCCGTTAACGGTGTGCAGGGAGGGAACCGAGAAGGAGGTGACGTTGGCGATGGTCATGTTCGCAATCCACTCCAAGTTAGGCATCTCCATGCTAAGGTTGAGACCGTTAGCTTGCACATACAGAGTGTTGGACAAGCTCTTGATGCTGGTGGAGAACTTGGTCAATCGTCGGTTGTTGTTGATGTTCATGTCAGTAAGAGACTCAACGTTGATGCCGTCGATGCTCTCGATGAAGGTATCGGCGATAGTAACACTCTTCGCCTTGGTGATACCGGGGTTTCCGAAAGTGGGCTCGGGAAGAGCGTTCAAGGTGGCCCAGTCAATGGAGCCAACCTCGCCGAGAACGGGGAAGCTAAGCGTAGAGAGCTTGGTGACGTTCTTCAGAGCGAAAGCACCGCCAATGGTGGTCAAAGAGGAACTCTTCAAGCTGTTAAGAAGACCGTTGTTCTCAGCTGTCAGATCACCACCAATCGACTCGAGACTTCCACTGAGGTCGATGTCAGGGCCGGCGGTGGTGTCGATTAAGACGCTACCCTTGATGGAGTCGCAGCTAGCGACCTGGGTGGCATCGGCCGCGGACTTAATAGTAGCGGTCGCATCGTTGCATCCAACACCGAACACACCTAAAGTTTCTTGTTAGAACGGAAATATTCCATGTTTCGCAGTAGAATATAACTCACCAGACGCCATGCTGAGCGCCGTAGCGGCAGTAAGAAGCTGCTTGCTGAACATCTTGCCTAACTGTCTGAAAAATGGTCAGTTATGTCTGTATGTTTGGGCCAATGTTAAACAGTTGAAATAGAGATAAGTGTTGGCGCTGTAGACCAGTTGGTTGAATGTTCCAATGCGACTATGCCAGGCACATGAAAAGTTCAACCAACTACGTCTTCCGCTAAATAAGAAATACACCACCGTCCCAGCTCGGAACTGCCAGTCGAACTAGTTGAGTGATAAAACCATGGCTTGGGGGAAGTCGCTGTATGGTGACCAGGAAGGCGCATATACAGTCACGGACTGACTGTAGTCGACGGTGGTAGGACCTGTCGCCATCGCTCATGTATGTTCGGTAGACTTGGCTCCTCGATACTTGTCTGTGTTCCATCACCGCCTGCAATTATTTCGCCTGAATCCCGATTCCACAACCTCAACTTGTAGTGAATTGGCAGATACGACGCGTAATCCCATTCATGTGTATCATACATCACAACACCAATGCACCCCGGACAGACAGCCGATGTCCGTAGGGATGGTAGTATTTGGTAATCGTTATGTGTATGCCGTGCCCAGTCATATGCGGGTCACGTAATCCAAAGCCCGATTGGAAGGAAATGAAGGCATGAATCGAAGCAATACAGACTCCCGGTATTCTACGCTTTCGAGGTATCGAGGGCTCCGACTCCTAGCTGGGAAACATTGTGAAGTAAAAAATAATGAAAATAGAACTAACCTGCTGATACTCTCAAGAATCGATTTTCAGAAACCCAAGATTCGAATTAATATCCTTCCAAGCACCTTTCGAGGGTGGAGGATTGTTAGAACGTCGCGTTGTTTTGTTGATGGAACTCCGATGTTACGAGTGAAAGTGGTGGTTTGTTATTGGTTATGAGGAAAACGGAGATGAACTCTGTTGCGAGATGTGTGTATTAAAGGTAGGAGGAAGTTATTGAGCGAGTGCTCTTCCTCTTTTACTGGGAATATGGACAAACGAATGAATCCGAACAAGAAGGAGGAAGAAGGTTGAGAAAAAGTGAGTTGGAGGGAAAGTCAGGGCAAGAAAAGGCCGAAACGTTTTGGAATTCGACTTTTGATGGATGGCGTGGCTTCCCTGGTAGTAGGGGGGGTGCGAGCAGGAAGGGGGAACGGGGGATCAAGTGGATTCGTTAAGGGGTAAAACCGTACAGTGCGCATACGATTAGAAGGCGCGATATCGAACCAGACTTGCCAGACCCAATTATAAGTTGATAAGGGTTGGAGACACAGACAGAGGATCTTCATCAATTTCAAGCAAGCAATCAGTCTTGGCAGTAATGAAAGAGGAAGAAAAAATAGAGAGCGGCATCTGGAGCTAAAGTACCTCTAGACCATTAGAGGCTTGAGCAACCTTTCCTACTTTTTTTTTCTTTTCCCTTTGCAACGAAGAATTGTCTTTGTATTCGACATCTTCTACACGCGGAGACACGGCAAATACGGCAAATGCCTGGTCTGTGAAAAACGCAGGTGTTCGTATTTCTTGTCGTCACCAAATGCACAAGGTCGTTTTCTCACCTTATCATCACACCTGTCTTTCATGCCATTGGAAGAAAAGGCAAGACTTCTCCAAACCTTTGCGAGCCAGACATGCCGGACCTACCAGACCTACGTACATTAGTACAAGACTGGCCTACATAATTCCTCCGCGGATGGTACAGGTGCCCAAGAGGTGTCCAAAGACGACTATTGCAACAAGGGTAACACCGTATGGTAGAGAAACACAGTGTCGCAGTCTTCATATCTTAAGCAGCTAAGTCGTCCAATTGGCGAGATTGGATCCTCATTTTCGGAGGCTTAGTTTGGTAAAAGCAGGGAATCGCTGCAAGGTTTTGCAGCAGCAATCCATTCTCTCACGAATCCACCTCAGAACACCCATAACATGGGAAATATACATAGTACATGCCTTACGTATTCATATGCGCCGCTAGGATGTATTCAGCTATGTATCTGGCAATTCTGCTGTCTGGGTATGAGCGCTGGGCTGATTGGTTGACCAGTGACCTTTCATTCTCTTCTCATAAAAATCCATAATGCCTTGCTAGACGAGCCCATAATCCACATGTTGAGCCTTGGTATGGTTCTAGAAATGTTTCTGCGTAGTTTCACGTAACACTTCTTTCCTGGTTTATAAGATCTGGGCGAGCTGCAGAGTCGACGCAAACTTGACAGCTCCAGCTTCAGCTTGTACCGAACTCATAGCTCATAGCTCGTAGCTTGTAACATGAGCTTGTGATGTTATGTAACATGCCGAGCTGCTTCTTACTGCTTCTTACAGCTTCTCACAGCAAGCCTGTAATGGTAGCACGAGACACGGTGACGGTGACGGCATAGCTATAGTTACGATGCTAATCTTGTGCATAGGCTGGATTGATGCATACCCGCAGTCGTGTCAATCTCCGGTGCGCGGTGCGCGGTGTAAGTTAACAGGCTTTAGCTCACACCAAAGATTACCGAACACCCACAACCCCCGTACAGTATTTGCCCCATCTTGCCAATGTTGGCAGTAGTTCACATGTGAGCTCGTAAGTGAATGTCACCTTACCTAAAGTGATAAATTGGTTTATTTTGCCTATCTGCTATGTAATAGTATGTACATATGGATGTTAGTACACAAGTATCTGAATGCTGCCCGCTGTTGGTCCGGTCAGGATCCCGTGGCTTGTTAGATATAAAGTGATGGATGATTCAAAGTCCGGGAACACGGCATAAGAATTCGATTGGAATTGCTTTGTATCTTTTATTCTACACTGACAGTTGCCACGGGTTGCTAGAGTTACTAGGTGGTCGACTCGGCTTTGAAAAGTCTCTTCACGAAGTTAGTGGCCGGACTTAAACTAACGATTGGTTACCGTCTCTTCTCTTTTCAAAGAGAATCTCGATTTAACAGCCAAAAGCTTGACTATCCTCCAGGGAAGATCCATCTTTTATTCCCAGCCAACGGCGCGGCCGCGGGTGTATATTGGATCTACATCCACCAATACCATCCAATGCCATCCAATACGACCCAATCATTTCCCACTATCTCAGGTACGCCGCTACGTACGATATGGATATCCCTTCGATCCCTTTGGGAAATGTAATCAATGCACCCCCACCCCTCTTTTTAGACCGTGTATGCATCAATTAAACTGGATCTACTTTATTTTGGTACCTGGTAAGCAATGCAGGATGCGATGATGCACCGGCAATGTTAGGTAAGAAGCTTCTATTCATTCCTCTAAACTGGATTAAGAAGAATATTGAGATCCCTATTTTATCATAATAACATGCCTATTTCCACCTTGATTATCAAATTTCGAGCACTGGGGCATCAGTGCGTCTTCTCTCGTTGTCGATTAGAATAACGCCATGCAGATAAAATTCGTGGCGGAGAAGACCAATTGCGATCTATCCAGCTCCCCTCAGTGGCCACGCTGACGCGTCATTTGGAGCTACAGCACAACCAGATCTTGGTGTTAGTCGAACAGTCGAACACGAGAAAAGATCATGACTCCTTTTCGTATTGGTGAGCAGCCAAAACTCCTCTCAGCCATCCGGCATTACGGCCTCACGGTAACCATGACAGCATGGCGACGAGACAATAGTCGACGGAATGGTAGAGAGTTGCTCCTATTCGCTGATTGCACGCGCCGCTGTTGCTCATCATCCAAATTCCACATTCTGCGACAAAATCGTCGACTAGCGGCGTCGTCTCCTGGTCCGAATTGCGTCATTGACTAGCATCCCAAACCCGATCTCTGTGATCTACAACGGCAATTTCACTAGCGTGAATGCCTCTAAACAACCAGATTCGACAGCATATCTGAATTTACAGTATGCTATCAGATATTTAAACCTACTAGTAGCTGTTTTTCTCCTGCTCATTTCCAGCTGGGAGGAGCCGTTCGACGACTTTTATTGTTTAAGTAAGGGATACCAATCACACGGCTTTGTTTTCACGGCTTATTACGTCCGCAATACATGTCTCCGTACGGGTACACGCATCACATCAACGCTCTGACCTGACTACATGGTAGGTAGGAGTAGATTTCCGACGACATGACTTATATTAGCTTTGCTTCGCCCTCTGTATACTATTTGTGGAAGTTCTTCACGCATGAAGTCCGCTCCACAAACTGTTATATCTACACAATTAGGCCGCTCGTCTAGACAAACTAACCTAGCCGCCAACGTCACACCAAACAATACTCCTAGTTACACGTGCCTAGTTTTGTGGCGTCGTTGATGGGTTGCTTATGAGAACATCAAACCTGTCGGCTCGGTCGGCTAGATACAGATACAACTCGGCACTGTCTTCATTTTCGATATTGCCAAGGTATAACGTAGGGGGTTTCAAGATCGTATCTTCGATTCTTCATATAACTAAGGCTCTTAGTAGTGTATCTGTAAGCCTTGTAATGACTGCATGGTACGGCCCGTCCATAACGAGTCGGTAACTGTCGGTCTGTAGTCATGTATTTGTTTTTAGGGAAAAAAATATAATTCAACTCATCCGATACCCTGAGACCAAATACTATTGGCCGGGATATGTAGTTGGCAGGACTGAGTTTGAAGACAACACTTCGATGCGTGAGAATACAACATGCTCTTTTTCCAATACAAGAATAAGTGGAATAACCCATAAGTTGGAACATATGGCTTATTAGCCGTAAAATCGCATCGTCAAGGCATTGTTCATGTCTTCAAATACGAGTTTAGTTAAACCTTAGTGTCTAAGACTACTCCAGTGCCACCACTTCGGTATCCGAGGCTCTCCACATATACCACATAAAGACGCTCCTATACGGGGCAAACCTGTCCGATATCTCCTTCATCTCGTCCTCCGACATATATTTCCACTTGCCGCCTTTCTTCTTCAGCTTGGACACGTCCCGTCCGACGAACGCGGCCATCCCCCTCTGGACGCCCAGGTCGCCGAGGGAGAAGACGTCCATTCTCTTCAAACCAAAACACGCGAACATCTCGACCGACCACTTGCCCAGGCCCCTCACCGCGATCAGCTTCTCCAGCACGACGTCGTACGGCGCGTCCGCCAGAGTCTGTGCGCTCAGCTCGCCGCTGGTGAACTTCTCCGCGAGCCCTTGCACGTACTCGGCCTTGCGCTGCGAGAGACCCGCCGTGCGCAGCCGCTCGATGGTGCACGCCGCGACCTGCGACGGGTGCGGGAACTTGCCGTCGTTCTCGACGAAGAGGCCGATGAACTTCTGCTTGATGGACCGGGCCGCCGCCCCGGATACCTGCTGCGAGATGATGCCGCTGCAGAGGGATTCGAAGGGGTCGACCTTCTCGCCCAGGCCCTCCGCCGAGAAGAGCGAGCAGTGATGCTTATCGATCAGCGGCTTCATCCGCGGGTCGACGCTGATGAGATGCTTGCAGGCTTCGTCGAGGATGTTGGTCGTTGTGGTCTCGTCAGCTGATCCAGACGGAGGGATTTCTCTGGTTATGACTCGAGATGTCTCTGGCGAGAGAAGCGTTGCGTTGGTGGCGTTTGGGTCTGCCAGTCGCCTCACAGCGGCCGGTTTCGGTTTCGGGGTCTCGTGGGCTGTGACCGGCTCACTGATCAGCTTTGCGTTACTTGGCGTAGGCGTTGCTGGAGGGTCGGCAGGCTTCCGGGTACGGCGCCTTTTGGGAGTTGTAGGTGCTTCCGGGGCCGCATTTTCTTCCGCGTTCTCCTTGAAACCTTCTTGCTGCGATGTCTCTGGTGCTGTCTTTCTTTTCCGCCCCCTTGGCACTTTAGCGGCCGGAGCAGCCGGAGGAGCGTCTGTGATGTCTGGCGTTGCTGATGCCGCCGCAACTCGCGCGGATCTGCGTGTAGCCATGGTTGCTATCCGGTGGCTGTTAGATGGAACTGCCGCTGAGCGCCGGACGTGATGGTCCTGTAGGGATATATGTAGGTGTCCCTTAAGTCTACTGCTGCATGAGTACCTAAGTCTCTGTACTATGAAGTAGGTGGTTATCTGATCTTTTCGGCCGGTTAACTTGCTAGCGTGAGATTGAACTCCGAAAAAGAGGTTTCTACTACCCCGAAGAAACATGCGTAGTTCGTAGGCAAGTGAGCATAATTATCTTTCAAGGGCTGGAGCTGAAATGTATGTACTATATGTACATGATGGTAAGATACATCCGAGATGCGCTGTGCTTGTTTTTAATGAGGATCATAGACTGGGAACTGCCACGAATAAGCACGACAAACAAGACGTTCGTTCCTTGTGAAATGAGTTAGTTCTAAGAAAAGACGATTGAAATACAGTAGAGCACATTGAAAATTGACCTGAGGTTGTATATGGTATCTTATATGAAGAATACCGCGTTTTATCTTGTCAACCCGCGCCTTTGCTTTGTCACCCAGTTAAGGAGCGATCGAGCCAATGAGATAATCCGCACCTGACTCATATGTAGGTAGCTTACATAAAAAGATATACCCGTGGAGTTTCTACATATGGGTTGCTGCCTAGGTAGTTGCCTGTGCAATTCTTGGGGATATTTATAAGTATTAAGTTTCGTCTCAACTGTGATATTAAGATTAGGGTTTTCTAGCTAACAGCAATTAGGTTTTGACTTTGATGTTCGGATAATGAAAACACGTTCTTTTCTCTCCAGGGTCTCCAGGGTCTCAGGGTTTCGAGGGTCTCGAGTCTTCATCCCCACCTTCGTTACGATGAACATGCTTACAAAAGTGCAACGGCATCTGATCTGTTACCCGTTGTACCGGTTCATCGATCATATCGATTAAGATATAATGATTGGCATATCGTAGGGCCTACCTACATACACATAAGTTGTCGAAATAATGGATCTGTGTAAGTAAAATCAATGTCACAATGGAGTACAGACCGTACTGGCGGAGCCCTAGCGCTGGGGGCATAATGTAATTTTCCCATGTATGTAGGATGGCGTTTTCCATCTTGGTATCCATCTGCTGCTAAGATCGTTCAACATCTGCAAACCACCAGCCATACTTGCCTACAATTTTGTACCTTGAGTTTGATTATCAAAAAGGTGAAAACTGGTTAAATTATGGTCGCGGCATGCAACCCCATGTTTTTTAGTCCATCTGCTTTGTCTAGAATGCAATCGCTCGATTGAGGATCGAATTCCCCTTTTCATTTTCTCGGCATGCAGCCCTGAAGGTTGCTATCCAGGTCTGCTATGATTCCCCATGTCCCCCTAAAATTTCGATATAGGCGTCTAAGCTCAGCACACGTATAACCAAAAGACTAAAGGAGCAAGTACTTTTACATGTATATTTTTAAGATTAGTCACTTCTAAGCTTAACAGCCACATGAAATTGCGGTGCCTCATAGGGTACTTGGTTTACTAACATCAAGCGCGATAGGACTGTGCTAAAATGCGTTAGATCTTGGGTCTGTCGCGTCAGTGCATCAAGTACCCAGTTACTATTTATATACTTCGCTTGCAATTTTTGCTCCGGACAGCATTGGGCACTTTCTTGTTAACATGTTAGCGTCAACGGTTCCCCCCTTCGTGAATTCATTAGGTTCACAAGATTTAGGTACCTCGTAGTTACTCCACCCCTAAAACAACCAGTCCGCTAGACCAGTCTGTTCCAGTGATTCTCAAGCCGCTAAGTTTAATGTTACTAAACAGCCCAGGCCAGCTTTCGTGTCGCCCAGGCCATTTTGACTTTCGACTTTTTGAAATTTCACCACAACTGGTTCGTCCAATTTGACACCGTCCGCGCCAATTCATCCGTCAATCCCTGGTGCCTTTTTTCCATTCTCACAACTAAGGAACGACTGCGACACAAGAAAACAGACGAATTTTTTTCCCTTCGTCTGCGCCTCTGGCCGCTTGATAACTACACTCGCTCGCTAATTTGATAGATCTTTTTTCTCTCGCTCGTCTGCTTCGCCATTCTAATCTTCGTATTATCGTATTATTCCTCATTCAACTACGATAAACCAAACGAGGCCGGCCTAGAAAACGAACGAGAGGCTACCTATCATCCGCGTTGGAACCTTAAACTCCTCTTCCGTTTGCTTGTTATTGCGCATCGTTAGGGTGGTGTCGAGGGCCACCCGAAAAGCTCGCCCACCATGCTTCTACCTAAAGGTGGCATCACCTGGAAATCTGCCAAGGCACAACTTCCCCCTACCAGAGCGATATGGGTCTTTTTAACAAGAACTCGAGTTCTCCTATCCATCGCCGTCGCTGGCATCATCTTATTGTTATGGCGCGGCATCAGATCATCGGCTAGTGAGATGCAAAGGTATCGTAATTTTCAACAATCATCCTAGATCGGATCTTGCTGACCTTGGACTTTTTAAAAGCTTCTACTGCTGGGGTCCCTCAAAACCGCCAATGGACATGACACTCAACGAGCAACAGGCATGGAACGCTCATTTACAAACTCCTGTTATCTTCAACCATCACGCTCCGATCACGATCAACGAAAGCTCAATATCGCATGTCAATCTCAACGGGATCAGATCAACGCGTCAGGCTATCGACAACGAGGAACGAGTTCTCCTTCTTACCCCACTGAAGGATGCTGCGCCGTATTTGTCCAAGTACTTCGAGCTTATTGCCGAGTTGACTTATCCTCATCGCCTCATCGACCTCGCATTCCTGGTAGGAGATTCCACCGACGACACCATGGGTGTGTTGGCTATGGAGCTAGATCGCATCCAGAAACGCCCGGATAACATCCCGTTCAACAACGTTCTAGTGGTGGAAAAAGACTTTGGTAGTCACCTCAGCCAGTCTGTCGAGGATCGACACAGCTTCGAGGCTCAAGGTCCACGACGGAAGGCTATGGGCCGCGCTAGGAATTATCTGCTATCCGCCGCATTGAAGCCGGATCACTCCTGGGTCTACTGGCGTGATGTCGACATCGTGGACAGTCCTAAGAAGATCCTTGAGGATTTCATTGCGCATGACCGGGATATTCTAGTTCCTAGTATGATTCTGCGCTCCTCATAATAAAGCGCTTTGCTAATGGGTTCTAGATATTTGGTTCCACCGTTATGAGGGCTATGGCGACAACAAGATCGATATCGAAGGCAGATGTAAGCCTCCCCTCTAACGTCGAGCTTGGAATATTATGGATATCATAGCTAACATTAGATACTTAGTCGACTATAACTCGTGGGTCGAGTCCGAGAAGGCTCTGAAATTGGCGTCGAAACTAGACAAAAACATAGTTCTCGCAGAAGGTATACAAGTTACTCCCCAACGGCTCATGACTAATTACTAATACGTTGCGAAAAGGTTACAAGCAATACGATACTGGCAGAACTTATATGGCTCGAATGGGTGATTGGCGAAACGACCCTGATGAGGAAATCGAACTCGATGGTATTGGTGGTGTCAACATCCTAGTCAAAGCCGACGTCCACCGCTCAGGTTTGTTCCACACGTTATCTGAATATTTTAGGCTCGCAGTGACTAATATCGATCTCCGTAGGTATTAACTTCCCATGTTACGCATTCGAGAACCAGGCCGAGACGGAGGGTTTCGCAAAGATGGCCAAGAGAGCAGGCTACGAAGTCATTGGCCTGCCCAATTATGTCGTGTGGCATATCGATACAGAAGAAAAGCCGGGGAACGCATAAAGTAGTGTTACTCAGCTTCTTCAAAATCATGCAAATTTTCTTGTTAAAAATATCTGCATTCCTCCGGGCACTCGATGTCCGGGCGGGACAGGGGACATAATACTTCTACGAGGAGTTCATGACACGCACACAACAGCTGCATCAAAAATACCAGAACCGTCAGACATGTTGGGCAAAGAGGCGTTGGGGACGGATAGGTCATTAATTCTCATGCCATTGGCCTTGTTTTTTACTTTTCTCTGGCATAGCGTTCGAAGGGGAATTGGAAGTCCGGCTACTCACACCAGCATATCAACCTCATCCTTGAGGATCTCCGCCTCATGCCCCTCTCGAAATCGACCCCGCCGTCTCGTCACCTACTTCTCTCGTCGATGTTCTTTGTGCGCCTTACATATTCATTGGTTGGTCGGTTGGTTGAGCTGGAAGGACTTCTACTTTGTCGTACTTGGGAAAGGACACGATGGCGACGTTATGATCGGGGCGTTGTGAACTTCTGCTATAATAGAATTTGGCTATTCATGATGTCTTGCATGGATTTGGAGGCAAACGAAGGCACACAGTTGTGTGTGCCTGTTCAGTCGTGCTGTATGGAGTTCTATTGGTCGACAGCCGTTGTGACATGTCACCGGCAATATAGCTTGTACAGAGTTGGGATATCCGCATAGACTTGTAGTCTTGAAGAGTCCATGGGAGATCGGAAGGGCTACAGTGGAAACCAGGGCAAAACTAATATATACAATCTGTTGCATAACCAACCATTTCTTGCTTTTGTCTCCGTCATAATGGCATTGCGAACGTGTCTATGAACTGACCTGAGTAATGACATACCATTGGCGAGTATACATTCAACCCAAAAGATCCGGACATAATTGTAGCGAACAAGAATAGCTATTTGTTGATCATGATGCTGATTCTTTACCTTTCAGTACACGTAACAATGCTAGACTTACGAAGTTATTTAGATTACTAGTTTCCGAATGATGGAGACAGGTTTGTCAAAGCATGAGCTTGTAAGTCTGTCTATGTATGTAGCAGTTGCGTTACGGTTCACCACCAAACCAAGCGCCGAGTGTGGGACTAACGCGAACCATCAACGTCAACACTAAAATAATACTGCTCGGGTAGAGGGCAAAGACGTCTAGGTATATACAGAGACAGGGTGACGTTTGGCGACGGTCAAATTATTGCTACACCTGGACTCTGCCGCTGGCGAGTCTGTCCAACCATTCTACTCCTCTAGTAGGCGCAAGTGTTTATGGTACAAGTTTGCCGTTATGCTTGTCTGATATAATTTGTACCTGCTCGGTTTAATGGTTTCGGATAACAGTCATCGAATCCAGAGCATTCCTCTCCTTCTCTTCGGCATGAATCTGGTCGATTAATGGTTGTAGATACGGAACATCCTATTTTATCCGCTGTCAGCTTTTTGCGCCATTGAGGTATTGCATTATTTCGTCTATTAGCAGAATTCAATTTGACTTACATCCGTCTCTTTTGTCCATTCTTCCTTGGGTAGCAGCTTGTGGGTAGTGCTGCATTGGAATGCACGTCGAAGTCGATAGACACGGTCGTAGGCTTCCTTCGGCGGCAGGCGCTTCAATGCCTTAATAACTGTCTCATCCTCCTCGCAAATCAGGTCATCGGCTCTGAGCATGAGTATATTAGCATTTCTGAACTGTCCTACACGGCCTTGGGGTGCTCAATTGCGGGAATGGAAATCGGCGTACCGGAGACCAAGCTGGCGGTAGCCGGCGGCCCTACTATACCAACTGGCGACGGGGGTGAGCAGCTTCGTCAACCACGGTCGCTTGAGTACGAAAGGCGCAAGACTCGGGTAGGAGGCCATGATGACTATTGGCGCGTGCGTTCGGCGGTATGGAAAGGCTGTTGTGAGTCGTAATGTCGATTGTACGATTGGTACGATTTTAGAAGAATTGAAGTTCCAAAATGGCTCTTCGGGTTCCGTAACGTCACGTGATTAGCCGCGTTCGCCCTGTTCTCCCGTACTCCGGGAATTTGGGGCTTGGTGCTTGGAGCTTGGGGCTTGAGCTTCCTCCACTTGGATCGTAAGGATCGTAAGGATCGTTGTATGTATGTACCAGACCCTAGAAGTGACATCAAAACGCTGCGTATTCATTTGAGGATTTTTGATGATTTTTGATGTCATTGTGACACTACAATTTTATTTATTTATAAATCAATTCAAGGTATTCTGACTCGACCTTGGTTGCCGTGCAACTTCAATATAATTATCCTATCCAGGGTTTAATCATTTAGTCTCTTAATTGTTCCTAAGCGCGATACTTTCTAATGGGACTTATTCAGGAAGTGACCTCGTGCCTCAGATGCGCAATTGCATGGGCAACCTACAAAAAGGGAAAGCACGGTGTTGGTACAGGGTACAAGAGGATAGCTAGGTAAGGCAATACCATTGCACGCAATTAAGTAAAATACGTCAGAGTTGGGGAAACCGGAACTTCAATTCCTGCTGACCGTGACGATGAATATATGTACATCCCATTCCCATGGACCTTCCAGTGCTCTTACTGTAGATGTACAAGACGCACATGTAGACGGGAGGCGCTATAAGTGTTTCTTGTGGTACTTTCAAATTCAACAAAGCCAAAGTCATATTAAGCCATATTTCGACTAGAGTTTTAAGCTATAATTGCCGCAATTTTCTTGCCTTTTTCTTTTTCTTCCTTCTTTTTTGTCTGGATATAAGCAGCAATAATTTTGTCTGCCCACTTCGATCTCGCAATCGTGGACACGCCAGAAAAACGCTAAGCTGGTACCGTTCCATCTATCTATCGTATGTAGCGTAGATTCTATCTGTCGATTGATCCATATCTAATCCCAATCACGTTTGGCGATTAGGAGCGACCCGCTTAGTTTCGCTCCAGTTTAGCAAAAGTCCGATTGATATCCTGCTTCGGACTTCATACAACGACTCGACCACACAACTCCCACCATTACCACCACCATCTTTTCGCACCTCTCACTTTTACTACTGGACACAATACTTCACTCTCGCCTTGTCGACACCCTGTCCCACTCGCTCGACGGGCGCTTTTTCAGATGCCAATGGCATGTGACAAACGGTAGCTGCTGGGTCGACGGGACGGTGGATTTGCGAGGGTGCATTCCCCGCACACCGCACGCCATCACCATCACGACTCTTCTAAGCCGATTTGAAGACGAATAGACCTCTCTCTTTGTGTTCGTACATATACCCACTGTCTTTTTACTAGCACGCGACGCCCATAATAGCCACATTTTTGCTCTACGGGGCCTCTGATCAATACCAGAGGCCCTGAAATCGTATTCTGTCCTCCCTGGACTCAAACACCGAACAAGGGCATGTCTCACGACGAAGCTCAGAGCCCTCCGACAGGACGGTCATCACACGATCCCGCAGAATATGGGGTTTTCGCCCATCGTTCCTCTCCCACAGTTACTCCCACCGCATCGTCGGCAAACACTTCTCACCAAGACAATCAAAGCACCCTGGCTTCTGCGGTGACAGCCATGGAGCTACATGACCCTCGAGGTCTTACTCCGTTGCAGAGGTGGGCTGCAGATGCGTCCGACTCTCAATTTAATGCGCTCTCGGGAGCCGTAGGTGGCTTTACATCTGGCATCGTCACATGCCCGCTCGATGTCATTAAAACAAAGTTACAGGCCCAGGGAGGATTTAGGGCTATAAATAAAGGAAGATATGTTGGTCATCACAAAGTATATTCAGGCCTAGTAGGCACAGCAAGAGTCATATGGAAAGAAGAGGGACTGCGCGGAATGTATAGAGGTTTAGGTCCTATCATTCTCGGTTACCTACCAACCTGGGCTGTCTGGTTCACTGTTTACAACAAGAGCAAGGTCTTCATGGCTGAGAAAAAACGTGAGTCATCCTGCACAACATCGCTTCATCCAAAGCAAACAGCTGATCAAAACCTTCCCTGCACAGTGCAGAAGAACCAATTTTTCATCAATTTCTGGTCTTCAATCGTAGCCGGAGCTAGCAGCACAATAGTGACGAATCCAATATGGGTAATCAAGACACGGCTCATGTCGCAATCAGCGACAGGGTATAACAAACAAATGTCAATGTTCCCACGATCCGGTAATACGCCAACCTCTAGGCCAACTATTGATACGCCATGGCATTACCGGTCAACCCTAGATGCTGCGCGTAAAATGTACTCTTCTGAGGGTATCCTGTCCTTCTACTCTGGACTTACTCCAGCCCTTCTAGGCTTGACTCATGTTGCAGTGCAATTTCCAGCATATGAATTCCTGAGGAAGAAGTTCACCGGCCAAGCCATGGGTGAGATGACTGGCGATGATAAGGACGGAAGCCATTGGCTCGGTGTGCTTTCTGCTTCGATAATGTCAAAGATCATGGCTAGCTCAGCTACATACCCTCATGAAGTGATCCGGACAAGGTTACAAACACAACGGCGGCCGACTCCCGGAAGTGAATATCTACAGGGACTAGGTGTCTCCGAATCTACACCAGGGAGCCAGAGCCACGTTCCAAACAGTGAACGGAGCATCAGCCTCCAGCCTAAATATCGAGGTGTTGTGATGACATTCCGCACCATTCTACGGGAGGAAGGCTGGAGAGCGTTTTATGCGGGTATGGGTGTGAATATGATGCGAGCTGTCCCAGCAGCAACGGTTACGATGATGACATACGAGCTTGTTATGAAGAATTTGCACCGAGCACAATCCGAAGGTCGACAAAGGAAGAATCTAGATGAAACGGCTATACACGAACCATAAACGATGTCGATGTTCAGATGATACAGTTCAGTCAGCAATTGCACGTGTTGTTAACGCAAATTCTTGCGTTGTGTATGTGAATTAGAAAAGGCGACCCCCGTTGTTGAAAGCGAGCAGAAGAAAAATAGCCATACAAGAATTGGCTTCATGGACCCGGGTGGATTGGCTTGGTCCAGATACGATACCCTTCTTTGTAGGTATAGACACAACCAAGTCATGATTGCAAATAGTAATCAAATACTATCTACCGAAGTCGATTTCGATGTGTTTTTTTAAACCCATCTAGTGATGAATTATACGAGGTGAAGATTACACCTCGCCCATTAATGATTTAGAATGTCCTTAGGTGGTATTCAACATCATCCAGCTCGCCTCCGACATCCGCACGATACCTAACAATATTAATTTGAATATGAGGTTAATATGCTATAGAGATTGGATTTGACCGATGCAGTGGTATTTATTTCAAGAACACTCGGTTCCTACGTCTCTTCGCACATTGAACGACCTCCTTTGGAATGGGACTAAATTTTGCTAACCATATTTCTCCCCTAGAACGACAGTTATTCGGAACAAGGCTACCATTATATGGTCAGAACGAAAGACCGCGTCCACATGAGTTGGGTTTATTCCGCCACCATAGCCCTCGGCCAAGATTACTACTCTCCAGTATTGGACGTCTACTCGGGTCTTTTCACTATCCACAATACTACCTAAGTCTCCCTACTCTCTACAGTATTCCCCTCGCTTATACACGCTGAGCCCTCTCGGTGATCTTCACCCACATGTGCTTCTGGAAGAACATGTTTCGGTTCGAAGTCTCCATTGGATTATGGGGGTCAACGAGCTGGAAGTCAAAATTCCGCAACAACTTGAATGAGGGCACCACAGTATTAGTACGTCTTTCGTGACGGATAGATTGGGACATAACCTAGGTTGTGTAAGAGTTACTTACCTCGACATAGGCTTTATTCATCTCCATAAACGCAACATTCTTCCCGCTACAACCAAACCGGCCGTACCCGAAGACAAGTTCGGTTGTGTTGGTCATCTCACGGTGTTTGTCGGGATCGATGTTGAGCCAGCGCTCAGGCCTGAATAACTCCGCATCGGGACCGTAGATCGCGGTCGAACGCTGTACGGATAGGAAACTGTGAGCGATACGAGTCCCCCCGGGGATGAATTTGCCATTGACTATGAAAAAGATAGTATTAGTCACCACGATTTGGAGGACGAACAAAAGATAACTTTCTCATTCATGACCGGGGCTAATTCCACAAGCTCGCCTTCCATGGCCGGGTAGGGGAAGGAGTGATATGTGCTTTATGTGGGAGAAATCGAGGCAAAGGGACACCAGAGTGTACTTACTCGTATCTCCCTCGGGTGGGACTTGCTTCATCGTAAGACCAGAAAACGGAATATTCATCCGAAGACCTTCATATATCACAGCCTTCACGATTCGCGGTCAGCACGAAAGACGATACATCCCTGTTCCAGTAGTATGGGCACATACCTGTAAGTATTCCAAGTTTTTGGCCTCATCTAACTTTATAGGCGACGAGATCCGGCCTTCTGCGATAGCAGTATCGATCTCCTCGCGCAGCCTAAAGTAGACCAACGGCGACGCCAACATACTCAGCATAGTCCCCCGAATGGCGGTAGCCGTGGTATCGCTACCGGCTATGATTTGGAAGAGGATCTCGGACTCGCACCGACGTTGTGAGACGCCGTGTCTCACGAACGATCCCTGATCTCCCATATCAGCATAAAGCCGGAGCTTCGAATGACAGAAGAATAGGGACGACCCTTACCAGCATATCCTTGCGGTCCTTGGCGTCAGGACCAAAGCGCTCGCTGGCGACTTCTCGGGCGACCCTAGTAAGGAGTCAGAAAGATGCCACCTCAAAGTAGCTGGGCTGTTCTGTCGACTTACGCTATCATTTTACCGGTACCCTTCTCGTCCGTCGGCTTCGGGCCAATCAAATTAAGTACGGGTTCGCTGAAGAAAACCCGCTCCAGCCAGGGGACGTCGGCGAGCGCTACCAATACGGGTACTTGAACTTCGGCACTTTCGATATAGCCGTACACGTCCGTGTCGGTGGTCAAGTAGCCGAAGGCACGCCCGTACGCGATCTTGGTGAGGGCGTCCAGCGTGAAGAAATTGATCCGGTGTGCGAAGTCCATGGGCCGCAGTTGGCGGTCGTCGGACAGGTACTTGCGCCGGATGAGCGCCATGAGACTGGCTAGCTGCTCGTCGATGTCGGCCTCGATGGTTGGGTTTTCCTTGCCCCCGTACCCGAACGACAGCTGGGCCTTCAACTTGTCGTGTTCGTCCGTGTCCATGGTGCTGAACAGCGAGGGCAGATACGGATCCATTCGCATCGCGTTGTACCAAGACGAGCGCCGGTACTTGGACCGGGCTCCGTTCATTCGCCGGATGAGGTCAGGGTCGTCCGTTATAAGATCATTGGGGCCGATGCGCACGAGAGAGCCGTACTTCTGGTTAAGTTTCCGGTAGTTGGCAGCTTGCTTGCCTGAGAAGGTTACCCAGCTCATATAAAGATAGGAGAAGGAGGCAATCCATGGTCCGTCGACGTGTCGAAGTCTATACCAAGCTAGGACACGAGAGTATACAAAGTATACGAATAGCAAGCCAGCTATAGAAGGAACTAGGATGGAAATAGAGAGGATGTCCATTAGTTCTAACGCCATGTTGAGCAGCAGACAAGTAGTTCAGACTCGCTCGGGGTCGGCCTCCCATCTTTCTGTATGTTATAGCCGGGTTTTAGCAGGTTTATATTGTTGCTTACTCACATTGCTAGAGCACATACGGCCACCATTAGATTCGAAGTGGATGGTGTGATAGAAACTAGTCTCCATGACTATCGGAAACACATCTTGAGTCGCATGCAGAACCTGCAATGAAACACAGGCTCCGCAAAGCCGGAGAGCATACAGACCAATCGAATATGAGTTGATTTCACCATCAACCCGTATATCATTCATTTCATTGGATAGCTACAGGTTAACCTCGCGAATCGTACCCGTCTGTGAAGAGGTTGCGTGGTCTAAGCTACTGGGAATGTCGTCGGATATAGTAATTGGGTAGAGACCACGCGCGTACGTATCTCAAACAAATGTATAAAAGAGGGGAAAGGGAACATCATGCCCCCTTTACATATATCCCAATATCTACAATCGATGAATTCATAGTTAAACTCATATTGACTAACTAGAATTTGGCCTAATTCCGGTAATGAATTTTCACCACTATCTTATAGACTGCCTCCAGTCTACAACCCTTCCAAGTACGGTTGACCTAGCCTATTAGGCATTACCAACTACTAAGAATCCAGCGATAACGGGTGCCAGCAGACTGTTACATAGGGCGAGACGTATCCGTGGAAACCTGTAGACCTAAGCTAATCAAGGGGATATATACTAATGGGGTGTTGTGGAAGACGAGGTTACACCTAAGCAAGCAAGCGTCCTATGTCACAAATGCCTTTTAAGCTTAATAACGCGCTTACTCACGCATCTATAAATACACACGTATAGGCAGCCATCGTGGGTATGCACTAGTTCGTCCTTAGATGCTCGTAGCGTCTTTAAGTCACTTCACGTGATGTCAGCGTCGATATCATACTAGTACGTGATTGAGTATCCCTATACGACGTCTTAGTGTGATGACCTAATGGTCTGGGTATGGTAAACCGGAGCTTATCGGGCACTCCTTTCGGATTTAACATGCATAAATAAGGTGATATATCATTGGTCGAGTGTCCATGCAGGTCCCACCCATCGTCTGCATGCTTGGAGTTAAAGAACGGCCTTAGAAGTCCAGTTCAAGATTTGAGATGGGATTTGCATGTTTGCGTCAACCAGTTTCTAGTGTCGTGGGACTATCAGCGCCTTGAAACCTTCTCAAAGTTCAGATATTTGTGAAAAAGACAAGGTGTTGCCAAAGATGGGCGGGCAAAAAGTCCAGCTGGACGTTGGATACAAAAGGGGGACATGCTCAACGCTTCTCTATGGCGTTTTTTTCGTGAAGCAACAACATCAAGCTTCCGACGCAGACGCAAATAAGGAAATAATTTCAACTTACTAGGTACCTAGAGAATCTCAACAACAATCTTTCACTATGGCATTGGTATCGAAGAACCCCTTCCAGCTCACCGGGCGCTACGCCGAGCGCAACAAGTGGGAGGTGATCAACGGCCCAGGCGACTCTCGTCCAACAGGGCAGCAGATCATTGAGGATGAAGGCCTTATCGGAGCCATGAGCGACAAGGTCGTCTTCATCACAGGCGTGTCTTCAGGCATGGGCCCTGAAACTGTCCGGGCTCTCGCATCAACGGGAGCTACCATCTTCGCAACAGCTCGAAACCTCGATAAAGCACGGGAAGCTCTCGGCCCCGCCCTCCTCGAGACAGGCCGCGTGCACCTCCTATTCATGGACCAGACGGACCTCTCGAGCGTTCGTGCCTGCGTCGATGAGTTCCGGCAGCGGTGTGGCGGCAAGCTGAACATCCTCATTAACAACGCCGGCGTCATGAAAACGCCCGAAGGTCGCACCAAGGACGGCTTCGAGCTGCAATTCGGAACAAACCACTTGTCTCACTTCCTCCTCTTCTACCTGCTCAAGGACCTGCTACTCGCCAGCTCGACGCCCGAGTTCCACTCGCGGGTCGTGAACGTTTCGTCTGTAGGCCATCGCCACGGCCCGGTGCGCTTCGATAATTTGAATTTTGAGGGCGAATATGATGGCTGGGCCGCATGTAAGTGAAGATAACTTGCCCACCGAGGTTCAACTTTGGATACGGACGGCTGACACCTCATTCTACAGACGGGCAATCGAAGACCGCCAACATATACAGTAAGCTTAAGCGTTTCTTATAGCTCTTTTTCCTCTCCCTCTCCCTCCCCCTTAAAGTAGGTAGGCATCATGCTGACCCCTGAGATAGTGGCAACTCAAATCGAGCGGCTCTATGGAGCGCAAGGCCTCCACGGGTTCAGTCTGAGTCCGGGCAGCTTCGCCAGTCCCAACCTACAGAAGTTCTGCCAGGACGAGCAGGCTGCAGCCGAGATAGACGAACGGATGTCGAGATATTTCACCAACGTCCAACAGGGGTGTGCAACGAGCGTCTACGCCGCTGTGTCGAAGGACCTGGAAGGTAAAGGAGGTCTGTACCTTGAGGGCGCGTCGGTGGCCGGACAGGTCACTGGTGACTATGACAGGGTCGAGTATGGGTACAATGAGTGGGCCTTTGATCGTGAGAAGGAGGAGAAGCTGTGGGAGGTCAGCAAGAAGTTAGTTGGTGTCGAGTAAAGACACTGGAATGCGAGTGTGCACAACCCGCAAACATAGAATTGGCTGGATCCATATAGAGCATCACATATATAGAATGTAGCTAGAAGCAATCAGACCGTCACTCTCTTTATACCCTTAGGTCAATATAAGCCGAGCCTCAATTGTCCAGCTGCTGACCATGCCCACGTGGGGGTCGTAGCTCGACCAACTGGGTATGGAAATGGAACACCTCTTAAGTCATATAAGGTATGTCTAGTATGACATTGCTTCATGCAGTATACTTGACGAATGCTTACATCTCAGCTAAGGTATTTACTTAATTGGGCCTGGAAGTGTTAGCTCACATGTACACATTTATATGGAACTGCATACGACAAAGGCCCCTCTTACTCGGCGACTCGACAATGTCGCCTCTCGGGTTTTATTTGCGTATCCTAGATATAGGTACGTTCTCTGCTCCGCGTGAAAACGGAGCCAATCTCGATCTCGCTCTCGCCAACGTAAAACAACAAAACCAAAGGTACAATTAAATCACATATCCAAACCGGTCCCGAAGCACTTCCAGAACCGCGCGACGCTCGCTGTCCAAAATTTCCCAGACAGAGCTCGAATCAAGCCATTGAAGAAAATCAGAAACAAGAGCCCTCCTCCTCTTCGCTAAAACCAATTGCAAGTTTCGTGACGGGTCGTTAAACAGTTAAACGACTGGCGTGTTAAAGAGCAACATTGGTTTTACTCCTACTACTACTACCACTACCGAGCACGTCGTCGACGAGGCCCTTCCAGATATCCGTGAGCGTGCCATGCTCCTGTTCCGATTGCGCTTCCTCGTGGGCGAACTTCAACTCAACGCCGTCGATGCCCATGCCCTCGACCTCGGTGAGCGCGGATGGGGAGACGAGCTCCGGGTTCGCGGCGACGATGCTGATCTGGGCCGGGGCGATGGGGCCGTCGGCGACGTCGGGGGTGTGGTGCGTCGCGGAATTGTCGGGGAGCAGGGGGACGCGGAGGTGCGCGAACGGGTCGTCGCGCGATCCGTCGAGCGAGGCGGAGCCCGGGAAGATAATCTGGTCCATGGTGGTGGTGTTGGCGAGGGCCGCTTTAGGCGCGCTCGTGGTGAAGGTTTGCATCAGGCGCATCGTGCGTGGTGGGGGGTGCGGGCGGTTGGATGACCGGGTGTAGAGATGACGGGGGTGCTGATGGCCGTTTTGTTAGTAGCTGCATGCAATAATATTCCATACCTATCCACAGCTCTACGTAGTTGGCCAGTCTTTTATTCAAGCTACAACAACAAAACTATAGCACGATAGAACTTGGCAAAAAGAAACATACATCCGGATCTATATTCCTCTCCTTGAGGAGCTCTGCATATTTCCTGGATAGAGGAGCGGTTGTGCTCTTGGTGCTTGTGAGAAGCGAACTCGACTGAGAAGCCGTAGCTGTGGTGGTAATGGAGCGGGCGAGCTTTGCAGCTGGACCTGTAAGGCGGGGACCGGCGGCCATGTTGTAGGACTTTGGTAGGTAAAACACTGTGAGATGCTATGACGATGATGGAGTTCTAAGGTTTGATAGAAGGTCCAATGGCTGGATACAAGTAGAAACAAGAAAAAGAACAAAGAGAGCGAGGGGATAATGGGATGATAGGAGGGTAGATATGGTACTATGTAGGTACCGAGTTGTTGAGGAGGGATCGGACGTCCGGGGTGAGGTGAGGTGAGCTGACAAGGGACTGATTTTAGGACCTGGTTTGTTTGCTGTCGTATGTAGGCATGCAAAGCTATGCAAGCTCCTTGAGGGGATGGGGGTGGATGGCTTGATCTGCTTCTTTATCTCGACCTTGATTCGTTCGAAGCGACACCTCCAACACGGAATTGAGCATTGGTGACTTCAAACGAGCGAGTCGGATATAAAGAGCCAAGAGCGGCAGATGGCTGCGTCGCCTTTCCCCTTTCAAGGAAGCTTTGCGTGGAGCTGCAGTAGTATATCCTTAAATCCATACACAGTTGATGCTAGGGATTGGTGTTGATCAGACGACCTCTTGTCACCTCTTCTTTTACTCTACTAGAGCCCTACACGTGTATCCTTCTACACTAAGCTTGGTGTACGATACAGGTACTGTACTTACACGACTTACACGACACATCCATGGATGAACGATATCTAATATTAGAGCAATTGGTCTCGTGCCAAGATTCATAGCTGTGGACTATCGCAATAGTGTTTGAAACGGCCAGAGCGGCCAAGATCGAATACCAAGTCGAACAGGTTACAGCTAGCATCTGCATCAGGATGGGACAATGGAGAAAGGATTCATGTAAGGAAATGTAAGGAAATCAGGGTAGTGGGTGACGATGAATGACCAGCATTTGGCAGATCGCTCAAGCGTCACATCCGTCCTTGTCGCGGGAGATAGAAACCAATAGGGTTCTAGAATCGGCTGCCTCACCGACAAGTCAATCGACTTGGTCCCTTGTCCACTCATCCGTTGAGAAGCGGAGCTACAGTGGATACTACAGTGGAGCTACAGTGGACATTACCGAGCATATCATTCCAGCATTACCCCAGACATCGATCCGTACCATCCCCGAGGATCGTCTAGCCGTAACAGGCTTAGCGGCTAGGTCAACAAAACTCCAGAGCGAATCATCCTTCTCCTATTTCAGTAATTCTGGGTAATTCTGGAACTCGCCCACATGGCTATCGGCTTGGCTTTGTTTCCCGAAAATCGATAGAACAACTTGTCCCTGAAGAAGAGAAAAGGGGTCCTTTATCGTTTTCTAAAAGCTTACATGCCATTTCTGGTCAAACAAAAATGACAATGCCATTTTGCTAGTTTCCTAGAATGGACATTGGAATAGGGGCTTCTGAATAAGGTTGCAAGATGAGGCGTGCTTTGTACCTGTTCGTCCCAGTGCAATGGTCGGAGTTTCTACCACTTCATCTAGATCGTCCAATGACTTCGAGGCTCGGTGATAAGCTTGCGCCTTAGGATTCTCGGACTTGCGCACGCTTATTCTTCTAAATGCCTCTAATCGCGCGTCGTACACCTAAACTAAAATACATACCTACATAACATGTTATTACAGGTAGGTATAGATTGCCTACCTAGGCTTTAACATTGGCCTCGGGAATAGCTGCTTATGAGTCATGTATCATTACGTCGATGTCCGATTACGCTTCCATCCAGATGTTGGTAGTTTGATTAAGCTATACCGGATTATAGAACCCGAGGATAACTATTATTTCCTCTTAAGTATCCGGTATGTAATTATACATTTAAAGCTCAAACCCATTAACAATGTCGGCATATCTTGTTCGATATAAGTGGCGCCCTGACTTACTCTCGGAGTAATTAAGCCAAGGCACGGGTGATGGCCAAGAAGTCTTGCTCACTATAATTAAGAACCAGCAGACCCTTCTAGTAACTTGCGTCCAGAACTATAGTTGCTTGGTGGAAATAGTTTCTTAATACCACGTACTCGTACTCAGAAAGATGCCAGAATATTACTCATGCAGCTTTCAGGTAGTAGCGCCACGCAATCATATCAGTAAGCAGATGTCTTACTAACGAATATTGTCAAGGAGGGCTTGCTGTGTGTCCCCGTCTAGATACCCGTGTTGGAGTTGGGTGGCTTTCTTCGCATGAAGATTTATACCACTGCCTAGGTAGGTAGGTTATTAAGGCAGGAAGTCCAGCCACCAAGGAAATAAAATAAAGACAAGTTTATGAAACATCAGTGAGTACCAAAAAAACTTGGAGCTAAGAGATAACTATCGTGAATAGTATTATAGGGGCATGTAAGACAGCTACGTACCTAGCCATGGATTATTTCCGGTGGGAAGATATACTACCTACTCCTTGGCGTACAATAAAGTCGACTGCATTCTCACATGTCGTGGATACATGATAGGGGAATTACTATCGTGTTATATCAAAAAGCTTACGGGTTTAATAAAGTGTCTTATTATGAGATGTCACCTGCCTGACCTACCCAGGACACTGCTTCAAGGCGACGTGCATACGAAAAGATATATATGGACTGTCTTATTCGTAACATGCAGATCATAGTCAACAAGCTCCAAGAACCACCAACAAGTGATATTTCGCTCTAGAAAGGAGGGTTAGGCGTTGGTCCATTCGTCCATCTTGCTTACTAGAACCTCCTACATTCACCCGTTTTACCCGCTCAGTCCCCATCTGATACAGGATACAGTCACGTCGGGCACCAGTCAGAGATAGTAGAACCATCATAACTCATAACATCTTCAAATGCAATTTGACCTATATTCTCTATGAGAGAACAGTGAATAATACCAATGCGTCTACCGTTATCTTAATGCTGTCATAAATCGTAACTCTCATGTCGTGGTATCGCTATCCCTAGTCCAATCGTCATTATATAACAAACAAACGAATAAATACGTCAATGCCTCCGATCATGTAACTTGGCATTATGCTTGACCTCCTTGGTCTTATTATACGCGGCCTGCATATTATTCGTCCAGTTCTTGTCGACCAACAAGTAGACGAAGAAGCTGATGGGCACAGCGACGCAGAAGTACTAGTATCGTGTTAGCCACCAAATGCTTCACCTGATACGGCTTTTTCCGTGAACACTTACTACCCAGATAGTCTGGGTTAACCCCGAGAGATCGGTCGACATGCTGAAGAAGCTCGACACGAAACTGAGCGGCGCGAAGATGACGGCCAAATAAGTAAGTCTTCCCAGGGTCTTGTTCTGCTCGATGGCGCGCCGGCTCTCCTCGATCGCCGTCACGGCCGTGGCGACGGCGGCGATGCGTTCCGTCCGCGACAGCAGGTCGTCGATATGGCCCGACACGATCTCGAAGTCCTTCTTCAAGTCGGCGACGCAGTCCCGGCGGCCGGAGCCGGATTCAACCTTCGGAAACAGTTTCGTGTGGGTGTCCGCCACCATGGCCTTGTAGATGGGGAGGCGGCGGCGCCACGTGTGCAGCTTCTTCAGCGACGTATTGAAGTTTATGGACTCCTGCTGGAGGTTGATCTTCTTGACCTGGAACCGCTCCGGGCTCTCGATCTCCCACTCGATCTGGCCGAGACGCGCGGTGATATAGCGGCTTAGTGTCAGCCACTGTAGCATGAGGGGTGTTAGCAATTGCTATTTGTAGATTCGCTGACTAGGTAAACTAAGCAGGGGGTTTGGCCACCCCAAGAGCAAACGCTTTTAGGAGAAAAATGATCAAAACTCGACTTCGGCGCGCTAAAAAGAGAAACGAACAACTCTCTGGGTTACTTACCTCCGCACATATGATCTCCAGGATTCGGAAAGCCATCGCGTTGGGGTTGTGCTGTATGGCGTCTATATCCTGCTGCGACGTCTGCCGAATCCAGAAGATCAAGTCCTCGAAGAGGCTAGTCCGAGGAGGTACTTCGAAGGATGTCTTGTTCGAGGGAGAAGGCGAATTTCTAAAAGGCCGGTATCCTTTCCAGAGGGGGAATCCCTCGGTTATCGACGGGTCGATGAGCAAGACCCCTAAATGGTAAGCAACGTGTATGCGACATATATGTAATGACTGAGAAGTTACTTACCAACAGCCTGCTGGGAATTGCTAGATCGCCTGATCCAAAACGACGCCTTGCTTCTAACAAGGGCAACCGTTGCTGATTCGTCGTCAAACAAGGACTCGTGCTCGTTGTCCTCGTCTAGTCGCCTAAGCACGTTGAATTTCCCCGCCTGCTTCAGTGCTTTATCGTAACTATCTCGGGTCGTAAAGTACCGTGGATGCATGTACATTAGACGGAAGTACGACCGGGATCGCGAAACGATGTCGAGATCGGGAAGTTCAACCCATGGATCTCGCGTGTTATACCACGTATAGTCATTGATGTGCTCTCGAAAGAAGAGGGGATCAATATCAAGCTTGTAACCCAGCTGCTCGATCACGTCGCGTGAGAGGTCTTCCACAACGTATAGTCGAGTGGCCTCTGGAACCGCGGGTTGGTCCAGATACTGTGCCAGATCATTGGGGCTATCAATGTCGTGCATATGTATAGCTGGCTGGCCTGAAATAAAGTCAATGGCCTTTATTTTGGTGCGCGTAGCTCTCTCCTTCCGAATCTCCTCCAGTTTGGGCGAGTCTCTAATAAGCTGCCATTTGGTAGGCGATGTTGTGACCTCCATCCATTCCGCAAGGTAGCGGAGATGAGGCCACTTTATCCATAATGGTCAGTAATTGTTTCTTCAGGTAAATAGTCATAAACGAAGATGGAGACATGACTAGCGAGCAACATTCTCAACAGGCTTAGCTAGGTTGATCAGGGGTACCTATGAGAGCCAAGAAAGGGCAGGAAAAGAACCCTTAATATTACATACACCCATAGACAAAGATTTTATATGTACAAGATATGGCATCTTAGACCTTTAAGTCCGTCAGTTATAAACCTGCTGAATCAGCGTATCTTTCAGGGAACACATACGCATCGCTCATCTCCGGGGTCTCCCACTGCTGGACATGTCTGCAGGGTGATTGTCCATATATATCCCCATTAAAGTAGTCATCGTAATCCTTTCCGAGTTTTCTATCCGGAATTAACAAATTGGGATCTATTTCATCTTGATCGTAGCTAGAAGAGTTTCTCTTTTCATCGTCGTTTATCGATTTTACATCCTGCTTAAACCAATGCATTATATTGGCCGACAGTATATGCAAATGGCGACCGCAGAACTCGCGGACGTGGATAATCTATACACGGGGAACGGAAGAGGAAATATTTAACATAAAATGCACGCTGGATGAGGGAGAGCAAAAAGGAAAAAAAATGCATAGAAGTGGGAGAAATGACTTGGGATATTCAGCTTGTCGCAGAGCCTGCCGTTATATTTGCTAAGCGGGTCTCTATCTGCGCCACATCATGGGCGAGGCTCTCGACGTTACATTGCATACGATAGGCGCTGCATGTATGGACCGAGGCTGAATCTTTTTACAGGAAGGGGGCTGGAAACTTCAAGGCGTACTAGGTATTTATTTCCAAACGACCCAGTTCATGAGGGGTATGGCTTGAGGATTATGCAGCGACCAGACACTTTTTTTTTCTTTCTTGTAATGGGACATGTCATATTTCCCCTAAATGAGCCACTCCCCCTAGTAGGCAATTTAATTACCTTACTCCATAAAAGCCTAGATTGCATGTAAACCTCCCTGCAGATGCACTGTACGCCCGGCTTGGTAAAGCGTAGGTGCTGTTTTGTTGCAACAAATAAAACATGTCGAATTCAATGGAATGGTATACTGTCCCCAATGCCCCTTAACGCCAAGTGCTGTAAACCTTCGTTTCCTAAGCCGACGACCTTCCATGCCCAAATGCTGCTGCCAACAATCAATCACGACAATCGTCGACAAACGTCGAAATACATACGACCTCCCTCCTAAGGAAGCCTTCGTCGCCTGTCGTTCCAGGTCTGTGTTATACCACAGGCAACGTAAAAAACACCATCATCTTTACCCTGCTAAGACTAATGATTGATCTCATTCAGTCCGTCTTCAGATGCTCGTTGCCTATACGTAACTCGTTGGCATACAGAATCATCGTAGCGGCAACATTAACCCAACGCCAAGTGTTGCCTCCTGCATCACCGTGCCGGAGTGTCCAACCTTCGTCACCGTCGCTGGCAGAAAAGTGCTGCAACAAGAGGCTTGTGTAGACGGCGATGAGTATTGAAGGTGAGAACCAAGAGAGAAAACCTAATAGGCGGTTTGCGTCGTCCGAGTCATCGAAAGAAGGCTCATTGATAAGAGCTGCGATACCTGACTCTCGCACTGCTGGAATGATACGAGTTGCGCAATAGAACACGATCAGTCGGTAAACTAGAGAGATCATCACGGAAGGCGCGATAGTCTGAAATGCCGCATAGAGAAAACTTAATGACGAGTATACGGCTGAAGGTAGGAAGTTGAATAGGTGGAGAAGAGTTGAGTAGCTTGCCATGATGATAGGCGGGAGGGGTGGGAATTCCGGTTGGTTGGCAGCTTGCTCCGCAGCGGCGGCTTGGGCCTCCGGTGATTGGACATAGTCTGTGAATATCTGGTAGACGCATAGAACGACGTAGGCGAATAGTAGAGACGACTCGACAGGATTTCCACGACCAGTACTAATTCCTATAGCCCCTAGGAAAATTGCAGAAGTGACGGTCACGCCGATAAGTATCGCATCAACATTGTTGATAGAGGGGAACAATGCGACCCGCCACAAGAAGTAGACGGAGCTGGCAATGATGGAAGCCGACAAGATTAGGAGAATGAGCTAGGACAAATTAGTACTCGATGAAAAAAATGTCTTAGAGCGACAGGTGGAAGAATACTTACGACCCAGGTGTCGCTTCTTCCTCTGTTCACGAGCTCCCGTGAGATCCAACCAGCAGCCTGGATGACCAACAGTGTGCAGAATCCTTCAGCAAGTTGGAAAACAGGACTAGAGTAACGTAGAGTCTTATCCCAACCACCGAGGGTGACTGATTCTACCAGACCACCATTGCCGAAAAACCAGTCAGTCCAGGTACTGTGTTTGTGAGTCCCGAGGCCGCCGATTGTTCTCGATACCCAGTCGGTGCTGTTGGCATCAACGGCAAAGTTGTGAAGAGACCATATTAGAAGCGTAGGAATCACAACCCATTGGGAGGTTTGAAGAAGCTTGGTAAATGCCCATCTTACACGCGAGTTCTCGGGGGTAGCTAGCTTAACGGAGCTGTAGAAAAGGTAGAAGAGGAATAGGGAAAGGCTGTAAGCCAGCCCACTATCGCGTCCGCCTACATCGAAGGAGACGGGTATAGACAGGACGATGATCAGCAAGAAGATGGAACTGGAGACGATGCGAAAGAACCACCACATGGGCGCGTTAGTGGTGGCTGCTGCCGCGCCGAGCTAGCGAGGCGTTCGGCCAGGACTGGCTATGATATTTGGTGGTAGTGTTTTTTTTTCGGATTCGGAGGATGCCGTACTTTTAAGTCGTCGAGAATTGTATCGATACCGATGGGATTCGATAGGATCGATGGAAGCGCGTCACGACGAGATGATAAAATCGGCTGGGGTCATCGGCGATAAGTTTATGAAGTTGTTAGAAAAATCGTCGCGTCGGGAAGAGGGGTTAAGTTTGTCTGTTCTTCGTCCTTCGTGCTTCCCTAAGCAAGATTTTAATTTTTGATCGAGGTGGCCCTAATAAGAACTAAGCTAACCTAAGAGTTTATTTCCTAGGCGAAGGTTTCCCACTTGACGGACTGATCCCTGGAAGCTGCCAGGTGGCTTATCGTTTATCTGCACGTGGCGGGTGCGCTGAACGCTCAATGTTGGATGGCGAACGCTGGATACTAGGTACCTCTAAACGATAGATTCGGTTTGTTTTACCATTTATGCTAACCTTGTTTTGTATTCTAAAGGAAGGGAATGGGTTCGTTGAATGAGAAAAAAAACAGATTAGGGAGCGTTAAAAACCTCACTGTGGTTAGCAATGAACAACTTTGAAGTTTTTTTCTTCTTCTTTTCACTTTAGATAGGTGGAAAAGGCATGTGCTACCAAGGAAGAAGGTCGCGTGTACATCATGCATGTACCCATTCACTCATCAGTTCAGGCAATGGTGCAAGGCACGGGTTGGGCTTGGCCTAAGATGGTGGAGTCCCCACTACAAGTTGGTAAGCTTTAGGAAACTCCAGCTGCTCTAGGTAACTTTAGGTAATCATTCACCGCCCTAGTCTGTCTAGCTCAGTGATCAGTCCAGCTGCCAGCTTTAGATAGCCAACCCTGGTCACAAACCCCTGCCCCTCCATCGTCATCATGTCTCTTTCGTCACACGATACTTTAAAATATGCTTTTCTACTGGGTATTCTCGACTAACTCGAACTCATATATCACTCCCTATTATATCAAGTTATTTCTCATAATTTGGTCTATAATAATTTTGGGATTAAGAAGACTTGCAAGTGAAAGATCGTGGGCAAGAAAATCTCATTGGACAACTCACCGACAAGAATCTATTTGCTTAAGTGCAGCATTAGCTTAGTAGTTACGTCCGGACCCATCTTTTCAATACTAAATATCCATTATCTATAAGATCTACTTACTTATGTAGCTTAAAGAGCTGAAGAATAACTATTGCACATGTGTCCATTAGCAGAGAATGATTTCACTGGATACATGTGCCCTTTTAGTTGCTTATTATGTCATTGTTCAACGTAATGCAAGTAGAGCGACGGTGGACCGTCATACTTTGATGTAAACACAAATTTTGGTTTCAATTTTGGGGAGATATTTCAATATCTAGAGACTTTTGGGAACAGGGGCTACACAATGGTCATGGTCAATGGGACTGAAATGGGGGAATAGCACATGGAACTTATGGCATAGCATCGTTTATAAATGCATATACTATTTGGAAATCATCGCCGCCCATGGGCCAACAAGTAGGTAACATAGCGGTTTCTCTAGTAATCCATTGCCATGTCCAGATCCCGTCATCTTACGCCTTACCGTAGCGCCGTTCCAGAAACCAAAGACATCAAGCAAATGGGTATCTCGCGTAAACTTAACAATGTCCCAACCCGAATCCATCTACTTTCAACTACCTAGCAGCCCTAGATATCCAGCAGAGCAGTCACTTCCGCGAGGCGGGGAAACATGGATTGTCGATTAGCCTCCTCGACAAGCATTTGCATCTCCTCCATCCATTTACCTCCCTCCAAGGATTTCAATCCCTGCTTGTGTTTCGGCGATAACTTCCCCACGGCCTCCACGAACGTATCGTCGTACTCTTTGGCATTCTGTCGGCAGGCAATGCCGACGCGAGAGTCCGTATCTAGAGTTGCCATGATCACCTCGCGCATTACCGTTAAAATATGTGCTCGGTTGCGAAAAGTGACGTTCTTGTCGATCATGGCGTTCATCCTCTTAAGGTGTTTTTGAAGCTTAATGGCCGTAGACTGTCCTATGGTATCTTGCCTTATTTCAGATTCTTTCTCATATTGGCCAGTCCATCCTAATTGGGTCTCGGCTCGATCTACAACCCACGTGAAATTACAAGATTGTTCCTTACGTCCCGGACCTTGATCTAAATCCATGTCATCAGGGTCGATGTCAGCCCCATCACTCGCATTGCCATCGTCATTATTAATAATTCCGTCATCCTCATCCTCGTCAGCATCATCGATTTGAATGGCAGTATGGTACGAATTTGTATTGCTATCTGAATCGGCAACGTTATTCGTAGGTGTGTTGTCGCTTGATTTTGAATGACGAGCTGTACTGGCGTTCCTGCATGTACCGTCTTCTCCAGATGCAGTGCATTGTTGGGTAGAATGTTGTCGGGGGGTAGGTTGTGGGGGAACGGGTATATAAGGGGCTTGCTGTATATGGGACATGGCAGGTGTTACACTTGGGTTTGGCTGAACTGGAAATCCGGACTGGCCCTGGCACGTGCCTGTGGCATGAGGATGGGGAGGTTGCGCAGGTTGCGGGGGAATCCCCATCCCAGGTGATAGTTGAGGTGGAGGATAAGGAGGATACATGTTTGGTGCCGGTGAACCATACATTGGGCCCGGTATAACCTGATGAGGCTGACCTGCGGTTGTCGGGGGATAAACGTAATATACGACTGTGTGTGGTGCTTGCTGTGGTATTGGCGGTTGTTGCGGTCCATATCCAGGCGCCATACCAGGCATGAGTTGCTGGTTCGGCTGTTGATTTTGTTGGTTGTGTGTCCCATATGGATGATTCTGTAGTGGACCAGGTTGTGGTGCCAGTAAACTCGGATCCTGTGGCCTCACGGGCGTCCAGGAACTTGGATTTTGTATCCTCTCCTCGTTCAATCGGCGGATAGCTTTGGATATCTCCTCATCGCGCATCGCAGCTTTTACCAGGAGATGAATGAACTCCTTGGGCGAACTCTTATAAGGATCCATGTCCCCTAAAATGTTGTAGTAAAACTTTCGTCTCTCATCTTCCTCCTTCGCTACTCGAGAAGCATAGTGCTTCGACGTCGAGGCCGTGGTGGCTGTGGAATTGAAGCCATTGCGCTGATTCTGGTTCCCGGATTGTCCATTGACAGGAGATTTACGACTAACAGTCTTATTTTGGGGCCCGGTATACGCAGGGACATACTCCAGAGGAAATTTCAGCTACAAGGGCACTGTTAGCAAGAGTGTTAGTAGGCAAGACAGTAATGTAGGGCTCTGACCTTCTGCCCTGGCCGCAATCTTCGCGCCGGTCGTATCGGACGTGGGGTTGATGCTGGTGCTGGTTGTACAGGTGGTTGTGTCCCAGTAGGAGCTGTTGAGGGCGTTGAGGATGTATTCGTCGAGCTTGTTGCTTGCGCTGGTATTGTCGAGTTGGTGGCTTCCGTTGTGGGTGTCGTCGCTTGTGCTGTTTCAGGTGCTGATGCTGGCGCTGGAGGCGCTGGAGGCTCTTGTACTTGAGTTTTTTGGGCTCCCGAGTTAGAGGCCATAGTAACCCTCCACCTGTGGGTGGCCATGCCTCCCCTATAGTGTTGTGAAGGCAGATATAACAGAAGAATTCCTGGAAAGATGAAGTCTACAATGCATAGTAAACATATAGTTGACCTAGACAGCTCCCCGTGCGGTGCATGCACCAGGTAACTTAGAAGTAGCTCCGTCCTGTCCGTCCCAACACAGCCACTTGAAGCCACATGTGGCTGCACAAGACATTTTGTTAAAGGTCGTCTATCATGATCTCGTCGATCTTCTGCTTCGTTTGAAGGTTACTTCAATATTGATGTCTATCTGAACCGGCCTCAATAGAAAAGAAAAGCATACGCGGATGGTGCCTTGGACATTATTATACACCTCTTAAAACACATTGATCCTTTTCCGAATACTACTCCAAGTTCGGATTACCAAGGAAGTTAAACTCATTGCAGTCCAGCAAAATTTGGGCATCCATGTCATCTATATCTATCTGAATCGAAATGCTAATGCTAAACCGAAGGCAAGGAGGGGATTTCCCATCAAAAAGATGACTGTATGCTATTAGGTATACAAGCGCTCGGCAGTAATGGGAGCGTGGATCCCAGTTCGTAATCTGAGAGTTCTGAATCGTACCTCATATGGGTTTCGCTATGAATTAAAAGATAATTCAAACCCACAACCTGCAACCCAAGATTGAAACGGGTTCAAACAGATAAGTGATACAAGTCCAGGCGCCAGCATGCTAAAACTCCGAATCAAGCTCCCCGATGTCCTAATGAGCCAAGTGTCTGCTCCAAAACCATACACCCTTGTATATGCCATGCTATACCCAGAAAGCTCAGTTCGGTACGGCTGCTCCTTTCTTCAACGCCCATTCCACAGCCTCCATGACATTCTTAACAGTGTGGTAAGGCTGGTGCTTGGGAACAGTACCGGCGACGTGGACGCCCGTCTCGACTAGGATGCTCCTCCACTCGATCCCGTGCCGAGATTGAAACGAGTTCGCGCCGGCGATGTCGCTCTCGGGGTTATCGCCAATCATGTAAACCGTGCCGATCTCTCGGGAAGGGTCTAGGATTTTGCCGTATTCCCGTAGGACCCGCTCGGCGTACACGTACGTGGCCTCGGTCGGCTTTCCGAATCTCGTGTAGTCCAGGTCCGTCCCCGTCTTGGCTCTCCAGATCGCTTCTAAGGCCTCTTTGAAAGCGCCTTGGGCGAGCCGCGGTTGCTCGTGCTCTGTGCACCACTCAAAATCCGGGTTGCAGAAAAACAGCTTTGGCTGTCCGTCTTGTAAGTATCCCTTGTTCGGTAACGAGACGTCGCCGTTCTTCGGCGACACTGTCCCGAGCATGCCGCCGCGGGATAGGAGGAGATCCAGGACGACCTGGAGATCGAGATACCAATCCCGTGGCGAGCTCCAGCACAGGATAGCAGAGATAGGTGTCGTGAGCAGTTCTGGGCGCTCGCTGCCGTGCTCGTCGTGATGCGCTCTTGTTATCTCGGGAAAGGCGTGGGTGTGTTTGCAAGTCGTCATGATGTCGGACGACGTGACGACATTCTTGAAGCCGTACGCGTGCGCTACTCCTCGGATCTGATGGCCGTGACCGCCAAGGACCAGGATCGTTTTGTCACCATATTCCGGGACAAGGTCGAAGTAAGGGGTGTGTGATTGTACAAATTGCTTGGGGCTGAATATGAGGCCAAGCCGCTGTCCGACCCTCTCGACGTGCGCTTCCTCCGTGTGTCCGCCACCGTTCGTCAGGAACATGAATGGAACGTTCTTGCGCTGTAGCAACTCAATAGCTTCACTGGCTCCTGGAAGAGGCTTCTTGCCCTTGACGAGCACGCCGTCGATGTCGAACGCAAACGCGACGGAGCGTTCTTTGACAGGAGCCATGACTTCCTTATTTTTTTCCTCTTTTTTTTTTCTGTTTTGTGTCTAAGTTTTTAGAAGCTGGCCCTAATCTTTAGATATTACTGCTGACAGCCCAGATCACTAGGGTAGGAAAATGTTGCATAGACAGTCCAGCGGCTTATTTTGAGGATTATAGTTTTCGGTTGGCGCCGTAACGGATTTCGCAAGCTTTTAGAGACTTTCTATAAGCTGCCAGGAAATCAATGTCCTCAGGCTCCAAGGTTTGCCTCCGAGCTTATTATGCGCCTTTTCTCTAGGAGGCACCGGATAGTGACAATGGGTAGCAGCCTGAAACCTAAGGTCACTTACCGAACACTGAATCAGAAGCAGAGCAGAGATAAGCCTGGAGATGTAGACGTGAATGTAGGCCAAGTCGCGGGTCCCAGGTTCCTTAAGATGGTAAAACATTTATAAGGGGGGTTCATGTAGCCATCCATCCACCCACGTATTACAGTGTCGTTTGCCTACATACTTTGTTGATAAGGACTATCCCGTCCCTTGCGCGGGATGATTAATAATTTATATCAGCTTGACAAACATAATCAGGAGATAGACTTCGCGACTAGTTACAATATAAGTAAGTTTATTGAAAATGCGATGATATGTGGCTTGCTTATCCGCGAAGAGCTCGTGCAGGGCTAGCTCGCCCCTTTACCATTAGCGAGTTAAACCAGAGCTTCTTATAGAACATACGTATGTATACTGAACCTGAGTAATACACAAAGTATCCCAAAATATTCGTTGGCAAATGGAAGAGAATAATGCGTCGATGACCAACTGTCATGCTTCGATATTTATTCGGGAATCCAGCAAGAAGCCATCATGTGTCGTCCCCGATGTTGCGCAAAGTGTTCGAGCTCTATGTGTAGCTCGTCTTCCCTTATCAATCGCAACCTCTCAAACACGTTCTCGCACATGCTTTGATGGTACAAGAGAGCTAAGTGGGGACCTCAAGCTGCACCCGAACCACATACAAATCTCAATTGAACTACGAGTGCCGGGATCAACGTTTACCCATTGCTTTGCCACCATAGGGTGCGTACCTAAGTAGGTACCTGGGGTAGGCAGTACCAAGAATGTTTAGAGTTCCAAGTTGCGTTGCCAGTCTTGGACCATTGCCTTCCACTGTTATACATTCAGCGCTTTCCAGTGCAATAAGGTTAGTGACTTTCCACTTTCCTAATCGAGGAAATATTCCCCAGGCGAACCAATCAAAAGGAAAGTGACCCTTTGTGCTAGTCCCGAGACTGTGTAACCTTTAGTTCGGAGCGTTCATGCAAAATAAACCCGCTTCGTCGGGCCTATCCATCTATGAAGCAATTAGAATTTGACTATTTATAATGATTATGACGAGAAAGAGGTCCATATCAGTTCATTGGGTAATAAATCATCGTATTGAGAGTAGGGAAGTGAGCTATCTAAGTCCACTGTCTTCATATATCGAGCCTCAATGAGATAGAGACTAATTAATCCATCGCAGATGTCTGTTGGCCATCTAGATATGGCAGCGCCGACCATATCTAGATGAACCCAACCACCGCCTCCTCTTCCCGAAGTGATTTTCCTCATTTTTTCAATATTTTTTTTGTCCACAGCAACATCCGAACGGACCATGATCCTCCGGGGAAAGGCCCCTGATGCCTGATAAAAACATTAAATCCTCAACGCCAAACCTCGTCGCAAGGTAACCACCCCGATGCCTGTACCATAGACACCTAGACTCCCTCGGAATCCTTCCCAATACAATCGAAACTGACAGAAACAAACCCGAAGATATCGGCAAACTGCAGTAAAGAGGCTCGTGATCTTGGGCATTATCTTTTTCTAGTATGATTCATGTAATCTGATCCCGTGACCCCAGTCGTGATTCGCGATATCATCGAAAGAGGGGTATCCTGTCTAAGACTTTTAGGCCGTTCATTCTATGTGACATTTTTAATACAAGTTCTGGTGGCGAGTACAAGGATTATATCCGAATAGGCGGAAGGAAAAAAGCTAGAAAAATAAAGCAGAACATGTTGCCTCAAGGTCAAGGCCATCCACCTGATGTTGGAAGAGGATATACACCCTTAGTCGTGGAGCTAACGACGCTCGCCGAAAACAGCTTTAGCCTGGTCAGACTCCTGTACTACAGGCCGATGGGGGAATTGGCGAGATGGAGCATAGGACTGTTGGCGTCGATGATAGGGAGATGTCTGCTCATACGCTGGCGCTTGACGGGCACCATTGGCATGTTCGTATTCAATGGAAGGAATTTGGGCAATACTGGAATGAGGAGCCGTTGGTGTACTTTGATGGCGCATATGCCTGTAACCAGAATACGAGGAAGCGTGTCCTGATTGTGGAGACTGCCAGGGTGGCTGATAATGACCGGCGTTTCGGTGGTTTGGTCCTGAAGAGCTATCGTAATAGCTAGACGGTGGATGCGAGGCGTGGGAGGTATGAGAATGTCTTAAAGACATGGGGACTCTATCGTAGGCTGTTGCCTCCGAGAACTGGCTCGATGGCATGGACGGATAGTCTAGAGGCGAACGAAAGGTGAAATTATGTTGGTTGTCGACCTCCGAAAAAGAGCGTTGATGGGAGGCACGTCGACCATTGAGATATTCACGGGAGGTGCTGGAGTCTAGTGTTGGAACCGTTGGTTGGCCTCCATTTCGCTGAGAAGCCGTCGCGGACCAATGGTCATAACTAGAATTGGCAATATCGGCATCTTCTCGACTATAGTACGACTCCTCGGCGTGACTTTCTTGGATATTATTGAAGGCAGGACGGTGGGGAATAGAGTACGTGTCTCGTAACGGCGCTAGGGCAGGTCGGTCAGGGTGTCGAAGATTCATACGCGCATGGCGATCGCCGTATGGAGGAGCGTCGGACACTCGCTGGCGTTTCTCAACAGGAGAAGTATGCATAGCATCTTCGTTTCTCCAATATGCCGGCTGGCTCACGCGACGAGTCATAGGTTGAGCTTCAGGTCGAAGGGAAACACCAACCGACTGTGATCGCTTGTGAGTATGACTCCCGCCGCTAGTCTTTCGCTTCAACATAGTCTTTGGCCGCGCATCATTCGATGCGTCCATAGAGATATTTGGGAGGATTTCTATGTCGGGAATCTGGGTCATGTTAGTTTCCTCCATCTCTCGCTTCAAGCGAGCAACAATCTCCTCGATCTCGGCCGTGCTGTACCCATCGCCACACTTGGTTCGCAACCAGTCGGGGACAGCAGTACCGTTCAGGGTCGCGCTGTCGAGTGTACCGACGTCATCATCGTCCTCACTGTCGTCGCGGTAGGATCGCTTCCTATTAGATTTCTCCTGCACGCGATTTTGTTCGCGCTTTCTCATTGATAACGACCACTCCTGAACGATCCCGGGTTGTCCAGTCCGCTTGTTCTCGTCGCTCCAGTCCTGGACACGACGAATCTGCTTCTGAACTAGGTCACACTGAACCCTAGCCCACTCCTGCGCATTGCGGTAGCGACTACGCTGATAGTGCTTCCGACAGAAGTGAACCCAGACATGCGAAGGTATGTTCCGAGTACATGTCTTGTTACGGCCGAAAATGTGCGAGATGGCTTTGCGTAGTTGAGAGCCCGTGTCGCAGTTTGGCTTATACATGCAAACAACGATGCCGTCCTGGGAAGGTTGTTCGGCCAGAGCTGGAGATGGCGACATTGCGGTCATGGCGTAGCCCAACCGATGCTCAACACGATGAGAAGGAGATGAGGTGGGCTGGATTGTGTTGGCAAAAGAGGGGAAACCCCGGTTGATGGTGTCTGTAGCAGCGAAATCAGGTGCTGAAATGGCTCTCTTGTGTGCTTTGGTGAAGTCAAGGGGAACGAGATGACTGAGATCAGGTCTGATATCCTTGGTGCTAAAATTGTGTCAGCGGATTTTTTTTTTCAAGGCTTTTCTATTTGGAACGAAGTCAAAGGTGAATATCGGGTAGTTAGCTTTTATAGGAGGAAATGCCCAAAGAATGAATTAGAAAAGCCTTGGGAAATTGAGAGAAAATTGAGTGAGTGCGGCTCTTGGACGTACAATCACGTTGGGGCCAAAGACTTTTCTGTCAGTATGAGTGAAATAGGCAACAGAATTTCTTCTGTATTGGATGAACAGAAGAAGATGATAGGTTTCAATGAGTTTGGTTGAGTATTGGGCGTAAGTTGTGAGATCTTGAAAAGTGACTAGCCAAGTACACAAGCACAGTACTCTGTACAGTGAACTCTGGATTTTGTCAAGATTGAAGAACGACGCTTGCCGATTTCCGGTCTAGGCAATTGCCCAGCAGGATCGTTGGAAGATGATAGGCCAATGGAATGGATTGAATGCAGGAACAGGTACTCACATGATGGGGTCTGGTCTCTTAATCTGATCTAAACTTTGAGTACCCCTGGACATTAGCATGGCATCAGATGGGGAACTGGTCCTTAGGAGATCCGTGACTAAGGGTTCCCCGTTGATTGTGGTCACGGGCGGGGATATCAATCCTTCTTTTGTTGTTCTTCGACGTGACTCCGATGACCAGATCTTCGGGACTGCGAGTTCGGCGCACTCGAACTGGGTCTCCAGAGAAGGCGTGTCCGGGATGGTGTTGATAGATTGGACGCCTCCAACGGTTGACATCGAGGAGATCCTCGAGTGTGACAATGAGGTAGAGGAAGAAGCGTAGGAAGATAAGCTGCTGTGACTATCGGAGAATTTGTGCCTTGGCGATTTGGGACTGGTAGATTCTGCGGGTGAAGTGCTGTTTGAAACTTGTCGACCTGGAACCTGGGTTGACTTGGTGTCGAGTGTGAGTGGAAGAGCGTATCCGTTAGCGTCCCATGGCGTCCTACTCCGACTTGGTATCTTTGTATCGCTCGTTCTTCTAGACGGAGTCTTCTCATTGGACGAAATCTCTGATATTGAAGAACATGTCGTCGTTCCTTCCGTCCTTGAGCATGTCGATGTGGAGCCGATTACATGATCCACCATACTCCGTACCTCTGTACCCATCACTCCTTCTTTCCCCAACGAAGTCGAGTTTAACAGTGACGTGACATCCATGTTGCCAGCAAATTCAAAAATGTCAGGCAAAAGCCTTGTTCTTTGTTTAATTCAAAACTTTTCTGTGAAAAGTGAGAGTGGACGAGTTGTCCCACTAAAGTTCCGATGACAGGTTAGAAAAAATATCTTCGAACCTGGTCTGTGTTATCAGTTGAGATCTCAGAGGCGGATCTGATAACTTTCGTAGTCTAGGCCGTTTTGTGCCTGTTATTGGTCTGAGCTCCTTATATCGTGGTGAGATATGGCGGATCTAGAGGAGTTGAAGCTCGCCAATCCAATTCACTCTCCACAAACGTGTTCCCCTCGGTATCCGGAGAAATAAGACGAGTCCAACTCTGCTCGTCGCTGAGGATTCCCCACGAAAGTAATGTCTCCTAGTCAATATTGATGGTTCGCCGTTCTCGTTCTCATTCTCATTTTCTGAGTGTATCCTGCACTGCTTGTGGCTTTCGAAAGCCTGGTAGCTGGTAATTCGATCGTACGATAAGCGGCAACCTTGCTTAATAGGAAACGGTATCCTCTCATCCAAAGCCTTTGAATCGACCAAGCGGCAGGTAAGTATTCTCCAGGCCAACCTCACCCTCCTTGTTCGTAGTCCAATCGTAGTGGCCCACTAGGAGCGCGCAGTATGGATGCTGTTGTGCTAGATGGACGTTGACGTTGATTTTTCTTATTCGTATAACGCTAGAGTGGTTTCCTTTTCCTTTCTAATCCGAACATAGAGAGAGCGCCCACGACGAGGTCACGAGCCAGCTTCACCCTACCGATACAATCGCAGCAAGACGAGAACAGAGAATCAGGAGGAGTGTAAGATAGTCAGTGTATAATGTGGGGGATCCCAAGTTTTTGTTGTCTCGAGAAAGACCAGGGGGGTCTAAGAAGAATATTAGGGTTATCAACGTTGATCGACGCTAAGGGAAACTGATGGGCGACAGAAGATTGAAACGATCGATGTAACTATGTGCTTGAAGACTGAAAAGAGACGGGTGTTGCCTGCTTGCGCGGCCGCTAGGCAGAGTATACTCCTAACCAGCTGGGTCGGGTTTTGGGGGAACCGAAGGAAAGTCGATAGAGGCACACGGGACCCCCTTGCTATTTGACGGGGTTTGTCTGAAACACCAAGCTAGTCGTAGATCTGGTATGCTCTCTACAGCTGAGGATGATAAAAGTAGCTAGGCGAAGAGTTTGCACGCTGAGTCGCTTAGGAATTCCTAAGGCTTAAGATGGCAGGTTGCCTATGAAGGAGAGTGGTTGCTTCCGTAGTGTCAGGAACGAGACGGTAACAGGTGCTGTCAAGGGGGACGCAGGGGAACTGGATAGGGACACAAAAAGCGAAGATAAGACGATGTCCAACGGGACGGGATGGCTATTCCAAGAACAGAAGAGTAAGGCTATGTCAATGTTGCATAGACATAAAGGGTCTAGATACAACAACGGCTGCTTGGGAGGAACTTGGGGAAAAGTGTAACTTGGGGTATCCGAAAAGAAACAGATCCTCGTTTCCGAGTTTGAGACCAAATTCTTTAGAGGACTAAAACAAAAGTTTGTTCAGAGTCCGATCCGGAGACCGACTAGAAGTTGTTTGATAGTGCCAGGTAGGTGTCAATGGATATATGAGCTGGGGGAGAAGACATCCGGCATGGCTCATAGACGGCCATTATAGGACGAAAGGGTAATATTCTAGAGCAGAGTTACCGCCTATAGAAGCATGTGTGGATACTTCACATTATGCATTGCTCCGCGGGCTAGTAAGTGTGTTTGGCGTACCCTGTAGGCGGGTAGGTAGGTATATCATTGATGATATCGGAATGGGTTGGGTAGGGATTTCTTTAGTGTTATACGTAATGTTGCTAGATGGAGGTGTATGCGATTTCTCGGACGAATGAGAAAACGGACCGAACCATTCTCGTTGTCAGGGATAACGTCTGCCCTTTCCTAAGAGCCGTATAAGCCGTCAAGCCGTATATACCTACTAATCTGCCAACTTGTGTAATGAGTATAAGGAGCTGGGGCTCGCGCGATAGCAGAATGTACGGCAAGAAGGTCCCTAGGCGTTGGAAACGAGGAACTCACCCGTGTCTGTGTCAGATCGACGTGTGGTAGATCATGGCGTTAGACGTTCCATCTGAATAGTCCCTTCGTGATCTTCACAGGGTATAGGTATGGCCTGACTAGGGCACTCCCGCGTTCCATGCCGGATTAGTAATTTACCTAGATAGGTATTCAACACTGGATAAGGTCGAGTGGGTGACGGTAAAAAGAATCCACGCCCACGACAGGGGGCGGGGCGGTGACAGTATAAAACCTGTCCAAGTGCTAGAATTCGGAGAAAATTATAGCAGTTCTGCTAACCGTTTTCGGTTATTGAAAGCCCAATCGAACGTCCATCATTAGAAAAAGACCATGCCATACCTACATATGGAACGACTAGCTTTTAGAAGGTGTGAGTCTGACCAGAGACGCTAGATATTACAACATCCATTCTCAGTCTGTCGTTGTCAGGGGTTGCGACGTTTACATTGTATTAGGTATGTACGGCTCCCCACACTTGAGGCTCCAAAGTGTGGCTAAAGATTAATACAAGGCGGTGATGTTATGGCATCGAGAGGGTGGGGCGGCCTTCCAGGGTTGCCTCCTGTACTTACATATGTCAAGCTGCTCTCCAGGCAGATCTAACCGAGCTGATAGACGATGTACGTGTGGCATCATGGGAGTGAATAGCAAGCTGTCCATGCCGTCCATGCAAGTCTAAAGTCGAGACGATCTACAAGCTGAGACCCAGCGGTGGGTCTGAAACTCTTATGCGGTGTTTTGATGCCGAAAGGTTGCTGGACGCTAAGGCTAGAGCTGCGATCTGTGACCGGATTAGCACCAGACCGGTACAGGAGATTATATGCAGCTAACCCCGTCGGGATGTACCGAGCCTGACAGGGCGAAACCTCCTGTTGCTGCTACGGTGGTCGCATGTTGGGGACCGCGGAGGCGTAGCACGGCGACCTTTTCTCGTCCAGGTACTACTGCGGCGCCGTACAAGCTGCGGTTGTGCGAGGACCAGAATGCCATTCCTACCTACCTAGTTAGGTGTCTTTTCAATCCTTTAGAATCACCGCGAGACGGCAAGGTTTAAGCTAAGTATCAGGAAAAGGGTGGCCGCATGCGCAACGAGCAACGAGCAACGAGTAACTCGTATTCCCTAAAAGACGGCCTCGAATTTGATGTGACACGCCGCTGGCTTCGTCCGATTACAATTGATGGACGAAAGGTTTTGACAAGCAGGCCCTAGACCCCTAGGCACTTACAGGGGGTATGTATGACCTGGCATCTTTGATGATTCCCCATGATCATGATGTTGCGTTGGCCAGCAGGAATTTCGGGTAGGGCTCTTTCATGCTCCCATCTACTATCCGATCGATATGGAGGACAAGGAGCGTGGAGGAACGGGTAGGGGCAATTGAGATATTTTGTCCGTTCTGATGACGAGTCAAGATCGCTGTGCAGGGTGGTCAGGGTGGGTGGGTGGCTGATCTGGGGGTGGTTGAATGGTGGGATGCGATTGGCTCATGACAACTCGAGTTGACTGTTTCAACTTAGGTTCACTATCGTACGCAGCAAACGTACTCACTTCTGCTTGGGAAAAGGGAAAGAGCTGAATTCGAGCCAAATTTCTGGGTCGAAACTTGAATTCGAGACTTGTGACTTGTTTGAGGGTTGGGTAAAAGACCCTTTAAGGTCAGAGGGCTGAATCGTAATAGGGGACGAAGAGGCGCTAAGACTATTGAAGAAGGACCCTTGGCTGTTTCAGCCCTGGTAGAGTCTTTGGTCGCCCCTTCGATCGCCCCTCTTGGCAAACTGTCCATTTACACTATTCAAAAACTTTGCTAGAAATAGCAGCACGTGCGCTGTCGATCATTGAAATCTGCAATCTACGATCTACGTACATACATACAATAGCATGTTTGTATAGGTATATAAGAAAAAGAGGAAACGTCTCTTCACCTAACTAACTATTGTTATAATAGGAGTGGCCCAGAAAATGAACAAGGTAGGAATTTCATCTTGTGGGATGATCCTCCATGGAGCCCTGGTGATACCCTTGGCGCCATTCGGCTTTCAGGCTTTACACAGTACACGGTATTCCTCATCGTCTCATCCGGATCTGTCGATGGATTTCTGATTCCCTCCTACTACTCAAAATGGAAAACAAGCAAGCAAGCAAAGCTGTCATCCGTTCTACTGTTGTAAATCTTCATTCCCCCATTTAAACATTTACTTCGTCAATGGATGGGTCAGCCCCTTGTGCGGATCTCAAACATCTCCACTGCGATCAGAAAAGACGCGAAAGCCCGAATTGAGATGCTACCGTTTCACCTTGTGCCCGACTGTCGAATACAACTATATACCATGTAGTATTAGGTAAACTGTGCGGTTACGTCTGTTTCTTATTCACAGACAGTTGTTGCGCTTAGGTTTTGAGTTCACGTCCGATACTAACTTCCTGTCTATGAAAGATGTCTGACTCCTTGCCTAATACCGTGCATACTAAGCATAAGCAGAGCCTCGATCATATAAGCTTAAAGTTGGATGCAACATCGTAAGCCAAGGAGGCAACCTTATCTTTAACACAACCCCAGTCCCGGAGCGGTAATTGATGCGATCGTCTGAGCGTAGATTCGATCAGGAATGGGAATCCGGCACAGCCTCTTACCTAAACCCTAAACGCCGTGTTTTTGCGAGCATCTGCCCTCGAAACATGTGATCTGCTTAAGCTAATAGACATGTCCATCCTTAGTGGCATCGTCTATTCATCTTAATCTTACGGGCCGGAGGAACCGAAGCAGAACGACTTCGCGTTCAAAGAACAAGTTCTCTTGGCAGTTTCAGCGTACCAACTTAAGTAGATAGGCATGAACTAACAATGCCTTCTAACTTATCACATGAGCTTTGGCGTTGAACTTAACAATGGATCTACGCGTATGCAATAGCTTGAACAAGACCCTCGACCTTCTGCTAGCACACGCGACGCCGACGTAGAACAGAAAATCGGTATGGTGGGAAGCCCACTTCGAATGAGAAGTCCATCGAATGCAGCTCTCCTGCCTACATAGTGGGAAAATTCTCCGATGTGCCCGTGATTGGACGGACCGTCTGACGACGGCGACAACAGTAGCCTATGCGGTCCGAGTGAAGGCCAGCGCTCCAGCCACGTCATCCGATGTTTGATCTCGCCGGGCTCGAGCTGCTGTGAGCTCCATGAAAGATAGATATTGTGACACGTTGTCTTCCTCCGCCTACCGAGATAGACCGGAGCTCATATGTGCGGTTAGCTGCTTTGAATTATCCAGCCATATGGAAATGTGTAGGTAATATATAGCTAATGGATAGCTCTTCAACGCCAGCTATCAAGGTCCTAATTACCTAGTAGCTGTACGGATATGAGATTGGAGATGGGGAGCCTGAAATCGCGCCTTGTTCTGCAGCCACCCTCTTCGGAGATTTCGTGGCACACGTTGCTGGTTGGCTACAGACGAATTTTGACCGGCTTTTGAGCTGTGTATCCACCCCTTGACCGAATTGACCGGGGAGATCTACTACGTAGCCATAAAGCAACTAACCGGTGGGTGACAGATCAAAGACTCTCCCCTCCTCGCCTCGTGGTTGACAAACGACTCGCAGCATTTCTGACGCAGTTTGCCGCATTGGCGGGTATCGAGTCGGCACGACATATTTTACATTCCGTAAACATGACTCGGCTAAGCGGAGATACACATGGTCGATTCAATGCGAGATTTCCCCCAAAATCATGATACGGTTGTGTCAGAATAACGTGAGACTTGATAATTCAATTAATTGTGTAAAGAAAATTCTATCTTCTTCATCTAGGAGATTCTGGCCAAGACTAACTGCAAAATCTTCAATGGTCTCCATATCGTGTCTCAAAGGAGATCACGTGAAAACCAGAGATTTGAAGGCATCAAGGCATCAAAACACACGGACCACCTGATAACACAAAAATTATGAAATTGTATCTGACAGTTGAAGCCAATATATCGATGCTGAGCGTACATAGAGTGGAAAATAAGCACCTGCCCCTGATCCTGCCCCGGTTTTTCCTCGAAGTCCCGCTGACAAATTCGTCCGCCTTCGTCCGTCCGTCAGTTCGGCCGAATTTTCTTGGCATCAACCTCAAGGTATCCCCCTTGAGTAGACCAACAATAGAATATCGATTTTAATGATACCGAATTATTGATTTTGCTAGTTCTCTTCATTGTTTGTGCTGCTAAATCTTGCGCTCGTGTATACCTAGGTAGCTATTCACTTTGATCGGCGACCTAATATTGGCTTCTAGTCCAGTCCGGGCAGCGTATACCACTACTTACACACGAAAAAAGGAGAACCTATCAATGAGGTAACTTCTTCGTTATAAAATTATTTTCATCTCACTTAAAGATAGCGAAGATGTCTCAGATCCCCGTGCGAAGCGCAGGTGGTGGGGGAGACCCAGAAGCGAAGAGAAGAAAGATCCGCAAGGGAACGCACAGCTGTTGGGAATGTGAGTGTTCTGAAGTATCCGGGCCTTTATATAGTAACTAAATGTACATCCGTCGGTGAGGCCGAAGAAGGAAGACTCGTTGCCAATTTGCGTCCGCTACAGCCTCCATCTGCGTTGGCTGTGAAGCACGAGGAACAGCCTGCCGAAGCCAGGAATTTCCCGACGAGCAGCCCCCGTCTGCGGAACGAGGTCTATCACAGCGGATGAGTAGGGTAGAGGGAATGCTCGAAAGGATAATCGAGAGGATTACGCCTGGTCCTTATATTTCTAGCCGTTCAGGTGGCCAGGCCTCTGCTTCCTCCGCCTCGGCCGAAGATGATTTAGAATACTCATCTCCAGATATCCTCCGTCCGTCGGCGGCAAGCCACCCCCATGTAATCGGCATGTTTGACGCCCTAAGAGAGGAGGGGGGATCTTGCCCTTCTGCCCGCGCGTCCTTCGTGCCCACTCCAGCGTCAACACAGAGTGATACAGTTCCTGGTCTCCCTGCCAAGTTCTCGCAGATCTCGAAGACACTCCACGCAACATTTCCATGTCAACGTGATATCGATGCAATAATAGAGGCGGCGGGTTTCGGTCCGTATTTTATCGTGACCTACTTTAGTGGCGTTGATGGCCCCCTTGAGGATCCGTCCACCGTCTCGGACGTCCCACCCTCAACTAGCCATCCCGCTTTGCTTGCGAAGCGGTTGATGCAATTAACCAGTTGCATGCAAAAAATATCTGTAGACGATATACCGCGGGACCTCGTGTCGAAAGAGCCAATCCGTTTCCTGATGAATAGGATCGTGAATGTAGTCTCAGACTTGATGGCGTTTAATGACGACTTAGTCGGCTCTGTCGAAGGCCTTGAGACTTTAAACCTCATTGCGTTATACCAGTACGTAATATCCCAACTACCATGATACCCTTGTCCTCGTATATGCAAGACACATCCATAGTACATTAATAATACTAACAATTCCCAGTGCTAACGCAGGTAATCTCCGCAAATCATGGCTCGCCCTACGCCGAGCCCTCGCCGTCGCGCAACTCATGGGCGTGGACCGGTGGCCCGATGACAAGCCCCTAAAGTCGGTCGACCCGCGGTCCGACCCGGGAACGCGCACCCGCGCCGGACCTCTCTGGTACCGCACCAACTTCACCGACAGGTATCTATCGCTTCTCCTCGGCCTCTCCGCCGCCTCAGACGACGACTCCTTCGCGGACCCCCTCCGCCTGGCGCAAAGCACGCCCATCGAGCGGCTCGAGAAGCTGCACACCGTCATCACCGGGGCCATCATCAAGCGGAACATGAACACCAGCCGCGCCTCCCCGGAGGCCGCCTTCGGCACCACGCAGGCCATCGACTGCGATCTCGAGATGGCCGCTAAGACGATGAGCGCCGAGTGGTGGCAGCCCCTCCTGCCGATCGACGCGTCCATGGCGACGCCGCGTGAGCTCGTGCGCATCCAGTCCCGCGTCATGATGCAGATGAATCACCACCACCTCCTTATCCTACTGCATCTTCCGTACATGATGCGAGACCCCAAGGAGCGGCGCTGGGACTACAGCAAGACGACGTGCTTGCACGCCTCGCGCGAGCTGCTGCAGGTCTATCTCGTCTTCCGGGACCTGACCGACGCGGCCTCCGCCTGTCGGCACACGGACTACGGCGCGCTGACAGCAGCGATGACGTTGCTTCTAGGCTATCTCGACCCTAAGCTACGAGCGCGGAATGCAGCGATAGCTAGTCGGCGCGATGCGGATCGTGAAGTTGTCACCAAGGTGAGGGATGTTATGAAGAAGATCGCTGAGCGGGACGGTGATAAACTCGCGCGCGAGGCCTCCGATATTATCACGAGGCTACTGCCCCTGGCAGACGTTGACTTGACGATCTCGGGCCACGGCGAAAACGATGCCCCTGTGCGCCTCGAGATCCCGTACCTAGGCACCATCAACATCAACCCAGTGCGCAGGCAACCGCAGCACAAGTTCCGACAAGATGGTAGCGGTATTATGCCCTCCTTAGCTAGTCACGATAACAGTGGAGAGGGTGATGATTTTGAACGCCTTGAAGTTTATCCTACGACCAACGTCTACCAGACTCCTGATACCACCGAAAATATGTCGATAGACCTACAACAGTTTCCTCAAACTCAACCGAGTTTCCTATCACAACTTGGAGAAGATGCCAATTTCTCATTCATGCAATTTGAGCCGGATATTTCTTCTCCATACCAATTCCCCGAACTCGCGGCTGACGTGGACCAGTGGACTTTTCAGGGGTTCGACGCGACCTTCTTTGAGAACCTGCTTTCATAACAGCATGTCCTGCCTTCGGGGCCCTATATGGTTAGCCGTTATCATTTAAGATTTATGTATGTATGGCTCGGTATAGATATCCACACTTATATATGTATATATAATTTTAGGAATGTCTCGTGGACGTCCCAGAAAATAGAAACATATGTACAAGAATTCTTTTTAACCATAGACCATTGCCAAGTCCAACGATTTAGGCTCGACTGGTCTGTAGCGTTATGATCTGTCCGCCAGTGTTATTCGTGACCTTCGCCGAAACACTCGGTTCCAAACCTAAGATCTTCTCGGCAGCAAATTCAGCTGCGGTTACAATCATAGCCGATGGATTTCCGGTGACCATACCCGGGAAGATAGACCCATCAACGACGAAGAGGTTGTCGGTACCATAGACCTTGGTGTTGAGATCAACGACAGACGTGCCATTCTCCTCACGGCCATCATCTGGACCTAACTTGGCCGTTCCTACAAAGAGTCAATCAGGTGTGCAAAACAGTTATTAGATAATACTAACCCATCCAGTGGTTTGAACGACGCTTGGCAGCGGTCACCTCGATGGCATCAACATAGGCTTCCGTGGTTTGGTTTGATTTTGGCAATTGGAACACCAGATCCTTGACTGTGCTTAAGGCGCTTCTCAAATTCTCAATACCTTGGATAACAGCTGCCTTATCGTTGGGGTCCCGAAGGTAAGGCGGCGTTGAGACAACCGTACTCAATCCAGGATTGATAGTCATTCGGCCTCGGGATACTTGGCCTCTACCGAGGTATTGACTCATAATCATGGTATCTAAATAACTTAGGTAAGCTTTTCTATCATTTGCATGCTAGTGAAATTTTTAGTGACTTACTGGTGCTGTTTGTCTGATCGGCACCTTCGACACGGGCTGTCCACTGGATTTGACGGACTACTCCATCCGCGCCCGTGATTTCATCCCAGAACTAAGTCTCGTTAGAGGTTCTTTCAAAAGATGATGTAGTCAATACAACATACCACAGGACCAATGTTAGGAGCAGATTGTGCAAGGATACCGGTACGGTTTGCTGTAGAGGGTTAATTGGATGCTTTAGGTCACATTATAATTAGTTCTTACCAAGATATTTCTGCTTGTCGGAGGGAATTGGTGTCGTCCATGCCTTGTAGAAGTCGTAGAATACGACATCCGGGTGTGTGAAATAGGTATCAGTCTGTGGGCACCCATGTTAGAGAAGCCTAAAAATTTCCTGTCCCTGACTCACGTTAACATGGTCCATCAAGTTATAACCGACTGGCAGATTAATCCAAGATTCTTTATCAATAAAAGTCTTCCCATCAGAAGCTGAAGCAGCAACAACCTCGAGTTGGTCTGCTGGACCAATGCCACCTATTGCAATCAGCATATCATTTCAAGCATTGGTATCGTGTAAGGACATACTTCTTAGGAGGAATTTGGCCGAGCCGAACGTCCCTGCAGAAACAATGACGCGTCCAGTATTAGCGGTAACGTCGACGGTACCAAATCCACCCCCTTCCACCCTACAGTCTAGCTCAACTCCGGTGATGTGGCCGCCTGTTCTAAGAGCTCTTCTGACCGGAGTGTTCATCCAGAGCGCGAAGTTATCGCGCTTGGCAGCCGTAGCTAGGTAGGTAGTCAGGGGCCCACCTCTCTCGCCTCCAGAAAACATATATGTCGTAGCACCATAGCTGTGGTTTTTCTGAGTCGGAGCATCATTCGGAACTGGTACATTCTTCCATCCCGCCTTCGATAACCCGTTAGAGATGACGTCAAATCCTTGGTGCATATATACTTCGCCATCTTGAGATGGTTTCGTAGTTCCTGGAATGCGTGTGAATGTTCGATCGGTAGCTTCCGAGAGATCAGAATCGTGCCACCCAGGAGGGAAATTCTCATCCCAGTCTTTCGGATTCGCCTAATCCAAATTAACGTCTACATTTCAAAGACATCGTTAAGACACTTTACCTTCCACCATAAACCGGCATTGACAGCTGTGCCTCCACCGAGAACACATCCGGCCATTTGATCGGTATCGAGACAAGCTACGCCATCCGAATCGACCCAAATCTGATTGCATAGGCCCGGAACATCGAATCGCGTGAGGTCTGTCTTCTCGAGCCAGAGCGGCTTCATATTGCCACCCCACATTCCCGCGGACGGCGGACCTTTCTCAATCAACAGAACGCTGTGACCCTTTTCGCTCAGGCGGTCTGCAATGGGTATACCACCAGCTCCGGCACCAACGACAATGTAGTCGAATGTCTGGTTAGCCATCTCCTTAGCACAAACAGGAGTCGCCGGTGGTGGTGCGTTATCGCCACCACATTCGCCAGGGACGGTTTTCGTGGCCAATGCAGCCCAATCTGGATACTGGGCTTTTGTAATGCCCTCTAGAGGAGCACCGAATTGCCCGAAGCTTTCGTGTTGTCTAAAGGAAATTTCAGCAGGACACTCCGGGTTAGAAGGAACAGTTGAAGCCGAAGCCCGTCCCAAGATAAGCGTCCCGCTGCTAGTTTCAACGTGGCCGCTGGTGCCATCTTGATCCCAGGAGAAGCAATTCTGGCATCGATATATGACCTCGAAGCCAGTGTCGTTGACTTTCGACGAGATCTGTGTCAGAGTTGCGTTTCCGCTATAGACATCCGGCATGTTGTATCCAGTTGCAAACCGGAAAGACGTTAAAACTTCGCCATTGTAAGGCCACGCAATGAGCAATAAGGCTTGTGTCATCTGTCCTGATTCGCCATGGGATACACCGCACCATCCATTTGAGCATTGCTAAAAGGATACTTAGTAGAAGCAGGGCTATTGGTATGTTAATTATAAATACGTACGAGTATACCAATGTATTCCGATGCATCATTAGTCAAAGCATCTTCAGGAAGAGTTAGGCCAAACGTCTGTCCACCCGAAGCCCATGTTCCAAACTCTATCCCGGTGTCTGGATCGATGTACGGGACGGCATCTTGAGCAAGACAAGTCCGGAAAGCTGAACAAAATTAGCGGACGCCATCGTGCGCCTAAGATGCCAAAGACTTACCTGTAGCAGCTGCTATAACAGCAGTTGCAATACGTGAGAAGGGCGGCATCTTGAGGTCACGGGCCAAGCATCCAAGGCCTAGGGAGACGTGGATAGGAGGGTATAGAAGAAGGGGATCTGAATCGATTAATAAATGGCATTCTGTCGGTGGAATCGGTGAAGCCAAGAAATCTCATTGCTTGCCCGGTATTCCGAGAAGAGGACGTGATGGGACATGATCTGCAACACAGAAATAGTATAGCTACTATTAAAATCGAAGACTTGGCTAAAGCATCAACTGGATTACGGAGGACGGTGCCGGAGGGGAACTGTATAGAAAAGGCTTAGCACGGATGGTGCCAGCATCCCTATAATAAAGTCTAGTATATTGTTGCAAATGCGGAAAGAGCATCGCCTCGCGAGCCGACTGGATGGAATAGGCGATAGACGCCTCATGGTTGCCAACCAGGGGCGCGTAACAATAATACGGATTGTGTTGATTCGCGGAGATACTGTGACAAGGAAAATACACGATTCAAAAACTCATTGAGCCTGATGCTGAGATACCCGTTCCAACATCAACATCGCCGCGAGTAAACAAGATACCTAGGCTAAGATCCATACAATCCAAGCAAGCTAAGGTAAAGTCGAGCGTTTGCAGATGTTCCATATGTTCCAGTATATGAAAACATCGGCTCGACCAGGCCAAGTCGGATGTGCAAGGGGAAGCGCAGATGATCGACGGAAAGTAAACGAGCCCGGGGATTACATTGCTGCCAGGGACAGACGAACTTCTGGAACCTTAAGCCGCCTGCCAATGGTAGTACTCGGGATGGTCAGGCATTGGGGTTTACACATCCGTGGAAGTTGGAGATGGAAAAGATTTTAGTTGATAAGTTGGACGATTTGGGATGATTGACCCCCGTCTTGGCAGCACTACGGAGTAATTAAAGTACGAGAGGGCTGAATATTCCCCACATCTTCAGAGCTCTTCAGGGCCGTCATTCCTAGAGTTCTCCCCGCTTCCATCTCCCTTGCCTTCCTATCTATGCCAGCCTCCCAGCACTCCTACCTGCCTAGGTAATCCATGTCTTCTGATTTTTAAGCAATTAAGCATCGAGCTTCACTTCTTTAGGTGGCAAACCTTGAAACCTTATCGTGACTATACAGGGGTTCGATTAGCGACCTATCCCCAGCCAAGTACAAAGTTAATTGACTGTTGATTTGGATAAATCTAAGCCGATTAGGTACTTTCCCGGTTGGTCATCGGCGTTTCCATTGTTTATCCTTCCTCACCTCTTAGCCTATATTCTCTCGAAAAGAATCCTTCTCATATTCATGTAAGTGTCGAAGTTAGCCTATCCCAACTCCTTCCATCCCTAGATCTAGCCAACTCTTCCGAGACTAACCCGCCCAACAGGCCAGTCGGTTACAAGGGCCGATCAAGTTTACTATCACGAGATCACGCTTCATACTATAAGTTTGAGATGTCCTTGAATTCCTTGCTAATCCCGAGCCTTTCTTTCGCTATGTACTGCGTATCGTCAGATTAGCAATCCAAGAAAGGAGGCTGCAAGGGATCGAGGCGTAGTGAGCACACCTTCGACGGCTCGCTCTTCCACTCAAACGAGATAGTTTCGGGGCTCAATCCCCGTTAATGCTAGCCCTCACATCTGAGGAGTGTCAAGAAAGCAATGTTGGCAATACATTTGACGTTATTGGGCAACAAGAAAGCTTGTCCAAAGCCGAGTATACCCCAGATTGATTCCCAAGTCGCATACGGGGTATAAGTATACGCTGGTTTCCTCTTACACATACCTGTCAAAGTCTCGATGCTTCCTTGAGACGTGGCCATCTCTTATACCATGAAGTTTGGAATTCGCATCGAGTGGTAACAGTAATTAACGCATCTGCCTTCATCAGTCATCTAGGTGCTGTGAGTCTTCGTATTTATCAATCTATACACCTAGTGGAAGAATACGACCGTGCTTTGTCTAGTGGACGTGTATCATCGATCTAAAGACGCATTATTTTATGTAGATGAGTCAAAGATATATGGCAATAAAGTCTATATCACCCCGACACTGCTCATATATTATTTACCTCTCAAAGATTAGGATAAAAGGACGATGTAATCGACGAGAGCCTTGTGGTAGGTGAATCTCATAGCTCTTAAGATATAATGGGCATATATACGTCGCTCCTTAAATGATAGGTTCATACTGCCTATAAATAACTGGGAAAGCAAACTTCCTTCAAGCCATAGTAGTTTTACTTATCCCAACCCTCCTAACACTTGTCCACGATTTTCGCCCTGGTTCGGCAACCACTTGGAAAAGTCCGAATCGGATTCTTAATCCTCATGCTTACCTAGGAATTCAGATCAGAAGACTCTCCTGTGGCAAGAAAGGCTTACTCAATCCTGATCTAATACGATCCTTGCTAGCCAGATCTCGCATCCATTTCTCCGGGGGTTCCAGTACCGAACCATTGTTGTTGCGAGGACATCGTGCATTAAATATCTATCTAGGACATAAATTGCACGGCACCACAATACGACGCGGACCAAGCCACGATAGCCAACCAAAGTAAAGCTATAACGAGAGAGTCTAATCTATCTTATTAACAACTTCACCTATGATGCTTATTTCGCAGATTATACCCCAGTTTCTTCGACTTGGCCAACCAGTTCACCAACCATTCTCCCGCGTTTGATGACTGGAGCCGCGGCCCGCTTCATATACAGAATCTGGGGTTTGGTACATACGAGAGCCCGCCAGAAGGGACGAGAACTGCCGAGGAGAGAGGTCCTGTGCTGTTTCGTTTTTAAGAATGGCCTAGGGCACCTATGTAGGTAGCTGGCAGAGCCTGCTACTTACTCTGATTTACGACATCGCACTGCTAGCTTCAACTCTAGGAAACAGATTCAAACCAAGTCCCCTCTGAATCACAATGAAGAACGTCGTCGCTCTCGTCGCTACGGCAACCCTCGCCGCACAAGGCGTCTCCGGCCACTACATCTTCCAGACGCTATCAAAAGGCACCGAGAAGGGCACCGCATACGAGTACGTCCGGCGAAACACCAACTACAACTCTCCCGTCACCGGTTCGTCGCCCCCAGCCCAAGTGATGGCATAATCAACGTCGTGCTAAGATTTTGACCCGCAGACCTGGCTTCCAACGACCTCCGATGCAACGTCGGCGGCGCCACAGGAGGCAACACGAGCACTCTGGAGATAAACGCCGGTGACCCGTTCACCTTCAGCCTCGACACCCCCGTGTACCACCAAGGCCCCATCTCCTTGTACATGTCCAAAGCCCCGAGCACTGTCGAGGAGTACGACGGCAGCGGGGATTGGTTCAAGATCAACGACTGGGCGCCGATCTTCAACGGCGGCCAAGCTTCCTGGACCATGACAGGTAAAGGACGAGCCCAACCGGTCTTTTTTTATTTTATTCCATTGGCTAATTTCAAATTAGGCAGCTACTCATACACCATACCCAAGTGTATCCCGGACGGCGAGTATCTCCTGAGGATCCAGTCGCTCGCCATCCACAACCCCGGCGGCGTCCCCCAGTTCTACATTTCCTGCGGCCAGGTCAAGGTCAGCGGCGGTGGTAGCGCCTCGCCCTCGCCCACGGCCAAGATTCCCGGCGCTTTCAAGGCCACCGACCCCGGCTGTGAGTTGCCTTGCTCCTTGGCAATACGATATGCTTTGCTGACTAGGACCGCTAGATACCGCCAACATCTACAGCAACTTCCACAGCTACACTGTTCCGGGCCCGTCTGTCTTCACTTGTTAAGATGGCTCTTAACGACAGTCGACACGGTGTTAGGGTTGGTAGACAGATGAAAGGGGCAGTCAAGATATTGTCTCACGTGATATATATCTCCCTATGATAAATCATGCCGAAGCACACTCTTTTCTTTTGGTCACCATTTTACATCGTCCAATCAGGTAGTGAGCGTTTATATAGTCAATCAAACTTGAGTTACCGCCAATGTATAGGACGCGAGAAATCTTAATAGCATCGGCTTCTACGTGAGTAGTGGTCACTTAAACTCTGAGATAGATGGAGCTCTACCAAAATATCCAATGGTAACAGAATATCATTCTGAGTCTGGTATCTTCTCGTTTGCTTATTATTCATTTTCTCCAAGCAATCCTACTCTCTCCATTCGCTAGCAAAACTATGCGCCCGATGTGTGAGCACAAGCTACTTTGACGCTACTTTGACAAGTTCAAAATTGAGGTTGATCTTGAGATGAAAGTTTGCTGGTGTACTACTACTCGCGAGTTATGCATCATAATTGCTGAAGCAGCTTATCAAGAACTATTCGCGAAGAATTTGGTTATCTTCTGCGTGCCGGGCTGTTTCGTCTTATTTGGGCTCTTGGTCCGATTGCTAGTAGCGCTAATGCTTTGCCTCCCTCCCTTCTGTGGCGAAGACGGTTTGTTTGGTGCTCCAGAAGGGTATCTCGTCGTCGTAGTAGGTAGCTTCTTCGGAGGTTCCTCATCAGCGGGCATATCCTCAGCTTCTCTCTTGATGCCCACTGCAAATTTACTTTCTTCTTTCGTTTCAGTCGAATCTTCGGTGGTGAATCCTTCTTCCTTCTTGACTTCAATATCTGGTTGCTCCTTCTTTACACCTTTCTGCGCAGCGCCCTTAGCAAAGAAATTTGCTATATTGGACTTGTTCTCTTTACTATCGACGGGAACGATGAATGTAGGCGAGTTGTTGCCCACTTTGCCGACGTCCTTGCTGACTGGGTACACGTCTAATTCTCCCTCGAAAGGTTTTAACAGGCTCTGTAACTCTTTTGACCATTCATGACGTTTAGGATCTAACCACATGCGTATGTCTTCAGACCCATTTTCCAAGATGACCGGCATGCGATCATGGAGGAAGTTAAGTTGTTTGTTTGAGCTGGTGGTGATGATCGTGTATGTGTAATGCTTCTGCTCATCATCTATTATTGATTGGTTAGCACTGTAGTACCTGAAGTTCGCCCAGTTACTTACTCTCATATTGCACCACATCCCATAACCCAGCGAAACACATCAACTTGCCATCCTTTCTTTTAACAAAATGTGGTATCCTTTCTCTGCCTCCCTCTTTCTTCAACCACTCATAGAACCCCTGCGCAATGACGATACATCGCTTTCTTGCTTTCATGGTGTTCCACATACCACCACTTTGGGCGAGAGAGTCGTCCCTACAGTTAATGGTTTTCATCATCGAACCGTAGTCTGGGTTGCGCTTGGTCCAGAAAGGAACCAATCCCCATTTCATGCTCTGCAATTTATAACTAGTAGGCTGAGACTTGGATACGTCATCTCCGGCCTCACTTTGGGCGTGACTTGTAGTTGGGCAATTATTAGAATCATTGGCGTGCTGCCTTCGAGGACCGGCTCCCCAATCTGGGACGTTTGCACGATAGACAATGCCATGGTAGCCGGGAGCAAAATTATAACTTTGTCTAGGCGCTCCGTCGCCTTCATCATCTGGTGCCTCATCTACGGCCATATCATTGTCTTGTAGCATTTGGCGGACTTGCGCTGGCCGCTATAATTCGCTTGCAGGTTAGTTCCTATTGACCTCGTTTATGAAATGATTTATGACATACCAAGGCTAATGAGTAGCGCCCGCACATTATATGGTATGAGAGCCTTCAAATTGGACGGGTAGAAAGAACATAATAGGGTATAGAGAAGCTCAGAAAATGGAATATGTGGGTTGCAGGGCTGATTGGAGATACAGGATTATCAAAGGTTAAGTTGAGGTGAGTTAAATCGAGTTAAATTGAGTTGAATTGAGTTGAGTTGAGTTGAAATTAGTTGAAATTGACTATGACGAAATAATTCTGGCATCGAATGGCTTAAACGCGGAGTCAGGTGACGATTTCTTTGAATTCCAATTCTACAAGAACCGAGCATTTCAAGGAATATCAAGGCGATTCTCTTTGATCTACAACTGATAATGTCACTTAAATAATTGAAGTTCGAAATTGATACTTCAGTATCCGTGTTTTATCATTTGGAGTCTTACGATGTACGTGGCTGTTGTGTTCCATGTAGCATAGAAACTTGTTGGTTTCTCGATCATAATTCAGGCGGGAAAACGGTCACTCGTGTCGTTAGACGTGGCAATTCATCTTATTCTGTATGATTCATTTTGTAATCCCGTATCACGCCAAGCCATGCAGAAACCATCCCTGAAGCAGCTCTCTTCCGGTTGAGAATAGCTTCCATGGTATATCCGAAGAGACGTAAACGCACGACCCAAACCAACCCGATGTTCCCCTTAGACCTTGAAACCACGAGACCGTCTGCGACCACGAGCACGCTCGAACTTGCGGCCCTTGGATTCGACGTAAGGTTTCTATAAATTGTTATTAGCACACCGCAAACCAGTGAAGACAACTTCCAAATCACATACCTTGTGCTTGTGGGGACCCATGCCGAAGTGCTTGACAGCCTCACGTGCGTTCTTGGGGCCGCGGAGCAGCAGGGTGTTGCTACCAGTAGGGGATCGGAGAGCGAGCTGGTCGAGGGTCAATGCCTCACCGCCGGCAGCGAGAATGCGAGCACGAGCGGTAGCAGTGAATCGAAGGGCGGCAATAGAGACCTTCGGGACTTCGAGAAGGCGGTTGTCGTCGGTAACGGTGCCGATGACAACGACGATCTTGCCCTCCTGGCCTCTGGTGATCTGGCCCTTGACGCGGGAGAGGGAGACGGGAGGTCGGTTGGTGCGGGACATAAAGAGGCGGCGAAGAACAACCTTGTTGAAGCTGGAGTCCGTTCGACCTAGAGAATTATTACCAAGTCAGCATCGCGTATGATGTATAGGAATGAAACATAAATGGGTTGCAAATGATGACTTACGGGCCAAGAAGCGGTACAGCTTCACCAAGAGCTTGAGGTAGACATTGTCGCTCTTGGGTGCCTTGCGGTGGGTGCCGCGCACGTGGTGACGGTCGAGATCAATACCTATTCAGAGGAAAAGCCATGGTCAGCTTTTTGGTTCAAATATGCTCTTTCAGGCACATCTCAGAAGATGATTCCCGATTGTTCGCAGACAGCGAGAAAGACGAGCCGCATTGCGACAGCTCGACTCTCACACTTCCACTCGCATAGATATCTCTAAATAAATATTAAACGTACCCATCTTGACGGTGACTCTTTGCTTTGTGATAGAAAGTAAAAGAGTCGATGGGAAGGAAAGAAAGCTGTTTTGCTGTGGGTTAGTACTGACTGAAGATTGAGGAAAATCTCGAGTGGACCGAAAAAAAGTTCTAAATCACAGAACGTGGAGCGAATTTGTGCGAGTGGGCGGTGTCACCTGGCAGTTAGGGTTGGTCAGTTGGGATCCACATCAGCAATTTATTCACTTGGTCCAAGCGCAGGGTGGGGATTTAATTATATAATAATATGTACAGAATAAATGGACTGGAATCATGTGCAAATTGTTACTTGAACATACGTACCTACCTATATCCTAGTACGTTCTTACATCCACAAATACAAAGTATTATACTCAATTCACCGGTTACAGTAGCCGGGAAAGGGGTAGAGTCAGACTTTAATATTTCAAAGTTCGCTTTATTTTCCTATATAAAACGATTCCTCGAAGCTTTATCCCCAACAGGATGACGACCTGGTGCTGCTTATATCGATTAACTCTAGCCGTACTTATGTGACAATATGTGACATGAGCATAGCTCGGGTTACTCTGCGCAATCCATTTTGCCATCTCTGCTAGCTAAGCCAGGATCTTCGTGTTCCTCTATGTGTTTATATCTACCCTTGCCTGTTTTAATGTCTGGTACGCTGTTCCGCATACGACATCTGTTGCCGCAGTGTATCGACGCCATTCCACTTCCTACTACCTACCTAAGTAGATGCTTAGGTAAGAGTCCTGCACAACTATGGTGCATGTCTAAAGCGTAGTGTGAAGCATAATCCGAACGTAATCCAGAAAAGTAAGGTATCCAGCCAACATTCAGCCCCTTTCCCTCTATAGGGCCACCGGTTCTGGCTTCAGACCGACCAAAAAATCTCTAGTGACTTCAAAACTAAGCCAGTTGGCGGCCATGCTAGGGGCAACCTTGAGGAGGTTCGGAATAAGGCCCTTGTACAACCCGCGCGGTCCTTCTTGGGATATTATCACTCTGACAGCGTCTCCTATTGACTTATATTTATAGCCCATGCCGGACATGGTGTTGATTTGAAATCTTCGTCGTAGTACGTCACTAAGCCTACGTTAATAAATCAAGAACCAACGAGTAAACAGAATACTTACAATGGATATGTGCAAGTCTGGGCAACAGCACCAGATACGGCACCAGCAAGCAGCTTGCGTGCCGCGCTAGGGTTTTGATCGCCCTCAGGAGTTAGATACTTGCGGACGAATTCGTACGTCATGAAGTTCAATCCTACCTAGGACATCATTAGTATCTCTTATCCTCATGTATATAGCACAGCATGTGAAGAGGAATAAGAAAACTCACATATGGAGCCACTCCAGCAACGGTAGGTATTATGCCACGATATAATGCAGGTACGCCGCCTTCTTCCTTATACATCACCGCCATCGTCGTCCACATTCCAGGTAGCTTATCTTTCGATGTATGACCGAGCGCGGCGAATGACGCTGACTGGATAGATAGTCGGGTCCGCACGATGTCGAGTGGGTACGTGAAAAAAACCGAGGTGATTCCCGCGATGCCACCACAGATAAGTCTCTCGAGAGGGGCCAAAGGGGCTCCTGGGTATTTTTCGAAGAACTGCTGCAGCCATTATCAGTAAACCTGTAATTGCCTTTCTTTATAGGCATCATACATCCCGCATATCCCAAATTAAGCTGTAAGGGGTATGGCAGTGTACGTAACGAACTCACCCGCTTGTAGAGATTGTAGCTGCCGAATTGTACTGCAGAATAAGGGACAATTCGAATACAATTGGTCCCATTACCAGCCATGAAGCCTCTCCAGCCTTCCTCCCTCCACATCTTAGCAAGTGCCTTCCCTACTGACAACTTATATTCATTGTGACCAGCACTTTGCACTTGGAAAAGGATTTTTAGACGCTCGAGGGGGGATACGACTGTTCGCGATACGGCGCCAGCGACGCCACCGGCGCAGAACGCAGCGACTACCGGTTGAGAGATGAAATCATTGAATTGGTTGCCTTTGTTTCCATTGGCGTATTTAGCCTTGACGTCTTCCGAGCTCTAGAGGATTTGCGTAAGCTACTACTACTAGAACACACCCTATTTTTCTTTCCTAATTCAAAGGGCGTGCCAATGTGAAAGCGGAGGGTGACATACAGCAGCCATATTGGAACCTCGGCCGTGCGAACACGGGAGGAGTCGGCCGGCGCAACGGAAGAAGACAGGCGGCGTGTAATTCGCACGAGGCTGAAGCAGGGGGCCGAGAAATTTGCGCGCGGCTGATACTTGTGCATGTATATTGGGAAAGGAAGAGATATTTTCGGGACACGACGATTATGGCGATAATGTAATTTCTATCGAGAATAACTTGGCGACGCGGGCGACATAGTCGAGCTTGGAGGACGGATTATCGAAGATAAACATAGGTAACGGCGGTAACTGCGCAGGGTTCCCAAATAACCTCCAGAGGTGGTTTGCTTAGGCGCGTCACTGTACGTTCCCTTTGGTCAGATCATCGAATTGACCAAGGTACATAGAGCGCTCATGATCGTTCCGCCTCCTAGAAATATGCTACAAATCAATACCACTTTATCGCGGAAGAAAGCGAGCGTATACGATATGCTACTTTAAAGGCGAGACGAATGAAAAGACCAAAGGGTGAGAAGAAGAAAAAAGCTTAAGAGCTAGAATTTTTAAGCTACGAAAGATTGGATGGCAGAACGCAGTTTCTAAAGTTTAAGTGGTTGAACTCGGGAAGGAAGTCGGCCAGTCGGAACTTGGAGAAAATTTTGGTCTTGGGTCTTGGGTCTTAAAGGGGGGGAAGTCACTTGCTGAACTCACCTGAGACTTTTGTCTTGACAAATAAATAATCAACTGCAAGTGACCCGTACCACCTTGCTATTTATGCGTTTAATACTCCAGTAGTCCTGGAAGAAATTAAGAAGGTCTAGAAAGTGTCAGTTCGGCAAGGCCCCATATACTATATTATATTACGTATTAATATTTTACGGGCATTAAGATTTTACGATATGTAAATAACGTTAAAAGTAGCTACATATCGAGGCATCGGATTTTGAGTGAAATACATAGGTATCAATAGACAAAATCTAGATTGTTTAATTGTAGATACAAAATCATAAAAGTTAACTGCCTACGTTGGCAGGTAAGTATGTATATGCCTGTGTAGCGAAGCCCCTGAGTTTTGTAAACGTCAAAAAATCATATATATTGTAGAACTATTAATAAACAATTCTTCGAGTTGATCCTCGGCATTGCGGCTAGCCCGTAAAACCTGCCCAAACAAAGCGGAACATTGAGTTATCGAGTAGACCAATACAAGGCCCGAGTCTTACGGGATCAACTCTAGCTTTGGAGGATTATCTGCATCAAGTACGACAGTGCACCGTAAGAGAACGTATTCCTCCTTACATCCGTTGGATCTTTGTACTATTATGACGTGACTAGACATGAAGGAGGATTGGCAAGATTGGGTACAGCTGTCATTCGACTCAGAAATATGCATGAGATCTTCATTTTAATGCGCGTTATCTGGTTGGCTGATTTCTCTAATGTCCACATGCATGTACTATGTATGTAGCATAACACATCAAGGTTAACAGCTTCTTCGAACTAACACGTCTAATACAAGTGCGTGTTAGCGCGGATGGGTTTAGACAACTTATTAAATGTGGATATATCTGTGCATGCATATGAAGATATATTCAATAGCATTGTCCCATGAGATTCACGTAGCTTTATTGTTTAAGTAGCATCATGGTAACTGAAGGATTGTGTTTTAGGTTGCTGGATAGGTTAGGTGTCTTAGCCGGAGTGTCTCACAACCTCAAAACACTAGAACACGAAGAACTCATAGGAATCGCGGTGTGTTTGCCTTGAAACTAACAAGTTGACTAACTACCTAGCTAGAACTTCGCCGTTAAGGCACGTTTTCGGCTACCTAGCTGCATTTAAGATTCACTTAGTAGCCTTTTGCTGTCTCAAATAGGAAATCCTCGCGGTCTTGGCGGCATCGTCTCCGGGTTCAGTCTTTCAATTAGTCGGATGACTGCCTCGCACGTCGGTCGATGAAATCGAAACTAAAAGATGAGTTACAGCCCAATGTAGAAAAGCAATTACCAAACACCCGTGTGACATAGGAGAACGTTCTAATATTTCACACGTTGCTGATGCAACCCGCCGTCGCAGTGTAACATAGCCAGGCCAGTTATACTTATCACTCTGCAACGTCCAGGTCCTCGTGTTGGGGCGGAGGGCTGTCGACAGCTAGGTTTGATGTTAGCAGAACGCTCATTGTATAAAAACAGATGAAGGTAGAGCTACTTACCCTTTCGGTCGTCGCCATTGGTGCCATTGTCACGGCGGTCGCGGTCGTCTCTATCGTCACGGTCGCGGTCACTGTTAGGATTGACTGTAAGCTCCAATTTGATCGAGGGTCGAGTTGGGCTAGAGCTAGGAGACAGGGATTTGTACCGAGTATCCGGGCTACGAGAGCGGTCACGTGTGTCACGACGGTCACGGTCGTAATCGCGGTCGCGGTCTCGTCGGTCATCCTTGCGAGGGGAATAGTCACGAGTGCTGCGACGGGGAGATGGAGAACGTCCGCGACGTGGGGATCTGCCTCCACGATCACGTCGCTCACGGTCACGACCACTGTCAAATCGCCAGGACGCAGAGGGGGGAGTACGAGCCCACTGTATATTTGTCAGCTGTCAATAGTCGTGATGAGGTAGGTTAACATTTGACAGGACAACTTACCTCAATCTTCAGAAGATCATCACGGCCGATGCGCTTGTTGTGCATCTCATGATACGCATCATCGGCATCACGACGATCCTCATACTCCACGAAAGCAAACCTAGTAATCGTAGTCAGAGTCATGTAGTTATAGTAATATGATATTAGTTTAACTTACAGTCTGCTAGACGCAGATCGTGGGGCAGGGATGTCACAGCGGACAAGACGACCATAGCTAAAGAAGTTTGATGTCAGCAATCTCGCCAAGAATGTAAGACTTTCCCAATGATATATGATAATATATATATATTTGCATCGAGTGCAAGAATTTCGAATTCCCATCGCGTTGGTTAGGGGGACGTGGAACGTGGAACGATGGATCTTAGTATTTCTGACGCTATACGACCGCTCGATCGAAATAGATGGAAAGCTGAGATGGATACGGAGGGCGTGGAAGGCAGAAGCGTAGACAAGAAGACGGATCGAGGACTCGAACGAAGCCGAGAACGACGAAGCGAGGTCGGGGTGAGGACGAGGAGAAGGCAGGTGACATCGGACACCGCATCCGTAGGACGGTCGATCGATTCACCGACGAGGATTATAGGACATACCGTTCGAATTCGTAGGCGAGGTCTCGGGCACGCGTACCGTGGCTGAAGCCAGTCACGTACAGAGTAGTACCACCTCGAGACATGATGGCTACTGAAGAGTTAAGAAGAGAATTGAATGAAAAGAGGGTTGAGATATGAGAGAAGGAAAAGAGGAAACCTCGACGAAGTTAAAAGTCGATGAGGTAAAAGTTGGTTGTCAAGGTCGCGTGTTTAGCGACGAAATTGACGAAGGAGTTATGTAGTCCTCTAGCAACTAATGGTAGAATTAGTTCGCGGAAGAGTTGAAGTTGTCCGGTGGTTGGCTGAAACCGTAAAATTTGCTTTCAAAGGGGAACGGCAAATTATCGGGGAACCAACCCTTAGCTGTTATTGCCTTGTTATACAGTGTCAATCCACTCGCGTAGGAGCGCAAACACGTATGGCGCTATGGCTTTATGACGTAGTTAGTTGCCCTCCATTGTTCTTTCAGTGGGTTCTTTCTAGGTGTACATGAATAAGGAAAGGCGTATGCAGGTGCCTCTTCTCCATCTTAAACCGGGGAGTTACAGTGCAGTACAGTTCGTTCAATTGTAAAGGGGAAAGCAACACTGAGTTGACATAGAGTCGTCAATGCTTATTCATGGAATCATTGCCGAGCTGTAGGGACGATCACCTTGGTATTTCGACCGTCTAATTGGTTCCTAATCTTAGAAACTGCAGTTTTCGAGAACAGTGCTATAGTGCTTAAAGCGAATTGTGAACAATCTCATTGTTGTGTGAGCTTGGAACTGCCTATCACCTTCTCAACACACTGTTATGCGACAGTGTGAGGTGCGCTGATATCACCAAAGCTACAAAACCTGATGTGCTGCATAAGAGCTGCATGAGCCACAAAGTCGGGATACCGTACGGTAATTCTACTATGTAAGCATGAGAAGTAAGACGAGCCCTACCTATGTAGATAAGAGTAACCTAAAATGTCATCAAATCCCCAACCGCGAGAGGATCATCAAGAATCTCGATTCGATCGATTACAACTTCATTCTAATCGTTACCAACTTACCTATCTAAGGTAGGTGCAGATATTCGGATGTAAGTTTCAAACAGTCATGGCGACCTCTATTCATGAGGGTGTGTGGCTGTTTACATTTAGAACCATCTCACGATACCTACCTAGGAAGGTGGAGGAAATATACCCGACATGTGATACACAATGAAGCTATGGAATTTCTGTTTAAATGTGGTTTTAGGGGTGCAAAAAGGAGAGGGATCGATAAATGTTGGTCGCTTCTACCGAAGACGTAGCCTCATACTATCCATCATACTGAAGTCCATATATAAACACCCTGAACCCCTAAAACCCCTGATCTCTCCTCGTATATCTAGTCTAGAGTATTCCATGGTTCCATTTACTCTCGTTTCCGATGTCCCTAGAACGCCAAGTATCTAGATCACAAATGCCTTAAAGGATCAAGTACAAACTGCACAGTAAACTAGGCCCAGTGAAAATTCCGATCCAAAATATCATATTTCCCACCGTCTTCTGGTTGCGAAGCCACTTCGTCCGGCTCATCCTTACGAGTGGAAGTTGGCACATCTGCAGGATAAGTAGATAGCCGCGAAGTTTCTTGAATATGCACCACATGACGAGCTCGTGAACGCAGGCCGAGAGGAAGAACGTGATGAGCGTTGCCGTATGTTTGTTGACTCGCATAGAGGAGATCGAGCTGTGATATACGTGTCGTAAGAGGAAATTGTGGACGGGGCGATTCCAATCACGAGCATATTGATCCCAGGAGACTATACAGGTGTAAGTGATCTTGTACAAAATGTATTATGGGCTAGTAACTTGTGACATACCAGAATTCCACCATGCGTCATAGAAGCTCCTATCCGCAAAGCAAGTAAGTTCGGCAAGTATATTGAGGACCGTCTCCCAGATCAAATACCAAGCCAACTAGGAAGAGAAGTAAGCCAAGTCATGATTAAGTAAGTACGAGCCATAGACAAAGGTAGATGCTTACTAGGTATTCCATCATAAAAGGGAAGATTAGGTCACTCAACAGCCATGGGAATTCCCGAAACCTTTGAGCTACTGTCCAACCCGCTTCCTTCATGTATACGGTTCTCATCACGACGGGGTATATGAAAGCTTGAGAGATCATTATCATAACAAATATAATGCCGAATAGAGCACAGGTTTTCTCGGCCACGTATAACCAATTGATAGTTTCAGACCGAGGATACTGCAACTCATATACAACGGTGGGCAAGACAATGTATTCGTAATGATTCATCAACGTTAGATTGTTTGGGTAATAGTGTGTCGGGTCTGTTGCTTTGCCTCGGAGCTCATCCGTGAGCGCATCAGCTTCCCACTTTATCAGCCTTTCGAATATTTGCAATTGCTCCATGTCGAGCGGGTTTTCTGCCTCGATAACGCGGGATATATTCTCGATATCATTTTGATCAGCGGGTCTAGATTTCGACAATGAACGTCGCCTTTCTTGGTATTCATCTGCGGACGGCGGGTGGGCGAGATGGGATGTAGAAAGAGCTGAGACACGCGGGCTCGTGAGCGACGGAGATGTAACTGGCGAGATACTCTCTAGTTGTTTAAGCTTAAGCAGGAGGCTCTTCGAGTTCGAAAGTTAGTAAATCAATCGTCGAGTTGACAGAAAAAGAGGCTCAATGATGGATGCCTTTGATGGGGTTCATATTAAACAACATCATTGAGAAATCAGGGGCATATGCTGACCTGGCGTTTCTTGTAGAGAGACGAAAGGTGGCCGTTGTAGAAGGCATAGGAATGTTGCTTCATTAACATTACAAGGCCGTGAAGGACGAAGAAGACAGTATCTGTAACGGAAAATAATCAGCATATATTCCTTCCCTTGAAGCAATTGGTTATCTAGAAGGGGACATCAACGTAATATATGGTAGGTTGAATGCTGAGACATTGGTATGAAGAAGATTTCTTACGTGTCCATGGCCAATCTCTCACAAGCGTGAGGCCAACCACACTTGCGATAAAAAAGGTTTGCCATATCTATATAAATATGGTTAACGAGATCCACCGCGTATAAGCCAGAGTAGATACTCACATTTTGCAGTACCCATCCCGATCTGTTCCAATCGATATAGTGAAGGAAGACGAGGCGTTGAATAACCCAGCTCACCCCGGTCAGGCCACACATAACTCCATCGGAGAATAGGAGCACAACCACTATACCAGTGGTTAGTAATTATTTATTATGATACATATAGCAGGTCATTTTGCTGGCAGTGGCGATATGAACTTACCATCTCTTCGAAACATAGACTTCATAATCTCATTAGTGCCGAGCGGATTTCCAGTTTTCCTCCAATTCTCTGCCCCCATCTTGATAATATAGATGGCCAAGCCGATCCAGAAAAGGACGTAAAAGCCGTGAAATGGGCTATTCGCGGCATCCTGGTTTTGCCTATCGAAAGCCGAGAACTGCCTAGTAAAAACCATGTCCCGAAGCTTCTCACGTCTATTCGGCGACAGCTTCTCCCTCTCCTATGAATACATATATTAGCATTGCCCCAAGGCGTATTCACAATAATGACGTACCCTTTCCAGGCCTCTCCTCAAAATCTCGCGAAGCTCGGCGTCATCGCTAGCCACCACATACGTCTTCTTCCCACTACTCGAAGAATGGAATTCAGGAGTGGACAAGGACTGATGGAGCTGCTCGGGGCTCGATTTCTGATCAAGTTCCGGATTATCTAATGGCAGAATCTCAGGCGTATCCGATGCCGAGTTGTCATATGAATCGATCTCCGCCCTACGCCGTAACAGGACTGACTGCAGCGGCTTGTCCCTGGCTTCATAACCTGAGTCACTGTTGCTATCTGACGGTGTATCTGGCGCGCGACGTACAGCCTTCAAAGCCTCGGCCAGTGCAGCTGGATGTTGCGTTTCGTGTTTTGAGTGTACATCATGGGCGTTAAAGCCTCCGGCAATCTGATCCCGACTGTGTGGGACCGGTCGGAGTTCCTCTGCTGAAGACATATGTGCTAATCTTAAGAATGGCGAGAGTCTGTGACGAGAGTCGCACACCAGTATGGAAAAGAATGAGCTTAATTAATAGATATAATCTTATATTAATTGGTCGGAACTCTCGGTACCCAATGTGTGGATGAGCAGCTTATCTCGACAAATGGGAAGTTGAATGGGATTGTCAGCTTTGATATAATGAATGGATGTCCGAGATACGACCATTTATAAGGCTACAGTGCCTAGGCTTGTCGAATCACAAACCACAATTCACTTAATGATCTCGTTCATTCGGATCGTATTAGGTCTTGCCACCTGACTCTACAACGGCCGACACAACCGGACGAATTCGATGTTGTTTATAAAGTAATACAACTTCTGGATAACCCGGTTGGAACCTGATCATAGGGGATCTGGCTAGATTCCTGACTAAGATTTTGAAAAACTCTTTAAGTGGAAGCCTGAACTATGCCGATCTGATCGGTGACGTCGGAATAAAGATGAAAGCCTTAAGGGGGTAGAGGGGCTAGAAGGATTTGCTTGGAAGAGGTTGGATCAAACAGGTCAGGTATCAAGGTATGGATGTTACTAGGCTACCTAGCTCGTTCGGCAATTGGCAATATCAGCGGAACCCGACTGTAAATCGAAGTCTTTGTTCTTTCAGTGCTCTTCCTTCCAAGCATCCCTCAAATCTAGCTTAACGGTAAACTTCTAAAATCCTCTCGGGCAAACACCCATCAGCCTCGGACAGCAGGAACATTCGACGTAATATGATGGTCATCCTCCCATGGCTGCTGCTGACTGGGCGAAATGTTGGCGACAAAATGGCGGGGCACCGTTACACTGCATAACTCCTACAAAAACATGATCCATTTGAGACATCAGCATGCAATAATCCGCCTTACACAGCCAATACGTACCTATTCTTGTACAGGTGCATCTACAGCTAGGTAGGTATTCATAAATTCGGCGACACAGTATAAATCACTCAATGCAAGAATATCCTCATTTTCTGATCTATAAAATAAAAAAGGAATGATGCCTACTAAGTGAAGACTGCGTTCGCAACTTGGTAAGGCTGATGGGCAACGCAATAAGCTCAAACGTATCATCATCAGATTCTCCCTAACTTTTCCAGTAACCTAGACCCTTCTTCGCTCACTTGTTGCGCTACGAGACAAACTAAAAGAAATTTCCGTCTACTGCATCTTCTCGTGAGTCGCCATAAGAGAACCTGTGACTCGCTGTTAGCAATCATTTCTTAGCTCCCGATTTTGGAAAGTCGCGCGTCTTACCAATGAAAGTGGTAACTAGTCTGCTTCGAACTTGGCAAATATCCTCGGGGACTAGCCAGATAGTTGCACCCATTTTTCTGGCAATGCTGATACTAAGTTTGGCATTCATGTATGCGTCTTCATCCGTCTGGCCAGGGGTGACGAGGTCGTAATCAACATAGCTACTCTTCATACCGTTCAGCACGTCTAGGAAGAAGACACCGCTGCCAATAGCGGGATCCTTGAAGGACCGGACAGACGAATTTCGGCCCCCTTTTCGAGACATCTCATTCGCCCATTTCACCATCTCGGCATCAGTAATTTCTCGTTTCCCAAGACGTTGCGCTAAAGCCGAGAGCGTCAAAGTTATGTCTTTTCGCATCAGCTGCCAGACAAGACCCAATGTGAGCAGCTTGGTCCCGTCGGTGATGTCCGCGCCCTGGATTCCAACAAGAGAGAATCCATTCTGTTTACCAAGTTCAATAGCGTAGTTCGTGTTCTCGATGGCCTTGAACCTCATCAGCTCGCCGCCGTGAGCAGGCCTCTTGTTTACATGCCTCCAGTTTACTGATCCCTTGATGACCTTGTCGTAGGCTTGTAACAGAATAGAGCCGTCACGGAGATCATCGAAGAAGGAAACTACCGCTGGCTGTACGTCCAGACTGTTCAACCACAATGTGAATACCCTGGCTTCTCGTTCACCTTCAGCATCGAAGTCTTCTACCTCTTGCTTCTCCTCTTCCGTAATCGGATCTAGAGCTGGATGAGTGTTGAACAAATTGGCGACAAAGGCAAGGTTGAGCTTAGGGTTTCCTGCCACGAGGGAAGTCGGGGTTAAGAACTTTCGGCAGCCGAGTTTGTCGGCGTCAACCAACACCTCCTCAGCTCTTTGCAATAAATCGCGCGTCTGAAGAGGAGCTCTGCTGCAGCCATAATCCCGACCAATTTGTGCTAGTAGAACTGCGTAGTTCTCTCCATCCTTCACGTCGGTCGAGAAATTATTGACTCGGCGTTGCCAGCCGGCTGCCTTGAGATGGTAGTTGAACCATCTTAGAAGGATCTGCTCCGGAGGCAATCGTAAAAATTGCTCTAGGGTCTCATCGTCCTCAAGTAATCTGTAAAGTTCGGGGTGAAGCTTGATATCGATCTTGCCCAAAAGACCTCTACGAATGATTTGCCAAATCAGGCCTAGAATAAGATGCTCACGAACCTCTATGATATCACCGCTGCCGATGTTGACGACGGAACATCCAATACCTTTGGCGGATTCGATGACGATATTGTTGTTCTCTGTCATGTGAAACGCATTCAACTTCTTTATTTTCCTGCCCGGGACGTTCATTACACGTTCGTCGATCGTATCCGGGACGCTGTCGTTGATAAGCTTAGCGAGAACAAGACCATCTTTGCACTCGTCGAACATCTCAAAGGTGTCGGTTGGGAAGGGTAATCGACTCCCGATATCGGGGTCGCCGGCCAATACGGCGTTGATGTGGCGAGTAAACTCGGTTCGCTCATCCTCATTGATAGTGTGAGTGACGTTGGCACTGGAGCCTTGGACATGGATCTTGCCGATGCTTCCTTTGGAGGAATGTCCACCTGTCCTCTGAGCTACAACACCTGCCGGAGAAGACGGTGCGACACCACCAGTATTCATACGCCGTTGCGCGGGAGACGATTCGCGTAGCTTTGCGATCAACTTGAACAGATATCAGCACTAGAATCGGGATTTTCCCGCGGAACCATCTGCTACTTACGCCAACATAGTCTTCAAGTTCAACTCTTCGAGAAGAGTCAAGGTCGACTTCTTTCAGGGCTTGTCTCACAACATCGTATGGCTGTCGCTCGCTTTGCTGAGTAGCCTTGATGGCAGTAGCTTCGTCGAGATAGCCTTTATCGTCGACATCGAGTTTGCGGAAGGCGTCCGTTAGGGCGAATATGTCGCCCTGTTCGAATTGAGGATATTTCCTGGTTATAAGTATTTAGCTTGGCAATGAAAAAAGAAAAAGTAGTTCCCGCGAAATTACCTCTGAAGCTTGATGACGTTCATGACCAATAGACCCGGACTTGGGGAGTTCGCAATGACGGTTGATTGGGCCAAAAGATTGAAATGACAATTCACGATGTTTTCGCGTACCGGCCTTTCGGGATTACTTGCTATCGCTACCGTATATGTATAGCAGAAATTTAAGGAAAAGGCACCGGCTTTCGATAAAGGTCAATTTATGTGAATAAAGACAAGAAGCTCTCTGAGCTCAAATGTGTATTGCCTAGATCAGGCTACCTTCGGGTAGGAAGTCAGAAAGTAAGGGCCAACATTAGAAAGCGTATAGGAGGTTTCGGCGGGGGAGGGGGGCAAGCGGCTGCAATGCTACTGCTGCGACACCGACGTAATTTCTTTCATCCCCCTGCTTCTGGGTCTTGGCTACCTTGGCAAAGCCACAAGCCACAGTAACTTGCGTAAGGCTAAACGCGTACCTAAGTATATCCCAATTTAGGGCAGGCAGCAACCAAAGAGCCGGATGTGGTGGGAATTGAAGTGTTGCACAAACTTAGGTAGGTAGGTATATCAAGTAGTAGTACGTAGGTTCGCATAACTCCGAAGGCTCTAAGGTTTCTAATTTGAAGTATTTCCGCTATTACATCACACACCAATTAACGAACATGAAGCCATTCCCGCTTGCCATAATCGTGTATCATGGATGTTTCCAGAATACGATACTAGTCTGTGACTTTTCTACTCATATCGCAGATGGATACATACTACGTGGTTAAAGATACTTCTAATTATACTCAACCCACTACAGTTCAACAGGTACATGATGCTCAACCAATACTATCTTCACCGTGCTGCCTGATAATAGCCTCGGAATTTTGGTTGGCTTGACTTCTCTCGAATCAGGGCTAAACTGAGGGTCTATACTACAGTTGTCTCCCCCTCTTCATGGAGGGTCCGTTGGCGATCTCCAAGTGTTCCCACCAGACAGCACATCGCTTCTATACCTAACGTAATACAAAGGCAGATAATCGGCGCGTGTCTTGTCTTCATGGGAGTACAGGTGAGACTCAAGACTTGATATTATTGATTATCATTAAGTACATGATTATGTTCGGTCGAACGAATTTCCATGACGGTTCAACCCTCTTGTCCTCTGTAGGTACGAGGATAAGTATGTTTGGGGACTCGCAAACATGCACTCTTGTGATACAAGATTAGGAGAGCTAGGCAAAGATTGGCCAAGTCAATGAATCCCTAGTATTTGGACAGCCGTCCAGAAGAATAGAATCCGAGAACAGGGGTACGGATGGCTCCGCCTCGGGATACGGGCCCTAGAAGTTGGAGTATAGCAATTCCTTACTTAGGACGTGATCGAGTGAGGATGTTCTTTGCAGTTTGTTCCAAGTCTAGGTATATTATCTTTCGATGCGTGGGACGATTCCAAGCCAGGCGTCGGTTGTCGTCCCGATCAATAGGTCGTGTTCCATTGCCGTCGATAGGTAATCCCGATCCGCGACGCACAAGTGTCGCTTAGGTCATGCTGACAGCCCAACACCACCACGTCGAAATGTTGCACCTGACACATCATATGCGGCCATCCCTAAACCCCTGAACTTTACGCAGCGCCGAAGATGGTATCGGGGGCGATGGTGAAGTTCAAGCGCGGCCCGGCGAATTGGTTGTACTTAGTTTCGGCCTTTCCGGTGTAGTTCCACCACGTCGACGAAGTGTTCAGGTCGGTGAACTTAAGGCTGACTTGGATCTCAGGCCGAGAGAGCGTTTCGTTCGTCGCATTGCGTGGGAGGAGCTTAGCAACAACTGAATATTGACTTCCCGTATCCTCGAGAGCCGTACAAGCCCTGTAGTCGGCGCCCTCATCTTGGCCAGTGCAGTACGCCTTGAACGAGGGCTTGGCGGGGTGTGCCGTGCCATTTCCAATACCGGTCACATTGAAATCTAGAATGAACGAATAAGCAAGGAAGCTGATATGATAAGGACTCTTGGGAATCTACCATAGGAGCATGCTCCCTTTGAGCAACCAGCGCCCCATTCCGTCACCGTCCAATTCCAGGCCAAGGTGTTAGCCGCGATCCGCATCACAGCCGCCGATGCGGTGCTGGCGCAGACTACGGAAGCTAAGAGAGAAGAAACACGCATATTGACGAAATAATAATAATAATAATGTTTTTTAACGAAAGACTAAGGTGGCTAGTTCGAAATACTGGAAGTAATATCGAAACTTATATTAAACTAATGAGTGTGATGATATCACAGTCCGACCAGCCTACGGGATAAGAGAGTAGTTAAGGAGAGTCACGAACTTTTAAATGACAATCTGACCAACCAACATGGTAATCATGCTTTGTTGAAGGTAACATTCTTGGCTGCTTGGTACCTGTCGATTGCTTCTTGAAAGGAAACCAGGTGGATCTGATTCACTCGTGCAAGGTTGCAGGTAAAAATGGGAATATGGAGAATGTCCGTCAGTATCCCTGCGCTTGGAGGTTGATCAAAGGGATATAAACTAGCGCTATTGGTGAGTGAAGGAGCCAAGCGCGATGGCGCTAGGTTATTCTTATATCTGGCTGTCGATCCATCCAGATGGGGAATTAATCCAAGAAAGAGGAAATAAAAGGGGTCTTCCTCAAACTCCTACAGGATAGAGGTACTTCGAGATATGCAAGGAGACAAAGTCGCGGGAAAGTATCCCCCCTTCCCGTAGTCACCCCACACAGTCCACATCAGGTCGAACGGTACAAGCCAGATACCCACTAATATACTTAGATTAAACACACGCAACTCCTTATTCGTTAATTTCATTGTATTCTTTTCGATCCATGCGCCTCCTACGCCTCGTTTCTCTTACTCAGCGCCAATTCTTTCTACGCAGTAATCCTGTTACGAACCTCGGCTCTTCGATATAAAGACAATTATGTTACCGATTTAAAAGGCCCTAAAATGAATGAAATTGTCTATAAGCTAAGTAGGCTGCGTAGGTATGTAAGTCGCTTTAAGGGTTCACGTTGAATAAACTTGCATACCCTTCAACGCTACAACATTTACGCTTGTTGGTATACATATGTAGTATGCCAATGATCTTGTTCTATTGAACCCCATCCAAACCAACAGAATTCATCATTACATTATTTTAAACTGATTCCTCACCGCTGGGCAAATCTAAAGGAACGCTTACAGACCGCACGTGTATTCCTACGGGCGTAATACCGAATAATCTATTGAACCGTATCAAACCAGGTTCTATCTACCCACGATAGGCTTTTTGAAGAACATAAACTATTGGTTCGGGAAGCCATCATTATGTCTTAGCCGAAAGTTCACATGTGAGTTTCCACCACATCGACTCGGCCGGCTTAGCCTCATCCGAGTCTAGAACCGGAACTACCGATGCTCCGGATAGCATCACTCGAATATCTCGTTAAAATAAATGAATATTTACAATTCTCCCATAGAAGATGTATAGAAAGTGGGTAGGTATTCATCAAGATTTGCTTTGAACACATAATGCGATCCCACATATAGATAGGATCATTCCTAACCACGTATCTAGAGTCTGCTTAGCGAAGACACCTTGACGTGACAATGTTGATAACTCACTTTTACTTATAACCTTTTTGTCAACCCACCAATCGCCAAGTACGGTGAACAAGAAGGCCAGGGTGTTAACGATGGGCACGGTCAAGCTCAACTCTATAATAGCATGTTAGTGGCTCAGTTCGCCAGTACCTACCTAGATAGGTCAGGCTGTAGAATGACTGATAGACTTACCAGCTTGGCCTATGAGCAGGAAGAACCAGACGCTTCCTGTCAAGTTTATCAACAGTGGGATAGCATATCTCGGATTCCGTAACAAATCAATGACAGCGAAAAAGGCACCATAAAGTTTGCTTTTGAGCCAGCTCGCTTTCACGTCATCCCTTGCCAGCAACGGATGAGCCGGCGGGTTGTGATCTCGAGCCGCGCGCCGGATGAAAGGTGTAGTGAGTCCCCAAGCAAGACCGACAAGTAAGAAGCCGGCGACGTAGTTTATGGCTGGTGGTTGAGGTGGTGTTTGAGAAGATGACATGGTTGCGGACTTAAGTTGACAAGTAGGCAGTTGGTGAATGTTCGAAACCAATCCCGTCAGTGAGACAGGTGGGCTTTGGAGATGCATATTCAAGCCACAATGTGGCTTTTGCGATTATGTAATTATGTAATATTTACAACGTCTGTCATTCCCCGTGAACTGCGTTCAGATACTGGGTTTAATTATTAACATTTATAGCCTTCGTAAGTCACTTCAAATATAAATTAATTCTGTATCATGCTTAGTCTAGATGTTTAGTTGATTCTTACTGAATTGTATACCTATGCATAGGGGGAAATTATGAAAATCATGGATACATGTAGGAATTCTAAAGAAGTTCCATAGAAATCGTAAATGTTTAAACAATTGCTAACAACTCTAGTTCACCTTTGACAATTATTTTCGGCATTATAAAGGAAGTACGAAGGTGGAATATTTCTTACCTAGTAGAATTGGGTGTTTATCGTTTAATAATAAGGTAGGTATGATAAGGTTGTCCGTGCATTTTATAGCCTTTGAATTGACATCATGATTAAGCGGTCAACTCGTCATGTCTTTGCTAATTTTGCTTTTTGCTTAGTAACGTCATTACTTCTTCCACGCCTTTATACTCCTAGGCACGCACTTGCCAATGAATATGGCATATTATGAAGTCATACGACACATGGGAGGGATAGAACAGGATAATTGAGATAGCAACTTCTCAGCTTGGCTTGCTACACTACGATCCTTCTACATAATAGGACTTACCTGTAAACAATCCTAACGTAGGTATGTACATAATTTAATAATCTACACGGATGGTTGCAAATACTTAGAACTAATTGTCCGCTGCTTTCAATGCGGAAGTGGTGTGTGGTGCGATGGCTTTCGTCAAGTCGTCCATCTGGCTAAGCAAGCGTAGAAACTACTATATTATGCGTAGCCAAATATGGAACACTGTTTCTACCGTTTTGGTAGGGTAAATCTACATAGCAATAGACATATGTTGTCATCACTTATCCTTTGAGGCAGTTTCATGTTTTAGAGCCGCATCGTGGAGAAAGAGCCGTGGACCTACATACTTAATCCGGCAGCTTCACAGTTGGGTCCTTTAGTATGTGGTTGATGTATGGCCAATCGTTTGACGGTTAGCGGAGAAGACAATCCGTAGTTCCTGAAACTTTAACGTTTGCATCTCGAAACGGGTAGATCCTAAATCGCGATACACTTTAGTGTTATTATCCAACTCTTTCGTATCTAGTATGTAAGGAATTCTATGAAATCATACAACTCATTCCACTTAAGCTTAAAGTAGTTACGAGTGGCTTGAGTGGTGATGATATGACCCCTGACTACAGATAGTCATTGTCGTCATGACTTGATGATCCATACTGGATGAAAGAGATGATCAGTAAGGGAGTGGAAGTCACAAACTTGAGCCTGCTATACAATCTTGCACATTAAGTGCAATCGTAGCTTGAGGAGTTGTGTATAAAAAGGAGTGGGCACGCCATCTCCTCCCCGCTCATCTTGCAACCATCTTGCATCCACAACCAGCATCGTACTTCTTACCAAAACAACAGAATTCGCACCCAATACACCAAACCAATTAACTCAATCAAACACTCAACATGCCTACTGATGCCCAAGTTGCTGGCGGCCACAAGGCCACTTTGAACAACCCCAACGTTAGTCAAGAGGCCAAGGAGCATTCCAAGCAAGTCCTCGAAAATGACTTCAACGGCGGCGATGGTAGGTCACCGGTTTGACAGGATTTTTACAGACATGTTCTCTAATTGAATTCATAGTGCCCAAGGCTGGAGATGACGAAAGCAAGAACCCCGGAAATGTTGCCGGCGGTCTAAAGGCGTGAGTTTCCAAGTTCATTCAGGGAGACGACGTAACTCTTGCTAATGTGGCGTACAGAACTATGAAAAACCCGAATGTGTCGGAGGAAGCCAAGGAGAGTGCCAAGGAGCGCCTCGACAACATGTAGACACAGAATGTGGTGAAGTTTCTTATGCCTCACGCTGAGGCTTAGTCTCTGGCATTCGGGTAGTTGATGTAGCGAATATTCGGGTGTGGGCATAAACTATGGCGAATGGACTTTGTCGACTTAGCTAGAAATCCAATCAAGCATGTCCCACTACTTTACCCACACTTTACGAAAGCGAATTTTTTCTGTCCCCTTTGATTTGTGTCGGTATTTAAGATATGCAACTGTGGGTCGAAACCAACACACTCAACTAGATATGATGTGTTTGTCACACCGAATTGGTGCATGCAATTTGAAATGCCGGAGAATTTACAGCATAAAATCAACGACAACTAGACTTAAAAAGACGAATCTAATTTGTAGAAGGCTGTTGAAAATTTAGAGTCTAGAACATAGGCACCCATGGGTGTATCGAAGTATTTGACGAGAGCTAGATTCTCCCGAATTCCTTATTCTGTTCGAGAATCGACCTCGACTGATCGGCGTTGTTCTATATATGGGACGCCCCACAATCGCATACGACAGCGGCTTGTTCGTCAGCCTCGTAAATCGAGAGTGTAGATCCTGAACCATTCCAGCTGAACTTGCGCACTCACTGTCCGCCTTTAATGGTTCGTTATTGAATGATTGGTTTGTATTCAAAGTACATTTTACAATCACACTATGAGGATAGATAATCTTTCTGAACTTATATGTAGATATGAAAAAAAGGCATGAGCCTCCAACATTACGTTGATTGTTCATAAGATCAGCTGATATGGTCCTTTAACCGATACTGTGGGAATTGATCTGAGCCGTCGGAAAATATTGCCGGTCGCGTCATTTAGCTGTTTGGCTGTCTCGGCACGGTGCAGTGCCCTCGGGGATTGCGCGTCTGGGCTGTGTAAAGTAGGCATCGATAATTCCTAAAAGCGACGAAATGTAACAAAGCACGACATAAAATCGATTCCAGGAAACTCACTTGAGAGAATACGCCATGAACAGCATGATAGTAACATTTCGATAAACAGCAGATATGAGATAAGACTGGTACCTTGCAGAAAACGAGTCTAAAACAAGAAAATTGAAACCGAAGAAAATACCAGGGCAGCTTGATCCCTACCACGTACCTCGATCCTGCGTTCCTATTGGCCGAAGCCCACTAAACAAAGTCCCTGTCAGCTTCGTTCTTAGCATCGCGTTTTTTTGGGGAGGCGGGGTGTTGGACTGTGGAGGTTTTTACTAGCAATACCGGGCCTAGCGCCGTTACACCAGGAACCAGCAGGGGCTATTCAGCCAACCATAAGCCCCAACCTCATTATTTTCGTCACCAGCCACTGGAATTGCAGTCGCTACCCGCCTCAATTAGGTATGGTAGTCCCTTTTGTTACCCTCGTTAGCTTCCACATAGCTTCCACTCCTGCAAGTCATCGATTTTTCTTCTTTCTGCTTTCTGCACTCTCCTGCGTCCCGGTGGGCATAAGTCCAATTGGGTCCCTTCTACTTCATAATATTGAACGTTTAACTTGGTTCTCTTATTCATTGGTTTACTGGGCTTCGTGGGTTTTTTCCGTCAGACGTAATTTTCTTTCTCGTTCCAGTCGTTAGATCCCAACACCGACGACACCGACTCTCGCTTTGATCAACTTACCAGCTAAGCTTCGTGCAGCTTAGCGTAAATGAGGCTGGCTGGAACTTCAGAAAGTCAACAAAGACATTCATCCCTCTTCTCACGAACCGAGTAAACAAATAACGACGACCTGCGACTTCCGACTCCTAATTTTTTCTTTCTCATTGACCTCTGCTGGCACCCCCAATTGTGTCCATCGAACGAATATCCGACTACGATTTAAGACTCATGAGAGCTAATAAATAATTAAGCAAAATGACTGCCAAAACGAAACTATCCAACCCGTTGAATGGAATGCACACGGCCGGTATCTTTTCCGATATGAGTATCGATGGACCCGATATTGGAACACTAGTCCTTATCGTCGACCGAGCAAAGAACCTCCCAAACAGAAAGACCATCGGGAAACAAGATCCCTACTGTGCGGCACGGCTTGCAAAGGAAGCGAAGAAGACGACTACTGATATCAGAGGCGGACAAACTCCAAAATGGTGCGTATCTCATCTCATGATATTTATGTATCCTATCTAACGATTGAATCTGGTGTAGGGATCAAGAACTTCGGTTTAATGTTCACGACTCGCCTGATTATTACCAGCTGAAATTATCCGTTTTCAACGACGATAGGAAGACAGAATTGATAGGTGAAACCTGGATTGATCTTCGTGATATAGTCGTACGGGGTGGTGGCCAGAGTGACCAATGGCATAGCCTGAATTGCAAGGGCAAATATGCCGGTGAGGTCAGGATTGAGATCACCTATTATGACAGTCGCCCGAAGCCGGAGAAGCCAGTTGCGAAGCCGGCTGTAGCAGCTGCAAGCGCCGACCCAGATGTTGTAGTCGGATCTCAGAAAACCGCGGTAAAGCGACGTCCATTGCCGTCCGATCCAGTTACCGGCCAGGCGCCTTCGCCATCAGTGACAGAACAAGTTCACACGCCATCCCCACGAGCCCAGCCAAATCCGCCAGCCACCTTCGTCTCCAATCCGACACCACTACAGACGGTTGAATATGGCACGTCGCCTTCAAACAGGCCTAGCAACCTACCCGATCAGTACGCCCTAACACACCCCAGTGCGAACCAATACTCGACACCATCTCACCGAGCGGAACATCCACAATATCGAACTCTGGATAGGAATTATAAGTTCCCTACCCAGGAGAACGAACATTTGCGGCATCTGGATTCTTATGGCAGGACGTATGAGTCCGATCCTCGAGCATCTTTCAATGCTTATGATTCTCCCTCACCACTTGTTCATCAGCCCCGACAGTCAATTGAGAATGATGACTGTCCTCCGCCTCCACCTGTACATCGAGTAAGGAACTCGAGTGGAACTTCACATGAACTTGTACCTCGTGGCGCATTTGATGCTCCCCAGCATAAGGCTGCACCACTGATGAGGCATGACGTTTTACGAAGTGAAGCTCATCGATACTCAGTATCCTCCCCCTCATCTTCTTACCCAGGACGACCTACATATCGTCCGTTTGAATCCGCACCGGAAGTACAAAGCACGGCACAGTACCACGAGAACGATGTCGGCCATCAATCTGCTCCGCGACATTATTCTTACGATTCGGCATATGAGGCCCAATATCGATCGATGCAGCCGACAGTGGAGGATGTTCCAGAGTCTTGGACGCCACCGAGCGCTAGAAGTAGACTTAGCGGGTCCCGGGCGCTCGAATACGATGAACGGGAGTTCCACCAAGCCTCAAGTCCTGCACCGTTGAATATAGGTGGACGAGGAAGTGCGGGATCTGGTCATTATAGCCCTTCTCCTATTCCATCACAACAGCAGTACGAACCTAACGGCTTCAGTCCATCACCAGAGCCGATGGCTTCCGAAGATTATTCTCAAGCGCTTACCCTGGTATCTCGGCCGTATTCAAAGTACAACGAACGTACTTATAATCACCCAAGTGAGCTAGAAGACAGCCAGGTTCATACCTCAGGCGATTATGATCTAGCTCCTGTTCCTCCAACACTAGTTCCAGGAGTTGACCCTGCCTTAGCACGAGAGATCTCAGATCGATTTCATCAAGAGAGAAAGCAGGGCCACCGATATACGCAGCCTATCCCTATGGATATTCCAGCTCGAGGTAGACAGCAAAGCGATCCGCCGTCGAATTACCTCGTTAAATATTCACCCAACACCCACCATATGAATACCTCGAGATCTTATGAAAGAAGTGTTGTCCCTTATTCCAGTGGGCCGACCACTGCTTCTGTTCCAGCGCCTGTTTCCAGACCGCGGGGAACGTCTCCTAACCCAAATGCTAATCATACGATCAAGCGAAAGTCAGTTAGCCCAGCTCCGCCTCCACCTGACGCTCGGCGACTCTCGGGTATCCCTTTCGGTCCGGATTCGTACGATGCTCTGAACCCTACTGTTGCATCGACTAAGGACGGATCAAAGTCCATGGAATACACCAATGCAGAGGGGAAAATTATAACCCCAGATGGCAGAGAGGTTGATCCTTCGGATCACTTACCCATGGAAAGCTGGGCACCGGAGCCAGAGCCAAAGAAATCGGCCGAGCCTTCCCAGACACGGTCACGTCCAATTCCTGCGGGGGCACAACCAATGCCACCCTCAGGTCGGCGTGCACCTCGTGAACTTGCTCGTCCGCAGTCTATGGCTGGTCTACAGACCGCATACACTACTGAGATTGTACCTTCTCCACCTGCAAGTACGGGACGTAACCGGTTACAAAAGAAAACGCATCGTGCATCAGCCTTACCAGCACCTATCTCTTCGGGGCCTAGCCCCCTCGGTCCTTCAACGCCCCACCAGCGCAATAGTACGCCCCCAAGAGCACTTGTCCGTGCGAGCACATTCGACTATGAGAATCATGGACCTGGCGTTGCTCGTACGGGATATGGTAGCGGACCGCCGATTCCGGCCAAGATCCCAATGATGAGCGGTGGCTTAGGACCGTCATCCGGGCGAGGTGATGATGAATGGGCACTAATGGAGGAGATGAGCAGAATCGATATTGGCACGGGCAGAGCACGACGGCACGGCGGGTATTGAGAACACGAAATATCACGAATTCTTAAGAGAAGGCGTTGTACAGTATAATGTTTCAAAAGGAGGCGTGGGTGATTTTGTGCTTGTGATGTTCCATCATTCTCTTTTCTTCAGTTCCTATCTGGCCTGGCATATAGGGTTCCTTGCAACATTGGGGGTCAATCGCGTTTAGTCGTGGTGATTTAGACAAGACGCTCGGGAGGGTATCTATCTGGTGCGTGAAAAATGTGGAGGGCCGAATGAAACATCGTCTAAATATTAGTTTAGACTTATTGTGAACACCTCGCTGTGTCACAATTTAGAAGCCGGAAAGCCAACCTGAGGACTACCTAAGCAGGTGGCAGATAGCTTCAGTTCTACACAGAACAGTTTCGGTCAGGTACCTCGCAAATACACGAAACTTCAAATGATTTATACGTATTGTGTCGCTTGTGATGTCGAGTGTCTGTCCATGTGCAACCTCATGTTCTTGTAGGTAAGAGGATACAAGGTTTTTCTATTTAGATTTGTGTTCTACTACCAAATGCAAAAGTTATTACATGGTATCTCTACTCGGAAGGTAGCGAGTCTGGTAGTAGGTAAACCACCAGACCTTTCTCTTGCCGTCTGCCCTTTTCCCTTCTTCCTGCATAAACTTACGATACCCGGCGGCGATGTCTGGTTCGTTCGAGTACCTCGATATCAAGCCCCGTTCCTGAATCGCGACCTTTGTCAATGGGTTAATACCATCGACTTGATTGTTTTTCTTTTTCCCGACCTGCAACACCATCGCCATGCATAAAAAAAAGGGAAAACCAACTCGTGACTGTCTCTTCTCCTTTCGACTCCGATCGACTTGCCGCTCTTCTATCTCTCCCATCTATCTACTTATCTCTAAGGCAGCACGTAACGTACAACCGAATAAGCAAAACCAGTGCTGAAACCCCATGGCCATGACCATCATCATCATCACTCCATCCCAACCAGCAAAGTCCCCAGCATGCCGCCGGTCTGCGTCGCCATCTGCGCCCTCTCGACCTCGAGGCGGACGCGGCGGTGCAGCGTCTTGAAGGCGGTCTGGAGCTCGGCGCTGCCGCCGACGAACTCGGCGTACAGGTCGAGCAGGTGTGCGGCGACGTCGACGCAGACGCCGACGTAGCGCGGGTCCACGACGTGCGTCTGCACCCACTTGAGCACGGGCTGGACGGTGTTCTCGTCGCGGCCCTCGAGCGCGTCGCGCAGCGCGCTGCGGTGCCGCAGCGCCGTGAGCACCGTCAGCACCGTCAGCGAGCTGTGGTCCTTGGCGCGCGCGTCCAGGACGCGATCGAGCGCCGCGCCGAACCGGCCGTGCCGCAGGTCCTTCTGCCACGCCGTCTCGCGCCGCGGCCGCGACAGGTCGTTGGCGATGACCACGTCGGCGCCCTCGCCCACCATGTCCAGACGCCGCGAGGCGGCGTGGCGCTGCTTCCGCTTCTTGCTCGCCTGGTCGTGCGCGTCGATGGTGCCGGCGAGCAGGGCCGACATCTCCTTCTCGCGCTCGCGCTCGCGCGCGGCCTCGGGCCCCGTGAGCCGCGTGCGCAGCGAGAGCACGCCGGACTGCATGCCGACGGCGAGGTGGCGGTCGTCGTCGTTGGCGCCGGCGGTGACGACGCGGACGGCGAGCACGGGGGAGGGGTACTTGGCGCCGGCGACGACGTTCCAGCCGGTCGTCTCGAAGATCTTGACGTGGCCGTCGAGGCCGCCGGAGACGAGGCGGCGGCCGTTGGAGGCGAGCGAGAGCGAGGTGACGGTCTTCTGGTGGTTGGAGATGAGGTGCTGCGGCTTGGCGGCGACGAGGTCGAGCACGGAGATCTGGTTCTCGGACGAGGCGAGCACGGTGGTGCCGGACGGCAGCGGCAGCACGTCCTCGATGGGCGCGGCGTGCTTGAAGGTCATGACGGCCGTGCCGGGCGTGCGCGGGTCCCAGAGCTTGACCGTCGCGTCGTAGCTGCCGGAGACCAACATGTTCGACATGGTCCCGGGCATGAAGCTGCCGCTGCGCACGTAGTCGCCGTGGCCTACGAACGTCGACGTGCTCTCTTGACTAGGCAGGTCCCATAGCCGCACGGTCTTGTCGTCGCTCGTGCTCATAAGAGTGGTGAGGTCGGCCGGCGAGAACTTGGTCGTCCATACCGGCTGTTTGTGTTGCGTCCATGTCTTCAGAATGGCTCGCGACCCGACGTCGAATACCTGGACCTTTCCCGTGTCGTCTCCAGCCACCAATATACGACCGTCCCGCCGTACGTCTCCGCTCCGCGCAATGTCCCCGAAACGAGTGATCGTCTTTACCAGCTTCCTTGTTCTTATAGAGTAGATCTGGACTCGGGTGCCGGTCGTGACGGCGAAATAGTCATTGTTGGAGGAGCCAATTGTATCTGGATTCGTCGCTGGGACGGTGATGTGTGTGATGGGGTATTGCGTCGGCGATGGAAGCACAAGTTGGTTCTTGAATGACTTCCAATATCGCTGCTCTGCGGTAATTGGCGAAGGCCCAGAAGGCAGCTTCAGCTGCTGGAGTGGCGTGACCTCTGCCGCCATCGTTAATGGAACTAATATCGCTGTCGTGTGCCTCCGTTTGGGGGAGAAAAAAACGGCGAATTGAGTTGAATTAACTTTTTTTTTCTTCTTAGAGGTCGGTCAATCCAACAAATTTCCGCCGACGATCCACTACGATAAGACATTTGATAATGTTGTACCTGAGTACCCGTAACAAAGTGGATCACGAGCTGTGGCTGGAGAACTGCACGGTACGTATTTACAAATGTACCTTGTATATTAAGCGGGCCTTGACAGGTGCCTCGGTAACTTTAGGTGTAAGGTGACCGTTACGAAGCCGGGACTACTGGGGCATATATAGAATTACCGTCATCTATTTAACGTTTCCAAAGACATTGTATTATTTAATTTTCGGTTATATCGAATTATTCACTGCCAGACTAAGGGTACGGATCATGTCTCGGTTAGAAGGATACTCTGACTTCAAATACTTTCTGATCTCATCACCCTCTGAATATGTGGCTCATGTCGAGATCAACCGACCATCTAAGCTGAACGCTTTCACGGAGGAGATGTGGACCGAGCTAGGAACAGCATTTGCGAGACTATCTCACGATCCCGAAGTTCGTGCTGTAGTCTTCTCCGCAGCCGGTGACCGGGCGTTCACGGCTGGCCTAGATGTACAAGCGGCTAGCCAGGGAGGCCTTGTAGGGGGTAGTGGTGAGAAGCTAGATATGGCAAGGCAGGCAACGAAACATCGGCGTCAGATTGTCCAGTTCCAGGACTGCATAGGCCAGATAGAGAAATGCGAGAAGCGTGAGCAACCCATCATCCCGTACTGTCTAAATTAACCATCAACTAACCGGACGCAAGCTGTGATCCTTGTGATGCACGGCATATCCATCGGCCTGGCTATCGATATTGCCTGCTGTGCTGACATTAGAATATGCTCGAAAGACACCAAGTTTGCCGTGAAGGAGGTCGATATTGGCATGGCCGCAGATATAGGGACTTTAAGCAGACTACCCAAGATCGTCTCGAGTTTTTCGTGGGTGAAAGATGTCTGCTTGACAGCTCGAGGCTTCGGTGCCGATGAGGCCCTCGCTGTCGGGTTTGTGAGCCAGGTACTAGAAACCAAGGCCAAGGCCGTCGAGGTGGCTGTAAAGTTAGCGACTTTTATAGCCTCGAAAAGCCCTGTCGCCGTCCAGGGCACGAAAGAACTCTTGAACCATGCGAGAGACAATACTGTTGCAGATAGTAAGTGTGGCTTAATCGTATACCTAGCTAGCTTTAGCTAACCGAACTAGGCTTGAGATACACCAGCATATGGAACCAAGCGATGCTCCAATCCGATGACTTCAAATCCGCATTGCTCTCTGGACTGAAAAAGACCAAGCCAAGATTTGAGAAACTATAGCTTGGTGCTAGCAGGATATACTTACGAATATACCAACACGTTTCAACTTTAAGTGTATCAAGAGCTGGTGTCAAAAAAACTAGTATTCTGCGTCAATCCTAGAACGCCGTATCAGATGCACGACCTAGAAATTATGTACAACTATTTGTAGAGGGATTCCAGTTTCAAAAGTTGTTCCCTTATTTGACGTCTTGATCGGAATCTGAGTCGTCCTCTACATCGGGGACATTTTCCTTTAGACGCTGTCATATATTAGTAGCTAGAAATAAGAATTCAAAAGTACCTGATTAGACACACCTTGTCAAGCTCCATCTTCAACTGAGTCACCATGTTGTCTTTGATCACCAGATGAGATTCGTCAAGGTCCTCAATTATATAATCATTATTCTCGCTATCGATGCTGATAATGATTGATTTAATCGAAGGGTCGCACTCGACCAAAGTTCCTAGGGACATAAATCAGGACCCGAGCCATAAGAATTATGTATGTAGTAAGCCGAAGGAATTAAACCAACCCTTGATTGCCCGAACCATCGCGTTTGGCGATAGATGAACGGTGGCAAATTGACTGCTCCTTACTAAAATTCAAAGGTGCCGAAGCCTGAAGATATTTGGTTGTCGGTATGGAAGCTTTATCGTCGTTACTGTGTGAGTCCTGAGTTCCAAGATTGTTATTTCAGATGATAGTGGTGATTGTTTGAGAAAGACAAGGATTTCATGTATTGACGATGTTTAAGGTAGGATTCTAGGCTTAGTTGGTTTTACCGGCTTAGATGTTAAATACTCCCCCACAGTAGGTATCTGCAGCGCAGTTTTTGTACCTGCCATCGCCAGGGATCCACAAAAATCTCTAAATTCATCAAATAGAGTTTAGTGAGAAAGCTGGTGGGTCTTTAGGTACATGCAATCGTCGTACCTTCCTTCATGCTTTGGAATAATTACCTTTAAAAACCATGGAACCTTGAAGCTTCTTTGAAATCTCGATATCCAAATTACATTTTCTCTTATTACATATGTAGATAAAGCACCAAGCGGCATATGAAAGGGTATATATCATATATACATATACGCGGATCATCTGTATAAAACCAACACACACCTAGGTACTTCGTAAGTCTCTTCAAAGAACGGAACTTCAAAGAATCTCTTAGAGAAGCAAAGTTGGTAACCCGTCACAATTTGGGAAGCAAATAATTATTATATGTAATGAACCTATGCAAGGCAGTTGGTAAGGTAAAAAGCGTCCAATATGAACAAACCAAACAACTTGTCGGACATTTTCTTATTCGTATTCTATGTATATCTAAATACGGGACAAGATGCCCCAACGACGCCAACCAATGTAAAGTAGCTTTATGTACCAAGGCGGCGGGGCGATGACTGCTAGCGCCGTTCTTTCCTGGGCGGTTACGTACGTCGTACACTAGCGGACGCTGGGTACATTGACAATAGGTAAGTACATAACGTGGTGTTGCAAGATAAAGCTTGGTCAACTTAGCGTTCCGAACTTACCGGGTCCCATCTTGCCCATCTCGAAATCCGCCTGGGCAAAATCCAGATATATTCAACTTTCTCCTGTGTGAGACAATTCCATTGGTTACGACTCTACCTGACCTGTCTTAGCAAGATGCATACTATAGAATAGAGAGCCAAGAAGCCAAGAATACCTCGTTATTCACATCATCCCGTCTCTTTGTCTGCCGATCAAATACATTGTACCATCAACAAATTCAGTCAAGCTGCCGTCAAACGGCTCCAGAAGTTCTATTGTAGATCTATTCCCATGTGATGCTTTCGCAAGCGCAGCGTTGCAAAGCCGACAGCACACGATACAACGCCACCCACCAGACCTTAGATGAAATCATCACCCTCCATTATCACTCCTTCGACTCCCAGTACTACATACGAACTCCGCTCTCTATGTCACACTCGACATACTCTACTTCGCCTATAGATATTAAATCTTCTATATACATCACCATCTCCAATTCGACATATAACCCGTCGCTTCGATATCTAAGTTAATTGACTACCCATTCGATTCGATTTGAAGCACGCGATAAGCGGCAAGAATAAACAAAATGGACAACGGCGACGGCGACGGCGACTCTGGTAATATCTTCTCAACATATCCCTTCTCATGGGTCTTGGTTCCGCTCATCATATTTGTCGGTGGCGGAACGCTGCTCATGTGTTACCGTTACCGTCGACGCAGAAAGCTGCGCATGCTTTACGGTACCAACGCCTTAGAACAAGATATAGAAGCGATGGGGCGGCGACCGAGGCAGAGGCCGCCGAACGAGCGACGGGAACGTGGACAAAGGCGAGGGTTAGGCTTTGGGTTTGGTAGTAGGGAGGAGGGGTTGAACGAGTTGGGCGAAGCGCCGCCGGCCTATACCGCACCGCAGAAACAACCCGAAGACACGGAGGGCGTAGAGTTGAGACCCATACCACAACCACCGGATATCACAAATACGGAGGGCGCTAGTACAAGCAGACCACCCGCTTACGAAGATTTACAACAAGGAGCGGACCAGTCCGAAACCCAATCCGCTGCGCCGACCTCAACTTCGAATTTACCGGAACCGCCCCCAAGAGCGGTCTTAAGCTCGAGTTGAATTATATATTTGAAGTAAAATACGAGTGAACGGGACAATGTATCTGCATACGGCAAAGGAGTTAGGGGATAGCATATTGATTGGGTAATTTTAAAGTTTTAATGGGATCCTGAAGCCCGGGATCAAAGGGGATATGATATGTCGAACGGCGATTCAACATATTGGTGTATTAGGTTGCATAGATCATTGGCCTCCGCATGGTGGAAATAGTCAGTCTCGCGTGGCATTTGCCTCGGATTGACGTTAGGTGTATCAGGGGTATTCTCTAATCTTAATGGATACTAACACCTTACACCTTCGGACCGCACAAATTCGACGCCCTTTTCGAGAGCATCGTAACTGAACCAAATTTTTAAGAGATGCTCAATGATGGCCACCCACGTTGGTATCTTTTTATTCTTTAGATACTATTCTTACACATCTATCAACGGTAGATAATACGCAGACTATTATTCTAAAACCTTTCAACGATCGCCGGCGGCTTGTTCCCTAGTATTTCATCGACCTTGGCCATGATTTCCGGCGTTAGCTTGTCTATGGCTTCAAGAGCCCGCACATTCTCATAAACCTGCTCGGCACTACTAGCTCCTGTTATGGCCGAACTCACATGAGGGTTCTTTAGTACCCACGCCAGGGCCAGCTGACTCTGTTTGATGCCCAGTTGGTTCGCAATGGGCTCCAATTTGTTCACTTGCTCAACGAAACCATCCCACTTCTCCTTGCCCGTTCGTCTCCAGAAACCGGCGATAAATTCGACCGACTTTTGAGCGAATCGTGAGTCGGACGGGATTCCGTCCCGGTACTTGCCAGTGAGAATACCCGATTTCATAGGCGAGAATACGGTCAGTCCTAGACCAACTTCCCGGTACAAGTGCGCAAACTCCCTCTCTACCTTCTCGCGGTCTAGCATGTTATAAAGCGGCTGCTCCATGACGGGACCTATGAGACCCAACCTATCCGCGTGACGCCAGGCCGCAGCAATTTCGTCCGCGTTCCATTCTGATGTGCCCCAATATAATGCCTTTCCGGTGTTGATCAAGTGGTTGAAGGCGCGAACTGTCTCTTCCATCGGAGTCAATCTATCCGGGCGGTGGGCGTAGATCAAGTCCACGTAATCGAGTCCCAGGCGAGATAGGGAGGCATTCGCGCCCTCAATAACGTGCTTTCGGCTGAGACCCTTGTTGTTCACAGGGTTGTCACCAAAAGCAGCACCCCAATAGATCTTGAGAAATGTCAGCATCAGCGTCCAACCCCGAAAATTCAAAGCCGCTGTTTGTATTATTGCAATACCTTTGTTGAGATAACGAGATCGTTGCGTTTCCAGCCGAATTTCCTAATCGCCTCGCCCATAACTTCTTCCGACTTGCCCCCTAAACATCCTCTACGTTAATCCAAGGACTTTAACGTGCCTCCGGGAGTCCCATGGGCAGACTACCTTACCTGCATAGACCTCGGCACAGTCGAAGAAGTTTATACCGCTGTCGTAAGCGGCTTTCATACATGCGAATGTGTTCTCTGTCACCTCGCGTTAGCAACTAGCTCGTATGCTTGCGGGCAGGCAATTCACCATTATCAACGTGTCCGCCGTAAGTGAGCCAGCCACCTAAAGAGATGGCCGAGACGTGGAGGCCGGATCGGCCCAGGAGACGGTAAGTCATTTTTGGAAGGTTGGGAGGGGCCGACATCTCGGTGGTATAGCCAGAAGCAATTTTCAACTATCGTTAGTATATGGATAAATACAATTAGGGTTAAAAAGTTCGCTCCAGGTGACAGAAGTGAGGAAGCCGTACTTATAATTTTCAAGTTGCTCCTATTTGCTTGTTTCGTCGGGCAGAAGAGAGACACTGCGCTACCGGACGTCAAATATCACCCATTGTAACCCGAGCCGTTAACCCCCTTGCTCTTCTCACTGACCCTCCAAACCCCACCCAAGCCGCATACGTACAGGTAGGTATCCATGGATGCTTTGATATACAAGAAGTAGACTATAGCCACCTACCTACTCATATTCAAGCACTTCGTACATATGTACTTTATGTCTTAATAGGTGGCTTTTGGCGGCAATGTACCATTAAGGGTTTCTCAAATTCAAGATAGAAGCTTTTATGCCCTAAAGAGCCATGGTCATTAGTACATACTCAAGAAGATATATAGTTAGATTCCCAGTAGTATCTTCTAATAAATACTCAAAATAAAAATGATTGTTTTGACATATCTAGTACTCATTTACACCATAGATAATGCTAATAATACAATGATAAGTCTAATTATTTATAATGAATATGACATATTTTATGATCAGTTAACTCTCACTGTTATCACTAGGAGTCCATGTGTTTGCATTGCTCGTTAATGTTCCCTTTGTTTCTCTATAGTTATCAATTCCACACCCCTTTTTGGGTTGCTTACCTACCTGAGGACCTGTAGCAGTATTACACTAGTAGGTAGCTGAAGCTATTTTATTCTAGTTAGGTAACTAGAGCAACACCTCTTTCAAGTACAAATTTGGAGCTCGGTTTCAAATAAGACCTAGTTTCACAGTATTCATTTCAATTTCATACAAATTCTACAACACTTCCAACTCAACATTACCAACTACCTACTTATCGAAGTGACCACATAGGCATAATCCTAGTCTTTATAACTTAAAAAACGCCTTACCGGAAGCAATTTACCTCTGATGTTTTCTTTTGCGTAGTAGCAGCTCCTTATACTTCCAGTCAAGTACTCAGAATAGCGTACTATGTAGGTACCTAGGCAGAACGCCAATATCAATACAACGGATACATTTACAAGGTCCAGTTCATACATAGTTTCTTTGGTTGAATCTTCGAGGATCTAGATGCTCTGCCATGATTAGATGACTAGTGGATAATGGAAAACTCATGTTGCCTAGGAAGACAAATATTCAAGTATTTACATGTACCTATATTGTCATTGAATCGCAAAGATCTTGTTTTAAGACTATAACTTACATACCTACCCAGGCACCTAAGTGAAACCGATAGCATTGTGTAAGGGGTGCCAAAGAAGAAAAGCCAGACCTATAGCATAGCCCGTAGCCGATCGACCTGATCTACCTACCTAGGTATGATGTGAGGTCCTCATACTGGGGATATATCCATAAGCCGACGTCGACTTTTAATGATAGTTGAGCATCTATCGTTTGGTACGTCCTGAGACCTTGTCTCCAAGCATTCAAGGTACTAATATCTACATTACTAGCCCTTATATTAGTATGAAGAGATATGTAGCTAGTATGTATGATGACCGTTTGACTGAGCATAAGGCAACTGCCACCGGCCATGCCGTTTAACCCACACGTTAAACCTTCCTCATGCCGTTTTAACATGCCTGGAATATAGTAAATCAGAGAACGCGGTTTCCCCAGGCAGTGAGGTTCGATTTCGAAAATGCCCATTGTAAAAGTATTTCCTACCAAGGTCACACTTTTCCTTCCACCCTCTCCTTTATTTACCACACAAGGATTCTCCCTTGATCACCCATCTTCACACACCATCTCTCCGCTTCCCCTCTCAATCTCTCTGCGGTCTTCTACCACAGAAAGTTGAGACTAGGTATTGCGCCTGCGCAGAAGCTGACTTCAAGCTTCTCTGCACACTCCTTCGTGATTTCTTTTCTTCCATTTCCTGTCATCACTATAAGGTATGTGAATCAAATGCTGTTTTTACCATGTTGATTTTCCTTTTCTCATGCCACCTACACGTGCCCCTTCACATTATTTCCCATTCCCTGTTTTTCATTTTCATTTCTGCCTTACTCTATACTTCTGTTGCTTGCCTAGGCCCTAGATACCGGGCTTAGGTAGAACGGAGTGAGTGAGTTGGCACCCACCATTCTACCAAACAGAAACCGACCTCGGGAGTAGTTCTCCTTCTCTATTTTCTAGTGGTACTGCATGCTTTTCTTTTCTTTTCTTTTTCTTTTTTTTTTCTCTCAGCCAGGCCAACTTTATCACATCACACTTGAATACCTAAGTAAGTATCAGTGGCTGAACCCTTGAGATTTCTAAGAACTTATACCTCGGTCACTTCTGCTCTTTTCCCCTATCTATAAATTCCCTTTGCTCATCTTCTAAACATTATTGTCACATCCCATCACCGGTCAATGTCTTGTGGTTTGCCATTTCCTCAAGATAAACTTGACTGCACTTCGCGTTTCTATCACTCAGGATATCGCTGACCCAGTTACCAAGTCTTTCCACAAGCAATCACCATGTCCGACTGGGGCGACCATCGCGCCAATGCCATCTCCACCAATGAGTGGGATGACGGCGGCGCCGCTTCCAACGTTGGTATTGATTTTGGTTCCCATGATGACACCCTTGCTGGTGCTAATGCCGATGCCGATGCTGGTGGCTCCTTTGGCGGCCCTGGTGGAGGTGGAGGTGGAGGTGGAGATGACCGAGCTTGCTTCAATTGTGGTGAAGCAGGGTAAGTCGAATAACCTACTATTCACGACGTTAGCTAATGATGCCAAAGACACCAGAAGTCCGACTGCCCCAAGCCTCGTATCATGAAGTGTCGACACTGTAACGCTGTGGACCATCTAATCCGCGACTGTCCCACTGCTCCTCCCCAGGAGTTCACTGGTGAGTGTCGAAATTGCCATGAGGACGGCCACATGGCCAAGGACTGTCCCAAGAAGGTTCCCATCGTTTGCAACAACTGCGGTCAGGAAGGTAAGAGTCCAAAATAATCGATACTTCCCATGGTTGGGTTCGTAGATAGCTGATTGCATGGGTTTCAACAGGCCACGTTTCCTTTGGCTGCGAGAATGCCCGCAAGATCGACCGCTCAGCCTTCCGTGAGGTTAACGCTGAGATAGCTTGGCAGAAGATCATGCAAGGAATTGCAGACAAGGACGTGGACGATGTCAAGGAAGGTATCCAGGAGTATGTCAAGAGTCAGCCTGATACTACTTACGCTGATCTGGAGGAATCCTTCCGTGGCCAGGGCATTCAGTTCTACTTGATGGCCCTCGAGAATCCCGCACTGATGCCGACTCACACCCACATGGATCTTCAAGGTAACCTTGACAAGAAATACCGCGTTCATTATCGCTGGAATGACAAGCCGCTCCGTCGCCGCGAGGCCGATCACTTCCCTAAGTCAGCAGAGGAGAATATGGCGCGTCTCCGAAATGCCGGTGAGACCGTTGAACGTGGTGTGCCCAAGTGCCTCAACTGTGGTGAGCTTGGCCATATCTCGAAGCGATGCCCGCAAGAGAAGGTCCAAAAGGAGCAAACTGTCATCACGTGCTTCAACTGCGACCAGCCAGGCCACCGTATCCGCGACTGTAAGTTCAACCAAAGAAGCTCGGTTTCATTCTATACTAACAATCAAAGGTCCGGAGCCACGCAAGGTTAAATTTGGTTGCAAGAACTGCGGGTAAGTCACATATCGTCCGATTTGCATACCGTTCATCGCTGATCACGTATATGATTTAGCCAAGAGGGCCACATTGCCAAAGACTGTAAGAAAAGTTATCATTGCCATGTTCAAGTTCCTTATTGACGAATTCATAGGTCCCGTGCCTCGTCGCGCCCCTGATGATCTGGAGTGTCGCAACTGTGGTGGAAGTGAGTTAACTACCAACATTATCAAACGAATTATGAGTAAAACTAACTGGTTTTCTCAGCTGGTCATTACGCCAAGGATTGCCCCCAAGGAGGTGGTCGTAGTCGCGCGTGTTTCAACTGTCATGAAGAGGGCCACAATTCCAAAGACTGTCCGAACCCGAAGAAGATCCAGTGCCGCAACTGCGATGAGTTCGGACACGTGTCGAAGGACTGCCCCAAGCCTCGTGACTGTAAGTACTATCAATATGCCTATTTGTATGTCCTAATTAGAAGGCTAACACCCAAAAAAGACAGCCGAGTGAAGTGCAACCAGTGTGGACAGATGGGACACACTCAAGTCCGATGCAAGGCTGAAAAGGCGCCTATCGATGACGAGATTCCCGACAAACCTGCCCGCGACGATGCCGACGATGGTGCTTTCGCTGGTGCCCAAGGAGGCGCCCCTGGTGCCTCAGATGCTTGGGAGTCGAACGCCTTCTCTGGTGCAGCTGGCGGCGAAGACTGGGAGAAGAATACCTGGAATGCAGGCAACGAGGCCGCTGGTCAGTGGTAAACATTCGTAGAATGTTGGGACGGCTTTTTGATCCCAGGAATCTCGGTTTCTCTGGTATCCACGTTTCCGTCTATGCCCCTTTTGTGTGTTTTTTTGATGCTGAGAGGCAGGGAAGTTCCGTCTCACATCATGGCTACTGGCTAAGAGAGTTAATCCATAAGTGATGGACGATAGAAGTCACAGCAAAGATAGGTAGTGCCATACAATAAACACCAATGATATGACCCTAGTCTGAGGACTTCTTTGATGTCGGTGACTTGGTATTGGTGCTAAATAAGAATGTCTAACAATTTAGGACCTTGGTAAATTATGAAATCGATGGCGATGTACACATTTCTGCGGTACTCTCGGAACCACAAATGACAAGACTAAGTTGAGTAAAGAGTTTACGAAGGTGGCTTCGGGGATCGACTAAAGGCGTTTTAACTGTATCCGCCACCAAAACATAGGTGCTGCACGACGCCGTCATTCTAGTGGTATTTTCATATCTTCATTAGAGCATTTTTCTAGGAAAAGCGTCAAATTAGTCTGGAAGATCCGGGACGACTATCGGTCAAAACCATAGGGAAAGGAAAGGTTTACTTCACGCCTTTACCCTCCATAATCACTTATATCTTCAAATTTCCAAATACTGCCGAACGATGTCAATAGAATAAGCTACACTCTTAGCCCTTCTTGAATTGAGAAATTCTGGATTCTCTAGATGAAGTAGTTACAGAAGGTTTGCAACGAACTGTTACAGCGTCTCGAAATATATTTTCATCAAATTAGTAGCCTAAGAATGGTTACGTACAGGGACGACGCCTGATGCTCATATAACACCGTATATCTTAGCTACATAAAATGTGTGAGAAGCCTGATGAGAAAGGGGTGCCGATTCGGATTTTGGTGGAGGGATAATTTCTTATCGATTAAAAGATATCAGGCATCGTCCATTGGCCGGGATCCTCCAGGCACCCCCAATTAGACAATCTCTGGCAAACGGCGTTTGAGCTGCCCCGCAATGTTGACAGGGATGTCAATTGCCCCTCCATAACCAAGCCATAAACATTGCGCATTCAATTGTACAAGCTTCCAACCAAGCCTCTCTATAAATGCCCAATGCGTTGACTCTATTTCATACTAGAAATTCCTCGACAAGCAAGCTTTGAATAAATTCGTTATTATATGAGAGTATATAAGAGGCTAGATCATTAAGCGGAATGTCGATAACCATCGAAAAAATACTTGCAGCTTCTCCAGTGACAACGAGGGGACAGCCGACTCACCTGTCAGCTGATGCCAAAGGGGAAAGAATAACTTATGCTGTAAGTGTTCTCATGCTCCATACGATGCAAGTGAACGGATATTGGACCTGACATAGGCAACCCCAGTCTGGAAAATCGATCTTCGTTCGATCCATCGACGATCCTTCTAGTAGCAAGCAATACACCGGCCACACAGCCCAAACTACTGTAGCCAAGTTCTCCCCAAGCGGATTCTACATCGCCAGCGGCGATGTCTCAGGCTCGGTTCGTGTATGGGACTCGATAGAAGCTGAGAACACTAAAGGTACAAGTTATTAACTCCGGGGTATGTTGATGTTTCAGATACCAAGCTAACACATCGCTCTGTTTAGGTGAATATCACATTGTCTCGGGTCGCATCAACGACATTGCCTGGGATGGTGATTCACAACGCATTATCGCCGTTGGCGATGGTCGCGAGCGGTTTGGACACGCCATCACTGCAGATAGCGGAAATAGCGTAGGTGAGATATCCGGACACTCAAAAGTTATCAACTCAGTTGCCGTAAGGCCGTTGAGACCCCTTCGAGCCGCAACTGTTAGCGACGATATGGCCATGTGCTTTCTACATGGTGCTCCGTTCAAATTTAACTCGAAGTCTACTGGCCTTCATAAGGGATTTGTCTTGAGCACGGCCTTCTCGCCAGATGGAGAGAAGCTTGTTACGGTAGGTGCGGACAAGCGAATCCAACTGTACGATGGGAAGACTGGTGAGCCGACAAAGTCTATCGGCGAGGGCGAGCATACCGGCAGTATTTTCGCCGTCAGTTGGGCGAAAGACTCAAAGAGATTCGTCACAGCTAGTGCCGACCAAACTGTCAAGCTATGGGATGTGGAGTCAGGAAAAGTCACACAGACATGGAGATTTGGAGGCGATGGCGGCGTCAGCGTCCCAGACCAGCAAGTCGGCGTGGTATGGCCACATGGTCGCAGCGACGGTCTCATCATCAGTCTCAGCCTTGGTGGAGACCTAAGCTACCTTGTAGAAGGTAGCCCGCAGCCCATCAAGGTTGTCCAGGGACACAATAAAAGCATCATGGCCTTGGGAGAAGGGTCAGATGGCAAGGGCCAAACTTTATGGACTGGAAGCTTTGATGGTCGGGTTACCAGATGGGATGTCACTTCTGGGGTGGGTACCGTTGTAGATGGTCAGAGTCACACGAACCAAGTGACTGAATTCGCCTCGAGTACCGGGCGAGCATATAGTGTTGGATGGGACGATACTCTACGTATAGTCGACGAGTCCGCGAACACATTTGCCGGAGAATCTCTGAAGTTGTCAGCGCAGCCTAAAGGCGTTGCTTCCGCAGACGGACGCGTGTATGTGGCAACAGTCGCCGGTGTCGAAATCTACGTCAAGGATCAACTTGCGGGCAAGTTTGATATCACCGACTCCCAACCAACAGCGATCGCCGCTCACGGGTCCTTGGTAGCTGTGGGTCTCGGCAACAACGCTGTCCGGCTGTACAAAGCAGACTCGGGCAATAAGTTGACACAGTCACACGAGGCCAAAAACTCGACGGCGCAGATATCGGCACTGGCGTTCTCAAAAGACGGCTCCTTTCTTGCCGCGGGTAACACGTCCGGTAAGATATGTGCGTACAAGACGAGCACCCTCGAGGTCGCGACGGATCGTTGGTCGGCGCATACGGGCCGCGTGACGAGCATCGCGTGGAACGAAGCGGGCACGCACGCCGTCAGCGGGGCGCTTGACACAAATGTGTTCGTGTGGAGTCTAGCGAAGCCGGGAAGCAGGGTCAAGGCGCTGAATGCGCACAAGGACGGCGTCTACGGCGTGGCTTGGGTGGATGGAGGGAAGAAGGTCGCTAGCACGGGTGGAGATGCCGCCGTCAAGATTTGGAACGTAGCGGGTTTGCAATGAGCGAGCGCGAAGAGATAGAGACATGACGATATGAACTAGAGCCTAGTTAAGCCCGGCGCTTCTTTAGGGCCGTTGATGATGGCGATGAATAGAAATAAGTATAACTCATTCGGGTTAATATTTATAGGAGTCGCGAAATCTTAGTAAATGGCTTTTGCTTCGATGTGTTCTCTTGGGGCGAATTGCCGACGGGTTTCCCCCTGGAACAGTTAGTCCAAGGTGGTAAAATCATATCTTTTCCAACGTCTAATTCAAAAACTTCGAGACAATGGAAACAGCCATGAGATTAAAGAGGGAAAGGACACGAGCGAAATTGAAATCCCTTCGTCTATGTAGCATAATAAGCAACGGCCTGTCTGCAATTGGGGTATCTACTCTGCCGATCCGTAAACGCCGAAGTCAACTAATGAACTCTAGGGTGGAATCCCATGGTTTTACATGCACACGCACACGGCGCTTTTCTTCTGGGCTTCTGCCAACGTTTCTCGGGGCATTAGGGCGTCGATGACATCCCACAGGCCGCCCGGCCACGCCATGTCGGGCTCGGGGTCGGGGGGCCACTGCTTCTTAGGAGCATCGAGGAGCTCCTTGGTGAGCTGATCGGTAAGGGAGCTGTCTTAGTGTTAGGATCTATATGTCCCTAAACAGGTGTCCTGTGGAATGGATATGTGCAATATGAATGGGTTCCGTGCGAGCGTCAGGAACGTACCCGAGCTTGCCCTGAGTCAAGAATCCTTGCTTCTCCATCTCATCAGCGATCTCTGACTGGTGGTTACCCATGAGCGCCGGGTTAGGCACCGCGATGATGGTCGTGTTGTAATCGAGCGCATCTAGGATGCTTCCGGAACCTTTATATAGTATTAATACAGATTTCAGAAATGAAATAAGCATGAGTGAAACATAGACAAGGATTTGTACGGGTCCGTTTGTCCTTTCCCTGGATATAATCCCTCAACTATTAAGAACTATAGAATAGTCATACCTGCATGGGTGATAATGACCCCTTTAGCTCGCTTCGCAGTTTCACGAGTAGTGGATGGCGCGGCGAGGGCAAACCAGCGCTGGAGATCCTGCTTGTACGGGAAGCCAATCACGTTGAGTCTGTTAGGGTCATCATCTGGATCCCGCGGGGGCTTAGCCGACTGGAAGTAGTCGAAGTCGGGACCACATTGGACGATGAGATTGGTGAATTGCAACGACTTGAGCTTGGCGATGAACGCGTCCGAAAGCACCTCCTCAATGAGGGGCTTGAAGCTGGCACTGGCGCCGACGGTGACGAGAACGCATTTATAGACGCGAAACTCTTCGTCGTAGACGCTCATGTCCGACATGATGCCGAATGGCAGATGGCCGAAACCTTCACCCCTAAGTAGGCCTATCTTCAGGGGTTCGCGTATCCGCAACGCTATCGAAAAACGATTATTTGGCCTGTTGAATAGATAAATTCAGCACGAACGTGAATAACCAGCGACCAAGACGCTAAATGTGTAACTCATATGGTCCAAAATTAGTGGTTCTCCTACCTCTCAGTATTTCGAAATCGAAGTAAGAAGGAATGTGGTTTGTACGTTTGTCGTGTGTAGTTGAAGGAAAGTTGCAGGGGAAGAATGGAGATAAACGAGCTGCATGAAACCAAGGCAGAAAATGATTGGCTGATCGAGTCTTCGCTTTACCCGTTTCGAGGGTTTTAGCTCCCGCTAGCGTAATCTGGGGTTATTTCGCGATGTCTGTGGCGCAGTTATATCAGATCGTGGCGTTCCTCAGGAACGACATTTACATCTCTAACATCAGTATCACTATGTGCATCTAGGGGTTGAACTTTCTTTAGTCATTGAGAGAGCATGTCTTCAATTGTGATCATGTCTCACGAGTGTGGTCGACGAGGGATCTGTACTACCTATGCGAAATGGGTGATTGCTGAAAGTTAAATGACGATCCTATGCTTTCTCTTGCCCCCAAACATTTAGAATGTCGTTGTCCTCATCCTCAAGAATGGAAACTGCTTTGCGTAGGTCGTCGACCTTTTCCATCAAATTGGCGATCTCCTCCTTTATGGCCACCTTTTTTTCCTTCAACTCCCGTAGTTGCTTCTTCATGGCGTGGACTTCCTTCGAGAGTCGAACTTGTTTACGATGGAATTTTCGACCTTTGTCGGTCGCTCTCTGGCGATGCTTGCTTATGGACTTCTCAAGGTCATCGTTCTTGGATTGAACTTCACGCAGCGCCTCGTTGAGTCTTTTATTCTCCTCCTGTAGTTGTTCAATGACCTCTTCTGATTGCTTGTTGCTAGCGGCATTGGAATCGGTCATCTTGGCAGAAAAATTGAAGTGACTCGGAGTTCGATACACTAGAAATTGAGGCGTTAGTATTGGATACTCAGATATTACCTAATACAAGACGTCTGCAAAAGTTTGAGTGTAATGTATATCGAAAGTAGGAAAATAGCAAAGAATTGCGAGAATGGGGTAAAGCCGCGGAATCCTAGGTTTAGACGATGGAATGAAGAATCAAGGGACTGGAAGGACGCAGTGACAAAGGAAGGCCTTCATCGAGAGAGCATGTACTTACATTGGCGTGTTCGAGTAATCAGTTGATTATTTGCGGGAGCTACGTTAGCAATTGTTTATTGAAAACGCATGCACCAGTACGGACGAGTTGGCTGCACTTAAGTGGTTGTTGGACGAATAAGTTTAGGTAAATGATTTCATGAGGCCGTGAATAGCTGGGAAAATCAGTAGAAAAGTTAAATAAAATCTCCGGTGCGAAGAAATTGGCAAATGGATTCGTGGCAAAAGAATCATTCCGAGAAGGTGGGCGGTGACGAGGTCAACCGACATCAGCAAAGGGTATATAATTATATCTAAGTCGTGGTGTTGCAAGGAGCTCATTGGTGCAGTGGTCTGGTGCGTGGGTTGCTTTGCAGACCTCGAGGTTATGGGTTCGATCCCCACTACTCAACCCCCGTGCATTAAAGGTCGTGGGTTCGATTCCCATACTTTGCACATGAAGGTAGTGAGTTCAATTCTCATACTTCACCCTGAGCTAGGACCAGACCTCCTATCATTGGGGCTCTCCCATTCCAACAGTGCCCATTGGCGGCATGGTTTGGTGATCCACCAACTGCTGGGCACGCCCCCAAATTGGGTCATCCCTTAGTGGATGATTAGGACCAAAGGGTCCGTACAATCCCGTCGTGTGCAGTCATCAATTCCTACGCTTCCTGGCTCAGGTTATTTTTTGCCCCCTTCCCCGACCCAGCTTGTCACACACAGGAAGAAGAATCATGGATAATCATTTATAGTTCTCGGTTCTCATTTTTTTCTTCTTATTTTTTAAAAAAGGTAACCAAGTTTACGCTAACGTTAGACACATAGTCACTGAAACACATATGTTAAGATTCCTACTAAAACTAACACAATACACCAAGACTACTTGTACTCATAAATGTTAGGTAAGGGCATTGGCTGAAGGGGTTCTTAAAACATCTGGGTTAGTTCCCAATTTGATCCCATGTTGCCTTTTCCCACGGGTGCGGACCTAGCACGTAAGGAAGCAATGAATTCATCATGCGAGGGCTCTGAGCTACTTTTCCTTGAGGGTACGGTATAAATATAAAATCCTTTTGTCCACCTACCATTCTAGGGCGAGTCGCAAATAAGTCTCCTGTGGGCTGAGCACTGATGCGACTAGGCCTGATATTCTATGAAGGTTGAACTAGCAAAGCTCTGAAATAAAGACATGTAATGTTCCCGGTTGGTTAAGATCAAGTCTTTTGGGGTATTTATAGGTATTCTATCCTTGAATCTTGCTTGGAGAGATCGGCTGGATAAGAAAGCAGTTGTCCCAGGCTACTAATTGACGAGCCTGTACGGAGGACGCATTTGAAAGTTTTTGTTTGCCATAGAGAACTCCTGCCAACGATAGCTGCCGATACTCCCACTGTCAGCTGGTATCAATAATATCTAATTGGTCTCCAACTTCGAGGTTAAATGTTACATCTAGTCTGTTTAAATTCCCGCAACTCATTGTTTACCATTTCGCTTTAAATCATGTTTTTATAATTATAAATATCAAATATCTAGGATGAAGCGTTAGAAAGATATGATTGATTAAAAATATCCGGTCAATTCTTAACCATAGTGACAGTTGTCAGGCAGCTGATTCCGGAGCTGGCGGGTGGGTGTCAGACCTTGTGTGTGGCAAAAACTTTTGAACGCGTCCCGCACATGGTACCACGGCCTCAATCGCGATTATGGAATATATCAAGGCACGGTTTCTTGTGCGTACACTTTTCCAAATCGAAGTTGATTCTTATGTTTGAATGTTACGGGGCTCAGTTGGTGAGATTGATGTTGCGAAGATCACGTGGTTATTTGATAAGCGAACGTACGGGTCATCTGCATGTGGGCACTGGGCAAGAGCAAAGATACTTAGGTACGAAACATAGCCGGGTTAACTGGACACCCGTTAAAATTTATGGATCCGTACTCCGTAGATCTTTTGCGCTATGCGTGCATGGATTTTAAATGCAACTTACGGAATTCCTCATGAGACTACCAGGTAGATACGACCTTTCGTAACTCGACTAGATGGTGGCGACATAGCCATTGATTGCCATGGCTTCTGGAGTACAATCGATACGATTGTGCATTCAAGCTTTTCGACACTCCCCAGCTCCTCGAAAGGCTGGCGCACGAGTATACGTCTCAAGACGACTATTCTCCTCAACACCTATGCGATGGCGTGCCGCGGCTAAGAAAGATGACACAGCTAACCGGGAAATGGATAAAGAAGAAGATGGCGACGAAGATGACGACGACGTGGATCCAATTGAACTAGAAAGGTCCTTTCGCGCTGCATTACGAAATCCGGGTACCGACGTAGAAGCCTTAACTCGGTTGCAGGAACAGACTATAGGAGCTGCTGCTCCTATCATCTCGACCGCCACGAGAAACCCTGTTCGGAATTTGTCGAAGACTTTTTGGCATACCGAGGAGGATGATCCAGACTTGATCACGGACGAACGTAATGAAGATACCTTCGACGAGGATGATATTATGGGCCTGGCACACGGCAAGTTGGAGGAGTTCCGCGAATATAGGGAATATGCCCGCATTGCTGCTTGGGAGATGCCCCTTCTATCCAGTGAGTGGCACCGTGTGGTGACATGCTTAGGAATAGTCGATTGACTGTTTAAGCTAGAGCTGGCTAGGCCTTTCGAACCACCCACGACCGAAGAACCCTTACGATTCCGATATACGAGTTACATGGGGGAATTTCATCCGGCAGAGAGTAAAGTGGTTGTCGAGTTCTCGCCGAGGGACCTGCCACTTAATGACGCACAGCAATTGAAGATAAAAAAGTTGTTGGGTCCTCGCTACAATCCGGAGACGGATGTCGCCAAGATAAGCTGCGAGCAGTTCGAGCATCAGGCACAGAATAAGCGATACCTTGGTGACTTGGTTGAAAAATTGATAGCACGTGCAAAGGTGAATATTACTCCGTTCTGTTTGGCCACTAGCATTATTGTGTATGGCGTTTGCTTACTATGATCTTAAGGACTCCTCCGACATGTTCGAGGACATTCCGCTGGATACGAGACATCACACGTGCAAAACCAAGCCCAAATTTCCGAGGGAGTGGAGGATGAGCGAGGATCGACGAAAGTTCCTCGAAGATACCCGACAGCAGTCACTATTACTTGATCAAACGAAGGAAGAGGCTGGTTCGTTGATCAATGGCAAAGATAGGATTGAACAATTCTTCATCGAGCAACCTACCATGGTCACTGCTCGTAATTTTATGAAGGAAGGGTTAAGTAGACCCTTACTAAGGAATAGACAACCACAAGCAACCGGACGAATCTGATATGTATATTACCCTAAAAAAACAGAAGACAATGCCAAAGGGTTTGTTGTATGAATATGAAGATTCAGTCACAATCGAATTCACCAGTATTTGGAGAGACCCTGCTTGTTGAGATGGAGAGTATGGCGCTCCAATGCCTCATCGCCTTTGTAAGTACGAAGCTGGAGCTCAGGCCATATTGCTGTTATAAAAATACACTATTTCGTCATGATGTATAGAAATTGGTATTCAGAATTGGTGTTCGTTAACTCTAGCTTAACTTTATGAGAGTTGTGTTGTTCACGATTATGGTCTAATTTCTAGGCTAGCCTTGAGTTAAATCCGTCAAGGACAACAACGACCTTCATGAAAGCGACGATGGTGAGTCGGGCCTGTTTCCTTATTTTAAGTGTGAGATGTTGACCTGTCGAGAAAACGCTGTACCTACCTACTTGGATTTCATGGATTCACCTTGGATGTAACTATAAGTAACCAGTTGGTCCTAACTGTCCGCTGTAGTCCTAGAGGAGGGCCGCTACGTGGGCTCCCAAAAGACTGGAGTTTATACTGCCATATGATAGGTCCTCATCCTATTAGCCTTCGAGTCTACTTAAGTTCTCGACTGTCATGGTGGGCTACGGAGTTCACCACAAATAGGCACTAGGCCAGAGCTTGGCCTGCCTAGTAGTCATACGTCCTCCATTTAACGTGATTCTCCGGTTATGATTGCGATTATTCGGTAGCCTACCTGCCTACCAATTGAAATCTGTACCATTCAATGGCTACATCTTTTTTTCACCCGTCCTGAGTGCCTGATTCTCCACAAAAAAGCTCGCAGTATAGTAGGTAGGTTATGACCATTACGGTTGACCGACAGGTCTATGGATTGCACGGGAAGTTTTGCCAAGGCGGTATTCGGCAACTGCATAGCATGTAAATAGGAAGATACCCTGCATTTGCGACCCCTGGCGCGGAAGAATCGGCTGTGAAAAGGCCACTCTGGCGACGCCCCATTTTGAAGCAAATCTACAGAGCAATTGCGAATTTCTAGCTGCTTGGGGCGACGCCGACTACCAAGTATAAAGAAGAATCGCAGATCGAAGTCCGCGCGTTCGTAAAACTTGGCAAACTATGACCTTCTGATGGGAAATACTAAAAGGGCACTAGCGACAGAAATTGTTGGAAGAAAGAGGGCTGGAAGGGTAGCATCAGGACGTCAAGCCACAATAATTATGGACATAATTGACAATTGCCGGGTTGCGCCACAAAACTGACGTCACGTTGTCTCAAGCCATCTTTTTAACTCGCGATGAAGATCACGAGCGACAAGGTATGATATACTTATATTGTACATACATTCATCTATTCAAGCCGTCTAGATATATGGTGAACATAACCAATTGGTTCTTCATAAAAGAAAAACAACGGTTTCAATCAATTAAGCATGTACATAGCCACCTGCTATGTAGTAATAGCTTCCATATGTATCTACCATCTTTTATGAAGTCGCCAAGAAGCAGGGGAAGTGCATTGGTAAGCGGCTAGGCTATGCAAGTACATGGAAGTACTTGTGCATGTTTGGCGGGTCTAGAGTGTATGACGCAGTAATTGAAAGGGAAACTGGGTCGTTGTTTCGTTGGAAATGCATCATAGTTCCAGGTCCTCCCGCCTAGTAATTCAAGGAACGGCACCACCTTCCGTGCACAAAGACAAACTAACTCTGATGGCACAGAAATGTTTTTGTACTTAATAAATAGCGACTCGATCCCAATTGTCATTCCAGATTCTCTACGAAACAACTTTGCGATAGCACATATTTAAACTGTACACCCCCTCGCGCATCTTAGACATTGATTCTTGCCTTCACCACAATCCTGATTCAATTTTTGCGAAGCACAAAGCAAGCAAACTATTCCGATCTTAACATACTCCATACACGAGGCAATCCAACTTCGTGTTCTCGTCGACCCAACCTTCACATCTACATAATCCACAATGCCTTTCACCGCAAGGTAAGACATCTTTTCCGGCGACTAGTTTACATCGTTTTGAAGGCGACCTGCTGACTTCTGTATAGTGATATCTGCAAGATCATTCTTGCCGTCATCCTCCCGCCCCTAGGTGTCTTCTTAGAGCGAGGATGCGGTGCCGACTTCTGCATCAACATCTTACTCACCATTCTGGGTTACATCCCGGGTATCATCCACGCGCTGTATGTTTTTGATCGCACACACACACCTACGTTATGGTAGACTGACAATGTCCCTGCAGGTACATTATTTTGAAATATTAATGCGCCCAAATAACCCACCCTTTCCTTCCGCATTTTTCGTCATGCAGCGACAGCATAGCAACTCTCTGCCATAGACAACACAAGACGGTTGGGCCAATGGCGTGGTGGCACAGGGATTCGTGATGCTACGCGGCGTCCTGCGTGGATCCAGCCATCTCATTTTCTCTTCGACGCTAGAGCGGGGGTGGGTAACGAAGTGCCGTTTTTCGGGTCTGACCGACGTCACCCGATCCTACCTCTGTTTCAGCCTGCTTAATCTTCTTCGATAATTCATCATTGCAACGATCAGTTGTACGAACGACCGACCGACCGACCGACCTGGTAATGGCAAATGGCATGGGAATCCGGGACCAGTTGAACATGGGCTGTTATGTGTATTCACGACGGTTCTAGATATGTTTTTTCTATAATGATTATGATTCCGATACCCCTCACTATACGCTTGCATCAGATTTTATTGTGACTTTGCCAACACCTGGTTTCGTAGCCACTACAACAAGGTTATCAAAATAAAACGAAGTCAATTCTTGTGGGAATGCCTTGAGAATCTATCAATCTAATTTGAGAAAAGTCGAGGGCATCTTCCCGATCGGACACTAAATGCTACGCAAATGCTGATCATTGTAACATCTTCTACGGCGGATGGAAAACTAGTGATGCTAAAAGTGGTGAGCCCAAGAACCCATCAATGCTAAACTAAATTGTACCCATTTTGAATGAATACCTACCTACCGATATGTTATATTCATACGAAATACAACGAGAACGCTGTAAAGAGCTGTGGTTGGGCTCATACTTAATGGTCGAATAGAACGTCTACTAGATATGGTCTATATTCGTTTACGCTCGACCTATCTTGAATGATAGGACCTAAAAGCAACTGTAAGTATAACTCGGAAGTGCGACTGAATAGGTAGGTACTCACGTCGTTTTTGCCTACTGACACAACGGCATCTTCCGAAACTCGCACGCCTCCCACTCCTTCCACGTAGGCAATTGGCGCATCACCCATCACCTTCTTGGCGACATCACCCACGGTCGTATTCTTCTTCACCAGCACGCAATCTCTGAATGCGTGTTTTGTGTCTGATCCAGAGCTGAATGTTGATATGTTTCGCACGGGGAAGACTGGCACGAGACCCAGTATCTCGGCCGCTTTCGATAGTACTTGGACGACACCGGTGGATCCATATCGGAATAAGATCATATCTCTGTACTCCTCGATGGTATTCTTATTCTTCTCGTCCAACTCCTTTAAACCCCCGCCGTCCGGATCACCGTCCGCGATCAAGTCTTCGCGCGTGTCGACGAACTCGGTTCCTTCTGTATATCTTATATACCCTTGCTTGGCCATTTTCCGTAGGAACAGCTCGGCCTTTGCCGAACATGCTACTACCATGTTAGGGTCTTGCATCTTGGTGATCTTCATGAGGTTCGTGTAAGCGTCGGAGTCGTCGATCTTATTTAACGCGATTACGGTCGGGAACTTCTCGTCCGTAAATGCGCTGACGACACGGTCTACCGTCTCCTCGCTCCAGTTCTCTAGCGGCTCCTTCAGGCCCATGCGATCTAATGTCCGGGCTACCACTGCAGCTGTGCTTCCATAACCCGAGAATTGTCCCTGCAAGGTTTCGACAGCGGTGGCCTTAACTGCGACATGACGCCTCTTTATAGAACCCCATTTCTCCCAGAGGTTCCCCTTAATCCAGGCCACGATCTCACCACGCAGCCAAGCTATATCCTGAGAAGGATCGTAGCCTCGCGTGTTCTCGCCCTCCGCATTGGTCCTTCCGCTCGCGTCCACGACGTGGATCAGCGCATCCGCGTGCCGGAGATCATCCAAAAACTTATTGCCTAGACCTTTACCCTGATGTGCGCCGGGAACAAGTCCCGCAACGTCGAGGAGTTCTATGGGCACAGAGCGACGGCCACCGACACACGATCCGTAGTTGGGCTTGCATTTATCCTGTACGCCGAAGCGCTCGCAAGCGCATGTTATTTGGAGGTATCCGACAGCTCGTTGAGGATCAATGGTGGTGAAACTAGGCAATGCACACCATTTGTTAGTCAGAGATTAACGAGCCCATATTGTTTCTTCTCTTCCACTCTCTTTTTCTTTCGTTATCATCAATAGGGGATAGGCGTACGGATAGTTTCCTATGTCGCATTATATACATCAGTGCCCGCAGTTCGGGTCGATAAAGTCGGCTGGATTCGACCCACCAACTTTGGACGTCGCATCGGTTAAGCTGTTCAGCGTCGTGCTCTTTCCAGCAGAGGGTTTGCCGACAAGGCCGATTAGAGGATCTCGCGGCATCTTGCGAAGAAGTTGTAGTATTTGGAGATTACTTTAAGTCTTCAGTTTCTCAAAGTTCTTCGGGTCAACGCGACTTAAAAGTTTGAGGCTATAAGTGGGGTGGGAAGGTGGTATGTTCCTGTTGCCCGACTTCTATGTCAGAAAAACTTAGATAAGAGCCCGGAGGCTCTAGGTAGTTGAGACCCGCTATAGCGGCCCCGCGGCTTTCCGTACTTAGGCGAATCTTCTCACATTGAGTGCATTACTTACCTAGGTATTCACCACCAACGTCCAACTTTTCCCAACGTTACTTAATCAGACCTACCTTCAGTTAAACGTCTTATGTATCCAAAATGCGACGGGGTTCTTTCTCATTAAACGATTTGCCTGCTTGGTGTGTCCTGAATAACGTTACCTTCCTCGACGTGAAAGTTGCCGACATAAATGGTCGGGGCTATGGTTTGATAGCGGAAAGGGACCTGGTCGATGAAGATGGAACTGATGACATTCCCGCTCTCTTGACAATTCCGAGAGACCTCATTCTTTCAGCCGAAGGCGTAGAAGAGTATGCTAAGGAAAACAAGGACTTTCGACAACTTCTAGACATAGCAGGACACCGGGTTGGTATATGGTCAATCCGAGAGACAGTTTCACTACATACTAAGCATATCATAGTCAACTAGAGGTGACATCCTATTATTCCTTCTAGTACAGCTGGTCTTGTCTTCACCCGATTATAAGGGCGAACAAGGACCATTGACACCGTGGACCCAATATTTCAGTCTCTTGCCGTCACATGTACCAACCCCTACGATGTGGACCGAGTCGGAGCTTTTTCATTTGAAAGGAACTTCACTGGAGGTGAGTCGCTATGTAAATCTGGACGTGTGGCCTCGGCCTGGAACCTGTGGGACCTGTATTGACATATTTGGATAGTCTGCAGTGTCTGCCAAGTTGGTGGCATTAACGAAAGAGTTTGATGATCTCCGCGCGAAGGCAGCTAGCCTGCCTTTTTGGGATGAAATCTTCTCAGTCGATGAATCGATCACCATTCAAGACTGGATTCTCCTTGATGCCTTGTATAGATCTCGCTCTCTCGGTTTACCCCAGTCTGGAGAAGCGATGGTACCGTGCCTCGATTTGGTAAACCATTTCAGTGAAGCAAACGCTTATTTTGACGAAAATAAGAACGGCGAGGTCGGCCTTCGTCTACGTAAGGGATGTAATGTGTCATCTGGCAGCGAAATTACTATCAACTATGGAATGGATAAGTCGCCAGCAGAAATGCTGTTCAGCTATGGCTTTGTTGATCCTGACTCAACTGTCAATAGCCTTGTCCTACCCCTAGAGCCATTAGACGATGATCCGCTTGCGACAGCGAAGCTTCACGCTTTTGGTGCATCGCCAAAGTTGAAGCTGGCAGAAGGTGATGACGGCATTCCTCATTGGACCGCGCCTTTCGTGTATCTCATGTGCGTGAATGAAGAAGGTAAGGAGCCCTCAGCCCTTGAAATCAATGGGAAAGCCAAATCCATAGTGTCATTCTCAGTCTGGGAAGAGTTAGACTATATTAACTCCGAGTCGCAGACGGGCTACAGTTCAAAGTCTTACAGGAGACGGATGGATCTCGTCATTTAAAGATGTTCTGGCAAGACATCGATGTCACAGATGAGCCCGATACGATCATAAATCATATTCGTAACCACGAATTGTACCCGATATTTGAATTACGGGTTTTAACAGTTCTCTTCAACATCTTTCAGGGGCGACTTGAGGAGCTTACTAGCAGTGGAGACGAGGATAAGATGCCAGGATCAATAAGGACAGAAATCTGGCAAGCCGTCTCCCATCTCAAATCTCTCGAGACAGGCATTCTCAAAAAATGTTTAGGAATCCTTGATGAAGAGGTAAGGTTGAAGCTCGCAGTTGTTCTATATATTCGGTATCGTGCTCGGATTAAGCAACTATGGTCCTTGAGACATAGTCACCCGATTGACCTCGGCTATAATATCTTGCTAATCCCTAGCTATCACAGAAAACTCGGTTATTTGAAGATGATAAAGTGTTGGAGTATCTAAATCCAATGGTGCCTGATTCAAACGATGCTGCCGCCGAAGCCGCCAACGACGAGGAAGATTTCAGCTAGAATCTCGGAGCATAATTCTCGTCTCGTTTACCTGCTGATCCTACTGCGCTCGACATATCATCGTGTTCTTGATGCGATAAGTAAACACCCTAGCAAATCTTTTACTGTATTTGCACGGTTGGGAAGCAATTTGATGGCCTCAGAACTGGGACTTAAGCACCTCCTCGTTAATGTGGTGTGACATCATACTAGGTATGTACCGTTTTGATGAACTTGTTACCCTACTAGAGAACCAGGAGCGGGAATGGTTGACTTTGCCAACTGGTTTCATATGACGGCTTGTAAGGCAGCATGATAATTTCAGAGTTAAAACTGCTTACATGTCGTTGATCGATTTTCCAACGGTCAGAAAGCAATCTGTATAGACGCGCCTAGCGGTGCTGAGCGTCTCTTTGGGCTCATAATTCGGACCGAGAGCCCAGAGCCAATCCTAGGTTACACATGTTCGACATTGCATTTATACAAATAATTCAATACTCATATAGAACCTGTTCCTTACATACATGGCCCAGCATTCTGTGTCATGATCTACCTCGCCGATTTATCCACAGCGTGGGAGCTTTTAACCGGCAGCCACCCTCCCCAAGCTTGGGCAACAGAGACACCCACGTGGTATCCCGATGGAGCCAGAATTAATCACTTCCAAGGTGAATCCTTAGACGGGCCGGCTAGTCTAATGTTGTACATACGAAAATTTATCGCCCAGCCTTCCCACGTTTTCTCATTACATTCGAGTTGACCATGGGCATCAACATGGGTTCAGGCTGTCCTGATAATTTAATAGAGAGCAAGGTTCAGCTCTGGCTCCATCTCTGGATACCCGTAGATCGACAAAGTATAGACTTGTTCGCAGAAGAGGCCGGTTTATGGATTAATTGTATCTATCATTATGGTAAATGAGGTTTCCATGGGAAATCAAGATCAGTAAGTCTACTTCGTATGCTGATCATTGCCAGTTAGATTTGGTTCAAAAAGTGCCCTCATTAATGAGATTAATTCGTATGTGTATTTACCGTACTAAGATATTAAAGGGGAACGTACTAGTAAGACCAACTACCTACATGCCTGGACATTAAGCTGATAACACTCAATGGTCGTTCATGTATTTGTACAGTGGGCTGGATGTTGGAATTGAGTTGATGAACGCCTCATATAATAAAAGAAGATATTGGCTAAGGCTTCTACCTACATGATATGAGGTAGTGAAACCGGCGGACGCTGGCCATTACTCAGCAATAAAAAATAAACATCAAGCCCTTACATCCAATGAGTATAAGTAGCGTCTACCACACACTTTGAGTGGCGTTACAACTAACATTGTATTGGTGTTCAAGGTAGCAACTAGGGTCTGTTAACTAACCGGGTACCTAACGTTCGTAATGTGGCTTGGGTGCGTCGATATCGAAGTCGAAGTGTTGCACCGCATGTAAGTCAATATAGGAATTGGCCGGTCGCCGCAAAGACGACAGCTTGGCGACGGTCATGTCTATTCCGAACGAAGTAGTGTGATGAGGATGGCGTGGTAGGACTCAGGAATGGGAACGTGTAGGGTGCCGGCCTATACCTGCAGAAACATGCGGGTTTTCTTGAAGCCGCATCTTCCCCTATAGCCGACCGTAACGAAGTCAGTCAGCTATACCTCGGCGTCCTGTGCCCTTGGCGCTGATAGGATCGCATCGTATCTCGCGTCGAGGTTCGTACTCATATTCTTGGGATTCTGATTCGCTCTCTTATCGTGCGATCGAAGAAGCGTGCCGACGTAATGGTTGAAATGTACGCAGGCTAAGAAGAGTCAGTGGATCACGAGCATATGTGAGACGACTTCGCCTATCTGGAAAACCTGGGGTAAATCCCCCGCGAAAAGATTCGAGACCCTTTGGCTTTCCCGGGGTCAACGACCGAGTTGTTATCGTACTATGTACGGATCATAGGAAACTAACTATAATAGTAGTTCGAGTGGTGTCATTATTTTAGCGTTGGGCAATGATATGCCAAGTGCCAGGTTCGCGAGATATCATGGGCTGGCTGGCTGGCCAGCTCCTTAGTAGGGCGTGGGGATGGAAAAGTTGGTTGAGCGTTTAGCGTCCAACGTATGCAAGTACCCACCACATTATTGACGGCTTCGACCAACCATCGTCCACCCCATTATTTGTGCCTGTTGAGGTTACTGCGCTATACATACCTAACCTGCCTACCGGATGTGCGTGATGGCCGCGATGGCTCTCTTATGCATGGTTAGCGTCGAACGCTCGAACAGGTAAGGTGTGTGGAGTATATGACGGTGCAGTTATGAGTAGCATGGTAAGGTCTGTCACGCCTTGGAAACTTACTCGAGCCGTCGAGTTCATCTCTCCAGGGTCGATGATAGAACCTTGGAACCTTTAAAGGATATCGGATGGATACTACGCACATACGCAATACCTACCTAGGTACGTACCGTATTATGTATTCCTTGCATGTATATGCCGTAGGTGCGTAGATGCGACAACTGCTAGGGTTCGATCTGTAGACTTGGTTATCTCATGCTCATGACCCTTTTGAGATGTGTGTGAAGAATCTTTCACCTTCGCTTTCGTTCTTGTTGTTCTTGTTTATGGATATTGAGTATGAGCATATAGGGTTGAAGAATAGCTGAAGTAATCCTTCCGCTATGCAGATACCCAGATATCCACGTATATACGTAGAAGTATACCTATGTACGCCATCAATTGGATGCGCGATACTTCGTTTATGTACGTCCTATTTGCTCCTTCCCCCCTTGCCCACCCCAGATTCGTTAGCGCACTCCATTAGTAGAATACCCCGCTGATCTCAGGAATCCGTCTGGAGTAGCGGGCATTGGTGCTTCCGTTTCTCGCCATATCCTCCACTAAACTTTCCTGTCCCCACGCACCCTATTCTTTGATCTCTCGACCTGTTTTTTTCTTCCTTCTACGTCCCCTCATCATCCTTCCGCCACCCATTCAACTACCCAACTCTACACGCGCCACCGTCCGTACCGACGACCATCAAGCTCGAAAAATAAAATACCTCCGATCGAATTTGTTGTTACGAAACGATTTACTTTCGAGAATACGCGGGCGTCAGACCGGACATGAGCAATTTTCGCATCCACTACTAGTGACGTGCTGACATCCGCAACCAACGCCGATTAGAAACCGTGACTTAAGCCGTCATCGACGCATAGGGAATGGGGAACTCGGTGTTGGACTTGACGCGAACACAATCGATCAACGAAATCGAAGTCATCTTGGACTAGAGAAGTAAGCCAGTCAAACCGCCAACATGCCGGGAATCCTGCCTATGAAAGTGATTAAGGTGGGCACCAGCTCACAGAGCCGCATCGCCCAAGCCTGTGATAGGTACGTGTTTTAGAAGCCGCGCAGCCCTTTTGGTACTTCATACTGATTGTCTGCTTATAGGTGTCGGAGTAAGAAGATCCGTTGTGATGGTATCCGTCCGTGTTGCTCGCAGTGCGCCAATGTTGGGTTCGAATGCCGTACTAGCGATAAACTCAGCCGTCGCGCATTTCCGCGAGGCTACACCGAGTCTCTCGAGGAGAGAGTGAGGCAACTAGAGTCCGAAGTGAGGGAATTGAAGGATTTGTTGGACGAGAAAGATGAGAAGATCGACATGCTGTCGAGAATGCATGACCACCGCCAACCATCTATCGGATCCACAGGAAGCCCAAGGACAGTAGAATCGAGAAGGGATCCCAACTCGCCAACGAAGGAAGATTCTTTTCGTGTGCAGGCCTCGCCGTTATTGCTTGGCGTTGAGAATTCGGATTCGTACTTCATGGGGCCTTCAAGCGGACGCTCTTTCATCGGTAAGCGACGCGTTTTCATGTTAATGTCAATGTCCTTCCATCATGTCTAACCTTCCTCTTAGAGTCTTTCAAACGCAAGCTTCAGGAGAACGGGAAACCTTGTTCTGATTTCAACCCGGAGGCTTTCCTCCATATCCAGGGCTGTTATCCCCTGGTTGCTAAATCGTCATCTCAGTCGGTAAAGGTACCGCCACGCCTATTCTCGGATAGATGCGTCAACATCTATTTCCAGGAATGGGCGCCACTCTTTCCCGTTCTTCACAAACCGACATTTCTCCGCCTGTACGAGGAGTTTGTCGCCGATTCGGAGAAGGTGAAAAACAACCACAAGCTTGCACAGCTCCATCTTGTTTTCAGCATTGCCGCCCTTTCGAGTGACTTGCCCGATATGGAGCAAATTGCCGCCTGCGAGGTTCAGTGGCAAAGAGCGCTCGAAGCGGTTATGATGGATAATACGATGAATACGTTACAATGTTTAGTCCTGGCTTTGATGTATTGCACTATCAGAGCCGACTACAAGCGATTACAACATTACAAAGGTGTCGCCGTTGGGTTGTCTCATAGACTAGGATTGCATCAAAGTCAGAAGCGATTTTCATTCGGTGCTCTCACCATTGAGACACGCAAAAAGGTCTTTTGGACCTTGTATACTCTCGACTGGTAAGTCTTCATATTTCTGACCCATATAATTTCGGCAATGGCCTAACAGTCTTAAGTTTTTCTGCTGCTATGCTCGGGCTTCCTAAATTGCTCAATGAGGATGATATTCACGCAGAGTATCCATCGGATACTGATGACGAATACGTGACTGAGAAGGGATTTCAACCGACTTTACCAGGGGAGTATACCAGACTATCGAGCGCGCTAGCATTGTTTAGGGTATCTCGCATTCTTGCTGATGTCCTTGAGAAACTCTACCCAGCTGCCACGTCCTACGAATTGACTCTCCAGCAAATCTCGGCGCTAGATGCGGAGCTGTCAGACTGGTATGAGAACTTGCCCGCCCATCTCAGGCTGAATTTTGTGCAAGACAAGCCATCAACGGATATCACTGGGAGCAGATCCCCGATTCTAGTATGTTACCACTAGCCTCTCTCGTCGATGTGATTGATACTAATAGTTAATAGGCGCTTACATACTACTACGTTCGAGGACTCATTCACCGACCTGCTGTAGGCTCGAATCTAGGGGGCAAGGCTGCTCCGGCCCTTATCGCCGTCGGGGAGTCTAGTAAGCATGTCGTACAGATTATTCAATTGCTGGAAGAGAGAAGCATGTCCTTCTCGTTCTGTCTCAACAAGTCAGACGTCCTCGTTCTGTGCGGGACGAGTCTGCTCTACCAGAGTCTGGATCTGAAACATGAGAGCAAGCTTATGAAGGATGTTGAACGACTTGTCAATGCCGTTATTAAAATACTCCTTAGGATGAAAGCCCCTGGTACTTACGACCTAAAACGGGTTGCATCGCTGCTGATCACCGTCGATGTGCCATCTCAACCTACGTCAGTGCGGACAAGCCCGGACACTACCATGGCTGCTCCGCCATCGAGGACGTCGCCATTAATGAATCTATCGAGAAAGAAGTCTCCGTACAGTGCCGGCCGAAACGCCGGTGCCAGCATGAGCGAGACAGACTTGCTATCTCAGCAAGAAAAGCTGCGACGTATGACCATACCGAATAGTCAAGCTAGTCGGCCGGGGATTCATCGCGCACAGTCACGCACGTCGCTCGACATGAGCGCAGAACAGTCAGTGCCACGGCGTGATCATCGCTTCTCGATATCTCAAATCCAGCAAACGATGATGCGTATGTCGCCCATGAATAAGTCTAAACAGCGAAACCTTGATTACCTTTCACTTAGCGAGGCGCCGACCGAGCCTCAACCCTCGCCGTCGACACAAGACCAAAACTTGCCGCAACCGATGACAAATGGCCAACAGCCTCAGACACAAATATACCCTCCGCCTCAAGTGATGAACAAGGGTGGCTCTGGCGGAGGCGTCTCAATTTCCGAGTGGGAAGCGTTACTTGGTGCAATGGACGGCGGCCAGATCAATGTGTACGACGCGATATACGGCGGACCAGCTTTGTCGCTCACGGAGACCCCAACTACTACGGCGACGACTCTCGGGGAATGGTCGCCAGATTCGTGGGATCTTTCTAGCTTCAATATTGGTGATCTAACAGCTAATCCGGCGGCTCCACAGAGCGTGCTCAGCATCAGTGATGATAGCCTCAGCTCAGGAGATGACCTAAACTCGAATGATATGTATCTCAGAATGGGCAGCGAGGACTATCAAAACGGGTTAATGGCACCGCCGCGAACTAGCCATGATGGGAACATAGTATTAGAAGGTCTTGAGTTGAACCTTGGCATCTAAAATATCTTCTTTTTTTTTTGCTTCTCGAAAACAGTGGCGGATTGGTCGTCATGCACAATCTACGATATTACTCTCTTTGGTATGCGGCGTCGATATATAGAGACGGCTTATATTCTTGGCAGGATTGGTTACGAGTTGCGCGAACTGCGAGGGCTTTGCAGGTTTGGACATTTGGCACCAGGTGTTTCAGGTACCCATTGGCGCCTCTGGCATGGTTTTGTTATGCAAATTCTCTTGGGCAAATTACTTCGGCTTTATCTACCTACGGGGGCGACTGTTTCTGTTGACCTAGCCATTTCACATACATTATATTTTTCTATGTACCTAACCATGCTTGATGTAACTACTTGTTATATAGGGAGGTACGATGGATGCCCTTATATGAAAATAGGTTGGTTAAGAAGAAGGCGAAATATAAGTTTCAATCGACCGTCGGGTCATCCATCATATTTGATAATGCGAGTATGCAGCTTTAGCATGTCCCAATGCCGGGATCGCGACTAGGTAGTAGGAGAAGCGTGTAAGCCACGTGTTGAGAAAAGCTACCCATAACCAGGATCTGAAGGCAGGCTGAATCGTAAAGAAGGCACTTTGAATAATGACTTAATATATGCATCGTGGCTTTCCTCGGATACGCCGGTGCGGTAGCGGATGCCTCACGCTGCATGGGGTACGTAGATACGTACCTACGTATTTATGTACTTTGACCTGGGCAGAGTGGACCTCGGGAGTATCTGGTGCGACACGAAACGTCGTCCTAATCGCCGATTAACTCCAGCAGCTGCATATCGCTCCTTTGATCACATACCTACTTACGTTGTATCACCATTCCTTTCGTTCCCAATCCGTAGTCGCGCTTACGTTGAGCGGATTTAGTAGAGAGCTGCCGCCGGGCGGTAGATTTGTTAGACGTCGAGCTTACCATGGCCTTTTTATGATACAAACCTTAGATTTTCTCGATCGCTCGCTTCCGTCTTCACTTTCGTTAAGCAGACATATCACTATGGCCTTGGATTCGGAGCCATCGTTCATTAGTCACCCCGCTCCCCTGCAGCCGCTGGAAGAGTCGCTTCGCGCGGACGAGCAGACACCGTTGATCAAGCCCGGCAAGGCGGGTATGGAGAATGGGAGGCCGGGTGAGTACCGTCTCGAGGAATCTTAGCAAGGCGGCGCGCCGCGATAGAGCCCAATCGCTGACGATCCCGAGGATAGCAGGTTTCCCGGCACCCCGCTCCCGCAACGATGCTGCCGCCTCGCTCGGACCACGACGCCTGCCGCAGGCCATAGCTCACAGAGGATACAAAGTCGTCGCCCCAGAGAACTCAATGCTGGCGTTCCGGGCGGCTGTCGAAGCGGGCGCGCACGCTATCGAGACCGACTTGCACCTTTCCAGGGACGGCGTCGTCGTGCTGTCGCATGACGCCGCGCTCAAGCGCTGCTTCGGCGAGGATTCGAAGGTCCGCGACCACGACTGGAGGTACCTGAGCACGTTGCGGACGCTGCGCAAACCCGAACAACCTATGCCTCGACTCGTAGATCTGCTCGAATATCTGAATCAGCCGGGGGTGGAGCACGTTTGGGTTATGCTGGATATCAAGGTAATATGACGAAGTCCTTACATTATGTATAAAATAGTTATACAAGAAAGGTAAACTTGTAAGCGGTCGAGTTCTTGCTAACCCGCTGGAATTCTAGACCCATGATGATGCCACCGAGCTCTTGCGGAGAACGGCCGAAGCCATTGCTTCGGTACCGGGGATACGGCCGTGGAGTGAGAGGATATTGCCTTGTTGTTGGAATGTAAGAGCGCCTTATTACTATCCCCTCATTGACTATCCAGAATTTTTAGTCATGTGTTTTCTACGTGTCTGAGTTATTAACCCGTATGTAGATAAAATATGTCCAACTAACAAAAGAGTTCCTCCCCGGGTTTCCCATTGCACACGTAGGAATTTCAAGCATATACGCAAGAGCGCTCGCGAGTTATGTACCGAACCTATCTGTCAGTATGCTTCGCAACCTTCTGGCTATGCCGATTACTGGCCGGCGCTTCATACGGGATATGAAGAAGGCGGGTCATCCCATTTATACGTGGACGGTTAACGAAGAACACTGGATGGAGTGGAGCATCGAGAAGGAGCTCGACGGCGTCATAACAGACGACCCCAAGTTATTCCTAGAGGTTTGCAATCGTGCTGTTGGTAAGGAGGCTGAGGGCCAAGTGAGGAGGTTGGTAAACCGATCCCTCAAGATTACCGCGAGAGATTTGTGGGACTGGGTACGGTATATACCCTTCATTATCGTCATCATGATTATCTACTTCGTCAGGAATGGCTTGCCGCAGATACAGGCTCGAAAGGCGCTAGGGAAAAATAGATAAATGCTACTATTCTGAGATAGAACCAGGGTATATACGACATTGGCGAAATGGTCAAGAGAGGGTAATCGTAATCTTAGAATCAGTACGCTTCTCAGTCAGATAGAATTTGACGTAAACGATCTATGTAGAATACCATCATTGCTCTTGTCTTTGGAGTCTTCCCCTACTTAATGACTTCACCTGCCTCTTATATGCTCTGGAAAACGTTGGCATACAAGAGTATTAGGTTTTGCTGAAAACGGTTCACCAATATCGAAGCAAATTGGCAGTCTCCAGTCGACATTCTGGTACCACACCTCTAGCAACTGATAATTGAAGAGGAAAATCTACATTTACGGGGTGTATATTCATCTCAATTCTTCGGTGACTTCTAACTAGGCATGATTTGATGATCTGGTTGTTGACTTTCAACCACCAGACTAATTCTCACGATGGCCCGAATATGGTATCACCCTCTTCTTCTGACACTTCAGAACCCAGTCATTCAATAGCAGGTTAATGAAAGATATCTACCGCGGAATACAAATACTAGAGGCCACCTTAGCCAAGTGCCGGACAAAGGGCCGCCCTTATTATTAGAAGGGTATGGGATATGGGTAATGGTTAATGGTGATGGGCCTACAGCTACTACAAGGCATATCACGAAAGACACATTAAGGCAAAGAAAAAATCGTAAGAAACCAGTAGTATTAGAGGTGTGATTCCAGTACCCTCGATTTGAGGATGGCCATTATAGTACCGAATTCCTGGAATACCCCACCTTTGCAATGCGACTTATACCCGTAACGCCCTTTCATAAAACGAACCCCCCTCCATCATGGTGAACTCAAATACCCGAAAACAAAACTAACTAAACGAGAACCCTCTCACCCCAAAGGCTAGCCCTTCACCAAGAGATTCGACGAGGCTGGCTTACATATATAGACCATACCTCGGATCACGGCGTCGGCGAGGACCACGGTTTTGCCAAAGGAGTTCAAGAGAAGAGATCAAAGAAAATCAAGAAAATCAAAGAAACCCATGCAAATACCCTGCCCAATCAGTGTGCGAAGAGAAAAGTTCCGTTCTTAAACACCAGTTCCGGGACCGTCACCACCGGCGCCGTCGTCGCGCTTCTGCTTCTTGGCGTCGTCCTCGCGCGCATCATCGTCGTCATCCGCCTTGCGCTTCTGTCCCTGTCCCTGGGCATCCGTAGCGGCGGGCTGCGGCTGCTGCTGCTGTCCCGCGAAGCCGCTTGCCGTGTACCATTCGTAGAGCTGATCAGATGATAGATTGGGGGGAAGCTGGAAGCCGGGACCAGCAGGAGCAGGCGCAGCCACAGGCGTAGGGGCGGGCGCAGGACCAGCCGGAGTAGGAGCAGGGCCAGCGGGAGTAGTGGCAGGACCAGCTGGAGCAGTGGCAGGACCAGCTGGAGCAGTGGCAGGACCAGGGGGGGCAGTGGCAGGACCAGTGGCAGGTCCAGCAGGAGTAATAGCAGGTCCAGCAGGAGTAGTGGCAGGACCAGCTGGAGCAGTGGCAGGACCAGCCGGAGCAGGTGCAGGTGCAGGTGCAAGGGCGGGCGCGGGTTCATTGACGGGCGCCGGGGGAGGAATGCCCACGTTGGCGTCAGAGGCAGTAGTTTGGTTCTCGGGAACCGCGGGCGCCGCGGGCGTCGTGGCGGCGGCGGTGTTGTCCGCTGAAGGACCCTGCTGTAACTGCTGTAACTGTACGTTGTTGCGTTCGAGGTACTCGTCGAACAAGGGGGGAACGGGCCCCTCGATGAATGCCTGCATAGGAGACTCATCCTGGGCGGCTTGCTGCTGCTGGGGCTCGGGGACAGACGGTGGTAGGCCAAAGTCACCATACCCATGCTCGGGACCAGATGCTCCCATATTCGGAGCGTTGAACTGCATGGGAGAATCGTAAGATTGGAGATTGGGCGTACCGTCGTAGTTAGTCGCGAAGTCCCCGTTCATGAAGCCGGGCTGCTGCGGACCACCAGGTCCCATACCACCATACTGGCCTCCGAAACCATTACCCTGGTACGATTGAGCCATAGGATTGCCACCGTTAAAGCCATTGTACTGCAGTCCGGGGTTCGGAGCAGGACCACCGTAATTGCCGTAAGAGTTGAAAGCGGTATTGTCGCCATGACCAAAGCCATGAGTCGGTGTTCCACCGTAGCCGCTACCAAAGACAGGCTGGTGGTTGTTGTTGCCATAAGACATTCCACCGTGGTTGCCGGCATTGCCACTGCTAGGAGTAAGCATATTACGATTACCAGGGCCATTACGGAAGTTCTGGTTGTTAGCGTGGGGATTGGCCCAAGGTCCCGACTGCGCGAGCAATCTAGGGTCTATGTTCTCCTGCTCCTGCTCACGGCGAGCACGTTGCACATTACGCATATGCGTAGAAGGTGTCACACTGCGGCGCATCGACTGGCTACTGCCAGAGCGAATCGAAAGTGGTCCCACCGGGTACGTGGGGATAGGTGTGCCGCTACGATCCAGAATCGTCGGGCCACTAGGGCGCGTCGTAGGACTACCTGTCTGCGCGGCGCGAGAACCAGTAGATTGCGTGCTATGCATACCTTGTAAGCCCAACGACTGGCCTCTGTCCGAGACAAGCCGATTGAAGCTATCAAAAGGCCTAGCCATCGGGGCATTAGGCGCATGAGGGCCGGCGGGATGCATGAACGCATGTCCATAAGAACCGTGGGGGCCAGCGGCAGAGATGCCATGCTGTGGAACGGGATGACCCGGACGGGCCAGAGGAGACGCGGGAGGTCCGGGAGGCTGGTTATCCTCCTCTTCATCATCGCTGATTCTAGAATCGGGGTAGAGATTCTTCCTCAACTTCGGGTACTTGCGACAGAGATCCGGAAGAACATGCTTGAGAAAGCGTTGACTGTTGACAAGGGGAGAAAAAGAAGATTAGCGGATGATTATTTTATTGAGGAAGAGGCGGGGGGGGGGATTAGATGCAGCAAGGGGAGAAAGGCGTAAAAGTGAACTCAAAAGGGGATGACTTACTTGACTGAATCCTTCGAGACCGCCCAACCCATAAGCCCCATTGTGCTGGCTACATTGGGCCAAGGGACTTTGGCCATTCCCTTGCCAGCAGGCTGGCCATTGCCACAAGTGTTAACAACCATCGAGGCCAGCAGTTCGATGTCGCGTTCAGGGTTCCATCGGATAGGGGTATTGTGCTGTCTATCCTCTTGATCAGGGCCCTGGGGAGCCTTGGGTCTAGCAGTGGACTTCTTCTTAGGCTTTCCGCGGCCTCCCTTGTCCGACTTGTCCTTCTTGTTCTGATCGTCCTGACCCATGGCTGCGAATCAACTAAACGTAGAAATGTTAGTTAGGGACATTTTGTACAAGTAGAAAATCCAAACTAGAATACGAAATAGGTACTAAAAGATAAAATCTTGAGGGTTTCGCTATAATGCCAACATGTTGATACAATCGTAATTGAAAATATCCGGAACATGTAATAAGTAATGGGAAAGGCAAGAGGTTGAAAGGCCGAAAATCATAGAAGCACAGCGACCAAGAGTGAAGACGACACCAGCATGATAGACTTTTATCATTTCTGGGCTTCTTGGGAGGGTCGAGGGCGATATAATGGAGCAGAAGATGCTGGATAGGAGGGAGTGCTGTACAAGAACAGGGGAATGATGTGAGAATAATAGGAACGATGATCATGTGGGGAAAATACTCAACCCTTGGACAACAATAATAGGGATATAATAGAAATGGGCAATACCTATTCTTTACAGACACGTGTAGACTGCTGTTCGAAATTGAACCGTGATGATGGAGGAAGGGAAACAAGATTGAAGAATAGTATTCGAGTCCTTAGTCTCGACAGGTGATGATGAGGATACAAGAAAGACGAGGTGATGGTATTGTACGGATCGGGAATCCGATGATGTTTATGGAGGCAAGGGTATGATGAAGTCTGATGAGCAAGGGACGTGACTATACTCAAAGATCGAGTGTATGGTATGGTATTAAGAAAAGAGTGAAGGTGATGGGAGTAGGCAGATGAGAGTAGTGTTACGTGTTGATGGAAAGAACGTACTGAGGAAGAAAACGTGATGATAAAAAGAACGAGTTGATGGAAAGACTAGAGATCTTAGGAAAATTAGCAATATACCTTGGTACCTTGTGATCGGTTTGAATAATCAGCTGTCCGTAAACACCGAGAAGACGTATATCTCGAAGATAAGGTAAGTCGTCGAAGACTTGGTGAAGTAGGCTTTGGTTAGTTGAAGGAGAAAGTCACGTAGCGAGGACTCCACGGATTATGAAGCTCAAGAATTCAGAGTAGATGTGCGTGTAGAAGAAGGGAAGTTCGTGTATGTGAAAATTCCACGAGTTGCGGAATTCACAAAGATAGATGGGAAGGGGTCAAGAAGATGCGAGTGCGGGATAAGCTGTGATGCCTCGTCAAGCTCGAGAGATCACAATAGTAAGTGGGATTGAAGAAGATGGAAGTTCGTGATGAAGTTGAAAGAGTTGGAGGAACGTGTTTGGAAGAATATGTAGAAAGTGTTTGGGTTTCGGGTGTGAAGGAGAGTAAGGCAAGTCACGAATTCAGGTTGGGTGAGCTGCTTGTTAAGTAGAAAGGATGGTCTTGGGTGATTTGCGTTTGGGATTAAATAGAAAAGACTGCTGCTGGCTGATTACAGTTGACACTTGGTGAACAATGCTGCCCTTCCTCCCAGGTGATAGCTTTCAGACGGGATAATCACGACCTGAAGAGGCTGATTGTTATTTCTTTTCCCGCCTAACTAGGCATAGCTTGATCAAGAAGTGTCTTCAAGTATCCCAACTGGGTGTGACTAAAACCTCTTGCCAAAGGCTAAGGTACCCCCGAGGATCTTGCCGGCCAGGTAGCCCGAATAAACTCCACATAATATGGTGACAGGCCACTTCTGCCACTCACGATCCCAGTCGAGGGGAATAGGTACGGCACCAAGCCAAGCTCCTAGACAAGCACCCGTAAGACCTCCGAATGCTTCGTCAAAAGGGGCCTGCGCACTCAGGACTTCAAGCCAGTCTTTACTCGACACACCGCGTGTGTAGAACAATGGGAAAAGTCCCAGAACGGCCATGTGCGTCGAACAGAGGAATGTTTGAGGCACATGGGTCAGGAATGGAGCCCCGAACAGAATAATAATGCCATACAATGGCAGAGTTGCAATGCTCGATAATATGAGGGCAACAAGAGTTGTCTGGTAACACCATTAGCTATGAGACGACGGAAGCAGTAGGGGGCAAAAACAGACAACTGCAATATTTGGTCCTATGCTCTCCGATCCGGGCTTCTTCTTCTCTCCGGGCCGAAGTTTCCTGGCCGGCTTCGTAGTCTGGGAGCCGGCCGGCGGCAAGCACGTGACAACGTAGACAACCTGCATGGCCACGACTACGGGAAGAGAGCTTGACATGGCAGCAACTGGGTCTGCTACTAGAGCATCGAACCGTAGCAGAAATAACGAGAGAAGCAAGACCGGATAGACATGCCTGACAACTTGGGCCAGGGGCGAGGCTATGGTCCGAACAGCCTGCGTAGGAGTCTCTGCATCTTTAGATTTGGAGACCTCACTAGTCCTTGCTTTGCCAATTGGTGATGGCATCGTTACCGGATCTAATAGAGCCATGCTGATTGCAGGCGATAAATCGCCGACAATGAAAGGCGGCGGTCGATGGGTGGGCGTCAAAAATGCGAATTTGTTGTGAAGATTGATTAAAGAAAGTCGCCGTTGAAATTAAATCGGTTTATTGACAATATAATTGAGGCTTGTAGTCAGCCTGCACGTGTCACCAAGTCACGTGCTTTGGTTGTGTCACTCATTTAATGAGGTACATGTTACTACTGCCTGCCGCCTGCGCATGTGTGTAATTTGAAAAGTACCCTTAGGTACAATAATAGGTAGATTTTTTTTCGGATGTAAAAGGGGCGTTGACATTTCAGATGTAATAAATGTCACCTGGCATTGATGTATATAATTTTTTATTCTGATCTTTGTACATTGTACGTAAATACCCAAGTACCTAAGCATATTTTATGTGTTTACAACCTCCCGAGGATGTGAGAGGGTAGCAACATGCGTACATCAAGACGACTTTCAAATTTAATCATTATTAGGTGCTACACCAGAAATTTCTGTACTGTCCATTTGTTTTTATAAAAGAGCCCATGAAACTATTCCCTGACCTATTTACCTATGCCCGGGTATGTATGTAGCCCTCCGTATGATTATTATAATCATATGCTCAGCAGACCAAAGCTATCCATGGATGTATGCGTACAAGAAACTAGTTTCTTGCTGTTAGATCAAGAGCTGGTCTCCTTCCTAGAGATTAAGTTGCGAAGAGATAGGTCATAGATAACATCCTCGACCTTCTTGACGTGATATTTGACAGCATCGACTCTTCTTCGGACGACGTCATTCTTCAGGTTGAGTAGCTGAAATCCGGCAAATAAATCCTTTATGAAGCCGCTGATTCGAACGGTCAGGTCAATATCACCCATGGTTACGGAATTCATTGCCAAGCGACTAAGCTCCTCTGTGATATCCGTCAAGGCCAAGATGTATTCCTCGACGGTCACGTGGAACGCATCTCTGTCCTTGAGATTGACGGGGACTTCAAATAAATATCCATTTAGCAAGAGCGACGATGTGATGGCCATGGAATAAACGTACCTTCTAGGATCTGACCGACCTCTTCTAATGTGAAAAGGCGGCCAAGCTCACTTGGACGAGCCTCAGTCCCCAAACCACCCAACCAACCAGTCAGCAAGATAGTAGCCACGACATTTTGAACACTACGAGTCCATCTGCCGTTATACCTTTACCTCCGGTTAGCAATCTGAATCGCACGAAGCATGATGGAAGAAATAGGGTATATACTTGTAGTAGGGGTAGTCGGAAGTGAACTGGGCTAGCTCTCCAATGCTCTTGATCTCTGGTTTGATGCCATCATCCTCTACCTGCTTTAGGAGCGGAGGTACTATGGTAGGCATCAGCTGTCTCTGAATCTAGAATGTTACATTGCTATCCGATATTGTACGTACACTTAGAACTGGGCGTCGAGTGGATGCGGCTAAGAAAGCCCTGGCAAGTTGATATGTGGCGATTTAGAGCTGCGACGATATGGTGGAGCTTGTCTCCAACCTCAATTTCCTCTTCGCCGTGCGCCTTGAGGTATTCAATGATAGAAGGGTCTATCGAACCACCAGAGGTGCCGTCACTAGCCATCTTAGGAGGAAGCGGATATACGTAGCCGAAATGGGGGAAATGAAGAAAGAAAAAAATCAAAGTTTTACAATGAGGGGCACACAATATCTACCTAAGCTGGATGGCATAAGGTCCGGTCATTCCTGCCTGAATGTTCCATTACCACTATTAAAGTACTTATTCAGTAGCAGATGCATTCTGATATTCATGAATATTTTAACGCACACATTATTAGAATCAGTTTGATCTCATTAAATTCTTGGATCCTGGAAATCATGAAATTCACCTGAAATCAAATCAATTTACCCCCCAAATTTCTTCTGCGATGCGATTAAACATTGATTAAGCACATTAACTGATGATGCTGTGAGAATACCATCAATGGATCGTCAGTGAGCGACAAGTACCTTCGCAATGCACATTGTCCACTCTGCGTCTGTCCGAAAATGCGAAGTGTAAACATTCCCATGGATTAGAACATCACTACCTTTCCGAGGAATGATTGATGTAGATCAAATTGCTGGGGTATTCTTCCTCGCATCACTAGGCGTACTAGAGATCGCAACGAAAAACAAAGGTTCGCGTCACCTGGAGGCAGTGTAATACCAGGGACACGGTGAGAGCGATCATGGGCAAGCCCAGAGGATGCGCTCCCTCGGTGCAAAAATTAGAATAATCACGATTGAGTTCAAGTAGAACTCTTTCAGAGATTAAACTGAAAAGAACAGATACTACACTTGATCTAAGCCAAAAGGCAAAGAGAGCTGAAGAAGAAAGGAAGAAAAGAAAAAAAATTGACGCGGGGAGAACAGGTATTTATGTGGACTAGGAGGCGGTCAGGAGCGGCACTATTCTTTTGGGACCCACTTCGGAAGCTCCCAATCCACCCAGCCCCTACAGAAGACGGCTCGTTTAGATGAATAATTCTATTACTTTTTATCGCATTAAAGGATCTGTTGGTTTATGGGGTATGCCAGTATCTAAAGTACCTATGATAATTTCAATCGATGAATGCCATTGTCCTTTACATCTACAAAGTCATGTACCTAGGATATTATGAGGCCTTGTCGGGTTGTGCCTTCTTTTTGACCATGGTCGATATTCGTCATCTTCAATCACATCAAAACTCATTTCGATGATCTTAACATTTCTCCGTTACCTTCCACAACCAATACGAACACAACTTGTATGCGGCCACTGGGGCATCGAACCTGTCCTATAGCATTCACCCGAGACGCGTCTCACGACTTATATACACTAAATATATTCAGGAAACATATTTCCAACGATACTCTTAGCTCCCTCGAATACCTAAATCAGGTTACTTCCTCGGATTTGACAAACCTCGGAGCTTGGAGTACCACTCGCTAAACTCCGTCTATCCATCCGCATACCTAAGCAGGAAGTTCTCTAGCACTGCGGTCTGATGGCAACTCTTGGGCTTTGATCACACCATGCGGTCTTGGTGTACCATCTTGGAAGGCTTCTAGATAGCTCGAGACATCATGCTGCGGGCTGTGTTCCGAACTAGGTTGCTTTCGTCTGGTGCGCCAGATCATGAACCCAACTCCTGCGAAGATGGCTGCTGCTGCTGGTAAACCCACTCCAAGGCCAACACCTACTGCAGTAGAGTTAGATGAGCTGCCAGAGTTCCCACTTCCCGCCGAAGCTATATTGGTGATTGTAGGTTGGGTCGACGTTGATTCAGGACTCGTCGACCCGACTATCGAAGATGATGTAGACGCCACGTCATCAAGGGGTATTGTGGCGATGATCGTGGGCAAAGTCGTTATGTTATTATAGTGGAATGTCTGGCTCTCGTTATTGCAACAGGCGAATGATCCAATACCAGTCGATCCGTCATCGCAGCAATATAGGTTGCTTTTGTCGATACCGCCACAAGGCCTGACCCCCGCTGCATATTCACCTAGATCTATCGCCAATGTTAGTTCAAAACAGTCTATAAGAAGTTGGTCCGTCGTTTACCTGGACAGACATCGAAACAGGCTGTGTCGCGCCAGGAGTGGTCAGTACAACTCTCCCGTAACCAATCTTCAATACCTCGAGTCTTGCCATGACAAACTCCATTGGACCAACAGACCTCCCCTGCCATACAACAACTCGAGTGACCTGTTGTGCGATTGTCACATCTGAAGGTATCTAAAGATACCTCCCCTTTGGTCGTATAACACGTCTGGAACTCGCTAGTTACTGCGAGCCCATCGGTAATCGGACTAGCCAGCGAAAAGACGACGATGAACCCCTTATATTTCTTCATATTGCTGAGCAAACCTGGTACGATTGCAAGCGTTTACCTTGGGTGCTAGGTACCGCGGACCAACGTTAGGCAATGAGGAAGAAGACATATAAACGGTACTAACATAGGCTCAATTGTGAAGTAAACCATCCATTATAGGTATTCGGAACTGGTGTCGAGAGGGACTAATTCTCTAATTGTACAACATTCTTCCCGCTAGTCAGATCTGTCTCATATTGCATCCTTCGGCTGTTCGCCACAGCACAAGAATAACCTCCCACATTAAGGAGGTACTAAATCAAACCCACCAAAAGGATTTGTTTTTTGTTTTCGTTTGGAAGACGTCCTTGATTGGGGGGCTGAGCCTTCAGACCTACATCCCAGCTATGAGTGTTGTCGGCACAAGAAAACCAATCACTGGCGTACTTGTCCCTTCCGGCAGGGAACGAACCGTCCTTGGTGGAAATTAATGATATGTACGTATGTTCAATTGCTGTGTGAGCTTAGATTATTAGCGTAATGAGGCTTTGAGATCCACGTGGCCCTAGAAGAAGCCACGGAAACACAAGATAGGTACTAGTAAGGCTGTATAAGTCGAAGGTAAGTTGTCATCTTTCTGTAACGAAGCTTTATGACGAAGAAAGTTCAATCGCCAAGTAATGATTCGACTTTTATATATAGTATATGTATAAAATAAAATAAAAAATGGCCGCGTATTTGCCCCTTTCAACTTGAATACCCCTGATTCTGGAGATTGCCAAGTGCCAGGAAGCGTGGCAGCTGTCAGCAGTCAGCAATATTCGAGTTGATCAATTAAGTACAACGCCATGGAAACATTCGGAGTTTTTCATCTGACATCTACTCCTTTCCTTCGCCATCTGCGTTATTTAGCATTCGCATAACAGAAATGGCTCCGTCACCCCTGCCAGATTTTGTTTACAAGATCGTGCCTTCGGCACCTCCAACGCCAATTCCATCCCAGTATCCTTTGTCGGAGCTCGACCAGAAGGACGGATTTGTTCACTTAAGTACCGGTACCCAGGTAAGCGCTCTTCTGTAGACAGTAGATGGAGACTCCTGTCTCAACACATGTATTTATCATATAGGGTACAATTATCACGTTTACGGCACTTTGCTAACATGAAGCCAGATTCCAATAACATCGGATCTGTTTTTCAAAGAGGCTACGACTATCTGGGTACTTAAAATCCGGTTTGCTCCTAAATTCCACCCCGCGACAACGTGGGAGATTGAGGGATGCCCGCATCTGTACGGTAATTTCGGAGCTGATGATGTCGAGGGCGTAAAAGAATTCTCCCGATTGGATGGTCAGAGTTGGAAGGAATCTATGAAGAATAACGGTGGCTTCCTAGTCTAAACATCTATTTGAAGAAATGCGATTCCACATATAAAAGTCAAGGCGCGTTTCACAATGGCTGAGTTTCCGGCTGAAACAAACCTTGCCGATCTTGCTATTTACACCTTCCGCCTTCGTGAACGACACTTCAACTTCTCGCAGCTCCCTGCGTCTACCCAACGCGTCGAAAGTACGAAGTCAAATCATCTAATCATCAGTATTGTTACCAGTGCTATCTTAATGGTTGTTTTTAAATTAAGCTTCATCGCATCGAGAGTGAAACTGCTTGCTTGACCTGTGACTACCGGGCTCTACCCCGGTTGTACAGACATAGAAGCTCGCTTCTTCATCACGAACTGCTTCATCTCTGCAAGAGATCTCGAATGCATCGACAAGATATGTTAAGTAGGAGTAGGTTTAAACCGCAGAGTATTTCTTGAATTCACGATATCGGAGCTAGACATCTAACTTGTAGCTTTTCCCGTCGGAAACTATCAACGGTGAGCGCCTGACACTAGATCGGAGTTCAGCCCGCAGGAGACCTATTAGAGCCAGCAGTTACTCTTTCTGGGAGTGACCAAAGATGTCCCAGCAGGAGTCCGAGACGATAAAAGTTGAATATTCGTGGGTACAAAATTCAGCAATAAAACCTAGGCGCCCGTATTTCGTAGAACATGGACGTAGCAAGTTTAAGAAATGGATTTTAAAGTGTTAGCCGAGTAATATGTGTGAAATACATCTTACCCTCAATAATACACTATCGTCTTCACTGTGTATCGTGGGGGTGTACTGCTTCGCTATCTCACGACTTACGAGCTAAGGGGACAACTGGTTTTGCCCCCTTTCGACTATCTTCAGAAGTATATGTGCTCGGGTTCACGGCGAGTGCAGCGAGTATTCAAAGTGTGTAGCCTTCATGTGATCTTGTCAAGCGTGTTCTCAAATCCAACTAACGCAAGTACGTAAGTTGCCGGTAAGATAAGACAGTACACAGGGGAAGCGTCGGAAATCAATAGCATCTAGGTAATTAAGTATTTTTCTGTATTAATATCCCCTAAAGAGGCTATTCGGTCATAACAAAGGTGTCGATTGAGTCATCTGGTTGGAGGTGTCCTTACCCTTCCAAGCTTCCCTAGCGATTGTGTTGATAGGCGCCCTTCCCATCAAATTTTTTTTCTCAACTAGCTGTTTCGCCAACGCCCCATGCTGCCATGCTAAACCAGACTCCATGCTGAACAAAAGAAAGAAAAGCAATCTTTAAACGAGGTCCCAAATAGAGGTCCACAAGCACCGTTACTCCCCTGTAGGAGGTATGTTTTAGATGACAACCTCCGCTCGCTACCCAAAACATCCCTTAACCTATCACCAACTGATCTGGACTGTATCAGTCCTTCTGACTCCGCCATTTACGGAAGAGCTTGACCCGTTGCCGGCCATCGTCAGCGCCATCGTCTTCATTCGATACGGTGAGGGATAGAGAGCAGCGATCCCCGTGTATGCTATCGGACCCATCTTTCGACGAATTTCCAAAGCTGCCATTCGAATCCGTATGCTTCAAGTCGCCCACATCAACAGCACTGTCAATCGAGGGTAGAACTAACGATGTGCGGCTTCCGCGTTTAGAGGTTGTTCCGTTAGATATGATACCGTGGGCAACCGTGCGCTTATGTCTTGCTAGAAACGATCTACGTGTCCGATGCAATGTTTTTGACGCATCAATATCTTCCGCCGAAATACAGGCTCCAGGGCTGACATTTGCATCCGGATGGCGTAGAGATGTGGTGTATTCGGCAAAAGCATCCGGAAAGCCAGTATCATAGTTACGGCGCGCAGGCCGATTGCCGCCTTTGTTGGACATGGTGATAATCTGTTTCTTCTTAGCTTTGAGTACGGCAAAGTAAGGCCTTATATTCAACTATAGGGCGTAAGACGGCAAGACGGCAAATCAGTTGTGGCTTAGCACTACACGACCACCTTATTTAAGCATGATTGTGTGACGTGGAAAAGAAGTTATGGTATTTAGGATTTTCAAGAATCGTGACGCAAAATTGTCAAGGATGGCAGTGTTGAAGTAAGGCAATAGGAGACTTGTTAGAAGACGAAGATTGATAAAAAGATTCAGTTCTTTGCAAGATGGGTCAAGCGTCACTGATGAAGTATCTAACCCTGGATGCTACCACTCGGAAAACACGGCGTAGTTATGAACAGTGTCATGAACGACATATTTTAATAGGTCCAGTTTGACAAGCGAATTGCCTCAACTCGGAATACAATTGGGTATCGTCACTCGACGAGACTGAAGACTGTGGGCGGCTTTGTTCCCGCAATTGACAGGTTGCCTAGCTGCGCCCCAGCTGACGAATGACGATTGTTGTTGAGGAACGAACTAGGGCGAACAAGAGCGATTGCTCACCTGGAAGCGGCGCTGAAAATCCCAGCCGGGCCTTGTCCTAATAACCAATGCCAAGACTACTACCGGGATCGGCTCTTCTGTTGAAAAACACTTGGCGAAGCGATCAACCGCGCGCTTGAATAATTCCAGAAAATAGAAAAACCGGGTCTAATTTAACAAGATCTGGTGCCGTGTTTCCGGTCGACGCCGTCTCTTCAGGAGAAAGGAGGTCGTTGTTATGATTCTCGAAGATTCAATCTCCGGCACGGTCTGAAGAGGGGAAAAGTCGTAAAGTCGGTAAAGAAAACGTAGGGGACCGGGTAGGGCGGCAAGATACTAGAGTTAGAGGAAATGTAGGCGGCACAGATGAAAAGTTTGGGGCCTGGAATTATTTCTGAATCGAGGGGACAGGCTTCCTCTAATGACACAACTGGAATATGCAGGAAGAATGTGTGCGTGCTTTAGTGTCGGAATTTGACTGGCCTTGTTGCAAAGTAAGCGCGTCTGCAGGTTTTAGTTGTTGATCGTTGGAATGTCTCAGAGTCGGAGAGCTTTAAGGTTTTATTGGAAGTCCTGAGTCGTTCCTCGTCTGGAGGCTGAGCTTGAGCCTGAGCCTGAGCCTGAGCCTGCGACCGAGTTCCCTAGAGTTCGCTAGCACATGGGGCATGGTTTACCTTAACCATGCGGCAATCATGAACGACATTGAATGTACATGTAAATCCGATGTTGTGGTACGGATAATCGGAATTGCCAATACGGACTTGACCGGTGGGTATCATGCCAATCCTCGCAGTCCTCGGTGGATCCATTCTCTTACTACTCTTACTCAGTCAGTCAGTCTACTCAGTCAATGAGTAGCCTGGTGGCCTGTTAAAGTCCGAGTGGCGGCCATGGGTGAATGCCTATGCCGATCAAGAAAGCGCAGCTCTTCGAAAGATGCCACGGGAATCACGGCACTACTGTTTGGTGTTTGGCAACTAGTGACGGTCTGAACTACACGATTAGTAACTAGGGAGGCGGTATCTTTCGCCGTGGAACCCGTCCCTGTTAGAATTATACACGCCATGAAAACCTTTCTGTGTGTCTCGGACAAGGCAAGAGCCTTGTTATGCCCTCACTGACGTATATGGTTAGTGTCAATATGCATGTACGATCTCCTCCATTGGTGCATGTGACTGGTTGAACGAGTTCTGCATCGTCAAAGTCTGGCCACTCCGAGGGCGCTTTGCAAAACGTCATTGCCTGATAGGAATGGAATTTGAATGGTCAGTTAGGGTCCATAGGGTCTCAGTGAGGGTCCCAATTCAACGGACGGGGTGATGGTCTGGCAGTCTGGCAGTTTGGATGGGGAGGATGGAGAATAAAAAGATGGGGAACGAAAGCACGGTATGACCCTGTCACCCCATCACCTTACTTCGCTTATCTATCCTTTTAAGGTTGGCTTGGCATAATTGCTCCACAAGCGGATCTACGGTTATTCCAAACCGAATATTCTTAAATTGTACCTTAAATTGGACCCGACTTTGAACCTTGGGAATGCGAGCTTTTTAGAGGTACGTACCTACCGTCATTAAACAGATGTCATTCTGATCCTATCCACAACCCAAAAAGGGGTACTACGAAGTAGAACATTCAAGAACAGAATGGTGTAATTACTGTATGGGTGGATGTGATACCGATCCGAAGTAAGATATCACTGATGAGCCGGTGCATCCACGTGTTTTACCTAAGCGCCCACTGGTACATGGCCCATATCGGTCTGCAAACACAACGTCAAGCTCCATCGAGCTCCCGAGTTACGCGGATCATCTTGATCAACGGCCTAGTGTATCGCGATACCATTGTAATACTGCAGAATACTATATAAGAACCGTATGAGGAGCAACACTCGTGCAACATATTATCGGAGTTTTCTATGATACAGCGAACGTTGGTCAATAACAAAAGTACACAACTTTTTATACTAAACTGTCATGTTGCAGTACTCTGTCATGTCTACCGTCGCTTGATGTCATGTGTCTACAGTATTATAGCTCAGGTGAGATCAGTCCCTTTTTGCGTTATCGACGGCATGTGATTTGGTCTTGAATTATCATAATCCCCAAGTAACACTGAAAACAAACCCTCTCATAGCTCATTGATAATCGTATCTTATCTAAATCGCCGGGTTTTTCATGTGCAACTTATTCCTACGTATCTATAGTCCTTACAAGCTTCTTGATGGGAAGGGATCAAATAATTCCGAATTCAACAGTTGGAAAATGAAAATAACATTGCAGCCTATCCCAAATTAACTAGAATTGCGGTCGGGCCTATAATCACAACTAATGAATAGTTGCTTGTGATGAAAGAGTTCAATAAAATTTCCATCTCTTCATTATATTGAGTAAACGATACCGCTGAGTCGTCAACTATGTGGGAGGCTTAATATCTTCTCTTATCAAATCGTGTATCACTGTTACCACTTTTTTAGGAATGTGAGTCCCATAGTTTGAAAGTTGTAGGGTTGGTGTTGAGAAGCCTCGACCTTTGGATAGTCCGTAGCTGTCGTTCGCGAAAGTAATGAGGGTCGGATACCACGAATCAAAATCAATCCCGATAAGCTACCTAGTTAGCTGGGTCGGACGGAAGCACCGGCAATGAAGCTACGAAGCCCGCGCTTCGAACAACTTATTGTTTCCACGTAACGACTGCAACACAGAGCCAATGCGCCGCACGCTCCGAGGTCAAAATGTTCACCAGCTTCGGCCCATCTTCGGCTCAATATGAGAAAGCGATGTTTAAAAACGACATCGATCTAAATTCTAGGAAGAGAGGCGCTATAAGAGATGGTAAAGTGGCCAAGACAAGCAGCGACGTTGCTAAACTTAGCAGCCAGGATGCTCAAGACCATTTGACCATTAATACGGCTATTTTTGTGCCATTAGAGGGAAACTATCTCCACTGGTCGCTCGCCATTCACGATTGCGACGCTCCGGAGGCAGACGCTTGGCATATCTGGGAGGTTGCCCAAGAGCAACCCTTCGCGCCATACAAGGCAAATTATATCCGCGCTGATCCAACCCGCGAGACAAGGTTTCGACACTTGATCAGAATGGGCGCTGTGCCTCGTGGTCGTCTGGATGAAATCCAAGCCGCTGTCCGGGCTGCCGACGCCGCGGAAGAAGAGCGGGCCGCCCAGTGGAATTGTCAAGATTACGTCTTCGAAGTGTGGGAGAACATCTGGAGATACGGACTCGTTACCGAAGAGACGCATTATGCCGCACGTGAAGAACTGCTTGACTACTATGGTCCGGGCGCCAGTGGGCCCGGAGAGGACGAAAGTGAGAACCAGGCCGAAGAGGAAGAGGAGCGCGATGAAGAAGCCGAAAAGCCCCGTCGGATTTTATCGGAGGAGTTTGTCTATGATTCGGACGAATAAACACTGATTTATACCTTGGGCAATAGCCGTAAGATCCGCCATCCCGTTATTATAATTATTTCTATTCCTTTTTATTACCCTTTTTTAAGCAAGTCAAGCTAAGCGGCTCGTTAAAGACGTTTCCCTTTTCATCCTGCTTTGGTTTAACTCCTTGTCCCACCCCCTAATCCGCTACCTTGTTCCCGGGGAAGCTTATATGGCCAAAGGACTATTAGACCGATGAACCTATACTACGTCGGTGCTATGCCTTTCCTGTCTTATAACATTACATTAACCTTTAGGGATGGTTATAGCTATCTGCTATCTGAAGAGATATAGAGCCCTGTTGAGGTGCATAATTCGGCCATCGAATCTCAACGGCAATCCACAAAAGACTGATCGCGTAGAAATAGATGCCCTAGATCGCATTCTCAGATCAGATTATGGTGGACGCTATAGATAGGTAGGAAATAGCGAATCCCTGTTTGTCACTAGGACCTCATCCGAGACATCTACTCGATGTGAGATCGTCTGCTTCAATACATACGCCTGAGCGCCACAAAGCGGGATAGTAATTATTGCCTAACGCTGTAACTGGGTTAGCCGTATAACAATGAATGTTCCGAGCCAATTGATGGATTTGCTGAGGCCTTCACCGCAGAAAAACTGTCTGTAGCATGATACTTTCAGGAAAGAGTCGCTGACGCCGCAGTGAATAAAAGACGCCACCCGTGAAGAGCTATTGGCTTGAATACTACGAGCATCCTACACGCCACAATAGGATTTGTGTAATCTATTAGGTATTTGATGACAAAGCATGACGGTCTAAATAAAATACGAGGTAGTATGGAGATCAGGGGGATATGAACAAACTTATTAGCATAAAGTAACGAACTATATCATACCTAAGTTACATATAACTAACTTAATATCAGATAAATTAGTAATGTATATCCTTGGACTGCTTTATTATATCCCTTTTCTCCCTAATATAATCCAATATTTTGGTGCAAATGCCGGAAAGATCCTGGGGTTGGGCGGGATAACGGCACAGAGGCGGATACACATCGAACATCCCGTCCGGATAGTCGTAGTACCGGAGCCATAACGGCGGACCTTCGGAGATAGGTCAGATATCAACTGTCGTTTACTATTTCCGAAAAGTGTCATATAACGCGTTTGAAAATAGGAACGCCATACCTGTACTCGACGGGCGAGCTTTTCAAAGCCACAATGCATAGTTGGAATCACTTTGCGAGGTGGCTTGTGTAGTATACGTGGAATTTACTATAAAAATGCCATTATAAAGCAATATAGCATCGCTTACTCATGATGTTTTAGGACCCAAGGTTTATGAAGTTGACGGAGGAATGACGAGCTTGAAGCTGAATGTCATAGATGCATACCTGGGTACGTATTAAACAGATCCGTATCGCGACATGCGTCTTGCAATACGATAGACTATTTGAGAGTGACTCTTCACCGAAGTGCACATCGCAAACATATTAGATGAGAGATAAATACATCAGCCTCATGTCCTAATAAGCTGACCGCTTCTGAGTGTGTTGGAGTCTCACGAGGAAGCCTGCTGTATTAGTTAGTGGAACTGTATCTTTTAAGCTATCCATGTTCCGTCATACGAAGGTAGACATTAGTTTCTCCTAGTAATGAGAAGCTTACATCTAAGTACTATGGATAGAAATGGTTGGTATCTGATTGGTGCTGTCGTTGAAGGGACCTTGCCCCTGAAAACAGGGGGGATTCCGCGTCTCTCCAATGGTAATAATTCCGGACACCATTTACTGCTTTTGCTGTACAATGCGAGAGCTAGGAGAAATATTGAAGCTATGGTAAGCTTCGTATACCCCTCAAGGCCTCGGCTACGAGTAAGTGTGCTCCGCGAAGCTGATGTCCAATGATGGCAAGGTCCGCTTTCTACCTTCGATACAGCATAGTCCTTGCGAATATAAATAACGGATACGATCCATATATTCTTTTTTTCGTGGTCTCCCATTCATTTCTACCTCCGTATACGTTTCCCATAAGCTTCTGTGTCTATCGAAGTAGACCAAAACTCTTATACAATTCACCATGGTTGTAACTGTCCAAGAAATCGAAACAGCCAACCCGGCGGTCAAGTCTACATCCCTCCTAGTGAACCCACGCGAGCAGCTTCTCTTGAGCCTACGTGGGTGCCGTATCACTATCCCTGACTTGCAGTCTATGATAAGCCATTGGCCGCAAGATGTTCATCCCGATACTGAAAAGCTAGATGAACACGTTCAGAAGACGTTTGCAAGGTATTAGAGAAAATGGCTTTTCTCTGCTGCAAAAAATTGAACCATTCACTAACAGATCAAAGTATTTCATCGTCCTTCAGAGACCCAGCTCGGTTCCACAGACTAAAAGCGTCTAACATGACACTCTTTGGGGCTTCTTGGTGGCCATACGCATCGTACGAGGCTTTGGAAACTGTTATGTCGATGTCGATATGGGTAAGGACGTGAACATCGATCCCAATTCGCTTTCGATTAACCAACTTGTCTTTATACAGCTCTTTGCATGGGATGATGGTACGAAGAAATGTTATAGTACTAAGACAATGAACATCCTTATCTCACCAATAACTAGAAACCGATTCACACGAGTTCTCAGCGCTTGTCAATGACTGGGGAGAAGCTTCCGCATTCCGACAGAAAACCATTGACTACGTACAGCAGAGTCTATCTGGAAGCTCGGACTCGAAGCTCTCAGATATATCCACGGATCCCATCATAACCGGCTTCAAGCCAGTAGGCCAAGCCATATCAAGGTCTTGCGATGATCGTACGTTATCATATTTTCATCTAATAAGTAATCTTGGGAGTCTCACCGTGTCCTAGGTCAGCTAAGCACGTTCCTCGACGAGATGATCTTCTTCATTGAGTCTTGTGGAGAGGAGCAGAAGCTTCAGCTGACGAACCGGCTCCCTACTGTTGAAGAACATGCACGTCGCCGTCTAGGCACTGGTGCGGTACGGATATGCCTTGCCACTATCGAGTACGTATGCCTGTGTTCGGGCCTGTTTGTGTTGCTAAAAGGAGTTACTGAACGCCTATAGGTATGCCTATGGAATCAAACTATCCCAAGAGGTGATGAATGACGAAGCGATGCAACGGCTCTGGCACGAGACAAACGTTATTATCTCCACGTATGTTGATTAAAGATAATTTCGCTCATTGACACAACGCTGACATGTTTTAAGGACTAATGATATCCTGTCCTTCAAGAAGGAAGTAGTAAGTATACGAACCTCAGTCGTGGCAAACTGAATTTCTAACATCTTGGTCAATTGTAGGCCCAGTCACAAGTGGACTCGCTAATCGCTCTCTTGTTCCTAGAGCTTGGGTCCGTCCAAGCGGCCATAAACCATGCTGTCGAAATTGTGAGGTCTGCGACACACCGGCTTGAAGCTGCAGAGGCGGATATTATAGAACGCTATTCGTCCATGCCCAAAGTCCAGGAAGACATTCGGAAGTTTGTCCAGGGCTGCAAATATGCTTGCACCTCAAACCTCAATTGGAGGTAAGCATCGAAGAGACACACTGGTTGAGCTAGTACTAATATCAAACTGTTTCTTAGTCTTACGTCGGGACGATACGGGCTCAATTGCCAGTCCATGAAAGGGGGACTACATATCACTCTCTGATTATCCTGACAAGCCTTGTTGCGGTACATTGCTGATGAAGTTAGAAAGGATGGAGTAAACGATAGGGGAGCTGGGCATAGGCAACTGATTGGTGCCTTGATGATATTTGTTTTCAGGGATATGAGTTCGGCAATGCTCTCGTTTCAAAGAAATACCGAATTTGGAAGCATGTTGACTAGCACCTCCGATTACTATGACTGCACGTGGGTGATGATTTCTGTGAACCGTGGAACTTGAGGATCTGAGAATCTTACACCTTCGATTTCGTGCTCGTCCGTGCTGTCGTTACTAAGGTAGTCATGAGGTTCCTTGCGATTGCGAGATGACATGGTTAGAATATGATTATTAAATAAGTTTGTAGCGTATTGCTACAGAAGTTCTATAATTTCTATCACATTGAGATATTAGGATTGCTGGAGGCTCGGTGGCAAATCTCCTTCTCCTGTACCCCATGTCGTACTCTCTTTCTCGCCTAGCGTGAGTTCCAGCGTGCCTCCGTTAAGGAAGAAGCTGTGTGTGAGATAGCTCTTCGTGTAATCTTCCCCGTCTAGCTTGGCACTCTGGACATATATATTCTTATAGGCAGTATCGAAGTTGATTGTTTTGATGGTCGCCGTATTCCCCGTCATTCGGTTGGTGATCGATATAGACGGGAAGAAAGGGGCCGTGATAAAATAGACATCTTGCCCAGGATTTGGGAATATACCCAGCATGGCTAGCGCAACGAAAGAGCCCATGGCGCCTGAGTCGTCATTTCCCGGAATGCCTGCCGTCGTAGTATTGAACTGGCTGGGTATATAATAGTGAACGCGCTCAACGGATTTTCCAGGACGACCCGCATAATGATATTGGAATACAGTAAGGAACGCTTGTTCATCGCCGACATAGAGGATACCGCTCTCGTGGAGGTAGTCTAGACGGCTGACGAATGTGTCGGGGCCGCCGAGAGTAGTGATCAAACTTGCCATGTCGTGAGGTGCGAAGAAAGTGTAGAGCCAAGGACTACCCTCATACGTCTCGTGACCACCTGAGTTGAGGTAGCAAGAGTCAAAAGAGTTAACAGAGGAGCAGAGAGTCGGATCCTGGTAACCCCAGGTACCATTTAGATACTTCGGTTGAAGAAATCCAGTGAAACCAGTGTCTGTACCCCCGACGTCCGATGTCTGATCCTTATTATATAGGTTTATCCAATTTCCAGATCTCTTGGTGTATTTCTCGTAGTCGTCCTGCTTGCCTAGCGCCTTTGCTATCTCGGAGATGCAAAAGTCGTTGTAGGCATACTCGACGGTCCGAGAAATGCTTCGCGTGAAAAGGCCTTGCCCAAGTGTATCATAATCGTCGGCAGGGATATAACCGTAATTCTTCCAACTATTTAACCCGCCACGACCCTCGTAATCCCACACAGGAGGCTCGTCCTCTGCATCCTTTATCAAAGCCTCGTATCCGGTCTCCCAGTCGACATCCTGTGTAATGTTCTTCAAATACGCATCGGCTAACACTATGTCAGCATTAGATCCACCCTGTGTCCATCCTTTGCATAGAGACATTCTGCAGTCAGGTAACCATCCTTCGTGGCGATAGATATCGATCAGAGAACGGATCATGAGTGTCTGCGAATAAGGGTCCACCAGTGTGATGAAGGAATGTATCGATCGAAAACTGTCCCATATACAGTACCATGAATCGTAATAAGGCTCGTCGCTTTCCCATAAATAATTCTCGCCAGTGTAATCTTGAGGGCTGAGCATTGCTCTGTATACACCACTCCAGAAAATGGTTTGCAGGGAGGTATCCTCAAAGCCGGTCGTATCGATGCTTAGGACCGAGAGTTTATCTTTCCAGATATCTTCTGCGGTAGCCAAGGTCTTTGAAAAGTCGAAGTCCGGAATTTCTGTCTGTGCATTGTTGCAAGCTTGATCGACGCTCTTGAACGAAAGCCCGACCCGAACTGTGATTGCGGTGCCCTCTTCAACCTTGTCGAACCAAGTGTAGGTCCCAGCAGGTAGAGGAGGAGAGTTATTGTCCTTCCCTACAACGATACTTTTCGGTTCGCTACCAGCCCTATTGTTAACAAACACACCAGTTTCGCGGATCGAATTGCCCTGAAGAAAGTCGGCACAGAAATGCAGATTGTATGTCCCAGTTCCAAAGCTAGGATTAAAAGTGCCGTTTCCCGTCATTCGGCCAGTGTCTGGATCTACAGACGCACTGCCATTCTGACGCGTGTCCGGGAGATCCGTCAGGTCCGCGATGAACAATGGGCTGAGGGGGGCGTTCACAGTGGCATTTCCTGTAGCGTTGCCGAAGAAAGTGAACTTGTAAAGTGCCGTGCGGTTGGAAGCCGTGATTTCTGCTCGGATTCCAGACTCGAGATCAATAGAGAAGTAGCCAGGACGAGCGGAAACACTTCCATCGACAACCTCGACGCTTCGTTGGGTCTTCGGAAAAACGCAACCATCTACGGTATCGTTGGTACAACCTGGATAAACGAAGATCGGGAAGTTGGCTAGAGATGAGGCGCCGCCAGTTCCGGAATCATGCATGTGAGAGAAGCCAGTAACCGGGCTTCCGTTCGAAGCATATCCTCCCTGATTGTCACTTGTGACATCCGGGACAGGTTTGGCCATGCCTGAGAAATATTTAGTTATATTTCATGTACCCAGACTTTTGTCATACTTACCAAATGGTAGAGTCGCTCCGGCGAATACATGACCTATTGTGGTGGTTAGCTCATCTCCAGGGGCAAGTATTTACAAGCAACCGACCGCCGTTACGAGTGCCGATGAGAGGATCTACGAAGCCATAACCGCTAGAAGAGCTGTTAGTGGCTCGACGAAATCGATTTGCAGAAGATTGACATGACGCCGCCGCAACGAAGTATAATAAGAATAATCGAGCATTCATATTGTATCTCTATTCTTGCCGAGGCCAATTGAACCTTTAGAGTGATGTGACTAGTATTCTCATCCTAAACTCCCTCTAGGTAAGGGGATAGGCAAGGTCGACAAAGAAAATAAAGGAGAGAACCTGGTAATAGATAAAAGGCAAGTCGCGAGACATATATATGATATAGCAGAGTGGCATTGCATATTATCGCAGCGGGGTGTAAATGCCCCGGATTCAGATGGGCAGGACAGGATCTCGTGTATTCGGCTCCCTATTATGGAAGGAAAGTGGACTTTAGATTGCCATTCGTCGCCATTCCTCCAGCTGAACTAAGCCCCTTTGGCTGCAGCTAGGAAATATACCTGAAGCAAGGCAGGCGGTAATATGAGCTTCGGGTCCTCGCCCGCACTCGTATATAGGGATTCGGCCCCAAGACATTGGGGGAAGCAAGGGGCTTCAGTGGACGGGAAAATGTCCTGTATTGCTGCTGTTCATGTGAACCGATGTTTTTGTTAGTAAGGTAACCCAGAAGGATTTATACGTTGCCAATCACATGAATTGGCGTGCTGACAACTATTCAAGTAGAAGCCCCAGAAAGTCCTAAAGATCTAAGAATAGGAAGTCTTAATAACATTGAGATCGGCATCTATGCTTATGAATTGACGTATGTATATGTAGGTACAAACGCGATATGAGTTGTAAATGGCAAATGCATGTTAAGGTGTACTTAGGTACTTAGACAGCTAGATTCTTAGATGAATGGTCAGGAAAATAAAATGTGAAGGTTCCGGCTGCCCCCTTGTTAGCGGGAGACTAGAGCCGGAACACCCCATCCTTTTGGCAGTTTTGATTGGCACAAAATTTATCCCCGCGGACAGCTGCTATCGCTCTATCGCTATCGACCAGCAGAAAAATTTCGAGGTCGAATTTTTATTTACGGTCAATTGGCACGAATTACATAGCAGCTCGATCAATTGAAATCACAAAACCAACCCACCTAACGCCGCCGACACATTATCACGCAAATCTTCGGTCTTGCTACGTCCAATTGAATCGACAGAACAAAATTTCTATAATATAAAAGTCCTGCAATCGACACAATGGGGTCGACAAAACCGGAGAAGAAGGAAAAGAAGGACAAGAAGCGCAGCGAGGCTGACGGCGTGACGAAAGTCAAGAAGGACAAGAAAGAGAAGAAGGATAAGAAGGACAAGTTGAAGAACGCCGTTAGCACCGTCATCGAAGACCAGCTGCAAGGCGACTCCACCGCCTCCGTCACCGTCGTGAAGGATGGCGAGGCGAAGGTGGCCAAGGTCCTGGTTCCCGTCGTCGGCGCCCTAGTCCCCTTCGCGAAGCCGTTAGCAGACGAGAAGGCCACCAAGAAGGTCATGAAGACGGTACGAAAGGGTATGTTTGCCAAATTCCTATCCTCCATTCATTTCTACACCGTGTCTATCCCATTCCTATTTTCCCATTTCCTAAATCCCTATCTCCTTTACCTCCTTACCTCAAAAGTGAAGAAAATCGAGCAACTAACAACGTCCTCTTCCAACTCCCCAGCGGCCAAACACAAGACCCTCAAGCGCGGCGTCAAAGAGGTCGTCAAGTCTCTGCGCAAGTCGCCCGCCAGCGGGCCGGGCAACACCTCGTTCCCGGGCGTCGTCGTGCTGGCCGGCGACATCAGCCCCATGGACGTCATCAGCCACATCCCCGTGCTGTGCGAGGACGTCAACGTGCCGTACATATTCGTCACCTCGCGCGCCGAGCTCGGCGCCGCCGGCAGCACCAAGCGCCCCACGAGCGTCGTCATGGTCACCGAGAAGCAGGCCAAGAGCAAGAAGGACGGCGGTAAGGACGACAAGATAGACGAAGAGGACGGCGAGGATTTCGCCGAGGCGTACAAGGACCTGGTTAAGCTCGTCGAGAAGGAGAGCAAGCACCAGCTCAAGTTCACGTAGGTTGTTGGGATACGGCTGTTGTCCCTACCTTGGGGAGTAAGTGCGAGAAGTCATTAGTCGTCGTGTGACTTTTCTCGGCCTCAACTAGTAGTTTCCGGGCGTTCTTCGTTGTCTTTTCGAGCATTCAAGGGAATCTTCGGATCATTGTATGTACTTTCTCGGTTGGCTACATAGGCGTAGCCTTTGGCGTTGGGGATTTGTTCATATTTACTGCGTTGGGGGATCAAACAATACTGATTCTTAACAAACCTGATTCCTTGTTGAGAAAGTTCACCACGTATTGCAATAATTGCTCTATGTACTACGACATGGTTACATAACGTTTGAAATATTGGAAACAATAATCATGAGCATTCGTTTACTACATACATGCGCAGCTGGATACGGCTAACCATACCATCCAGCTTCCCATTGCCATCCTGGCAGTTCAGCCTGTAGGAAAACTAACAAACACAGGCCCTTCAAAATTCCCAGCTTTCTAGTCGAAAGGGTTGGTTCGAGTACCCCACCAGGTCAGGAACAGAGACAAGCCGACTGTCTCGAGGATCTTTGAAGTGGCTCCGACAGCGACAGTGTCAACAGGGCGTCTCTCCGTGAACAGTTGCGCAAGGTACTGCAAGAACGTTAGTAACATAGATCCCCGATTATTTCCAAATAGAAACATCAAGACGTACAGTAGGAGCAGACGTGGCCGCGAAGATCAAAGCGCCTAGGTAGGCAGCGCCTCGGTAACTAAGGGTACCGGTTGCATTGATGAGAGCACCGACGCCGTACGACTGCAAAGCAGAACCGACTAGAGATGTACCCCAGGCGACGGCAGCCGAAGAGGCCTCCTTCGATCTGAGAAATTCCTCCTTAGTGTTGGCTTGCTTGGCTCGTTGGTAGGTCTGGCCAAAAAATGGCGTCAGAACAGCGAGTTCAATTCCGTGGTTGAATACGGTTCCTAGCGCAATGGCCGAAGGCCTGACGGGAGGAAGGTCTGAAATTTATGCTGGTTAGCTAACAGACTTTACAATAAACTTCTCCTCGTTATCAAGGTCTAATTATAATTATGGTCCCCGAAAATATCATATGGACTACCTTGAAGATATCTCATCTCGGATTATATAGAATGGCGGGGCGATGCGCTACTCACAGTGAAGAGACATGCTGTCGATTTGATTGCAATAGTATTTCTTTTTCTGGTTTAGATATGTGTAGGCTGTATTTTTGGTTCGAATTGATGTAGGTGTAGCAAGTTGAGTTCGTAATGGTTTATAGTTGAAAAGGAATAACGTTGAGACAAACTGCCCAGTCTTATAACGTCAAGCTATGGCTCTGATGACGAAACGTTTCTCGGTGGAATGTTGACATCAAACAGCCTAGGAAGATGATTTAATCCGAAGCTTTGAGGTACATCATCTAAGTATTCAAGTTTTACTGTTTGTAAATGCCATTCAAAGCACTTTCTCTCATATGTTTCCCTTCAACGTGACGTAATAGATATTTTCAGGTGCCACAAGCTAGGATGGTCCATGAGTCGTAAACTCAAAATACGGAAATGTGGCTGTAGCTCTACATGTCTAGGTACGTATTGTACAATCTAAGCGTGCTACATTTAGATTCGTATTTCATACCTGTTCGCCGTTCTTATACCATTGGGAGGTTGGCCTGTTCCTATCGCCAATCCCTTGATGTGTATGTAAGCAAGCGCATCAAACTAAACGTCGGAACATCGAAATGCAAGTAAACAAATGGTGGGTAAGTAACATCAAGTACTTATGCAAGTATGTAGCTTTGCGGGTACTGAATTGTACTATCCCTAGTATCCCATACCGAAAGTACAAGTTGGTAAGCCAGGTGCTATACATACTCGATCTTATTGGTTGTGGAGATGAGATCTGAGGTCCACGAGGTTACATTTCCCTACAGACCGGAGTACCATCTCCTCTCCTGACCCACTCGGAGCTGTGGCTTGAACGTTACCGGAATCGACTATCAGCAGGACAACCAACCCCGTCATCTCTTTCAGAGCTCACGACATCATGACGACGCGGACTAGGTGAATCCCCATCCCGAAAACCCGACCAATACCAAGACCGGGAATATGTCGAGACAGGCAATTCCCCGCTCGACCGCCAAACCATCCTAGCCGAGACGGACCGGATCGGATTAGGACTGCGACGAGTCCTTTCATGCTTAGATCCTAGAGTCCACGGGTATCTCCATCTTAGAAATGTACACTTATTATAATTAACGCCTTAGACCTGTACAACGAAGCACGTGTTGGTAGGAAGTTCCAAAAATGCTAACCCACGGTGTATCAATTCCCTCGCACCAGTCAGTACCAATCAACACCCGCTATGTATTTTATCTTCCAAGGGCTTTGGTTTATTGTCTTCACGTCGTCATATGCTGTCCGTCCTCTCCGCCCCTTAATGCAAGCAATGCTCTGACATCCGAAACATATTGCAATCCTTCTAGAAGAGGCACCAAATGCAGCAAATCGTTATCCGTAGGATCGTTGATCCATCCTTGTATGGGAATCGCATTGTCTGTGTGAAGTCTCCAGTTAGTACACCAATAGAAAACTTGATGTGACATAAATCAATAGTCGGGGAACACCTTACCTTGATGGAACATGTAGCTTAGCGGACTGTTGTCCAGAATCATGACCTTGCTCAGGTCTGGTTCTATCGAGCTAAGATCCTTGATAAATGCGCCGTGTCTGAATGTGCAATGTTGGCGGTAGTATCTCCCAGAAAAGAATTTCCTCTCGGATTCCAGCCAGTCGATAACTGGATCGGCATATTCTTGTACGGACGCCGTGAAGACAACGAGGTTGAACCATTTGCACACCTTGGGGAATCTAGTTAGCATGACCGCCTTAAGAAGTTACCAATACAGATTGATAACCTCACCTTTCGAAGAAATTCGTCGCAGTACGGCCGCTTGTGAACGTAGTACAGAATAGGGTGCTGAGGTCCGAGAGCTTGCTGGCCCCCACTTCCAACGTATGTCGTATTCAACCGCACTTCGACCATGTGTCCTGATCCCATTCGACCTCCTTTCGACATGCTGTGTATCAGCGTCTCATCTAGATCCAGTATCAACGTCTTTAAGTGCTTAGGGTCGAGGGGTTCGTAGGGAATATAAGAAGGCTGCCGTTGGGGTATTAATGGTCTAGGAGGAGCGGGGGTCTTGGGATATCTCGTCAAAGCACTGATGGGCGACGTAGGAGACTTGAGCTGTGCTGATAGATCCGCTGAGTCCTCGCCGGCGCCGGCGCCGGTAGGCGCGCTCACGGAACGGGACTTCTTGTGTTTTCGCTGTCGCATCGCCTCGTCATTGTTGAGCTTAATCCTTATCGATCTCCTTGGAGCCGTTTCGCCTGTAGGGTCAAAGGACTTGGATCGCGCATGACGACCGGAAGAACCGGAACCGCGGCGAGCACCTTGTGATCTACTGCCCGTATCTGATTCGGAGTCTGACGATAAGCCGGAGGATGAAGTTCCTGAAGAGGGTACCGGTCGAGAGGCAGAAAAAGCATATAACCCCCTGAGGGTCTGGCCGGGATGTCTAGAAGAAGCTTCCTTTTCACTGTCTACAGCGAGACCATCGTGGAAATCGGCTGCGAGTTTGCGCTTATCGGCCCCATGGATACCAAACAGGCTCCTGAGTTGTCGCAAGGGCGCAAAGTTCCCTTGCTCATCGTAAAAGCAAGCAACTAGGTAAACTCCGGGCGCGGCAATGGTAGATAAGACCCAGCGGAGGGAGTTGACGAGATTACTTGCTATGCGCGCTGGAATGACGTGCCATGAGTAAGATCGGATATTCGCGTCCTTGACATTGTGCCTTTCTAATAAAGGCGTCTTCTCATCCACGCTTTGGAAAGTGCCTATGTCGCCGTCCGTGTTGAATGCGTTATCGTTAGACTCGGAGGTACCCGCGCTTTTATCGCTGGGCGACGTCTCATCTGAAGGGGATGTGTTGTCATCGGTCTGGGCGACGGCTAAACCAATATGACTTAGGGAGTTGGATCGCGAAGGTGGGTTACTTGAGGTCGGGGAGACGCGCGCGGATATTATATTAAGGGAGTTCATCTTCCGGTCGACCTGCAAGCCATGAAGGACCGAATCGTGTCCGCCAAAGAACGACCAAGACTCGTTTAATTATTATTAAGGAGGGACCAAGGCGTTGTTTTGGTGGAAGGCGACGATGGGGGTGGGGGGACGAATAATACAATTGAAATCGGTCGGGCAGGCAATGCAGCCCGAGTCGTTGTTTGCTTCCTGTTCCGAAGTTTGGAGGAGGGTAAAAATCGTAGTATTGGGTGTATTGGTACAAGTTCCGGATATCTAGTTGCAAAGCGAGAAGATGGGGGATTTCCTTTTTTTTTCGAACCTCGGTTGAGAGGATACGATTGCTGACAAGCTACGCGCGACCGTGATGGAATATTTTACCTGCTTCTAAACATTTCATTTCTCATATAATCGAGATGTGCGGCTGATGCGGAACCAAAGAAAAAAAAACACGCTGTCGCGAAAGGTCTCGTATTTACAGGTAACAAGTAAGTCTTTGTTTCACCAAAGAGCTTTTAGAAGCCTCACTTTAAAGTTGGTAGGTAAAGCTAGGGAGTTTATTGCAGTAATGCAGTAAGAGTTGCTGGGCAAATGCATACCCTGGACGCCCCAGGGCAGCTGCAATGGGCAAGTATGGGCTGTATGGGTAAGCATGGGCTCAACAGAATAAAACTATTGGAGCAAAGACCACCACCGTACCACTGGAAATTAGCGGCATTGTCCCGCTTGATAATATTGCAGCTGATGTTATTTTATGAAGTACACTGGTACAGATTGGTACGGTACTACTCTGCTATTATAAGGAGCAAATTACCTATCACGTGCTGAAGAACCGTGCCCCCAAAATCTTAAATGCAACCGACCCCGCCATACAATTCGTACCCAGGTATGAAGCAGGTACGTACCTCGATACAATATATACGTACCCCATTAGGTCATTTGCGGATTTCGCAGTAGATCGTACTACTTACGTACTGACTCACAATTCTTACATTCTCACAAAAAAAGTTGACAAACGACAACTCGAAGACTCGACAGCCCTTCGTCGACAGCACTCATTATAGGGTATCGAACTATTAGTTCCCACATACCAATTCATTTTCTACTTAATTTCATAATTTATACTCGAGCTCAACGATTCGGACATTCGAGTTACTCCATAAGCGGGGTCGCGAATTGCGGGCTGCGTTCTATTTGCGCCGACCAACATCACACCCCGATCGTTCGATTGAAACTTATTGGAGCCTCTATACAACCAAATAACTTAGCGAGGAGCTCCTATACTATTGAAGTATGGCTCCTCCTAAGGGGGGCTATGCTCCCGACTTGGACAAGTTCCTCGACGCGTTGAAAAGCCGACCAGTCGACCATTCCGTCGAATTTCTCATTTCGTGAGCGCAAGGTCTTTCGTTGTTGCCGTTGAGATTGGAGGCTAATCTGCCGGGTATAGCCTTCTTAAGCGACGACAGATCCGAGGGTCCGAACCATGCGCCATCGCTACTGCCCATGTCCTCCTTCAAGTTGTTGCTAGGGACAGATGGAGTGACGTTGACCAACTCATTGGGCGCATTCAGCTAGTGGGTAGGAAACTCGTAGCAGCGCAGCCTCATGAGCTAGTTATTGGGAACATTGTGAAGAGAGTCTTGGGCTTGATTCGCGACGAGGCAGAAGAAGACAGAAACGAGACCGGTAGCGACTCGCAACCAGACATGACCCCTTCCTTACCTCCTGCGATCACACCCGCTCCGGTCGAAAAACAGCTCCGACCCCTAACACTAGCTACTCTCGGATCATTCGCTCGTACGCAGTCTATGTTCAACCTACTCTCCGATCCCGACTTCATTCCCTCGCCTTCTTCTACACCCAAATTAGGTTCAAACGCCTCGACGCCATTACGACATGCTCAATCCACAAACGTACACGCACTTCGATCAGAAGTAATAGACGGGATCGAAGAAATCATGGATGAGATCAGACAAGTGGACGAACAAGTTCAAGCTTATGCCGAGATCACCATCCACCCAGGAGACTATGTTTTGGTCTACCAACCATCGAAAACAGTTCAGAAGTTCCTCGCAAGAGCTGCGTCCAAGAGGAAATTTACGCTCTTTCTTGTCGTCGATCCATCCATGGCCTCTGCTACCGAGGACCCGTACGCCTCTTTGCGAAAGTCTCTGTCATCCGGAGGATCGACCATAATCAACATTATGAACATTGGTCTTACGGCCTACATGACGAAGGTCAATAAGGTCATTCTTGGAGCTCGAGCGATTACTAGAAAGGGAGGGGTCATTGTCGACTCCGGCGCCGCGGCTATCGTCCACGCAGCTCGAGAACAAGGCAGGCCGGTTATCGTCTTGGGCGGGGTCTACAAGCTGAGTCCTGATCATCGGGCTCATCACGAGACTTTTGTGGAATGGGGTGACCCTTCCAAGTATGTGAACTTTGCAGACGGCGCAATAGTCGGCCAGGTGCGGGTTAGGAACGCCGTCGCCGAATTTGTTCCTACGGACCTTATTAACACCTACATCACGAACTTGTAAGTGACTGTTTCGGACTGCAAGTTTGAAGCCACCGAATTGCTAACTTGCTGCGACAGGGGCGCCCACTCTAAAGATCACCTGCATGGAATCATCGGCGACCATTACAACGACGAAGACATCGGCTTCGATCTGTTCGGGAAAATCCAAAGATGAGCCTCATGGCGTCATGTCTAATTGTGATCATCTAGCGCCGATCGCATAGGGCGATAATCTGGATAATCTCGTGGGTGGAAGTCTCACCCAATATTGGTGGGTGTACCGTGTATGGGCTGCCTCGGCATGGCTGCATGTCTAACAAAGACTGCTATAGTCTGCAAGTTCATTCGAATAATTCCGGCAGTTTGACTCATTTCTATTGCTGCCTCATTGAGGCTTCAGGGTGGCCGCGTCACTGAGTAGGCTGGCAGGTAACTTGGCATGCACGTGCAGGGTTCTTTCACAGGCAAACACAGACGAGCAGCAGAGAGCAGTGACTAGAACGTGGGGTGGGCTGGTGGGCTGACTTAGAGGAGCTTGGTGCTCCTCCATCGCCCGGGATCGAGCGAATCTCGTTTAGGGGATGGCCTGCCTGGTCGCTTGGTTTATCGAGGGCTGAAGAGCTCAGCCTCCAATGAAAGCGTTTCCTGCCCCAACACTTCGTGCTGATGGGATTGAATAGCTCGGGTCGTAGATAAAAAGAAAATAAAAATACTTTATAATCCGAAGCCCATCGGGTCCAAGCTTCGCTCGTCATTCAATAAATGGCGCTCGTACATTGCTTTTGTTGCAATATTTTACCTACCTACATCATAGAAAATACCTAAGGATCTGATCCAAGTTCAACCATCAACCAAGATCGATATCTACTCGCCAACTAGCCCTTACATCAACACCTTGGACTCTTACTAAGCATAGCACTTCAGCGTTCGATAGTTTCATGATGGAAGAAGCTCCACCTCCGCCGTATAGCGAGACTGATGTCTTCTCGCATCCGGGAATATCACCAGAACCCCGAGTTAATATATCGAATGACGACGCCACTTCTGTCACCGACTCCTCTACGCACGGCAGCCCCGTTTATACACCACCGGAAACTCCCCGAGAATCGCATTTCAGCTTCCCCGCCATCGAGGATTATCGTTCGATAGCTTCTGCCCACTCTTACTTCGAGTCTCGTCCTGCTCCTCTCAGCCGGTCACCGGGCCAAAACTTGGTGATCTCGTTAGCTATCACGGAGGGTGCTTCTCCGGAGGACTTCCCTTACCCGGCTTGGGCAAGCGAACACGACACCACCGAGCAGGATTGGCAGACGTTCTTGAATTATCTCCTGCCGGACCACGCCATACGGTCTAACTCCCAAACCATCGACCGCAAGCTGCAGGCCGAGGACGATGCACAATCATCCAAGGCCGAGAGAAGCATCGCCGAGGCGCAGCTCGGCCAGATCAAGTCATCTTCGGGTTTGCCACTGCGGCCCTCGCACGACATCGATGCTATGGTTCGCGAGTGGAATGACGGGTTCTTTGGACCAAGAGGCGTGACTGTACAGCGGACTCCGTACTCGTCTCGCAGCGTGCCGGAGACGTCCTCCGCCGAGGATCCCCCCACCTCTGTACCGCAACCTGAGTCGCAGTCGCAGTCGCAGTCGCAGCCGCAGCCTCAGCCTCAGGGCCAGGCTTCTAGACCGAGATGGAACCCGTTCAGACCGTTCGACGTGAGCAGTCGGGGCATCCGCATCGGCCGCCTCTCCGTCGACGACGAGCGCGTGTCGTTCGGCGACTCGTTCGAAGTCGACCGCAACGGCGTTCGTTGGAACGGCCTATCCACCAACGATCTCCGCTTCGAATCTGACAACGGCAACCGTGGCGAAGTCCCTCGCGGCCCGGGCCTAGGCCCTATCAACAACTTCCCTCCCGGAAGAGGAGGCTTCGACAACCACCCCATGGGCCGAGGCCGCCCCCGCCACTGGTGGAGAACGAGTCCGCAGCACGCACACCCGCACCCGTACGGCCCGCGGAACCACTCCCCCGGCGCCCGCTCCAGCGCCTCCTCCTCCTCGTCTAGTTCATCCAACTCCGACTCCAGCATCGGCAGCCTGCCGGACTGGGACGACCTGCGGGACAGCCAGCTCCCAGTAGCAAAGCAATCGATCTCAGCCTGGCTCGCGCACCCAGAGCAGCCCATGACGAAAGCCATGCTACGCGCCGCGCGCTCCGACATCAAGGCCGCGCGCAACGCGCCCCCGCCGACCGACGACCCGGGCTGGGACGTCAGCAAGCAGGCGCTGCGCCAGGAGGTCCGGTCGCTGCTCGCGCGCCTCAAGGACCTCAAGCGCGAGCAGAAGAAGGCGAGTCGCGCGGCGCGCCGGGAGCGCAGGGAGCAGAAGCGCGCCCTGAAGCGCGAGCGCAAGGACCGGCGCCGCGAGTCCCGCGACGCGAGGCATGCGGACCGACACGCGCGGCGCGCGCCGGCGCCGGCCCCCATGGACCCGTTCCATCCCTCGCACATCCACGCCCACCGCGGCGGCGGCGGGGGGTTCACCCACAGCGTGATCGCCCCGCAAATCTCGCGAATCCCACAGGTCCCGCAGGTCCACGTCCCGCCCGTCCCCGCCATCCCGCCGATCCCAGGCCCACACTTCGGGGCCCCTAACAACCCCTTCGGCGTCGGCGTCGGCGTCAGCGATAGAAACGGAAGCGGTAGCGGTAGAAGCAGAAGCGAAACAATCCAAGCAGCGCAGCGACAAGAGCGCGCGGAACTCGCGCGCGAGGAAGGGGCCAGGGAGGCGGCCCGGGCGCGCGCGCAGATCGACTCGATGCGGGCGTTCGTCTCGTCGGAGGCGGCGCGGGCGCGGCTCGAGGCGCAGCGGAACGCGGACGCGGCGCGGGCCCACGCCGAAGCCGTGAGCACGCAGGCGGCGGCGCAGGCGGCCCGGTCAAGGATGGAAGCGCAGGCGGCGAGCGAGGCGGCGAGGGCGCAGGCCGCGGCTGCGGTGGCGGCTGCGACGGCTGGGCTGCGGTACACGCAACCGCAACAGCAGCAGCGGCAGCAGCAGCGGGGGTGGAACGATGATGGGGGGCATAGCGAAGGTGTTGATGGTGTTAGAGGTGAGGGTTTTGATTCTGGTAATGGGAACGGCAGCAGCAACGGAAACGGCGACAAGTATGTGACGGCGGACGCGCTAGAAGCCCAGATCGGGGAGAAGAAGTATGCGCTGACGGGCCTGCACGACACGATCCTGTTGGAGCACTGGAGGGCGGTGGAAGCCGGGGAGGAGGATGTTAACGCGAAGAGCAAGACGGAGGCCGAGCTCGAGGCTGAGAAGCTGGAGGAAGAGATCGACGAACTTAGAAGAGATGTGCAGAGGTTGAGACTTGAGGCTGATGAGGAGATGGCGAGGAAGATGGCGGAGGAGGAGGGTTGGTAAGGGCAGATGGGCTACTTAACTTGAAAAACTATTATGACTGCAGGATTTCTATGATAATGGAGTATAGCTAATTAGGGTGGGCTTGGGTATCGCGGGTATATGAAAAAGGGTTAAGGGGTCATGAATTTGCCAACTACGGTCTAGGCTCACGGAATTCGAGCCAGGTTACGGGGACCACGGTAAACATCAGTGTGTAAAGCCATAGAGCAAACAAGTAAGAATCGATCTTTAAACCTTTTCGTTTCATCTCGTCTATTTCATATCCGAGCGAGTCGTACCTACATGCCCCCCGTAATCCGTAGACTAAGATGTGCAAATGATGCAGTTCTCAACAGAAACTTACGCCGGCTTTTCCCTCGAAGACGCATTATGGTTCTGACCCATGCAATGCCACATGTGAGAAACCACGTATACCATCTTACTACCTTCCGAAGTATTTCTCGATGCTGTCTAGGAATTTCTTGGTGTCATCCTTCTCGGCTGTGTCTCGCTTGACCCGTGCTATCATCTCCTCTCTCTCGCAAACTCCCTAAGAATGCTTACTCTCGTCCTTCTCGACTAGAGCTTGGACGCCCAGCGCACGACCGACCTTGACCTTTCGCTTAGTCTCCTTCGGCTTCTTGTCGTCGGCCTTTCCTCCGTCGCCGACGGGCTCGCCCTCGTCCTGGGCTTCTCCGTCATCCTCGAGCTGAGCTTCGCGGATCTGCTCGCGGATGCTGGAGAGGTCTAGGCGCATGCAGTGGGCGTCCTCGCCGTCGGCGTAGTATTTGGGCTCGGTTTTCTCCTGGTCGAAGCCGAGAGTCTTGGTGTAGAGGTGAATGGCGGCTTTGTTGGAAACGCGGACGTGTAGGCTGACGTATTGGGCACCGAAGGTCTCGACCATGGCAAGTTCTGTTATTCTATGTTAGCATAAATACAACCCTACAGACGAAGACTTGGAAAGGGAGGAGACTTACGACTCTGTCGCATCAGCTTCTCGGCAATACCCAAGCGACGGTGAGTGCGCATGACTGAGAGAGAGGTGATGTGACCGTGTTGAACGCCATCTGTAGGCTCCTCTTCCATCTTGGCTAGTACATACCCAACGATCTTGGGGTAGTCGTAGGGTGTTTTCTTAGGGCGCGATACATCGACAGCGACGTAACTCAGTTGAGGCCATGATAGGGCATGGTAGAGATAGTATTTCATGAAGTAGTTCTCAGGTAAGTTCTCGAGGTTGGCATGCTGGATCAGCGGGATATCTGACGGTTCCAAGCGTCGGATATCCATCGTGAATCCGTGTTTCGGTCTGGTCGTCTCAAGTAGGTGCTGCGGTGTCCTGTCTCCAAGGGAGAGAATGTAGCCCCAATCTCGGCGGTAAGCTTGAAAATATTGTTCTAGGTATAAATTGACTGCTGTATTCAAGCTCGAGCTTATTGTCACTTTTACAGCTTCGGCGTTACACAATCCATCATTATCGATAAGCAAGTGGTGGGGTATTTCCATTTATATGGGAGCGCTTGCCCCTCTATCCCGATTCGGTCCTTAAGTGAATTACGAATTACAGCTTAGCTAGGCCCAACGGAGACAGCTTTAACAAAACAAATACTCTTAAAAGTCCATACCTTGATCTAAACTATTATTTTTTTTGGTCTAGCGAAGGGTGATTTCAGATACCAAGTACCGGATATTAGAGCACATAACACCCCCCACTCTTTCTATAAATACCCGTCTTTACACGATGTCATCAGACGACGACCCGTTTGATGATGTCCTCAACCTCGAGGAAAAGTACTATAAAGAAGGTTATGACGAAGGCCACAAGGACGGAGCCGAAGCCGGCCGGACCGAAGGCCGCTCCGTCGGTATGAAGAAAGGATTCGAGAAGTTTGTAGAGGCAGGTCGTCTACAAGGCAAAGCTATAGTGTGGGCCAACCGAATACCAAACTTGCGGAAACAGTCCGTACCTACCAGTAACTTGCAAAAAGAGTCAGAACGACAAACGTCGTCTCAAGACCCTTCGTCGAGCTCTCAAGGAGAGAAGAAACCGGAGCCTGAATCTGAACCTGGATCTGAGCCAAAGAATGAGCCAAAGAATGAGCCAAAGAATGAGCCAGAGACACTACCTCCTCTTAGCAGCAACGCGCGACTAGAGAAAAACGTCACAATGCTCTACGGTCTGGTAGAGCCCGGGACGCTTTCAACTAAGAACGACGATGAATCCGTCAACGATTTTGATAGTCGAATGAAGGGTGCTCAAGGCAGGCTTAAGATGATCGAGCGTGCCGTTGGCGAGGGAACCAGTAAAGGATCAGCGGGTAGATTTCGACCAAGTCAGCCAGCTCAGAAAAATGAGAACATCGAGGATATTGGTGCGGTACCTCGGCGGAAAGGAACAGAGGAACAAAACTAATTGTCATGTATCCCTACTTCAGAGGCAGGAATTAGCAAGCGATGTCCCCATGTAGATTACTTGTAACATATATCGGTCTCCTCAGCACGTCACTAAAAACTAGGGATATGCTCTACTAAAAGCACTCGGTCAAATTTGACAGTCGAGTTGACCAACGAGTTCAAGCGCCTCATGTCAATCCCGTGAATGGTTTAAATGATTCAACCGCAATGGAATCTAGGATTAGGGCTGTTCCGATTTTGGCTCTAATAATATGTATGTATGTACACTCGCCCCTTCGCACGCGTCTCCGTCTATTTGAAAGTCCGGCAAGGGTATCTGTAGTCAAGTTAGCAACACAATTTCACCTCTCTCCCCTCTACACGTCCGCACCGGCAGTACTCACCCGTCAGGATACGCATTCTCCTCCGTCAACTCGTACTTATACGGCTGCCACGCGCCCTCCTTGCCCAAGCTCTGCCCGCTCGGCAGCGGCGGCAAGCCATTCACCAGCAGCGCGTCCTTCGCCGCGGCCACATTCTTCTCCACGTACGCCGCCAAGCCCGTCGTCTTCCCTTCCTGCTTCGCCGCCACCAGTGCCTTCTGGCCCGACTCGCCGATGAGTTCCTGCTTGGGCGCCGCGGCGCTGCCGACGCTGAGGAGGGCCACGGCGTCGGCCTGGCTGACGAAGGATAATCGTGGGTACGCGCGCCGCGCGTCCCGCTTCCAGTACGGGTTGTCCGCGATGTCGCCCGCCGGGATCGTCACCGGGTCGTCGTACTCGAGGGGGTCCAGCCCGCCGGGGGTCGGGTTCCGGAAGTACGGGTTCAGCGGCACGCCGTTCGACCGGTTCGGGTCGACCGCGAGCACGCGCCGCACGCGCTCCCATATGCCCGTCGATTGGAGGGTTTGTTTCTGTGCTGGTTGTAAGATTCATTGTTTTCGTCGGACAGCAGAGTTGCATGTTATATAGCTCCATATCTCGTACTGCCAATTGAGGATTGGATTTTTCTTAGGATCTGAGTTTGCGTACCTGGCTGATGCTCATGACGCCCCCTGCAGCTTTCGCAACTGCTTTGGAAGCCATGGTGGCTAGTATGGAGAGGAGAGTCTAATCGGATGTTATTCGCGAAACAGGTTGAACTTTGAAGTGAGCTGTTTCGAGGTTGCTGGTTGATGATGTTCTGGTAACAATTTTGCCGAGAAATTGCCGACCCGATTACCTTTACGTCAGTTCTGTTTGGTCGAAATACATAGGTACATCCACAAGCGTCTACGTACAATATCGGAATCTTTAAGTCACCCATGAAACACGGTTTATAGAAAATTGCTCAAATTTGTATAATATATTCTTGATTATTGTAACAGTATATGCTGTATCGTATAATTGGATTTGATTGGTTTGAAAGCTAACTTAGTAACTTAGAATATAGCTCGACGGACATCACTAGGACTTAGCCATATGACAATACAGACAAATGAAAAGAGCTTGATATTCGTGATTCTTGTGCCTGTCTATTCATAGGTATACAAGGTTTTGTCTACACGCGATAGTTTGACCTCTAACCGTACTTGTCTATCAGGTCCATCTCTACCCCTTATTATTCGCTGAATTCCGCGCGGCCTTGCTTGGAGTTGAGGAAGTGGTTTCTGCATTGCGTCAGCCCGGCTCAGATAAAAATGACACGTATTGGAAAGTATAAGGACATATTTACCGATCTATGGCCCACGACATAGTGTAGTAGAAGAAAATCATCGGGGGAGCGACGTAGAGGACCTGGGCGCTGAATCGTCGCCAGGTGTTGAAGATAGCAGCATGCGCGGCGCCGGCGAACGGGTTTTGCTTGTTTGCGCTCAGGACGTAGCTAATGATACCCTTCTGCGGCTGGCCACCTGTTGATCCGCTATGTCAGTAAACCATCTCATATGCCCTTCGCCTGCGTAGTATTCGATGGCGAGCCTGATATCCCAGCCGTTGTTTCCCGACATATTGGGTCCGTTGACACCCAAGTTACATCTCTCCTGCTTATTCATAGTTTCATAACTTCTCTCCTCTACCGCATGCCTTCCAATATCTCCCATCTCTATCCATACGCCCGCGATTCTCGATCTGAACTTCGAAATAGAGTAGACTTACCGAAGTTACCCCATTCACCTAGAAACCTAAACATGCAGCGTTAGCAAGTACTCAAATAATGCCTTGCGCTGCCGGAGCGTTGTTTCCGTAGCTAGCACAAACACGAAAACCGGAGAACGAAAAAGACGCAGCTAGGGCTGGCGGACTCACTTTCCATGCTTGCCAAGAGGGCCGCCACCGCCGGCCATCAGAGCCTGAGAAGGTCGCATTGCAATTGTTATGTTCAATTGACGTGTGTGGGGAGTCCAATTGAGGTTGTGTAGAAAAGTGAGGCTTAGAATCTCGGTTGTCTCTCGCGACGTCGATTTTGAAGATGTTGCCGGACAACTGGGCCGAGCTAAATGGGAAATGGGCAAGTAGCGCCTCTTGTGGCTTGACTTTTTGGACTTTCGGAGCCCGTCCGTTTGAACAACCAATGAGGTAATCCCGTTAGCATCCGGAAAGAACGCACTGACTAAAGTGGGTCAACATCCAACCCACCTTTTGTAACGATTTCTCAAGCTCCGGAAGCTCCATCAAATAATCTACGTCGAACGAAACGAACAGAGAGCTAAAAAGACGACGACACGAACCCGAACCCGGGCTCGACGCAAATACACAGAAAATGGAGAACGCGCTAGGACGAGTGTATCGGTATGCGATCCCCGCGGTCGGCGTGGCGACGCTGGTCCAGGCCTCGCTCTACGACGTGCGCGGCGGCACGCGGGCCGTCATCTTCGATCGTCTGCAGGGAGTCAAGGAGAACGTCGTCAACGAGGGCACCCACTTCCTGATCCCCTGGCTGCAGCGCAGCATCATCTTCGACGTCCGCACCAAGCCCCGCAACATCGCCACCACCACCGGCAGCAAGGACTTGCAGATGGTCAGCTTGACGCTAAGAGTGCTACATAGGCCTGAGGTCAAGGCCTTGCCTAAGATATACCAGGTTCGTCACTTCCTTTCTCCCTGTCTCTTTCCTCAGTTGTTATCTCCCATAGTGGAGATCTGTGGTTGTGGAATTACAGGCACATAGGGAATATAAGAGCTAATCCACCTTTCCCCGCAGAACCTCGGCACAGACTACGACGAGCGAGTGCTCCCGTCCATCGGCAACGAAGTGCTGAAGTCTATCGTCGCGCAGTTCGACGCCGCCGAGCTGATCACGCAGCGCGAGGCCGTCTCGCAGCGCATCCGCGCCGACCTGATGAAGCGGGCCTCCGAGTTCAACATCGCGCTCGAGGACGTCTCCATCACGCACATGACCTTCGGCAAGGAGTTCACCAAGGCCGTCGAGCAGAAGCAGATCGCCCAGCAGGACGCCGAGCGCGCCCGCTTCATCGTCGAGAAGGCCGAGCAGGAGCGCCAGGCCAACGTCATCCGCGCCGAGGGCGAGGCCGAGAGCGCCGACACCATCTCCAAGGCCATCGCCAAGTTCGGAGACGGCCTCATCATGATCCGAAAGATCGAGGCCAGCCGCGAGATCGCCCAGACGCTAGCCTCGAATCCGAACGTCTCGTACATACCGGGCGGGAAGCAAGGAGGAAGCGGTGGGAGTCAGTTCTTGCTGAACGTGGGCAGGACGTAAAGGGGCTGATGGACTACAATGAAAAAAAAAAAAGGAGAAAGGGTGTCCAAAAAGGGCGTATGTATACTAACGATTTGCTGCCCGGTTCTCCACTTCGGGTTATGAATAATATGTCACTACTAGTAAAATCTCATATTTGTTTGGTGAAATTCGTGTATTGATTGGCGTCCTTCTTGTGGCCGGACCGTTTTGCCAATGCTGCGCAATACAGCTTGATTCAACACAACCTTCCAATGTCTGCCTAGCTCTGCTCATGGGACTTCTGCCAGAATCTTAAGCTAACATCGCAATGTAATGCAACTCATGAACCTCATGCTTCCAAGACGATTAAACGAAACCATCAACGCGACGCCATGCAGTCAAAATGATCAAACCAAACCCTTTCTGTTTCCTTTAGGCAACGACTAGACTTAGTGCCAATTACGATGTAATACCGCCTCTGCTTAATTGACTTTTTTCTCAGGTATTAGCAGTCTGTCAACTTGGTCGTCCATTAGAAGCCGCGCTTCGTAGTCTTTTCCTATCCTACTACAGTCCATTGCCTGCCTGGCGCAATGACCTCGTCACCTTGGAGGGTCCAGCCCTTCAGTTGGAGATTCTTCCACTCATCACGGACCTTAAGTCGAGCCAGTTCACCTGCGGCCTTGGCGTCCTCCGCACTGTCATGTCCCTCAGGTGCGCTTTCGTCTGCCTCTTGCTGGATCTTCTGGTTCAATAATGTATCCATCAACATTTTAAGACCATTTCGATGCGGAAGACCGCGCTTATGCGGGAACAGCAGGACGGTGTCAATACAAGTAGGGTGGATGATTCGGATGGCATTAAGATCATTTTCGAGTCCATGGCCAATAAGAGGCGTGTCAGGTCCAATCAAGGAGAAGAGAAGGTCGCGTGCTGCTTTGGGATCTGGCGCAATCTTGAGCTTAGGTTTTGCCTCGCCCACACCCGGAATTGGTCTATGATCCTCCCCGAGTACCCATCGCTCAGCCGAGGCCATTGCCTCCGGCGTAACGCCAGAGTACCGGGTATTCAAGTCCAACACCTCACCGTAAGGTTGCACTAGTATATCGGCCAAGATATCGTAGCTTGGCCAAGACACCGCGGTCATTCTGATCAACTCAAGACCATAGACAGTGTAACCCATTTCGCAATCAAAGCAGATCGCCCTGCCTTTAGGCACGGTTGGGTTGGGTGGAGTCTCGCAAAAGTTGAGGAGGCTTGCAAGTCGGTTGATGTTCGTTGTCTTAAAAACATGTGTGGGTGCCGTAGCACACCCGCCCGAGTCGTCGTCGACATTCTGGTGACAGCAGCGATACTTCTTCTTGGCCTGTGATAATTTACCAGGACCTCGTTCCGTAAAATAGACTTTGCCGGGGTGGTACGTGCAAGTACCATTAGATGCTAAAGCCCCATCTTCTCTGCGGCCCGGGAAGACCTGAAAGCGCCTGGTACATCTGTCACATATCTCGACGTTACCAGAAGCTTCCACGCTCGCGCGGGCTTTCTCAATGTCTTCAGCCAGAGGAATTTCCGATACGTAGCCGTGTCTCTGGAGGCCATCGAAAGGCCAGACCAGTCGAGCGACGAATTCGACCTCTTGAACTGGAGTCAGACCGGTATCGATGGGTTTAGGAGTATCAGACGCGGTTTGCGAGTCGCTAGTTTTGGTGGCTGCTATTCGCTCTTCCTTCCATTCGGCCACAGTCATGCGCTTGTATGTCATGATCTTGTTTCTGATTGCATTCGCATAGATCTGGAATCGCTTAATCGCTACTTCTTCCTCGTCGTCGAGAGTTTTCACGATGAGTTCTTGATCGGATAGCAACAGCTGTTTCAATGCCTTATCTACCTTATCTTTGGCCTCCTTCTTCAGCGCAGAGTTTAAGCGGACATATTGCTCGTGGAGGGCACCGACAAGCTTTAGACGCGTACCGTGCTGAGCTGGAGACTTCTTCAAGAGACGAGGATTAAGTGTTTCCGGCTTCTTAGTAGCTGACTGTGACGACGATTGGGGTTGTTTGCTTGCTTGTGCAATCGACGCACGGCTAATAGGAACTGTGCTGGCAGTAGATGATGAACGACTAGGTACCTTACTGGCCGGGGCAGTTGAGTTTTTCACAGTGTGCGGGGCCAGAATTGGGTTCTTGTGTGTTTGAGAAGCCGAGGAAGAGGCTGAGCTGCTACGCGCAAGAGAAAGAGAGCCTTCACTTTGAGTGCTATCGGGTCGAATGCCACCTACATGACCTCTAGCTTGATAATGGCTCTCGGCCCCGTTCCCGTTATCCTCAGCCTCATCCGGCTCACTGGCTAGTCGCATTCGATCTGTAGCGAGCGGAGAGAAGGTATTCTTGCTAATTAGGTGATCTTGGGAAGGCATGACATCCTAAATTCTCTTAGCCTAAGCTCAAGTTGACGCAGCGTATTCAGTCAGATATTACCTTTTCTGCAGCTTGTGGATGAGTTGAAGCTGAAGTAGTTGAGTTAAGTTTGATTCGTTTCCTGGGCAGTACTTGATCGGAAGATGTTGTGATTTCTTGGGCGGGTGACTCCTTTGGTGGTTTACTAGTAGTAGGTAGGTCCACGTCATTGCCATGCTTAAATAGACATTGAAAAGCTGTGCATTTGTCACCGGCTGGACACGGTAGACTTTTCAGTGCCGCAAGTGAATTGGCCATTGTTATCAGACGAAAAGTGGCAATGTGCTAAACGCTTTGTATAACAAGGAAGTGGCAGAGTAAAAATATGGAATTACAGGACTATCAAATTGGCGATGAATGCTTAAAAAATATGGATATCGAGGGTATCTCAAGATAGCAGAGAATTGCCCAAGTGACTTGTTGTATGAAGTTAATTTATGTGAATGTGTCGTTAATCTCGCGAAGAAGACTCGATGAGCTGTATGTTTATGCCGTGTAGAAAGTGAAGTTCCCTGGAATCGGCCTGTTCTTAGTTTGTTGGCAGAGCAATAGCCCAGGCTTATGGTTCTTCAGTCTTAGGTTTATCTAGGAGGCAAATATCATATTTAATTGTTACACTGAACGAATTCAAGGTCGAACAAGCATGATTAATGTCGTGGAACGTGATTGCCATGAAAGGAAAATGACAGCGCTTTCCAGCATTGAACATTAAGGTAAGAAAGACATGCTCTTACCTTCGTGTTGAGACGTTGGCTTGAAATATTCCGAAGATAACCCGCAATGTTCTTTCATAAATCTTGTGAATATCTTCATAAATAGTACCACATAATTAACCCATGATAGACAGTCATCTAAAAGTGTTCTTAAGTTAATATACGGTTTAATAGTTTCATTCTTCATAGCTCATAGACTGTACTGTGTAGGCCGTTAAGATTTCTTCTAACGAGGCTATTTATACCAACGCTACCTAAGTTCTGGCATGTTTCTACTGTTTTATTTTAGTACAGTTTTAGCGTGAAAATAGATGTGTACATAAAAACAATTTCCATTATCTTCATTATCTTTTGATGCGCAAGATCAACAATAGATATCATGCAAGTTTATCAAGGCCGTGGCCCTGGTCATTTCCTACACTGGCTTGGTCTTCTCCTGGGAACGCATTATAAAAGCTGATGGTATCGTGAATCCGGTCGACTCTACTGCATACAATGTAAATTCTCAAGTGTAAGGATCCTATGCGTCTAATCGTCATCGTATCCAACTCAAGTACTGTACCTCTGGAAGTCCCTACGTCAGCCCTAGATGCCTGCTCCGCTAGTGTAGTCCCTGCAGCATCGCACGTTAGACTGCCACGGTTCATGCACGGACACCCGGACTTTAAAACAGACGATTGTCATAGCTCCTAATTTTAGGAAACCCGCGGGCAGCGGATGGTCTCATATCACCGACGGGGCTTTTTTCAAACAGTTATTTGAGACCCTATAATTTTCGAGGACTTTTGAATACACACCTCTTCTGTTTGAATCATCATTCGAAAGGTACCGAGTGCTTCAGGATGGAATATAACGGTGGTAGTTTGGCGGCAGATCACCTCTGCGTGCTTGTTCACGGTGTAAGTTGTGTTACCGCCGCAATCGTCGCAACCCCTGCCTGCAACCCTCCTGTGCGGAACCAGCGTCCGTATGATAATATGCACGTCATTTGGTAAAAGTAGGCCTGGAAGTATGTACTAACATAACATCTCCATACTACAGCTTTGGGGTAACCCAAATCATATGAAGTCCGTTGCGAAAGCGTTAAGAGATACTTATTCGGAAGACGAGCTCTACCTCTTGGTCGCCAAGCGAAATAGCGACAGTTTTACTTACGATGGCATCGAGCGAGGCGGCGAGCGAGTATGCCTCGAGATCGAAGAGGAACTCGAAAATATCCGAAACAAGGGCGGGAAGATAACAAAGCTCAGCATTGTTGGATATTCTTTAGGGGGTTTGGTGGCCCGCTATGCAATTGGGCTGCTAGAGATGAGAGGCATCTTCCGTGAAGTTGAACCAGTGGTATGGATACTACCCTCTCCAACTCGACAAGACTATCACATTCCTTACTTACAATCGCGATATTTAGAACTTTACAACATTTGCTTCGCCGCACCTCGGCGTCCGGACACCCCTGCGAGGATGGCATAACCATATATGGAATGTCCTGGGCGCGCGCACCTTGTCCATGTCCGGAAGGCAATTATTTACGATCGACGACTACCGCGGCACAGGCCGACCGTTGCTAGCAGTACTTGCCGATCCTGAATCGGTTTTCATATCCGGCTTGAGGAGGTTCAAACGTCGAACGCTATACGCGAATGTGGTCAATGATAGAAGCGCCGTCTATTATACGACAGGCATTTCTAAGACTGATCCCTTCATGAATACCAGCCGGATCAAGGCCAACTACCTCAAGGGGTACGAAGATGTCATCCTAGACCCGCTAAATCCGGTCTCGCCCCTAGTCTCAAAAGGCGGCAAAGGCATAGCCGGTCTCACAGCTGGAAGCCTAGGTTTTCTGCGGAGAGTCCCTTTGATGCTTGCGCTAGTCATCTTCATCCCGATCGGCGTTGCCGCCTTTTTGCTCAACTCCGTCGTGCAAACGTTCCGCAGTTCGCGACGCATCCGACTACACGAGTCAGGTCTTACAGATATCCCTGTAGAGAATTACCGTTCGCCAATCTGGATCAAAGACATACGGGGCACCGTCGAAGACGTTTACGAGAATCTCAATAGCTTGCAAGAGGAATCGTATCTCCATGCGTCAGACGACGAGAGTGACGATGGCGATCTGAACAAGGCTGATGCCGAGATTTTAGCCCTAGAGCGGAAGAAATCGCACCCTCAATTCCCAACTCTGGCTTTGACTCCGGCTCAATTCGCCATGATTGATGAACTAGACAAAGTCGGATGGCGCAGATATCCCGTATGGATCCATAAGGTTAGACATAGCCACGCCGCTATCATCGTGCGTTCCGATACACCCAGATTTTCGGAAGGCCTCATTGTATTTCGACATTGGATGAAGGAGGAATTCCTCATCTAAGATGAGTAAGTACATATATACCATTTGAATGGGCCATAGCAAGGAGTTAAACGGGAAGGGGAGTTATAATGGTAGGAAGTGCATGGGGGGAGGTTTTCTTTTTTCTTCATTGATACCCTTGACTTGGGCAACATAGATATCCATTGCTAGATTTATAGACATCTCTCGACTTAACGTTGCAAACACTTATATGTGGGTATTTTCTTGGGTCCGTCCTCCGTACTTTAAATATATGTGTCTGGTGACTCTCATAAGGCATGCCTTTCCTAAGCAAATTACTTAACAACCCTATGTACGAAATTTCCCCTTTTTTTTCACCAAACACTTCATTACGTGAGCCTATCTCAGTGACGACGGTGATCGGCTCAGAACCTAGTATACATTATATAAGGATTATAATAGATCTATAAACGCATAGTTTCACGTATCATATAATTCTAATAATGACAAAAAGTGTGTGACTTCATGTTGTCCTTGCTCCTACCATAAAGGTCTGAAGAGGTTTGGTTGTCGCTATTGGGCATTCACCTACAGTACACGATCGGCTACGAAGTACTAAAGCTATTATGGACAGGCCCTTAGCCGTAAATGGACTAGCGCACTACTGGGATGCAGGGTCCAGCATGCGAACTACTACGGAACTTTACACGCCAATTAAGTTCTTGAAATTCATAAGCACATACGCCCCTTCTTGGGTAAGTACCTATGTAATCAGGGGAAGGACAAGCCTCGTTCGAAATTCAACGACGACAAACAGTATGGTACGCTATCAAGCATATCAAGAATCACCTACAAGATTACCAGCCCAATGCCTCCTCGACCGGTAGTCTCGCCGCCACGCCGGATCACCAGATCCTCGCTTGCGCGCTTCCGCTTTGGCGACGGTAACTCCAGCTCCAGCTCTAAGGAGAACTCGACTCCTCCTCCCGCCACCGACATCGAAGACGTGATCCCGAACACGACGTCCGTACGGAAGCGAAAACGCACCACGACCATCCTCGAAACCCCATCTTCCCTCGCTTCGTCCCCGCGGCGCGCTACCAAGGTAGAGAAGATCGAAGAAGAGACCGAGACTAAGAAAACGTCAGCCCCGCGACGTCAACGCAAGCCCGCCCGCAAGACCGTCGACGCGGATACAGGAGAGTCCAAGGTCGCCGCACCGTCAGACTGGGAGGAGATGTACGACGCCGTGAAAGCGATGCGGCAGCCCGGGGGCGCGGCCGCCAACGCGGCCGTCGACACCATGGGGTGCGAGCGTCTGGCGCTCGCCTCGGCGAGCCCGCGGGATCAGCGCTTCCAAACCCTGATCGCGCTGATGCTCTCGTCGCAGACCAAAGACACCACCAACGCGGTCGCCATGAAGCGCTTACAAACGGAGCTACCTCCCCACGCGCCGGGCGCGCCCGGCGGTCTGAACCTCGAAAACATTCTCGCCGTCGACGCGGAGCGTCTGAACCAGCTGATCTGGGCGGTCGGCTTCCACAACAACAAGACCAAATACATCAAAGCGGCGGCCGTGATCCTGCGCGACGAGTGGGCGGGCGACATCCCGGACACGGTGGAGGGCCTGGTGGCGCTTCCCGGGGTGGGCCCGAAGATGGCGCACCTGTGCCTGTCGGCGGCGTGGGGGCGGACGGAGGGGATCGGCGTCGACGTGCACGTGCACCGCATCACGAACCTGTGGGGCTGGCACGCGACCAAGAACCCCGAGGAGACGCGGCTCGCGCTGCAAGGCTGGCTGCCGCGCGACCGCTGGCGCGAGATCAACTGGCTGCTCGTCGGCTTCGGGCAGACCGTCTGCCTGCCCGTCGGCCGGCGCTGCGGCGACTGCGATTTAGGGTTGCGCGGCCTGTGCAGGGCCGCCGAGAGGAAGAAGGTTGCCGAGGGGAGGAGGGTCAGGGAGAGCGCTACGGTGGTAGAGAAGACGGAGATTAAGGACGAGGGTGACGGGGCGAAGGTCAAGGTGGAGGTTAAAGAGGAGGAGCGGGAGGAAGAGGTTGTTGAGCGGGACGTCGTTGTTAATGAGAGTGCGGAAAATCTGAAGAAGGAAGAATCTACAGATGATTTCGAGGATAGAGGCAAGCTCGAAGAGAAGCCAGAAAGTTCCCCGGAACAAAGACCAGCGTCAAAAGGGTCGCGAAGGCCGCGAAAGGGATAATACCAGGTTTACGGTTAGGTCACTATACGAATGGGATTGAGCAGAATGTCAAGTATCATAGGGGCACGATGGGACTATAGAAGCATCTAATGTGTATGAAAATCAAATTGTCTTCGTAGAAGCCTCCTATCTGAGAGAAGGCCTCGCAATTGCTAAGCAAGTATCCATGTATGTACAGTGCTGCAAAGATCTGAAAAGGCGGCCCGCCACGTATCGGCAGGCCTCAGATCTCGTAGAGAAGCCAACTCCCGACCACGATGTCAAAGATGAATAGGTACTTTCGGGTATGCTTCCGACTGATTCCGCCTGCGCCGTCGCAGGCCGTGTAAATGAATAACTAACGTGCCCGAAGCCAATATGCCCGGACGCCATGCTTCGTAGAAGAGGAGAAAATAGAGATGCGGGACCAAACTAGCTTGCTGGTCGCCACTCTAACTATCGCGTGCGTGTGCAATCAAGGGGAGATTATGTTGGTGGTGGTAGTGGCGGGATTGGGTTCAAATGTCGGGCGATCGAATCGCCGAGCTAAGCGTCCGGGTCTAGTGCAGCGGCGATGGACCATCAAGCGTGATGATCGGGTAGGGCTTCTCTTATACACCCCGGATGACTTGCGTTCTTTCCGACTCGAGCTGGGCCGCGTTACGCTCGTGCGATTCCTTCTTGCACTGTGATTGAGAACTGATGTTAGCATAGGCGAATCACAACACTCCTTATCGAGGCCAGACTCGGTAAGGTACTCAGCGAGTCCAACGAGCCACCATTCGGCGGTATCATCGGTATCGCTAGAGGGAGAAGTTGGATTCATGCTTACGTCTTCCAATCCGCTGCACTTGTGGTCCTCTAGCAATCGGTGCTTTGCGCAGAAGTGGCCGTCGCAAAAACCGCAGTCGCCGACGATTCGTTGGGCGGCGGACTTGCATTCCTTGAAGGTGCATCGAGGCTTCTGAGGCGCCATGGTGATGATTTCTTTTCAGAAAGGTCTAGGTTGTTGATAGTGTTTGTAAAGGACGTGAAGATACTTCGTCCTCAAAAATTGTTAAGTCGTGGTGTGGTGTCGTGATGGTGAGTGAAATCCTGAGGCCGGAATGGGTAGGATGAGGATATCAAAGGAGAGTTGTTGAAAGCGGCGGCTACGTTGAAATGTCAGAAGACGATCTTTTTAAATGAGAAATGACAGAAATGTCGGACGATGGCAAGCTGGTGGAGAAAACGCCTTGACCAGGCAAAAGGGAGTAGCAAATAGAGGCTGAATTGGATGGTGGTTGGCTTGCACGTGTAGATGAATGGGCCTCGGCGGTGATAGATGACTTACAGAGTGTAATACTCAGATCACACACTGGTTTGTTCGGCAACTATCAGGATATTTCACCGATTGGTGTCTTTTTCGTTCGTCGGATGTGATTTTGTGTGACGGTGGGCTTATGAGTTTGTGAAGTGAGGATGGAAGTGTTGAGGTAGAAGTAGTAAAGTAACCTAGGTAGTAAAGTAGTAAAGGAAAGAGAAGGTGATGATGAGATGTCGAGACAAGGAAGGAAAGGGAGGGTTCCACAGGGAATGTATTGCCCTTTCCTATTTCCTGTCAAGTGAATGACTCTTGACGTTGGCGGCGAGGATGGAACCTTGGAACCTTTTAGAATCCAAATGGGTTTAGTCAGGAAACGTAAGGTGGAAAAGGAAGGACAAGACGAACGCGAACGACCGGGTTCCTTCGTTGGGACAAATCTACCTAGACAATCCAGACAGTCTAGGATCAATTTGTGATCAATGATCATCAGCTTTACATAGTAACCGCCTACCTAGCACTATACCTAGTAACCTGGTCTTTGCAGGCCCTGGTCATAAGCCAACGGAACCAGGTCGTATGTACAGGCCGGACAGACCATACAGGTCATACAAGGCCATACCACATAGCCTCCGCAAACTCATACTATGAGAATACCTTCCACTAGTATTCAGGTATCAGCTCTGATGACGACGATTCCGCGCAAGGCTCCGAAAGCGGGAGGCGAGCCGGTTAGGTCTAAACGGGGGGATCTAGTGGGATATGCCGTAGGGATGCACGTATCAGTAAAAACCGGGGGCAGGGGTTCGACGGACAAGGATAAGAAGCAATGGTCAAGGGAAAGAACAAGGACCGGGGGTTACTCATCTCCAAAATGGAGATTCCCATCAATCCATTAAATCCATTAAGCCCCATTAGAGAAGCGACAAGTCATCAAAGTACCTTAAGTCGGGAATTCGGCGTAAAGTCACCACCATTGCGGCATAGTACCTACCTCCATATCTGCATCATGCAAGGAAACAAAGACTATATACGTACTAATAACAAGTTGAACTCTAGCCAGCTCGTCGGGACACGAAAAACAAAGACTTATTCTGTACTAAGAAAGTTAATAGATGGAAGGAAACTGCTCAATGGCTCCAAAAACTACAAACTACAAACTACAATGTTACCACGAACATCCCAGAAAAGAAAATGGAGAAGATCATGATTCCAGATTCTCGTTCAGTTGCAACTAGCTTTTGTCAGAATAACGTGAGACTTGATAATTCAATTAATTGTGTAAAGAAAATTCTATCTTCTTAATCTAGGAGATTCTGGCCAAGACTAACTGCAAAATCTTCAATGGTCTCCATATCGTGTCTCAAAAGAGATCACGTGAAAACCAGAGATTTGAAGGCATCAAGGCATCAAAACACACGGACCACCTGATAACACAAAAATTATGAAATTGTATCTGACAGCTTTCTTACTTCATGCGGGCGATAACGTTGAACCAACCGAACTCACCCGATAAATTTCGGGCAACTTCGCGCGCGAGCCGGCTTTGGTGCTAGGCGATAGTATGTACGCCACGGATACCTATCGCAATTACATCTATCTTGGATAAGATTGATCCATAAAAAGGGAGATGGAACTTGGAAGTCGGCGACGATGTCGTTATCTGAGACCTCGACTGGCGTGATCAAATGAGCAATTCATAAATAAGGAGGTGTGCATCCCTTCCGCCGCAACGCTTACTAGGTGGTAGTTGAACCGACGACTTCCATTCGCCGACCTGCGTTGGAAAGCTTACCTTTCATTACCTCTCAGACTGCCACATGTCCGTCCGGATGTCTGTCTAACATCGCTGCACCGGTACTTTGATTTCCCTTCGTTATTTCATCCCATCTTCCCGTAACCATTCCAGCCATTCTACCTCAGCACGGTCGTTTTGTCGTGTCGTGTCGTGTCAGAGTGGGAAACATGCAATGCGCTTCGATCAACTTGGCAACTGAAACTTGGCAACACGACTACCACCCGGAACGCCGTTGAACGTTTTGCGGTGTCGCGGTCTTGCGTCGTTCTGTGTTGCGTGTGTAGAACGGCCCCGGGTATAACGACTCGACTAGCGGTGCGCAAGGGCGTCGCCGCTGGCGTTAGCCGTTAGCTTATAACTCTATCGACTCGTATCAGGTCAGGGGGGTGAGGCTGTACTTAGGCAATGTTCTATCGACCATCGTCTCCAAACTCCGGATGGCCCCTTAACTCGATTTGATACGAACACGCGAGCCTACACTATGTAAATCTCGTGTCACGGACCGCTATTCTCGTCTGTGGAGTTCATGAACCATGCAAGGACATTTCCGCGACACCGCAGTCCTTGGATGGAAAATTGAAAAATATCTTGCTGACCGACTCGACTATCTCGTATGCAGAATGTCGATCAAGATCGCCTGGACGGGCCGCCTTGGAAGCAAAAAAGCCATTGGCCGGTCTAGCTCTTATTTATCTAATATGCTGCCTATGTAGTGTGCATCATCCTTGGAGTAATTCGATTCTATTTGTATGTATGTACGTTTCTTGCTCCCCACGCAAAGTATCTGCAAGCTAGGCGCCCTCAGCGGGAACCCCATCGATCATGTGGTGGATATTTTGCGGAGAAACCAGAACCACTCTACGATGCAAGCAGGGTCTCGAATAAAGATGCCCGTTCAGGGATATCTTTTTACATACAGATTACATACGTGCGTACATCTGTGCATATGGTGCTACATATAATTTGTACTGGCATTCAACAAGTATCGAAAGCATGATCTGACCTCAAGCACATGCATTATTAGGTAATTACTTATTATTACACCTTTGGTAAGATCTAGACCGCCTCATTTGACCTTTCCGAGACACGTATATACAGGTCACATCTCTACCTACTAATTTGTGAGCAATCAGTCATCCGTCGATATTGCCTAACGGAATGGGCGTGTGGCGTAGCACCGGCCTCGTTTGAGATTCTCTAGGGTCGATGAGGTGCGCATAGCGTGTTTAGCGCCCCCGGAGTCTCGTCCTATCAATGACATTCGCAGGCTATAAGTCAATGTCCGCCGGTTTATAAATGAGCTGATTTGGCTGGTTTGTTGATTATGTAGCAAACGATTCAAAACTCCGGACATGCCGAGAAGAGTTTTGCTACTTATATATAAAAGGTAAAGGACCTTGCTTCGGAGTTAGAAGTTTCATGAGCTTCAGAAAATAGGATTTCTTAGGCTGTTTCTAGCCTCCTTACACAGTAACGAGCGCGGGCCTCAAGTCCATGACCATCCAAATGAAAATATAATGGTACATTAATGTAGGGCGTCGCTCAAAGGAGCGAGAGAATCCATTGGAATTACAATTTGTATTTTACTTTCTTGACTCGCCGGAACCCATGTACAAACAAGTCCGCTGTTAACCTCACGGACGAGACACTTAACTCATTACCCCTTTTTAGAAGTTCTGCACAACGCAGCGGATACAGTCTCCGGACTTCATCGACTCGAACGCCTTGTTTATGTCATCCAGTCCTTCTCGGTGAGTGATAAATTCGTCCACCTTCAGTTTACCTTGTAGGTAATCAGTGACGAGGCCGGGTAGTTGTGATCGACCCTTGACACCACCGAAAGCGCAACCCTTCCATACACGACCGGTGACCAATTGGAATGCTGCTCACGACGTCAGTTTCTAGATTATGCTATCAGTATAAGATGTTGGGAACTCACGTCGAGTAGAGATTTCTTGACCGGCAGCCGCAACACCGATGATAATGCTCTGACCCCAGCCCTTATGGCAAGCCTCTAGAGCTGCTCGCATGACGCCAACGTTGCCGGTGCAATCGAAGGTGTAGTCACAGCCTCCGTCGGTCATTTCAATGAGCTTTTCTTGAATCGTCTGTCCTTCTAATTTGGTGGGGTTCACGAAATCGGTGGCGCCGAACTTCTTCGCCCATTCCTCCTTGGCTGGGTTTACGTCGACGACGATAATCTTGCCTGCCTTCTGCGCGACAGCACCCTGGACGACTGAAAGACCAACACAGCCAGCGCCAAAAACGGCGATGTTGGAGCCTTCCTCGGCCTTGGCAGTAATTCTCGCAGCACCGTAACCGGTAGTAATACCACAACCTAGCAGGCAGGTTCGGTCCATAGGGGCGTCTTGTTGGACGGCGACAACGGAAATATCGGCTACGACAGTGTACTGAGAGAATGTGGAGGTTCCCATGAAGTGGAGGAGGGATTTCCCTTTGCAAGTGAACCGAGAGGTACCATCCGGCAAGACACCTCTGCCCTGGGTAGCTCGAATCTTCCCGCAAAGGTTGGTTTTGCCGGATATACAGAACTTGCATTCCTTACATTCCGGTGTGCTTACAGCCAATGTTAGCCCGAGGGATCACAGATATAATGACTGAGAAGGCGCCTACTATAGTGCGACGACATGGTCACCAGGCTTCACGTTGGTGACGCCCTCGCCTACAGACTCGACGAGGCCAGCCCCTTCATGTCCCAAGACGACGGGAAACGCGCCTTCTGGGTCCTTGCCCGATAGCGTGTAGGCATCTGCTCCACTGTTTAATAGGGAGTTCGGACTTGGTTCGGGGTTATTTTGACTTGGCGAGATATACCTGTGTGACAAACGCCAGTGTAGAGGACCTTTATCCGAACTTCGTGGGCTTTCGGGGGCGCTACTTCGATCTCCTCGATGCTCAGGGGCTTGCCGGCTTCCCAAGCGACGGCGGCCTTGCACTTGATGGTCTATCAAGACGCGATAGATCGATTAGCTTCAACTTTACCAATTGATGAAGATAGCAAATAGATAATTCATTCGGTAATGCGACAATTTTGGAAATATACGTCGTATACGCATAGCAGATATATGGCACCATATACGTAATGCGCGGGGTAATTGAATAGGAGAGCGACGGATGTGAGGGGATAGAGTACGAACCTTACCAACGGTATCAGCCATGACGATGATGTCGAGTGGAAATAAACAAATTTGGGAAGAGAGAGGAAGTAATCAGATCTTTTGGAGAATCCGAGACAAGAGGGAAAGGGCCTTGAGCTATCGTCTTTTATAATGAAATTGCTCAAGCGCTTGGTTGCTTGTTAATGCGGAGTTTTCGCAAGAAGCAACTTCTTGACCCCACCACTGGTTATTCTCAGGTGGGGGAGGTCGGCACGGCAGAAGAGGGCAGTGACTAACCCGGCCAAGAGAAGATAAAAGAAGTACTATAGTACCCTTTCTCAATGCTGTTACCTTATATCCTGATGTCACTCTTGCGCTCATCTTCACCACCGCCCAGACATCCTAGATCCGGAGCCCATTTTCCAAATTCTAGCCCGTAATCCTGGGAACGCGTTTTCCCGATACGTTCAAGTCTAAGGCTGTTTGATAGCGGGTTTTCCGAACTACCCCAATTCATTCCGAGCAGCGATTGTATGATACCGTCAACCGGCATTTTGAAACGGACGAATTTTGGACAAAACTCGGGATGTTCATCATAGCCTTAGAGGAAGACGTTAGTGTGCTTGACACCAATGAACCCATGAATGATGAAAACAACCGGTTCGACCTCCATGGAATGCTGAGCCTTTCTCGTCTAGGTCTGCTGCATTGCTAGATGCCGGTAGTGGTTACAGTATATGTGGTAGGCTGAACACATAAGTAAGGTGCATGTAAGCCGCATGTAAGGTGCACGTAATAGCAATCCGGTTCTGGTTTGCGGCTTGCTTCGGTATCAGAAGAGTCCCAATATCGACAAGGCTGAAGGAAGAGTTGATGGAGCTAGAAGATGGGTGGTTAGAGGTACGGAGGAGGGCAATTTATATCAAGTGGTGTCAATTGAGAACCCGGAGGTCTACGGGGCGATGTACCGGTGTATAGTTCTGTAAATTTACAGAATTCCTGGATCAATTCCATCAATCGAATTTACATAATATGAGGTACAAAGTACACTTTAGACCCACTTTAGATGTGTGTGGTACGAACGTGAATTTAGCAGACAAACAAACAACTGGAAGGACCTCAACTGGCCCGTGCACGTAGCCCGGGTAGCTACAGCCCTGTGTTCTATGCTTGTAAAGTAAGGTTGGGATGCGCTAGCGACCGCGTCTTGGAAGCTTCAGCTTCGCGCTGTGAATTTAAATTTTTATCTATTGACATCAAACCGCAAAGCAATAACATCAACAATTCAACGTCGACGCCAACGCTAAACTCAACGTCGGCGCTTAATTTTACGCTTGACAATTCTATTTCCAATCCGTCATTCTAGATAGATTGATGGGGTTTGTCACCAAATCCATCCACTTTCGATAGTGTTGTCTTAATGCCCCTTTGAGTCTTCCGTCTGCAAGAACGGCCATTCAAAGGAGCTCCTAAGCTCCACCAGTCAACATGTCTTATCGATTTTCAAACATGAGCTCGTCGCCATCCACTCCTGATAGGAGCTCCAGAAAAGGCACGTCTGGTTTCGGTTACACTGCAGACCATCCTACCACTACTCCAATTGGCCCTCCTCCGCCCTCTTCTGCCCCATCCTTTACCCCAGCTGGCGAACCTTCTCCTTCCTACTTACAGAGCTCTATCGGTGCCATGGCCGGCAAGATTAAGACCCCGAATTTTGGAAGGCCAAATCTATCGCAACCCAAATCCAATCGAAGCAATGCGCCTTTGGGTAGATCAATTCGAGGGTCTGCAAGACAGCCATCTAGCCTTAGCAGAGAATATCACGGAGAAGATGAGGACGACGATGAAGATGAAGACGAGGACGATGACGGAGGAGCAAACACACGAACAAACCGTGCAGGTACTTACGGCATATCATATGATGATACAACCGAAGGTGAAGACACCGAGCCCGATAACACGAATCCACTAGACGAAGAAGATGAAGACGAGGAGGATGGTGAGATGGATGCCATGGATGAGGATGAAGACGAGTATGATGTGGAAGAAGATTTGTTGAGGGAAATAGCTGGCACCGAGCCTTACGAAGATCCCTCGGCCGATGACGACTTGATGATGCTTACGACAACCGCCGCCGACGAACGTATTAGTAGAGAAGCTGATGACATCTTCCGTGCTTCGTCTATGCGCTCTACAACGGCCCGAAAACGAGAGTTGAAGTATGCTTCCCTTGCGAAGGATTTGTACAGCCAGTCACAATTCGCGGAGATATCTGAGCCGGACAAGGTCATAATCCAAACCGAAGAGGTCATCAGTAAGCTCTACGACGAAGGGGTGGGTTCCGAGGATGATGAGGAGAGACTGGATGATACCTTAGCCCAAGCTTGTGTCAAACTTGTCACCGAGATATGGAATCCCCATTTGGACGATCTGCCTGATGTCCGCGATGAGCATGCGGCCAAGGTAGGGCCAAGCGCTCAAGCCCCATCCTTTGAGAAGGCTCTGTACCTAGCCACCTTAGCCCTCCGCATTCATCATACACCTGCGACCAGCGACGATTTCGGTGCGGCCAGAAGCCGGTCTTTGCCTGCTATTCTTTTTGACTGGCAGGAGGACGAGCACAATTTTGATAGAGAGCAGGTAAATGCCGTCTTGCACCATCGTCCTTCTCCTGCGACGCATGGATTATTTTGGCAAGTTGTCTTCAATGCTCTCGTACGCGGCAACATAACCAAGGCAATGGAGCTTCTCAGATTTGCTGGCTGGGAGTCCGTCAAGAAGTCACCACGAGGCGAATCCGTTTACAGTGGCCAGGTTTTAGCTAACATCAAACGCGTGGTCGAGGATTTATGCCTAGTTATAGAGATGTGCCCGGCGCATACCAATGGAAGCTGGGATATCCACAATAGTGATTGGACTTTGTTCCGCCTGAAGGCTAAGGCTGCTAAGGAGGGACTTATCACTTTCACCGAAGGCAAAGAGCGAGCTTTCTCGTCCAACCGATTTGGTGATTCTGATTTCGGCGACTCTGTGGATGGACGACAGTCTCTTGCGGGGCTTGCCCGAAAAGCAGAAAGTAGAATTCCTTGGGACGTTTATGAAAATCTTCAATCCCTTTACGCGATTCTCATCGGAGAATCAGAGGCTATTCTTACGGCTGCGCAAGACTGGTGCGAGGCAACTATTGGCTTGTTCGGGTGGTGGGACAATGGTCATAACCACCGGAACCTTGGCCTATCTCATTCAAGATCGCTTCAGATGAGCAGTCAGCCAGGGGGAGATGACGATTTTCTGGACCGTCTTGCTCTTTCCCTCCAAACTGCTACGGAGGCCGATTTTCACTTCAATTCTGCTGATCCTGTTGAGGTAGCCGTCGCCTCAGCATTTGAGAGTAACATTGAAGGTGTTATTGGGTTCTTGAGGTTATGGTCACTACCCCTTGCGTCATCCGTGGCTGAAATTGCCTCATTGGGCCGATGGCTGCCTCCTCAAGAGCCGCAAAATCTTATTAACATGAGTGATTTCGATATGGAAGAGTTAGAGGTTTTAGGGATGAACCAGAGCACGGGGGCCGACGAGAAAGACGGGATCAAAGATACGACCCTTATCCATTATGCTCGTAGTCTAAAGGATCGCAAGCATATATCTGGTCTTGGTCTGCATGGCAAAGTTTCCCGAGAAGGATGGGAGATGGCAGTTCAAGTTGTTGGTCGAATGGACTCCCCCGAACGATCTGAGCAATTGGTGCAAGAATTGTTACAGGGCGTCTTGAGTACAATCGACGAGGACTCTCGCGAAACCGTAGATAAGATCTGGAGACTATTGAACGAGCTCGGCATGATCAATTTTGCCGAAGACACGGCCGAGGTATGTGAATAGTATCACTTTAACGGCAAGCATTTACTAACTTATTATAGACTTTTGGAGATATACTTGCAAAGGATACTTTCCGTTTTGGAGAAGCACTCTGGTATTATGCTTTAGCGCACCGTCCTGGCAAGGTCCGAGACGTGCTAAATACCCTAATGTCTATATCTCTTGTGGAATCCACAATTTATCCGCCAGAGAGTGAATTAGACAACACGCTGAAGCAATTGCTGAGAGAACGTACAACAACGTTGGAGCAATACGCGAAACAGGACCTCGAAGCGGCGGAACTTCTTGGCAAAATGCTAAGTGGGTATGCTACGCTTAGGAAATTCTATGAACTCCGCGATGGAGACGGCAAAACGAAACAGAAATCCCTACTGTCCCGCCAACAAGCCGCTACCGCTTTAGCAGCTGTAATAGCTAGTGCTGATGACAACATCCGAGGTGGTCTATACGACGACACGCGCGATGCCGTAGTTAGTGAAGATTTCTTGCTAGCATTGCTTGGAGAAGCGTCTGTCTTCGTGGGTCAGTCACCGCCGGTGATTACCCTCGACCAAATTGATACTCTACTCAAAGCCATTGAAGATATTCAAACTGTCGGATCTCGCGTCTACGACGCCTCCGATGAGTTCTTCAAGCTAGTCCTCACTTCGGGCCATGGGAAAGGATCGACACCCGCAGATCTTCTTAAACAATCTACTTCTTCCCTGGGCGGTAGTTTTATGATGACAGGCAGCTCAATGATTGCTTCTCAGCTCCATCAGTCCGTGGTCAAGAGCGGTGTCATGAAGGGCCCTGCTAAGCGAGCGTGGGATTGGAGAACAGGCGTACTCTCGGGCAGCAGTTCCAGTGATGTGCTGAAGCGGATTAGACTGGGCCTGACAAGGGACCTAGCCAACCTTTGGCTGGAACAAGCGGATAGTGTCATTCTATAACGGTTCACTTTGCAGTTCGGGGCTTATAGAACCTTCCGCAAGTAGTACAGCATTGAGTTGGCGTTTGGCGGCGTTGAGAACCAGAGAACCATGATTGGCTAATGTACCGAGTAATACCATGATGAGCAAAAAGGCTAATGAAAAACTAACTTGTCCTATGACTTGGGGAAAATGCGAAGCTTACTACTCATATTATTCCTTATGAGCGTTACCACTGCAATTTCGTGACTTAGTAGTTCCGTTCGAGCGTGAATGCTGTGCTGTTAGAACGATATATATCCACTAAATCTCCTGGGGAAGAGCCAAGTTACACAAAGGGAATAGGGGGAGAAACTATACCGCCAAATAATTAGGCCGGGTGCGGGGAATACGAAATTGTGTTGATATTCAGCATATAATTGGACGCCCCGGACTTGAGCGGACTCCTTTCCCATGCAGTTATCCATGGATCCAACTCCATGTTCAACTCCAGCTCTCATCAATGAGGGGGAAAGTGTTAATCCTACTCCACTTGGGATAGCTTTGGTCGCGGGTAACCATGGGTGACCATGTGTGCGCGACGGCATCGGTACGCCGGTCACATCGTGTATGTACCTAGGTTTATAATGGGTCAATCTGATCAGTCAGTTTTAAAAGCGCATTGTATCACAGGGTCTTGACCTTGTCCCTGGCTTTGAATAAATAGCTTAAAGATGCCAGTCAAGGTCTTCAAAAGACTCGGACAGCTGGTTTACTTGCATAGTATTAAACGACGAAGCTGGTATTCTCGAGAGAAAAAGATGGCGCTTTCGGAAGAAGCAACCTCAGAGCTTCGCTCTCTCGTAGAGAAGAGCATCGGCCCTGAAGACGGGGCGGCCGCAAATGCTATACCCGGAACCACTTGCGTCATCGTCGACCGGGCCGGGACCGAGCTCTTTGCTCACTCGGCTGGTAAACGAGGCATTAAGTCGAAGGAGCCCATGACCCTGGATAACATATTCTGGCTGGCAAGCTGCACAAAAATGGTGGCTGGGCTCGCTTGTATGCAACTGGTCGAACAAGGTCAATTAAGTCTAGACGACGCAGCGCAGGTGGAAGGTCTTTGCCCGGAGTTCAAGGACCTCAAAGTCTTGAAGGAGGACGGGACTTTTGAAGAGAAGAAGCATGGGATTACACTGAGGATGCTTCTGACTCACACCTCGGGCTTTACATATTCATTTTTTGATGAGCCGATAAGGGACTGGAGTCATCCTACGGGCATCGATGAGTTCGGATGCGATATCAGGGATATCCAGAAGTTTCCGCTTCGATTCCAGCCTGGAGAGGGTTGGGCATATGGAGTGAGCAGACACTGTCAAGCAAATCGAAAGAACCGGGAATTAACATAACTCAGGTCGGCATCGATTGGGCCGGAATCGTTCTCCAAAGGAAGACCGGGTTAAGCCTCAACGATTATATCCAGAAGAACATCTGCCAACCCCTCGGCCTACAGAATGTCAACATGTTTCCGACCCAGGTCATGAAGGATAAGTTAGCATACATGCATTCAAGAGGACAGGACGGCAAGATCTACCCCAGGGACCACCTACTACGCCGGCCTTTGATCGCATCAACCCCAGAAGAAACTGCGAGCCTTTTTAACAGCGGTGGAGCCGGTCTTTTCGCAAAGCCGCAGGAGTATACCCGTACGTAGTAGCTTTACGCAACCCGAAACCGAAGCTGACTGGTGCCGGTTGAATTAACTTTACCAATTTGCTCTAGGCATAATATCGGTCCTCCTCAACGACGGCACCGACCCCAAAACCGGCGCGAAGATCGTCTCGAAGGCGACCGTCGACGAGATGTTCAAGAACCAGATCCCCAAGTTCCCGGACTTCGGGCGCCAGGGCATCGCGGCCGCGAAGCCGGACCTCACGAACGCGGTGCCGGATATCTACCCCGTCGCGGGTAACCCGCCGCAGGGCTGGGGCCTGACGTTCATGCTGAGCGGCGCCAGCGACGTGACGGGCAGGTCCGAAAACACGGCCCACTGGGCGGGCTTGCCGAACCTATTTTGGTGGGCCGATCGCGACCACGGCATCGGCGGCATAGTGTGCACGCAGATCCTGCCCTTCGCGGATCCGGCGGTGCTAGGGCTGTGGGTTGGAGTTGAGACGGCTGTTAATAAGCACTTGAAGTTAGCCAAGGAGGGGAAATAAGGATGCATTTGATTCGAAGTCTTAATATCTTGGGAGGGTATAGACACTTAGGTACCTATGTGGTTGGAATAAGGGTTAAGATAAACTTTACTAGTTGGCTGCTTATATCACACACACTTAACCTACGTAAATAGAGTTTCATAAAGACATGAATCATGTATATTCGAACATTGGTGGACCTCAAGCAGACTGCTCATTCGTGGTCTACGTGGATGCTTAGGCAAATGACCCTTGCACGTCAGCATTTTCACTTATTGTCTGTTAAGGAGGTAGGAATTGTATACAGATAGTAATTGCGTTTTCAATTTTATTTCGGTAGTTAGAATAGAATAAGATCCTAACGAAGGTCCTGTCCCCTTGCTGAGTTGTCGCCCACCAACATGGTATCAAATAAGAGGTTTTACGGTTGAAGTAAATCTTGGCTGCCGTCGATGATATCCTAAGGCCATTATTGAGGCCTAAATAAAGCCGCCCCTATCCGACCAAAGCCGAGTTGACGCCATAATCGCATTGTGTTGTGGATGTGGATAGATACTCCTGTCATCCAGCATGACCTGGCTTCCAAACCTCTTAACAGGTTGCTTAGCTTCCCCGGTATGTCGTATAGCTATAGGGGGATAGCAGTAGAGGGACGTGGTAGTGTTGACCCTTCTCGACAGTGAACGAGACTAGGACTTCAGGGAAGAAAGTGTTTCCCTCGCCGAAATAGCTTCCGGTGTCGAAGCGGAGAGTCCATGTTGACTTGCTATCAACCTCGCTTAGAACGTCATCTATAGAGAAGGTTGGAACATCTCCAGAAGCCAGGGCACTAGAGTACGGGAGCCAAGCCTTGATGCGGCCGTCGTCGTCGGCCTGTGATTCGAAAGTCTTGAGCGGAGCATGGCCGCCTTCTAGCTTCACACGGATGCCTTTTGCTGGCTTGCCTATAGAGGTGTCCAAGACATGGCAGGTAATGGGGTCCTTGTCGCTTGCCATGAAGACGGTAGATTGGTGAGGCTTGAGATATATAGGGCAACAAGGGTTGAAGCTCCTGTTTTCGCTGCTGCTGCTGCTGCGTTTACGCGCACGATTTCACAAGCGGTGATATGCCCTACTTGTACTTGAGAGGCTCTAGACTTGAGGATCCTATGAAATAGCCAATCTCGTAGCTAGATGTAGCTAGACGTAGGACGAACGAGGCGGAGCCGTTGGTGGGGCAGTGAGTACAATCACTCCTTTTCCGAACCGGTTGAAAAGGAGAAGAAGACTATCCAATGAGGACTAGCTTGCCTCTCTCCTAGGCCTCGAACGGTATGTAAGCCCGTAGTCAGGAGGCAAACTGAGAAGGGTCGAAAAGGTAAAAGCTTGGGATATAGTTGGAGATTGGAGAGAATTGGTCTGTCTGTGAGGGGTGGTGTAACAGCTGAAATTCCCTAAAGTAGCTGCATTTTTGGAGCTGATTATACAGTATGCATAGCAGAACCTTAAAAATCCATCCGTTAAGCTACGGCCCCCACCGTGGGGCAAGATACGTAGCAGGCTTTAGTGCTCTAGGGCTATCTAATGTGGGTCATTCTATAGATAGAAACAAACGTGATACAGTACTTCTCACGGTGCGAATGCATGACGTCGAACTCTCCCCTATTCATCTCTCCACAGCCATAGTTGGCATTTCCAAGAATCGGTCTCTTCGTCTTGTACGCTGTCGAAAGATATCGTGATCAAGACAATTGGCGAGCTGAAATCCCAAGTACGACTTCACAGCCTTCGTTGATTCCCAAGGAGATTGTCAATGGTATGATGCTTATTTGACTACTTAAAGAATACCTGGTAATACGCCGAGATATGATTTGGCGTCTAATTATAGCTCAACGAGACATTTAAGCAGTGTAACACATCTGCACGAAATCATATGTAAGTAAGACTTGAACGGTCCTCCCTACTTGCTGCGCGTCACAAAAACTATCCGATTCAGTCTGCCTTCTATACTTTAAGTGGCATTATGGAATGTGGTCTCGAGGAGGCTGTGCACCGATCAAGCACATCGGAGAGAATCAGGCGGTGAAGAGTATAACCTTCTCTATAGGGGGTTAACTTGATAGAGTAAGTGAGTTTATTGGTCCAAGACAAATTGGTATCTGTCTTGCGTCCTTTTACCACCTCTTAGCTAGCCTCAACTCATGCTAGCCGACACTCGATTATACCCAAGATGCTACGGCATTCCCACACTTTAACCATCTTCAAACCCGCCTCTTCGAACAATTTTCGGAATTCCGAGGGCGTACGTTCCTTGCCGTTCATCAAAGACATCATGGCTATGTCGAGAGAAAATCCATGATGACCATGGATGCCGTAATTGGCCAAAAGTGGTTTAGGTGCAGCCTTGATATACGGATCTCCTATAGTCTCAGTTAAGGTTATGTCGGCAACTAGAAGCCGTGAGTGCGGGCCCATAGCCTCAGCCGTCCTCGCGAGAATCTTGGCACAGTCGCCGTCTTTCCAGTCATGTCTATTTTCCGTCAGGCATAACTTCGACAAGGTCTTATGGGAGAGATATCTTACAGAACGTGGCGCATCCAGTAGATGTCGGCCCCCTTGACGGGGTTTGGCGTGAAGAAGTCGTGGGTTACGAATTTCGTTCGTCCCGACTCCAGAGCTTCAGGAAACTCCTTTTTCCACAGCGAGACACCCTGCTCAGCTGCTACTGCTTGGTCCTGTACGATGAACCGCAGCTCCGGATACAAACGGGCTAGTTGAAGATCGAAACTACCTGAGATGCCGAGTCAGCCTTGGTCACAAAGACTAATGCTAACTATGGTGCCTTTAGTTCTCCAAGAAACTTACCGACGCCGCCTCCAACATCGACAACCAGCGCGTTTCCCAGCTCCTTCCATGGAAAATCATATAGGTGAGGACTACCCAAACTCTTGCTGTTTCCAGCCAGATAAAGATTGTACATCTTCGTGTCATCCCTCGGAACCAATTCCTCGTCCGGCGATGGCTCTACTTCCTTATAAAATCCCCTTGCCGCACCTGGGCTCGCTTTCTCTCCAGCTCGCGACTTGGGGACTTTCTGGTTCATCCAGTCGAAGAAAGGGAGCGTTGTCCCAACGGCCAGTGGCCAGGCTGCATCTTCTGGGTCGTGGCTTGGCCCTCGGACTGGGTCATTTAGCGCTTCTGGCAACGCTGAGGCGGCGGCGAATCCCATGGAGCTGCGCGTTTTCTACTGTTATAGGACATCATTTCGGCTGAGAGAGAAAGAGAACTCACCTGCATTTCACTTGCGCTTGCAGTCTCTCATCGTTGACTAAAGCTTGGGAGATCCTATTATTCGCAAACCTGTCCGGTCCGACCTCTCGAAAGAAATGCTGTGTCGTTAGAGCCCGCATTAAACGAGCTACGCTCCGTTAGTGGTTATCCTATAAGGAAATGTTTTGAGGCTGAGGGAATAAGTCATTATTGGCAGAGGCTCACAGAGCTTTTGGTGGTTGAGACCAGTTGCCTTCGCTAAGTCTTCGACAGGAACTCCATCCGCGCTACCCTCGGCTAATAGCAATGCGATATCGTGCTCAACAGCTATGTGAAGTGCCCGAACCTCGAAGTACAACTCAGCAAAATCCACAAGACGCAGATGCGGCTCGGCTACGAGCTCCTCGACAGAGCCCAGCGCCGCGATGATAGTTCGTTGCGCGTCATAAGCTTCGCGCCCGGGAATGGCGAAATTGGTCTCAGACTCAGGTATCGCGTCCGGCGCCGGATTCTCCCATTCTGAAATGAGCTTCTCTGACGCGTCTTGCATGAGCTTCACAACTTGCCGAAGGGCTGTGGCTCGCGATGATACATCGTCGTAGGACATCATGAAGATATTTTTGCGTCTCAATACACTAGGTAGTTGGGAATCAGAATAACCCACCAGGGTTATTCATTGTTTCTTATTATACCTATAACTCCTTCAAGCGGCTACTTTCAAATATCCCAGTACGATCGTGGATTACGGAGCAAGTTTTCTGGGGTGATGTGAATGACATCTGTCGATTTGCCGATAGGATTATTGGCGACTTCTTTGATAATATGCATCACACAATACGACCCCGGCATCAAAATCAGGGTCAAATGAATATCACATCAAGAGTTTAGCCTACCATTCCCGCTTTAACTGGGCTGTCGTACTTCCTTCGAGATAACGAGATGCGGAGAAACCCTGTCAGCAGAACAGAGTATAAAAGGGGTAATACTTTTGCCTATTAGGTAGTGCCGAGCTTACGATCACGGGTGTAACGTCTTACCTAGGTATTGGATGTCCGCTCCAAGGCACACCGTTGTCAGCGTGGGAGATGGATTGGAGGAATGATGCTGGATGTCCCTCGTTAACTTCGAATTAACCACAACTGCTAAGGCCAAGTACGTGGGGGCAACTCCGCCTTAGTTATAATGTAACGTCATTCGTCTTTTATAGCCATATAGTTGGACGATCTAGGGGTTTAGGAGGCGAAAACTTCATGTCTTAGCTATTAAGCCCCTGAGCCCCTGAACCCCTGGGTTTAATATCGTGTGTGGATACAAAGTCAGTCACTCGAATATCAAGGAAACGTGCTATTTATGGATACGATTCTAATCTCAACGGAAGTCAACATGAAATTTCCTAAATATTCTAACTAGGCAGTTAGGCTATGCTTTTACCTAGTTAAGGAGGTCTCAAGTGATCTTCTCTATTCAACTACATAATAAATTATCCATTGGATAGTTAAGGGACCAGTATTTTTCGACATATTACATTTTTATGAGAAGATTATTCTCCTACGGTCATAGTTGAAAATAAACTCTGCTTTATTGAAAGCGTAAACCTGCCAAGAGCTTCCTCTTCTATCCCCCTTCTTAGAATATGTTCGACGTTACTATATGAATTATGCCAAACCTAGCAGATAGTCCGAACCTAAGCTTCCTACCACTGTTTACTCTCCGGAGTTCGGCGTTGAGCGTTCAGCATTTTCTTTTGCGCCTCTGCCGGCGCCGAACAGTATGCCAAGAACCGGTCACACTTCCTGGACTCGAACACTTCTTGCTTACGTTACCTTATGCTAAAGCAGGCTGCGTGATGCAAGTGATAAAAACGGTACTAGGCTTGCCACCTGCACGGTACTTCATACATCAAGTAAGTATGGTGTGTGACACAGAAGAGGCTATGTCCGCATATATAGATCCCAACAAATGCCGCTGCAACTCCCCAATCAATCCCCCAGATTTCAAAACCGTTACATGGAGATTCTCACCTTAGAGATCAATGTTGACACTGAAGTCGGGGGTAACTAAGGACTCCAATGTAACCCAAAGTCCATGAGTAAGGATTTCGGTTTCTGTACGCGATCACTACGTATATCTAACTCCCGCGGTAAGCTTGGTAGGATGTGAAGCTATATGAATCTAAACTTGACTAAAATTACATGGCACGATGTTACGGCTCTGCGCCCAGACTGCGTAGTCCCCCGTTCCGGTTCTTCCTAACCCTGTATGGTTATATGGTAGATAGGCTGGAGAAGCTTGATTAATAACCATAATATCTGTTTCCTTGATTATCTTCCTATCTCCTAGATGAATATGCTTCCGGTCGTCCACATTCATTGGCCGGTTGAAAGTTTTCCTCGCTGAACTATACAGACTGTCTTCTGATGGAATACGGTGCTTGATGCTCTTGCATGACTGTTTCGTGATATTCAGCTCGAAACCTCCTCGGGATAACCCCTGCGTGCCCTCGGTAGACTTAGACCTTCGTCTAAAGAGGGGCGATAACATAGGCGCGCAAGCAACTATTACGCCTAGATTTATCTCGATTGATGACCATAGGTTGACTTTCCCAGAATCGAACGGATTGGCGAGGGTCTTCATGTATTGGATGCGAATGATCTGGATGGCTGTAACGAAGAAGCCTAGAGCGAATAGACCAAGTAGCATGACTTTCTTGCGCATTTCAATTTTGGTTTTGATGAGAATAGGGAAAGGAAGAGCCATCCTAGGTCCAGGTAAGTATAATCGAGTGTCAATAGAGTGTGATAGGTGTACTTACACAGCAAAATCAACAACAATCGCTATCGCCGATGAAGCGCTAGAGAATGCGACCACATCAAAGCATCTACCATATGTGATAGTACTGTCCCATTGCTTTGCGATCTGCTTCGGAGTTAGAACCGTTCTTATCTAGACTTAACATGTGCTGGCATACAGGGTGACATGTATTTAGTTGGACTATTAAGCACGTCAAATTAGAGAGTATGCAACCGACTAACACACAAGTTACTATGCCACGATATATTCCCTGGGGAAAGAACCGGAAATATGATACTATGAGGCTGAGCTTGAATCCGAGGACGCTGAGAATATATCTAGACTGTAGTTAAGCACGCAGACGTGATTATAACATAGTAGAATCACTCACAAGGGCGAGACCGCATATTCTAACTGCTCGATGTTAGACTGAGCCAGCTGCAAGGTGATATTAATGTGTTCTAGGACATACATAACCGTACGGATACATGTTTTGTTCCGGTATGTCTTCGGGATTATTCATCCCTAGACCCCATGTTGTCTCTATTATATTCACGTCAGCGATTGATGTCAAGTACTTGAGGGGCGGTAACATACGTATTGATGCGACTATCGTGTACGCGCAGGTTAGGGGCTACGAGTTGAGTTAGCAATTAATGATGATTAGCTCTCTGAAAACACCTTACCCATGTAGTAAATATGATCAAATCGTCTATTTACATCTGATCTCAGCACATTGACTCTGCTTAACTAGATGCTTAGGGGTTAGATACCTGTCCCTAACGAGTGTACCAGCTGCCATCGAACATAACCTCGAAGACATATAAAACAAAAAGACACTCCAGTCAGAACAGACATAGTAGCTACTATTTTAGGCCCGGCGGTGAGAGTATCATCCGGGGCGTTATGTATCCATCCCATATTCACATATGGTCTCACGGGCCTCGTCGTATAACTGATCGATACTCGCTAGTACTGGCCAAGAGCAATTGGTTAGTGAGCTATTGGACCGCTTTATTGGATAAATATCTCTCGATTTGAGCTACTTTCGAGAATTCTAGACGTGGGATGTTGTAGCATTCCTAGTTCGATAGACTATTGCCCATTGGAGGAAGAGTTTGAAAGAATGCGAGAGGGAATGGATTTTTCAACCCGAAAAGAAAAGGAGTATGTACCCCATTTCTTTTCTAGTATTAAGGGTCATACATCTCTTATAAAATAGCATCGTCGGCCAAATTTATCGCTCCGCCGAAGTGGTGGTAAGCTCTGGAAGCCACGTCGGGCGCCATAGGATCAAATGTCTCTAAGACTTCCAGGACTTCCATATCTAAAAGCCATTCAGAGGTTTTATAAAAATTCTTAATTGGCCACATTCTTTCAGATGGCGTTCTGAGAATTGTTACTCCTTCGGGAGATGATGTAATTTACTACTTACGCCCCCAAAGATACCGGAGCTCCGATACCAAGATCGAGATTAAGATCCTACCTCTTACAAATACTAACTGTTCGTCGTAGTATAACATATCTATAATTATCATTAATTGCCGCCTTTCTATTGCTATCAGGAGTCTTATTCGTCGACTAAGGCCCGTGGGCCGGTAGTTGTGATACTATTTTCTATGGACATCATATTCGATTTCTCGGTATTTAGGTAGGTATTTATCTCTAAACTCTAAATCATGATTTTTGAAAGGGGTATACTGCATATTCTCTCAGGATATACCTACTTAAGTTGTTATATGGGTAAACTGCCTGTCTATAAGAGGATGTCATTAATTTTTCCTTCAAGACTCTTTGCTCTATCAACAGCTAGTTATAAATTTTGTTCTCTTTCTCGGACCGATCTGATACTAAGATCAGGTAGGTTGGGCATTACTGCCTCATGAATCCCGAGTATGATAGAATGGTAAAAGGGGCAAACAAGAACTTTATTTTCACCTATTCCCCTTATTAAGCGATCAGAATTAACATTGGTAGTTGTCGATTGGACGAACGAAAGTGTCCCATGTTAAAGAATATCATCTTCCATGGAATTGGTAGGTTTGCGACTGAAGCGGGTAGAGGATATGACTTAGATCCGAATCACGGCAAAGAGACCGTGTGCCAAGCAGACGAGTGCGACCGGTCAAGAAGGCCTGAGCCGTGGGAACCTAAGTGTTATAATGATGAACCAGTAGGCAGTAGCTAAAGCATGTGGTGACCGTTGAGCCAGCCGCTTGTTTTTAAACGGTAGATACTCACCGAGGTGGCACCAAGTTCTATCACAAATAGGAATCGGCGATGTAGACTGGATCCCTTCCCATTGGGCCAACTTCTAGGCGGGGATTCCATCAAGGTGCCATGCATTGCCGTCAGAAGTTTATAGAAGCAGTGGCCATTATTAAACATATTCGTGATTAGAGCATATGGATAATGCGCTTAGAACACTTTCTCTCCTCCAGTGTATCACCGCATTTCCGACCGCCCAGTAGGATGTGATAACCAGTGGTACCAAAGAGGAGAGAGCATGAATAGCGAGATGTCGGCTAACGTTTTGGTGTTGACGACGGAATGTAGGGGATGGCATGAAGGTGACCGCTGCCTACCTCTATTTAGGTATTAGGTATGCCACAACGTCAATCTTCTGGTTACCTTGAAAGAACGCATCACAACATCCAGTACAGTCACCGAGTCCTTGAAAAAAAAAAGAAAGAGAAAACATGGCGGACCTAAAGAACGTGATCGTGGCCCGGCATGAACCGGTACCTGACCTTGAGGAGAGGCAGGACAATGACACAGCCGGGGCGAGAGAGCACATTCTTCACCAGCAAGCACTCCAGAGTACCGGGCCCCTAGCTCTCCCGAGAATGGCCCTGTTCCGCCGGAAGCATAAGCAGAATCTTTATGATATTGCGACCCAGCCCTCCGTCTTCGACGATCCAGAGAGGGCAAGGTATTTCCAGCCCGCCGAAGATTATGAGAACATACATCGGTTTGATCCAGAAGCCAGGTGGACGTGGGCGGAGGAGCTTCCGCTCGTCAGCAAGCTCGACTGGAATATCATGTTGTGGGCATGGATCGCCTTTTTCGCCATGGAACTGCAACGGTCAGATCTGACCCAGGCAAACACGGACAACTTCTTAGACAATTTAGGCATGTCCACAGACGACTATAATATGGGAAATACTATCTTTAAGTTGGCGTACATATGCGCTGGGCTTCCATCGCAACTAATCAGTAAGAAAGTTGGTAAGCATCCTTTGAAGAAATCCTCTCACATTTGGTCACTTATCAATTCCTGGAATAGGCCATCACAGGTGGATACCTACGCTCGAGTGTCTGTGGAGCGTCGTGATGATTTCGCAATTCTGGATGGATGGCAGAACGACCTTTTTAACTTGCCGTGTTCTGCTTGGCTTGTTACAAGGTGGTTTCTGTTCTATAATTGTCCTATATCTCGTGAGGCAACGTTTCTGATAGTATCCATCGAGCTATCCGTATGAGCAGCTAATTTGCTATCGTTTTAGTCCTACTTCTTTAAGGGTACCGAATTATCTTTTCGCTTAGCTATCCTCTATACAAGCATGAAAACTGTCCATATTGTGGCACCGATACTTGCTTTTGGTATCTTGCGACTCCGTGGCTATCAGGGATTGGAGGGGTGGCGATGGCTTTTCCTAATCGAGGGTCTCTTCAATCTTGCCGTCGGGATCTGGTCTTGGTTTATGATGGTACCATCGCCTACCCAGACCAGATCGTGGTACCGGCCAAAAGGCTGGTTCAGCGAGCGTGAAGAGGTCATTATGATCAACCGCTTATTAAGGGATGACCCCTCTAAAGGAGATATGAATAATCGGCAGGCTATAAACTTGAAGAAGTTGTGGCAGTCGTTGTGCGATTTCGACCTTTGGCCAATCTATATTGCCGGTTTTGTTTTCCCTATACCGTACGCGCCGTCCGATCAATATTTAAGCCTTACCCTGCGAGGTTTCGGGTTCGATACGTTTGATTCGAATCTGCTTACAGTCCCAAGTCAACTAGTTGGTATCTTCACAGTAAGTTGATATTACCTGCAGCTTGTCCGCTCATCTTGTTGATTTGAATCGCGATGACCTGGATGGAAATAACCGTAGATTAGATGCTTATCCCAACATATCTCTCCGAAGCTTGGAATCAAAGGTCCTTGATGGGATTGTTCGCACAGATTTGGGTCTTGCCTAATATTATCGCTCTCGCCGTGCTGCCGAGTGGTACATCACAGTGGGTGAAATATGCTGTGGTTTCGGTTTTGCTTTCAGAGCCATACCGTAAGTAAAATTGCACATCATCTTCTTATGATGGCTAAAATATCGAACAGTACTGGGTATGCACGCCGCTTGGTGCAGTCGGAACTCGAATGCCGTCAGAGCACGAACTGTTTCAGCTGCCGTCTTTGAGTAAGTGCCATCATGTGTCTACTTGAAGATCAAGCTGACTCTCAAAAAGTATGTCCCATCAGCTCGCCGGTATCGTGTATTCGAATATTTATCGCACTGACGATAAGCCCGAGTGTACGCTCACTGCCAACACTCAGGGGTATCTTATAACTGACTCGAAAATTGGTAGATCGCCGTGGAAATAAGCAACTCGTCGCAGTCTGCGCAAGTAATATAGTGATATATATACTTATAAAGCTCTACTACATTTGGCGCAATAAGCAAAAAGAGAGCGAATGGAGCGCAATGACTAGAGAGGTAAGAATTGTGTGTACAGCTATGACATAACGCAGAAGTTAATGTACAAATAGGAGCAATTACTGTATTTACAGACGACTACAGACCAAGGCAACAAGAGGAAGGACTTTAGGTTCGTCCACTAGCCCGATGCCGCAAGATATCTCTCAAAGTGATACATAAATGAGTGCCCAGGTTTGATAGGGGTTGTGGAAAGGGACGAAGATATCATATTGGGGTGGAAGACAAAGAAATCGACGAGACCAAAAAGACTGAAAGCCGCAAGCAAGACATGGATAGAAATACTTTGTAGGGGCAGACTTGTGGCTTAAAACCAGTGCCTTGGCAGTCTGTCTGGGATGATCGTGGTACCATATCCATGACACTAACACTGACATTCGTCATGGTTAACAGCATTTGATAGTATCTTCCATCATACACTCGGGCGTGCTAGTACTAGTGATTCATCATGAATCATGACATTTCTCTGGATATAATTAGCACATTTCAAAAAGGCAGATAGATGTAGGGCAAATCTTTCTCACTACCTAATCATTGCAGTAATCTAGGAATTTTTACGGGAGAAAGAAAACAACCATGCACTTGCAATCAGTCCGAACACTCACATCATCGGGTTTAAAGCGAGCTCCAGCGGTAGCCCGCTCCCTCTCTACCACCATGGCTAGAATGTCAGATACGGACAAGTCACACGCCACTGGCAAATCTAAAGTGCCTAAGAAAGTTCAGGAGAAGGTGCCCAAAGATTTAGAAGACACCATTCCAGACTCTGTGAGCTCTCCTTCATTTCCCCAAGATCATTTCATAGCTGAAATAACTAATAATCGTTTTAAGATCCATCCTACCGGCAAGGGATCGGGCGAATCCACTAGCAAGACTCATGCGAAGGGCGGAGGCGAGGAGTCGGTGTTGCCTAAGAAGGTCCAAGAGAAGGTCCCGGAAAGCATTGAGAGGGCCGTACCGAATTCTCTTCACAACACCGGAGATAAGTAGAATATAATGAGTAGTCTATAGATACCTACACTAGGTAGGTAGTTTATCAAATGTCTACCTCCTGTCGATGACAGGTCCTCGATGCTCGGTGTAGTTTGTAAGGTGTAAAATGGGACTTACTTGTACTAGGTACTTGGGTGCTTCTTAACAATACCCCACCAAATGGTACGTACCTGATGCCCCAGTTCATGCTACTGGGACTCTGCGGGGCGCTACGATTTGCTACTAGTAAAAGAAGCTCGACGCGATTCCAGAATTTACTTCTATTTTTATGCATTCACCCTACGACAATTTGTTACTTTGTTATCTGTACGGAATAAACAGATTCTCTTGTTTGTTTCGACCCTACTCATCACCTGCTATTCCCTTATACCAAATCATCTCTACTGAACCCTCACCCTATCCATACCCGTCCGCCATGTCGTCCGCTGTAGTCTCCGCCGACGACGGCTTAGAGCCTAGCCTGCAGTCTATCCTGGACCAGAAGACGTTGCGATGGATATTCGTTGGTGGCAAAGGTGGTGTTGGCAAGACGACGACCTCATGCTCCCTAGCCATACAACTCGCAAAAGTCCGCCGCTCGGTTTTACTCATCTCCACCGATCCCGCCCACAACTTGTCCGACGCATTTTCCCAGAAGTTCGGCAAGGAGGCCCGCTTAATAGACGGTTTCACAAACCTCAGTGCTATGGAGATCGACCCGAATGGAAGCATTCAAGATTTAATAGCCGGGCAAGGTGAAGACACCAGCGATACTATGGGAGGCATGGGAGGCATGATGCAGGATCTGGCCTTCGCAGTATGTATAAGGGTGCCGTATGGTATTGCCCACTCATCAGACTAATATTTCCTTCCAGATTCCAGGTATAGACGAAGCCATGTCTTTTGCAGAGGTTCTAAAGCAGGTCAAATCTCTCTCCTACGAGGTCATTATCTTCGATACCGCACCCACAGGCCACACCCTCCGTTTCCTGCAATTTCCATCCGTCCTCGAGAAAGCGCTGGCTAAAATCTCGCAACTCTCTTCACAATACGGCCCATTACTTAACGGTTTCCTCGGCAACCAAGGCACGCTCCCGAACGGACAGAACTTGAACGAGATGATGGAGAAGTTGGAGACCCTGCGCCAGACTATCTCCGAGGTGAACACACAGTTTAAGGACGAGAACTTGACGACGTTTGTGTGCGTCTGCATAGCAGAATTCCTAAGCCTGTACGAGACGGAACGTATGATCCAGGAACTGGCGAGCTACAGCATCGACACGCACTGCATTGTGGTGAATCAGCTCCTCTTCCCAAAGCAAGGAAGCAACTGCGAGCAATGCAATGCGCGACGGAAGATGCAGAAGAAGTACTTGGATCAGATCGAGGAATTATATGACGAGTTCAATGTTGTAAGAATGCCACTGCTAGTAGAGGAGGTTAGGGGTAAGGAGAAGCTAGAACGATTCAGCGAAATGCTGATCCACCCTTATGTCCCCCCAGAGTAAAACGCACACCTGGAGTCTATTGGGCCGTCTGGAGTCGGGAAGCGTGGCGTTCAAGACCTTTGGCTTACATCGAGGGTCTAATGTAAGGGAAATAGAGGCATGACGGAGCTTTTCAGTGCTCCTAGCATATGTGCCGACCTAGATACTCACGAGATAGGGAAATAAGAACATGACATGTCTACCCTAATCTGTCATATATCTTTGATCTGAGGGATAAGATTATAGGCGTGATCCGGCGAGTCAGAACACTTCCACAATTCCTGTGTGGGATGAGGAACTTGAGCACAGGGCGCTTCATAATTCATTCAAGTGCCAGTATATTGGTATACTAACTCAAAGCAACCGTCCGAGGAGAAACAGCGTTTAATAATGTCACAATAATACTCTTCCCGCTATTATGCTACAAAAGTATATAGATGACTAATACGGAAGAATCAAGTATGAAACTACCATCGGCGTTAAATATCAACAGGGTATTCATGCACCCAGGATGACAAATAATAGGCATCGGGTCCAATACAACACCTCTGCATCCACGAAGATCCTATCACCGGCTTAACGGTCATGATATACTACTACAAGTGAATGGTGTAGTTCTAACTTGTCTCGTTAACATGATGAGATGTACGAAAAATGAACCCGGTCTATTTGAAGACGGGAGATGTTCCCCTACGAGCGTAATTAGGTAGCCGCGATCGGAAATCATAGAAACTACGGATTTTCATCAAAGCTCAGAAAACGTGGAGTTAATGCCGGTGTTAAGTTTAACCAGGAGATAGATGAGCTCAAACCCGGTGTTTAATCCAAATCCAGGAGATCTGTGAGTACCAGGGTTAATGTCGTCCCCAATAAAAGCCGTGGATATCGCTTAGTCTTGGGGATAAGAAGTTAGAGGTGGCACACTATCATTATCTCTCACCATGCAGTCTATCAAAGTTTACCATGCTCCGTCTGGCCAAGGACCCAATCCATGGAAGGTCGTTATTGTGCTCGAAGAACTGGGCTTGCCGTGGGAGATCGTCTGGATCCCGTACGGCGAAATCAAGTCCGAACCGTACACGTCCTTGAACCCGAACGGTCGACTGCCGGCCATGGTCGACCCTAATAAAAACGTAACGCTTTGGGAAACCGGCGCCATAATCAACTATCTTGTCGCCACCTACGACAAGGACCTTCAGCTCACGTACGGAGATGACAGATTCGAGGAAAAGTGGCTGCTCCAGAGCTGGCTGATGTTCCAGATGAGTGGCCAGGGGCCAATGTTCGGGCAGAAGAGTGCGTACCTATTTTCGGACTCGACCCTCCTCAGCCACTTTTCAATCCAAATCCGCCCTAAAAGCCAATTCGCATTACTTGCTTCCTCATCTAGCGTTCGTGCAGTTTCCTTGTAGCACCTAGCTAACTAACTCGTCCGCGAAAATAGTATGGTTCACCCACATCCACGTAGAGCAGAACCTGCAGACGGCCATAGACCGGTACGGAAACGAGTCCAAGCGCATCATGGGCGTCGTAGAAGGCACCCTGCGCAAACAGCGGCAAAAGCTGGGTCTCGCGGCCGACGACCCGGTCTGGCTCGTCGGCGACAAATGCACCTACGCGGACCTCGCGTTCGTCCCCTGGAACACACTGTTGGGTAGTATGTTCCCCGACGGCTCCCTGGACCTGGCGAAGGAGTTTCCCGAGTACTACCGCTGGCACTTGAACATGACCGGGAGGCCGGGGACGAAGAAGGTCTTGGAGTACAGGGAGGAGTGCATACGCTCGATGTCGGACACTGGGGCGCAGGTCGTCTCGAGGCAGAAGGATGCTAGGCAGCTTCCGAAGTATGAGAAGTCTGTCGGCGTTGATAACGCTTGAAAGGGGCTTTGGTTACACCGGAGAGGTCTAATCTAAGGTACTTCCTGGTGCTGGAGAAGTAGAAACAATTTATAGAAACTTGCCTAATCGAGCAATTGCGTCTCTGCTAACTGCTTAAGGCTTAGCGTGGTTAACAGCATGGTAGTTGCTTACCGCCATTTGTCTTAATTTATGTGAGAATGGCAACCTGCAGCTCTTTCCAGCAAAGTTTATTGCAATAAATGGAAAGCACTCTGCCCATGTGGCCTAACTTCACAACCGCACCTTCATTATCAGCCCTTCGGGCGAATGGTGTCCAGCGCACGGAAGTGACGGTGGGGCTGTGATGCATTGGCAGGCCAAGCCCATCTCAGGGGAATTAGTGGGCATCTAGTAGGGGTGTCATGGCGGGGTAAGGCACGATGTAGCTTGGATAGAGAAGCAGTCGTGTGAAGCTTCCCAAGCTTCGTATGAGCTTGCTTTGGTTACACCTTCACCGTTTCATATCTTTCTGTTCTCACCTCATCTTTCCTCTTGTTATTCCCCCCTTTTTGAAGAACATTGGAGATTTGGCGAATTTCTAGGAGAAAGAACAGCATTGAACCCAAAGAAGCTATACCTAGTAGAGAAGTGCTCGAGTTTTCAACATGGCCGCCGATATCCCTATCATCGACGCCCACATCCACCTCGTCCCGGAGTCAGAGCTTGAGACGTTGGCGTGGTGGAAGCCAGACGGCGCCTTACAAGGACAGCTTTCGGTGGAACAATATCGGACTGCTACCGGTGACTCGACGCCCAAAGGCTTCATATTCTTGGAGACAGACCGCAAGAATGACCTAGAGGCCGGGGAGAAGGATGGTAGCGGCTGGAAGTACCCCTTAATGGAGGTCTCCTGGGTGAAGCGCATCATCACCGGCCAACCGAAACCGGGCGAGGGCCACACTGCGGAAGACGCTTCGTTATGCGTCGCCTATATCCCTTGGGCGCCGATGCCGAGTGGGGCTGAAGTGATGGAGAAGTATATCGACCTAGTGAAGCAGGAAGCCGGCGAGAGCTGGCCCAAGGTTAGGGGTTTCAGGTATTTGCTACAGGACAAGCCGAACGGGACCATGCTGCAGGACAAGTTCATCGAAAGCTTGAAGCTGCTGGGCCGCAAGGGCCTCGTCTTCGACCTAGGCGTCGACCAACATAACCGCGGCCGGGCCCAGCTAGAGGAGGTTGTCGAGATGATCGATCGCGCGCATGAAGGAGTCCCCGAGGACCAAAGAGTCACTTTTATAATTAGTTGGTGTTCCTTATTTCTCCGCCCCTCCTCACCGAATTCCTAGGCACATCTTTTTTATTTGATAAAAAAAGAGACGAGAAGACTAATGTTGTTACAGACCACATGTGCAAGCCAGACCTCACGATCTACAACGTGCAGACGAGCCCGTCCTTCATCGCCTGGCGCACGGCCATCTTCACGCTCAGCAAGTGCAGCAAGACGTACATGAAGCTCTCGGGCGGCTTCCCGGAGATGCCGGACTCGCTGAAGCAGCGGTCGCCCGAGGACATCTTCGACGCCATCAGCCCGTGGCTGAGCGTCGTGCTGGCCGCCTTCGGCGCCTCCCGCATCATGTTCGCCAGCGACTGGCCCGTGTGCACCGTCGGCGTCGGCGACGACGCTTGGCAGAAGTGGAAGAAGATCGTCGACAGGCTGTGCTGGATGGCCTCGTTCGAAGACGAGGAGAAACGCATGATTTGGGGCGGCACGGCGTTGAAGGCGTACGGTATTGAGGCGTGATGATGATATCCGTGATACGACATATATACCTAAGCAGTCGATTTATTGAGGGGTATGGGATGCGGAAATGTGGAATACTAGGACTATTTTCGGCTCGTCTTGCATTTAGCAAACAAGTATTTGACCTACCTACCCACTCGAAAAAGGCGAGGTATGCACATATATCAATATAATCAAAGATTGTTAAGAGCTTCCTATGTTTTACTGCGTAAAGATCCATTACTGCTAAATTTGGTTCTTCGATAAAATTAGCTTTTCTACAAATCATAAGATTTTAATAGTATTAGATATATTCAACCACATCATGATAATGGTATTCATGGATGTGCCAATTTCCAACATTAGACTCGTAAGGCTTCAATGTTCAGTATTCGCTCCGTCTAGAAAACGCCGCCAACGCAGTGACCCATCAAATGGCGCCAACGTTAATTTAGGTCCCAGACTATGATTATAAAAATGCCCAGAACAGTACCATCATGGCCAACGAGTATATGAATCCGTTACCGAGCAACCTTTCCGCCCCGCTTGTAGCTTGACCACAACATTTGCGGTTGTACGTGACGTTGTTCATCTGCGCAGCGACTTCAAAGACCGATCCGGGGAATCCTCCAGAGTTGTAATAGTCCACGTTCAGGAAGTTAGGGGGTCGTCCCCAATCGCTGCGGCAGTTATTGGCTGAAAGACCAAGACTACCAGTTCCCGTGACGTTATTTGTCACATTCAGCTCAGTCCGCGCGGGTACAAGCATATCGGTCCCGAGAATCGACAGCTCAACATTAAGGTTATGGTTGATCATGTACAGACGGTTTTTAGCATCCTTTTCAGCCAGGTCGGGCGGCCGTTGAACGGTACAGGGGAAACTTTGGTTGGTTGGGTCAAATGGCGTTTCCCACAGCTGCGAGAATTCATCAAGGAGCCAAGGATATTCCGTCTGGTTGGCCATGTAATCCATAAACATAACGACTCTCTGACCTCTTAAGACCATCTCGCTTAATGTTGGCCAATCATCTAGAGTCATGGGAGCTACCGGTGGTGTGTAAATATAACGTAATATACCGGTTTGTTCAATATATGGCACGTATAAGCTAGGAACGGAACTACATCACTCAGTTAGCAACTAATTCCCTTGTCGAAATCAGACGGCGCCTACTAATTTCCATTCCCTAGGAGGATAGTAACGACATCATACGGATGGGCTGCAACCCAGGTCTTAACCTGGCCAAGCCAGTCGGTGATGGGCCCAGCATCCAGAATATCACAGCTCGTATGACAAAAATGTGGCTCGTTCCCACCAGTAGGCCACTGTATTTGTGCTTGGAGAAATCGCACGCCGTCATTCAACTGTGCTGTGACATCGTATTGCTGATTTGCTGCCAAGTTGTTCGGGGTTATGAAAGGGGAATTGTGGCAAGCAACATTGGTGATGTTGCTGTATTTTCTGGTGCAGAATTCTGCATAATCGTTGCATGGCTGTGTGTTGGTCACCGTCGGGATGGCCGACGTAGTTGAGGATGAAAAGTTCCCGGCTAATGTTGTCGTCGTCGCGGCAGAGCCGGTCAAAAACGTCACCGTATCGGACGACGAAGAGCTAATCGTGGACCGGGTTACGTTGTCGGTTCCCATAGAAGTCGCTATACTTCCGGTCGTCCCCAACTCTGTGCCCAGTGTTATCTGGGTAGAAAACGACTCATAGGTGCCGGTCGGTGTGGTAGCCTCGGTTGCAGTGACCGTTGAATCTGTTGCTGTAGTCCCATCATTGCTAAGAGAAGTTTGTCCAAGCACGCCACCAGCAACGGCAGCCAATAGGGACCAACGCCCAAATACTGGCGCCATGGCTTTCCTAGAAGTATAGGGAAAAGCTTAAGCGTAGTCTGACATGAAGCAAGTGTCCTCGGTATTAAGTAGTATCAACGACAAATATGTACTATTATCGTAACGAAAGAAAGAAGGAAATTCGTCTATATTCTAGGTTCATCTGAAAGGGAAAAAAAGTTAAGAGTTGCAAGTTGAGATGACTTGGCTTGCTTCCATGTCTGCTTGTGACAACGGTCGACTCGAACCTTCCCTGTCACCCCCTTGGCTCCGGGCTGGCTGCATGTATGTATATACTTCGAGTACACGAGATCTACTTGGATGTGGGTCAATCAGCTAACAAGGAAGGCTGAGCCAAAGATTATGAGGGCGTCAGTGGTAGATGATGAGTGATCCTCGCGCAGATTGCAGGGAAAATTGTAGGTTACACGCGTCCACAACCTGTTATGTCTTGAGTTGGCGCTAGGAAATGATGTCAGCGGCATTCCCGTACCATGTGTGTACCCATATATTTATGGGTCGTAGCTTCAAATACGGCGATAGTATGTATATAGTTGTCAGCCCCGATTTTCATCACTAAACTCGTTGATCAGTATAAAACCGGCGTCTAGTTTTTGTCTCGTATGTGACTAATATGCAAAGGAAAAACTTGACCTTAAGCTATATCCATGTAAGCCGTGACCTAGTCATGAACAGTATTGTAAGTCCAAACATACCTAGGTCTCCTCGTAATTGTAAATGAAATCAATTTTCATTGGTCCACTCGTTATTCAACTGATCAGCGCAGGTGCTGAGCTCAAATGGATGTTTCAAACTTCAAGACATCCCAGCCCGCCCAGACCGTTATAGATTTATCTGGCTGCCTGGTCTTGACTGGCATCTATGATACCCAGCATCTAGTTCAATGCTACTATAATACCCATATAAAATCTTGGCACAGTGGCAGTGAGATCGTTGCCCGGCAGTCGGCATAAGATGGCAAGGATCATTGGCAACTCAGGCAGCTCAGGCAAGCGCAGTGGAGAAAAAGGGTTCCTTGGAAGCTGAGAAGTTTAAAGAGAAGCTCTAAAGTATGTACTGTACATCTTTGGTACATATACCTATGTTTCTGATGTCAAGTACAAGACCCAATCAATAATACGCATGGGTCGGATAGGACGATCTTTACTTCTACCCAGCTTGGTTCCCATCCTTGCTGACTATCCCAGGTAATCATTCACAAATTCAGAAATCAACTGTTTTTGATCTTCTGTGTTGTTTCCTTCAATGTATTCACGTGCATGATCCTCAAGAACTTGGATATTTGGTCATTCTCGACGGCCATTGCCCGTAATTCTTTTCAATTTTAACTCGATTCTTGAGCCAATACACCAGTTCCACGGATAATTCTATCTGAGCTGCTGAGATCGAGTCCATCCGGACCACGGAAGATACAGGGCTATCTTTGGATTTGGGGATTCGTCGAAAATGGCTTTTGGATCTGTTCCTGGCTTTCGGAAGCGAACGGCAGCAACATCTTCTCCTGATGCCAATGCTCACAAGGAAAGCCCTCAGCCAAGCATCGAAGACCAAGCTACTTTGAAAAGGGGGACGAGAACACGACGGAATGCTATCATAGTATCATGTTTCTGCTACCTGGTCGCCGTGGTCTTCTTGATCTTAGTAGGTCAACCTCTCAACTTACATTTGGATTTGTTTAACCGCCTCATTATATCGTAGATCGAGATAGGCAACACGAAAGGTACTCGAGTTCTTGGCGACATCTATTTCTTCAAGCTTGATCTTTCCGATATTCTTCCTCAGGCGGTGCCGACCACCTTAAGTTTGCAAAACTCGATCGCGCGAACTCTCGGCCTCCATGATTTCTACCAGGTCGGGCTATGGAACTTTTGCGAAGGATATAATACCGAGTATGTGGATGAAGCTATGTCAGGAGGGAAACTTTGGCTAACAAACGAATTAGTGGCATTACACATTGCTCGACTCCGACCACTCTGTATTGGTTTAATCCGGTAGAGATCCTACTAGGCGAGCTATTCTCCGGAGCTTCGATTGCACTGCCCTCAGAAGTGAACGATATCCTGAACATTCTCCGCATCGCATCGAATATCATGTTTGGATTTTTCCTGACTGGTCTACTTTTGGATTTCGTCTTGATTTTCCTGTCTCCCATCGTTTTATATTCGCGATGGTGGAGTCTTCCTCTCAGTTTTCTGGGCTTCCTTGGAACGCTGTTGGTCCTGATAGCATCAGCCCTCGGCACGGCCATGTCTCTGGTCTTCAAGTATGCTTTGACATCACAGACTGATCTCAACGTAAATGTCGACGTCGGTATAAAGATGTTTGCGTTTATGTGGATTGCGACCGGTTTCACTTTGCTCGCCTTCATCATCCACGCCGGGTTGGGTTGCTGCTGTACGTCACGTCGAGACCTGCGTACGGGACGAAAGGGCGGCAAGAATCTCAACCAGACTGTCACAAGCGAGAAGAAAGAGAAGAAGGGCCTCAACTTGCCTAAATTCGGTAAAAGGACGGACGCGTCGGGTTAATGATATATGCGACAAGATAATTAGGGAAGGATATCTCTATGCGGCTCCCACCATATGAAGAACATTTGGAAGGCACTATTCAGTACTTCATGACCGTAGGTTAGACGCCAGTTTCGAAGGTTATATAAAATGGCGTATGTGTAAATGAGGTCGGCGCAAGCTTTGTTGCTTGCGAAAGTTAATTAGAAGCCAAACGCACTTTTAGAAATTCCAAAAGTTCGATATTCGATAAAATGACGAGCTAGGTACGAAGTACATACAGACATATCACAATAGAATAGCGGTCAATTCTCGGCAATCGTCGTTAAGGATGATGTGGGGCAAATTTTACTCTGATCACGTGCCTGTCTTATTTCAGTGCCTAAAGTTAAGGTTCCTTCTGACTAATCCCCGTCCCTAAGGCCGTCTTCTCCCACTTCATTTATCCAGTCACAAACGATCCTTCCTCCATCTTCTCTCAATAACTTCCATCCTCAACTTCTTCTTACCAACCAACTCCCATCATTTTCTCATCAACTTCTTTTTTTATTTCTTCAATACTGATTCTTAAACATCTTGTTGCCGCGCATTCTCAGGAACGCGACCGGTAATTATTTTTTCGATCCGATCAATCCGACTGCGCCCGCGCAGAGATTGAACTTGGGCCGCGAAAATTCACCACATTTCCTCTCGCTTTCTCGGTCGCGTCTCTTCGACATCATTCGCCACATTGACTTCGCGACAGGCAATGGTCAACTCAACCATCGTGTGAACTAACTCGTTATCAGTGAACTTCTAGTGGGATAGGCTGGGAGGTCTTGGTCTAAAACAGACGAGATTTTTGCGGAGATCTGGGGTTCGTGGTGTGGACTTCGGGTGGAATTCTGCCTTTTCTTCAATTGAGTTGACTTGGCATCAAGTCTGCTTGGCTTTGTACATCATTCTCCATTTTCTTTCTACTGAAGCATACACTCTTGTTGTTCTTTGAAGTACAACTGAATTGATACCCATCTATCTTGTTGCCAGTTGGTCTTCTTAAGAAAAAGAAAAGAAAAAGAAAAGGACAAGCAAGGGTCAGAATAGCATCAAGTCTCCGCAAAAAAAACCAACATATCCAACCCCTCACTTGAAGCTTGCGAACAACTTACCATTTCAGTACTGCTTCACACACATTTCTCTCCCCCCCATTTTTCTAGAATACCTTGCCTTTCGAGGTTTAGCGAATTATCATTCGCGATTATTCCTCTTCCCCTTCCCACAAATCTTGTAACCTCGCCAGATACTACTTAATCTAGCAACATGACTTCGTCTGTGTTCTTCAAGTTCAAGTCTCAGAAGGAGCCATCGCGCGTGGAATTTGATGGTACTGGTATCTCGGTGTTTGAGTTAAAGCGTGATATTATCGTAAAGAGTGGCCTGGGTGATGGCACCGACTTCGACCTAGCTATCTACTCCGAAGACGGAAGTGAAGGTAGGTGTCTGTCTTGAATTGGCTCACTAGTAACATGCTAACCCAAGTGTAGAGTATGACGATGATACCACTATCATTCCCCGATCTACCACAGTGGTCGCACGTCGACTGCCTCCTCAGAAGCCTGGAGCTGGCCGCGCTGCTCGGTATGTCTCCGGAAAGATGCCAGCGAGCGCCAAGAATTCTTCTCGGCGAGAGAACGCAACGAAGGCTACGAAGCCCACATCCGCCGCTCTTACGCAGATGAGTGCGGCAATGACTGAAGAGGAGAAGATGATGGCTATGTTTCAAGCACAGTCTGATCAGTGGACTGCCCAGCAGGAAGAGATGTCTCAGTACGTTGACCCATCCCATCGCTTTCATTTACACATACTAACATGCTCATAGTCAAACTGCGGTTTACAAGCCAGGCGCGAAGAAGCCTGCCAATGTCCCTGACCATGATCCCCCCAATGGATACATCTGCTATCGATGTGGACAGAAAGGACACTGGATCCAAGTCTGCCCTACTAATGACAACCCGGAATTTGACAACCGCCCTCGTGTCAAGCGTACGACGGGTATCCCTCGTTCGTTCTTGAAGACCGTAGACAAGTCAGCACTCCAACAGACCGGTTCGGACGGTGAGGAAGTTAAGCCCCCGGCTGGCGTCATGGTTAATGCAGATGGCGAATTCGTGATCGCGGAGCCTGACAAGGCTTCATGGGAGCAGTATCAGGCTAAGACAAAATCATCAGCTGCCGCCCAGAAAGCAGCATCTGCCGAGGATAGGGAGCTTGAAGAGAAAGGCCTTTTGTGCGCCATCGACAAAAGGATGTTCATAGACCCAATGAAGACTCCATGTTGTGAGAAGACGTATTGCAATGAATGCATCACCAACGCTCTCATTGAGAGCGACTTCATATGCCCAGGCTGTCAGACGGAAGGGGTACTTATTGATGACCTCAAAACAGATGATGAGACTACTGCCAAAATTCAAGACTACCTTAAAGAAAAGGAGTCGCTTAAGACAAAGGAGCGATCAAAGAGCCCGCCTGCTGTGAAATCCCCCTCTGAAGCGCCTTCTACTAAGGAGACACCACAAGCAGACTCGCCAAAGGGCCAATCGACAGCCCCCGAGAAAGCCAAATCGCCAACCCCATCCACAGCAACTAAATCCCCTCCGGCAGAGGCTGCCAAACAGTCGACCACCAACCCAGTGCCGTCATCTAGTTCCAATGAGACCCCTAAGCCTCAGGAGACAACTTCAGCCTCTAAGAAACGACCAGCGGAGGACCTGCTAGAGAACCCTAAGATTCCTAAGGGCCCAAAGGCTATGCAGCGAGCGCAAGAGGCCAAGGACATGCAGAATATGATGCAACAGGGCATGAATGGTATGCCAGGCATGATGCCTAACATGATGCAGTTCCCTATGAACGGCTTCGGTCAGCCCAATATGAATATGGCCATGATGATGGGAATGAATCCCATGATGAACCCCATGATGGGTATGAACGGAATGTTCAACCCGGCTTTCCAGGGCATGAACGGCAACGGCATGTTTGGGGGAAACTTTGGAGGTATGAACGGCGGCGGGATGAATAACATGAACGGCATGGGCATGAACGGTGGTAGTGGTGGCGGTGGTGGTGGTGGGTTCAACAACCAGAATCAGCAGCCACACAGACCAAACTTTACGACGCCTAACAATGACAATGATGCTTACTTCCGTAAGCCTGTCAATCCTGGACGACACCAGAACAAGCAGCGTAGAGTCCGACCAAGTGACTATAGGGAACTATGAAGTTCCTTTAGCGTCGTATGAGTCTTCACGTTCTTCAGTTCTTCTACTTACACACGACTACTCGTTTTATCCTCATCGACACATCCTTCATCTCACATCTCACAACCCTTACGATTGTAGATATACAACTACTTCTCACCCATCTCATCACTCACGCATAGGCCCGACATGAGGCATCGGGCGTTAGGTTTCGGCAGGGAGTCCACCATTGGACAGGCATAACGGCGTTTGGAGTTCGGCAAGTTAGCATTCGGGGAGCCGCACGAGCAACATCGGCCGGCGGACATAGGACATGAGGTTTTGAGGAATTTTTCCATAGGTCGGTTTCGGGGCGGTATTTGCATGAAGGCTGATTGGTGTGGCATTTGGCGCCAACTCACCTTCGCTTCAGAAACGCTGGAGCATTCGAGGTTCGTTTACATAGGACAATGAATCGACAGTAGCTTTACTGCGCTTGAGCTTGTTATACTTCATTACACGTGATTTAATTATGAGTATCCGTACATGCGACGTGTTCCCTAGGTAAAGTATAGGATAGCATATGGTTTCTACCCTAAGATCATCTTCCCCTACTCTCGCATAGGTGGGATTTACTTGTGAACTTCTGCTAGCCTAGACCGGTATCTATCCATGATGATACGATAACAAAACAAATACTCGTGGCATTCTAATAGCCTCACATAAACAATACGTCAATTATAGGCGTTAGCCATCTTATCAATATTCACACTCTACAAATTAAGCAAGAATGTCTGTACTACCACCTACTTGACGCCTCTACATCGGTCCCCACATCGATAAACCTCCTGCCATCAGTTGTATGACATCGGCGACGACATGGTCCCTAACATTGTTAAGGTCATGGTCCCTAGGATCGACTATTTAGTAAGCCCGTACATAACGATACGAAAAAAAAGACTTTAGGATCGTTATTGTTCCAGTTTTACTTATGTAGATACATATAATAACATGAATAAAAAAAACTCAGACACTCGGACACTTATCTACTTGAACTTCTAGGCTGCAGGTAGGCCGGAGAGTTTTTGCGACATGACGAGCCGAAGACTAAAAGAGGATAAGTAATGATACAAATGCGTTGGGCCAAACCTAGACTTTTTTTTGCTGCTCAAGTACGGGTTGGTCTCACATATCGGGAGCAGTACTTAGGGCTGAACTTATCATGACAAAAGCCTGCGGCATCATGTTTTGCTATGTGATAAAATCACACGCATTTGTTGCACCAACGGCGGCCTAACTAACAGGGCTTGCATCATCATTTGCATTAAGAGACTGCAAATCCTCCTAGAAAATACCAATGTGATTGATGTAAGCTGTCGTACTACCAATTATTACAACTGTCGTCGTGCTACCCTAGATGTCGTAGTTGCGGTGGGGGTTTTTGTGGTGGGGGTTTTTGCGGTGCCTGGGCAGTGTGATGATACCTAGGTACCTACGTAACGCCGGTGCCAATTTCGAGGTCGCGAACTCCTTAAAACTCATATAAGAAAGCGCGTCTCATGCGTATAGCTTAATTTATTCAAGATGTCTTTCATTTTTGGCTTGAATATCTCTTTCCTCTCATATATCGAAACCTACCGTTGAAGTGGTACACTAGTTGGAAGAAAACCCAGCTTGGATCTGCTCTCTCATGGGTATCAAGGGTTATAAATGAACTGTGGTAAGTCGAATAATTCTATGTTAATGAAATATTTCTTCCTCACGATCCTAAATCACCGTACCTTCTATTCCTTAAGCATTTTTATGATATGTATTCGCATATTTTACTTTCGTTCGCAGTAGAAGCTAACTCGTCGCTTTCAAATAGTGCCCATAATGGAGTCTCCGGATGACATGGTAATACAACATGTACCCGCTTCGTCGACCCTAAAAAACGGTACAACTTCTGTCACAGCAAGTGATAGTATTAGCATACCTCAAGTCTTCTGTATTACGAGCCGCATCTTGGAAGTGGAGTGTAGCAAACTTCAACTCCATGGCACTTCCTCCAAGACTATCCCTCGATGGGCGCCATCCTCAAAGATAACTTGCGGTATTGAGTACCAGTCCTTCCTTCAGGCTCATTACGGCGCCGACGACATCGAACATGTCAAAATTTGCCTGAAAGAGGTCATCAATCTACTCAATTCGTTCGACATTGGACTCAGCTTTGTTTACGTTGAAGACTTGCTCCCTGAGACCTTCACCCTTACCTACGAGGAGAATCCTGATGTCTACGCGACTTCTTTCTTCCCAGGCACTCGAGATAAACGCACGATTGTACTCCACGAGACTTCATTCTTGCCCGAATACCGTGGCTCGATCTTCAATATCCTGTGCCACGAGTTTGGCCGTACTCTCGGGATGCGGCACTGGAACGCCGCCTCGGATGAGCCGTGTCTTCCGTCGGTACATTTTCCTCCTGATTCGGATAACCGACTCTCCGTGATGGGCCCATATACTCACCCGGGAACTCTCCAATTTCATCAAGATGATGAAAAATGGCTTCGAGAGTTCTACGGGCAAGATAATGGGTCATATATTCAAGGCTACAAGATCGTGGACGTCCCAGTTGCTCCAAGGACTTCACATTGCAGTCTTAGGAGATCGGAGATAACTAGGCTTCACATAGTCTGATGAGAGGATGGCACAAGAAGTGTGATTAGCCGGTCATCGACTTAGACATACCTCCTTTGATAGGAGTATTATACAAGTATCATCATTAGCGGGTGTCTTGTGAGCGTTTGCTGCCCTTGGTATATTGTGTAGCTGAGAATGAGGACTAGTATTAAGTTGGAATTAATCTCGAGACAGTGTCTTGACATGCAACTTACACTCGACGAGTTATATCACACAATCACCACTCAAGGGAAGACGTATACGGTATTCGATAAATAGATTCAATAGTCCTCTATCCACCTTGCGGTGGCAGCTATATATTGACAAAGCTCTGCCTCCCGATATCCATCCATCAATTCTTTCCTTCGGGGTTGGATGAACAAGTATTTACAGTGGCTAGCCCGGACCTTCGCAATAGGCCGGTTCCGAGGCCACAACATTGGCATTTCTTTTGAAAAAAACATCCCCAGGAGCCGTCGCCGGTCATTTCCACGGCGGACGGTCTCGCTGTGTTTCGCTAGAGCGGGCTGGGTACTCTCTTCTCCGCTCCCGCCTATGCGGGTAGCAAGGGGGAAGAGGGGCCTCTGCTCCGGATGTATGGTCAGAAACATACGAAACGATCGCACGATCGCATCACGGGGGGATACGATCGTGGGGGCCGCAGCATCGACCCAATGATGTGGGCGCGACGGGCGCGGCGGGGCTCGGCCGTCAAGAACCAGCTTGTGGTCCGGGCCTCGCCGCAAAGGAACCCGTCGCTGATGCAATGGAACAACAAGACGAGCAGAGCGAAGAGAAAAGTTGGCGCTCTGTGCCCGTTAATGAGCGAACAGCCTTGATATCTCCTATCTTCGGCCTTCTGGCGTATTATGATGATGTGCTGCTTGGTGGGATCTCCCGAGAGGTGCAAGTCTTCACGATCGGACGACGATGCCGTTTCGGCGGGAGCTGCGGGGGGCGTACTCCTCGTCGCCGCTGGAGCAAGAGCTCTCCTCATCGCTGTAGCCGCAGCGCGAACCGCCACAGTCGATCTTGACGCGGTCGCCCTTGCGTGTGATGCCATAGCGCTCGCAAGTGCAGTTGCTGCAGTCTGAAGCGGGCGTGCTGTAGCCGGAGAGTGATGAGCTTGGCGATGAGCTGCCCGAGCGGTTTGATAGGCTGGAGCCGGATGAAGAGACGGGAGAGCTGGAAAAGTCGCTGATGACATCCTCCTCCTCGAAGCTGGTGTTGTCGAAGCGGGTGGTCAGTTCCTCAATGGATTCGTCGTCATAGTAGTCTGCATCTAGGATGTGACGGGTTGCGTGTGGCGACATTGGCTTGGGAGCAACGATCTGAGAGACGGAAAGGGGGCGGCCCTTGGGAATGTCAAGAGTGGGGCGCTTGGAAGATCGGTGCTTGTCCTTTGACGAAGAGGAAGACGAGCTGTGCTTCGAGGAGCTCTTGCTGGAGCTGTGAGACTTGGATGAGGACTTGCTGGACTTGTCCTTGGGAACATCAAGGATGTTCAATTCTCGGCCGGTGGTGGGCTCAACGGTAGAAGCCTCACTGGGGTTGTGCGAAACGTGGTATCCGTCGATGATGTAGTAGTACCAGTATCGCTGACCAGGCTCGAGGTTGCCTTGAAATCTGAAGGTACCCTTCCATGATCCGGATTTGCTGGAGGACTTGTCCTTGGAAAGGGGGATCTGGCCATTGTAGTTGTCCCAAGATCCAAGCAGATGGACGGACTTGACGCCGGAAGAAACGCGGAGAGAGAAAGATAGCTGGATGGTCGCCATTGTGATTAATGCTATTATTGCAAAATTGACGTTTCTTAAAAATTTCAAGGGACTTTTTGAGCAAGGGAAAGCTAGTTTCTCGATCTATTAGGGGGGTATCAGCGGTTGTGAATTAGGGGGTTAGTTGACCGGCAACTGGTGTTGAGTATAGATTTTTAGATTTTTGGTATATTAAGGGTATTAGCACAGAAGAGCACAGCTCTAATGTTTAGCAAAAGAAAGAAAAAGGAAGAGGGATGAGAAGAAACAAGGAACTAGCTTGTGGTGTTTGAATGCTTGCTGAAGAAGAAAGAGAGGAAAAGTGAAAACGAGTCGAGGAAGGCTGCGTGGTATTATATGAATCGCGGCCGTATAGAGAGGCCGGGATGCGACCCAATATCCAGACCAACAGTGTGGAAGTGTGCCAGTGAACGACTTCCCGCTACGGCAACTGGATGTGCGGGGCCGTCATCTTGGATGGGCTTGGGCTCGCTTGATGGGATCGTGGTCTTGGCCTCTGTATGGCTGGTAACACACACCCAATCCGATGTAATGTCACTTAAGCCATTACTGTCATCGGTGCAACAAACATGGGTGGTGCCGAACTGCACGTTGGCGGCGGTTAAGCAACGTACTGCGTAAAAGCATCAGTACAATGGTACAAATCTGGATGAATAAATAGAAACTGGGCGGAAAAGAAGGTCGAGCTAGTCGGGAAAAGGCGATTGGGCGTCTAAATCCCGGCGGTGATTGGTCCATTAGGAACCAATACCAATGTTGGGCTTATCACATATCACACGGTCGAGTTGTGCATCAGACGAATCAAAGAGGCGCAAACAATCCTCTCCATCGAGATGCCCCTCCGCCCGTGTACTATAGTACGAACGCCATGAAGCCACAACCTGCACACGGGCAGGCCTTGATGAACCGGCATGGTAGCTCCATGTGGACGAAGCTGTATTATTCTGCATCGGTAACTGCAGGCAATCATAAGATCCTCATTGGTGAATGAAACAACCCATCCACCCAGCTTGGTAAGTTAGCTTCGCATAAACATTGCGTAATTTGAAGAGATATCGGTATGCGAATCTAATATGACAAAGCTCAGACCCAAGAGCATCGAGCTGAAGCTTGCGGCAATGCAACTTATTGCCAGAGTCGCCATTGGCTACGAGATACGGCTAGCTGGACCTGTCGTGTACTAGAGAGAAAATGATGATATGATCTCATCATATTCTTTTCAGGATTGTAGATGAATGGGTAACTTTGGATAAGACCATAATATTGTAGTTGATCCACTGCCGTATTCTCCAACGGAATCAACAAGCCTAGAACACGGAAGAGTTCCAAGGTTCCCGATTCTTGACCAAGATTCTGCGGAGTCAGATGGATCGGCTCGCATTTGCAGCTTAACCGGGCGACGTATAACGGAGTCCTAAAGTCCAAGTCTAGCTCTTATGCAGGACGTATCACTAGCTCCGGCGGGTAGGTGTAAACAGTAGAACAGAATCTACTATGAGGGCCGTGAAAGTCCGAAAGTAACACTACACCTCGGTCTTTTGATAGATGATTTTTCCAGCCCTATCGCGGGAGGACGGGGGGAAAGATGGAAGTGGGAAAGTCGAGAGTGGATCGGTCAAGGGCTTGGGGTGCAAAGTGTAGAAAAGCTGGGCCGGAAAAATCCCGAATAACGCTAATGCTCTAGTAAGGATGCATATGCAATAATCGACAAGGGCTATCCGGGCCTTTGAGTGGTTGAGAGAGCTGGTCTGATCACATGACCGACCCCAGCGCGGCGCGTCGATGCAATGAGACTAAAAAGCTACAGAATGCACCAATATGCACCAAAATGCACTTCGATGATCACACTACGTTGCCTGCCAGGAACATGGAAGGTAAGCATGTTAACTCCTCTTCAAGCCGGGGTTGCTGTCTTGAGCGATAGACGGCTTCCTCAGATCAACCGACCCTCCACCAAGATCGATCTTACATTGGGACTCCCTATACCTATACCTACCTCTACCCACCTTACTAAACAGGAATCCTACCTAGCCACAAGTCTTGTGCGGGTCACTTTGCAGTTCTAGCGTTATTCCGGCGCCTATTAGTCTCCTGGGTCCCTCTCTAATTGTTATAGTGGAAATTCCATCCCGTCTACAACAAGGTGCCTCGTGGAGATAGTGGATATAGGATATGTACGTAGGGTGTCAACAAGCGCGTATCGACATGGGCTAACACGCCGAAGCGCAATAGCCGAGCGTGCCGGCGGAAGATCATGGCTCAAAACAAGGACTCCGTAGACGAGAACCTCGTCAGCTCGGTCACGGAATACGTCAAGTCATACATGTCAAATTACGACGGATCTCATGACTTCAACCACATCGAGCGCGTCGTAGGACTTGCCAAATACATCCATGCACAGTCGCCGGACGCACCTCCGCGGGATCTCCAAGTCGTCATCCTCAGTGCCCTCTTGCATGATGTGGGAGACAAGAAATATCTGAAGTCAGGGGAAGATGCTTTAACTCTGGTATACGAACTGCTTCTGTCTCTTGGTGCTGCGGAGCAACTGGCGAAAAGAGTTCAGACCATCTGTCTGGGCGTTAGCTACTCAAGCGAGATCAAGGATCCCGCTCGTGTTCAAGAACTTATCAAGTCTTATCCCGAGTTAGCTGTTGTTCAAGACGCTGATCGACTCGATGCTATTGGGAGCATCGGGATTGGCAGAGTTTTCACTTTCACTGGCGCTAGGACACAACGGTCTATGGCAGACTCCATCCAACATTTTCATGACAAACTACTAAGACTTGAGAGCATGATGAAGACGGACGTCGGACGGAGACTTGCCAAACAAAGAACTGAGAGGAGTATGTAACACCGAGAACTATTTTCATCCCTTTCGACTTGTCTAGGGAATGGGAACTTCCTGATCGAGTTGATTAAGGAGGTTTTGCTCCCAAGACATGCTTAAAACTCTAGGAACTTTTCCTAGGCTAGAAATTACTAACTCCTATTATTATAGTGCAAGAGTTCCTCAGCTGGTGGGATGAAGAAGCAGCTTTCTCTAATGGATCGCCAATTACGACTTAAAAATATATCAGCATTAATGGATACTGGCAATTTTCTGTCTTGTATCACATCTTCATCGAAACATTATATCTACTTTGTATGTCTTCTTGTGTTCAACGCTAACCTACAGGCGATGACATTCCGCCAGACCACATTGACTCCAAGCCCGAATATATATTCGAAATCAAGTGGACGACCGATTCGATCCTCAACTCTCCTATTCACCCCATGACGAACTACCCTTTTCTTAGCCCTAAGTCATGAGTGTTATCTCCCCGCTACAAAAACAAAACAATTCAGGAGTACGCATAACATAAACTGGTCTGTACATCCATAACTTGGCGGATATCCAGCATTCCACCTATGGAGCCGAAGTTCATGACGAAGTCCAACGTGACGTTCTTATAAGTCTTCTCGCCGAAATAATCATACGGATACGCCCATTGTGTATCAGGCCCCCCTATATCCTCCTTCCTCTTCAACCAGTCTATCTTTGGTGTCAGCCACTTAGAATTTAGTCCTGGATGATACATACCATTTCGCTGCCAGACGTCCCATAGACGATCTATAGCACTGTGGTGGAGCCAGAAGATCGGGTCCACGGTCGATGACCACGTATTCGCCATCTGAAGTAGATGTTGTCAGCCATTTGAAAGGATCTCCTGATCAAAGCTTCTTTACATCACCAAGTACACCACCGATACCTAGGTGTCCACCGCCATGAACTGACGCCGCGGCCACTCCAAGGTTCAAGCCTTCAATCCTATGTTCAAGTTCAAAATACGTGCTTGCCGCCATGACGAAAGCAATAGTATCCGTATGCAATGCTCTTGCCATGAGCCATATACTAAAGTCTCGTCGAACGCAACGAGGGTTGTATTCAGTATTGTTTCCAGGCCCCATAGAGGCATTAAGACCAGCAAACGGACCGTCCGAGATGCATCCTTGGATTAATCATTATTAAATCAATAACTACGATGGCATAAACGCTGTCGAACGTGAAGGAACTCACCGCCTCCTGATCTTCCAGGGATGTCGAACGTAGTCTTCCACGCGTCTGGGAAGCCGCTAATATCCTCGATGTAATCGCCGTTACCTTTGACTCGTTCAGTCTCGCTTCCTTAGGAGACCAAAGAGATATTGCCCCTACCTCCAAATCCGTATTCATCATCGAAAATCGGTGAGTTCAAGAGTGCAGCCTCGGTTGCAGAATCTCGTGCCCAATCTGTTGGCCAAATCCGTCAGCTCTCTACTTCGGCGGTTAGGAATTATGGCGCAAACCCCAGTATCTTTACGACATAGTTAACGAATCCTTATTCAACCTAAGCCTGGGTCTGATAAGGGAAAACCTACGGTATTGCGCCCCTATAGAAGCATTCGTTTCTAAGGGCTTGTTCGAATAGCCACATAAAATATCGATGCCATCTGCTCATATTAACTACGCCCCAAAGATAAGACGATAATATCTTACGGTAAGAAATGCCCCTTGTGACTTATTAATGTAGAGTTTAGATATGTGAAAATCAAGATCAAAACTCACGACCCAATGGACGTAATCCGCTTGGCTAATGTGCAATGCAACAAAATCGTCGTAGCGCGACTTAACTCCTGGGAATGCGTCGGACGTCATCCCTGGGTTCGATTGAAGGCACTTCACTGCCGATATGAAATCCAGCCGTTGCGCGCTAGTCAGATCTCTCCTTTTCGATCACGATCACGACCTAGTCAGCCAGCAGGCTCACATGGCATTTGCAACGGCCAATAGGGGTAACAAATTACTATACATACCATTCTCTCCGAACAAGAAGCGTCTCGCATGCTTCTTCAGATTGTCTCGATCGTACTTGGCATGAGACAATACTTGTAGTCGTAAGGACGGCACACATAAATGAAGTAGAGATCCGCATACTGATGCGATCTGCAGGTACATACGTTGGAAATTGATGACCCGGTACCTTGGGAATTAGACGTCAGCCACGTTATATAAACCACCGCGCCTTGACGACATCACACTGGTAATTCGCAAGGGTTAACGCTCTGCGTTTGTCTAAGAAGAGCACTATGCCAAACTCTAACATCGGATCTAATGCAAGGGATCAACCTGAGCGAGAAGTCCTAAGTTTACTGTTGGACTAGTTGTCAGGTAGGAAATAAGCGACACCGTCCGATCTTAACTTTCTCAACGGCCACTAAGCGTAGGATAATGTTGTATAGTGTCTGGGCGCAAGGCATCTCTCCCGAGCCATAGCTCTTCGCTCGTCATTGCTTTCTTAGTATAAGGGAAGAATCGTCCCTGGCCTACGATTGGGGCGATGGGCCCGATAGACCGGCTCTCTTGGCGACTAGTTAAACTGATGCACATTTGCATATGCCCTGTACATGAATCTTCTCTCCCTAAAGATGGTCGTACACCGGGGTACGCAGAAGCCCGATACCCGAACGCGGGTCAGTGTTTCGTAGTCTACGGAGTGATCCTATCAAAGTATGGTGATGTTGGAACTGCTTCGAAGGCCGAAGTCTCGGAATCTCGAAAACCGAAAGACAAAAGCGCCACAGGTTTATCGTTATGGTTAGAATGTCTCCTTCGGAGGCAGAACTTCGCCTTATTAAGTTAAGAGACTTCTGAGAAAAGAAAATACGGTATTCTGGAAGGTGGGATTGTCGTCCTGTCCACGAGGATGGCACGCCAATTTGAGACTTAACGTGCCTTCTACACGCATACTGTTCGATTGCAGACAGATCGACCCCTTTCGCAGATCAGGGTCCAGCACGCTGGATTCATTCTATCAACGCAACTAACGCTTCAGCGGGGAAGCATCCGCATTTTGATTATCACTAGCAAGATAACTAGTGGAGGCGTGTAGCGTATAGAAGCAAAAGCAAGCCTCCCTCGGATTCTCTCCCGGCAGGTTCCTATTCGGGACCTCATCACGATGGGAGCGAGTTCAAATATAAGTCTTTTCCACTTACGTCTGCGAGATCGGAAGGAGTTCGTCTTCGGGAGCGCGATAAAATGCCGTTTCATACGAATCGATGTCGACAGTGAATCTTTCGCCAGGCACTTTCAGGTGACCTTGTCGAGCAATTCAACCCGAGGCTCTCAAAATGGATTTCAGCAGCACCCCGGGTTACCATGGCTCCAGAGAGATTGGACTCAATGCATGGCTTATCGGGTTCTCAACGCTGTTCTACGGTCTCCGTCTGTTTGTCCGGATATCTATGACAAAATCCCCTGGGCTTGATGATGGAATTGCTGGTATAGCCTATGTAAGTTCTGCCTCTCTTAGTCCATATCAGGAAGTATTCATGTATTGACTGATATAGGTGTTCTTATTGTTTCAATCGATGACGGACATTCACTGTGAGCTCTCTATCAAAAGCGGAGGTCAAAGAGTAATGATACTAACAATCTTGTAGCGGTATCTTTCGGCAGCGGAGCACACTTGGTCTATATACCACAAGGCATCCTAGATGAATTTTTCAAGGTATGTTACACCTATGAGTATCAATATCGTGTCATCATAACCCTGGATGCTGACCTGGTGTTAGGCATTGACTATCCAGACACTCGTTTATTTTTGGGCCGTGGCCCTGGTCAGATTTGCAATTCTTGCCTTTCTCTCTCGACTTTCCCAAGACAGTAAGCAGTTGAGACACGACACGTAACTATTCATCACTAAGTGATATTTAGGGAGCATCACTATAATCTCGTGGACCGTCGCGGTAGTAATTCTGGCCCAGACCATCGCTGCTTTTATATATAGGCTTACCGAGTGCAATCAACTAGAGTAAGCTCATGACCTCGGTTGTTTTTCTCTCCTGAGTTAATTAAGTTGCTGAACATTTTTCACAGGGATATCTTCAAACCTCAAGGTCCTCAGGATGCCCATTGTGTAGGAGCAGCGGATCATAACAAAATGATGGTTGGACATGGAATCGTTGGCATAGTTGTCGATACGATTCTCCTGCTCTTACCTATCTGGGTTATTTATACCAAGATGATGTGGTCTAAGAAGACTCTCCAGATCATACTTGTCCTCAGCGTCGGGTTTTTTGCAGTCGCCACCGGAATTATACGTGTAATCTTGATTAAGACCAAAAACTTCGAGACAGACGTGTACGTTATAGCCCCTATCTCTTGAATGATATCTCCTTATAACTCCCCGTCCCGCCTAACGGATTCATTTCCCAACGCTAATACCATTTTTTAAACAGAACATACGAGATGCCGTCTCTTGGCATCTGGACAAATCTTGAAGGCCATGTCGGGTTATGGTGCGGATGCTTCCCTGCGCTGCAACCCCTTCTACGAATGGTACCGGGCAAACTTTGCGGCACGACAAATAATGGCGGGCAACAGAATGAGAAGATAAGTCACGACGCGACAAAAACGACATACGAAGGAAGTGTAGTATATCGCAATGAAGCGGACGGCGAAAGCCAACGGGCAATCGTCTCGATAGATATGGGAGTTGGAGACAGAGAAATGCAAAAACGAGATGCATCTCCTGTATGAAATTGGACTTATTTTTAGTATGTAGAGGGATTTGGAATCTAGGGCTCGGAATACTTTCATTAATACGGATAGACATTGTTCCATACGGATATTTCCTTTAAAGTTAGCATCTATTAATTAGAAGACTGTTAAGTAATTTGGTGGTATGAGCTTGAGAATATCATAACTGTACTTGGATGAGGCAAGGATTTTACCTCCCGCTTCGTCATCGTTGTTCTTTTGATTCGATGCAGAGACAGAGATAAGAGGGACTTGGCTATCTGAATATCTAAATCTAAACCGAACAAGTAGGGTGGGACAGACTCGGGCCGTGCCATGGAAGGGGGTCACATAACCTGCGGTGACCCGTCGGACGGTGGCGAGCAATATCAATAGGGTAACCTCCTAAGCAGGTTGATTCTATAATGTTAATGAGAGTGCCCCGGCTAGTAGATAACTCTGTCAAACCATACTAGGTGGCATAGCTGAGCTAAAAAGACCATATACAAATAACATCGAGGCTACTAATAGGTTAGCTCAAACGCCCAGTGCTTAAGTTCATCCGTTCACGGCAAGCCCGACATGGGATTGAGAAAGTAGAAAGTTGTACCTGCCTAGGCGTAAGACATGCGAGTAGCGATAGCCCCAGCTGCGTCTCTTTCATCTCAGCTGGATACCTTGGTAAGTACTTTCCTGGAGATAAAGTGATGGATTTTGTTAGGCAATTCAACGTTCAACTCGATGCCTCTTAGTGCCACCGACCTTCTCCAACAATTCTTTTGAACTTACCTACTCCTTTCACAATACACCATCAATCCCCGAACTCCCCAAGTTTGATATTTTCGTCGTTATTCAAGGCCAAGACCATCTTCTCGCGGACTTCATTATCGGTGTCCGGCTAACCCAGTCTGGTCCGATCGATGTAACCATATCATGCAGGCTGTCTTACACATTTACGAGGGCCGTCCAGCTGTTGGTGCAACCAACCTCCAAATCTCACTCTGACCGAGTCCAATGGGCTTTTTCGCCCAAAGTGCACGAATCTGCAGAGTCCGGGTGGGCAGGTCGCCGATAGGTAGGCTAGCTTCAATATCCTTTGCCTGCCCTTTTTCCTTCCGCGAGACTGGCGCGATTGCTAGAAGTCTGTGATCGCTGTTGGCCTTTTCTCGTCCATCATTCTTTTACTATATTCGCCTCTCTGAACTAGCTGCTTTTCTCCCTTCGCTAGTTTTATACTCCTAGCATTTACGTACCAGCATAGACGAAAACAGTAAGTAGACTGATTCTATATGCCAAATTCGATCGTTTTCCTGTACGGCTAGTTGCCCGTCAAATCGACGGCCGTCTGCCTCAATAATGACGCCTCAGTATAACGTTTTTGCCACTGTCATACTGCTCATCGCATTGCTCATCAATGTTGCTATGACGGCTACTCATGGAAACTTGACCTTGCTCGACGATGCGGCTCTTAACCAGCCAGGCGAGGTTTATAACCCCGGCTTTGGACCGCGCTACTTCGTGAATGGCATACCGCCGGTCGCCGCGTTATGGCCGCCGGTCAAAGCAAAGCGTCAAACGCCAAGACCGTGCCCATCGGGCTACCACGGCTGCTTGGAGGTCGGTTCATCAGGGGCAACGGAGTGCTGCCGTAATGATCAGTATTGTTTCCTGGATGACGCCTGGGAAGTGAAATGCTGCGCCTTTGGATCCAAGTGCAATTCAACCTGTGCCGAGACCCTGCTATACTGCAATGAGACCCTCACCACCTCCACCACGATTAATACATTAGGTATGACAACGATCATTCAAGAGACGAGTCAGACATCCGGATGCTGCGGGCGACCCTGTGCTAGCAGTTGGTTCCTTTGCCAGCAGGCCTTCGGCGGGCAATGCTGTCAATATGGAGCGAACTGCATTTCCGGAGGTGGCTGCTCATTCCCACCTACGTCGGCCCCGTCAACGCTCGTAACTCCCGTCCCGTCGGGATGCACCACGTCGCAGATAGCCTGTGAGACCGGTGGCGGGTGTTGCAATATCGGGAGCACTTGCACCTCTTCGGTCCTACCTACGACTACTCTACTACAGTGTGCCCCAAATCTAACCGTGGTCGATACCGGTGGGCTCACTGAAGGCGCTAGAGTTGGGATTGGTGTCGGCGTCGCCGTGGGCGCTGCTATCGTGATTGGCGCCGTGACGTGGTTTTGGATCACTCGGCGACGGAAGGCGAAGTCGGGGCGCGGAGGCGACACGTTGTCGGGTCCTGACGGCCAGAGGATGGAAAACCTCAGAGAGCCATTCATGCCATATAACGGCGCCAATTCGGAAATTACGAGCCCGTCAAGCGGGATGGGAATGCGCCCCCTTCCACATTCGACAGGACTCGCGTACGACTACTACGGCCCGGACGCTATCCGTGGCCCGTATACCGATGGCAGCACGATCGCGGCTACGGAGCCCCGGTCAACCCCCGGTCTTTCCGATCGCGCAGCCATAGTTGCAAACCGTTATCCAGACAATCCAGGGGATATCGTGCCGCCAGTCGAGATTGATAGCCGAGAGGGAGAGGCCCCGCGCGGGGAACTGGACTCGAGCGGGATGGTTGCCGAGAAGGACGCCGCTTCTAATGGCAAACCTATTGAGGAACACCAAGGACCGTTTGAGTTACCGGGAAGTCCGGCCCCCTCACCGCCACCGATGAATGGGGAAGAAGCAGAGCAGCAGAGAACTCGCGCGTTTTCACCTTCACCTCCACCACCACCGGAAATTAATGGGCAGGAAGGAAAAGAAGTGAAGAAATAGGTTCTTACATGTTCTTTATGGAGATGGACTTGATCGGGCATTTTCAGGGATAATAGGACGGAGTTCTCGGTATTACCCTAATCCTAACTGTAATGAAGTACATAAAGAAAGAATCTGACATGGATGAAACGAAGGCGACTGGAAAGCGTTCAGTCTGAACAAACGCCTCGCCTTGCTTTGCATCCCTCTTTTCTCCCTTAACTCCCAACGCCTCTCGTAAGCATCATGCATTTTCTCCCAACATTAGCATGGGTGACCGTTCACCCCTACGTCCTGACTCTCCCGATCCATTCCGACCTCTCTTCCTAGTAAAGAAGGAGCTGGGAGGAAGGGTCAGAGAGTATCTTCCAACTTCAGAGCAGACTAGACCAGATCATAACGCCTACTGAGCAAGGCGTCCCGCAACAGAACGGAAATTTAGCCGGCCTGAGGTAAATAAATAAAAAAAGGCAAAAAAGGAAATGCAGGACTAGAGACTTGCGACTTTGGTATCCTGTCTGTCTAGCCTACCACACCCCCGAAAGGAGTGTTCTGCTTCAGATCCTCGACGAGCTCGGCGACGCTGCTCAGGTGGCGGCCGAGCAGGGCCTGCTTCTCCTCCTGGGTGCGGGTCTCGCCGTCGCCGGCGGAGCGGGGGCGGCCGGAGCTATCATTACTACTAGCGCGGCCGTGATGACCGCCGACGAAGGCCTTGGCGAGCTTACTAGGGCTGCGCTGGAGCAGGCCGGGGAGCTGGGGGTTGGGCTGGGCGGCGGGGATGGAGGGGGTCTCGGGCATGAGGTAGAAGTAGAGGAACTCGATCAGCTTGAGCTTGACGTCGCGCGCCGTGCACCGGTTCCGGAAGAGCGAGGTGATGGTCAGCAGGCCGTCGAGCGCCTCGAAGGTCCGCGTGTTGCGCGGCGTGTCGATGAGCGCCGTGACGAGGGTCACGACGGTCGAGGATTGGATCGCGGGGCAGAAGTCGGGTTCTAGGAGGTCGAGGAGGAGCTGTGAGGGGGGGCGGGGTGAAGGGTTAGTTTGGATGCTATAGTAATGCGAGCGGGGATACGATATTAAGGATGAAGGCGCTTACGTTCATGTAGACCTCGCGCGAAAACAACGCCTTGCTGGGCGGGTGAAGGAGCATGACTCCCTGGACCAGCTCCAACGCACTCATGATCAGCAGGTCGTTGGAACCGTCCGCGCCCCTAGCGAGCAGGCGGTCCAGCGTCTGGACCAGGCGCAACGCGACGTTCCACTCGAACCCCTCCTGCAGCTTGAAGAACTCGCAGAAGGCCGGGTCCTCCGAGATCTGCTCGAGCGTCTTGTTAGGGGTTGGGCCGGCGGCCGCCGCGGCTTCCTCGTCCGCGGTGGTCGAAATTATCGAGGCGCGGCGGTCTCGGCTGCTCTGCGCTCGCGACAGGCAGATGTTGGCGAGCAGGCCCTCGACCTGGCGGAGACCCTTGCGGATTTTGGGGCCGTCGTAGGAGGATAGGTTGTCGAAGGCGAGAGAGAGTAGTTGTTCCATTTCGAAACTTTTTGGGGGGGTAGGTGATGAGTTCGGGGTTGAGTTTGTAGATAGTGTTTAAGAGTTGGTCAGGGCTGTTTCAGCTCTCGTTTTCGTTTTCGTTATACTGTACACAGGGTTCGCAGAAAACGGTATGCGATGCGACGGATATTGCGGCAATGCGGTAATGGCGGGATCAGGAGTAAATAACGGAAATCGAGGATTTTAGAAAAAAAGGCCCAAAAGTTGCTTGCTAGCGACGACGGCACGAACTGTTAATACAAATGGAAGAAGAGAAGAACTTAGGGGGGTATCAAAGCGGAATGATCTCCTGGTCTCAGAAGAAATCAAGAGGGGAAATTTTCATAGAAGGTTGTACGACGACCAGCTCGTTTTTGGTTCAGTGATTCTGAATGCGATGGGACGTTTATCGCAGGGATCATGATGTTTAAGTGGAGTTTGTCGTTAACATGGCAACGGTGGGAGGGTGCTCTGACCCGGTACCGAGCCTTAGGTACCTCCTACTAGTAGACACCTCTATGGCTACCGAAATCCTTAGTTTTAGGTGCCTTACAGCAGGGGACGTTCCTTTTACCGAACCGCCGTTAGCTTTGGGGCTAGCTAGCAACCTGCACCTACCCCTAGCACGACCTATAAAATCCAATCCATACAGTCCATATTCACCATCTTATAACAACAAATAATATGAACGATATGACCTAAAACTCGTTTGGCTACATCTAGATTAGATCACGCCTGCATATCTCGGAACACACAAGACCGGAGACACAATTATTTGTTAAATAGTATTATCTGACATATGCAGTGCCTGGGTTGGGAATGTGACCTATTCTGCTTATGGTCTAGTCAGGTACAAGATAAATACCTCCAGGGCTCGCAAAGAGACAAGCTTGATAGCAAGGAATGCGGGGTAAATATCGCAGATATGGAATAAACCTGCGTACCTTCTCTGTAGCTTCCTGTATATTCTCTCATAGTCATGACGTTCAAGGTTCGATATTGCCCTTGCTCGTTGCTTCCAAACAGCAACATTCTCAGACATGTGAAAGGGAGCTACATCGTCAAATGACCGTCGTTCTTTTCAAGGTTTAATCTGTTCAATTGATCAACAACTGCAGTTTACCCACAATTTAGCAACTCTAAAGACCTCACGCCGTTCTTATTAAATACCAATTTTGCTGATAGTTCCTGAACAGTTGTTTTCTTACGAACTCGGCTAGCCACGCAACCTCTCATTCCCTCTCAGTCCTATCGCACTGCGCCTCAGCTTTGCCGGTGACGATCACGTATGTCTAGGTAACCACCTACATATATCATACAGCTAAGGGCTTTCACATATTACCTGCATTTACCTGCGAACCTATTATAGAGGTTAGCAAATGCAAGCCACCCACACACCTACTGCATTACAAGCAGCCGCCCTGCCGCCTTGACCTTGACATCGACCTTGTGCCGTCTCCCACTTCTCACATTTCCCCACTAGGTACTTACGTCCGATACTACCCAGCAAAACCTAGACAGCCTAGATACAGTTTACGCCAGCAGGGCTAGGTAACCATAAACCCGACGGTCTCCTGCAGACCGCCCTTCGTTTAGAACTTTGGAACATACCTATTCCTGGACATTGAAACTTAAAGGACCCTCTTCCGTTGGAAGGACCGTTGTGGCAACCATGGTTTCAGGCAACACCAACAGTATATCCCTTCAGTCACCCAACGCGATTCCTCCTCGAACCTCTTCCACCGGTTCTACTACTCCTTTACCTCCCGCCAAATCCGTCCTTCGGCCTGTTCCAGAGTCAGATTGGCTTGGTCAACATAACCGGCATCGAAGTTCTTCCACTGCTATTCCCTTAACAGGCATGCATGCTACAGGGCCTCAAGACCCAGCGCGCTATGAGAGCGAAGATTTAAACTACACCTCGAGAAAGACATGGACCGAACAAAAAGAAAAGGTCCTTGTGGGTCCTTTTGAGTACCTATTCGCTCATCCAGGGAAAGACTTCCGTACTCTCATGGTCAACTCTTTCAATGCGTGGTTGGGAGTACCGCAAGAAAGCTTAGATGTAATCACCAAGGTTGTCGGTATGCTTCATACAGCTTCTCTACTCGTTGATGACGTTGAGGACAACTCATTGCTGCGGAGGGGTTTGCCGGTTGCCCACAACATTTTCGGCACGGCTCAGACCATAAACTCGGCCAATTACATCTACTTTTGCGCCCTGCAGGAACTGCAGAAGCTCAAGAATCCTAAGGCCGTCAATGTCTACACCGACGAACTCATTCACCTCCATCGCGGCCAGGGCATGGATCTCTTCTGGCGAGACACTCTGACATGTCCCACCGAAGAAGAGTATCTTGAAATGGTTGGCAACAAAACAGGCGGGCTCTTTCGTTTGGCTATCAAGCTTATGCAAGCCGAATCGGGCACGCTCATCGACTGCGTGCCCTTGGTCAATATACTAGGTATAATATTCCAAATTCAAGACGACTACAGGAACCTGTCGAGCCCTGAATACGGCCAGAACAAGGGACTCTGCGAGGACTTGACCGAGGGCAAATTCTCGTTCCTTATCATCCATAGCATACGCTCAAACCCTTCGAACATGCAGCTCCTTAACATTCTTAAACAGAAGACAACAGATGACGAGGTCAAGCGTTATGCCGTGAAGTACATGGAGAGCACAGGGAGCTTTGAATATACCGAGAAGGTAATCTCAATCCTAGTTGAGAGAGCAAGGAAGATGGCAGAGGAACTTGACGACGGCAGAGGGAAGAGTATCGGCATCCATAAGATCTTGGATAAACTAGTGGTGTGAGGATGAAGTAATGAGAAGATGATTGGTCAAATTTCCTTGGGAACTTTTGGTGGGCGAATTTCTGATGTTATGCTGCTTCGATATTGTTGGAGTAGAGGTTGGGCGTGACAGCGAGCTGGCGTGAGTTAGGATACCCTCATTTCCTACTATCTTGAGATGTGAGAAATTCCGAAAGTCTATTAGCACAATTACAGTGCCTCTTTGAGGTTGCTTTTTTTCTGAACCCAAGTTTTACTATAGTATCAGAATATTTCCTGAGTGTAGGCTTTACTACTTGAATAGGGGTACGTATCTGCCAAGACCGGTGCTTTATTTCCTTCGTCTTAGGGGAGAACAATACTCAATGATTAGTCAGCCATCAACGATACGCTACCCCCATTTCCTTTGACATATCTTGTGAGTATGACAATAGAATTGTTTACTTATCCCTTTAATACTAGTTGAGAGTAGGATTGTGCAAAGGATATAGTACAAGGAAGCTGTGTACTTGAACCTGGGTAGTATCCTTTTAATTAACCGTAGACCAGTTTACAGGGAGATAAATACAGAATAATCAGCCCCCTTCCAACTCATGTTAGCCATCGTTTAGTTCGTTCATAACCCAAGCAGAAGATCAAGGTAGGTCGCTCAAAAAGTGAAAAGAAGCAGTCTATTCTCAGTTGAGAGAATACGAGTGCTATTGCGTAGGAACAACTTCTGCATATAAGAACAAGTACCAAGTAAACTGATCCCTAGTTATACGACGACATAGCTGTTGCTGCACATATATTGTTTATAACGAATATATAATATACAAGATGTTCATATCAATATTTGGTTATCTCATCTCACTAACCACTGCACTCTACACCTTATCAAAACTTCCCTATTTACTACAGCCCAAAAGCAACAATTCCATACAATCTAATTCAGCTAAAATGGCTTCTTCTAACAAGTCTCAAACTCCGCTTTACGACTTGCCCGAGGAGATATTCCAGCAGATTATCTCCCATATCACGGAGCCAGATGAATACTTTCACCTCGCAGCCACCAGCAAGGCCATGATGAACAAGTTGAACCCGCGCCGTGAGGTCTTAGTCCTCGAGACCAAGAAGTTCCACGAGTACATCTTGCAATTTCCGCCGATTATTAGGCGGATCCGCTTAGTCGTCTTTCCGTACAACTCTATCATGAATTGGGCACTTCGCACCAAGCAACCCATGGATATTCTTTGGAACGTCGTCCAGGACTACCTGGCGTATGCTCCCTATGTCATTTATGGTAAGCCGGAGTGGGGACTTAGGCCTGTTTGGTGTTATGCTCTTCTATTCAACAATATGGATGCCTTGCATTTGTTGATAGACGCCGGTCTTGCACCCTAAAGTGTACGTCCTCTTTTCTTTTTCTGTAAGTTACTTGATACTTGTCTCTTCTACAGGTCGCGAAATTTAGCTCCTCCTTAGACCACTAGGTATGTTAGCACCTAGAATAAGCCTGGAGAGATAGACCGATAACGTAACAGATGGGATACAACTTCCCTTTATCTTATTTAGATGTCATTTTAATAGATACCTATCTACCTCATATAATGTATTTTCCTCTCGTGACTTGATACCATGTATACTTGTAAAGCTCTTTATTAAACGGGAAGTATCCTATGATACCCACCCCGGGCACCCCTTTTCTGGGTAAGGACTTCGCAAATATTGAGGTGCATATCAAATTAATGGCTTCATATTCCCTAAGTAAGGGACAGGCACACAACCCCCAGCTAAGCTCACAATTCTATACGAATAAACAGTTAGCATGGAACATACGGGCTCAAGTTGGACAGGGCCCCTCTCACATCTACCTTGCACCAATCAGTAAAATCGCATTATGCCATACGTATAAATATATATTATCCAATACCCAATTCATCCACTTCGTTCACTTTCATCCGTCCTCACGCCGCCGCCTCAGGAATATTCTTCCTCTTAACCAACCTAACCCACCTTCTCCTCCTCCAATCGCCCCTCCTGCCATCCCCGTCTTCGCCCTCTTCCCAGCTGGGCTTCGGCGGCGTCCTGACCCTCTCCTTCCCCTTGCTATCCGGGATCGGGGCCGGCTGCTCGACGACGCCGACCCTGTTGGCGGCCCGCTCGTCGTAGATGTCGTAGACCCACCTCTCGCCCTCGGTCTCGACCTCGACGCCCGTGATGATGCGCTCCTCCACCCACTCGCGGCTCCACAGGTCGAGCGCCCACTTCTTCTCGCTCCACTCCCAGCCGCGCGGCGGCAGCACGTCCTCGAAGAAGCGCGTCCCCGTTGGCCGGTCGCCCGCGACCCGCGCCGCCGAGAGCGGGTCGTACGGCGACGCGCTGAAGAGCCAGGGCTCCCACTCGCCCGCGGCCGCGCCCGACAGCCGCTGCAGCTCGAAGATTTCCACCTCGCGCGTCTCCGGCGCGTCGTCGAGGATCACGTCGCGCTCGACCCACTTCTCGACGAACCCCCTGGCTTTCTCCTCCTGCGGGTGTATGTGCTTCTCGTGGGCGGTCTGGAGCTGGCGCTGGACGGCCGGGTGGCCCGAGCACGTGGCCGCCCAGCCCAGGGCCAGGAATATGAAGCGCCACGGCAGGATGTTGGACGCGATGCTGATGAACAGGCAGGCGGCGAAGAGGACGACGAAGAGGGCGCTGCTGAGGGCCTCGTCGCTGAAGTTGGTCCGCGGCACCACCAGCCGTATGACGGCGTCGTGGAGCTGGCTGAAGTCCTCCATGCTGTTCTGCAGGTCCCGCATGTTGTGGAAGAAATCCCTGCTCAGTTCCTTGACGGGCTTGACGGTGATGGCGGGGGCGAGCGGGGGCCCGTGCGGCGAGTAGCCGATGGCCTGCTCGCTCGACAGGCTGAACTCGGCGGCCGGGTGGCGGGCGACGAAGTTGGGGATCAGGATGGCGATGAGTATGATGGTTAGGGGAAGGAGGGGTAGGAGATACGGGTCTAGGCAAACTAAGGTGTATACGGCGAGGAAGGATAGGGTGTGCGTAGGTTTCTTCCATGACAGTACCCGGATTGCTCGGGCTTGGAAAACGAAGACAACGCCGATCCGGGCGTTGAAGCGGCGGAAGTTGTTGGACATGGTGGTCAGGTTGAAGTTGGGACGCACCACGCCCGGACTACCGCCTTTTGGGGCGGGCTCATCCTGTGGGATATGAGCGTCGTCGAGGGGTACCACTTGCGATAATAGCTTCTCGACCAGTTGGTCCTGGATCTTAGCTTTCTCCTTGAAAGCTGAGAAACGGCCCCGGAGACCCGTACGTACCGACGGCGTCTCGCTGTCGGAGTGCTCTGCCGGAGTTGGAGGCGTACGCGGTCTGGCTGGCGTAGAGCCATCGAGCACGACGGTGGGGATGGGATCATCGCGGTTGACGAATACGTCCACGTTATAGTCGTCCATAATATCCCTGTGATTCTGGCGATGTTTCCTAGATATCAGATGTTCCATATGTTCACGTGTCGTTTAACTTCACGATGACGTAAGGCAACGACTGGTAAAGCTTTAAAAAAGCTTCAACCCCTAGCCAACTTGGGCTTATGAGTTTAATGAGGCTGTGTCATCGTCTGTTTTACATTACGGTTTGGCCGTAGTATTGATATTGAATACTTTTGTATCTTGACGAGTGCAAGTGGATGGAATGAATCACATGCTAAGCTGCCTAGGAGGAAAGAGCATGCCGATGTCCCCTACCAATGCTGGCATCTCTGACGTTAGTTGGTAGGATTAGCGCGTCGATAGAAGGAAGGTGGGTCTGAAGGCACCAACAAATGGCGGGGCACGCATTTGCTCTGGGGTTTGCAGGGATACAGCGCTGAATTGCAGGGGTTGGTGCGTGAGCTACCGACAAAAATATTTCTAACGACATCACGTACACCAACACCTCTTCAACCTTAAACCCGCTACATGCGAACGCCGACAAGATGCCAATCACAATATTACAACCGGCGGCAGCCCCGGTTCACGGCCCTAGAGACTCTAGTTATGATTCCGACTCGGATTCCGATGGCGGCGCAGATTTGCAGGGCGACATCTCCATGCGCCCAGCCAAACGAGCTCGAAGGATAGGCGACGACTCGATCGTGACCCCCGGCGAAATCATCACAGAAGATCCGCAGTGGATGCGGTAAGCCAACCCAACCCTCTGCCCTCCCATAAACTTCTGTAGCGTTATCAAAAGCTAACATAACCTTTCTCTCGCCCAGCGGCCACGGCACATATACCACGACCGACCCCCCCGCCATAAAATCCTCCGTCGCCGGCACCCTCTCCAAAACCAACAAACTGCTCTCCGTGCGCCCTCTGCGCGCGCGCTACACACCAGAAATCGGCGACCTGGTCGTCGGCCGCATCGTCGAAGTGCAAGCGAAGCGGTGGCGCGTCGACGTCGGCGCCTCTCTGCTCGCGCAGCTGCCCCTCAGCGCCGTGAACCTGCCCGGCGGGATCCAGCGGCGCCGCACCGAGACCGACGAGCTGCAGATCCGCACCTTCTTCTCGGAGGGCGATCTGCTCGTCGCCGAGGTGCAGCAGCTGTACGGCGACGGCGGCGCCGTGCTGCACACGCGCAGCCTGCGCTTCGGCAAGCTGCGCAACGGCGTCTTCGTCGCCGTTAGTGGGACTGGCGGCGGCGGCGGCGTCGTCCGCGCGAAAAGACAGACCTTCATCCTGGACGTGAGCCGCGCGGCGGGCGGCGGCGGTGACGGCGACCGCGTCGACGTCGTCTTGGGCGTGAACGGGTACATCTGGATCAGCAAACACGTCGACGGCGAGGGGGCCGCGGCCGAGAGCACGGGGCCGGGTATCACGCGCATCGAGGAGAGCATCGGCCTGAACGTGTACTCGAGCCAGAACGACGCGATACCCGCGCCCACGATGCGCGAGATCGCGCGGGTGAGGGGCGTGGTGAATGCGCTGGTCGAGCACGGCTTGCGTGTCGATGAAGAGATGGTAGTTGCGGGGTATCATGAAGCCGTCGAGATGGCAAGGGCGGATGGCGACGGTGAGGAGACATTATATCTTGGGGGCGAGAGGGGCAAGAGACTGGCTGATACGCTTACGGGTCGGTAGGGACGGTCTACAACATAAGTGTCGGTGAGAAAGACATAACCCCCTACGCTAGAAGGTTCAATGCAAGATAACCTAAGGAAAGGGGACTAATCCACGTCTTCAAACCCCTAGCCAGCAGATTCATTTCGAATAAAGAGCAAGATACCATTTACTTTGCACATCGACGGAGTCTCGTTTGGAATCAGAACAATTCATTGCATGGACAGACCACTTATTAAAACATCATTCTCACTATGCCCCGGCCTCACTCATGCCCTTCTCTATCCGAGCTTGCCTTGAAAACAACATGTAGTGAAGCCAATATTAAACCCATCAAATGCAATTCAACGAGAACGTGCGAGAACACTTCGTCTCGCGTGGACAGTATCGTACATGAACAACAAAATACCAAGGTATTAATCCGGACCTAATGGAAGTAGGATTAGAGCTTAGCTCGAGGTCCGTCATCTTTTCACCAGTCAGCCAAACCGAACATCAAACTCGAACCCCGATAGTGGGAGAAAGCGGCGTAGGCGGAGGCGAGGAGGACGACCCAACGCAGCAACGCACCTTTGGCAGAAGGGCCACCAAGCCCAAGGATGAGCCAGACCCAGTAGCGAAGGCCGGTTATGGGGCGGCCGTCGCGGTCGAAGTTGGGCTTAGCGCTGGTCATCCATATATGCCGTTTGAAGTCGGACGGCGAGAAAGGCGCATATCGCACCCGCAGGAGCTTATCCATCCAACTCGGCACCTCAACCACGGTGCGTCGGTGCGTGAAGCAGTCAAAACCCGCGCGCCCGTGGTACGAGCCTGTGCCGGATTCGCCGACGCCGCCAAAGGGTATCGTGGCGATGGCCCCATGGAACCAGGCGTCGTTGATGGTGGCGCCGCCGGAGGTTACTTCGTTGAGAACTGCGATGTTATTAGCATGAATTCAGCTTATAAGAGGGTTTTAAGAACTTACTCCTTTCGTTCTCGGCCTTCGATCCGAACGTGGTGAGCGATAGGGGTGTAGGATCAACTCTGTGCATGATCTTGATGGCGTCGTCCAAAGTATCATAGGGGATAATAGACCACACGGGACCAAAAGATTCGTCCTTCATCGCAGGGTCATCGGTAGAATCCACGAGGATAACAGTCGGCGAGATGTAGAGATCAGATCTATCCGTCTCTCCGCCTAGAACGACCTTACCATTGGTAGTGTCGATCATGTTCTTGATGCGGTCGAAGTGCCGCTCGTTGACGATGCGTGCATAATCAGGGCTTGCCTGCGCTCCATCAGGGTAGAATTCCTTGTAGGTTGCTTTGAGATACTTGATGAAGTCCTCGACTACATCTCTCTGGACAGCCACATAGTTTTGTGATAAACAGACTTGGCCGGCATTGATAGTCTTGCCCCAAAGGAGACGCCTTGCAGCCAATGCTAGATCGGTAGATTTAGAGATGAACGAAGGATTTCGACCTCCGAGCTCGAGAACGACTGGCGTAAGTGTCTCGGCTGCCTTCTTCGCGATGATTCTCGCGACAGTGCTGTTTCCGGTGTAAAAAATCTTGTCCCACTTTTCATTAAGTAGGGCGGTGGTCTCGGGTACGGTTCCGTTGACGACGAAGAAGGATGTTGGATCGAGATAATTCTCGACCATCTCCTTCATGACCATAGCAGTCGCTGGGGCGTTCTCAGAAGGCTTAATCACAGCAGTGCATCCCGCCCCAATAGCACCAATGAGAGGTGCAATGTTCAGCATCAGGGGAAAATTGTAAGGGCCGATAATGAGGACAGTGCCAAGAGGCTCCTTTCTGATGCGTGGCTTCACGGCCGTGAAGGTCAAATCATACTCAATGCTCCTATCGTCCTTTACCCAGTCCTTCAACTTCTTGAAAAACATATTCAACTCTTGGATACAATGGTGAATTTCAGATAGAACGGCATCGTGAGACGGCTTGCCAATGTCCTTTTTCAAGGCGGCCTGGAGCTTGGGGGTATAGTCGGTAAGACCCCAGTATAGCTTTCGAAGCTGTACAAGTCTCCATTCGAGGTCCTTCGTCTTCTGAGATTGGAAGGACTCTCGAGCTTTGGCAGCAATTGAAGCAATGCTGTCAATTGGCGTTGTCTCGAAGGCGGGAATCTTGATATCAGACGTCATGATTGTAAATATGGGGTTTGATGTAAGTCAAACACACAAGGCTTCAAGTGTAACAGTGAAGAATCATGGAGTAAGCGCTAGAAGATGAGGAGAGGAATATGAATCGTCTATAAGCTCTTCCTAGAAGCTGCAATGGCAGATTTAGCTTTACAGATTTGTTTTTCAGTCATTGGTTGCTACGGATTCAAGAAAGAACATTCCCAGTTTCCAAGGTAAGTAGCTACTATCGGACGTGTTACCGTGTACATCCATGGGCGTGTATTACGTGAATATAGTGAAGCACTTAAGACATACAGGGACCGAATTACAGGGGTTGTTCAACCAGCCGAGGCTTCCACATGCCCTTAGTTTGGCAGCCACGGCCATGCGCGGGTCCCGATCAGGATACAGTAGATCTATAGTATGTTTACGTATATCAGCACTGTGCTTGTCTTCAAAGCACAGACCACTTCAGCTGTCATTCTAGCTTGCCCTATCAGCCCCACATCGTTTTCGATACACCAAAAAGTTAACACTAAAATTCCGCGAACTTTTCTTTCTCACATTCCATCGACAACGCTTTTTCTCGCAAGCAACATTCAACCGTCAACCATCTCAATCTTTGAGCGCAGGATTCGACTTCTTTGCGTCTAGAATATAAATCTTTAGAAATGGCACCTCAAACCGTATGTATTACCTGACACCGCTTTGCTGCTGGCCCAGTCTCTCTGGTACTCGGCGAGATCATGGCGTGAAGTAGTAGGCTAAGGTCAATTTCTCCATCATGTAGAAGAAATCCGGCAAGCAGGCCAAGACGACGAAGAAGGTAAGTCCTCCCCCAACCACCCCTTCAATTGAGGCGTATGAAATGCTCATAGGCGCATCAGTTCGTCATCAACGCCCAGCAGCCCGCCAGCGACAAGATCTTCGACACCGCTGCCTTCGAGAAGTTCCTTCAGGACAAGATCAAGGTTGACGGTCGCACTGGCAACCTTGGCGAGACCATCGTTATCCAACAGGCTGGCGAGGGCAAGATCGAGATCATTGCCCACAATGAGCTCTCCGGCCGATACCTCAAGTACTTGTAAGTATATCCGAATAATATCTAGCCAAATTCTAGAATTCTAACACTCGTTGTGTACAGGACCAAGAAGTTCCTCAAGAAGATGCAGCTTCGTGACTGGCTCCGTGTCGTCTCCACTTCCAAGGGAGTCTACGAGCTCAAGTTCTTCAATGTCGTCAACGATGAGGCCGACGACGACGAAGACTAAGCGACCATGCAATCATGATGGATGGGGAAAAACTGGCGGTAGTGCATGGACTCGGCGTAGGACAGGCACTTCTATGCTATCACAGATAGACTTGGATTCCCAGGAATAAAATTCGCCAGTGCAAGGAGTTAACTTTTATTTTTCCTCGGTGATCCGTATCTTGCAATATCTATTGTCTTTCTACGTATTTTCATGCTGGTACCTATAGTATTAAAGGGTATCTAATATCCTAAGGTAATGCCCTCATAACGCCTTCGAATGCCACCAGAGCCATAGCGTTGGCAGGGAACGCTCTCAAGAAACACGGCAAAAAACCTCGCCAGTAGCCCTTAGCACCGCCCTCTCTATATACGGCTTGCGCCGCCTCCCACCAGTTCTTGAACCTCGGCGTACCATCATTGAGTTTCCCACCCATAGGGTCCGTCATAATACGTTGCTTCACAACATCGCTCGGATAACTCGTCATCCAGAAGACCTGAGCGCTCAGCCCACCCGCCCAGAAATTGATCGCCGGCGCGCTGAGACTTGTCCGGTCTCTCATTATGCGAGAGAGAATGTCGTAAGAACCCCACCAGAAAAAGAAAAAGGATCGAAACAGCAGCGTTGCGCATAATCCCTTATACACCCCCGCGATCCCGTGCGCGCCGTAGATCTTGCGCACGCAGTCCACGGGCCCCGAGTACAGCCGCTCGGATTTCTTGGCCGAGTACTGGATCTGAAGGCGTGCTTTGATGTGCTCGACCGGCGCGGCGATGAAGCTCACCGTGCTCCCCGCCAGTATGCCTGCGATGCCGTGGCCGTATGACGGCAGGTGAGCAGCTGCGTGCGAGGTCGCGGCGATAGGACCCTCGGTTTCGGGCTTTATATTAGAAGGGAGGGAGGGGGAATGAGGCGTCAAGTGCCGGTAGAAGATGTGCTCCGCGAGAAGCCGCCGGTACACGGTCAGGGAGCCGAGCATGATGCTGTCCATGAACATCCACCCCACGAGCGGCGGCGTGGCGCCTTTATATAAACCGCGTACGCCTTCATTACGGATCGTTTGCACGACGCATTGTAGCGGCCCGTTAAAGCGCGAGGGGTCGGTTGTTTGGAGACGCACCTTTATTGTGTCGAAGGGGTGGCCGACTGGAAGTCATGTTAGCGATATCAACATCACACATTATTGCTGACACGGAAGATGTGTAGTATGTGAGATGATGGAAGAGGACTAACCCGAAAGCTTGGCAATTCCAGAGAAGACGCCGGCCACGAACCCCTTGTAGTTCTTGACCTCCGCCGGCTTCTGCTTCTGGTCGGTCGCCATTCTTAAGTGCTACATTGGCGGAAAGATGGAAAGAAAGATGGTGACGTCGACGAGATCTGACTTATCAAATTTTGATAATTAATAATTTCTTCGGTCCAGATCCGGATTAGTGCCGAGATCGGCGACGGGGGCTTGTAGCTGGGTAGAAATTCCCGGTCCGGGCCGTACTTGTGTATTATTGTCCGTCCCTTGCTCGGATGAAGTTATTAAGATAACAAGTCTGGTACTGGTTTGCTAATGCCTTGACCCCACGTTCCACCGACCCCTTTAAAAACATGTGAATAGCTTCATATCAACGGTCATATCAAGTCAAGACACAACTTGGTAATCCAGCTTATCCCAATAAATGATCTCGACTCCAAAATAAGCAGCGCCATTATCTCTCAAAAAGGTCACCATATCTTTGCATGCTTGCGTCCACAATTCTTCATCTTCAACTCCATAATCTCGATCGTTCTCATCCCAAGTCACTACCATAATCGTCGGCACTTCAGCCGTATCAGAACCGCTTACCCGCCTATGAGCTCCCTCGAACTTGACCGACCACCTCTCTCTCATTTTCGTCCCCAATCCCAGAAAGCTATCCTTTGCTTTCAAGCCTTTGAATGTGTCCGCATGTTCTTTGCCCAAACTCCGTTCTCCATCCCGCGAGCACCACGGCTCTAGGGTCGGATAGCAAACTCGTTTCTGCTCCACCCGAGAATACGGGCTGACATCCGCAGTCATCCATGCCTCGGACCGGTTCCTGGCGGTTGGTTTGTTGATGCGAGGGAAAGTTTGCGCTCTATCGAGCATCGACAATCTTGCGGCAGCCATCAATCGCGATCGAAACTAGGAATTGGTTTGTTCGCGTGTTTGCGGAGTGTATCCATATAGAGAAGTAAGGGTAAGTAACCAGTTGCTAATTAATATTCGAGATTTACGTATTTGTGCTGACGCTGACGCGACCGGAAATAATCACCAATGTTGGTATGGATGAAGATGTTCAAAGAGGCATTAACGCCACCAACTGAACCATACCTTTGTCTATTGCGAACCCACACCGCAGACATACCCCTCGATACCAAGGGTGAGCAGGTTCTTATATAGATATATATATCCTAGTGTCTTTGATGAGCCCCTTGCTGCGCCTCCATAAGCCGCAGGTCTATCATTTTAGATGAGTGATGAGCCTACATCGCAACAGTGAAATCCAACCAACACCTGCTAATCTAGGTAAATCTAAGGCAGCGCAACCAACGAGCTCGACAGAATTTTTTACCTGCTTGAGCTCCATTTCGCCAACATAAACCAGAACAGTTCCGCCAAAATTTACTCTTCATTTGAATGGGTACTATCTACACTAACAGACTAAGGAATATGAAGTTTCCCAGCTCCACAAGTTATAGTCCATACCAACACATGGCCATCCTTGGTTTGCGACCTATTGGTTTCCTGATACGGGTTTGCTGAGCCGCACGGGACCTGAGTAGGCGGATACCCAACTGCCGAGCCACATACTCTCTTACTTGCATTTATACAGCCGCCATCTCCTATCTACTGCTTTTTGAGCAACTACTAGCAAGATGCATAACTAAAAATGATGATAATGTTCATAACGGTAATCATGAATAGGGGCAGGTACGTACCTCATATATATCTTCTACATCATGAATATCTTCGTTGATTACCTTGAACACCTTGTTCGCAATAAGCGTGCGTATGGACGAACGGGCCGGTAACTAGAGCGCGGCCCGTCGTGTGGTACACACTCGGAGCTATCCTGCCTGCCTCAAGGAAGGTAGTAGAGTTCGGAATCGCTTCTTAGAAAAAGACCCATCATCCAACCAAAAGTAGGTATTATATGAGTCTCAAACATAACTCGTCATACCCATTGTAAAATTTCGGCCCCAAGGTTTTGTCGAAGCCTGTTATGCAAAATTAGAAGTGAATATAGAATCCTAGTTAACAGAAAACATCATGTTCCGAAGATTGCTTGTGAGTTGTGCTTCCATCATTATTATTGGGTGAAGGTATCTTAGTACTTGCTCACGAAGGTTTGTTATACATATCACCGTTCTGTTTTCTCTAATAGTAGCCATACCCCGTAACGATTAATATTCGAATCTGATTAAACATATCATACTAAATCGTATGTTTGCTTCCGGATCTCGTTTACATGGTTTGTGTTAGCTAGGAGATACAAACGGTATTAATGAAGTAGGTGCCGTATGACTTAGGTTATTGTTATTGATGGCAATTTGTTGCAATGCATTCGGATTTCTATTCAAAAGCTTTAATTTAGCCTTGACGAGGGGTTTTCAGGTTCAATGTTCGTACGTAGGGCTTGCTTAGATCCCGTCGGCAATATTGCATGATTGCTCAGGGATCCCGGGGTTCAATACTCGGCCGGTAGCTCTATTAGCTCCAAGCCTTGTGTCAAAGGTTCTTCGGAAAAGAAAACGTGGAAGGTAGGTAGGTATTTATATCTTTGACTATCTGCACTTTTACACTTTCCAGCCACGCAAACACTTAGCCATCTACAACAATCTCTTATTTAACTCACTATCACTCATTCCCAATATACGTATATACCTACCACCCAAGATGAAGGTATCCGCTACTCTGTTCCTTGCTGCTTCCTTTGCGGCCACTGTCACGGCATGGAATTGTCACGAAGGCGATACGGCACATTGTTGGAATGGAGATACCAAATTGGACTGTAAACTTCACGTATGAAACTCCTAAATAGTTATCCGAGTGGCGAGTAAAACGGACTTTGCTAAATTTCTTGTAGGAATGCATCCATGGGTGTTGGGGGCTTTCATTATTCAACATTGTAAGTGTTGACAGTTTAATTTATGTTTAGAGTTGTAGCTTCAGGGGCTAATAGTATGGATCGGTAGGCCTTCTGTGGGTAACGATCGAGTAACAGGCAAGGCGAGCTCTGGGACCACAGACACGTCTCTATTATTTACCGCGGTTGGAGGATTATTGTTATCTTCTAAAAACCATGGATGCTTTTTGTCAATAAACGGGCTAGCTGATATTTTCAATTCTTGCTTCGGAGGATTATTGCCATACCTCCTTTAAGATATATATAAGAAAAAGGCCAGGGATGTTTTCGAAACTTGTAACCGATAATTTCTTATGACAAAATTATGCAACCCCTGGAATATTGTGTTCTCTGAGCGAATCTTACGCCAACCATCCGTTCGTAGACTATGGATAATTCCTACCTATACTCCCCTTTAAGGGTCGAACAGAGAACCTGCTAATGACAATCCATCGTGTTTGGATGTACTGGATTGTAGTCAGATCTTTCCCAACAAAATTAAGGGTCTCGGTATGGATGTAAACAAGGCGAGATTAGGATATTTACAACTTAGGCCTTCTTAATTCTGTCCAAAGTAACAGTATGATACCTTCCACTGTGACTTCTACTTACTGGGGGCAGTTACACATGCTTAGGTGAGGGTTCATATTCGATCTAGGAAGTCCTGAGTTGGTATTTTATGAGTTGTACCAGATATTCAGATGCAAAGCTCTTAGTCATATGATTATAGTTTCTTTCTAGTTCCTAGAGAATACAAGTTGATGGATGCGAGATACTTCTCATTATCTCAATAACAACATTTCATTGTTCCAATCATCCCCATCGAGTGAAGTCCCCATGAGTTAGAGGTACACGTCATGGGCTACCAATCACCGCAAAATCACAAGCGTAGGCACAGGCGAAAATACAATGAATCATATATTTACATGTCATGTAAAATACTGGAAGACTTCAATTTTATTTCTCTTTATATCTGAACCGTTTTCTGTCTCGACCAAGGCTCTGAGTTAGAAAACTACCAATAGGTGCCTGCCTACATAAACCCACAACAGTATTGTCTACTAAGCCGGCCATTCTTTGAACACATATCATAAATCCATCATGGGGACCCCAGCGCCGATAAAGGAACTACAGAATGAAGTCGCCAGTATGATTCACGGTATCTTAGGAAATTGTTCTGGGCTAAAGATCAAGTTCATTCGACTTGGCGCCGGCCAGGTCCCTTATCACCTTTTTTGGGCCAAGGTCGATCCGCAAGGCCTTATGTCCCAAGATAAAAGACTGTGGGAAACAGCCCAATTGGACATGAGGGTGCCCGTCATCACAATCGACTTCTCCAAAGTCGATAAATCTCAGCTTACTCTCGGACGGGACAATTGGGATTTGGTCGAGGAAGAGATGTCGAGGATCATCAACAAATATACCCAGATGTTCTTCCATAGAGCCGAAGATTATGAGCGCTGGCGTGGTTTAGATCCTCGTTTAATTCTCTTTAGATTCAAGCCATTTGACATCAACATCGGACCTACATGCGCCCGAGCAAGCATTCCCCCACGGTGCTCAGAAAGGTACAGAAGGTTTATGGGTATCGACTATCTACAGGTGCCGACGTACAAGACAATGTTGGACCTGGATGATCCATATGATCCGAACAGAGGGCCCTGGGAGAGGGAATGGATCGATTGGAACGGCGAGATAGCTGAAAGGGAGGCTCGTGACTCTGGTGGCTCGAGATCAAGGCATAGACATGGTCGAAACGGAGGCCGATGTATTATCTCATGAGATGTTTTGACAGGACTGGACGCCATGGCAGGCAGGGTGGACATGATAGGCGGGCTTTGGTAGGACTTAATTAGCAAGCAATATCTGTCTAGGTCCTAGGAAATAAGGGTTTGCTATTTAAGGGGCAATGAATTATACATGCTAGGCAATCAATTCGCAAGTCTTCTTATCTAGGTATCTTCTCAAGACACTTTATAATATTAATTCATTGGAAGGGATAGGTAGGTATGTGTTTGTTCCCAGAATAATCTCAACCGTATCGTAACCGCATTCCATGTACATTACTTTATGTTCAGTGGCCGCTATTAGAGTTATCTGCACAGCTAAACGCTGAACCTATAAGACCAGTTGCGTACGCATCCTTGATTGCAAGGATGGTTGAGTACCTGAGAAAGGCATTAGTATTTAGCATACCTGAGGTGCTCAGGGGGCATCACTTACGTTCCACCAACAGTGATGAATAAACCCAAGACAATGAGGAACCAGTGGAAAAAGTATTGTAATCTCTGCCAAAGACTTCCGGTACGATAATACGAGAAATCGAACAACCACAATACCCCCGGGATTGAGATGGCCATCGGAGCGAAACAGATCGAACCTACTAAGGAGAGTAGGTAGTTGAATATCGCTATCGATTCGGCGAGGACGAAAGCGACAGCACCGAGGCCAATGGAGCAGCCGAGCCATGTTACCCAATGAATAGCGGTATTCGATTGTAGATGTCTAGTATTCCGCAGGATTCGGACGAATAGGTATTTAGCGGCCACATGCTGGTACACGCACCCGCTTACAGCCAAACCGACCAAACCGATTCCATAAGAAACTTTCTTTATGGTTCCACCAGCACTCCCCAACGACGGATTCGCAACCCACTGACCGGTCCACCGATACACGACTAAAGAGAATGAAAGATACATACAGAGCACTAGGCCCATACATATGTACAGAGCTTTCTTATAGTCTCGTGGGTTCCGCATTTCGGATATGACCGGCAGGAAAGCGGATGTACCCGCGCTCGAAACGAATATCGTAGTCGTGGCTGTCATCCCTTCTGCGAAGGCTGGGTATGCGATAACGTGATAGCCTAGGTCGAACGGGCCTGATTGCGGTGCCGCTGCTGGTCGATCGACTGTCGTAACACCGATGACAACGATGAATACAGCAAGAAAGATTGAGAGGAAACCCGCCCAGGTTAGCCAGCCGATATTGCGCAAAGTCCGGATCGAGGCGGCAATTGTGATGATAACGGTCGACAAGAATGCCCACCAAACAGTACAGGCCGCATGGTCTGAAAGTGCGTTAAAAGCTGTCGACAGTCCAATGATCCCCGTCCCAGCACACAGAACAAATGCGATCAGGTACAATGCGCCAATAAGCTCCTTGAGCCAGACACCGCCGACTTTGTAGCCCATGTCGGCTAAAGCTATATACCCTGCGCATTAGCTGTAGGATCTGACATCCCATTTTGGAGTGACCTACTATGACATTCAGGATGCCGCGTCTTGAAGTCTCCTTGTATGACGGCCGTGTCTGCAACGCTTAGTGGATATCATCGTACAGCAGGCTGGAATACTCACAAGTATTCATGCAAGACCATCCTACAACTGACAAAGCGCCGCCGAGAGCCCCTAAAGTATACATAGCCGACGGGACTACACTTTATTAGAATCATTCGGAGACGTTGTCATCACATGTGCCTTAGAATATATTCCGTTCTATGAGGAATCTTGTAGGCAAAGGATAATAACATACTGTAATAGGTTAATTTCAAAGCTAATGGCAAAGCAATAGGATTCAAGATAAAACAGGAACGAGATCTTGGGGATTTTCTTAACTTGCCTTGACAATACACCTGTTGCGAAGATAGTCTTCAGGAAGATAACTGCGGCAAAGGGCCAACTAACATTACGGAAGTCAACGCCATCCTCAGTTCTCTTGAAGACTTCCTGGCTCTCAAGGACGGCTTCGTTGATGGATACACTCTCCGACCCAGTTCTAGTAGGAGACGATTTGATATCGACTTTCTCGTCCGGAGCCCCTGATACGACAACGGCGGCCATTCTGCAGATTGTCGCTCGCGTCAAGGCAGACTTATACCGTAAGGCAAGTATTGTTAATATAAATTAGACGTGCGATGTAGGCCAGTCATGTACAAGAGATTACTCCGATAGACATCTGAGACATCCACACATGTTCAGCCAAAGGTTTCCAGAAATACTATCAGCCAAAACTGAAGCCGACGTATGGCCTGGTTATCTCTGCTTCCGACGCCATCGATACTAGGACCAAGGGATATCTGAGACCTCCGATAGATAGTGTGATATCAGCCAATGAGGAAAAGACTACGAAGCAATCGAGTTCCAATATCGGTAATTGATAGTCGCATCGAGCCGTTTGCGTAGGTAGCGTAAGGTTACCTGCATTAGGGTGTCATCGTTCAAGCTTTTCGAATAGCTCTTATCTACTTGTACTGACTGCTGTCCGGAGATAGTAGTATATATCGGACTAAGCCCTCACTTCGCGGAAAAGAATGTCTACAGCGACGGAAGTATACTAAATGTGATCCTTGTTCTGATTACTTAACAAGGTGCTAAATGAGAGGCCAGATAGGGAGAGTGGGATATGATTACCAATCATCCCACCTATGATACTTATGTCAGAGATAACAAAATGAGGATCTATCCCCGAAGTTGTCAATGTAATATATACGTGATGAGGCTCGCGAGATGTCTATTTCAACGATTTAAGGTGAGTTATTGAAGGAGTAAGAAATAAGAAGGGATGCACGGGTCAAACAATTCAGGGGTAACCTTACTGTATCTAAGACGCGGAGTGTACCGAGGTACCTATCATGACGGCGGGTTTGTCCCTAGAACTTCAACCGCTACCTAGGCTCAAGCCACACCCGCGGCGCCCACCATTGAGCGGGCAACCCCAACTTAAATTCAGCCCTATTGCCGCGCTTATTTTTGTCGTGATTCTTACCTTTCTTACCTACGGGTACCTACCTTTTACAGATGTCTAAAACGCTTGATATTTGCTGACTGTGCAAAGCTGAATCGACCTTCGGCCATTTCATTTCTAGCTTAAGGGGTCTTGGCATACTAAGGACTGACCGGTGTGTTTCACTGCGGCCCCCAACACCCCATATTTTGCAAAGATAGGTCAACTCTAGGACGCCTCCAGCTGCTGACCTATGCGGGCGGTCAATAAAGAATATATTAACCGCGCCTTGCCAACTCCGCGAGCTTTGTTGCAAGTGCTCGTCATCATGGTCGAGCACTTGGTATTTTGGAATTCCGCAAGTGGTTGAAGGAAAATGCGAAACACAGAATTCTATGCGCCGTAGTCGTGAGATTGCGGACTCGAAGACATAACAAGTGCGGTCGGATCGAGGTCGACACTCCGACTAATAACCGGTTATGGACCGTTCAAAGAATTCTACATGAGGAAGAGCCATATTATTTTCGGCGTCCACCATTTATTTAAATATTTAAATATTACACAAAGTTCGCGAGTTCCCGTGGTATTTATGGACAAGCGCCTTGGCCAGCTTCTTCATTTGCTTGGTTCTAGTGTAGATCCTTCGCCTCTCTCAGCTCAGCCCGCCTAGTGTAGCGATACCCCCTACGGGCCCACTCTAGTAAGGCTCTTCCGACAAGGTTTAGAAATTCGACAGAAATAGAATCGGCCAATCCCAATCCCCGGCGTCTCATGGTCTAGAGTAGATCGAGAAAGGATCTGGCCCCCAGCAGTTCCTCATATTATGCTACTATGTAAACTCGTCACGGCCCACCCGCGCCGGTAGCTTCCAGATCTGAGCATTCTCCTTCTGTTCGCCTTCTGGCCTTTTGTGATGACCGCGTTTTTCTTCCCGTCGTGACCGACAATGAATCGGCTTCCAGAGACGAATACAGGCACCGTTACTTCCTGGATCCCGATTTCAACTGCATATCCTCATCAAGCCGGCTGCGACGAATACTTTTGGCAATATGTTACAGACACAATCGCGGCTTGGGACCCGGGATATGGAATCTCAGTTCGAACAGACGCCACATGTCTTCCCAAACCGGTGACAACATGGTGGTTGCAGGATCGGTTTGGACCCATTAAGGAAACAATACTTAGTATAGGACCTGTTACTTGCCCTCAGGATTATTATACTGCCACGGCGTCCGCCAAAGATGCTTCGAGCACTTTCGTGGCTTGCTGTCCATTGTGCGTCGACGACTCGTCTAGGAGACCTGAGAACCTTGTGTTAACAATTTACCCGTAGGAATTATGACTTTGTAAGCGTTTTGGGTCCGGGCAACACCGGCCAATGTACATCAGACGTTAAGAAGGGGGATATAATCACGTTTGCTCAGAAAGATGCCAATTGGAAGGTTACCAGTTCGACAGCCACACAAGCCACGAATATCGCAGCGATCCCCGTGAATGGCTGGACATTTGCTACACCCACAAACTCTCCTGCAAATAACGATACGGAGAGTTGCGATGCTTCGGTATCGGATGCATTGGCAAACTATATTGCGACAAACACTGCTAGCTGTGATGCTACCAATGGCGGTGGGATTTCATCAAGCGCCGCAGTGGGGATTGGACTTGGCTCATTCTTTGGAGTCACAGGGCTTGCTGCTTTAGGTGCTGGTCTATTCATGATGTTTAGGGCGCGGAAGGCAGCTCGGCAACGACCGGCAGAAGCCCATATTGCTCACTTCATAAACAGTAGTGGCAAGGATATGAATACGAGCGCACAAGCATTCGCGACTTACACACCCGAGCCTCGAGAAACGCCCAATCCGCCCGAAAGATACCAATACCACCAACCCTACGAAGGAGATGTTTGGGACGTCTCGACTCCGTGTCTACCAGCCCAAACCTTCGATAAACATATGTATGCTCAGACGGTCCCTCATGGAGAGATGGAGGGTACGGCATACAAGACTTTAGACGCAAGGACGAGAAGGAGGATGGAGCTCGAGGGAACATTATTTCAAGACACGGATGGCAGGACGATCGGGGCAGGGCCTACAGCCTTCTCTTCTTCGAACCACTCCCATGTGGATTCAGAAGAAGAAATAAGGAGAAGGATGGAGCTCGAAGGCGAATTCGATCGAAACGTCAAAGTGTCTTTAACATCACCTTGGTTAACAACGGCCAGGCCTTTCCCACCATCACAATCGTCGTCGTCATCACAACATCACCCACCTTTTTAATCCTATCGGGGGGCGGTCATTAATGCATATCAACTTCCTCACCACATATAGAAGGTTGATCGACTGTCTACAATACCCAGCGTATGATATCCCACTCTAAAATGGAGAATACCCTTACTCATGATTAGAGAAGATACCACGGCATTTATACTTATTTTACGTTTTGCACGACGACATGGAAGAGCATATAACACGTGTACATAAGGAGGTGCATTTGGTTCGAAGTTCATTGTATATACTTTTCGCATCTACCTGGTGCTTTCTCTCAATCGACCGCCGCGACGAGTTCACATGCGAAACCTCTTACACCGGAATCAATCGGAAAGAACTTACTGGGATCTAATGATGACCTAGATTAAGCAATGCTGTTCAAAATAGTTAATTCATAATGATTCTATGATACACAGCGGTATGGTGTGGAGACGATGCTCTGGTGGTGTTGCCTACTGCGGTTGAATAACTGCCCTGTTAGTATCTAGACATTTAATAGGTTTATGTGTATCACGTCTCACAATCAATCGGACAGGATGAGTTAGTTATATCGAGATCTAGAGAGCCGCATAGGACGGTATGACCTGAATTCTTGGATTCTGCATTAGGAACGTTACGCCTGCTTGATGCCCTTACATATGCAAGTCACATCTTCTGTCTGCTGAATTATCACCACATCGGATCATCCGTCATACACCGCAATGATTCCGCCATGAGGGCTTATGCAGGTGTGGGTGATCGGGCTATCGCAATTGCCAGGATGCGAGTAGGACGATTTGGTAGAATCACACCATATTTCCGGTGTCTGGTTACTCTATAGCAACTAATTTCATGTTGTAGATAACTCAACGAAACCAGCCTACTTGATCTGAGCCTCACTAGGATTCAGTAGTAACGAGACACGAGGATGAGTACTACCGATAAGGGGCTCGAGACGTCCTCCTTTAGACCGCCTCTCTCTATTAGATTCTATCCGCTACTCCTTCAGCCGCAATGGAAGAGCACAACTCTTCTATAGATCAAATCAAGGCTCCAACTCTTATGTAGCATGGACGCAGGCTGACTTCGTACTTGGGTATCGTGGTGATACGCAGAGCCTGCCTGGAGTACGGAGCTGGACACAATGACGGCACATTTTCGATTCGTTAATCATTAGTCATGAAATATTGGACATCGGCAAGATCTTGCGATTAATACCATACATAGCAAACACTTGAAGCCCCATACCTTGTCAGGCAGTTAATCCTAATGGTCCGAGGTACATGAGTTGACTCAGACCGTTATGCCACCTTGTGCTTCCCCTCAAGATTGCACTACACCAAAAAGCGGCCTACAGGCAGGCTTTCTTGCTACATGTGTATTTCCAGTGCCACTACTTATGTCAGGAAAGCAACCACTGACGATGATCTTCTTGTCTCAGCACTCATGTCAGCGGGCTTCGATCCGAGAGGTCGAGCTGCTGTCAATGATGAGGGATTGGGGCGAGGAGTACCATGTTCCATCAACAAGCCTGAAACTGATTAACATATAAACACGCAGCGCAGACTTCCTTGGGACGAAATCTCGAGAACTTTCATTCTCGCTCTCTCCTATAATCAAAATAACCCCTTTTTAAGTCCTCATACTAAGAAATCGTCGCAATGTGGCCCTCTCAACTCTTACCATTCCTCCTCGCCCTCGCCGCTACCACCTGCGCCGGCTCCCCCCTGTACGCGGCCATCATCCCAACGATCCCAAGCCTGACCATCACGCCCACCATTCTCAACATCTCAACTCCCCTAATCCCCATCCCCACCTTCAGCACCAGCCGCATAACCCGGCACACACCACTCCCGCTCCACAGCACCACAGCCAAGACACCATCATCCAACTCGACCAGCGCCAGCACCGGCGTGATCCCGCACCCGCTCAGCCCGACCAACACCGCGGGGCCGCGCGTCGCGCGCGGCGACATCCACAGCGGCGTGACGACGGCGACGCTGTACAGCGACGGGCACGCGTACACCGTAACCCAATACAGCGAGGTGAACCCGGAGCTGTCGACGATCGGACTGACCACCACGATGCGGGACGGCACGCTCGTGACCGCGCCCGCCACCATGCCCATCATCAGCGCCACGTCGGACACCGGGTCGCCGTGGAGGACCACGGCTACTAGTAGCACGTGGTCGTGGTGGAGCGAGGACCCGGGCATGAGCAGCCGCGTGAGTGTCGGGCTTCCTACCGTAACGTCGGCTTTTTGATGAGGATAGGGGTCGGTGCCTAAGGGTGAGAGGGGTATAGGAAGGGCCCTCGCGAGATTGAAATTTAGAGACTCGTTCAGGTGGGGTTAGGTGATAGCAGAGTATGGAGGATGCGTTTGGGTATTAAGAGGTGCTAATTTTCTTTCTTGTTAGTATTGCGGCCATGGACAGTTATTTTTCTCGCGATATGGGAATAGGGGGGAAGGAGGCTACGATGCAATATCGTTTTAGAAAAAGTCTTTCCAACACTCCTTGAGCTAGATAGAACCAACTCAGATACAGCTACACAGCATCAATTTCGGCAGTTTACAACATGAATGATCAGTAGAAATGTGAGAACAAGCTCATTATATGACGGACACCCTTAGATGATAAGCCCCGTTAAGGATTATCATTAGGCCTCAGATATCGTATCCGGTACCTAGGCCAAACAGAGACCCATCCAATCCGCAGACTGCATTTTAAAGCCCAACCCTAAACATGCTTTATAACCAGAATATCGATCCTATCCCATCTTCAAATATTCTTCCCATGTTGAGTCCAAGCCCTTGGGTTCAGTGTAGGTATATATAGCGCACACTTATTCATCCATCATTCCCCCCCTTTAGGTCCTTACACCCAAGAGTTATGTACATATCACTCCAGCTGCCACCCCAAAAGCTGCCCCGCCTCCAGCACCCCGACAACCTCGCCGTCCTCCACGACCGCCAGTATCGAATCCTCCTTGCACGCCGCCTCGCCGCCGTACCCGGGCGACCTGAGCGGCTCCCGCAGCCACTCCGCCGCCTGGCTGATGCGCGTGTCGGCGCGTATGCTGATCCACTCACCGCGCTCCACCAGCAGATCCGGGATCGTGGAAGCGCGCCACGCGAGGCTCTTCGCGTCGAGCCTCCTCACGCGGCCCGGCGACGCGATCGCATCGCCCACTTGCGCCCACCCTGACCGCGAGTCGTAGCCCAGCTTCAGGATATCCGCGCCGCAGGGCTCCTCGTCGTCCTCGTCGTCGTTCGGATCATCGCTATGCCGAGAATTCGGGTTTGGGTGGGAATTTGGGAGGGCAGCGTGGCGGCCAGGCGCCCAAACCGGGATCTCAGCGAGCGGGACGGCGAGGTCGCGCAGCAGACGGGGCTTGCGCGCGGCCTGTCCGATAGCGCCGCCGGGGTGATTGCGCGCGAAGACAGCAGGCACGGCGGCGATAGAGTGCAACTCCTGAGCGGCGACAACAGCTAAGGCGTCGCCGAGGGCCAGGGCGGCCGTCGTCGAGGTCGTGGGGGCCGAGACGCCGAACGAGGCGGCCTCGGGCTCGTGGATGGGGGCCGGCAGGAGGACGGCTCCCGGGCGACGGCGGACGAGCTCGCAGGCGTCGGGGCGCGCGTGCGACGTCAGCACAACGACGGGGAGCGCCGGGTCCAGGTGCGGCAGCAGCGCAAGCAGCTCGGCCGTACGGCCCGAGAAGGTGATGAGGAGCACGGTGTCGTGCTTCCCGACCTTACCCAGGTCGCCGTGCAGGGCCTCGGTCGGGTGCAGGAACGTCGCGGGCACACCGAGGCTGTTGAAGGTCGCGACGAGCTTCTTGGCGATATGGCCCGATTTCCCTACGCCGCTGATGACTAGCTTGCCGCCCCGTTCGCCGCCATGCCTCGTTATAGCGCTTATCGCGGCGTCGAAGCCCTGCGTGGCCGTTACGTCGGTCTTGTATAGGTGGGTGAGGTTGCGTAGAGCTGTCGCTTCGGTGTTTAGGACATGGACGGCACCCGAGAGCCGTTGCTTGGTAAGCGAGTCCGTTTCCGGAGCATCTTCAAAGGAGTCGACGTCGTCTAAGCAGAGCTCTTCGATAACGGTGCTTGGTTCGGCTTCCGTCGGCGTCGATGGGGACGGCGGAGATGGAGGTGGAATAGTAGGGCGCGGCGTCAATCCTAATAGATAGACTTCGCTATTATGAACGGGGTGATGCTCAACCATTGTCATAAACCAGTATCCTGCGCCAATAAACGGCTGAAGTAATACAGTAAGGAATCGCCAAAAATATTGACTGCAACCCTTTCGCCTTTGCACACGAAATCGTTCGATTCGAAGACTCCAGAGTGCTCATAGCACAGGACTGCTAGGGCAAATTCAGTCGTCCATGACGATGACAATGGTAGTGACAGTTGCTCAGGAGGAAGATTCTTAGCGTGCCTTAGATCTCCTTCGGATTTTGTCTAGATGGAGGTCTAATATATTTTAACCCCAAGTGGCTTTTTTTTTTATAGTTCCGGGACGGCCCAGATACCGCGACCTCCAGGGCCAAGTTAGTTTACCTACGCAGGTAGAGTTGGACTTCTAGCGATCGAGACAAAAATGAAAGTATTTAACAATCTCGGATGGTAGATGAGAAGTGCATATTTACAAATCAAAAGAGATAACGCACTCCGGAAGACCGCAAAAGCCGAAGCTAAGCATAGGGTTAATGCCTGTAAGGAGGGCCGATTATCTTAATTATCTAATGAATCATGGCCGAATGCGGATAGGTACAGGCCGAGATTCATGCAGCTAAGAGGGCCTAATGATTGACGTGTAGGGGATCAGATCTTGCGTGCTCTCAGCCCTTACATGTCTATCCGTCCGGATAGGACCGAGAACTTGGGGGTATAGTTATCGATGTTTCAGTTTCAGACAATGCGTCCATCTTAACGCCGATTGCGGCCGATGAACGACGTGGAATCCAGTGACATCTTTTTCATGTGAGATGACCTGCATGAGATTCCTTCAGCTAGGCTTAGGAAACGTGGCTATAGATCGGCTCTTAACCGCTAGAACTAGGTTCCCAGATAGTATAGAACCTATCCACCCTTGGTAGGTAGTATTAAAAGCATATGTTGGTTGATCGATGCTTTAGCGTATGCTGCGGGTATTCGGTGAGTGGCCAAAGACTCAAGCCACGCCGCTTTTAGCCAAGTACCGATCTTGTTCATTAGATACGGGCTGCTCGACGTATTAAACCGAAAAGTTTGCTAAGGGATATTAGTAGAATTTAAAGGAGGCTCACCGTGAGTGACTTATGGCTTCACATTAAAATATGATATCTAAACGACTAAGGGTTGGTTGACGAGCAAGGAATCGGGCTGCAGAAGGCAACCTCTCAAGCCCACTGGAGGTTCTATTTTGACCAAGTGCATAATGCAATTGTGGGGAAGTTGGGGGCCATGGATTGTTAGAAAATTCTTTACTCCGATGTATTATATGCCCAACTTTGCGGCATCTCGCGGATGTGAGGGTAGTTCGACCTTTTCTCCAGGTCTCATTTCATACACCGCTATATTTCAGCATGTCTCTCGCCACATTGCAGATTGTGTCTGACTTACATTTGGAGACACATAAGTCATATAAATTCAACATAAAACAAACAGCTCTTTATCTAGGCCTTCTTGGTGACATTGGCAATGTTACAGATGATGGGTTTTTCGAGTTTATCAAGAAACAACTCACTCGGTATTGGACCGTCTTCCTTCTTATGGGCAATCATGAACCGATAGGAACCAGCTGGTCATTGGCGAAACGCCGAGTCCGTGCCTTCGCGGACCAGATGGAGCAATTAAGGGCACAATCCACAATCGGCAGATTCGTCTTTCTCGATCAAACGCGGTACGACCTAAACGACACGGTGACCGTATTAGGCTGCACGTTGTTCTCGGAAGTCAGTGTTGAACAAACTGCAGCTGTTAAGAGCCGGTTAGTCGACTTCAGACAGATCCAAGACTGGAAAGTTGAGGATCATGTAGAAGCTCATAAGTCAGATCTCCAGTGGCTCAACGCGCAGGTGTGCGATATAGCCAAAGAAGAGCCTGGGAGACAGATAATTGTATTTACCCATCACAGCCCAACCCAAGATGATAGGGCTGTAAGCCCAGAACATAGGGATAGTCCTGTGTCGTCAGGCTTTGCCACCGATTTAAGCAATGAGGACTGCTGGAAGAACCCTTCTGTTATTCTTTGGGGTTTTGGCCATACTCACTACCAGTGTGATTTTACAGACGATCTTGGAAAACGAGTTGTAGCAAACCAAAAAGGTACTTCTCAGATCCCCTGTGACGGATTTGATGATGGGAAACCCTTCTTGGTTGGCAAGTGGTCCCCAAGGAAACGTCAGGATTAATACAAGATTGTATTTAGAATTGTAACGTTCCTGCGGAGGTAGGCATCTTGTTAGATGCGGCAAGGCCCCTCAGACGCCGTTTCTTATGGTATATCCGTTCATAAATTTCATGAGACCGGCTGTTCGGGGCACGTGACCGATAGGGGAAGAGACTGAGCAATAAGTAAAAGCGACATTCTAAGGTAAGCTTGCCACGCCCTCCGTTGAAAGGAGACTATTGGTGGTGTTCTTTAGGTATGAGGATGATTTTGACAAGGATATATGCCGCTTATTTGACCATATGAGACAATTGTCCCAATAAGAAATGAAATCGAGAGCAGTCACTTCAAAGACTTCGATGTTCGAGTCTTGAAAGATTGACAGTCCAAAACGTGGCTATTTTGTGTAGGGTTTCAATGCCGCAACCCTCGAGCAGAAGGATCTGCAGGTATGCTGCACCTAAACATAATGGGATGCAGGGTCAGCGGCAAACACGGAAAATGAGTTCTCTTGTCGAAGCGCTTGTAGGCGTAATATGGAGACTAGGACTGGTATGTAATAAGGGATGGTGGGCAACGAGCACTCCATCGATTAACACTACTGCGCCATTGCAGCATGAGCGAGATAAAGGACCTAGCGTAGATCATCTAAAAACGAAAACGAAAACGCGGTGTGCTGTGCTCGCAAATGCCTTGCAGAAGCTTCCGGTTTCTAATGATAGAGAGGGTGAGAATTTGGAGATCTTTAACGGAAGAAGATCGAGAATGAAAAGCAAGGAGAAGAGATAAGATAAGCTAGGCCAAGCTGTTTGGCTGTGGAGACCGCTCCATTCAAAGCACAAAAGCACAGACCACAGAAAAGCTTATGTACAACTGAACCAAGCAGTTGCGAGTTCTCTCTCGGTGGAGATTAGTGGGACCCGATACAGATCGTACTTTAGGAGGTGACGCCAACTTGTGCCAGCCACATGATCTGCATCGAATGTGCACTGATCAATTGTGGCCCATTCACAATGAAAATGCGCTGTCCTTCCAAAACCCAACGCACCCTTCCGAGTCGCAGTTTCAACAACTCGATATCTATGACCAAACGACTTGTCAAATTGTCTTCAAACGGGGACAAGTAGTTGAAGGATAGGATTATAACCCTCACTTCCCTATCTTCTTTTCCTTTTCCCTCCCCCTATTTTCGAATTCTCAAGACGCCATGACGCGACCGATAGTCTACAGCGTCGCCCTCAGCGTCTTTGTCTGCAGTACGTCATTGTTTGTCTCCTTATCGTCCCACCAGGCTCGCAGGCAGAAGCAAACCGATGCACTCGACACCTAGCACTCAATCCAACCCCTATTTGCTTCATCATATCCTATCCTAATGTAATACGTCGGAATATAATGTTTATGTTTGATGGGAATTGTTCAAACCGATGCAAGACATCCATCGAATTATATAACATGTCATAGCTATTCCAAGTGCGGAGAGCTGCAATATACTAACGCTAGTCTCCACAACAGCAACCGTCCTGACGATAGTCTCTATCCTCACGCCCCACTGGGTCTCCTACTCGGTTACGGCCGACACGGGCTCGACATTTACCAAATACATCGGGCTTCATAAGAGTTGCTCCTCGGTTGACGATCCGTCGTGTCGGCCTTTCCCTAACGACGATGACTGCCGCGACGACCAGTTCTTCTGCTCCATGTGGCGAAGCAGTGGCTTCCTCATCTCCTTCGCCACCATCGTCGAGCTCGCGACCCTAATCACCTTCCTCGTCGTCATGGCTGGCGGCAAGTACAAGCGCGAGACCGGCTGGAAGCTGATCGGCTGCTTCCTACTCGCCGACGCCGCCGTCGAGTTCGCGAGCATGGGCATCGTAGTACGTTTTATCTTAATATGTATCTGGTTCTGTACCGCGGGATTACTAACGTCATACCTAGGCCTACCTCTTCGACACCGATTCTCAATTCGTCATCCCTGGCTGGTCCCTGGATTGGTCTTGGATCCTATGTACCGTCAGTGCAACAGTCTCCGTCTTGATTGCGACGAGTCTGGCTGCCTCCGCCTGGCTACTTCCACCGGAAGACGACTACGAATATCTGGAGGATCCAATGGACGCTTAAAAAGGGACGGCTCAGGGTAGGTATCCAATAGGCGGATGAATGGATCGGCACGGAATAGATGGGGGGAAAGAACCCCATCGCGGGATTTCCGGCAATGAAAAGCGCCATGAAACGCCATGCAGGAGGCAACCAGAACATCAATGATCTTATTCAGTGAAGATCTCGATTGGGAGATGGTGCTGCGGTGTTCTCCGTCCTGGGTGGGCGATATATACGGCATGTGGCGTTTTTGGAGGGTTTGCTTTTTGTCTTTTCTTTTGGCTGCATTAGACGCATGGCCATTGTCTAAATTGCATTTGTTTGATTCACGGGCAGGTTGTCACGATCAGACAGGACTTCATGATATTGAAATAATTAGGTATTATGGAAAGAGTAACATTTTGCTCCATAATAACTTTTAGCAGTTTGCAATTTTCCAGCATGCTTTTATCATGAGAAATTGGGTATCCTATATGATGTTGCTGTGCGTGTCGAGCATATCCATTATTAGCAACAAGAAGATACGTCGCATTGCGCCTCGTGTTACAATCAATCGTCATCGTCAGAATTTGATTCTGTCTCTGAAGATTCGGATGATGAAGAGCTGCTAGGAGACGTCTCAGCTTCATCGGCACGTAACTGGGGTTGCGCTCCTTCGTCCTCCGACTCATCAGAAGAACTGCTGTTGCTATCACTGCTACTCGACCCCGAATCTGATCCGCCTTCAGTTTCGGATTCAGATTCAGACTCCGAGCTAGTCTCTTCTTCGACGATTGCAGTCCGTACCTTCCTCTTCCTCTTGACTCTCTGTGGGAGACTATCGTCGTTCAATCTAAGGCGTAGAACGCCCTCGGTTTCGGCCGTTGCACCTTCACTCATAGCGCGCTCGGAATCCCCAGCGTGGCTCCCCTTCTCAGTCGAACTGGTTGTAGTGGTTGTCGTAGATGTCTCGGCCTCGGTATCAGATAGTTCGTCCAACACATTCTCGCAGCGCATTCGCTTGACGACCCGACGTTGCATCTCTATATCAGAAGTCCGGAGTACGTAGTCCACCTCCTCAAAACGCCGTTTCCTAGGTGTCTTCTGCTGGCTCAAATAGGCCGCAATGACCTCCTGGTACTCCTTCTGCCTTCTTTCGGTCATCTCCTTGCTGGAGCCGGGGAAACCTTCCGCTCCCTGTTCTATGTCCTGCGCTTTAATGCCAGATGCAAGTTCCTTTAGTCTCGTCCTAACAGCTCCTTTCAATCCCCGTATATATTCGTAAAATATGTGTATGTCAGCCGCAGGGATAGTAGTTTCTTCAGCGAAAACCTGCTCCAATAGCTTAGTCTGGTGGTTCTTGTTAAACTTCCAAGTGTCCTTAGACGTGTGCCACTGCCGTAAGTACGCAAGTGCGGGTTCTAGGTTGACGGGTGCCTGCTTCTTGACTGGTTGTGTAGGGGCTTGGATGGTTTTCTTAGCAGCGGGTGTGGCTTTGCGCTTGTTTATGGGTTTTGTGCCATTTGTCGTTGGAGTTGCCGGAGTATTGACTGGAGACTCAGTATCTTGGGTAAGCTGAGCCGCGAACGAGACAGACTTGGCTTTCTTTGGTGTCTGAGTGGAAGAAATTTGACTTTGGGAAAGGTCTCGCTTGGCCTTTTTGGTGGAATGGTCTAATGCAGGAACGCCAGAAGATTTTCTCTTCGCATTGGTGTTGACGGACCCGGTGAGATTTTCCCGATGATGGTTGGGCACCGGTACAGCGGCTGTACTTGTAGGTAGGGTAGGGTTCTGATTTTGGTTCAGGTCCTCGGATGCAGGCTTAAGCTTGAGGCCCAATCGTTTCCATGCTGGAACTCGGTGCGCTGGCGCATCACCGGTAGAGAGAATGGAAGACATTGAAGAAGGTAGATAGGAAGTTAAGAAGCCGGCAAGGGCGAGAGATAGGGATACAGATCGATGCTAGGAGGTGTGACCACTGCTACCACCACCAGTAACTATGACGGCAGATCGAGATGCTACCTAGATAGGTACTGGATGTCCACGTGCCTCTGACGTTTTGCCTTGCTTCATCTGTCTCAAGCTCTACGATAATGGTATAGGTTCGTGGCTGGCTTTCAAGAATTTGTCTGTCTAGACGTAAGACCGGCAACGTAAATGTACTAGCCTGTGTGTTATATCTAGGAATTACCGCCAATGAAAATTTGGTGAAGTCTTCACATTTCACACTTTTCAGTGGGGAATTAGGAACTTGTTTAACATCAATGGATTGACAAATATGAGATCTCAAGTTGGCTGGTTGAACAGAATTCTTTATCTTATCGTTTGATAAGGATTTGATAAGGTTCCAATGCGATCCACTTCAACTCCGGTCTAAATAATATCCGTAAAACGGGGTCCGAGCTTCTGTTAGGCAAGCTTGGGAGGTACCTGGCCTTGGCATTTGGCCTAAGGTCATAGCTTCGTTGCTTCCCCAAGGCTCCAACCTGGCGCGTCAGAGCTTCTAGGGCTAATAGCAGGGCTGAACTTGCTGAACTTGTTCCATTCAACCTCACTCCTTCAACTTTACCGATCACCTCTACCGACCTTCGCCAAAAAGAAAAGGCCGCAATTCGATTTTCTACAATCAATACCAGCTATTGGATTCGCGTACAGGTTCACACCGACAATATTGCCACCAGGTTCCATCACTAACAATCCTTCACCATGTCGGGAGGTTCGTTCGACGCTCCCTTGCTTCTTCGCAGCTGATATCCTCGTTCCGATCTAACTTCATACGCTTTATGACAGGTAGCGCGGGCTTTGACCGACATATCACCATCTTCTCCGAGCAAGGAAGACTCTACCAAGTCGGTATGTTCTCATGACACCGACGTTCGCTGGTTATTCCCTAGGTCGTCGCTTTCAGAAGCCATAAGCACCTGAAAAATCCGTGGGACGTAGGACATGGGACGTGGAGGCAAAAAGCGAATGCAACATGGGGGTTCTTTTGGTTGCTGACGACGACTTTCTCATCCAGAATATGCATTCAAGGCGATTACCGCTGCCAATATAATGGCAATTGGGGTCCGAGGCAAGGATTGCGCCGTAGTCCTTTCCCAGAAGAAGGTTCCTGTACGTGATTTCAGCTTCTGCCCAGTTGCGGTGAGGGTCGAATGGTCGAACTCGGCGCTGAGGCTAACGGTGATGAAAATCAATAGGACAAGTTGATCGATCCTTCTTCCGTTTCCCACATCTTCCAGATTTCACCGTCCGTTGGTTGTGTTATGACCGGGTCTATCGCAGACGCTCGGGCGTTTGCTCAGCGCGCCCAGGGCGAGGCTGCGGAGTTCCGGTACAACTACGGATACGAGATGCCATGCGATGCCCTTGCTAAGAGGCTGGCCAACATTAGCCAGGTCTACACTCAGAAGGTAAGACGTCGTCAAGCCATGGTAAGGCTCGGGCATCACAAAGCTGACCTTTTTCTGATAGGCGTACATGCGTCCTTACGGCGTGGCGACGACGCTTATATCATTAGACTCGGAATTCGGCCCACAGCTCTACAAGTGTGATCCGGCAGGCTACTACGTGGGGTACAAAGGAACTGCCGCGGGCCCGAAACAGCAAGAGGCGCTTAATCACTTAGAGAAGAAGCTCAAGAACAAGGATCATGCAGAAGGCACATGGGAAGACGTTGTGGAGTTGGCCATTACTACGTTGAGCACGGTTCTTAGCATGGATTTTAAGAAGGGCGAGATTGAGATCGGAATCGTTGGAGGCCCCCGAGCGGACGGTAAGGAGGGGACAGATCCCTTCTTTAGAACATTGACGGAAGAAGAGATCGATGAACGATTACAGGCCATCGCCGAGAAAGATTAGCGAAGCGAGGCGGCTGTGGCGTAAGGCTGGTTCTTGATCAGCATAGCTGATTCGTTTAATGCTGACCATAGCAACACATTGGGCTCCATTGTTTCCATTGTGGAAACGTGGGTTCTGTCGTACCCATGTCTCTCTGCGCGTGTCACTAGTTTAGATCCTTCATGAAACGGGACATTTGATCATCATTCCGATCCGTATTTGTGGCATTGTGGTAATGGGAAACACATTTACGTCTAAGCGTAGCCTAGAGTGGCTATAGCTGAAGACGCTTATAAGGAAATTCGATCATTCAGGTGGTGGCGAGATGGACGATCTGGGGGCTTATATAACCCTAAAGCGGTGAATAATTGTCATCAAGAGCCACATCTTAGAAATGCAGATGCGACGTATCAGCATGGGGCAGCTTAAGCAGGTCAACTATTGTACCCAGAGCCAAAGTAACGGACATCTCGGGCGCTTGCTCATCATCCATCTCAACCGGAAGGCTGGGATTTTGGGCATCACCGTTGCCGCCAGCCACAGGATTGACTTGCCTCAATAAAATGTCCCGATCTCAACGGCAGTGGCACCTCGTGGAAGACCGGGAATTTAGGGATCATCCAAATTGGCCAACAAGAGCTCGAAGAACGTAGAATGACAAGGTATAATCATTCATTGGGCAGTCGGAATGATGACCATTCAATTTTAATTTTTTTCCTTTTCTATCACTTACTTTCATTTTTCTTCATTTCATTTTCACCCATTTCAACTTTTCCTTCTCTATGAATAGACATGTGGATAACGTACGTAGATCCCACGTTCGCGCAGCTAGGTAATCAAGTTCTTTTTCGGCCAACCCTCGACTGCAGAGCGTCGAGGTTTAGGGAAAATATCCGATTCAGCTGCTCTCGGAATGGTGGCTGAGGTCCGACGGAGAGCTCCTATTGGCCAGTAGCGTTTACACCTAAGTCCGAATAGTCGCACTACTTAGTTTTTGTTCACCTGAGAACTATACTGCTTTGAGATTCTCTGTGCTAGCCGTAAGGATATGTGGCGCCGCTGAAGTCTTCCCCTAGCTTTCTCGCCCGAACCAACCCTATGTGCCCTACGAGGCGGCTCTTCTACGTTGGACCCTACGCCCTCTGTCCCCCGGCATTAGCATATCCCGTGGCTTCCCTGTCCCTATAGTTACGTTCCCACTAGAGGGTCCGTTGATATGCCCTACCTAAGGTACCTACATGACGAACGTCAAGCGTCCCTGCATTGGTGTTGCAGGTCGTGGCGTTGATTACCCATAAGGGCGTCTGCACGTAACACGCCCAGCAGCCCAGATGTGCCAGGGGACTAGGGTCTCAACCCAGACTGACGGGGAGATCTAAGATACAACAACCTCCAGCTCATTAGGGATCTCCCAGGTTTAAGCTGTCAATCATCGTCCCGCTCTGATGCTTGATAATAATTCCGATTCGGTAGCCGGGAGAGTGTAAGTGGGTATTGAGCTGACTTGGATATGATGTATACTATGACTTGCAATCTAAAGGGGGAGGGAGCATCAGCGCAAATCTTCCTTCTCTTGAACCACTCTGTATCGTGAGAACTTCGAGCTATATCTAGTTGTCCCTAACAAGACGATCGATTCTACAAAAGGCGAGTGAGTTCGCTGCTCAAGACTCATTATGAAGCCGTTCTTTCACCCAAGTCCAACAGAGTTCCTAGACTCCTGCAGCCTTAACATCTCCTGCCATTTCCGCTCCTGAATTGGGCTTCCTTCTCTACCTCACTGTATCATTGCTAATTTTCGACATCCTTGAACCCCTTACCGTAACTCAGCATTGTGCTTCGAACTTGACTACCTCATCAAACAACTACCTGGCTACTTCGAAATTACTCTAGAAAAAGTATAAGCATGGACGGACGTAAGTACAGACAGTTAGGACGGCACTATAACTGCCCAACCCGAATAATAGGAGACGCACCTCCTTTTCGAGTTTCTAACAACCGACGCAGTGAACGAGTACCGAACGGCGCGGGTCGCCGACATCCTTGCCGACTTTCGAAATCTACAGTACTTTATCGCCGCAGCGCCAACAGACCCCTCAAACATCGACGACTACTACACCGAAGGCTGGGCGGCTTTGCGCCAATGCGCCATAGACGGCCAGCACATCCTCAACTGCGCAGCCGACGTCACAGTACCTCAAGCCAACGGCGGCGAAGCGGAACAACAACGAGCAGAGTTAAAACAGTGCGTTGAATACCTCGCTAAATCCATAACAAATGCCGTCGATTTCCCATCGAAAACGAGAAAGCCACTGACACTCAACCCCTTCTGCAGAATCCTTTTAGACGCATACTCTCGTAGGCACGAAGGCCAAAAGATCTACCTCCGCCAGGCAGCGGCACAAAGATGGATCGAGTATCGAGAGACCATCCTCCAAGGCCAACGGCCTAAAAGTTCGCACAGAAGGCAACTTAGAGCTTGTGATGAACAACTACGAGGTGTACGGCAGATCCTTATTTCCCTCAAAGACGATTATTACCTGCCTAGCCCACCCCCTAGCCCCTCCATGATACACAAGTTTCCTTCACCCTTCGGTCCCCCTCACTAACACGTAAGCCAGGAACTTTCACGAATCACAGACGAGTACGTCTATCAAGAACTTCAGACATCCGACATGGCGATGGGCCGCTGGACGGCCGAAGACCCTAGTCTCCGGTCTGTTCAGCGCTGGGTGCGGGCACGCCCGCAAACAACTTAATTGCCTCTCCGAGGCGGATTATAACACCTCTTAGAGATTAGTGGATTACGACTAGCCTCCAATTCGGTATGGGACTACTATACGTGGCGTATGAGGTGACCACGATGAAGACGGGCGAGCCGATACTATGAATTTCAACACCAAGGCGGAGGATCCGGGCAGGGAACAGGGGAACAAAGGGGAACGGGACGCGGGACACGGAACACGATATGATCGACGAACTTGTCAAATATGTGCTTGGGAAACACGCTCATTATAACCACTATAGAAATCCACAGACTGGTGGGTTATGTTTCGAGGAATTATTGACGAGGCATCGTTTGAAAGGAGAGACGCAGCAAGTCTGTGAAGAGGCTGCCAGGTGCAGAATCAGCAAGCGTACCTAGATGCATAACCTACCAGAGACTTCACATGGTATACAAAGTCTGACTTCGGTCAGTTGTAATACTAGTGCAAGACGAGAATAGCACTCGCTTCAGAATAGGATAGTTATCTACTATTACAATGTATGGGTCTACCTAAACTACCTACCAAGAGCAGCAAAACAAGATTGTTGGCTCGGCATCTTAGCAAACCTGGGTCCACACGATGTCACGATCCTGTGAAGATTTTATCAATCGCCGGGTTACCTCCCAGAAATCCCCATTCCCCGTACCTCCTGTCTAGCCCCGGACTTGTCCTAGACTCCTAGTTGCTTCGCTTAGCCCTCCAGGAAGATTTATCGATGTGGTCAAAAATAGTGTTAGACGGAATTGCAGCTGGAACTAGGCTACCGCGTGCCGAATGCCATGTGCTTGTATGTGCGCAGCCGCTAAGTGACGGCCGGACAGCTTAGTGCTAAAGCCTAGGGGCCGTCGGCAAAGGTGATGACGAACGTTATCCACCAGTTCATACTAAGCCTATCTCTCTGCCGGGTTGAAATCCAATGCCACATGGCGATCCAAGGATTAGCTCAGACGAATAAGTAAGAATGCATAGATAGTTCTGTCGGCTATTGACGACAAAACAGAATGGTCTAGCCTTGCCGGCGACAGCGGCTACCACCGATCTCTATTCCTTAACGAGCAGAACACCGGCCACCTCCATCGGTTTTAACAAGGTTTCCGACTCTTACGCGATCCTGAAAAAACAAAAGTTTCCGATGGGGGCTTTCAGCTAGCAATGGGGAACGAGGCCATACTTCCTTTGCTAACGTTTAGCCTCGTCTCGATGCGAACGCGAGGGCTACGAAGGAGAACCAAACTTTTCAGCAAAAACCCCCAAAAATTTATAGGATAGAAATACGACTTATACTTGCCTGTGCTACTAAAAAAGCATGACCCATGTTACCATGTTACCATGTTACCGTGCTATTATGCCTTTGTCATTGATATCCATGTCGCCCCTTGCCCAGCTGAATGGACTTTGGACTCTGGACTCTGGACTATTGGATATGAAGTTACCAATGAACTTTGCTCCTGAGCCTCGAAGATCTTGGTCACTGGACCACAACCCAATAGGAGTTAAAAATCTGGTGAATCCACATTAAAGGTTTTTATTGACGGTACCTAGTCTAAGTACGTACCGAATAGTCGGACCGGATCCACATAAATCCACTAACCCTCAATTCTCCACTTAATTTTATAGTAATTGGAAGTTACACGATCAACAATTTCTCATTATCATCTCAATGATCTCAATGTCTTCAATCACCTTTCTAGTTGCTTTTTCATAATCGATTCTGCAGAAACGCCAGTCTCGATCATTCAAACCTCACAGAAGTTTATACCTGCCCGCTGGGTACATATTGGTAAGTTCCCGTGACATATCTTTGATCTTCAATATGGCTATCTTCTATGCTCCTGACACTCTGTTGCCAACGTGGTGTTCTGGATGCGTTCGGATGGCGAATATCGATGGTTTCTGTCCTGATACTCGCCTCTTTGCCGGACCATCTCTCGCGTATGATGGGTGCAAACACTTACCTAGGTAGGTAGGCTTGTGCTACATCTACATATTCTAGCGCTGTGTCCGTTTTAATTCTTGCCGGGTTGCTTTTTCCGGACATCGACAAGAGCTAGATCCCTGGAAGATGGCGACATGTAAAGTTTGTGAACAGCCGCTCGTGCTGGAAGTGGAAGACGAAGATGGCAACGACGAGCAAGAATTCGTCCCTGACGATTTGGAAGTCTCTTGTGGCTGCCATTTCCACTGGCAGTGCCTCCTGGATCAAGCCGCGGAATTAGCCAAATCACTCAAGTGTCCATCGTGTGCCGCAGAAATTGCTACGCGTACAGCAGGACCCTCAACCAGCAACCCATTCGTACAATCAGTACCCGGTGCGGCTATCTTAACAAGATATACCAACGAGGGTGGCATCCAGGAGAACTACGATATCCTCCCTGAAGTCACCGAGGAAGCTTATGTCGAAGCCAACCCCGAGGTTCTACCTGCTCGCGCCTATCACGTTATGTGTAGCACGGGCGATGTAGAGAACATAGTAGCCATCCTGCGTGAGACCGAGCAGGCGCGGACGGAGCGACATGGGCGTGCCTTGAGCGCTACGCAACTCATTCGTTATCAAGATCCACTAGAAGACTCGAAAAGTGGTTTGCATTTAGCAATTGAAAAGGGGCAAGAGGAGGTTGTGTGGCTGCTTTTATGGATAGCATCAACCTTGTCCACCGAGTCGTTCCCACGGCCGGCGGTGCAAAAGGCTCAAGCGATGGGAATCCAGCGGCCAAGCGCGTTGGCCTCGGGAGATATCCGAGCGCTCAAGGACAACCAAGGCCGGACGGCCGAGGCGGCAGCGGCGCAAATGGGAGACTTCTGGACGGCCATACTGCAGTCCGGTATCTTGCATCCCGATGCCTAGATTTGACCTAGTAATCGAAAATATCGATTTATACCAGGTCACCTCGGTTATTGCATAACTTGAGCCTTATACACATACATCCATAAGTCCCCTATTACCCTTTCGAAGGTGTTGATCAAATCTTGAACAAGTTAACCGGTGATGGTTTTCATGCGGATGCTCTCTGCAGCGCTGATCTGATGAAACGATGCTTACTTCTAACCTACCCCTCACAAAAATTTCCGTCTCGTATGCATGTCACCGAGATCTGCATGAATAGCGACGTACGTGATCACCAATAACTTGGTTGAAGGATCTCTGGTAATCGCAAAATGTGACGAGTCATTTTTTGTCACAGTTCGCGATTCAAGCGCAACGCAGCTTCTCACTAGCAGACTAGAAGCGGGAAGAGCGACAAAAGTGTTACAGTAAGTTTAGCCACCCCGGATGCCTGAGGCCAGGGCCGGACAAGCCAGCCTCGGCCGAAATTGCTGTAAAACAAAACGGATCCTATAATGTTACCCATTTTGCATGTATCCCCGGTATCTTTTACATATGCAGGACCCAGAACCGGAAGTCATTTACAGCAGCTATACACGCGCAAATGACCTTTCGCAGCATGTCCAAGGGTAGCACGAGGCCATCTTGACCCCTCATACTGTCATGCACCGGCGACGATAATCAGATCATCAGCTCCGGCACTCGCGCGCATCGCAGCGCATCCTTTTTCTGCAATGCGAGAGGGCCCGCAGGCGCAAACTCCAAAAAAGTGTCTCACAGAAAAACCTGGCAAGGCGCGCGCACATACACACCCACACGCACGTGCCACGCAGAACAGCGGCAGCTACATGCGCAGATACACTACACATTATAGCTGAGTAGGAATCGTGGCTTCGGTAAGCTACATTACTATCGGACCCTGGGAGCGGAGTGGGAAGCGGAGATGGGTCCCCGCCACACGAAACGAAACGAAGCGGATACTCGCACCCTGCACCCTGGGCTAAAAATTGGCGATGTCCAGTCGCAAGCTGCAGAACAGCGACGAGCGGCCGATGCATTAACTGCGTACTTACCTAACAGGTACCCTGTTGTTTCTCCTGCGTCAGGGGCCACTAGGTACTAGCTGACATTCTGTGTGCATATGTGCATCTATCTTACTTCACCAATATGCCATCTATAGTAGTATGTAAGTATGTTACCTAGGTCCTAGGTATGTACACACGTCCCCGAGGGAGCACGGTCGATGCATAGGTTAATTGATCTACTGGTGGTGGTAAGTAAAGTCCCTACATATGCGCATAGCTAAATTTAACTCTGCGCCGAATATAATGCGCCAATCGCTTTCGAGGGGCAAGTTCGGTGTCGCACCGGCGGGGTGTCAACGGCGACGACAGCGACGATGACGACATGGGTGAAACGATACTGGGCCTAGACTGTTGGCCTCGGCGGATGAAGCTGTGGCATATAGAACGCCCTTTTGCTCTCTTCCGCGGCGATAACCGCGCCGTCGGCTCGACAACGGCGTTTGGTTAGGCCTGAGGAAGGTCGGGTCGTGCAAAGCTTAATCTGAGTTTTATCGTGTTCAGACAGACCCGGGGTGGCTCAGAGTTCGCCATCAATTTGGCGTCTTGGGGCGTTCTTCAAGTTGATTTACTTGTACGCTGTTGCTTGGCAAGGTGCGGCTGTTACACGATGCTGCTTTGTTGGTAGGCTGGTAGGTAAGGTATGTTAGCCCCCACGTCTCATATCTAGCGTGGTAACTATACCGAGGACGATGATGGGATCTGGATACGTCGATCTCGTTCCGAACTACTTCTAAATCGTAGAACGTAGATCCTTGGCTCCTCGTGTCTGTCGTTTCTAAGCCTCCTAAGTGGGCCGCTTAGTGTATGTCCTTGAAACGGTTCACGAGAAAAACTGCCTGCCCATTATACACCCCGATATTCCAGACCAGACCGTCCTCGACTAGGAGGAAGGCCTCGCGATTCTAGTACGAACTCGGCCTAGTCCGGTCCGAGTTTTGTCTATGACCTAGATGCGGTCGAGGATTGCCGGAGAGAGCCGACCCCTAAGGTTTTCTCTCAAACCGAAGTTGGGACGAAAAGTCAGGGGTTGTGTGTTTCTTCGGTGTCGTAGGGCGTCGCCGGCGGATTGACCAGCTCCCTCCCTCTCTCTCTACTTACCCTACTGCATAGGTAGGTACCTACCTGCCTACCTAGGCATCATTAGTGATCGTAGGAAGGAAAAGCTTTGACAGCTACCCCAGGTAAGGTCTGGCGCAGGGCGTAGTAAGTTTGCCCCCGGAAAAGATCTCGAAGGAAGGAATTTCCTGTCAGAAGGAACCGCGATTTACCGAGCGCTCCCATCTGCACGTAATAAAGTGTAATAAGTGGGTGCGAGCATTGTGGGAACGCGATCCTATGAAACCCCTTTCCAAGCTCGGAATACGGGTTGGGATGAGCAGGCTGGGGCCACGAGGCTTTCTCAGCGTCGCGATGAAGGATTCCGATTTCTCGATAAGATGTTTGTGTTGCCTGGTCGGGCGGGAAGGAATTGGGATGTGTATTTCCTCCAGCTTGACGACGAACTTTGGGAAAGACGAAACAGGAATCTCTGGGGTTAGGTAAGGCTGTGCCTTGGGGTCTGAATGCGGATGGAGAATTGAAACGAGGAGTAGTCTCATATTACCTATACAGATGTCATCGGCGGCTTACGAAGCATAGCTCACCAGTCGGAAGCAAGTCATGTTTATGGTAAAGCTTTTTAGATATTGTGACAGGTATTGTTATAGCAACATTGTGAATGTAGGCTTCTAGTGTTACAAGATTGAACCGCTCGTAGGCGGAGATGTCTCGCCCCAGGCTGCCGAACCCCGTAGTCTATAGACCCTGTTGGCCAATTCAGTCTCTGGGACTCTGTTGCAGTCTCTTCTAATCTCCCTAATACACGACCCCCCCATTTCCCGCCCTCTCGACCCGTGCAATCTCAAGCCGCCAACTCCCCTTATGCCTTAGATATAGGAAAGGGAAAAAAATACAGTATTTTGAATAGGTGGAGACCCTTTATTTTCAGCCATGATGACCTGTTGAACGGTACCTAGCGCACTGGGTATAGAGGTGACCGTTTCTGTCAAAGGCATATGATAGTGATCCAAAAGCGACCCTGACGCCTTATTATGGAAACGAGACGCAACTTCTAGTTGATAAACTGCCAGAGCAATGAAAATAACGAATGCAAATGGTATGAAATAGACAATAAAAATACTAAGGAGGGGAATATGATAGAGTGATAAGTAATAGCAATAAAAAGGAACGCCGGGTATCCGTTATCGCGAATGCTAGTGGTATATAAGGAATGACAAGAAGTGTATAATGCAAATGCCGTCATGCGAATGCCGATGATCGTTGTGGCCGGCCGTGAATCGTCGATCGTAATGGGTTCATAAAATTAAAGTAAGGAACGTTGTCAGGCGTTAGGTAAATAAAATAAAACAATGAGTAAACTGAGAGACCATGGTGGCATCGAGGAATATGAGTAACGCTGGATAAATATTGGTGTATGGGGACTAATTAGATGCAGGTGTTCCTGTTCGCGTCGGCTGGAAAACTGCAGCAGTCAAGAAAATGTCGCCCGTGGGGGAGTTCTTGACCGGCGGCGTGGGTGCCGGTGGTGAAATGGGAGTTGTCTTATTGAGATCTTTTGGGTAACCGTTGTTAATGATATCGTGGCTGCGGGTGCGATGTATATTTCTACGTTGCTCTTCTGTTTCATGTGTGCATGGGACTTCAGCAGCACCACCGTTCAGTTTAGTAAATTCATTTTCGACGTCTGCGAGGAGGGCGTAAACATCGCTATCAGCATAAATGCGAATGCTTTCCATCCGCTGAAGAGTGGACTCCGCTGATGAACTCTTGCGTTTACCGCCAACCGGAGGCTCTTCGAGTTCCTCGGCTGGTAGCTCCGGGATCATTGAAGGGACTCTGGCGACAACACGTTGAGGCGATGTGGACGGCGATTGAGACTGGGTAGGGGTGCTAGACCTAGTAGGAGGGGTACTAGTCCTGGTTGGGCTCCGGGGTGGCGACTGAGACGGGGTAGGGGTCCTAGTCTTGGTTGGGCTTCGGGGTGGTGTCGAGATATCAGAAGCTCCAGTGGGAAATCGAATCCCCGCAGCTTGCTGGAGGATCTCGCTTGCACCAGCAACGTCTTTAACCATCGAGAGGGTAGACGCGGCAGCAACATGCTCAAGAAGCTTTTGCCTTACACGGGTCCGTCGATTCTCGGCATGTTCAAGTTTAGTAACCCAATCATCAATTGAGGCATCAAGCTCTGCAAGCGTTTCTTCCTGCTTCAGCATTGATTCGTAACTAAATTTGGCAACGCGAGGAGACCGCAAATATTGACAAATGCGGCTATGAAGATTTCGGCGTCCGGCGCGTAGAGAAGTATAAGTGCGGCGAAGATACTCGGTTCGCTCATCAAGATGGCGAAGTTCCTATAAACGGTTAGCACGTTGATGATGAATGTTAAAGATCGAGAGGAGCCTACCTTCGAAAGGCTCTCAACGTCGTCCTTCTTGAGTACCTCGAACCTCAGAACTTGGCCTAGTGCTTGCTTGTGTAAGTAAGCAACTTCAGACGCGTCCAAATTCTTCACTGCATCAGTAGACTTCCATCCTTGAGGTAGGACCTCGAAGGCCCGACGCTCGGCACTAATGCTCCTCTTGGATGTATCCCGCTTGTGAGTACCACCAATTGGTGTACCATCGCTTCGCTTTCGCGGACGCCCGCGATCCATGATGCTTCCAGACTCGGAATGGCCACGCCTATGCGATGGAATCAGGATGGCTCGCGTCTCGGACTCTGCTTTCGAGGTCGTACAATCATTAAACGGTTGTGATTCAAGAACAGGCGTGATTGAGCCTAGTCTTTCCCATGGTCTCGGAGAAGCTCGGCATTCAGCAGGTGCTGATAATGGTGTTGGTAATGTCGAAGTAGTCATGTTCGTAGACGCCGACATAGGGGTCGTGATCGAGGTTGAAGCAGGGGTGAATGGAGTGCGCGTCTTTGGTGAGTCGTCAGTCCGAGCTGGCTTTAGTACTGATTCCGGTTCCTTGTCCTTATTTATAAGGCGGCTGAATGAAAGTTGCCGAGCCAGTCTCGGAATTGGGCCACTTTGCGTGGGTATCGTTAAAGGTGCCAGATCCTTGGGTGAGAGCGGCTGTTTCAACGGCGAGCCAGTGGGTTTCCGCATATCTTCAGAAGGGGCAGATACTTCTGGATTCTCGGCCAGACTCTCCTTCACAGTGGACGCACACTCGACGAGATGACGTTGGCGCCAGGAGTTAACGGGAGTGCTAATGGATCGTTCATGCAACGCAGGCCGGCCTGGGATCGTTGCTATGAGTGGTTAATTATTTGGTTAAGCGGGCATGGACTTGATTATTTAACTCACGAGAATCCATTGGAACCTCCTGTACTGTCGTCATAGGTCCTAATTCGGGGACACTGATTTTCTTCCTTCTCGTCAAGTTGTGTTCCTTAATTCTCATCCGGAGGCCGGTCGATACCGAGGTCTTTTCTGCCTGTCCCATAGCCATGGCAAAAGCTTGCTCGGGGTCCAATTGTTTCCCTATGATCGGTGATGGGAGCTGTTTTTCCCTAGGGAATAGCTGATATTTCCTCGTCTCCGTGTTCTGCATCCTCCAAGCGAACGGCTTTTTTTCCTCAGTCGAACTTGCAGATGACAGCTGTATGGTGATGTTAGTATGTTTAGACATCTGATAGAGTTACCTAACGCCAGGAAGGTTAAGGTCATACCGAGTCGGTAGAGTCTTGTGCGGAAAAGGCATTTACTATATAACTTCTAAGACTACTTTCGAAATCGTTGTCGACAAGGCATGCTGCTATATGGGCCATTGGACGTGCAGGTAAAGAGGGTCCCTAGGCAAATCACAAACCAAACTAGGGGGATATTATAAGCAAGGAAGTGTAATAAGAAATGTCTCTCATGCGGATGCAAGATGGGCAAGGTGATGAGCGGAGCTCATATAATTTGTACGGTGAAACAAAATCCAAAATCAGACGTGCGTAAAGAGCAACGAAAAACTGCAAGGCAAAGATATATGCAAACACTTAAGAGACAGCCCTGCCTTTCATAGTGATAGACACACCTTGTAGCAGACGGATGGAGAGAAACGGGGAGGCAAAGGAAACAGGATATGCATGTCCTTAATACGTCGAGTATAGTCGGTACCAAGCTGTTCTGGTATGTATTTCCATGGAACCTATAGGAGAAGCCAGTAAGGGAATTCGTTCATTCAAATGCGTTAGAGTATCCTTAGATGCAACCTCTACCCAGGATTCAAGGAGGAGACCAGAGACTTGCAGTGCAGCTTCCGCATACATTACCCATTACCGTATGCAGGTATTGGACGGTGGATGATATGCAAGTCAGACAGCTAAAACCGTGTAAGACTCGGCTCGAGGACTGCGTACCTGCGTACAGCTGTGTGTGCTATGTAGCTACCTGGCTACCCAAGCTAACGGCCTCCTAAAGAAGCCAAGCAGCGTTTCAACGTCGGTGGTCCCTAGGTTGATGAAGGTATCCCGGGCTAAGGATCGGAGCAAGCTGCAGAATCGGGCTTAGGCACATCGAGAAAGCTGTTTTGGTAGAGGTCCAGAATGCTGCGTCGACAGGGCGTCGACAAGGAATTTGAAACCGCTTGAGCCCTTGACAGGGATTTGAGGTTCATCGAGGGTTATCGCAGCTTTGGGGGAACAGGGGGGGAGAGCTTTGACCCCGGCTGCATGCAGGGGCTACCCGTGTTTATCTTACGGGCCATGGGTAAAAAACGAGGGTTTATTATAGCAATGCTTGTGAATAGGCGAAGCTTCTTAGCGCTGCTTAATTGAAACCGGAGAGGAACTTTTCTCCCACGTTGCCGCAGAAGACGACATCGAGCAGCTTGATCTCACCGTATTTCCGCCAAGGGGGTCCCCTAAGTCCAGTAGGCGTCGTACCAGGGAACATCACGGAAAGCTAGGCGTCAAATATTATTATTCGTTGACTCATTTCAGATCTCGTTACTTAGGTACCTAGGCATGGTATTCATCCAGATCCGACTGGCTGGACTCCGGGTTTGACAATGCCGAAGAAAACCCTACTATGTACGTCACTTGACTGGATGATAACTCTTCATTGCCAGGTTGAGGTCCGTTGTAAACAGACAGCGTCTTATATCGTATCTCCTTTAGATGATGGTTATGGTAACTTTTGTCTGCAAAACCGAGAAAATCCGAATTCCAGCTATCTGTTCAATTGCTTGAGTGGTGTAATATCGTAATAGGCATAGATCCGTATTCGACTCCTGAATTTGGAGGTGAATGATCGAAAAGAGAAAGTGTGATAAGGCAAGTTCCGAGAATGTGCTAAATGGGAATATGGATGCTGTTAACTGCATAAGCTCATAAGCTAGCACATATGCATGTATGCGTGAGTTGGGATTCTTCCAATCGCATACACGGAGGCGGAGTGTCGGAGTGTCGACGTGCATGTACTAGATATGAATTTGCGGAGATGGTAGCATCGCAACTGCAGAAGTCGGGGAATATATACTGACTAGACTCACTCAGCTTCATTATCACAAGATATTATAGGACATCGAGGTTGGCGCCTATGCAGCTTTAATTGTCGCTTTGACAGTTTTCCTGTTTATATTAATAGTCGGATGCAAAGCCGCGGCCGGGCGTCAGCGTGCGTCGTCGAAGACCCAAGCACGAGTAACACAGCTATCCACGAAGTATGCCAGAGATAAACTCGCTCGAGTGAACTTTTACTTAAGCGATCCAGTCTTTTCTTTAGCCAAGAGAATTCTACCTTCGCCCTCAGACTCGATCACGCTTAAGATGCTTCATCTTGACAAGCGACCATACGTGATGTATGTGACCGAGCAAAATGCACAACAGCCGTGATAGCATTAGCGCTATGTACTCCATAGAGAGAACCAAGATTAGGTAGGTAATGTTGTCTCAGATCTTTGGCCAGCGGAATTTGTGGGATGAGAGGATTGTGCGTGCATATTGCCACCTCGTCATCGATAAGCAGGTCAGAGGTAAAAGATCATGAATAGTAAATTGCGTATGACCTGCTTAGGATATTCATACATGTAGTGACGAAAATTGGCTATAAGTTATTAAGCAGCTTGTGACCGTCGACCTCCACAAGTCAAGCCCTTCGAGGCAGCAATGTAACGATAACCATCAGTTTTTATCAGAGCAATCTGTCAAACTTCCCGATTGTCCCCCCCAAGATTCCTTCGCTCACTTACTCAGATAGATAGGTGATGTTCGTGGAGTCAAGTGGCTGTTACAGATCGAGAGGTTATGTGATGGAGCAACTTTCGTATGAAATTATGGTCTCTGGTATATAGAAGGTTACATGTTATCACCGAAAACAAAATAACAGATATTAATCAAGATCTCATGTACATGTTACATTTGTCACGAAGATTTATATTGCCTGGATCAAGAAATAGTACATATTGGTTTATAGTAGTACTTATAGGGGACCTTGGATTAGGACTACCACCAGAAGCGGCCATGCCATTGTATTCGGAGAAGATATCATTGGAGATGTATAGATCTTGTTACGAGCTTTATGTTCTGATATAACATATTGACTTACGGCTTGTAAGTGAAGCCGTTTTGATAATGTGTTTAACGGGGTTTTCTTCGAAAAAGAAATAATTTGGATTTAGTATCCGAGATATTGGACGAAAATAGTCTTCAACCGGTGGTTGTCCGTGCTTTGCATTAGTGCGTAACACGGTTGTGACTTGATCCGTAAAAGTTGTAACCGAGCGGACTCCAACCTTGTTTGTACATGATTGATGCTATTTCTGTTTCTTTTGATTTTATGTCATGACTTAGATATGCCTGCCACTTCGAAGGCAACTCAGGCTAAGGTGTGGCAACAACATGAGAAATATCTCATCAATTTCATGCGCTCTTATGGTCTTTTCGCTTCAACCGCTCCCTTGATGGAGATAATTCAAGGCAAAACACCTGCTTTCCAGTGAGTTTCCACTACAATTTTTACATAAGAGCATGTAGTACACAAAGGAACAGGTTTGATTTTTTTTCGGCAAGTGGGGGATGAGTTACAGCTTTCTCGTTTAAGCCCCTTTTTGGACGCACCTCTGCTGTCACCTACATAACTGCGTGGGGTATCGACATTGCTCGAGTCATAAAGAAACCGGCCTGCTTCTTGGCATGCAGAGATTTGCAAAACATGGAAGCGCATAATGTTTATCTTTACATGATCTACGTTTTTCGTCTCTAGTGCTTTCGTCGACGACACAAGAAGACAAGCTAAGTCTATAAAGTTGAATCGAGACAACTAATTTTCCGAAACTACCTAAGTCTTTAGTCGATATGTATCAAGAAACAACTATCGCATATGCTTACTATACGTAACGTATATCGAAGGAATTTCCCAACGGGCCGGCGTCTAGAAAAGGCTGAGACATCTTATGCTCCGACTCAAAACAGTTCGCAACGTCATCCGAACCCGTCCGGCACCAAAGAGATCGGAAAGATCAATTGCCATCCATGTCTCAAGCTCTAGCAATCAGGCAATCTCGTCATAGACCAGCCGAAACATTCAATTGCCGGACCCAAAAAAAAAGCAGCAATCACAAGAATATCTCTACCTCAAAGTGATCTACAATCGAGCCACGGAAAGGGAGCTAGGACCAACAGTCTTCATAGCTGAAGACGGACTAGTTTTACCTGAAGCAACTCGGAGCTGTTCCCCCCAGCTTAAGGTGTACGCCATATTAGTGTGCCCGTAACTTTCCGCCCTAGGACAGGTGTGGACGGTGCAGAGGGTGGTCAGGATGATCATATTCCTAATACAACGTACTTTCAAACCGCGAACTACTTGAGAGTATATTCCACGTTATTCTCAAACTAATAGGATTGGTTTCTGAGGGATTAACAAGCTTGATACCAACCCAACAAATGCATACGTCTATGACGGCTTAAGTCAGGTTTTATGATCACCATTCCCGTCTGTCATGGAGCTGGACTAGACCTTGGAAGCGATCTGACCGATCATCCTTGAGGGATCTAGCGGATAAAAGGCTGCGATATCGACAGGGTGGCCCTAGCTAGCCTCTTTTTCTTAGTCAGGGTCCGTTGAGGTCATATTTTCCTACGGAACCAAGGATGTCTTCTTGCTTCGCCACAAAGACTAATTAGCGATTGATACACACCGTTACTTACAAGTTATGTGCGAGAGAACTGCTTCCTTATTAAGTCATACCTATAGTGCTATGTAAGTATGGTATTACCTAGATGACATCCATCTCTAGACTCGAGAGTTTGGATACGTATGCTAAACTACTTAATGTTAGGTTGGGAGTATGTATTTTTTTATTTAAATCTCATTGTATCTGTCTTGATGTTAGCAAATAGGAGGAGGCTCACATGGGGTAACGACAATGATTACTCTTTGACCTTTTCGCCTACAGACACACCTGGCTTCACCACTACCTAAATAGGTAAATGTCTAGGGATCTGCGGGATAGGGTTTCCAGCGTCACCTTTTTACGGAATTAGAGCTTATTAGCATACAGGGTCGATCCTGACAGCCTGATTATGTTACTAAGTAACAAGTCAAGTGATATGCAAGATAACCTCAGCAGAATTGTTAATATTATCCCCGTTGGGCGAACTAACCTAGCATGAACGAAGATTCGGTGTAGTTGAGGTAAAATCACATTGCTTTGGAAAGTGAGCCTATCCTTTCCGGCGCCAGCAGGGTCAAGACTGACGTCTATGCTAGCATAAAACTAAGTCATTAAGCTTACTTCTAGAACTCGATATCAATCTAGATATGCAAGCTACGAGGGTTATCGTTAAAGCACCAAGTATGCCAATAATTAGACGTCCCGACTCGTTCTTCCAGAGGAATGCTCCTAGCCACATCGGGGATTAAGTCCGTAGCCCTGAACGACGGATCGTTAGACTTTGGTCAAGGAGCAAATCCCAGGTGGTCTCATTCCCCACGTCTTGACTTCGAGATCCACCACACGTGCTAACCAGCACATGGCGAATGTGGTGACAGGGCTACTAGTCAGACTTCATCTCCGGCCTCAGGACCAACCTCACCAGTGCCTCGCCTTCAGCCGAAAAGCTTCTTCACAATTAGAAGCCAGGCTAGAAAACTACTAATGGAAGAATCTCAAACCGCCTAGAAGGTCAACGTCAAACCTAGCATCTAAATTACTGCCTTGATATTGGCGGTTCTACGGCACCTCAGAGCTACTAGTTGATATGTATTAATAACTAAGGAGGTAGACATATATTATATCTAAATTAGGCGGTTTACTGTGCACATTTCACGTCTTACCCCAATAGGTACCTGAGCGCCGTTGCTAGCACGCTGCGCCGGGTAGATCCCTAATACTCCCCCGCACCATTCCCATGAGCTAGAGTATCAGTGGCACCTTTAGCTGTCACTGGGAATCAGTAAGGATATGTACGCATCTAACATGACTAAGTCGAGGACGGAGATTTCCACATCGCTGGGTTGGGTGAAAATATAGGTGCTGCTTTTGGTACGTATAACTACGCATGACGCATAATGCATAAGGTGCGTTGGAATTATAGTAGTTTTCTTCAGGCTTCACCCCTTATCCCGTGTTAATAAGGAATCGTATGTTTCGAACCGGTATTTGTAGAGCCTCAAGGAATGAACACGGCAGTTCATTATGGGGAAGGCTGATTCGGCGGCGACACTTAATACATCCTGGCATAAGCGTGAACCATACTGCCAATTTGGACAACCATAGTTTGGGTTTTAAAGGGAGCCCTATGCTTCGCATTCTCTCAATTTCCGTCTGTTCCTTCGGAGTACGAACGTAGATCTTCTAGAATAGCGTCAGAACCAGTGGAGCATGTGCGGGTAGCACTGTTTCGTTCTATGGGATGCTGATCCCTTGAACTACTTATCCGGGAAGCTTACACAAATTTTGGCTGGTAAATGTCGACCAGGTCATGAGGGGATAGCAATATTACAGTACTTTATATCAATATTAATACTAATTCGCACATGGCAAATTTGTTTTGACGCTATTCTGATCTGCTTCCGGGAAATGTGAAGATTATCGTTGTACGTGCGCGCATAACTGATAGGATATTATGATATTATGATGAGGTCTGAGAGCATTACTTCACCCAACTTAGGCTACTGAGCGTAAATTTGTTATTAGTGCCGCAAAGAATGCACACTGCCAAGAAGCTATCGCGAGGAACTGTTGTCCCCTGATAGCTTAAAATAACATATCTTTACCCAACCTGGTGCCAGCGCGCATGTGTCACATTGCCAGTCAGCAACCACAATCACCGAAGCAGTGCCGTAGTCGCTGTTACCAACTTCACCGTCATATTCCTTTGACGGAGGACTAGACGGAGGGGTTAACACATGGTTTGAGAATCTCTTGATTGCTATCCAGAGTATATCAGAAACATCATCACCACCTCTGCTGTCTTTACCCGGCCTCAAACTTCTCGGCACAATCCATGGGATATCATTTTCTTCCCAATGGAGCTTGGATGCCATGTTCCGTAAATAAGGCATAACGCTCTAAAGATAGCACTGCTGTTTACCTGAGTGTATATCATCGCGCATATGTGAAAGATACTTTACGTACAGAATATAGGATCATGAAGTCGGAGGAGATACCCCTCTTCCGCGCGCTTCAGATGCTCTAGATCCCTAGGAGATTTTCCATCCCATCTTTGCTGGGGACGGGGTTCCCATCCCGTTTCCGGAGCTGGGAGCTGGGAAGAAGAAAAGTTTGTTATCCAGCAAGTTGTTTCAGGGCGGGAAGTTGTTTTACATGGATCTGATGCGGGTCGCAACAGGAATAGTCGCAAGCGAAGCCCTGGAAGAAGTATCGTTTCAGCCTGCTGCTTGACGACTTACCTGCCTACCTAAGTAAGTTGGCATGCAATGCTAGTTATCTCGACGTCCAGGTCTCTCATTGCGGTGATTGGCTGTCCTCACATTTTCTTTGCTTCAATTTCTGCACTCGCTGGGATGCGAACGCCCCCTTCTGAGGATGAGGATGAGATATCACAGAATCAGAATTTGACATAGATTATGCGTATACATAATCTTGATAAAACTATATGTGCATATTTTACGCTGATTATGTAACTACTAAGTAGATTCGCATACGGGCTTCAAAATATCCTTTAAAGAAATACGAGATTCGAGCCTCAGGCATTTAAGGCTTGAAGCGGCTTGCGTCGGGAATGACGCCTTTTCAAATCAGTGGGACAAGTCACCCCGCTTAATTGGAGCTTCAATTCAATAGCAACGGTTGCTAGCAAACGCATAAACCGCTGCAGCTTAATTCGGCAGGAGGCGGACAGTCGTCGTTGGCTCGAATGAGAGGGCCGAATAGCTTCGTGAGGGGCAGTCTTCTATTCAGAAGCATCCAGCTCACTATCCACAAACTTAGTCCCTCATCGTCATTATATTCCCCGTCCCCCTTCCCAGCGCACGTCCATTTACGAGGATACTGTCTTGCTTCGAAGAGAATTATGGCTCCCCGTGACCCCAATACCCTGGCCAACTACGGCGAATGGGGCACTAAGCACACAGCCGTTAACTTCAAGGTCAACTTTGAGAAGCAGCGACTAGAAGGCTCGGTCCTCCTAGAACTGGAGTCATTGACAAATAAGGAAAGCCGTGAGATCATCCTTGACACAAACCACCTCTCTATCTCATCCGTCAAGCTTGATTCCGCCAGCTCGGAGTGGACAGTCAAGGACCGAGTTGAACCGTACGGCGCTCCGTTGCATATCTCCGTGCCGAATGGAGTATCTCGGGGTGAAGTCGTGAAGTTGGATATTGGTTTGGAGACCACGGAGCACTGCGTCGGTTTGCAATGGATGACGCCGGCTCAGACTGGTAACAAGAAGCATCCATACGTATACTCGCAATGCCAAGCTATTCTAGCTCGGTCAATCTTTCCGTGTCAAGATACTCCAGATGTCAAGTCGACGTTCTCCTTCAACATTTCCTCACCTTTGCCCGTAGTTGCAAGTGGAGTGCCCGTGCCCTCGGATAGCACGGGCGAGGGAGACAAGCTGTTCCGCTTCGAGCAGAAGGTTCCCATTCCCTCTTACCTATTCGCATTAGCTTCAGGAGATCTTGCCACTGCGCGGATTGGGAAGCGGTCCGTGGTCTCAACCGGACCGGAGGCCATCGAAGGCGCAAAATGGGAACTCGAGGCGGACATGGACAAATTCCTTGAAGTAGCAGAGAAATTAATCTTTGAATACCGATGGGGAGAGTACAACGTACTAGTGTTGCCCCCAAGCTTCGCTTACGGAGGTAAGACCCCTTAGGAGCACTTGAGTTTCTTAATGTGGTTACGATCCCCGTCAGCTTACAATTATAGGAATGGAAAACCCGATCTTCACTTTTGCTACACCTACCATTATCAGCGGCGACCGCCAGAATGTTGATGTGATTGCTCACGAGCTTAGCCATAGTTGGAGTGGCAATCTCGTGGGTTGTGCTTCCTGGGAGCACTTGTACGTATAACCGATGATTAATTCGATAATATGAGCTAACTGCATTTTAGCTGGCTGAATGAAGGGTGGACCACCTATCTTGAACGCCGTATTGGTGCTGCCATTCATGGCGAGCCTCAATTTGACTTCTCAGCCATTATCGGTTGGAAGGCCCTTGGTATGTGAATCACACAACCACGCTTCATCTGTTACTAATGTGGTTGTAGAGGACTCTGTCTCAGTTCTAGGAGCTGATCACGAATTCACCAAACTCATTATCAGTCATAAAGGGGTAGACCCCGAGGATGCCTTTAGTACAGTTCCCTACGAGAAGGGATTTCACTTTCTGTGGTATCTTGATCGATTAGTTGGCCGAGAGCACTTCGACAAGTTCATCCCGCACTACTTCAAGACATGGGCTAATAAGTCTCTGAACTCATTTGAATTCAAGAAGACTTTCTTGGACTTCTTTGAGGGATACGGAAATGCAGAGATCAAGGAGAAGATTGCTGAGATCCCATGGGAAGAGAGATTCTACAAGCCAGGCTTGCCGCCAAAGCCTGAATTCAACACGGCCTATGTCGACAGCTGCCTCGCGCTTGCTGACAAATGGAAGAACGAGGTAAGCGACGTGGTTGAGCCTATCTAACTATTAGGTGTATGATTTTACTACCAGATCACTAACTCGCGACAGGACTATCAACCGAGCCCCAAGGATATCGAATCATTCACAGCGAACCAGACTCTTGTCTTCTTGCAGGCCGTGCAGGATTTCCCCAACCCCCTAACCGCCGAGAGATCTCATATTTTAGGAACTACCTACAATATTAGTTCGTCGAAGAATGTCGAGTTGAAATCCGCCTACTACGCCATTGCCCTCAAAGCCAACGATAGGCAAGAGTTCCCCGGCATAGTTGAACTTCTTGGCTCTGTCGGACGTATGAAGTTTGTGAAGCCGTTATACAGGAAACTCAACGAGCTGGATAGAGACTTGGCCGTTAAGACATTCGAGAAGAGCAAGGACTTCTACCCATCTACCACAAAGGGACAGATACAGAAGATTCTGGGTTTGAAGTAAAAGCTCACTGGTACTTAGGGGCTACTTTCGAACTTTGAACAGTATCAACTCTACCGAAAAATTGGTGGTTCAGTACGCATATAGAACGAAAAGAGCCAAGGTATTACCCGATCACGGCTGAGTTACTTGTTTTCTGTTGAATGAAAACAGGCTTTCACCACGTTATGCGACTTATGTGATATAATAATTAAACTCCCTAGTATTATAGTTGAAGCCTAATGAGCATACGTAGCTCCAATAGATTACCCCTGAAGCTTTAGACTTATTTGGGAGTTGTCAGCTGGCCGACGGCCGATAAAGCTTAGAAAGCAGCTGCAATGGGTTACATGCGCAGTTTCTAAGATTGGCATTTACATGAATTTAATGGGCTAATCATATTGACACGTGAATGTCTTGGCGATTGACCCACAATTATCCCTTTCTAGTGACGAATGGAAACTGGAAAAAGCAAAATGGAACGGGTCGCGAATCGCGTACTCATCCACTTCTTTAATCGACAAGTTGTTGACTCAACCCACCAACCAAATTTCAATAATCATCTCCGCGACAACGCCCGACATTCCACGATAGAGCTTTCCTGCTGTCTGCCGCTGCGGGAAACCTTCTTTGCGAGCCCCGCCGTATCTTTCCATTTAGTCCCTGAACCACTTCCATTCTTAACGGCAACCCGCAGCCGCAAGGTTGCTCTTTGTCGACCGCCACTTTGGTGTGAGGTGCTTTTGCGGGGGCCACGAGACTCGCTTTCGTAGCCCTCCCCGCGTAACGCAGCGTAACGAAGGGGGGAGGATGAATGTTCAAGATCGCTGTTGAAGTAGGAATTTTTATTTGTTATAAAATATAACGCTAAACTCTTTATACCCTTGCGATCCCCGCGATTCCACCACGATCCTCTTTGGCCCTTAACACGGCTCCGAAAATCTCGTTACCCGAACTTGCTGTTAGACATCCCTCTGTACGCGACCGTTGTGCGCCATCGTCTTGTCGGATGCCTCGGCTTTGCTTTAGATCCGGTGAATAGCTGTAGTGGACGGGAAGGTATCGCCTTCATCTATCAGCCATGGCTCCCGCCGGCGGAGGAAATATTAAGGTGGTGGTGAGGGTTCGGCCCTTCAACAGCAGAGGTACGACTATATCCGCCCATCAAACCAGATTAGACCTAGGACCAGCCTAGTAAAGCACTTGAGTTCTTGCGCCTAGAGTGGAATGACACTGACGCCGTTTAGAAATTGACCGTGGGTCAAAATGTATTGTTGAAATGAAGGACAACCAAACTGTCCTGACACCACCAGCCGATGCTGCCCATAATGCTAAAGGGAACAAGGACACTTCAGTGAAAACTTTCGCTTTTGACAGATCATATTGGTCTTTCAACAAGAATGACCCGAATTACGCTGGTCAAGAAAACCTGCATAACGATCTTGGAAAGCCCCTTTTGGACAATGCATTCCAAGGTTACAATAACTGTATCTTTGCTTATGGTCAGACGGGTTCCGGCAAATCATATTCCATGATGGGATATGGAAAAGATGCCGGTATTATACCCAGCATTTGCCAGGACATGTTTGGGAGAATCGGAAATTTGCAGCAAGATGGCACGACAAGATGTACCGTTGAAGTGTCATATCTCGAGATTTACAACGAGAGGGTGCGAGATCTGTTAAATCCATCTACCAAAGGTAACTTGAAAGTCCGAGAACATCCATCGACCGGCCCATACGTGGAAGATCTCGCCAAGTTGGTGGTTAGTAGTTTCCAGGAAATCGAGAATTTGATGGACGAAGGCAATAAGGCGAGAACAGTTGCTGCAACAAACATGAACGAAACGTCCAGTCGAAGTCACGCTGTGTTCACGCTCATGCTTACCCAAAAGAAATATGATGCGGAGACGAAGATGGAGATGGAAAAGCAGGCCAAGATTAGTCTGGTCGATTTGGCCGGTTCTGAACGAGCAACGTCGACTGGAGCCACTGGTGCTCGACTGAAGGAAGGTGCTGAGATCAATAGGTCCCTCTCGACGCTTGGTCGTGTGATAGCAGCATTGGCCGACCTCTCTACCGGGAAGAAGAAAAAAGGGGATAAAAAAGGTGGGAATGTCCCATACCGAGACAGTGTTCTTACCTGGCTATTGAAAGACTCGCTTGGTGGAAACAGTATGACTGCTATGATAGCAGCAATCAGTCCGGCCGACATCAATTACGACGAAACTCTCAGTACTCTACGATATGCTGACTCTGCCAAGCGAATCAAGAACCATGCTGTCGTCAACGAGGACGCAAATGCTCGTATGATTAGAGAACTGAAGGAAGAGTTGTCGTTACTGCGAAGCAAGTTAGGAGGTGGCGCGGCTGGTGGTGCTGGTGGTGCTGCCGTTCCGCCCGAAGAAGTCTATGCTGAAGGAACACCTTTAGAGAAGCAAATTGTCAGCATAACGCAATCAGATGGATCCGTCAAGAAGGTATCGAAGGCAGAAATTGCTGAGCAGCTAAACCAAAGCGAGAAATTGTTGACCGATCTCAACCAAACATGGGAAGAGAAATTGCAAAAGACGGAAGAAATTCACAAGGAGCGTGAAGCAGCGCTTGAAGAGCTGGGTATAAGTATTGAGAAGGGATTCGTAGGCTTACACACTCCAAAGAAGATGCCTCATTTGGTCAACTTGTCCGACGACCCCCTTCTAGCAGAATGTTTGGTCTACAATCTTAAGCCGGGTAAAACTACGGTGGGAAACGTGGACTCGAATTCTGAACACCAGGCAAATATCCGTCTCAACGGCACCCGAATTCTCCACGAGCACTGCTACTTTGATAATGCTTCAGATGGTACTGTCACGATAACCCCTAGCGAAGGAGCGTCTATTATGGTTAACGGAAAGCGTGTTGCCGAAACAACAAGATTGCATTCCGGTTATCGAGTCATTTTAGGTGATTTTCACATATTTAGATTCAACCACCCGATGGAAGCCCGCGCAGAGAGGGACGAGACTCGACAGAGTTTGCTCCGACAGTCGATAACTGCAAGTCAACTGGCAGCCTTCGATCTCACCTCACCTAACTTGCGCCCAAGTCATGAACGGTCCGTTAGCAAAGCAGGCTCCGAATTTGGTGAGAGTCGCCCGGACTCTCCGGCCCCGTCTCGAAATGGGCGAGATTCGGATTGGTCATTTGCGCGTCGTGAAGCTGCCGGCGCTATTCTTGGAACTGACAAAAACCTTCAAAGCTTAACTGACGAGGAGCTCAATATGTTGTTTGAAGATGTCCAGCGTGCGCGAGCTGAGCGAGTCAACGATCGCGACGAAGATTTAGATTCGAACACGTCTTATCCTATAAGAGAGAAGTACATGTCAACTGGAACGATCGACAATCTCTCGCTTGATACCGCGCTCACGATGCCATCTACCCCGAAAGCTGGCGATGGAGATGATCGGCTGAAAGAAATGCGAGAGAACATGCAGAACCAATTAGAGAAACGAAAAGAGGAATATCAAGGACAACTTAAAAGCGCCGAGGAAGCTAATGTGGAGGTGGAGGAGATTAAAAAGGAGAAAGCTAGAATGGAAGAGACCTTGACACAGATAAAAGCTGACATGCAGAAGCAATTGGAAGTCCAGAAACAAGAATTTGAAGCTAAGATCGAAAAGCTAGACCCCCTCAAGAGGCCTAAGGCGAAACCGAAACTATCCGAGGAGGAAATCGAGAGCGCTAAAAAGGTCGTACAGCATTGGAGGGGCCGACACTATGTCCAGATGGCTGAAGCCGTCCTGCAGCACGCCGCTACCCTCAAGGAGGCGCAAATCATGAGTGAAGAGCTTGGAGAGAATGTTGTTTTCCAGTTCACTGTAGTGGATTTCGGCCATGCACGTTGTTCCTCCTACGACATGGTACTAAATGATGTACCTGGTGAAGGTGAAGACATATTTCTTGACGAAGCGCCAAAGCCGTGCGTAGGAATCCGTGTCGTCGACTACAAGCACAACGTCATTCATCTCTGGAGTATAGAAAAGCTTCACGATCGTGTACGGCAAATGCGCCAAATGCATCAGTACCTTGACCAACCAGAGTACTCCCAGCATTTCAAGTTAGACAACCCATTCGTCGAAACCTGTATGCCTGAGTACTCTCTCGTCGGTGAGGTTGACGTCCCCCTCCGAGCTGTCTTCGACAGCCGAGTCCAGGATTTCACACTCGACGTCCTATCGCCTCACACCTCTCACGCTATTGGAATAATCAAAGTCTCTTTAGAACCATCTAGCGCCCGAGCGCCGTCGAGCACCTTGAAGTACAATGTCGTTATGCACGACATGGTTGGCTTCGCCGAGCGGGAGGGAACAGATGTCCATGCGCAGTTATTTATCCCCTGCGTTTCTGAAAGTGTTACTACGACTCAAATGATCAAAGAGTTTGATGAAGGGCCAATTCGATTCGACAGCGTTCATAGCATGAGTGTTCCATTATTTGGTCCGCAAGATGTTAACCTTAGAATTGCTATTTTTGCTAAAGTTTCTGCTATGCACCTTGACAAATTGCTAAGCTGGGATGAGATGCGCGACTCAACACCAAACGCCGATCAAAAACCTCAAGCCGCTCGGATAAACGAGTCTCAATTCTACACCGAGGAGAAGCACGACATGTTGGCTCGTGTCCAGATCCTTGAACTCAATGAGAATGGAGAATATGTCCCCGTGGAAGTAACACAGACAAGCGAATTAGATACGGGTACTTTCCAACTACACCAAGGACTTCAAAGGCGGGTGGCTATCAATCTTACGCACAGTTCAGGAGATGCTCTGCCATGGGAAGATATCAGCTCCGTTAAAATTGGTAGGATTCAGCTCGTGGACCACGCCGGTAAAAATCCCGACCTGGGGTCGCCAGCGCCCGACATTCCTTTAAGACTAAGCGCGAAACCATCTCTTCGTCAAAATTCAAATGGCACCCGAGCTATGACGATTACGGGACAATGGGATTCTAGTTTACACAACTCGCTATTACTGGATCGAACCACGGCAGACAAATACAAGGTTCAAATGACTTTGTCCTGGGATATAACTGCTGAGAACCTCGCCGAACCGATGAGGTTCTCCGCAGACGTCTATTGCCAGATTCTGGGAAGGACATTTGTTCGTCAAACATCAATGCTCTCATCCCTTTTCCAGCACGTCCGGATCGTCCATTCTTCTACAGCTATCTTCACTGTGAAGTTGCGGCCCGCGCCGATTAAGCGGGTCGGCGATCTATGGAGGATGAATAGCCAGCACGACTATGTGAAAGGCGAAGAGAATCTCAGCAACTGGGGCCCGAGGGGAGTATCGTTAATTGCCGACTACATTGTAGCGCAAAGGAAGAAGAGGCGAATCACCGAAATTGCGGCAGCTCAACTGTTTCTTAAGAAAATTGGTTTACCCGAACCAAAGAACAGGCCTACGGAGGAAGACCCCTCTGATGATGATGCCTCCCCAGGACTTAAGCCTCATGATTCTGATCAAGACTCGATCAATGCGCTTCTCAATGATACCCCTGAGACATCCCGCCCCTCAACGCCGAAGCAGTCGGAATCCGTTGAAGGTGAACAAAGCGAAGAAACGGCGGTGCTAGTTGAACAGCCCGCTGAGCAAACTCCCGTACAAACTCGAGAACCAGAATTTAGCGAACATGAAGCTCTGCTTCTAAACAAATGCTTAAAACTTTGGATGCGATATCCGGATCCTGCGACTCGTATTCTCGGCCCGGCAAACACAACGCCCCCGTCAGATGGCGCCGCGCCAGAGCCAATTACACCACCTAGACTAACCTCCACCATCATCCGGGTTCCCAAAAATCCAAACGTACTGAAAGGAGGCTACCTCCTGGTGCCTAATAATGACTACAGTAAATGGGTCAAGAGATTCGTGGAACTTCGGCGGCCTTATCTACATCTTCACAATGTCACCGATGGCGACGAGGTGGCTATCGTTAGCCTCCGTAATTCCAGAGTTGACAGCCAGCCAGAGATTTTAGCGCTATTTAACGGTCACGATAACGACTCGGAGGACCTATTTCCCATGAATGGCAACTCTAATGGAGGCTTCCAGTCTGGTCACCAACGAACCTTTTCTAGTCAAACTGATTCGACCATTCGGTCCGGAGGCTCAAATCCCAGGTCTTCGGCTCTTAATCTCGGTGGCTTAAGCGAACGTCTGCAGGCAGGCGTATTTGCTGTTTACGGAACAGACAACACGTGGCTGTTTGCAGCTCGCAACGAGCGCGAGAAGATGGATTGGATCTTCCGCATCGACCAAAGTTATTTCTCCGGTACCGCAAGCGTCAGCGGTAGCGGTGCGGTGAGCCCGATGCCGAGACACCACGCCTTCGACGCCGATTAAGATATCCTACCATACAAATCAAAGCAGCCAGCCAGACTGGCCTCTATTGGATGCTACGAAATCACGACAGTCTTCGGTTATTATAGTGGAAGCATATACCGGTTGGGAAATAGTTGAGAACACAGACGGCGTTGCGTTTTCTTATGTGTTTAGAATACCCTCTGTTGTTGTATCATCAGAACAAAAAGAGCTTTTTCTCTGTATAATTTAGACAAATACCCCCCAGAGAGTATTCAGATCATGGAAAGGGGCTTTCAAAATTACAGGTGAATAAGTGAAGTAAGGCGGCTACGGGGGAAGAGGGACCGGGAAGTAGGAGCGATATCTTTTTCCTTTGTCGTATAAACAGAATTCGGTCTCGAATCTCCAAGAGTCGAGGATGTCTAAGATGCGCGCCGGTATTGATACCATACCAATTGGGACAGGTCGCTAGTAGTTGGACCAGAAGGGAAGTTGTCCTCCAGACAGCTTCCGTAATGTACAGAATTTGAAGTTAACCTTGCGCTCATTCGGTACGCCCCCTCGGCAATGGTGATTCGAAATGGCCCCCAACCCGACTTGGCATTAGTTTGGTAGTATTTCGGGAGGATCAACGGCAATATATTTATAGAAATAAAAAATTACGAAAAAGAAACGTAAAAATACAGACAAAACGTACAACACTGGGGATTCGCTGGTCGTCACCGACCCAACTACTAGTCCAGCGGTAGCCAGCTTATCTATGGGAGAGCGGACGGGATCCCGAGTTCTCTAGCTCCTATGGTCGTACGTGGAAGTTTAGGCTAGTATTATGGTTATTAACTCTAGAACAAGGTGGAGCTGGGGCATTTAGCCTGGATAGGGGGGTTGGAGTGGAGCTCAGGGCTCCAAGTGAAATTATGCTCTGCTAAGCTTTTTAGTAGGTAGGTAGGTTAAAAAAAATAGCCAAGTAGATGGTTGTAAATTGATGATATTTCGTGATTCCTGGCACTTGCTATTTTTTTCTTTTTAAATAAAGGGCCAAGGAAATGACTCTTAAATTGTAGAAACGACTAGTCTGCAGTCTATGAAGTGAAGTAAGAATGCCATAATGCATGATAGGGGTAGACACATTTACAGCGGTAGGTAGTTACTTAACCTAAACCACCTCTTCAACTTGAACTCTCATAATATGAAGTCATAAGGCGGAAGACATATCGTTTTTTATTTCAATGTGTTTTAACCATCGTGCTATGGAATGTGTTTGCGGCCCTACCCGTTCCCTCCCTAATCCTTAAACCGAACCGCTAATATATAAGGAGAGAATGACAAGAATGCTACGCCCTACCCAACCCGCCCCGTAATGCAAATGCTGAAAAGCCGTTTATCAAACCCGGTCGCACGCCCCCAAAACCCCCAAACCATTTTCTTATTGTCCCCATGTGCCTATGCGCCTAGGTATATATATATATATATATATATATACGAGCAGGTAGGTACCTAGGTAGCCATCTAACAGTCCCCAACCTCCATAAACAAGCCCGCGCCCTGAACCTCACTAAACGCGACCTCGCCCTCGCCCTGCGCGATAGCGAGCTCATAGCTCATGACATCAGCGCACGCGAAGCTGTTAATCACGGTCGTAGTGCCGGCGCGGAAGCGCAGCGCGCCAACCAAGGAACCCGCCGCGGGCCCGTCCAGCGCCGTCACGTTCACGAGGTCCGACCCGGTAGATGTGATGGGGTAGCCCGCCGGGAAGGTGGCGACGAGCGCGCAGGGGCCCACGCTGCCCGCCGGGATCTCGAACGAGACCGCGTCGCTGCGCGAGGGCGTGATGTCGTAGTTGATCGGGAACCCGATCGCGGCGGGCGCTTGCACGAGGCATGTCGCTGAGGCCGAGGCCGCGAAGGCGGTGGTGAGGGTTGCGGCGAGGGTTGAGGAGCGCATTATGGGTAGGTGGGTGGGTTTGGTTGGTGTTGGTTTAAGTGATATTGTTTGATGGTTGTATAGGTCGGAAGATAGGAGCTGAGACGATGTGCTTGATGCTGTATTGGAAGTCTGCTGATGTGTGATGGTAGTGATCAGAATGAATATGGAATATCCGTTGGAGCATCGCTCTCTTATATATCAAAATACTCTCACCTATTTCACCCTATGGTACCTCTGATACGAGTTTTCCTCTGCTAGTAAAGCTCGCCTCCCGTTCATCGACGAACCGGACAACAACTACACGAGCGCAGCCAGCCCGTATCATTCGATCATCATCACTTTGTCTCGGGCAGTACAGCGTAAGACCTACCCCAGATCTGCTAAGCCAAAAAATCCCGAGAACAAGAGAAGTCCTGAGGCTATACCGAACTAAGCTATTGTCAGCTCAGCTGAGCTGAGCCGGGCTGGAACGTTGCATGAGGCTGTAGGGCTGAGCTGGCGCGGTGAAGCGGGGATACTGACTATGCTTTCGACCTAGCTCTTCGTATTCCGTCGCTAGTTCTCTCGTCGTTGATCCTCCGACGTCTTGGTGCTCACCTTGTGAAAACCACGCAAGTGCGCGTGGGCTCGACGTAGCGAGAGGCCTGCACGCCGATTCGATGCTGATACCCATGTGGCTGAGACCCGAAAGGGTGTGAGGAGGAGTACGAGAACTGGCTTACTCGTGCGGGCATGAATTCCGTGTCTATTCCGGGCATCGTGAGATCGGAGATATGGTCTGCACTCACTAATCCATCCGCTGGCGTATAGCGAGTCGAAAAGAGCGTTAGTAAGACTGTTCGCAGAGGTCGAGGTCGATAGCGCTGATGTCAGCCCTGATATGTGCGGCTTCTGTACTGGTTGGAATGGAGTGGGCCATAAGACTTATCTATGCTGCAGTAGGCTATTTAGCGGAAATGCTTAGAATTAAAGAGGTAAAATCAGGATAGTGGTAAAACAAATGTCTATTATTGATTACATATGTGTTGCTACCTAATACCGGTTCCGTGAACGCTAGGTATCTCTTAAACTGCCGTCCCCCATATTGGATATATTATAATCTAAGTAATCATAATCTCATTAGTTCGTCCTCGTCGTTAGGATATATGAAGCCAGCACAAATCCACATGGTCTAGTCCAGTCAGTATACATGGCTTGATGGCGTTCCGCAAGGTAGGTACCTAAGCGCAAGTTTCATCACGCCTCCTTTTCTATGTCGCTCACACTCTTGTTGGGCTTGACGTGGGAGTGTCTCTTTTCATTCACATAGACGTCTTCGTCTTTTCCCTCATACATGACCTCGCAATTGATAACGGCCTTTACGTGGTGGATAAATACGAATATCCACATCGCAACTAGCATGAGCGTCATCGCACTGCCAACTGCCATGGCCGCTCGGCTTCGGAAACTCTTTGCGAGAGAGATGATTGTGATTGTAAACCCAACATTTGGGAATACATAAGCGTACCAGTTAAGGTGGAATGATAACTGCTTTCTGATAGCTAGGTTAGCCACAACCGAGATGCAGAAGAACCATAGGCTCAATGACCAAATGAAGATACTCGTGAAAGTTGCGAGAACACGGAGAATCTGTATGGTGATTGAGTCAGCACCGAAGAAGTTGTAGTGCTCGGGAAAGTCATTTGCAAGCCCAATAATAGCAAGACTTGTAAATGAAGGCGGCCCGACCGCTATGAACATGCCGGGCCGTGAATTAGGGGACGGAAATCCCCATTGTATCATCCGTCGAACGTAACTCGCCTATTTTACGTTAGCAGTCCAACTAGAAGTACAGGATCTCCTGAAACGCATTTCTGCACATATAGAGGAAAGGTAGGGTTTTCGGATATACATAGAAGGAAAGGTCGATACATACTACAAAACCATTAGTATTATGTGAGACTTAGGAGGAGGAGAGACTAAAGGGTAACGTGGAAACGAAGATATAAAACCTCGACGCGGGACGACACATACCATACATCATAATCGATACACACATCCCGAGACCTTGAGCGGTTAGACCTCCGAGTATCATAGGGACAGCTTCATTCGGCGGTTGAAATGCAGCACCGGCTGATGCGACAGTACCCGACAGCATGAAGGGAAATATGGGAAGATCCCAGGCGGGCGTCATGTCTTGGATTCTCAGAAGCGGGGAAGTAAATAGTAGTGAATATTGGCCAACAGCAAGCGCAAAGGTGATGACGAAGTATATCCAAAACAAGACGCGATAGGCGGTTATAAGCCACGGACCGCATGAGGGGATTCCATATCGGGCAATGCCAGCGATGATGGATGCCAAGCTGAGGGTTGAAGTGCCTAGGAAGAGCGCCTCGGTGGGGTGGGTGATAGAATGCTTCAAAGTGCCAGGGAATTTGATAAAGCGGTAGGTTATCGCAGCGGTAACGAGGGTGAAGACGGCAAGGTCGAAGATATAAACAACTTTTCCGATTGTTTGAAGGCCGGGGAATATCAAGCCCTGTGTCTGTTCTGCAAGTAACAAAGCAAGACCTCCGGTAGACATAGGAAAAGTGTAGTTGGCCCAGGTGAAATGTTTAAGCCTTGCCAAGAAATCACTCACGAAGCCACAACGACCTTTTCGGGCGTCGTCATTGTCTTGGGACTCTTCGTAACTGCTGCCCGAAGAGATGTCTTGTTCCCCCTGTTCCCCACCTAATTCGAAAACCATTTTCGCTTGAAGAAATTGGAGAAAATTCCTCTTAAGCGAGCTGAGATGATCTAGGTAAGTGTGAAGAGAATGATGATCTTGCGAAACGATGGACTGAATTGGAGTTGAGAGATAATATGGTTACGCATTACGGGGTTTAAAGTTGCTGCAGGTACTTTATTAAGGATTTGGAGTCGATGGAGTTGGCAGCTGCGTTGGGTGTTTGGGTTCCAAAAATTCCAAAAATTACCAAATATCTTCAGGGATCTACGCTGCTACGTCGAAAGGTTGTACAAGCTCAAGCTTAGTCATCGTTCGATTTCACGTTAGTTGAGTCGCGTACTTAATTTAAGCTTCTACCTCTCCTGATTCACCCATAAAACTAGCAAAACTTGATCGGGCCTACCTACGTGGTATCAACTGTATCGAACGTTCAGGAAGGCGGTCTATGGTTCGCATAGCCTCCTTCTTACAACTCCCAATTACAATAATCTCCTATTTATTCCGCAGAGTAAAAGAAATCAGAGTTATCAACAGTGATGCATTAATCATTCACAGACAAATCGCGGAAGCTAGCAGGCGGCAATCTAACATTAGCGCCCCCATCCCGTGTTCTAGGCACGCAGTACGAATACCGCCATCCTGGGAGCGGATTCTACACGGATTTTACCGTTACGCCTCACTAAAACATCCCACTTAACTCGAACCAGAACTTTCTGTATCATTTCTAGCCACTTCAAAATTAGTTTTTGTTGTTTCACGATTAAGACTCCGTCACGAATCAAATTACTGGTAAAGAGAAAAGTTGTATATGTACTGCACAAAAGCTATATACAGTTGAATATTCAGTACAGGATTCTAATCGAGCGGGAAAAAAGAGCGTCTGCGGTCCGAACAGCTAGTGCTTTTCTTATTTTCATTGGGTCCGTGTCACCAGGCCTGGACAGAGCCTCGATCCACGTTTACTTATTTCGCCAGCTGAACCCCCACGTTCGACGCGAATGCCAGGGTTATTTTTATCAGCTCCTTAGAACGCGGGATTGGCGTTCTTGAGAAGCATCTCGAAGTAGGCCTGGTTCCACTCACCAGCCTCGGGGGAAGGCTTGTAGGCATCAGGCTTGCCACAGTAGGAGTCGTAACGGGTAGCACTCTCGTCGCTAGTGCCGTCCGACTCACCACCGGGCTTACCCCAGACGAAGGCATCAGCTAACTCGAGACCAGTGTCGGCAGTGGGGCGGACACCGAAACCGGCGCCGTCAACGTTGCACCAGTCACCCCATTCCTCACGGAGACCGGTGACGGCGTTTCGGCCAGTGTCGACGATGGCGTGCTCGGGGAAACCAGCTGTCTTTAGGGCGGCCGAGAACTTGGTGACGTACGTCTTCTCGTTCTGGCACGAGTTGTACTTGGCGTCCGAAGCATCGGAGAACTCACCGGGCTCCTCGTCCCTATCGTTATATTAGTCTATTTGCTTCCAAGAAGTGGATATGAGAGGTACACACCAGGAATTCCAGCCAGCAATGTTGGTGGCGTAACCACGAACCTGCTCGGGGCTGCCGGCGTTCTTGTAGACCTTGGCAAGCTCCTCTGCACCGGGGTCGAGGTTGGCATCCCAACCAAGCCAACCGCCGTGACCAGCGTCGATGTACATGACGACGTTGGGAAGATTGAGGCTCTTGAGGGCGTACGCGACACCCTCCTCGTAGCCAGTTTTGCTATCTGCGCAGGCAGTCTTGTCTGCGTTTGTGACAAGGTTAGGTAAGGAGTCAGGCTCGATCAAAAGGGCGAAAGCCGTGTTGGGGTTGGCCTTGATCTTTTCGACAATAGCTGTACTGATATTAGTCCTCGTTTTTCACTTGAAGATAGATGTCGACATCAACATACGGTCGATGTACTCAGTCTTGTATCGGTCCAACTCGTCGTACTTAAGTTCTCCGTTGGAGGCTTTGGCGGCACAGTCACGACCGGGCAAGTCGTAGATGACGAGACCAAGGATGTTCTCGCAGGGAACGTCGGCGACAGCCTCGTCGAACTTTGCGATGTTGGCAATAGAGTCGCTAGACTTCTTGTTAATCATCATTACATAATCCGCGTTGATTCCTTAGACTTACAGCCACAGGAAGCTACCGACATCAGCAACCTTGGCAGCCGAAGCCTTCAAGGCAGAGTCCGTAATGGCCTCGACGGCCTTTTCAACCTCGCTACGGTAGAAGGTGTTGGCGTGTAAAGTGTACTGCTCGAACACGTTGGTACTGGCGTCGAGCGTGACAGCCTCCGCGCAAGCAGCAGCAGACTTGCGGGGCACATTGTTAGAGGGTGCGGCAACAGCACCGGCGGCCAACGCCGTTACGCTGGTAGTAGAGACCTTCATATTCGATTCGACCCGGATACAACCCTTAGATAGTAATGAGCGAGTACGGTGAGCAAGAGATCAAGTGAGTCCTTGGACAGGAGGTCTCAGGCTTCTTATACTGCTCATTGTGGCGGAAGTGGCCAATACCAATACTTGCGGCCCCATGTGCACCTCTGGCCAGAGTGCATAGAGTAGCAATCAGGAACTAGGCCCGTCAAACGCGAAAGATCTCGGTACGTCCACTCCGAATAAAGACATGCCGGTAGGGGTTCCTTCGTTGCGGGGAAAATATTGCGAGGTCTAGTTGGCCACGATGATTACCACATGGCCGGACTAGTTACCTCTCTGGCTCTTTTCCTTGCGGTAATCTTAATTTACCATGCGTATAACCATCCGCTCGGTCCTACTGAGGTTGTGTGGAGAAAGCAAGACCTGGAAACCCTCAACCTATACCACATCTCTTATTTTTGCGGTCCTAGTTAGACCTGGTTAGCCTATTCAACTCTTTCCAAGTTGCTCACTCACACTACAAGGTGACCCTGAGAATCGTGGGGGCATAGCATGTTGAGCCGTGTTATTCTTGGCACGAAGATGAGTCAAGGTAGCTTAACGGTTTATAGTAACTTCGTTTACGGTAACATGTATAAACAGCGAGTGCCAAGTCTTCTCCATCTGGAGTGATCTACAGCATGATAGATTGCTTGCTTATGGAATACAATATGTAACGGACGATGCCTGGAGGGAGTTGAGCCAAGACAACTAAGGTACCGTTCTGTTAGCAATAGAGAGAGAAACCTCTCTGTTTGGCTAAACTTCCTTCTTAGGTGAAACGCGTGTTATAATAGGTCCGCCCTGCGAAACAGAATAGGGTCCCCATTTAGCCGCAAAGGAGGCTACGGTTCTCTGCCCAGCGAATCACAGGCTTCGGCTAAACAGCCCTACTCTGCTCCAACAGACGTCACGTCGGCATCCAACAAACGAGAGTCTTGGCCGAGTTGGCGATATTAGGTACTTCGCCGCATGAAAGGACCTTTATGACCCGTAAGTTGGTCCGGAACACGACTCCGACGAGGTTCCCATATTCAGAAGTCAAGTCTCTCATCGAGCATAATGCCATAATCGATTTTCTGGGCTTGCCACTTGAATAAGTTGTGCCCGATGGGAGTTAGCTTGGCGTCGACCCTCATGACACATTACACCGCGTATGAGGCTTTGTTATCAGAGAAGCCTCATGGTTAAGAATAGACAAGGCTCTCCCGTCTAGCTAGAGACCATGTTCCTAGGCATGACTCCCAGTCGGATGGCTAATTTGTCATTTTGAGCCTCCGCAATCTTCCTCCGGAAGATGATAGGATTCGAAATGGGTTGAGCTCATTTATTGTCTCGGTAATCCTATGCCCGCGTCAGAGATCTTCAAGTATATGGGCCGGTTAGAGATTACGCGCCTCAGCACAAAGCCGACAATCTCGGATCGTAGCGGTTATTAGACGCCAGTAGGCGCATATGCAATTTAGAGCCTCTCACATTGAGCAATGGGATCGACAATAGCGCTTATTTTCTTATTACCTACCCCGACTTCTCGTAACGTTGTGGCCATTCTACTGTTGCCCCTCCACGAAATCTAGAATTCTCCGGGCCAAATGACTTTTCATGCGAGTTGATTAGATAGCCCAGAGATTAAGTCGCGACCTCATTCTAGTTGGGCTTCGCAATACTTGTTATTTCCATGTAGAGTATAAGGAAGTTATATACCGGTCTCATCACAGCAGGTTCTCTTCCGCGTTTCTGTGTCCCGAAATAGAAAATGGAAGGGCCTGGCCTAGTCTTAAGAGGCGAACGGGAATTACTAGCTGCATTGCAATATTAAGGGTCTATAGGATGGGCCAAGGGGAATGTGTAAACAGGCGATGTAATATAAAGGGGTATAAGGATATTGGCCACCTACGTAAGCAGGAAGTAGAGGAAGACCCGGCCTAAAGCGTGAGCTGAAACCACGAAGAGATTGATTTAATGACTTCTTCATCAAGCTATTCTAAACAAGAAGGTGAATTAGTAATGTTATTCTTGTTGGGATAAATACCGTTACTCAATGTCTATTTATAAACTGAATTACAATACCTATTAGACACTAAATACCTCAAGTTTTTGACAACAAGGATCAAACAATCCAAGTTACGCGGATAGGGGGAAACACGTACGTGGAAATCATTACAAGGCAGGTAGCTTTCATTTAGTAAGGTCGTCGACGTCTCCGTATGGAAATAGCAGCGCTTCTTATCGGAGTACATCTTCATTGACGAAGTCGGGAGACACAGAGACTTGCCACATGATATAATACTGAGTGTGGAGCTTTCTATTTCTATCCCAAACTTGGTGGTTAGATACAACATCAAGGACTGAAATTAAACAGTTACTCAACTGCCCGTAGCTACTTCAAGACTTATCAGCGAATAAGATAGCGCATGGGCTCCGTTTGATCAGTGTGGCATTCATACCGACATGTCTCTACTTCTAGACGTATCTAGATTTATTGCCCATCAATGTAATCCAAAAAGGAGTTAAGTCCGTAGACCTTGCGCAAACCGCCTTGTTACCTCAGACATTGGAAAATCCATCCTCTGTTCAACCCAAGACCATGACGCCACTTTCTCCTCTAGAATACGCCTGTGCGATCCTCTTTCCTACAGACTCGCCACTCCAGTATGCACCTGTAGCCGTTCCTAAGGCGACGAAAGGCGCCGTATGCTCGCCAGCCAGCCAGAGACCCCTGTTAGGTAGCCCCTCTCTCATGGTTTCGATATCCGTGTCGCCCTCTTCAAGACCCACCTGGAAATTGCTATAACTGCCATTGCCAGCGAGTTCGTCATTGAGCCACTCAGTTGCGTAGCAGCCGTTAGGTTGGCAATCGGGAGAGTTCTCGTCGTAGTTAGGAAGACGTGAGTAATACGGCTTGAACCAGTCGTATAGAAATTCATCTTGCTTCTCCTTCGAAGGTAACTTTGCTAGCTCGCCGGTGATGAATTTTGACTGATCGCCGTAGAAGTAGTAAAGCAACGTTGGATGAGCGGAGGATTTCAAGGATGCTAGCTCGACAAATTCCTGGTTCCATTTCTTCGGATTCCTGTCGGCTGCATAGTCTGGTGCGAGCATTTGGCAGAACCCCTCAACTCTATTATCCTCAGAGCGATCAAGGGTCCAGAATGCTTTCGGGAAACTAATATAAGCCTGCACAATAATTAGAGATGTTCAAATCGAATACTTCATATCTTTTCATTTATTGGGATATTACCTTCTCAAGGCATCCATAACCAATACTCTTAATAGCCTTGGTGAGTCTCAACGGCAACGCCGGCTCGAAAGCATCAGTATGTCGTTTCAGCCAGCCAAGAGGTGCGGTGAGGACAACCTCGTCGAACTCCAGGCTCTCTCCTCCCTCCGTGTAGACTTTCAGTGCACCACCTTCATCATTGGTGCTCTGTATCCTGTTGACAATAGTACCGTATTTGATTTTCGCGCCTTCAATGGCTGGCTTCGCGACAAGCTGAAGGATCTTCTCATAAGTGTCTGCAACGAACAGGTTCTCTGAGAGATGTCAACATTTCTAGATCAAAGCGTAGCTGGAATAATCCGAGCTTACCGCCATCTATACATTCTTCCAGCCAAAAAAACTTCAAGCTTTGTGTGAAGATGTGACTACCAACAAACGCACCCCACTGGTCGGCAAGCTGGTAGACAAAATTCCTCTTCCTCTCGAAATTTTCTTCGGTATCTGGTATCCTTTTAGGAACTTCCTTTTGGAAGAAGTCCCAGAGACTTTCATCCGGACTTATCGTGGCGGAGTACTTATTGCTGTACGCAAAGGCGGCTCCTACGACGTCCCACATGATAGTCGAGTGAGTAATTGCCTCTGAGGCAGAGATTTGCTTGCCTGCTTCATCGAAGACGGCACTTCTCTCCTCCCACTGTCCGGTTACAGTTTTTGTCTCCTTGGCAAGATCCAGGATAGGGTTGTCGTTGGTGCCATGAATCCAATTTGGCCCAGCACTGTAAGCAATCAAGAGTTAGTTATTGCCTCTTCTAGACATCCTGATAAGTTAAATTTCAGAAACTCGTACTGTTCCCATCCACATGTTAGTACATGTTCTTCCACAGAAAGGTTTACAGAGCTAATGTTTTAAGAGACGTCTGGTACTGACCTCGACCTTATGTCCGGACGGCAACTTTGACTGATGTACTCTTCCGCCCAGTCGATTCCTTCCCTCGATCAAAGTGACTTCAAACCCATGCTGAAGGAGAATATCCACGCAACGTAGACCGGACATTCCAGCACCTACGACCCCGACATGAGGCTTTCGACCGGAAGTTCGCGCTCGGCGCTATGAAATGTGTGAGCCTAGTGCCATTGTACCGGGGTTCACTCAGCTGAGTAGTAGCACAATGAGGAGACTGGGCCGCATCTAGCCGATTTACTACACGATTGATCACCGATGGGTGCCTCGCTCACATGATAAACCCGAGAGCTTCGTCAAGGTAAGATTATACCTCTCCTATCCTTTGCCCCAAGCTCGGGTTTTCCGATACGTCGTCGACCGCCATTTCCATGATACTATACTGGCGGCAGGACTTGAGGTCTCTCCAAATACGAGAGAAATTTCGTTGCGAGACACTAGTGAACGAGACAGAGTAAGCATCCATACTTGCTTGGGCCGAGATATGTTTATTTGGCTAGGATTTGATATGATAGTACTATGGGAGGGTAAGAGTAATAAGAGTAAAGATATGTTTATAGTATAGAAAAGTTTGTTGTGTGATTAGTGGGGAGCCGACAGAAACCTGAATGTTAAGAGTGGGTGCTGAAGGGGTGAGGGCGGATACAGTTATACAAAACCCAGTACGTGTAATTAAGCATTGGGTGGTCAAGTGTGACTGACAAATGATAGTAAGGAAAGCGGGATAGACCGACTAGTCAGATGGGGCACTTGAGTTGAGTAGTGTAGAGGTTGCCACCGAGTGTAAAGTGTGGTAGACAGGAGGCGCCCTTCACATGACTCGGCACTTGCCCAATCTTTTGGGATATCTTTCTTTGCATAAGGTAAGATAAGTAGCATAAAGCTAGACCTAGACCCGCTTGGCACGATAGGATAAGCTATGCAACTATGCCACTTATTTTGAGTTGGTAAATGTGGTAGATAGTCGTAATAGCCTCAGGCAGAGGCAGATCCTCAGGGGTTGATGGGGCTGGCTACGCAAGCGCCGCATGCGTTGACAACTGTAAGGTTATCGACAAAGCGTGTTCATCAGGTAATAAAGCCAGCCCACATTGCGTTTATTGGTAGACGCTATCTGTAGCAAAATGCTAAGAGTACCACGCCGACGGACAGTCGAATCTAATTGGATAGATAGCTTCGTCTCAGAGCCAATTCAGGCTCTAGCCACATAGCCACTCATCAATTGGGTCGGGATTTTCGGAAGATGGGAACTGTAAAACAATAGAGTGGGGAAACAGTGCAGCTTTGAGATAGGGCAGTGATATGATATGGTATTGATAAAAGATGTAAAGAAGAACATACCGTGGTAGTGCTTGAAGCAGAGTTTGAGCTCGAGTCCCAGCGACTATCATAAAGCCGGTAAGGTGAAGGTGCGATTTATAGACGGAGCAATTGAAGAGGAAAGCTTGTTGCGATTTCAGGGTCCAAGCCTTTATTAAATTGTGGAGAACAGTATTTGTATCACCCGAATTCCCATGAATGATTGAATCTTAGGTATATCCCTCAGAGTTTGCGTTAAGCAGTTAGTAAGTTGGTTAAAGTTCTTGTCTGACATGACCTATAACAGCGAAATCGGATTTAATATATTTCCATGTTCTAATCCTTCGTCGAATCCTAAATGTGCTCACCAATAAGCGAAAGATATGTCTCAACTGCAACCACCCTTGAAGTTTTATTGCACGACTTCGCTCCCTTCAACACCAAAAATGTCAACCACACTACGCCAATCCCTATTCTCGTGTAGACCAGAGGGCGCGTGCACAGCCTTGGGTTGTGTCCACTCGAATAGAGTCTCTATGCAGTGTTCTCGACCGTAACCTGAGTGCTTCACTCCACCAAATGGCGTTCCTACTACGTTTCGGTTGTAGTTGTTTATCCAGACCATTCCAGCCTCGACATGCCGGGCAAATCGATTCGCCTTCAATTGGTCATTGGTAAACACCACGGCGGTCAGACCGTAGTCTACCGAATTGGCGATGCGAACCGCATCCTCAAAGTCACCGAATGGCGTAACAGTCGCTAGGAGCTAATCAATATGCAGACGGTTTTAGAAGTTCAAAGGAGACCTACCGATGGAACCGAACATCTCTTCGTTTGCAATACGCATATCCTCGCTTACATCGGCAAAGAGAGTAGCAGGAACGAAGAAACCATCTTTGCATTCTGGATCGGATGGTAGCTGAGCCTGCGCAGCAATTCTAGCGCCTTCCTTCTGGCCGAGAGAGATGTACTCTAGGAGGCGTTTCTGTGCCGCTTTGGATACCTGGGGTCCAACGTGAGTCTTAGAATCGAGTCCATTCCCCATCTTGATCTGCTTCACGCCCGCAGCCAGCTTCGCGACGAAGTTCTCATAGATTTCGCGTTGGACAAGAATGCGTGAGGTAGCAGTGCAAGCTTCGCCCTTGTTGACTATGAATATGAAATTAGTAACTTTTCTACGTATAGGAGTGACAACTCCAAAAAGGAAGAGACTGATCTTGGTATCACGTACAGAAGGCACCTTCAAGAGCTGCGCGCACTGCGGCATCAAAATTCGCATCGTTAAAAACAACTAACGCGTTCTTTCCACCGAGTTCAAGCACAGCCGGTGTGATAGAATCACTCGCAGTTCTTGCCACAGCCGCCCCGGCTGCCGTTGACCCTGTGAAGCTAACTTTCTTCACGAGCGGATGCGTGACTAACGCCTGCGGCACTTCTGGACCAAGGCCCGGCACGACCTGGACCACGTCCTTTGGCAGAACGCCCTCCAGGATCTCCACGATCCGTATCACCGTCAGCGGAGCCTGCTCTCCGGGCTTTAGGATAAATGTGTTGCCCGCCGCAAGCGCGGGAGCCAGCTTGCCACCGGTGTGAATGGGCGGCCAATTGAAGGGTAGAATGCCGACACACACACCGAACGGCTCGTGAATCACGGTCGTATACAGACTTCCCCTGTCGTAGAACTGCGACGGCAGCTTATCCGCCAAGCCCCCGAAGAACCGAAAGATGTTCACCAGGAAACCGCAGTCGAACATCCTGGCGTCTTGGAAAGGCTTCCCGTTTTCGAGGCATAGCAGCATGGCAATCTCATCGACGTGCTTCTCGAGCTCGTCTGCGCAGCGCCGAAGGTATGATGCCCGCTCGGCGTTGGTCAGGGGTCGCCAGCGCTCTGTGAAGGCTATCTGCGAGGCGCGTACGGCTGCGTCAACCGTGTCCGAATCTCCGGACTGGATTGTGGTGAGTATCTTGCCCGTAGCTGGGTTCTCGACTGCCCAGCGCTTGCTTGCATCGTTGCAAGAGTACCGATACGCGGACAGCTCTGGAAAGTTAGGGGTTGCCATATTCGCATATATAATATATTTCAGTATCTTAAATATGTTGTTTAATTCCTACCTTTCTTTGAATAAGTTGCAACCGCTCTAGGAAGCTATTTATATTTCCCTCTGCCTGGCGGTATATACATCATATGGGCATATTCGCATCGCGAGCGTAGCTCTCGCAACTCTAAAGTCCGCATCATCGACACCCATGATTTGCGTATTTTGGATGTCAGGGGTATTCGTTCATCCAAAGAAAGTTACTCTCCCCTCGGTCGCCTCTACGAATGTTGCAATTCCGCTCTTGGTACGGATTTAACAGCTGCCAGTCATTTTAACCCCGCCTTTGTGGTCTGCTTTAAAGTGGTTCTCGGACAATACGTATCGGGCGAGATATGATTTCGGGTTTCACACCCACGAGCCAGGTAAGGAGGTGGTGAAAGAGATAGTTAGGTAGGTTCAGAATGAGGAGAAGAGTAAAGAAAACGAATGTAAAGGAAAAAGTCAAGAAAAAAGCAAGCAATGTCGACCGGAGAATAGGTAAGCGAACAGCGAGCAAAGATAGCGGAGATTGGCTTCTAAAACGCGACTTCACTCTTTAAAGTCCAACGGCCTTGGCTATATTTATCGAATTTAGTATAGCCCTAGGTTTGTAGGCAAATTAGCATAAACAAATGATATTATGAGGCTTGATTTATCTCTTGACTTGAGACAGCAAAACCATACATAGTACATATTGTTTTGGCTTTAAGGTCTATAGCTACCTATCAATGATGTCCTCATCATAACGCGTTTGCAATGGCATGTGAAGTCTCGATCAGTAAGAGCCCACGTATTACTAAACAGATACGGGTACCCCAGACTCCCTAAAGTTAGTGTTTCTGCGCTTCTGTAACAGGCAAAGCAACAGCCGAATTAGCCAATCAAAAGCGAGTAAACTTCGATTACCACCGCAAGCCGAGGCATCGTCCTTACATAGATCCACCGCGTCCTAGGCAGCTGACGTCAAAAAGGGCAATGGAATCCGGGGGCTTACTTTCACGATGCATCCCTTCTTTGTTTTCGATATTAGAAAGCAGGCTGGGCTTCGTGTGTTGTCACTAGAACCTCGATAGAACGTCTCACTTTGTACGAATAGCGTCGACCGTATTGCTCGTCTCGAATAAATCGCATCCACCCTTCCACGACCCTCGCTCGTAACCCCGACAAGCACCGACCAGCACCAACAGCCACGATGTCGCAGACGTACACCCGCGCCGAGGTCGGCAAGCACAACACCGAAGACTCGCTGTGGTTCATCATCGACAGCAAGGTATACGACGTGACGGACTTCGTGGACGCGCACCCGGGCGGCGAGTCCGTGCTGCGGCAGGTCGGCGGCCAGGACGCCACCGTCGCCTTCTACAACCTGCACCGGCACGAAGTATTGAGCAAGTACGAGGACCTCTGCGTCGGCACGCTCGAGGGCGAGGCGCCGCAGGTCGTGACGCCGAAGCCGGGCGACCTGAGCCTGGTGCCGTACGCGGAGCCGCTGTGGCTCACGCCCGCCTACAAGAGCCCGTACTACAACGACAGCCACCGGCGCCTGCAGAAGGCGATGCGCGTCTTCACCGACACGTACATCACGCCGGAGGCGCAGCAGCGCGAGCTCGACGGCAAGAAGATCAGCCAGGAGCTCGTCGACCGCATGTCCGCCGTCGGCATGCTGCACATGCGGCTCGGCCCCGGCAAGCACCTGCACGGCGTCGAGCTGCTGGGCGGCGCCGTGCGCGGCGACGAGTTCGACTACTTCCACGACCTGATCATGGCGCAGGAGGGCGTGCGCGCCAACGCGCGCGGCTTCCAGGACGGGCAGCTGGCGGGCATGGTCATCGGCCTGCCGTGCGTGATGAACTACATGAAGGACCAGAAGCGCAAGAAGGCCATCATGGACGAGGTGTTCAGCGGCAAGAAATACATGTGTCTGGCCATCACCGAGGCCTTCGCCGGCTCCGACGTCGCGGGCCTGCGGACGACGGCTACTAAGACGCCCGACGGCAAGCACTACATCGTCAACGGCACCAAAAAATGGATCACCAACGGCGTGTTCTGCGATTACTTCATCACCGGCGTGAAGACGGATAAGGGCCTGAGCGTGCTGATCATCGAGCGCGGAGAGGGCGTCGAAACCAAGCCTATCAAGACTTCGTATTCGCCCGCCGCCGGCACCGCGTACATCACCTTCGACAACGTCAAGGTCCCGGTCGAGAATCTTCTCGGCGAGGAGAACAAGGGCATCTACGTGATCCTCAGCAACTTTAACCACGAGCGGTGGACCATGGCCTGTAAGTCTTCCCCTGCCAAATACCTATTTCCCTATTTCCCTCTTCCACCCCTTCCCCTTTTTATCTACAAAATGAGCTAACCCCGCCACTCTTCGTAGGCGCCACAATCCGACAATGCCGGACGATCGTCGAAGAATGCCTCAAGTGGTCGCACCAGCGCCTCGTCTTCGGCAAGCGGCTCATCGAGCAGCCCGTGATCCGGCAGAAGCTCGCCAAGATGATCGCGCTCGTCGAGGCCAACCAGTCCTGGCTCGAGACCATAACCTACCAGATGTGCAACATGCCCTACAAGCAGCAGGCGCAGCACCTCGGCGGGCCCATCGGCCTCCTGAAGATGAGCATCACGCGCGCGGCCCACGAGATCGCCGACGAGGCTGTTCAGATTTTCGGTGGCCGCGGGTTGACGCAGTCCGGCATGGGCCGCGTTGTCGAGATGTTCCACCGCACGTATAAGTTTGACGCAATCCTCGGAGGCTCAGAGGAGGTTCTTGCCGATCTAGGTGTGCGCCAGGCCATGCGACAGATGCCTAATGCCAAACTATGAGTTGAATTCCCTGGGAAATTTAGTTGTTAAGACTATAAAGCGGTCTGAAATCGACTTAGGAGAGATTCGACAAAGTAAGTTGAAGAATTTGTAGAGAGCTCCTGTATATATAATGGAATGTAGTGGGGGAAGCGCCATAGCATAAGCCACGGAGTAACGGTAAAAACTCGAATTTGCAATCCAGATTATCAAGAAGTCCAAACATTCATACCTTACAATGGCCTCAAAATGCTTGATGTATTATGGCGATATGACGAGGCACTGAGCTATCTATAACACATATATCCGACTTAACAAAAGGAGGGTTCTTGGGAATGATCATCACATCGTTTCCACGCCTTGCCAATCATTACCCTTCCAAAAGGCTCTAAAGAGGTCTTAATCCAAACCAAAAAACCCGTTATGAATGTTGTCGTTGGATGGCCGTGGACTCATTACCCGAAGCAGCAAAGACGGATCCATCTGTTATCATCTCAAACTCCGTACCCCGTTTCCAGGATTAGATGCGAACCCGTTTCTAATATCTCGAATCAATAGTTCCGATTTTTAGTGGCGATCAAGGTTGGAAACCTTGCGTCAGCATCTGATGAGTCATGATCTGACGGTTCACGAGAGGTAAACGTCGACGTCCGCCGAATTGCCTGGGAAGCTGAGGAGTAGCATGCTGCTGGTTATTCTGGTTATTGCTGCTCTCAGTAGTATGAGCAGTTGTCTGATGATTGCGACTCTTAGTCGCTCCGCTAAACGCGGGATCGTTGAAGTAGCGGGCCGGATCACCCACGGCTCTACGTGGCTGATTGTGGCGCTTGCTCGTGCCGCATTCTTCGCAGACGACCCAGACAACTCTTTCGGATGGACTGTGCCCTCTTCGAATCGTTGTCCTCGCCGTGCCAGTGCTGCTCGGGGCTTCCGCGCTTCTATGTGACGACTGCGACGATACCGAGGGGGCTATGGTGTGTTGTCTTTCACCCATAGCCGATGTGGCCAATGTATCAACTGGCGACCATCGCTTACTCGGACGATTCCCATTTTCGTTTCGAGAAAGGCCAGGATGATGCTGGGAAGGAGCTGGCGAGTCTGGCCTAATCTCCTCATCCTTATAGTCTACCAACTCTTGTTTCGAGTATCCCTGTCTACCAATATGAATGAAGGGCACCAGAGAGAGTGAAATTCCCGCAAATGCTGCCGTCGCTATAAAAGTATTGGTATATGCGATTTCTGGATTGGCTGCCAATCGCATTTCATCGTACGACGACCATATTGCAGTAGTAACTCCCATACCTAGCGGGACCCCGAGGCGACATGTCGTTTGAAGGACTGACGCTCCAATAGAATGATGCTTAAGGGGAAGAGAGGATAAAATATAGAGCTAGGTATAGTCTCATTAGATATGCCATTCGTCTTTGAGGGATCATGCGTGGAATCGCTCACCGAACCAACGTTCATGGTCCAATCCATTCCAATAGTGCTCAGCATGACTGAGGGAAATATCCAGATCAAGTAATTACTTCCTTGATGCAAAAACACAAGAAGCACGTTGCTAGTAACAAGAGCACCGGCAGCCACACCCAACAGTACTGTGCCAGGAACTTTGTGCATAATCAAGCCGACAAGCGGGCTGAGCAACAAACCCACGAGAGCTTGTGGCAATAACCTCACGGCAACATCGAATGGTTTAAGGCCCTCAAGGTCCTGCATGAATAAAGACACCCAAAATAGTTGCGAATAAAAAGACATGGCAGAGCCTAATGTGGAAACAATCACCTAAATGACACATCAGCAACATTCCTTTACTTCCAGTTAGATTTCAGGATCTTACCAAAGTTACCGTCAAGTTTTCCCAGATAGAGGGGGGTATCATTGGCGATCGCGTAACTTTCTCCCAGAGAAGAAAACATCCAAGAGACAAGATACCCAAGATTAAGAGAAGGATGACTGTCGGCGTCTTCCATGGTTCTGGACCTTGGGGCCCAATAGTCAAAGCAACAGTAAATAGCAGAAGACCACTGACTAATAAAAGCAGTCCGACCCAGTCAAATTCCAAGAAAGGGGATTTCCTCTTGGGAGTTTCGATTGAAAGCATAGGAAAGGCTTCTGGTTCGGCGATAATGTGTACTTCGTCCCTCTCCCGGAGCGTCTCGGGTTCCGGGATATTGGGAACGAATATGCATGCGAGCCCGCAGATGGCCGAATACAAGATGGCCAAGGCTATAAATGGAGCTTTCCAACCGAATTGAAGAGCTGAAGCACCTGAACCAAGACCTCCGATGATTGTTGCTGCTGGTGTGCCCATCAGGAAAGAAGAGAACACTATATTCTTCCGACGTGACGGTTTAGGATATACGAGACTTAAGATGCCGACGGCTATTGGAACATTCGCCGCGCAGGCAATGCCGGTCAAACCAGATATGGCATCGAGCACGATCCCATTCGGTGAAAGTGATGTCGACGACACAAGCAAGGAGAAGGCTACCAAACTGATGATGAGAAGGGTCTTCCGAGGCAGAAAAGAGCATGTATCGGCGATATAGCCAAAAGGAAGCAAAAATGCGCCGGTCGTCAGGCTGCGAATTTGTGTGTTAGTTTCTGCCCAATCTTGGTCTACGGCAGTAATACCCTGAACTTGCCGTAGTCCACGCAATCTGAGCTGGTGACATCGCTAATGCTCCAGATATAGAACCGGCGACGACTACGACAGATCGTTGAAGGAAGACAGGAGTGGCAGCGGCAAAGGCGATCAGAGCGACGAATATGCATTCCTTAAAAGCGTTCCTCAGGCATTCAGGCCGGCTTCCGGCTGGTGAAGGGACTCGGAATCGTGTCTCTTTCGCATCATCGTCTAGGCAAACATCATGAAGATCGTCGGGGGACGTCGACTGAGATTCGGGCCCGAAAACCCACATGTCCTTTTCCATGGGCATTTCAAATGAACGAGGGTATAACCAAGAAAAGATCAACGATAGCAGGAAAGTAAACCAAAGAGTACGGTAGCGAAAGAAACGTTTCAGATGGGAGAAATGAAGTCGGCTATCTCCAAAGACAACGGTATGAAATCAATAGAGACTCTCGAAGTTGAAAGTGGACGAGAGTTAAGAGTAAGAGTTTGCGAGGACATTGCCCCTTGACCTTAGCTCCTACTCCCAACACACCTGTGATCGGGAAGCACTTGCTGTTTGAATTGCTTTTCTTGAGGAAGGATGTACCTCAAATATCAACGAAAGAGCAATGCCGGCTTCCATGGTTACAGCCGCGACCCCTGGTTCCTCGATGTTTGGAAAGACCGATGGTAGCGGGATGTATCTGTGTGACGTACAGGTATACTTCGCTCTACACTCGGAACAATTATTCCAAGGAGAAGAAAAAAAACATCTTCCCGCTACTCGGAGCTGGAATATTAAATCTGGAACGACCCAAGACTCGCTATTTGGATACCTAGGTAGCCAGTCAGACAAATACACAGCTAGAAGAACGCTCGTTTCACATTCACATACATACATACCTAGGTATTCAACTCATCCGCCACCTCGTATAACTTGAGAATTGTAGAATCAAGATGGTTTCATTCGCTTTATTGGGTCTTTTCGTCATTCAAATTCTCAACAACGTTGCGTTCGCAAGACGGTCTTTCAGAGTCCCAGCACCACCGTTTCCCAACATTACGAACTTCGTCAACTTTACAAATCTAGCCAATTTCACCGATAAATTCGACGCCAACGTCCAGTGTATCCCGTTCGAAGATCCACATTGCTGTGTTGACTTCCCTGTCTGTGAATGCCGGAATGGTATACTCTCTTATTTCTAGAAAACCTCGTGGAATCGAATACTGATGATTTATCAACCATAGGGACATTCTTCAATGTGAACCCAAGACGACTCAACGGAACCGATCTTTTTTGTGTGCCCCCGGGTAACGTGACCTTCGGACAAGACACCAGCAGTATTCCGGGTTGGTGCTGCTAGAAATGAATAGCGAGGACATGACCCTATTTCTTAAGATGCTACATGCTCATATCTTGGAAGATTGTAGTAGGGGGAGTTTGCCGGGAGCGGATTCAAAGGGAAGGCCTTGTCTAGAGACATAAGGATAGGGAGGTTCTAGCCATGGGCCGGAGATAATTACCAGGTGATTTTTTTTGGAATTGCGTTCGTTGGTTGTCGATACTAGAGTACAAGAACAGTCCTAGCAATATTCATACATAATATCCATCATATCCCATGAAACCTAAAAGGTGCATGTCAATCCAATATGATACATTATATCATATGATGCTATTAACTATCCACTTTCCAGATAGAAAGTAATACAAATGATGTACAGTGAAGCTGGGTGGTTAAAAAGTTCTCGTGTTAGAGAGTAAGAGTAACTTCCCCTTTCCTGCGCAATGCCACGAAAAACGACTCTCGGGATTCCTGGGTTTCGGGTTAGCATCGAGGACAAACCTATTATAATATCGATAGACATACACTTCTCGATGAGTCTGGTTTCTCACGATGGACTTTTGCGAACATTTTCTTAAGTTTTAACTCGAGATCCTTGTCTTCGGCACCTTGGTAGAATTTGCACACGAAATGGCCGCCGGATTTCAGAGTGTCGCTTGCAAATTGTAAGGCCGCAAGGCAGAGGTCCTGGAGGTTCTTGTGAGCATATGTACAGTACTTTCGAATCTCAAAGTGTCTACACTCTTACCATACTACCCGCGTGGTCTCGGAAGCTCATACCGCTCGCGTTCATCATCCTGAAATACGGGTTACTTAACGTTCTGCTGGAAAATCCGGTGGTTTGCTCCCAGGGGGCTGACATGTCGCTTAAAACCACCTGCTCAATAGTCAGCGTCTCTGAATATAACTTCACAGGAGGCGTTGAGTGTGCCCTAAATGAGTGAGGAAATGCGCACATCTACAAGTCTTCCATCGTTCTCCTCTAAGTGTTCTGACTCAACTGATTCAGCACGTTCGGTATCGATATAACTCTGTCGCTCGGTGATGATTGGTTCCCCTTCCTCCGATGGCTCAACCTCAGGAACAGACGGACTCTGTCGTTGCGCGAACTCAACCAGGTAATCTTTCACGAGCTGGCGGACATTTGGTGACAAGAAATTGCCTTGTATAGTCGTCACCCCCTTCGGTGGCTGCACCGGAATAATGTCGATTCCGATCACGCGCCCATTTGGCTTCGTACGCTCAAAGGCTACCTAGAATGAATGAGTAAAAAGCAAGCGGGTCGGAGAGACATGCAGTCCTCATACCTGGGACCAGCTTCCCGGTGCATATCCCTGTATTGCTTAGCGTCGAAAGCCACTGGCGGCAAGACTACTTACGAGATCGATTATTGTCTGCCCTCTCTTGAACAATTTATACTTCGAGTCCATCTAGATGGTTTGCTGTGAGCCGTAGCCGGTCCCTCTTTATGGACCGCTAACTCACTTCAAGTAGTTTGAATGCAGCGCGGCTTTTAAGACCATAGACCTTGGCCTCCCGCGCGTAGAAATCGGTTGCTTGCCGCTGTTTCCATCTTGAACTAGATGAACTAGATGAAGACCAACGTACGCTTCCTGAGGAGACTGGTGCAATAGGGCTAAGGAAGCCGTAGGCTGAAATCGTTGCTGATGGAACGGTGATAGTTAAGGGGATCCCATTGCGAGGCGCCGCTATTCTTGCCAATGCCCTCATCAATGCTGTGAAGAATTAAGGGATGGCGACCATGCACTATCCCATTTCTAGATTGCGACGACGAATATCACAAAAGTCTTGAATGATTAAATTTGAGCTTAGTCAGAATTTCAGAAGTCTCATTACGATCCATGCGAATTCAATTATCCGATAGATAACGTAAGTAACAATGACATCAGCAATGCCGATAACCGGAATATTCTCTTAGCGTACATGAAGCAACTCCATAATATGGACGTATCACGAACAATTGAAGCTCAACACTTGAAGCTTCATCGTACTCGAACTAACATGTAAACTCTCTTCATTGGAGTTTCCAAGAAATATACATATAGAGAATTCTGTACATAGGATTCTTGGATAATCTTAATATGTGATATCACAATATAACGGACCCGACTTCGGGGACTGCGGGAGCCAAGGCCACTAACTGTGCCGCCAACACATATGGATGCATAATGCAAGGAAATGGATCCTAGAAAGCGTACCTAATCGAATCTCCAACGCCGTCCTCGCACTCCTTATATGTATATTGGTGCTTCCCGACCCCGGATGTTAGTTAGGTTCCTAAGTCCGTGAGGCCGAGAGTCCAGGAACGTCTAGTGATGAAACCCATCCATATTTACATATCCTCACTCCGGGCTACTATTCTTCAACAGAACATCCCATAACCCATATCCCATAACCCATAACCCGTAACTCGTAACCCGTTACCTCCCTATTCCAACACACACCCGCCAAACATGGCCAAACGCAAAGCCGCCCCTCCCCCGTCACTAACCGGGCGACGGCCCCTCAACGCCATCTTCGTGCTCGCCTTCGGCGCCCTCGCGGCGCTGTCCACGTACCTGATGCGCGTGGACCCGGCGCTGCACGACGTGCCGGCCAATTTCCTGCCCGTGGTCGAGTCGGCGACGCTCGAGAACGGGGCGCCGCTCGTGACGCGGTACACGGGCGTCGGCGCCGTCGACGAGCTCGCCAAGTTCCTCGTCGCCGCCTTCGTCGCGGGCACCGCCGGCTGGGACGCCGGCGTGAAGGCCCAGCAGGCCTACTTCTTGATGAACTGGTTCGCCGTCGTGTGCGTGTGGGCCGTCGAGTCGAGCCGCCGCCGGAACGTCGGGAGGCTTGTTAGTTTGTGAGTACTTACCTACATTTGCCTATTCATGTAAAAAAAAGAAGAATAAACAGATATATATATGTTTTCGAGGATCGTGATATTGCGTGATGAACTTTGCTGACAACAGTGGGGGATAGCGCGGCGCTTTTTGGCCTCCTCTACCAGATCATGGGCGCGGCCGTCATCGCGCCTGTGTACTATGCGGCGTATGTGTTCACCTCCGGAGGAGACGCGTACAACTTCCGTGACCGAGAAGTCCCCATCGGCTACGCTCGGGCTATTCTCCCAGCCGCCGTGCTTGGTTATCTCGTCCCCACCGTAGCCCTGTACTATGGCTCATGGGACATCGAGACCGTGCAATACCTGACAGCCTTTTGGCAGCCATCCCCGTTATATGTCAGCGCGCTCCTCGTGCTCCTCGCCTTCCTTATATCTCCATCTTTAAACGCAAACCCCACCTCTAAGAACGGCGACGTGAAGCACCTCAAGCTAGTATATCTCCTCGCCGGTCTCGTATCAAGTGCATCCCATCTTAGCACCATTTACCTGTCCCTCACGTCAGACAACCCGCAGCTCTCGCTGAGCTACATATTCCTGCCAAACAAAGCGTTGTGGAAAGACAGCATGGCCCTCGGGTTGCACTATATCTTCCAGATCGACGTCTTGGGAGCGTTCGGGTCCGCGCTTTTCTGGTGCTGGCTTATCACTTATGACGTCCTGCGTATCGAAGGCCGATCTAGCGCATCGAGTCTCATTCAGGCGGTACTGGGCATTGGAATCACCACGTTGGTGGCTGGTCCGGGGACTGCCATTGCGATAGTTTGTAACTGGAGGGAGGATAGACTTGTAATGATCGAAAAGAGCGTTGAGAGGATTGGGAGGAAGCCCAAAGCCACGTAGAAAATACCCTAAGCCTACCTAGGTAGCCTTGTCTCGAGAATACTATGTTAAACGTCGATTCGGACGCATGCCCTTGCCATTGTGATCGGGAAGCACGCCATGAAATATAATCAAACATTGCACAAGCAGTATCACCATTCTCAATCTAAAATCTGCCTCCAAAAAAAAGTGTGATAAGGCCTTTCCAAGGCAAGCATGTTCATATTCACGCATAATAATGCAACCCTGTACCTAATCCTACAGCCCTTTCCCAAACGCCAAATCGTGAAGCAAATAATCAATAACGCCAACAAATGCATGCACAATCCGTCCGTTCCATTCCATTCCTAGTGCAAAAATTCCGCCATTCTGATGAAACCCGGACCCGTATTTCATGCCAGGAAACTAGCACCGACACCTCTACGTTCCTTCTTCAGAGGCGAGAAGGATGCCGAACCGGCAAATGCGCTTTTCTGCGCATTAAGGACGGCTTTCCCTAGTGCTCTCTTTCCACCCAGTTGCACCTTGGCCGGTTTCCTAACCGGAGGTGCCTCGCCCTCTTCTTCGTCGAATAGGGTCTTGGTGGAACCTAGGACCTTACGTTTCTTCTTCTTTGGCTGCTCACCCTTCGGTTGATCAGCGCTATTGCTGGATGACGTGCTCTCGTCTTGCGGAAGACCGATGCTGAACTTAACAGTTGTTGTCTTCTCCACAGCTTCTGCAGCTTCACCCTGATTCTCTTGGTTAGTGTCATTGGCTTCCTCCGTCACCTTCTCCAGACTGTTCTTGGCCTTGAGAGACTTCTTGAGGATAGGCTGTGCATTTCTCTTGGCTGACGGTGCTTCACCAAGGACTTTCTTAGGTCGACCTCGGGACTTAGAAGCCGCTTTAGGCTTCTCATCCTCGACGGGGGCAGACGAGGTCGGCTCATTTTGGTCGACCTCCTCTGTTGGGGCTCCTGCTTCTGCGTCTACCTCTGCCACAGTCTTCGTAGGTTCGACAACATCAGTTTCTGGCGCAGCGATGGCGACTGAGTCATCCGGTGTCCCTGCGTCGGTCTTGGGAGTATCCTCCATGATGCTCTTGGTACGGTTTAGGAATGGTGTAATGGAGAACGTTGACTTCTCGCCCGGAAGCGTAGGCTCCAAGCCTCGCTTCTTAAGTGCACGCCGTTCCTTGCCGTTATCAGCTGCGGGAGTCTGAATCTCGATCTGAGCGAAATCGTCTGCGCCCATATCCCGAGTTTTCCTCTTACGAAAGACTTGGGATCGGCCATCGATTTTTGTGGTGTCGTCCGAGACTGAAGAACGAGACTGTTGAACTTTTCGAAGGTCTGCTTGGCACTGCTTAAGCTGCTCCTGGGTTTCGCGTAGTTTCGTCTTTAACTTCTCGATCTTTTTCTCGAAATGATCATTCTGAGCATAAGCTTCATTTATCGTGGTTTGGCTCTCGTGGCGAATCTTTGCATTCTCTTTCTGTTGAGCATCCAACTTTGTTTTCAGCTCGGCAATCTGTGTGCGTAGCTCATCATCTGCGTCGCCCTTTGAACTGTTCTTCTGCGATTTCTTCGCTGCAAGTTTGGCGGACTGAAGCTCGCCCTCTAATCTTTCCCTGTCATCCTGTTCTTGCCGTAGTTGTCTCTGGGCTTCATGTAGCTTCTTTCGAAGGTCAGCTTCTACTTCTCGATTGCTGTCTTGATCTTGTATCGCAAATTGACGAGTTCGCTTCTCTTGCTCGAGCTGGTCTTCAAGCCTTTCGCGTTCCGACTTCTCCGCAGTCAGTTTCTTCTCAACCTCGCGTAGGTTCTTTCGCAATTCATCCTCAACCCGGTCATTGCTCTCGCGTTTCTGCATTGCTCGCTTAGTTGCTTTCTTCTCATTTGCAAGCTCGACCTCAAGAGTGTTGACTTGGCGTTCCAAGGCTAGCTTCTCTGCGAGTGTTGCCTGTTGCTGATTTACTTGTGATCGTAGGTGTTCAATCTCGGGCTTTAGAACAGCCAATTCACGACTCAGCGACAGCTTCTCAGCAAGCAGATTGGTGGAATCTTGGGTTGCGTTGTTCATGGCTTGGAGCTCGGCCTAAAGCATGTTATTAATAGGCTTCTAATGATGTATTTTAATTGGTATATGCATACCTTCAAGTTCGTGTATTCTCGCTCCTGCTTCCGTAATTGCTGTTCCTGTAAGCGAATTACATCCATCTTGGCTTCAATCTGGGCGCTTAGGCCCTCGCAATGGGCGGAAAGTTTCGTGTTTGTGTCATTGTTCTGGGATATTTGGTCACGCAAGGACGTGTTTTCGTCCCGTAACATGAGAATTCGGACTCTCAATCGGCGAACGTCCTCATCCTTGATTAGGATTTCGGTGTCACTGGTGTTCATCTGATGCTTCAACTCGAGATCATGCAGCAAATCCTTTCTCTATTTGTAATCATAATAATTAGCGCTAATTTAGAATGTCGTTGACGGAAAAGTACCTTTTCGACGTCCATGTTTACTTGCACCTCGCGGCCCATGGTCGCCTTAGCAAGCCTACCCATTAAGGTAGACGCGTCTTGATCTTGAAAGGTACTGTAATTTGTGATTGAATAGCAAGGCTATATAGTGTATTTTATTCAAGTTGAATGGTCGAAATTTTGGGGAAAATGTACGGTGAAGGATGAGGTTTATGGAAGGTCAGGATTAAGGAGGAACTGGCGGAGATGGGTGCTACGTAGTGGAGGAAAGAATGAGCATGTTTGGTGGGTGGGTTTCCAAGCTTCAAAAAGTCAACAGAGTGCCAAAATAGGTTTAGCATTGGGGTACAAGGTTGATCCGTCCTGTTTCTTCAAAGCGATAATTGTGGGGCTGCATAACCTAAGATATGCATGTATCAGACAATGCTCCAGCCTGCGTAGCCCCTGCATCACTTTATCCACGCGGCCGATGGAGCTAGGTGCCACCCAAGCTTCAATCCCCAATCTCCAATTGAGGACACCTTTTTGAACTTCAAAGCCGGACTGACGACGCATTTCACCGCGCCATCGTATTTTTTTCATTCACGTCAATTGTGCGCAAGCACAACGTTCCTGTTTATACTTGACTCTATTTCTTTACGAGGTAACCTGTAAATTACCGTCAATATGCGCTGGTTGCCTCTTCTCATTTCGTTCGCCCTTCCCTTTGGGTCCTTCGCTGCCAAGAAATCGTCATCAGTTGATCGATTTGGTGAATTGCATGCGCAAGCTCTATCATCGTCTCCCTTGAAGCTAACCGACTCGACCTACAAGAAGCTTACTTCAGTTCCTCGCGACTACTCGGCGGCTATCCTATTAACCGCATTGGAACCGCGCTTTGGTTGTCAACTCTGCACTGACTTCCAGCCGGAGTGGGATGTGCTAGCCAAGAGCTGGACCCGGGGTGACAAGAACGGCGAGTCTCGTTTGGTCTTCGGGACGCTTGACTTTGCTCAAGGAAGAGATACCTTCATTGCGGTATGATAACCCCACGAGTTTACATCGAATACCTACTTTCAACGACATTGCTAATTATCAATTCAATACAGCTTGGTCTTCAGTCTGCTCCAGTACTGCTCCTCTTCCAGCCTACAACTGGTCCACATGCCGCCACCACTCTCGAGGCTATTCGTTATGACTTCAACGGGTAAGCCATCCTAACGGTATCTTTCAAAGTATATGCAGCGCTAACTGTCATTAGGCCCCAAACTGCTGAGAAGGTTCACGAATGGATTTCTCGTCACTTACCCGACCGGCCTCACCCGCCTGTGAGCCGCCCAGTTGACTACATCGGATGGGTGGTGACAATCGTCGGCGCTTTGGGCGTATCTGGAGTTATCTTCAAGTCGTGGTCATTCATTCTACCCGTCATCCAGAACCGCAACGTCTGGGCGGGCTTGAGCTTGATCGGCATTCTCATGTTCACGAGTGGCCACATGTTCAACCAGATCCGAAAAGTACCGTATGTGGCCGGAGATGGACGTGGTGGTATTAGCTACTTCGCCGGTGGATTCCAGAACCAATTTGGACTCGAGACGCAAATCGTTGCCTTCATGTGTAAGCATCAATCATCTCTAAAAGGAATATATCTTGCTAACGATACTAGATGGTATCCTATCTTTCGCCACCATATCTCTAGCTGTAAAGGCCCCGAGAACCCGAGACCCTAAGCTGCAACAGATCGCTGTTATAGTCTGGGGTGTTATCATGTGCGTCATGTACAGTTTCTTACTTTCTGTCTTCAGAGTCAAGAATGGCGGCTACCCGTTCAGATTCCCCCCTTTCATGTAAACAATCGCAGATACTCTGCAGGGGAAGGAGCACGTACCTAGGTAGTTTCGGTGGCTTGACAAAAAGGAGATCGCCATGTCGGGTATTAGCATGCGGCGCAAAGCAGTCGTCCTCCATGCATGCAAACGGTGGGAATTGTAAAGGTTGCCTAGGTGGTCTTACCCTAGGTCTCTGGGTAGCGGGATTAGACCAAAATAGAAAAGAAAATATATGACACGTCTCCTGCATCTTGAAATGTGATGTTGTATATCGTCTTATCTCGCGAACATTGCAGAGTCTAAGCCAACAGGCTTTGCTTTATAGAGGTCTATTCGCAACCCGAGCAAACAGGAGATGATTTGTTGATACTTAGGTACATACCTACGTACCCAGTCATCGTTCGAGTCGTCGGTGCCTACCCATCTATTGGTACCTGGTAAGGGTCGAGTAGCATCTAACGGGATTAGATGCCATACATCGTACCAAGAAAGCGACATCCCTTTTTGTCTATTTTGTACTGCCCGATATAAATACATATTTAGTGACTTTGTAGTAATAATAACATTTAGTTTCTATTTCACATGTTAGTAAAATCTGCAAAGTTGAATTTAAATATTATCTTACATGTAATAATTACTTGCTTGGACATATCTATGAACTTAAGTAATTATGTGTCATTAAGAGGGACGTGGTACCTACCTACATGTAGTTATGATAACTACCTAGGTACATATATACTATGCAGCTACCATGTATGAAAACTAGGCTAATGCGTCTCCCCTTCAATGAGTAATTCGGTGTATTACTTGATCTGTGTAATATTTCTTTTTAATAACAACTTGAGGCTCGAAGATGGTCTCGATCGATGCCTACGTACCTAAGGTGCCTATGCCTAGATTAAAGGTTTACGTGGATATGGCAGAACGCATCAATGACCACCAATTCAATAAGACGAGGCGGTACGGATGGATGTTTGGAGTGTTTGAGTTCCAGTAGCGAGGGCAGTGAGTGGTCAGCTGCCTAATGCACCCCCACACGTAGTGGATCTCATCTAGCAAGTCACATTGACCGATACGTTCGTGATTTGGCGCATAAGGTTGCCAGTGCTGTTATCGCGGTATCGATAGCGTACCTTGATAGGCACCTGGGCGCAATCTGAGCAAAGCGGGATCAAATGACACACTCCGCTGCAGCTCATGTTTAAAGGGACTAAGGTTTAAGCTAGCACGCCCTCCCCCCATCATTCATCATCCGGGGGCCATTACCCAGGCCGAACTTTCAAGGTTATTGTGCCTGCTATCCCTAATATTCCCTACTATTACATCTCACCATTTCTTCCGCTACACTGTCGTTGGGACATCGTCACTTCGTAGGGCGCAAACATCCCATCGGCGTATTTCCAAACCTCGACTGTCCTTCTATCCTGCCATTCCATCCACGCCGTCAGTGCCGACAACGATGAGCTACCACCCCGCATCCCGACCTGTGGGATATCGTGATAGTCTACCGCTGCTCCCCCACACGCGACCTACGCGTCCGTGAATCTCCGGCTCCTTTCGTCTAGTCCCACCCTGATTGTAGAAGTTGTGTTATCGTCATTACCGCCACCATGGCTATGTTCTTCCAGTCTTTCAGGAACTCCAGCATGCCCAAGCGGCTGCTGCGGTACACCTTATCGAAGTTAGATTACTTCGATACCGATGCGTTAGATATAGACCAGTTGGATTTTGCCGTGGGAATGAATAATGTCTTCACCTTGCAAGATGTTGGAGTCAAGCTACAGGCATGTTTTTGTCATTTCATGCCTCTTCGTGCCGTCAAGACATGTCTTCATCAATAGGGTATGATAATAGAGAGCTAACGCTATTACCGGGAGCATAGAAACTAGAACAGCTGCTTCAACTTCCACCATCGTTCGAAGTTCGGAAAGCCAAAGTCTTGCTGCTCCGAATTACTATACCTTCCGCCATTTATACGAGCCCTATCAAGGTTGAGATCGATGGTGTTGAGATAAAGCTAAAGCTTGCGTCTAAAGACGAAAGCTCTAAAGGTGCATCGCATAAAAAAAACAACCCCCTGTCAACTGAAGAGGACGATCCTGTACCACATGCTATTGACTTGGCCCAATCGTTCTTGGATACGCAGCCTTTGAAAGAGAAGGCGGAACTTCAAGCCGCCCTCGAAGCTGAAACCCAAGACCTCGGTGCCTCCGTGACAAGCAGTGAGGATGGGAGCGATGATGACTACCCTTTAGGAACTGGCCAACCGCTTTCGCTACCAACCTTCCTAGCAGATTTCCTGCAAGGCATAGTTGATCGATTGCAAGTCTCTATTAAGGGGGTTACCTTCCATTTAGATGTTGAACTTCCAGTTGAGCAGAATTCCACCGTTCCTGAATTGGTCACGTTCCAACTTGCTATTGATGATGTAAATGTGGAAGGGGTTACGACGACAGCAGACGAGACTACCGTCGATGATGGGCCCAAACCCATGCTTAAGGAGGGGAAGCGATTTGTCGGATTAAATAAGATTCGAGCAAGTTTGATATCCGAGGCGAATGTTTTCTCCAATCTAGCGCGATCACCGTCGATTCCTTCGTCGTTTGCCGCTAACTCGCCGACTGTTACGAGGCAACAGACCATGTCGGAAGAGTCTACTTCACCAGCGATGTCCTCATCGGAATGGCGCTCCAATGCTGATAATCTTGCGCAGAGTCAGTATCAGCGCTCTCTTATGGATAGTGAAGATGCCTTCAACATACCATATGAATTAAGTGGAAGCGGATCGAACGCAGAACAGGACGAAGATGTAAAATCAGCGCCGTCAACTCCGCGGGCCCTGGCGCCTCGAATCCCACTGCAAGATGAAACAGAACCGACTTCTTCCTTACCTACAGCCCAGTCATCCATTAATACAGCCCCAGCCCCTTGGTCGACCTTGGCACGTGTTGCTCAGTCTGAACCAGCTTTAGAACACCGGGAAAGATGGGGAGAGGGCTCTGTTGAATCGACCAAGAATATTGAAGATCGGCCCCCAGAATCTGATGGGAGCGATGGGACGCCTTCCTTGGGTGACGACCTTGCACGGTCTCACTTGTTCAGCCACGAGGAAGCTGAGAGCATGTATATGAGTGCCTTCTCCAATGCAGCATCTTCCCAGACGAGCCATACCGCTCCAGCTATGCCTGGCGGCTGGGATTCGGAGCCTTCGAGTGCAGAGAACTCGCCAAAGCGCGAAAGCCGGACTTCACCATCAGGTTCTCCAAAGCCTACGACCGTATCCGACGATCCTTCTGTTGATAAATTTGCTTCCGGGCATTTGCCGCGGGATACCGAGTTAGAAAGTGATCCATTCCTTGACAATCTCGAGGAAGCAAGACATTCGCCTGATCACGCATCCCACCATCAAGAGAAAGAAGAGGCCCCGGCGGAGGAGGCAGCTACGCCAAGAGGACCAACTCGATTGGTCAAAGAACTCGTTTCCTTAAGTACCATCTCACTCTATATCCCTTCAAATCATGAACACATACAAGTTGCACGTGCCGGAGAAGAGCCAAGCCCCGGACCGCCCCGGACACATTTAGGCCGATCGGTCTCTCCAAATCTTCCCGGGGCGTTCTCTATCCACGCGGCCGACCAGTCAATTGCGTCAATTGCGTCAATAGCTCCAACTCCTGGTACAACTAACCATGAAACCACAACTGATAAAACACTAGAAGTGATAATATCGTCCCTAGAAATACGTTCCGACCTATCCACCGGGTTCCTACTGGTTTTGGTCGCATCGCGAATCCTTTCGGCTTTGAAAGAACAACCCCCTCAAACTCGTTCTAAACAGAAAGCAAAGGCCGATGTTAAAAGTAGCCCATCATCCATGCCCAACATCAAGATTGCAGCAGAACAGATCACTATACACTTTCTTGAGAATCTAGTCGGAATTGCTGATACACCTGAACGGTTGTTTAACCCCGGTCCTACTTCGCTTAACGCCGACGCCATCCTTGGTGCGACTATTCAAGACTTGAACGTAGGACTATCGGGATCAACATCCTCTACACAAACCTCGATTGACGTGGGCAAGTTCAAGCTTGGATACGAAAATGATGATATCATTTCCTTCGACCAGCGTATACAAATGCGAGCTTCTGTAAGGGATGCGTTCCCGGCCGCCGGTGCCGATATCTCTCTCAAGGTCACCCAGACATCTGCATCAACCAGATGCGAAGTAACAACCTTACCGCTCCATGTCAGAATAGATCTTCAAAGACTAGATGAAACCTTCAGTTGGTTCGGAGGTTTGAGTGGCTTCCTAAATATGAGTTCATCGATGACTTCAAATACTTCCCCTCCTCCTCCTCCTCCTCCTCGCAGTCCCCCGAAACCGCCGCCAAAGCAACGAGGAGTGAGGTTTGATGCGCCTATTCGCCCAGACGATACGTCCGCAAACTCCGAGAATAAAATGAACATGAGACTCGGCGGCTTCCGCTTAGAGCTTGTCGGGAAGGAGTGTAGCGTATCCTTGGATACGAGTGCCGTGAAGTTAGTTAGTCGGGAGGAAGGAGTCGGTATTGGTATTTCAAAGATAAACCTCGCAGGCCCGTATATGAGTCGTTCCATGGGCGACCCCCCCATAAATGCCGTGATCACGAATACTCGCCTGGAATACCTCACGACACCAAAAGACAATGACCTTGAACGACTTTTAGAGCTCATCATACCATCCAAAAACAAGTTTTCCAAGAATGACGAGGAGATAATGGTCGACACATTACTTCGACAAAGGAGGAAAGGTGCTGTATTACGCATCAACGTAGACGATCTAGAAGTTACCGTCGAGAAGCTTCATCATCTCCAAGTGCTTCCTGCCCTGGGCGAAGAGATTGCCCGACTGTCGACTGTCGCTAAATACCTGCCCGAAGATGACCGGCCAGGAATTCTCACGCTGGGTCTTGTCCGTAACTTGGATGTTACGGTGGATGTGGGTGGAAAATTCGGCTCCGTGCAAGCATCTATGAAGGATGTGGAGGCTGGCCATATAACCATTCCCTCTTTAGTCGCTATAGGGATAGGATCCATCTCGATACGGCGGAACCATACTGAAGAGTTAGTCGGAACAGCCATCTCTTCCATGGAAAAGGTGAACCAAGGTCCCGTCTTGACTATGAGAATTATTGGAGATGAGATGGAACCAGTTATCAAGATCAGGATGCGGAATCTAAATATCGAATACCGTGTGCCGACCATTATGGACGTATTAGATCTCGCTGAAGATACAACACCGCAAGACTTCGAAGCCATCCTAGCAGCTTCCGTCGCAAACCTTGGCGAACATGCTCACGCAGCTATCACGGGGAAACCTCAAGTCCGTTCTCCCATGTCTAATGAGGGTGGAAACGGAGATGCCAAACCAACAAAAGTTGACTTCATTCTTCAAGATTGTTTGCTAGGTTTGAATCCCCTTGGGCTTACGTCCAAGTTGACTATCGTATTGACCGATGCTCACTTTGAAATTGCTCTCTCTAATGGGGACGATGCAAAGGCGCTAGGTCAAATAAATAGAGCATCCGTACTTCTCATCGACGATGTTTCGATACTAGACTCCAAGGAGTCTTTGTCAACGACTCGAAGGCGCAGCTCGAATACTCCTACTCCACAGGTGGTAGAATTATGCCAGCGAGGGTATGTCGATATCTGCTTTATTTCCTCGGCAAAAGTCACGGTACAAATAGGCCCTAATAAAATAGACGGCAATAAATGGGTTGACGTTGAGTTGCGAGATGATCTCCTCGTTCTCGAGACTTGCGCAGACTCGACCCAAACCCTTATTGCCCTCGCTAACGCACTCGCCCCTCCAACGCCACCAAGCAAAGAGATTAAATACAGGACAAACGTAGTCCCTGTCCAAGATCTCCTCGCGTCCATATCCGCGGATGCGTTCGGTAAAGCTGAAGGCGATTACGACTTCGATAATGACTTTGGAATAGCACAAGAGCTTGGTAGAGACGACTATAGTGACTTTGGAATCGGCGACTCCGGCCAATCAAGCCCTCTCGCAGTTGATTCCCGTTACTACGACGAGCCTTCAGTTGAAGCGCAGCTTTTCGACGCAACGGATTCCATGCTTTCAGAAAGAACAACAGCACAGGATACGACCGATGGTGTCCTGCTCACAAATTTCAGCAGCCAACCAGATGTACAGAGCGATGATGAGGATCTGGCCATACAAGATAATTACTTTGGGTCAGGATCCATCATAGAAGGTACCGCTCACCGATGGAATTCTGCGAAGAACGAGTACGATGCAGCCAACAACGCCAAGGTGCAGCGTAGTCCCCTGGCCGTTCGCGTGCGTGATGTTCATTTCATATGGAACCTCTTTGATGGTTATGATTGGACCAGTACCCGCGAAGTCATCTCGAAGGCTGTACATGACATCGAAGTTACTGCTATCGAACGGCAGTCACGCCATGACCGGGCTCGTGCGAATACCGATATGGAGATAGTAGAAGAGGAAACTGTCATCGGCGATTTCCTTTTTAACTCGATTTATATAGGCATTCCAGCAAACCGGGATCCTCGGGAGCTTGCTCAGGCTATTAACCAAGAGCTAAACGACGCCGCTACGGAGACAGAGTCGATAGCAACGACAGCAATGACTATCACTCCAAGTCGTCAAGGCAACGCCTATCGTACCAAGAAGAAACTCAAGCTAAATCGCAGCAAGCGTCATAAGATCACCTTCGAGCTAAAGGGTGTGAATATAGACCTAGTCACATTTCCCCCTGATTCCGGAGAGACGCAAAGCTCAATCGATGTTCGAATTAGAGATCTTGATATTTTCGACCATGTGCCCACGTCAACATGGAAGAAATTTGCGACCTACGATCAAGATGCCGGTGAACGAGAGATGGGCACCAGTATGGTCCATCTAGAAATACTCAACGTCAAGCCAATTCCAGAATTGGCAGCATCTGAAATCGTATTGAAGGCTTCACTCCTGCCTCTCCGCCTGCACGTGGATCAGGATGCCTTGGACTTCATTACACGATTCTTCGAGTTTAAGGATGAGTCTGCTCCTGTCCATGCCTCGCCTAGCGACATACCATTTGTACAAAGGGCGGAAGTAAACTCAATACCCGTTAATCTTGACTTCAAGCCAAAGCGTGTCGACTATGCGGGGCTGCGATCCGGTCACACAACCGAATTCATGAACTTTTTGGTGCTTGATCAGGCACGAATGGTACTGAGACACACCATCATTTACGGTGTATCAGGGTTCGATAGACTCGGAAAGACACTCAATGATATTTGGATGCCTGATGTCAAGAAAACACAGCTTCCAGGCGTTCTTGCCGGTCTTGCCCCTGTCCGGTCTCTTGTTAACGTTGGGAGTGGCTTCAAAGATCTCGTTGAAATCCCTATCAAGGAATATAGGAAGGACGGCAGAATAATTCGCAGCATCAGCAAGGGAGCTGTCGCCTTCGCGAAGACTACGGGGACGGAGATCGTCAAGCTTGGGGCCAAAATAGCTGTTGGTACACAATATGCTCTACAGGGCGCCGAAGGTGTCCTTGTCAAGCAGCCGGAGTCTCGTGATATCTCAGGATGGGACGACGATGAATTGGATACCGAAGAACCGAAACAAATTAGTCTGTATGCTGATCAGCCAACAGGCGTAATGCAGGGACTAAGAGGTGCATACTCTAGCCTTGCCCGTGATCTCCACGTGGCAAAAGACGCAATTATAGCGGTCCCTGGGGAAGTGATGGAGAGTCAGAGCGCACAAGGAGCTGCCAAAGCTGTTCTTAAACGTGCTCCGACAATCATTTTCAGACCTCTCATCGGCTCAAGCAAAGCGATTGGGCAAACATTGATGGGAGCTACGAACGCATTAGACCCCCAGAACCAGAGGAGGGTAGAACAGGCAAGTGTATATCCAATTATCCATCAACAGCCCTAATACTAACCAATGTACAGAAATATAAACGATATTAATATTTATCTCGGGTGATACCCAGCATCTTTTAGGGAACGGAGTACGGATACAACTTGGGCCTTGCTTACGCTTACGTTCGACATTTGCATGGCATATGACACGACAATGCATCATAGACGGCGAAGAAATTGATTTTTGGTTGATGCTATAAATCATGAAATTGGCAGGACTTTGCAATTTTGGGTTACAATAGGGGTTCGGGGGCAAACCTCACCTTAGCATGTTGGTACTGCTTTGAATTCACCACTAATCTGTACTTAATGGACAGAGACGCATTTAGAACGTCAATGAGACGTTGCCTGATATAAATCTCAATAAATTTGTAGTAGAGCTGAAGCGAATAGTTACTTGCGAGTGTCGAGTTAACATTATAGATGTATTATTATTATGTAGTGGGTAGCGGATGACGGATATATCGATATACAACTATGCTACAATTATGCTAGCACAATGGTTTCTCGACGATCACGATACTTACAACTGTCGAGTCCTATTGCCAAGATGTTTTGGCGTCATCGAGCTTGAGGAAGCTCCTCTGCCCCTTTAACTCGGCCTATCATCATAGAACCCCCTTTTTCTCTTCTCTCCCCTTTCGATAACGGAAGAGTGGGTTTACGCTAGCAGATGCAATATGCGGGGTTGGGTATCTATACCGATACCGACTCCATTATATAATCATCAAGCTGGCGTCCGAGACATGAGCTCTCTCATCAATCCCTCTACTATCAGAAATTCTAACATACTCGAAGTAAACATGGATTCACAGGTCAAGTACCTCCTCTCACTCCAAGCCGTACGGGACCGTGCGAAGATCGTGGGAGAGGCGGCCGAGGCCGGGAACCTGACTCATTTCGACCTACACAAGGACAAGCTCGACGACGCCGCGGACTTCGTAACGTCCGTCATCAAGGTCTGGCCCATAATCAATGTCACATGATTGTAATAAGTTTATCAAAATGCGCTCACACTTTTTGGTTTCAGCGTGACTTCGGCCCGGACAAGTTCGACACGATTCCGCCGCACGGGCGCTGGCAGCACTTCGAGGTCGGCGGCGTGCCGCGCGTCGCGGACATGACGCGGGCGTGGAAGGAAGAAGGAGAAGGCGGCTGCGACGACGTCGAGCTCTCCCGCCGCCTGATCGACTTGTTCTTCGTCTCCGTGCTCCTGGACGCGGGAGCGGGCGACCACTGGCGCTTCGTCGAGCCCGGATCCGGCCGGACGTACGAGCGCAGCGAGGGGATTGCCGTGGTGAGCCTTTATATGTTTAAGGCTTTGGCTTTCACTGCTGAGAAGGAGGGGGGTATTCCTAAGGTCGATGGTATGATTGTTGATTTTCATTCTTTTTTGTCACGCTTGAGATTGGGACGGGTGTTCGCGTGTACTAATTTGGATGACTTGCAGGAAAGGGCCTAGAGCAGTTGACGACGGAGGCACTCACGGCAGGCTTCCAGGTGTCTGACAGCAACCCAATGCTCGGAGTCGAATCTCGTGCTGGACTTCTCAGGAGCCTGGGCAAATCTCTTCTCGCTCACTCCGACGTATTCGGAGCCGAAGGTCGCCCTGGAAATCTGGTTGGTAAGGTTTTCTTTTCTATATTTAAATCGTGCAATATCAATCAATCGCTAATGAACCTCCTAGACCATATGCTGAAAACCGCCGGCGACTCCTCGAAGCTTGATATCCTCATCTTCTGGGATGTCCTCCAAACCTTGCTCATCCCCATCTGGCCCCAGGATCGGACGACCGTCAACGGCTTTCCGATTGGCGACGCCTGGCCGCTGAGCACCCTACAGAAACAATCCAAGTCCACTGACAGCGCGGACCACATCCAACCCTTCCATAAGCTCACGCAATGGCTTACGTACTCGCTCATGGTGCCCTTCCAACGGGTCCTCGGGAAGCAATGGGTCAACGCCGAGTCCCTGACCGCCCTTCCCGAATACCGCAACGGTGGGTTGTTCGTGGACCTAGGTGTCTTATCCCTCAAAAAGGAGACGCTGGACAGAGGACTCGAGGTCTCCGGCCAATCACTTCCGCTCTTCGACGCGGGAGACGATGCTATTGTCGAATGGCGTGCCATGACGCTGGTCCTGATCGATATCTTGTACAAGAAGATCCTGGAGAGAATGGAGGGTGTAAGCTTATCCATGGCCCAGGTATTGGAGGCAGGAACATGGAAGTCGGGTCGTGAGGTGGCGGCACAGCGGAGACCAGAAACGAAGTCGAGCCCGATCATTATTAAGAGTGACGGCACAGTGTTTTAATAAGACTAGAGGATTGGGAGACGCATCTAAATTGTCTCGGGTAAATCTGATTATCAATGCAACCTAACCTAAGCTGTATTTAATTACGCTAGGTCTATGATATATAGTCACCACGTGCTGCCTGTGATTGTCCAAGTGAAGTGAGTTTGTGAATTTTGATAATTGTAAAAATGGCAATGGATAATTACTGCGTATATCATCTGGAAATTGAAGCTGAAAATTACCAGGGAACTACGTAGCCCTGTCGAGACTCCTATCCGCCGAAAAAAAGTTTGAGTCCTATCCTCAGACCAAAGCGATACTACAGTATCCATCCGAGGAGAGCACATAACACCCCCATAAGTATAAGTCGAATGGCTTGTCTCTTCAACGCAAGATAGCCCACTCACAAACAACGTTCCACCTTCCCTGCTCCGGAAGTGAAATTTCCCAGGTCGGTCTTCCCACACATACCACCACACCAGGACGTACATCCTGTCTCTTCTCTAACCCGGTAATCCTCGGACTCCCAGCAAGCACCATCCTCACACTTCTCATTCGTGTATCTCCCCTCTCAACGCCATTCCCACCACCACCATCCTCATCGCCATCGCCACCCTTCCCGCGACCCCCCTCAACCCCAATGCTCCGCCCAACAACGAGCGCCATCCCCGGCGCCTCCCTAACCTCCTCAACCCTAATCCTCGCAACCCACTCCCCATTCCCACCCCAACCCGCACCCCCATCACCACCAGCCCGCCTAGCCGCCGCCTCGGCCGCGACGCTAGCGCCGGCCCACGCGTCGACGAACCAGTCGCGGACCTCTGCCGCGAGGCCGCCGGGCGCGTACTTGGCGCCTTTACCCCCACGTTTGCCGCGGTGCGGCGAAAACGCGTCGGGTAGCGGATCGGCGGCTCCTCCTCTGCCGTGAAGGAGCTCTTCCGGGGACGCTTCCGCGGGCTTGAAGCGCGGCGCCTTGAGGAAGGTGGGCTGTTGCTGGGCGGAGGCTGGGGAGCGCGGGTTTATCGTCACGGGGGAGAGGGGTTGTGAGGAGGAGGGGTCTAGGAGGAGAGGGCGTTGCGTTGCGTCTGCGCCGTGCATGGGTAGGTCGTGGTCGCGGTCGTGGTCGAGATGATGCTGTGGAGACGCGTGCGTGTCGGAGCTGAAGTCCGAGGATATGGATATGCGGCGGCGTTTCGGAGAGCGGTGTCTCATGTCTGCTTCGCTTTCGCTGCTCTCCTCACGGTAGTAGTTATGCTCATAGTCATTAATATCACTTTCGACTCCAATTGGCGAGGACTCGGGCACGGCGTCGTCGTCGGTGTCTACATCGAAAACCTCGATCGGATCACCCCGGTGCCCACTACTCTCATCACCACCAGCTCGCTCAACGAAGGGCGGCGAGCTATCAATGACATCGTGAATCGGGTCCGTGGCCCGGGGCGTCGGACGGATGAACGACGGGGCTCCGGATCGAGCCGGGCCCGGCGTCGGGATGCTGGAAGATGGCCCTGCACCTCCTCCCCCTCCCGGCGGTCCCCTAGGCGTCGAGTGAAGGGAGAACCGCGGCGTGTTCTGGAACTGCTGACCACCGCTTTGGAACGCCTTCGGCGTCTCTGTCTTGGGCTGGGAGCGCTTCGGTACGAGGAAACGATGGGGCGTTGGGGTCTGACGTAGTTAGTTAGCAGTTATTTCTTGCCGTGACTGAATGGTTCTTACAGCCGGCGGCGGTGCCATGATTCGTCAATCATCAAGACATTGTCCACGTCAACCGATCTACTCGGGGATGATTCTTCCTACGTAAGTCCTAGGAAGCTTGAAGGTGGTGACGACACGTGCCTCAAGCTTTTGGGTTGAGCATATGGTTTTTCCATCATTGGTATCCCAGTCTCATTCTATCGGGAACACGTTAGAGAAGAAGAAAATATGTCTAGAGCTATATCTATTCACTGCATTTTAGATGAAACCTAGAGTTGCCTTAATAGTGATCATGGATGGTGAGAAGTGAAGACTTAAAATACAAAACCCCCGCGCGGTGGGCGATAGGTGTAACTTCCGCCATCCCGCCAAATCAATCTGAGGTATGTATCTATCAAGTGTTCCTTATGGCCTCTTCTTGCATAACTTATTATTGTTATTCATTTGTACTGTATAGTATCACCCGATAGGTGCATAAGCTAAATTGACTTGGCAGGATGGCGGATGTTGCGCCTATCGTCCAGGGCATGGAATCGGGAAGTGGCGAAACTTCGGCAAAGCTTGTGTAACCCCGTAACATGGACTGCTTCTTCCCCCCAATCTACGCTTTAAGGGGTTACTATACACTTTTCTAATATAGGCCTACATGAATAAACAATCATATCACAAGCAGTAACGTCTTCGTTATCAACTACAACAGATGTAAAGTCACATCAAATTAATCAAGACTAGATTTGCTCTGGGGTAATTGTCTCCCTATTCAGACATTTGGATGCCCTACGCCTACGCCTATGCCATGAAAACCAAGCACCAATCCCTGGAAGAGCCTATGTGAAAGCCTATGCGAAAGCAACGTCATATATACCTAAGTCCAGGAGATAGCCAGAGTAAAACCCCTTTCACTCTACTCAAACTTGCCACCCCCAAACAACCCGCCAACGACCTTTCCTCTCCCTTCCGCGCCCTTCCACTTCTTAGCCTCGCGCCTCTTCTCCGCGTCCGCGACTGCGGCCCGCCTCTCGTTTTCCCTCGCGAAGTAGTTAATACCTGAGCGCTTTCCCGCCGTCTTCTTCAGAAGCTTGCCATCCTCTCCCGCCTTGCTTAGACCTAAACCCGGACCTCCTGCGTTTCCGGTTGCGACGTTGCCGCCGCTAGACGACGTCGAGGAGCTGGATATGAGCGAGTTGGTCGTCGCGCGCCTGAGCAGCGCCGGGACCTTAAAGCCGCCGGAGCCGGACGCTGACGGTGCTGCAAACGCGAGGCGCGAGCTGCCGGCTGCGGAGAGCGAAGACGAGTCGCGCTTCATCTTGATGCGGTCTACTACTGCGACATCAGGAGTTCGGTTCTCCTTGTTCGAAGACGCTGTCTTTGGTCGTTCCTCGTCCTCCTCGTCGGAGCCTAGTTCCGTAGCAGGAATAATGGATGCGGCGGAACCGTTGGGCTCGTCGAGTAGATCGGACAATTCTCTTCTCACGTCGGTGATTGAAGTGGGACGAGTGCCGGCTTTCGTGCGTCGGGCGTTGGGTGGAGGACGTGGAGCGTGGTCACCCTCGTGAGCGCGCTTGCGTCCATCCGTAGGTTGACTATCCGGAATCGACTGCTCCGCTGCTGGCGTATCCTTCCTCTGTTCCTGGCTTTGGCTTTCCTCGCCCGTGCTCTCGTGCGCAGAATCCGGGACATTCTCACCAAAGTCCCATTCTTCGTCGCTGCCCAAGTCCTCTATACTCTTGAGGAACGCCGCGTTGCGTGAATTTTCGGCGATTTTGCTGATGCGCTCGTCCGCGTACAACGCCTTCCGCATCTTGGCGAATTGGCGCTGCTTCATGCGTCGTCGGGCCTCGCCCTCATCGTCAGAGTCCGAGAGGTCGTAGTCGTGATTGCCACCACCACGGCGACGCTTGCGTAGCATGCCGGTTGTAATATCATGGAATAGCTTGTCCACCTGGGCCGCATCCGCTGCACGTTCTCGATCACTGTATAAATGTAAGCTTACGTTTTGGGGGAGAGGAAAATAACAGTCACTTACGCATAGAAACCAGCCAGTTTCGCGTCGTCGACGTTATTGCCAACAGCATCGTCAATCATCTCTTTGACCAGTTCCTCGTCTTCGTCGCTCGAGTCTTCACCATCAACCCCGCCAAGACCTGCGTACTCGTCCTCGGACTCCTCGGCTTGCTCCTCGACCATTTCATTAGCCTTGCTCTTTTTCTTGTCGAACTTCTCCTGCATGCGCTTCTTCCTCTTGGCTGCCTTTTCCATCACCTTGAACGCGCTCGCTGCTGCATTCGCACCCGCTTCGGGGTCTCTGGAAGCGGGACTAGGGCTTCCAGGAACCTCGGGGTATGCTAAGGTGGAAGATGCCAAGGTTGAAGGCCTACGACGTATTAACCTTCCCCCTCTTTTCACGAGAGGAGAGTCTTCGATGGTCTCGTAGTCGGGTATCTCGCTAGGTAATACTGTATCAACTGTAGATTGGGGCGCATCGACAAATCGCTGCTTAAGTGGAGAGAAGTCTTGGAAACCGCCATCTTGAGTAGGCTCAATGAAGTCTGTCATTTGTGTTGCGTCCATCTGTATCAATGTATCGAAGCCGTGCGCTTGCGACTGCGAAAAATGCAGTTGTACGCCTTGAGTCTGCGTTTCACGCGCTTGGGTTTCTAGATTTTGCTCCTTCTGGCTGTCAAGAACCATGTCATTCTGGGATTGACCTGCCGTGGCGGAGAATTGGGAGTCGGGGAAATTGTCAATACTGGCAGTAAACTGCATCGGAGATCCGTTGATTGGCCCGCCTTGACTATCGTCCATGGTACCGGCGAAAATCTGGGTAAGTCCAAGACCTGCTGGCGCTGCTACAGGAACGGGGAGTCCGGGAATGAAGGTCTTCGTGGCGGATCGCAAGACAGACGTTGGGACCTTTGGAGAGCTTGAGTGAGTAGCAGATGGAGATTTCCAGTGACTAACTTTGGGTTTCGGAGTCGCTTCTACTTCATCCTCGTCATCTGAAACGATTTGCACATGTTTCTTTGATCGGCGGGACTTTATCGCCGGGAGTTCATCATCTGCCTCGTCGTCGGAAGCAATAGCTTGGGTTTTGGCCTTTGGCGTCTGTTGCTCTTCAGATTCACCACCTTCCTCTGCTTCGTTCTCAAACATAGGATTTGCTGTAGATTCGTCTTCGTCTTCGTCCTCAGCATCATCCATCTCGTCATCTTCATCTCCCTCTTCTTCCGATCCAGAAAGTTCAACCTCGGCCGGTTTCTCTTTCTCACTTTCCTCATAACTATCGTCGTCACTATCGTCCCAAGCCAGAGGATCGTTTTCACCCTCCTCCTTTCTCTCTTTCCGTGTCTTCTTAGCATCCTCGCGTTCTCGTTGCATGATTTCCTCGACCTCTTGGCGGGCTCGAGCAACGATATCTTCAACCTGGTCTCTTTCTCGCTGGCGTTCTTCTTCAGTCAGGACATTGATACCCTTGGATCGCAACAGTTCTAAACGTCGATCTCGCTCCAATTTGGCCTGAGCTCTGGCGCGTTGTTGTAGAGACATCTGAAGCTCGGCGGGGGTCATCGATGGTTTGGCTTTGCGGCCACGCGTAGGTTCTCTCGGGGGTGAGGAGAGATGGGCGAGACGACGTAAAATATTCATAGAATTGGATTCCTGTGCCTTCTTTTCGGGGAGTTTGTTAAAGATCGAATCCATTCGGCCCTTCTTCGAGTTAGTAATTTCTAGCTCGTCATCAGAATCTATCGCGACCAAGTTTGCCTGTATTGGAGGCATCTTGACGCGAACTTGGCGTCTTGGCTTGGCTGCTGCTGTTTTCGTCTCCGAAGGTACGGCTATAGACTCGACGGCCTTGCCTTTGCCCTTATCTTCCTTCTTGCTTTGCGCCAATGCATCCTCTAGGCTAGGCAACTCATCATCGTCCTCTCCTAATACATTATTTATCTGCACGCTCGTAGTTTGAACCGTGGGCGTAGCGTCGTTATCCTGTACAGATTTTGGGGCCAGCGGTGGAGAACTTGGAGGAGTTCCAGCATCTACCATATCAGCATCAGTATGCTGTGAGCCCGGGGTCGTTGGCCTGCTCGAACTGGTCGGCTTGTTATCACTAGGCGCCGTTTCCTTTCTGAAATTGAAACGCTCAAATAACGAATCTTTGGTTATCTTTTTCTTGGTCTTGGCTTCGTGAGCAAGTTGCAAGCTTCGACTTATTCGTTGCGTCTCTCGATTCATTTCTTCTAAAGCCTTCTTGCTAGCCTTGCGAGCAGCAGGACGGGAAACAATTTGCGTGAGTTGACGGCCGCCATCATCGTCAGTGATATCAGATACGTCGTCGTCGACTTCCGATTCGGCGGGCATCTGCTCAGCCATTCGTTTAGCACGTTCTTCGTCCTTGCGCTTCTTTTCTGCCTCCTTAGCAAGCCTTTCTTCCCGCTTCTTAGCTACTAGTGCCATGAAGCGTTCACTCTTTCCTGCAATTTGCGGCAATTCATCGTCCGTATCAGGCTCGGCTACGGATTGACGGAGAGCTACAGGGGTTTCGGGAGCCGGGGTGACGAAAAGACCAGGTGATGGGGGCGTCTCTGAGTCTGCCGTAACTTCTGGTGTAGCTTGTCGATTGGGTCTGGCTAGTCGTCTACGCGGTAGGGCGCTAATATCTTCCTCGTCATTATCCGCATTCGTTGATTCGTTGTTATCCTCATTGTTGTTCTGCGTCTTGGCCGACTTGTTTGTGTCATCGGCTCTCATTCGTCCGGCGAGTCGTCCCCGAGGTCTGATAATCTCTTCCTCTTCATCTTCATCATCACCACTCTCAACATCCTGTGTAACCGCGCTGGCCTTGTCGGCGGATTTGAACAAAGTCTTTGGGTCAATTGGGCTATCAGACTCATCATCTGAGTCTGCATCATTTACGGTCGCCAACAAAGCCTTGATCTTGGACCGAGGAGATAATTGCGGTGATGTAGGAGCGGAAGTGCCCTCGGCAGGCGACGGTGATCGAGTAGAAGCCATTGTAGATAGTAATACTCGATAGGTTCGGAAATCGAATTAAACTTTTTGGTCTTATGAAGACATTATGATTGAGAATTGATATCTTAATTGGCAATTCTAATCATGCAGTTTATGTTTGTTGGTTAAAACAGTGTATGTGTATGTGGGGGCTGGAGCAATTACATATTAAAGTAGCCCTGGAGCTTCCCCTTGTACGCGCTTTGACTTTGACGAGACGCGTATTTCGCGTCAAGCTCCGCGACTCATATGCAACAATCCGATAAATTATGGGGCCACCTAAACATCATCCTATCAACCAATGTGAATTTACAAGGACTTAAAAGTCTTAAAGACATTCAATGGCTTTAGCTATTACATAATATTCTCTTAGCCGTTTTGATTTCATCTATTTTATGTTGTCACTTAGTCAAGTCTTATGTAAGGTCATGTAGAATGTGCATAGCATTATAGCTTATACTGAGGCTCTTGCTGATTTATCCACAAAGCAACGTGATCTAGCAAGAAATCGGGGAAGGTGCTTCCTACATAATAATGTAGGGGGTATCGGTGCAATAGAGTACATATCCGCCAAAGAGCAAACGCCGAAAACCAGCCGCCGTCGTCCTCGTTTTCAGTGTTCATACAGCCCAAAGCAATGCAACCGAAAAATAACGCCTTAATGCCAATGCTAATGCGAACCACATAATCCCGATGAATATGTTTTTGGGGTACGTAATGTACGTAGGTGAGACCACCCAAAAGACAATGTCTCATCCCGGCCACTTAAGGCTTGTAACCATTCAAGTGCTGTCATCATGCGTCCTGTGGCACACGACCTACCTTATAAATTGCGTCTTCCCGGAAGCCTAGGAAGGTTGACGATATGCTGATCCATTTAGACTTGGTGCTTGCTAGATATGCTCATTCCGTGATTGCACATTTATATCATCCGGATTAGATTTTTGAAAAGCTTCGGAGACGCCGGAGGTCGGGGGGAATTCGGGAATTTTCGCTGTTTTAGGAGATACTTAGGTTTGTCCTGCTCCTCGTAAGATAAAGATATTGTTCGCTAACGATTTTTCATCGTGTTCAACGTCTGTTCTTCTCCCCTACTCCTAGGGGACCGCTAAGCATGAATCCAAAATACCATCGAGCATCGACAAATCCTGAGGACTTGTACCCTCCCACGTCGGAGGCTCATCGTCGATATCCATCGGCTCGGGATAGGTGTTACCGTTCGTAATAGCGTGAACGCCACTGCCGTTGCCATTAACATTATCCGTACCGGAATCTTCGTAATCTATCGGCTTGCGGCCGTGGAGCCATGTGTAGTTGTTGTAGTGCTCCAATTCGCCATCCCTGTAAGTGTATAACACCGACTTCTTAATAATAGGGAAAGTGCTGATGCCACAATCACCAATTTCCAAGGCAAGTCGTAGATCAGCCATACTGAGTGGGGGTCTTTCACTTGCAGCTTTAGCCTCGACAGGCAACAGTCCGCTCTTGTCACGGGTCAACTCCCCTCTGCTAAATGCAGCCTCTTCTCGCCTTAGTTGTCGACGATATTTATGGGTTTGGATCCAACTGGTTCCGGAACCGAATCCGGCACTCCCTGAATCGCCAGGACCATTGCACCTGGTTCTTGCAAACACTGTTGACAGGAATTCTTTAATGAAAGTCTCAGCAGCGACGGTCATGAATTGAGCAGCATCCGAACCATGACCATTAACAAGCCCCGTTTCGTAACATATGGGTAACATTCTCGACTCGATGCTCGCCATGTCCGGAAATTCACCTGACTCTACGGCCAAAGGCTGGGTGAATCGCTTGCGAATTTCGAGGTCCCAATCTAATCTGGTTAGGACGAACTTCCTTCGGTTGGGATGGAAAGCACTTACTCATCTTGTTCAAGTCATTGTTAGCACTCTGAGGTATGTCCGGGGCGCGCGTAGCTCGGCCCCGGTGGTGCTCTGTGAACATATTTGCCATAGACTCGAAGGGATCAAACTACACAAAACATTAGCGACTATAGACATGAATAAGAAGCACGAGGTAAGATCACGAACATCGTTCTGTGCCAATTCCTTGATACGACGTCTATCACGGCTCGGAAGCTGCATAACCTCTCCCTTCAACCTCCGTTCGGCAGCATCACCCGTGACGGGTTTTGTACCGACGTTGGTAGTAGGTTTATCGTTCGCGGAAACCCATGGTGCAACACCTTGATCTGGCATCTCTCTCGTGAGGTTTCCATATATGGCAGCAAGAAGCTGGTTGTGCAGATGACTCTTGTCGCCATTGGCGGAGAATAAGATGGGATCGATACGCTCGGAATATTCCACCTGGTTCAACCGGCCTATAAAGAAAATGAGTAAGTGAACCTGACCTTCACACAGCCAAATAGCCAACCAATTTAGACAAAGACGAACCAAGTATAAACTGGGTAGTGGATTCTTTGTAGATGTTCCATTGTTCGTTGCCAATGGCCGATTTTAGAGCAGTGTATAGCGGTTCGAGATCGATGCGGGCCGGGATTATCTGGCTAGTCTTTGTAACTTTCTGCGTCGTAGGGGCGGAAACGGTAATAGATTTAAGAGTCGGAGTGGAAAGGGTGATAGAAGGGCGGCTCAAGGCCGCAGGATCTATGTCGGGCATGTTGGAGGAAATACGGGGATTTGGAATGGACGGTGTGGTGCGGTGGGTTGGCGGATTGTCGATTTGATGGCCCAATTCGGAAATGTTGATAGTTGGTGATACGGTTATGAGTAATGGGGTATAGGGCAATATGACGAGGCGCGAAGTTGGGCGGATTTGTTGTGTATGCGCAGGATGTCGCGTGCGGGCTATGAGCACAGCGCAGCTCGAAAAAAGGGTTTAAAACCCATTCATCGAGTGCGTCAGGTCAATGCGATCCGAACTAGAATTTTTAAATGATAAAAAAATATAAATAGGATGTTGTTATTTGATGGAAAATCCGTCGCCTTTCTGTTATCCATTAAGCGGGAGGTTTGGGGTTTGTCTACTGGGTAAGTTCAAGGTTGGAAATCAGTGTAGAATGAGCTGCGCTTCGTCAGAGGCAGCATTTGATTGGGGTTTCTGGGGATAAAGTGGGTCTGACAGGGCATCATCGTCTTGTACTTAGTACATCTGCGCTAGTCCCAAGTGGTGTAGAGCTTATATGGTTCCCTAAGTAATCAGTACTCGACAAAGCTTGTGTAGCGCCTTTGCGGCTGGTCGGTGCTTCCAACCTTGTTACCCGAACGCCAAAGTTATGTTACCAGGCGCTGCAGGCGCTACCCCAATGCTGTTGGTGTTACCTACTAGCCAACCTAGCCCCTCCATTATTGTCTTTTTTAAGTATTTCATACGTCGCGTCGCGTGTCGACACATAGTAGTAAGTGGTAACTACACATACGAATATATCGTCTTGAATACCTAGTACCTGAGTTTCTTGCACTCATAGCCATACTCATATTCGGCGCCGCATCTTATGAGCTAGCATCTCATTCTAATTGACGACGGCGTATCAAAATGACACAATGTCTGGGTCAAATCAGGACCGGACGAAACGAGTCGATCTTAGTATCAATCGCTTGATTTCGCAGCTGATACCTGATGACCTCCGCTTGAGCGACGAAGATGCGCAGCAGAGACATGACTTATTCTTTGACGAGATCAAGAAACAGTTAAACGAGTGAGATACTATGCATATATGTACATTTTAATATTATACAATTGTTAACATCATCGCTAGACCTAGACCGCCTCCTCTTGCCGACCAAAATCATGCTTCCGAACTTATCAGGCGAAGACTGGTTCAAACGAACCCGAACCAGGCCTTGCGCTATTCCAATCTTTACTCGAGGTTGTTGGCGCTGCCTGTACTAAACCAGAAATGGGCAATGTTGTACTTGCTCTACCAATTGGCCGACTCGCCTGATCCTAGTGAACCTGACCCCATTGCCTTCGCTGAATTTCAGCAGGAGCAAGCCAAGCGAAGAAAGCAAGAGGAAAGAGAGGAGTTCGGCGCCTCGGCTGGTCCTTCCAATCAAGGAGGTTCCAAGACACATAAACGTGGCAGAGACTCTGACAACTACAATCCTACCGAACTTCGAGATGTACTGAAAAATCCAAAAGAGATGAAGTCCGTTGATGGTGATCAACCGCGGCCTACCACAAGCACCAGCGACTATAAACGTAATAGAACACCCAGGGATTCTGCACCAACCACGCCCAAGCGAGATGTTGCCATAAAGTCAAAGCTACTGGCAGACAATTACTCCGATATCGACCCTTCTGAACCTGCTCTCCTCCGAGATCTCCCGTATACCCTTCAGGGGCTTTCCTCTACTACTCTCCCATTTGGCAAAGACTACTCCCTTAGGCTACCTTCTACTCTCCCTCCTCCTATAATAGGTATTCTCCATTCACTGGCTGAGCCATCCCTTCTCTACCGTACCCTTGAGGATTTCGTTAAGACCCCCACCAAAGGGCTTGTAGGCCAAAGTCTTCGGGCAGCTATAAGCAACGAATTACGCTCATACCTAACACTCGTAGCAACACTAGAAGGCCAAATTCGACGTGCATTGTCTACTATATCCGAAAATGCCCCTAGAAGCGGCATCGGAAAGGCTGGCGTCACCCTAAAGCGTTGTGTCGTCTGGACGCGCGAAGCAACTATGGGTCTGCGTCTTATGACCATGATCGCCGAAGAATCCAAGAGTAAAAAAGGTGGCCAGCTCATCACCTTAATTCATGGGCTTTCTTCGTCCCATGGCGACCCCGTAGTTGGCGCATTCGCCGAGCGTCTACTCATGCCTGTAACTCGCCCTTTCTACGACATACTACGCCACTGGATCTACGATGGCGAGCTCTCAGACCCATACCTCGAATTCTTCGTGCAAGAACAGTCGTTAGATACCATGCCCAAAGGTAAATCGGGATCTACCAACGTATGGGAGGATAAATATTTCTTGGAACCCGACATGACGCCCTCCATCATCACCGAGGAGTTCTCCGAGAAGGTCTTCCTGATCGGCAAGTCGCTCAACTTCATCCGCCACAGCTGTGGTGACGCCCAGTGGGTCGAGTCATACTCGAAAGAGTCCTCCAAGGAGCTCCGCTACGGCGACACTGCTACCTTGGAAACTTGGATCGATGAGGCTTACAAGACGACCATGCGCCGCTTACTACACCTCATGACCAACAAGTTCCACTTATTCGAGCACTTACAAGCTCTCAAGAGCTACATCCTGCTGGGTCAGGGCGACTTCATCGCGCTGCTCATGGAATCGCTGGCTGCTAACCTCGACCGCCCGGCCGGCGCCCAATATCGGCACACTTTGACGGCCCAGCTCGAACATGCCATCCGCGGCTCTAACGCACAGTACGACTCCCCCGAGGTTCTACGCCGCCTCGATGCCCGCATGCTACAGCTGTCGCACGGGGATATCGGCTGGGACTGTTTTACGCTCGAGTACAAGATCGACGCCCCTGTCGACGTCGTCATTTCCGACTGGGGCAACCGCCAGTACCTCAAGGTGTTCAACTTCCTGTGGCGTATCAAGCGCGTCGAGTTCGCCTTGTCGTCCACCTGGCGCAAGGTCACCACCGGTTCGCGCGGCGTCCTGCAGACGAACCATGCCTCCGTGGCCCAGGCCTGGAAGACGACGCGCGGGTTCTTGGCGGAGATGGTGCATTTTGTGGGACAACTCCAATACTATATCTTGTTCGAGGTCATCGAGAGCTCTTGGACCGAGCTCCAGGAGAAGCTAAAGAAGGAGAACGCGACCCTAGACGACGTCATCTTCGCCCACAGCAACTACCTCAACTCCATCACGCACAAGGGCCTGCTCGGCGCCCGCCGCCGCCGCTTCGTGTCCACTTCCGCGGCCAACATCAGCAACCCCAGCGTCGATGAGGACGATAACAGCTACATGATCCAACTAGGCGAGCTGCTGCGCACCATGCTCGCGTACCGCGACTGCGTCGACGGCCTGTACTCGTGGTCCGTGTCGGACTTCATGCAGCGCCAGGAAGCCGACCTGCGGCACGAGCCCGCGACCCCTGACGACGACGACGAAACCCCGGGAGGGCCCCACAGCGAGTTCCCAGCCCTGCAGGAGCGCCTCAAACACCTCGGGGACAGGTTCCGGACGAAGCTGCAGATACTTCTCGGGGACCTCGCCTACCAACCCGACGTCGACCTCAGGTTCCTGGGCGTCGCAATGAACTTTAACGACGTTTACCAGCCCGTGCGCCGCAAGCCTAAGGGCACGCCTGGGCCGGCAACCGCGATGAAAGGGGGCGGCGACGGGGCGTCGGCTATGGCTGGGAAGGGCGTGGCTAAGGGCTGAAATAGGCTGATGTCTGGTAACAACACGAAGCAACATTAACCAAGACATGCGGTGCTGAACACCTCCCTAGTAGGCCAACTTATCGCCGGCTTATCAGCTGCTCTGCCATAAGTCGAATCCACCTACTCTATGTACCTATACGGGTCCAACTCGTATCCGTATGGCAGGGGTGTCGAGGCGTCTCGAACTGAGGCTACGAGTAATAGATAAACAGAAGAAAGAGGAGAAAAGAAAAGAAAAGAAAACTCGCGTTTTTTTTTTTTTTTTTTTTTTTTGCTTTACGGCCGAGAGATGATGTAACGTAACGAAAAGGCGTGAAACAAAGTTGGGTTTGTCTACGATATTACGATGCACAGAATGGCGGGCGGGATCTAGGCGGTTGGCGGAGTTGGTAGATAGGTAGGCAGCTTACCGATTAGCCTACGAAGACGAGACGATCAAGTGATCGTAGTCGGCTGGTTGGGGCTATGGCAACTTGCGCCTTGGTAGCTGGTTTAGGTGATCGGGAGACTTACCTCGGAGTGAGTGTCCAGCATACATGTATCTAACCTTACTATCAATGAGAGCCGCTTCTATGAACGAGCTGACTTAATATTCACACTTTAAACCCGCCACAAAACATTCATTACGTAGGTACCAATGACAATTAATAACAAGTCAAGAGCATTACTACCAGTAGTGGTATCAGTCTTACGACCTAATCAGTAGGCGAAAACACGCACGCAAATCACTTAGAGAGGAACACAAGAACCAAGATTTGATATCAGCAAAAATCATAGCATTTCGTCATTCGTAAATGAAGTTCGTTAAACCGAGGACGTTCCGACCATTCCCCGTTTCCCTTCGAACATGACGATTCCCGTAGGCTGAAAGGGGGACTTTTCCGAGGGAACTTTTCCGTTCTATATTTACATACACATCGTTGTGATGATGCCTGTTCTAGCAAAGAACGCCTTCCCTTTCCCCCCCAAATGCCTATCGTATCATTAAACGCCCCTTTTTTTCCCTTTCGTTCCATGCCGTGGTGAAATCTCAAGTTGGAAACGCTCAACTTGTCATTTAAAACGAATCCAGATTCCACCCTTCCATTAATAACGCCAGTATAAAACGGGCCCGGTCTCAAATTCGCGTCCATGGTACAATGTCCCTTTGGCTAAGGTTATTGGAAAGGGGAAATTATTTGATCAACGGTGTTTTCGAACGATCAAAAATTTCTTGTTGGAATGTTGGGAGTACCAAGGACCAAAGGATGGCCCAAAAAGTCCTGACGAGGTCACCAAGGCCAAGACCAAGGTGACTGTACTAAAATGATGTTGGTGACGTTGATGATGTTGATGTGTGTCGTGATTTTCGTTCGGATATGGTACCAAGTTATGCATCGTTCGAGACGCAAAAGGTAAGGCATGCCAACTATCTCCAGTATGGCTCAAATACCTCCTAGGCCAAACCGGCCCATAACCCCTACAACTTCATGATATCCTGCCACATTGGCCGATATGTGCAAGACAAACCAAACTGTTGCCGTTGCGTCTTCAAATACCTCCCCATAGCCAGTTGTCACACCAGATTTAGCAAGATTTGTTGAGTTCTGTGAATATGATTGATGACTCGAACGATGCGCTTAGACATCGGTCATCTCCGTATCCAGGGAGAGAGTACTAGACACCTCGTCTGCAGGACCCCAGTTTCCCTCGAATACAGTTGCGGCTGCTTTTTGACGACTCGCGACCCAGTTGACTGCTTGTAGACTAAGCAGATGGAAGATGTTAGGTCGATACACGGGGTCCGGAGCCAACATCGACTTGATAATGACATCGAGAGACTCAGGGTGGTTAGGATCCCTCATAAAGTCCGGCGGATGTTGTAGCTCGTTCTTGCGGCTCAGGCCGAAGATGTCTGCTGACTGTCGGGATCGGAAGTTGTACGCGCGGCGAGGCTGATTTGCACCATGACTCTCACCGAACAAGTTAGCGTTGCGATCGCCGTCATCAAGTGGCATGCCGTTAGCATCTCGCGCAATTGGTGTCGAGTCTGCATCTTGAGTCATGGTTGGGACTTCAGAGAAGTCTCCTTCTCTCAGAGCAGTCCAGGTCGCTCCGTTTTCAGGGAGCTTGACATTAGCCGCGATCTCCAGCATGATCAGGCCGAGAGAAAATACATCAGCGGCTTGGCTGATCTCAGATCGAAGGGCCTCGGGAGCCATGTACTCGCGATCGCCTTCGATATCGGGTCCTCTTTCCAAAGGCAACGCAGTCGTCAATCCGAAATCGCCGATTTTCAAGGTGCCTTCAAAGTTGATGAAGATGTTGGCGGGCTTCAAGTCGAGGTGAATATACCCCGCCGTATGAATGCTCCTCAATCCCTGTTCGAAACGTTAGTTACCGCACACGCCCTATCCGACTATTGAGCACATACCTTGCCAATCTCGAGAAGGATCTTCCAAATTCTGAAATCATCAAGTCGGCCCTTCAAACCAACAAAGGACAGAAAGGCGTCGAGGCTACCCTCTTCACAGTACTCGGTCTGGATGTAGAGGCATTGGCTCTCCTCCCAGCTATCGACGAGCTGAAGAACGTGGTCACAGCCTCTCAGATTCTCCAATACGCACACCTCTCGGCGTCGATGGGCCCTGTCCTTCTTACCTTGGATCGGCACAGTGAGCTTCTTCACTGCATAGACCTTTCCCGACGAAGGAGAGCAAGGGCTTCGGTGAGTAGGAGTACTGAAGTAGCCTTGCTGAGACATTCTCGGCTGACTAGACTGGGTGACCTTGTACACACACGAGAATTCACCCTTACCCAGAAACTCGACCTTACCAAAACGCGCAATGAGTTCCTCGTCCACGTCGTGAGTTGGTAAACCGTTAATAGGGGTAATAGCCCGTCGCTCAAGAAATATAGGGGCATTGCCTTGTCGCGTAGTCGGCGTGGCAGGGAGGTTCAAGTTTCGGTCGCTGGCGAGTGGGGAGTTATCCGCAGCATTGGAAATAGACAGACCGCTCGCATCGGGAGGCACAATATTTCCCTGGGGGGTTCGGGGGGATGCCTTCTCAGCAAATTCCAGTCGCTCCAATGGGCTTGCTGGAATTACGGGGTTCATCTTAGCAAACTCAACTTGTACAGGCATAGGGGGTAATTCAAGGGCTGGAGTAGAATAGACCTTGAGCGGCCCAGGCTTTCCATCTGGGCTTGACGGCTCATAGTGAACATGCACTTCTTCGCGGATTTCTCCGCCACCTAGTGGCGTGAGGTAGAAGGGAGTATGCGGTCCCCAAACGAGAGGAACTGTTGCACTGTAAAGGCGTGGTTGTTTTGGATTATACTTACAGCTAGCAGCTGCGTCACGCTGCATGGCCATACCTGATCCAACTACCGACAGAGGAGGGAGACGTCGGTTAGCCGTGGGGCTCGCGTTCGAAGTACGAGTCAATCTGCTAGAACCTCGCGGTACAGTGCTCTGCTTCGTGGGCGTCGGCGGGAAGTCTCCGTCGTTGCTAGTGTCACTACCGCAAGCTCTTCGAGAGGGACTTCGGCCATCATCGCCATACAAGCTAAGTAGACTTTCCTTGCGAGAAAGAGTAGAGAATCCGTTGAACAAGACGGGTCGCGGTTGTTCGCTGAAGAAGTTCGTCGATCGGTTCGGCGTGGTAAGGTCGAACGGAGTCGACGGTACACCAAAGGTGTGTCGCATGCGTCGGCCTCTAGCCTTAGCGTTGCTTGTCAAGGGCTGCATAGGTGGGTACGTAGCGAAACTATTAGCATGCTTCTTGCAAGGCGTGTCGGGAACAGCACCAAAGCCACTATTGGCAGGGGCCAGTTCTGGATTGCGATTCATCTTAGACACTAAGCCGGTAGATGCAAAAGCTCCCTCATACGGCCTGTCGCTCTTATAGTCAGGAGTAGAGATGCCAGCAGAACCAAACTTATCCGGCTGTGGGCGAACAGCACCGACAGGCAAGCTCTTGGAGAAGTTCATGGGCGCTCTAGACTTCTCGGCGATTGGCATTGGGAACTGCGTGGGCGAATCGCTGGTTTGACCCGAGCTAGAAGACGACGTCGTCATGGTGCGAGAGAGAGGATGCGGCTGATGGCTTTGCTGCATGAACATCTGCGGCTGGACCTGTTGTGGCGCCGGGGTGGGCGGTGGTGCCGGCAAGCCAAATGCGGCCGAGGCAGGTGGCACGAAGTGTTCCACAGACAGACGCGGACGGTTCTTGCCGTTCGGGGTCGTGGTTCCGTTGGGAGACTGCTGAGCTGCCTGACGTCTTCCCCATGACGTTCGTTCGCGCTGAGGGGTAGTAACTTCGCCAGCATTCTGAGCTAGTTGTTGAGCAGCATTGCGCTTACCCCAAGATGTGCGCTCACGTTGCTGAAGAGTAGACTTTCGTAGAGAACCCGCTCTGCGCACGGGCGCGGCAGGTGGTGTGAATGAAATCAACGGCTCGGTGACGTTAGTAGAGCTGGGACTTGTCCAGTCGTATTCACGAGAAGAATCATCCTGCTCCTGGTTTGGCGAGGTAGCGCCAGCTTGATCGAACACATTGAAGTCAAGGTTCATGGTAGCTGGGCCATAGCTACGTCGCTTCGGGTTAGGACTTCCCGACAGGGTCTGGTCGAGGTTCATTGAAGCATCGCTTCGCTTGAGAGGACTTGCGACAGAAGTCATAGTAGTAGTGGTGGTGGTGGTGTTTCCGTCGCTGAATCGAGCCAAGCTCAATTGCGAGGACGAACCACTCATGTCGAGATGCATGCTGTGCCGATTTGCAGCTTTTTCAGCTGCCTTGCGTGATACAGGACTGCGGGTGCGAAAGATGTTTAGGTTTTCTTGACCAGGTAATGTCTCGATTGAAGAGGGTGGTGATTGACTGGAATTACTACTAGAGGTGGAAGAAACCTGACTCAAAACTCGCCTAGAGGGGCTTTTGGGTGATGTGCGATGTCGCGAAAATGGTTTGTTTGATGAGGCGGGACTCTTGGCTGCTTTCGCAGATCTTAGAGATAATTTCGCATTTGGCCGAAAAGGCGTCGCGAGTGGTGATTGAGTGTGGGGGGTATGGGGTTGGTTACCACAGGGTGAGTTCTGTCCGAAAAATTGGGACTGAACGCGCCTAATTGATGGAGATGAAGGTGAAGATCCAGTATCTGAACTACTTTGAGATGAAGTTCGAAGAGGAAATTTAGAAGGTGACCGCGAAAGAGAACTTCGTACAGATCGAAGGCCTGCTTGCACGTCCACAATATGATGATGATGTGGGTGTGTTGGAGATGGAAGAGTTAGAGTGCCACCACTGTTAGACATCTTGAAAGGGAAAAGAGCTCATGTGAGTCAAAAGCCAGCCGGAAGATTCTCTCAGTTCGAGGTCGGTTTGCGCGACAGGTCGTAGCTCAGTGTCGACAAGTAGATGATCGGCGAGGCTTTATATCCGATTTCTTAGTGATGCCAAAAAGCGTCGACGGTTGTTGTAAGTTTTGGGTGCCAGCAATGACGGAGAACGTCGAAAAACAGGTTGGTAGTAGAAAACCGAAGTGATAAAGGTCGTTGAAAAATAGACTATAGTAGAGAATCGTAAAGAGGATCGTTCGTAAGAGGCTGAAACCAGAGTTTGGTTCAGATGCTGCTAGTTGCTAGGTAACTCGACGACGACGACGACAGCGATAAAAGGTACAACCGATTTGGTGGTGGTGTAGACGATTGATACTCGTAATTCGCAGTTCGTGGCTCGAGACAGAGGAATGCAGCGCAGTGCGATTAATTAATCAGGATCATGTGGAATGTCAATCCAGGCAAGGGCAAGAAGAAGACAATTCTTCAACGGCTCATGCTGGATCAAGTTATAAGTTGGAAAGAGAAAAAAAAACGTCTGCCTATCTCCCTTTCCCCAGCAACAACGCCCAAGCTTTAAAGTGAAGCCTTAAGCTTTCTCCCAATCACACACTAAGAAATCTTAACGCCGTATACGGATGCGCCATTCAGTTTGTGCAGCGCAGTAGTCGCAGAGGAGGGCGGCAAAGAGAAGAGGGCGGCAGTGAAGCGTCTCGTGTATGTATGTAGTTATCTTGGGTTTCGTCGAAGCGCGCACCTCCTGACAGATCAACTGTATTTTGTGGCGAATTTGCAGGAAAAAGATGGAGATCAGGGGAGTTTGACGAGGTTGGATTTTGGTTGGACTTTGGAGGGAAAAGGAGCGGTCGGAAGAAAGATGCCAAGTTTTAGTTAAGATGCTGAGGTACAGTACCTATTACAGTACATTTAGCTCACTAAACCTCACTAGATCGAGTAGGGTAATTAGCTGTATTTGGGTATTTTAGAGCGCGTTTTGTTTATTTCGAGACGCGTAATTGTGGGGCAAGTGCTCCTCCAAGCAGGTACGTCCCTCTATACTTAGGTACCCTACCCTTGTCAAATTCAAGACTGTGCGTCGACACATCTAGCCTGCACAAGTATATGTGTCTATGTATGTACAGTCGTACTTTCCACACAAAAGTCGTTCCTTTCTACGGTAATCCACTGACCGCCTCCTGCTAACCTAGGGGACTTTCTACGAAGCTGCAGATGCATGTCCCCTTATAATTAACAAGCGCTGAATTAAGGAAATTTTTGTGTTTCTCATAAGGTGCTAAGTTTGCGAGTTTGGAGGCGATGTGTATACGCGTTGTTGGTTGATCGGTCATTAAGGCAATTTTTCTGCCCAGTAATGGATATTAAATTTAATACCTAGCTAATCAGGTAATCAATACAATTGTGTTCAACGTCAGGTCCCAACTCATGCAACGATTAACATTGAAACGTCAATATGTGGTGTGTGGTACGTATAGTACCCTAAGATACAACATTGGTAAAAGGAAGGGGGAAGGGGCAGGGGACCTAGGGCTAAACTGATCTGTGGGAAAAGAAAGAAAGCCACATGTCGGGGGGTATTGATCATGTCGTCTGATGCGCGCGCTGATCCGGACCCTACCATTTTAAGTACTCAGGTACATGTAAATACCCACATTCTACCCTTGAGAATGGACGTGCAGCTGCAGCTTCCTTAGGTAAGGTAGGTCAGTGAGGTCAGGTCCCCTACGACCTTTCTGGTCTAGCTAAGGTATCCTTGGTAAGGTATCTTGACCAACCTTTTTTCTCGACTGGACATGGAGAGCCCATGGAGCGTCGATTCCACGCCTCCATGTCCCATCCCGCTTGCAGGCTGCAGCACGACCCCAGTTGCGGCTACGTAGCCGTAGCCTCAAACAACCCCCACCAATTGTTCAGCCCAGATCATTGGGTTGTTCAAACTCAAAATCAATTGTTGCCGTCTAACAGAGACGCCGGCCATTTTCCATAGCCTCTCCTTTTTCGCGTCCTTTTCCCCCTATCCTATCCCATCAGTCCGTATCCCCTATTCAGGGACGGAGATTTCCAACTCATGTCACGTTCCCCTTATGCTATACTTCCGCATCACGCATCACGCAGGAAATATACGAAATACATCCGTAAATTCAATAAACGAGAAGGGAGAAATCACCAGAATTGGAAATAAATAAATAGTCTCCGAGGTAAACAATAATCTTAATACGATAATACGATGGGTTAATATTAAGTATTAAGATCTCATTTTTGGAGATTCATGCGTCGATTGGTCATTAGCAAGATTCGTACGCCAGAAGTTGCCCCGACCTGCCCGACTTGCCAGGTACCTAGGGACTTACATAGGCAGGGCAGGCAGGGACCTTGGTAGCCCTCCCGTTCTCCGGTTCCTCCTCCCCTTCTTCTCTCATGCATTGAAAGCTCGGGCCACACCACATTTATTTCCTTTTTCTTTTTTTACATTTTCCCATCTTTTTTCTACGATGCGATCTCACATCATCACATGCCTTCCCCCGGCGTCTCCACGTGCTGCCGCGCAGCTATCAGATGATGGACCCTTGAAGCATAAGGTTATTACTTTAAAATGAAATTAGCCTGACAAACTTGAAAATTCATGTCACGATGGGATGAGTTCCCCTCAATTTGCCGACTGTCTATCATCACAAGACGATTCCGGGGTAATAAGTCCATTATTATGTATGTGCTTCATGTAGGTATGTGTGGATGATAGTGGATGACGGAGGGATGGTGGATGGATCCGTACGTGTCAAACACATCGTCTTCATATTTGGTCCAGATAATGTTTTTCTTTTCTAGCTTCCCAAGTTTTGCGGCAGATGATAAATATTATCAACGTTCGATCGCTCACCTACCCAGGCATTTCGCGAACTGTAACACCGCAGTTTGACAGGTTGATATCGTTGTTATCAGTCGCAATATTTCATCTGTTAATGTTTTGGGACCCTCCTTCATGTAACAACGTCCGTGTTTCCCTTGTCGCCAACTAGATCACTAGGCCAAACACCTGGGCTGTCGAGTCCAAGTGTCTCGATAAAAGAGGATCTATCCGACTCGCCATGATAACAACCTCTCCGAGATCCGAACGCTGAGGCTTCTTTTCTTTTCTTATCTTGATTCTTCCACCGGGCCACCGCGGGGCAATCCATCCGCAATTCCAAGGTTCTCCTAGATCCATGGATTATGGATAAAAACGTTAGAACCTTGGATGCTTTACAAATCAACCGATAACCACCCGACGAATTATCCTTACAATAATAACAAGTTTGGCTATTGCAGCAAACATTCATTTGTAGGTTCGCCTTTCTTCTCCATCGCCGCGCATCTTAAATACTTCAACGTGTTCCAAATCCCTTCGTCCAAGAACATCCAGGGAGCTCAGCCTACCCATTTGAGGCGCTAAAAACCCTTCTAAAAAGGAAGCACGCGCCGCATATTGGACGTTATTAGGAGCGGTAATTCCGTGTGGCTTGCTCGCAATAATAGTACCAAAAAGGCAATTCGCAAGGAATTACTCCATCAATCCAGCTAAATCCAGCATATGTCGTTGTGTATCGTTTAGGAGTTATACAGCTTCATGCGTTAGTCGGGCATCGATATCTTTCATAACTGGTCGACTATTGCCTTCCCCCACGTAAAAGGCGTGGCAATGCTGGCATCAACTTTACATGCCACGTATAGTGTTGTGGAGGTGAAAAGTGGCTGAGAGCTTCTCATTCGCATCGTAACCACAAGGACAGATCCTCTCCGCGTAGATTCGGTCCGCTCTGTGCTTCTACCATCGACGGCCCCATTCCGTAGTTATACGAGCAGTATTAACGGCTCTAAGCTGCATTAGCATACATAACGATGTGATCGACTGGTGCCACGCTAACTTTCGCCAGCCTTTATCCTTCTCCATCGACGCGGCGTCAACTCTGTTCCATAAATTGAGGGGTTGTGTTCAAAGTAGAAGTCCTTCTAAGATTTATGACAATGTCTTAGGCTTCACAACATTGCGCATATGTGGGTATGTATGTGGGTAAGCACAGAGGAGTTCTTTTTTTTTTTTTTCCAGCCGTATCCTCTGAGTCGCTCCTGAGTCGCGTTGACTAAAAATATTTACATCCGATACCTATCTGTCTCTACACAAAAAGCAATAAACCAGTACTTGGCTAGTCAGACGTTAGCTGGCGCCATTGTTACAGCTGGTATACGAAAGACAGACTACTGGGGGATCTCCAGATCTTCCCCGGGTACATGAGCGATCCCTAACTGAAACCCCGAGCTCCAAAAACAAACGTCATTCTAAGACCATCGACAAAAATGCACCCTTCTCAAAGAAGCATTACATACTTCGGCGAGGGAGCGGGAACGAGACCTAGTGAAAGAGGGGTAAAGGATGACTTCGACGAGCTTCAAGTGCGTGATGCCGACAGTAAGCGATTAGGCACAAATGCTTCTCCTCAACGAAGCCCACACTAGCTGTCATTAGTGAGGAAGCCTAATTATGTGACGATACCATCTAGGCCAAAAGGGACTATACTTAGCAACTATACCAAGTGGATACTCCTGTTTAGGTGCGATGAACGGGTCTCAAGAACATAGGTACCTGTTTAGCTTTCTATCTATACGCCCATCCCATATATTGACCCATGTTTAATACGTATAGTACGTCGGCATCAAGAAGATATAGTTCTTCCTTAGTCAGCTGTCATCTTTAGAAGTAACAGATTTGTATTCTATCACGTTATTTTTTGTCGCATTAAAGCATAAATTTACACTATTAACCTAGACGAATAAGAAGCCTGCTTTATAGAACGGTTTATAACATCTACAACGAACCAGCTGACTGTTCTCAAGCTGATACATTACTAAATTCTTCTGCCCTTGTGAACTCACTGAGCAAGGGGTTCTACGGAACCTGGATGGATATCGAACGAACTCTTTGACATCCACTTAAGTACTCTAGTTGAGAGATCGAAATCCAAGTTATTTCTTAGGTATTTAGAAGAATGAGAATTTCATGGTCAGTTTACTCGCTTAAAGGTATTAGAAAATCCAAAATCCTAAAGTCTCTAGCTTCGGGAGATATGAGATCCTAGAATATTATGGCATGCAGCAAAAGACTGAAGGATAGTTTCAATGGGTTATAGAAAGATGAACTTTTTAAACGGCGCCACTCATAATAGTATAAACCCCTCAAGATAAGCATGACAAGTGATCATTATACCAGAGGACTCGATGTAGCAAAGAGAATTCATGAACTTATACTATTTGGAAGCGCTGTAGTTAATTTCATGGCTGTGAGCGTGACCGACCATTATGATAGACCTTTATATGCCAAGTACCTTCAACTTCAAAGGTTCACCTATTAGGATAATAAATTTTAAGCTGCAATCTTGTTAATCATATTAACGATGCTGACGAGGAAAAGATACCATGTGAACAGTCTAGGGACTGGTCCCGATTCCCTGGTTTTGTTTCCTGATGAGTTATAAGTTGAAATCGCAGAAAACGAACTGGGTTTTAGCATCAGTAGTACTATCAATCTTTTGCAAGATTGACCATATATGATTTTACTAGAATGACTCCCTTTGGATCATATGCTTGAAGTTTAATTCAAGGGAAGTTTCCACTCTTAAGTGGAAGGTATTCAAATTCCATAGCAGCATGGGTCTAGGATAAAAGGAATAATATGAAGCCCGAGGGAAGTTAAACGTGTTCTCAAGCTTCATGATCTTATGATATGTGCAATGATGGTTCGGTATTTGGACCGATTAGTCGTATGAAATCACCTACGTGAGGAGGCAGATAAATACCGCTGAGTAGTAGAAATGAAAGGGAAGGAAGTTGCCATATTTTAAAAAGCCAAAGTTGATGCAGTCACGATGAATTTACCAACACACGTTCCGCGGGCAGGGGAGAGAGCGCCAGACTTGTAGAAACGCTGAGTGATGCCTTTAAATATACCGTAGGGACGTACTGAGATAACGAATACGCGTGTACATACTACGAGTATCAAGAATTGAATCGTCATACAATAAATACCTACATACGAATACCAATTCCTTCTAATACATATGTACTTAGGTAATCTTGTATTTTCAAAACTAACTGCTGGTAAATTCAGATCACGATATCCGGGTAGGTGCCTGAGGAGGTAGGTAGGTACGGGATTATATCAGATTAGCACGGAAACCTGACGGCAGTAGAGAGAAATAATAAGGTTTGTATTTTGCGTGTACATCCTGTGACTGTATCCCTCGATTTTGCCGTGATTTCCACTGGTTTTCCATCAAGTGTACATTCCTAGGCTGCATGCACGGTACCATACCTACCTAGTAGGTACTAAATAAAATGTGTAATACAGGTCCCTATCAGGTATTTTGAGATTAATAAAATGCGCAGGCAGAAATCAACGAATCTGATTTCCTGATTGGCTGAAATTTGATGTACCTTTGTATTTGTTTCTTTTTTGTGAGGCTATCCGCAGTCGTCCCGGCGACTAAGTTGGGCGGTGGGTGACGAGGCTGATTGCGATGGTGCTTCCGTTTTCTATATAACACCAGGTCCTATTTCACTTTCTCCCACCTTTTTCTTCTTTTTTTCCAACACACACACACGCACGCACCCGCATCCTACACACAATCTAACAGGTAAGTAATTTCATAATAACATTACTATCTTCATCCATATACACGATGCACTTATCATAACGTACTTCCACATGACCCTACGTTCCCTTCAACCATTTACAAATATTTCTCGTCAGCATCCCTTCTGCACCCTCTTGCCAATTAACTATTTATGCACACCCAAAATTACCAACGTGCTCCATTAACGCGTCACGTACACTTCTCGTGTCGGACCTTTCTATTTTTTCTTCCTCTCCATGTTCAATATTTTCTATCACGTCAGCCTGACCTATCTGCCCGTCTGAGTAAAATTACACATATTATCTTAATTCACCAGAAAATTTTCTAGTTCACTCTAACACTTTGAAGCAACGATCGACGACTCAACAAACTCATACACACGGGTCACGAGACGACGGTTTCGTGAGAGAAAGGCGTGCTGCCTGCCTACTTGTAGGTGGGTAGGCACGTAGGGGAGAGATGGTAGACTAGTTACGCGACCGGTTGACTTCGAATATATCAAAACGACGACAACCCGATGACACACCGACGACGAAACCTATTACACGCATTATGGCATGACCTAGTTTCTCATCGACGACACTGACGACTTCGAATTAACGACAGCGACAAGACGACATCGGTTCGACGACAACAATTTCAACTTTAACGACGACAACAACGGCAATCAGTGGAGGATCAATGGCTAGGACATCGATATTGGGATTGGAATTTGGAAAATCGACAACTAGGAATGTGACTAGGATATCGACGATTAGAATTCGAACATCGACGACTATGGTTGGAACCGGGATGGATCTGGGACCGGGTAGCGGAACATCTATGAACCAACATCGACTCTTCGCCCCCTATTCTCTAGTCTCCTTCCGCTTACTAACCTCTTCACTAGATTGGATTCCAGTGCTTCTTCGGAAGTACCACTCCTTCTATAAGGCGCTTGATTTTCACTTGGCCTTGCGAGTTTTCGCGAACGTGATCTCATAATTTTTGGAACCTTAACTCGAGCCCAGCTCGACACCCCCATTTTTCATTGCTTTCTCTGAGGTTCTCTCGGGTTGCGAAGAAGAAAAACTCCAGTGGTCGATAGACCTTATGTCAGCATCTGGGTACTCCATTTAGGGCAGAGCTAGAACCTGTATATAGCACACTTGTAGGCTCCCTTCAGGGCACCAGGCTCGCTGGCGCTATGAATATAAGCCGGTAGCTGGATTAGAACTTATCCCCTGAAGACCTGCCCAGGTAGCATCAGGAGTCCTCCTAGATAACCCCAATAGGTACCTCTTGAAGGCGAAAGTTTGAAAATATGGATGGATTCATGGTTCTCTGGGATCCTAAGGTTATCTACATAGGTACCTAGTAGGTAGGTATGTAGTTGTCGTTACTCCCTAACATGAAGCGCACCCCATAAACCGACCTTAAATATCCATTATTAACCAAACGCCTATTCTACAGTAGGCATGTCTTTAATATTTCCAAATATTCCTTGATATTCAACTGTCAACAATTTTTTACGAGGCCTTGCTTTTCGTGTTAACTCGAAAAGGACTCCGACTGCAAAAAGGTCATTTATCATCTAGGTAGGTAGGTATGTGACGCGTTGCTATCGGGTATATTAGTATTCATACTATTAAACTATGCTGAACTTGATACTTGTAGGTTCTCATGGCCAAACTTGAAAGCCGTTTACTCATTGGCATCAGTCCATTTGACCTAGTCCATCCTTTTCCTACAGAGGGCGTCTCTAATCGAGTGCGTAACACTTCTCAACATTACCCGCATCATTTCCCCACCAATTCGGCATCCCAATGACTTTCGCGCTTCCGAATATTAGGAAGATTAATAACATATTCAGGTTAAACCCAGCATCGAAGGCGGCAGCAAGGATGAAATTGTACTTCGCCCAAAGTTGGTAGCGGTACCTATATGCCCAGTACATAACGACGAAGCCTCCCAAAAATCGCGAGAAATACCCTGTCGATACGTTACCGTAGAAGATGGAAGCACCACTGAAGAAGATCGTGGTATTGAAGAGGTGGAACTTCGCCCGAGGAAAAAGTCGGTGGAGAAGGTATATAATGGCTGGGGCACCTGCACCAACGAGAAACGCGTACGGAAGAGGACGGAATTGTTCTTGTCGGAAGAGTCGTGTTGGCCCCTGTTTATCAACATTAATACTTCGACCGCGTGATACAAAGGACTATTGAGAGAATAGTGACAAGTAAAACTTACAAGGAGGACGTACTGAACTCCCATGGTCAGAGAGCTCGTTAGAGACTGACCTGTCCAGATATGAGCAGCGTCAGTGACAGCACCAGTAAGGTAGTCGCGCTTGGTATCTACGATCCAGCGCATTGCGGCATAATTGATTGGTACGCCCATAGTGATTCCGAAGAGTTGCGAAAAGAAGATCGCACGTTGGGGAACGTGCATGTAATGTCCGATTTTCTGGTCTTGTAACATGTACTGCGCTCTGTACCAAGCTGCTCTATTATTAGCAAGATATCGTTGACCAGGTAGGGTAGGGGATGAGCTCGATGGAGCGAAAGTTTCATACCATCTCCAGCGATCGAGCCATATACCTATAAAAAATAAGGGTCAGCTATGATAGCATACCAGACAAGCAATGTACCTACACTAGCTCCGAGGGGGTTACGGTTAGTTTTCAAGTTTTGCACCATTGTGCCGTATAGTAGCTCGTTGAAAGTTCCAATGGGCAGCTGGTAATTGCTTATGGCATAAAGCCAGCCGAGCGGCACAACTATGGCAGCTCCTGTGATGAGAGCAACCAAGAAAGTCCACCAGGGGATGAATATTATGTCTAGCCCAGCCATTGTCATAATCGCAGCAAAAGCGGCTAGGAATAGAGCAATGTACCACCAGACAGGAACTTCTTTATATTGTCGCATAAGCACATTCAACCGGTCCGTATCTGCTGAGGATTAATATTTCATATAGAGAATCTAAACTTCCATATCTTGGAAATAGTCTTTGCTTGCAGTGATAGGAGAAATAGAGACATACTGCAAATACGTTAGCTTATATGAAGAACAATGATGAAGTATTGAAAAGGTTAATATGAAGAGGAAATAGGGCCTTAGCGGGGACATGTTTCAAAACGTACCATTGATGATTGATTCCTTGTCCTGAATTTTGCTGTCGAGCTCGGAACTTCCTGTATCCATCTCTGATCTGACCAGCTCCAAAGAAGGCGATCCAGGAGTACGCCGAGACGTACGAAGCGTAGTCAAAGAAAATGGCCCATAGGTAATGGACACCGAGATATAGCGGCCCATTTTCTTCGTAAGCTGTCTGATTGAAGGTGTTTTGAGGCGTGACCAGATCAGTCACAGGATATGTACTTCCATTGGCGGTACATGCTCGATTCGTCATCAAGCAGTGGGGATAACCACCCAGACCTCCCCATTTAGCAGCAGGAAGCAGAATCCAACAGGACATGACGAAAGAAGCGAAGAGGACAACTTGTGACCACCAAGGGCTCAGAAACAGCGGAACGCCAGCAAGATAATTGGAAATATTGGCCCAGTCGAAGCTTAGATTAAGGAAGCCCATTCCGCCTAGACCAGAGCCGATAAAGTTGGCGACGGGATTATGAGGAGCAACCCAGCACAGGAATGCCAGAGAACTTGTCATCGGAAATACGTATTCGGGCAAGAATTGCCATAGAGTAACCCCTAGGAGTACCCACCAGAAGACGCGCATTTGCTTTCGTGCTGTCGAAGTCGGGTTCTTGTTTTGCTTGTGCTGCGTCTCGAAGAGAGCCGTTTGACAGAGCGCCTGGAACCAAGGATATGCTGGTTCATAGAGTAAAACTTGACGAGCAATGGCGGCAAACGCATAGCCGATGGCATCGATAGACCACATGAAAAAGATAGCCGCGGCAGGATGAACACGCGTATTGAAGTAAAGGTCACCAAGCGCGATAGGCGTAATGGCTAGGTTACCAGTGGCGCCAGATGCTGCTGTTACGGTAATTAGAACATGCTCCTTAACTGACCAAGGTCCCGGGTTGAGGTTGAATGACTGCTTGGTATAAGGGATTCGAATTTGGCGATTAGGAAGAACGCGAGCGAGCCAGAGACCGACATAGTTGCCGGCGATTTGAACGAAAAAGACCGAATAAGGGGCATATGTAGTCCGAAAGCTGTTCATAGCTGATAAAAAGGCTCCCGGGATAACGAAGATGACGGAAAGAAGAAAATATCGAAAGGTTAGAGTAGGCAGAGTCGGGTCATCATGAAGACTAACGATTCGTCTTACTTCTGGCGGAATTTGGCTAATTTCGGGGTCATCCTCATTCTCAAGGTCAACATCGAACTCGACGGCCTCCTCAATCGCAAGCTTGTCTTTGTGGTGGCCGCCGTCATCTTGAGTTGAAGTTGGTCGTCGGCTGATTGGAGGTTCGTCTGCAGGCAAGGCGCTAGTAAACTTGGCTTCGCTCTCGGGAGCAGCCGAAGTGTCAAGAGAAGGCATCTCGGCGCGATTTGCAATTCCCGATTCACTATACCTAATGATGCTAAGCCGGTTACTTAGGTAAGTAAATGATCGGTGCTTGGCGGTGCAAACAAGGAAACTTGGAAGTTTTAGGAACACGGACAGGAACTCTCTAAGTTTTGATATTTAAATCTGACTGTTGGTGAGTTATAAATGCGCCGAAATGGTCACGCAACGTAATTTATGGTAAGCACATATTCCCCAACTGCTTAATCTTTTTTTAATAAATTTTTTATACTCTAACATGGCTGCTCTGAATTGAACTATGTCCCCGGCGTATTCGCCGCGGCTTGACGGGCGGATCGTAGTACTTTGTACCAATGCGACCTATTAGGAATGGAAAAAAAAGGTTAGCAGCAATCACGCAATCACGCCGCACGAAAACGTCTAGATGCCAAGCGGGCCATGCATCGCGCCTTTTGCCAATAGTAAACCTTCTTCATATTACATCCATCTTGTAGCCCAGCGAGGGTCTGACGGTGCTACCGAGCGCCTTGCATCCCAATCGCGCTACAATCGCAAAAGCCGTCGCGCTAGGCCTTCATTTGCGCTCTGTTAGGCAGGTGGTAGGTAAGGCTTCATGATGATCAGTGGATAGACTTAACAGCCTCGCATCAGCTGGGTAATACACCGTTATACGGCTTATATGATGGGATAAATTGAAGAAATGATGAAATAGCTGAAATGGAAAATGGTTGGAAGGATGCTGTGTCCATGTTTGCTAAACTGACAGAACCTAGAATTCAGAGACATTGAATGTAGTTGGCTAAAGAAAAGTTCTGGGTAGGTACCTACTATGTAGGTAGATTCAATTTGCCAGACCTGATCTCTGATCTCTGATCGTCGATTCTGATCTAATGCCAAGCCCTTTACATAATGCAGACCCCACAGTCTGGATAGAACCCTGGGAGCTAATTTCAGCACGTATTTCGATAGTTTGATTGGCGGATTTCCTGTTCTTGTACGCCCTTCTTCGACCATGCTGTAGTACCTGAGGGCATTGTCAGAACTCTTTATCAAGTTCCTGTCGCTTTCAATTGTAAAACACATACATGTGTAGTATTCAGGGAAAGCTTTAATATAGATACCTATCCAGATGTGTATGCAAGCAGTGGAAACTTTTTAGGTTGTTGTTCAGGGTTATATTGTATGGCTTGTTGTCATTTTATGTGGTAAAGCCAGTGTATCGCTTAATAACTTAAATGTAGAAGCTATAGAATTGCGTATATAAGGTGAGGTGATACCCTATTTGTATATGGTTCTTTCCTGAATGCATGGACTTGTTTAGTGAACGTAGCTTGCTGCATAAGGGGCCCCCTTTTTAACGATTACTTAATATCATGATCTGGCACTTATTCGTAATCTTCACGTGACTGGTAAGATACGAGGCCTGCTAGGTACCTTGGACACGAGCAACGCCTGGCCTTTCGACCTGTTTCCAACTTCTTTTTTTTTTTTTTTTTTTTTTTTTTTTTTGGGTGCATAGTTATTCTCATGGCGCGACTACGAAATACCTAGTTGCTAGCACTAGAAACATCTCCCAGAATTGAGTAAGTACTTCTCGTGACGAAGCGTTTTAATTGCTCAACAGGCCGCAATTGCGATCAAGAATGTGAAACAAGACGACCGAGCCCCGAACGCGGATTAGGTAGTCAACGATGGCAGTAGTCAAATTGGTAGATGTCGGAGTGGGGAGTCTGCCTCCTGAAATGTTTAGGGAATAAGCTCATTCCCTCCAAAGCCTGAAGGGACTGTGCGGACGTCCCTGCAAATCTTGGCAATCAACATAGGGCTGAAGGGAATTTCCTGCATATCCGCGTCTGTGTAACACCAAGGCAGACAGGAACTCTAGGGTATTTGTAAGACTCATCATATCGTCATCCGCCGCCCTCAAGTCTTTTATAAGGACCTCGTTCCTTGGGTCCCCCTTTTCTGAACGACGGAGTCATGTAAGTGTCAAGAGCGTACACTGAGTGAATATGTCTACTCTAAACTCTACTCTGATATCGGGATTCACGCCTCCGCCTGGAGTTACACCCAATTTTATCGATCCGCCGTCTATTGCCCCGATCTCAAAGGTGATGATTGCCGTGACTTTGGGAGTAATGTATTGCTTTCTATTATTACGCATCTACACTCGACTATGGGTGACTCGTAGCTTTGGGGTAGATGACTGCAAGTTTTCCCCTTTCAGGTACTTCAGAAACATGCTAATCGCGTTACCAAGTTCAGTCCTCTGTTTGCTTTCAGCGGTGAGATGAACCTGTTCTTATATTTCTCTTAAGCACAATTGGCTAATGAGGACTCTCAAGGCAACGATCACTTCCTATTGTGTTGTTGTACTTATAGGTTCGTAACTACGAGTAAACGCCCTAGCTTTGAACGACTGATGCTCATTATAGTAGCCCTCGATGGTGTGCTGGGTCCTCATCAGTGGAACGTACCAATATCTGAACTCAGCCTCCCCTTAGTCCTAAAGGTACCCAGTTTACGTTTAGTATTGGTTCGATTCTAAGGGCTTGCCGACTAATTAGCACTCTAGGATTCAATCCTAACAATCATCCTGTATGGAGTGTCTGCTATCTTCCTCAAATCTTCGCTTTTGACTTTTTATCTTCGTCTTTTTGGGCCGCTGAAGATAGCGAGGATCCTATTATGGACCTCACTCGTGGTAATCACGCTCTTTTATACAATCTGCTTCGTTATAGATGCAATCATCTGTGGCCAGTTTCTTAGCCACCCAAATCTACTGGCAATGGATTCCGCGCATTCCGACCCCGACGAAAGCTGCTCAGCACGGCAGAGACCTATTTGGATTATTATGGGGGTTTTCAGCGTCATTTCGGACTTCTATATTCTTACTATCCCCGTCTGCCTGACTCTCAGGCTTCGACTTCCTCTAAGGCGGAAAATTGGGGTGTGTTGTATATTTCTCACGGGACTCCTGTACGCTATATCATTGCCTAGAGATGATATTTCACTGCTGATGACTTTCAAGAGCTTGCGCTTTCTCCATCCTCGCTACGGTTTATCGTTCCCAGCTATTTCGAACTTATGACTTTACCTGGCTAGCTTCTTTAACGTATGCGTTCATGTAAGCACTGTAACGGTCTCGCTTCTGCTTTGAGCATGACGTATCAGAACTGACGATATCTCTTCCTTAGAGCGGCCGAAATTAATGTTGGCATTGCTTGTAGTTGCATGCCGGTAACATCAGTGGTAATCCACAGCTTAGCTAAAACTACAACGTGGTACTCGGTTATCAGAGTTATTACACGTCGAACGTCTAAGGATGGTGATTTTATATCTAATTCGGGCGACCCTACCATCGATTTTTCAGAAGAACGATCTCCGAATATCCCCCAAGCTCCAAGGATAGAGCCGAGCTCTTTCATGCGCAAGGCTTACTTACCACGATCTAGACGAATGAGTCGTTCTAATGAACTCTCTATAATCGATGAAGATTACCATACACAGCTGAGGAGAGAGGCTAGCTTTGCTCGGGTATCTCAACGAAGCCAGATTAACGTACTCCAATCCTGAGCAATTTTTGAACGACAGCGTCTAGATTTGGGAATGTCAGGCGACAAGCACGACCTGACGCGAGATTTCAGGGATACACTTCCCCTACTTCTGTATTTGCACTCGGATGCAATAGAGTGGCTCATTCCTCACTTAATGTCTCTACCTAGCACTTTGGTCAATTATTAGTTCCTATTAAGGATCGGCGTAACTCAATCGCATCCAGCTGGAGGGAATTACAACCAAATCCGACTATATCACCGGTCTACCCAGATAGTATTCCCTTGGCTCCAGACCCTGTATCACTATACAATTATTTAGCTCTAGGGCTCAAGGCCCTATTACGCGTCTAGTCACCAATACGGCAACGGACTTCAGCACATCCCTTACTCTAGGGCCGAGTCTTGCTGTTAGCACATAAGACTTGTCGGACAACCAAGCTCAGCTTACCCTACCTACTCCGACCTACTCCTACCTAAGCACTTGGTAAGGTCCTCAAGGCCGAGCTACGTACCAGTGGTAACCCGCGCGTGTTCTCACCTACCTTACATATCCGAGAGCATGCAAACGCTATTTTCTAGCTGAAACATGTATTTTATATGCTGGCAGCCGTTCCCCCGCTAGCGAAAAAAACCCTTAATCGACGTCTCCCGCAGGCAACATGCGTCAACGGTAGTTATTATCTAGTTATTTACTAATAAAGTATGAGAATAGCAGTACTTTAAGATTTCGGGTCTCAACCCCTTTCACCCGGTCGCTCCATTAATCCACCTCACTATCTCCGCAGCTATCTCATCACTGTTCTTCTCCATCATCATCATATGCCCATTGCCGTGTATACCTTTCTCATCCAGCCTCATATACTCCAAGTTCTTCACGCCAGCCTGCCGCAGGTACTGAACGGTGCCCCAATCGTACTGCACGTGGTACGAAGCCGGCGCCGTGACCACCAGCACCCTCACGTCCCTCAGATTGACCAGCTGCCTCGGCGGCGGCTCTTCGGCCTGGAGCGTGCAACTCGTCAGATCGGGCCCGGGCGCCTTCACTTCCACTTTGGCGAAGTCGGTCGCGGGGTCCGTCACCGGCGGGTCGTACGTGATAGGCGCGGTCGTGACGCCGTACTGCGCGCCGGGCCCGGGCATGATGCCCATCTTGGAGAAAGGCGGCCCCACGGGCTCCAGCGCGACAATCATCTGCACCAAACCCGGCCGCGCGTCCGCCGTTAGCCACGGCACCGAGCCGCCCGCCGAGTGGCCGACCAGGACCGCGGGCCTGCCGATGCGGTCCAGCAGCGCGGCGCACGCCGCCTGCGACGCTCGCTCCTGCGCCACGGTATCGTTGAGGATCTGCAGCGCCGACCGGTAGAACTGGTCGAATACCGGGTCGCCTATCGTGCCGGGCCCGGGCCACTGCGTGTGCTGCTTGGCCTGCGGCCACGTGCCGAAGGTTTGGCAGGCGGTGAATACGGCTTGGATCGATTCGGCCGTGTACGCGACCATGGTGCCGTTCCCGGGATACCACTTTATTTGAGAGTCGGGGTTAGTTGCTACTTTTCCATAAGGAGGTCTTGGGGCTGAGCGTAAAAGGGGGAGAAACTCTCGGTGTCACATACCGGACTCCGGCCCCGGTAGGGCTGGTCGACGAGGTAACATTCGAAGCCTTGCGATAGGAAGTACGAGGTCCAGCCCGGCTGCCCGTCGGGCTTGGTGATCCAGTCCTGTTCACGGGTTGATCGTCAATAACGGCGTCGGATAAACGAGATCAAGGGGCCTTGAATACACCCACCATGCCGGATCTCGTTGCGCCGTGGATGAATACGATAGGTAGGGGCTTCCTTAAACTCTGGTCTACTTCGGGAATGAGCCTCTCGACGTACATCTGCCCCTGGAGCGTACGGTTGCCTTTGGCATCGGGTACATATTGCCCGCCCACATAGAATACTTCTCTTCGGTGGAGGGCGGAAGAATTTGTTTTTGTATCGTCTGTCATGGCGGGACAGACGGAGTGTATCAAGATACAAATGAATAGCCTTAGTAATGATTTCAACTGCATATTTATTGTCAGTTCATGGGCAAGCTAGTGTACTAGGTTAAAGTGGTGATTGGCATGCTGCACTCGATGTGAGTACAACCGCGATCAGTATATCAGAGCCAACTTACATTAACTTGTACATATAAGCAAGATTAGGTTACAATCTACGAGTACAACACGAAGATGACAGGCATGTAAGACGAGATGAGGGGACGATGGTGGTATCAGGTATGCACGTAAAGAGCACATGAAGGTCCTAACTAGTCCAGTCCCACTTAATATTAGTTACAGCGGCTAATGCATGTAAACCGTGTCAACTTTTGCTATAGCCAATCATCCGCATTATGTCCCAACCGTCCTCGGCTCACAATCTTCGGTGCTTGGTTTGGAGGAAACGACAGAAGTAGCTGATCAAAGTAAGCAAGCAAATAAACGAGGAGGGGAATCATTTGCGGTGAACGATGAATAACCCCTGAACACCAAGTTACGCCATTAATGGTCCTCGACTTTCATACACCCGCCTAGCTGGCCGTTATCATAAATGCAGGCAGATCTAAACCTATCCTAACCTTCCAGCTCGAAAACAGGCTCGGTAGCCGTGGGTCCCTTCTTGGTATCCTCTTTCTCGTGCTCCAGAGTACCGGCACTACCTTTCTCGGCCTTCACGCTGCTCGGACTTGTCGGGCTCAATGGGCTGATTGGCGAAGCCAGCGGGTCACCACCCTCGGTGCTCAGAGTCTGGTCTTCGTCGATTCTGGTCCGGCTACCGGGGGACTTCTGCGCGTAGTTACCATGCAGATGCGGGTTATATGCGCGGAACGATCGTCGAGGCCCCGTAGACGACATAGGCGACGCGAGCTCCGAAGCCGCGGGTGAGCCCGGAAGTTCGCTCGCTCTCTTGAGTTCGTCGGCCGCTAGCTCCGTTGCCGTGGGACTGGTAGGATCGATGGGGCCGCCGGGCAGATCAGATTGCGCCATGGCGTGGCCTCGTAGGATGCCCTGGCGCTTACGTAGGAAGAACACGAGGTACAACAGACTTCCGAGAAGTATGGCCCCGAAGCCCGCGCCTATACCAATACCGGCTTGCGCTGCTGTAGACAGGTTCGTGCCTGTAGGGGTGCTGGCTGATAGATCGGGCTGGCTGGAGGGAGGGACGACGGTCGATGGCGTCGTGCTTACTTGGACTGGAGAGCTTGTTGATTCGGAGGGGTTCCAAACGATTGTCGAGGGATGTGTCGCATTCGGGTCGCTCAACGGATTCACTGTATTAGACGGTTGATCCGACGATGAAGTCACCGTTGCTGTCGCCGATTTTGCCACGGTCGGTGGCATCATCGTGAAAACAGGCTCCCTTCCCTCGTACCACGAAATAGTTCCACCTGAGCTCGTGGGAAGTTGGCCGATGTTGTCAAGCACCGGCTTGTCGGTCAAGACCTCAACTTCTTTAGAGCACGTGCAAGCGGAAGGAGGTCTAGAACCTGGCACATCATCTAGCTCCTTACAACCGGCCCATATGTCGTTGTTGTACTTGCAGTTTTCCAACCCTACCCACTGTTGGCTACCAAATCTACCCTTGAAAGGACATGAAGAATCCTTATAAGACGGGTCGGTGCAGCCCGCTAGGTATGTTATATCAACTAGTAGCCATGTTTTGTTAGCATTGTCATAAGAATGAGACCGCTTACTTGTAAATGAGTAGATAGATAGGTGGACGGGTAGGTAGACATCATGTCGTGTACTTACAGTGGCGATGGTAGCATGCTGAGCTACCTAAACAAATATCCCCCGCGACACAGCAGCTCCAATTCGCGCCGAGCTCGACGTTACCGCAAGGGATGTAGTCGTCCTTAGCTTGTATATTGACGCCATAATAACAAGTGCCATTCGAGGCATTGATATCGAAATGCGATTCGTCGTGTCTCATGTTTGGTGAATTATCTGCACCTACTAGATCGCAGTACAGTGCGATGGGCTTGATGATTTAGGGATGGTCCGGTGTGAGGAAGGAAGAATGATTTTTCCAACCTTGAAAAAAATCGGACGTGGGGGGAAAGAAGAAAAAAAAACTAAGGAAAGAAGATTGTAATTTCTGTACATCAAACCTCGAGTGTTGTACAGTACTGGAGATTGTTTGGTGCTTTTAAAACGAGGGTCTAGCAGTGGTGAGCGCTGGCTGGTTGCAGACGGCATCCGTCGAAATTTGTTTGTCAACGGCACATGGCAACACGGAGCAACCTTGAACCAATCATACCCACCGTCTGGATTGGTGTAATACTTCTTTCGGGTTTACTATGATAATGGAAGTTTATGGATCGGTGAAGGTTGAATAAAAAATAATAGAAGGAGGCCGGTGCCTAGTAGCCTAGTGACGCGGTTGTACAGACTCGTTACACCTTCTTTAGACAGTACAGTCCTTCCTTCTTCTATTCCAGTTTATTGTTAAGTATTTCGCGCTTGACCCACAGGTCAAAGTTCATGTATTAGTATCTATCATTGATTTTAGGCATTGTCCTTTCCTAGTTCTCCTATCTTACACATGGTCAAGATCCTACCATTTACATACTCAATCCGAAGCGAGTTTTTGACGATAACCGCCTGGATGCATATGAAAGTATAGATGTCATTCCACTTCTCCCAATGAATCGTACTATAGCTAAATTAGAAATATTGACTAATATCCACGTCAGTATCCATAAGCTTCTTCGGTATTGGCGGCCTAGGTAATACCTATGTTACTCGTCTCGGTGACGGAAACCAGACTTCCCCAGGTATATCTGGCGCAACCCCACGGGGAGAAAATCGGTATCGCAGAAATATTGCAGAATGGAGAACCGAAGAATATGGTATCTGTTAACACCGGTTTCGGCGACCGAGAGAGATCCGTCCGGATGGGGCATCTCATGTGTACGCGTGTCTTCCGGTTAAGATACTCAACGTCGTACCCTTGGCACTTCCGACAGAAACCGGTAGTTCCTATAACGCAGTAATAAGACCGCCAATCATCGCAATATAATTGAAAGAAAGAGGAGGATCATATGAAACTACCCTTTACCAATGCTTTATTAACAGGTCTAGCTATAGAGTTCACTTACCACAGGTTACATCCCTTTCTAAATAGGGAATGAGGTAGGTAGACCAAAGATAGAAGCATGGTGATAGTTCCAACAATTACATTTTAAGTATATACATTATGGATTTTTAATATACACAGAGCTAACACCATGCAGTTCCGCATTTCTCATTATCCAATAGTCAACACCCCTTTTCTTTTGCTCACATATGCTTACGCCTTGCCGACATCGACAGTAAACGCTTCCGTAAGCGGCTTATCAATCTGTACGGTGACCACGTCCTTGGCGGCGCGCTTGCTACATCCACTCTTCCCGCCAACACCCAAGAACGTAACCTTGTTGACTCTTAGGTTGTCCGTCTTGTAACCAAATGTGCCGCTGACGGTGAGCACACCGTCGGCGTACTCGAAGAGAATATCACTCGTCCCTGCTTGTTCGATGCTCGCACCATCGTCTAGGTATAGCCGGCCGCTCGCTTTTCCGTCCTTTCCCACAGGCACTATGATCTCGAAGGGTTTAGTACGCAGCTCCGTGGTCGTATTGGCCGATTCGGCACGCGTCGGCACGATCACGCCACCCCTTAGGTATAGGGGTAGATCCGTCCATTCCTGGTTCTCGACTGTGATAGTTTTGCCCTGGCCGACGACCTTCTCGTGCGTGTACCAATCGTAGAAGACGTCGTCGGGTAGGTATATGTCAACGCTCGTGCTATTCTCTTCGGTGACGGGTGCGACGAGAAGTGCTGGACCGAGGAAGTACTGCAAGTCCAAGGGGTACGTGTTTTTATCCTGAGGGTAAAGGTAGAAGACCGGGTTCACCATAGGTGTTCCATCAACAGTTTGCCCCTGTAAGGCTGTATACATGTAGTCGAGCAGGCGGTAGCGGATATCGATGAACTTGCGCCCAGCTACCGTTGTGGCGTTCCAGCGGTAGAACTCCTGGGGGACCATGTCTAGACTGTTGTGGTTGCGGTAGAACGGCGAAAATGCTCCAAGAGCGGCCCACCTCGCGCAGAGCTGCTCCGTTGTGTTGTCACCGAACCCGCATGTGTCTGCGCCGACCATTGGTACTTGGTACACGGAAGCAAAGGCCATCATGCTTCGAATTGCGAGCCTGTAATGGTGCCATGAAGACAAATTGTCACCTAGCCAGTGGCCTACCTTGGTACCAGCACCGGCAAATGTCGAGCGTGTGATGATCATGGGGCGCACGGTAGGTCTTCGTTGGAGCATGGCCTCGTGGGACGCGATGGACATCATCGAACCGTACATGTTGTGGGTATCGTACATAGCGAGACCGTTTTGGTGGATTACATCGGTATTCACAGTCTTGTTAGAAATGCCACCCTCAGCCGCGTTCCAACTGTCCTCGTTCGCGGCCTTATTATGAATCGCGTACTTGGGGAAGAGAAGATCGCGACCAGGGAGTCCCTTCTGCTGGCCCTCCGTCTGGCGCGGCGAGATTACAAGATTATTGAAATATGCCGGGGGTATGCTGTCGCGGATTTCAAGGGATCTTACTTCGGTTTTCGCACAATCGGTTCCCTCGGGCTGGAAATCGCAAGAAAAGCCTGGCAGGGGTCGAGGGTTCGCCCTTACTGGTGGAGGCTCTGGTGGGTAACCCACAGCTGAAGCATCTGGGTTATCACAGGGGAAGTAACAAGGGAAGTTGGAAGGCTCGTTCATATCAATCCAAAGGGCGTCGATGTCGACGCCATCCTCCGGCGAGAAGAAGAGAGAGAATTCATTGTTCCAGTACCTGCTGACGTTCGCCGAGAACCAATCGGGGAATGCGGTTACACCAGGCCAGACGACGCCCTTCCATACAGAGCCGTTTTCACGAAGGAGGAAGATATTGTCGTCGACTCCTCGCTGAAAGGAAGCTGGGAAGTCCTGGTAGGCCACGGCCGGATCCACCATAACGACGTAATGCTGGTCATGCGCATGTAAGTAGTCGACTAGCTCGCGCATCTTGTGCAAGGGAAATCTATCTGGATCTAGGGAGAATACCTAATGGTCATCAGCTAACGGACGATTAGGGGTTGCGGAGGAGACCTACTCTTCGACGATACATGTAGTCAATATCGGTCCACATCGTCTCCAGCGGGATGCCAGCCTGACTATAATTGTAGACCACCTCAGCTACGTCGAAGACATCTTGGTATCCATATCGGCAATTGTGGTAGCCAAATCCCCAATAAGGCATCATCGCGGGTGTACCAACAATTTCGGCGTATTGTTGCGCAACCTCAATCGGGCTCGGGCCAGATACGAAATAGAAGTCGAGAACACCACCGAGCGTATTGTATTCGAGATACTGACCGGACTCGGCTGTGTTATTGATCATGATATCCATGCCATTTGAGTTTAAGAAGAACACGCCATGAGTACCGGATTCACGATGTTCATAGTACACGGGGTGATTACCATACAAATTAGCACCTTCAGGAACGCCGTAGGCATCCTGAGACCAGAACGTTCTGATGTAATCAGTGGTATTCAGCATGAAAGGATCCGAGTGCTCGCCAAGTCCATAGAGACTTGGATTTTCTGGCAATTTTGTCCTGAGGCGCAAGTACTGCGATTCGAACACAAGGGTTGCGGCCGAGGTGTCGAAGAGGACCTCACCTGAATCCGAGCGAGATACAGTAAAGGAAAATGGGCTTTCAACATAGTCGAATTTCAGTGCAGACTGTGCTTCTTCGGAGTCTTGGGCGTCTGGTCGACTGAAAACGGACTCGGGGATCTGGTAGACGCTGTTGGCTGCATCTTGGATTTTGACATGAAGTCGCGTCTCTAAAGGCGTATTAGTGGCATACACGTGGGTTACCTTATACGATGGGCTAACATACCCGTATCATACGAGACCTCTAACGTTAGGTCTTCCAAGTCCGTACCGTATATATTACAGGCCTCGCCGGCTAGAGTTAAGTCCGCCGTCAGTCCCGATGCTGTCTTGACAACATTCGAGGCCTTGTAACCAGGACACGAAGTGAGAGGGTCATCGCTCGGATAGTCTCTTCTCACGACGGCAGCGGCTGAGACGGCCGTCGCCATAAACAAAAGGAGACTTGCCATCTTGAGCTAACTTGTATCACCTCCACGTGTGAGGCTAATATACCAGGTAGCTATGACGAGACAACGACTACCGCGTGGAAAGTGTGTAACCGACTCACCGGTTCACCACTTAGAATAGCGCGATGTCCCATGGTTCTTATATCATGTACTCACCGAATTAAGTCCCGGATTATACGACCCTTGCCGTAAGGATCGTGAAATTGGTTACCTACCGCAGACGCCTCCAATCCCCGCATATAACCCCAACATACCTGATCCAGCTCCGACAGACCCCGCTATACTCCGCCGTTATCCGCCCTAAGTCCGCCTAAAAAGATCATATTTGACAGCTTGCTTTAGACTGTCCTAGACAGGCGTTCAATTTCCGAGTCAGTGGAATCGGAGTCTAATTGCAAAAGCCATCGTCGAGGCCAAACGAACCAAACGAACAAAAAAAGACGCTGGGATCGGTGTTCCTTCGGTCGCCCTAAACTTCCAAGACGGGCTAATTCGTTAATTGGGCCTCTTCTTTGTCCTCATGATAGCATCTAGTAAAATTAAGCGGAGTGAACCGAGGTGCTAAGGCTTTTTTATTACCTCTTCAGCTAGGCGGCCTTTTCGCGGGGCTTCCACGGTCCTTTCTGACAAAGGTCGAGGCAGAAGACTTTTTGCCTAGGTGCCTTGGCAGCTGGGTACCTAGGTAGGCAGGCACGAGGCGGGCATGTAAGCAGAAATCTCCCCACGAGTTTTCTCGTCTCCGCACCGAGCTATGGAAGCTTCCCCGCAGAGGCTCCATCGCGTGTTTGTTTTTTTGGGGAGATATCTAGCCAATACGAGCGCGAGGAAGAGACCGCTAGCTCGTTCCTTATTTGCTTTTTTTTTTCCTTCCCAGCTTCCCTAAGATGAACGCTGTGGGGAATATGGCCCACGCTCGGTCTGAACCCCCGCAGGATTATCGACAGCGGGCTAAACAGCGGATTTCGCCAAGGGATCCAGACTGGAATCAAGAAGGCGTTCTGAACGTCACGAGAACCCGGATAGAAAATAACATACACATTGAGGTAGATAGAAGATACACTAGGTTATATAATAACGAATAAATACCTATCTTAGTATGAGCCTCTGGTTTTCGAGAGTTTCGAGAGATCGAAAAGAAAAAAAGCGCCGACATGGGAGGACAAGAAGCTTGGTAGTACCTAGTAGCAGTTAAGTATCTGTGTTTTCTACATCTGTTCTAATGGTTCAACGAGCACCTTGGCATAAAAGAGGACAGCTTCCATTATCGTCCCATTGAACACTGAAAATTGTGTCCGTGGGCCAGTGTTAAATACATATACCCCCTTACGTACTTACTCGATCATTAGCAAGCCCCTCACGTAGATCATCCATCGCGATGGTCCGCCCCGCGTGTGCCACAGAGCCGGGATCTAAGACGTCGGCGCGAAACGAGATGATACAAGAACACCCTCTCCCTAGGTACACGAAAAAAAAAAAAAAAAAAAACCAATTTCTCGGTGTAGATCTTGGATGAGACGACAGCCACGAGGGGATTTAGATACGAGAAGAGTCTCCGACAAACTATAGCCAGGAATAAAGTGCACGAGCCAAATCACCAAATAAGCACCTAGACGTCAGAGTGTAAAACTAGAGTTGATCTCGTCGATCTACTATATTAAATATACCTAACGCCCCTAACCCGAGTCGTACCGTTATCAGCGCCCTTAAGCCAGTGCCGAAACCCCAAGTTGAATGCGCCCTTCCTCGTTTCCCATCCCGCTCCATTCGTTCTCTATGAATCAGACAGAAGGCCGCCCAGGTTAGACAGAGTTTCGATTCGGTTCAGTTCAGCTCAACCCAGCTCATTTCGCAAAGGCAAGATGAAGAAGAAAAAAAGAACAGTGGTATATATAGTCGTACAGTCGTTCCTATAGCTTTTCGTGGTTGCGCTCGACGGAAAAATTGCATGATAATATAAAAGTAGAAGAGAAGACAACAAAAAAAACGTTAGGTGAGCTCGTGCCGCGTATCTGGTTCGAATACAACCGTTCGGTGAACAGAAAGGAAATTCGTAAAAGTCGGCATCCCTTTTGTGTCTTCCATAAGGTACGTCCCCCTATCCGTCCGAAGCGGGTTTGACTCGAGACTTTTCTTCTTCCGAAATGCTTCGCCTCAGGTACTGTGCTCCTTAGAAATAAACTTAGCGTCATTCGTCAACGTCCATTTTGTCCACCATGGTACTCGCCGCTATTATCGTCCGTTCTTCTTGATCTTGATCCCTGTTTCGATCTCTCTCAGGGTCACGGTCATCATCCCGATCTCGATCGCGTTCTCGACCTCGTTTGTTTCCATCCGATTGATATTCGACATTGTTTCCACCGGACTCCCGTTCTGCGGGGTTATTGGTCCCTGTACAGAGTCGATATTCACCCTCTTCCCTGCGCTCGATGATCCCTTCGTCCAAAGCCCACTTTGCTAGTAAACGATCAACACCAAGCCGTGCCGCCTCACCCTTTTCCATATGTCTACCGACGTGTTCAGTCCACTCATCCCACGAGGTAGGCCCTTCAAAAACACTAGCACAGTCTGACTTGGGACAAGATGACCTCTGCGGAGGCTGTCTACGCGTTACAAGACACGACTGTTGCATCTCCTTCACATGATTCTCCCAATCCACCTGCAATTTGCTGTCGCCCTTGGCAATGGCCTTCTTGATTGCGAAGGGTGCATGCATGCGGCGAAGGTGCTGTGTGAAGAGATCCTTCCGGTTAAATTCGTTCCCCTTGCCTTCAACCGTGCTCTGCGGACATTGTGAACATCGATAATATTGGAGACACAAGTGTTGCGAGGCGATATGTCTCTTCCATTCATTTTTAGATCCGAACGTGCTTGTGCAACCAGCAAATGCAAAGGCGCACGGGAATGGCCGGGTATGGGCGGCAGCAATATGCTTACGTAACGAAGAATAATCCTTGAACGGCGCGTGGCTGCAGTGATTACAGCGAGTTTCTTGTTTTGGTGCTTGCTTTTGAAGTGATCGGCGTTGTTGTTTTGGCCGTGACGATGGTGGCGTAAATTCATGGTTATAAGGAGTCTCATCTACACCAGATTCATTCGCTTCGTGGGATGAAGCCTCGTCATGTCGAGTGGACGTAGCATTATCTGCCAGAATTGGCTGTGCATGAGCGGCAGAGATATTATCACTACTTACGTGTCGAACATGGCTGAGGGCTTTGAGCTGCTCAGCAGCTTCCTGCATCTCAGCAGAATCTTCGACATCATTTTTGCTAGATATGACAGTACCAGGCGTTGTGCTGGTATATGCCATATTTGATGTAGCAGAGGGCTGAGGTAAGTTTATTGGGTCAACTCTTCCCATACTCTCTGGGCGAATCGGTGTCTCTGGCCGTATTTGGGCATGGGTAGGAAGCTCATGTCGGCGGGTAATTGGCGTACTTGCGATCTCCCGAGCCTCGAGGAGCATCCGACCATCTTCCACATCCTTCGCTGACGCCCTGTTGACGGAGACGGATCCAACCAAGCGATTGTACAAGTGGGTCATATTGTGAGAATTCACATACCCTAAAAAGCAGCAGACTTTGTCATGCTGCACGACATTCCATACGGGAACGGGCATTGATATGAGAAGCATGGTAGGCGGTCCAAGAAACATGCCTTCAACGGCGATCTTTGAGGCGATGGCTGGAGTATTATGAAGCCAATGATTGAAGGAAGACATATCTGGACTGGCTTCGCCAACAAACGTTGTGCAAACTAAGACTCTCGGCTCATCAAATGTCAAGTCTGCCACTGCGCTCGGGTGGATAATAGGATCTTCCCGGGACGCTCTGAGTAATTGTGCATCTCCGTCGATCCCTGCTCGTGGAGAACGCAATTGCGCATCGGTACTGGAAAGGAGAGGGGATAGAGAGATACCCTGGCCCTTGCCAGAGCTTATAGTATATAAAACGGGTAACTTTTCGGTGAATGGTAGACTTTTGCTGGCCCCGTTCGTCAATCCCGACGCCTGTATTAGTTCGTGTTGTCGCTGAACCGCTATTTCATGATATAAATGTTCCGCCGTAAATGGCCTACCACCAACAAATTTAAGAAATGCCTCAGTTACGTGAGAAGTAAATGTTCGCAAATTTGGATCCCGGGAATAGTGCTCGGGTGTGCTCGCTGCGATAACTTGCTTGGCGCTGCTACCGTCTGAAATGGATTGCTCTTTTGAGGCACATGTATCAAGGAGTAAAAGCATATCAGATTGCGCCTCGTCAAGAAGACAGCGGAAACCGCTCCATCTCAGTTTTAAGTCCTTTCTTGGGGAGCTGATGATGTGTCAGAGACTCAGAACATCCCCCACAGAGGTGGGAGGTAACCTACCTTGCCCAGTAGAGCTGATTATCCACGCCAACATAGCCATATCCCGCGTAATATATTATCAACAGATGGTCGGGAGCCGCATTTTCGAGGAAAGATGACACATGAACTCCTAGCTTAATGCTAGGATTGTCTACGGTAGGTATATTAAAGCGTTCGGTGCGGTAATTATACCGTTGTCGAAGGACTAGTTCGAGAGCGGCAAGATCGTGTTCGGCGGCATTGTCTTCTTCCCAGCGTATAATGAGGACGGACGTCTTACTATAGGGCGACTTTTGAGTTTGCCGGTATATAAGCATAGCAGCATCTTGAAGGTGTCTCGCGAACGACTCAAACTCATGTCTCTCTGGAGGCGGTGGAGGGACCTCTTGGACCTGATAATGCTGCGCCGGTTGGGTCTATTGATGTGAGTCCACGACTCTACGGTCATCAATTGAATATACCTACAGGTTCATGAGGGAATGGAGGCGGGTGAGGAGGACTGGCTTGAGCGTCAATCTTGGGAGCCAGCCTTCTCTTCTTTGCCGCCGGCTGATCCATCGGATGTCAATTGGCGGCAGAAGACGACAGAGGCTCTCGGTCGAGATTGAAATGATGGGAGAAGTCGCAGAGTATCAGCAAACGGAAACCATCTATGCTGCGATGGGGACGCCAATGGTTACCAGAGGGAAGGTGATTGACGGCGGGATGGAAAGATTGGGAATGATCAGGCTACGGGCAAGGCTGATTCTGGGGGGGTTTGGTTGTGTCGGCTAGGCCTCGATGTGGAACCTTGGGAACCCCCCTAGTCTATGCCAAGATACTCTTTACATCCATATATCCGATAGGTTCAATTAAAGTGGCAATGCGACGGGCGCAGCGAGGAAACCTTCCCTTCATTGGTTAGTCAACTACAGATACCCCACAACTACCTTTGTACTACATAACAAGCTCCAATGTTTTATCCTTACTAAGGACCTCGATACGCCAGAAATACCCCCTATCGGTAAGCGCCTTCGATGTTTATGCATATGAGCAAGTTATTTAAGGTTGAGAGGTCCGATCATTACTAAAGAAACAGCTTCCGCCCTGCTCGTTTTTAGTAAGTGCCCAGCAAGCGCGACACGGATTGATTGACGATGCTATTGACGGTTTTCTATTGGCTCGATGTATGCGCTCCTATATTGAGTCTTTGCGCAATACTACACTTTCGCATTTGTAAACGATTGGAAACCAAGGAGAGCTCGATATATTAATTCCAATAATAGAATTGCCAGATATGTTATCTAGCAACCCAAGATGATTAATGTGCTGAATGACAATGTTCTTGGATCATTTCTGGGTATGTAGGTAGCTAAGTACCTTCTAGGTAGGTACACATACAAAGACAGACATAGTGGGCATTAATTGCGAGTTAAGTATTTCTGCAAATTCTTCTTTTTTCGATACTACCTCTTGAGGTAGGTAAATAGATAGACTGGCTTATACATACATAGTTGATGATATTTTGTATTTCATTTCTGGGTATAATACCGCAAGCTTATATGCACTTGCCCTTCAAACTCCCGTGGAATGAGACCGTCCGCGTCTTTGGACATCCTATATTCAACACGCTTTCCTTCCGAGAATCCAACCTTTTTCCTTGGTTCCCGGATTTCCAACCGCTTCCCATTAAATAACGACTGACCCACTTCCCGCTGCCGCTACGCCACCCCGCCTAAGCGTCATGCAGCGGAACTCTTATCCAACATTTCTTAGATTCAATTTTTGGGTGTGGTAGTGTGCTCAATGCCAATCTTTTCCTCGGAACTGACGAGGTTGCGCTCGAGTCTAACGATGGACCGGTCATTGTGCGTCTTCCAGGCCGGAATACCAATATACTTAATGGAGCCCGGACCCTGGTCCTCGAAGGTTGATACAACTTCCTCAAGAGTCTTGTTGGCAGTCTCAGGGAACAGGAAGAACACATGCCAGAACATGGTGAAGCAGAATACTGCAAATAAGACGTACGTCTTCCAGGTGATATTAGCAAATGCCGGAGGGACGAAGTATGCAAGAGCAAAGTTGAATGCCCAGTTAGCAGACGTAGCGAGAGCCACAGCCTTTCCACGAACACGTAGAGGGTAGAGCTCAGCAGGATACGTCCAAGAGACGGGACCCCAGGTCGGCGCGTACGACGCCACGAACAAGTAAGTGCTAGCAATGACAGCCTTGGCAGGCTTTCCGCCAATGACCATGGAAATAGCAGCAGTATCAAACTCGTTAGGAAGGGCCGGGCGGGAATACACCGCGAACAAGCCCGCGTTGATGCAAAGCCAGAGGGTCATGAAGAACGCGCCCACAAGCATTGTTGGGCGACGACCCCACCTGTCGAGCCAGATGAGAGCAGGGACCGTCATGACGACGTTGATAATGAATTGGATACCGCTGGAAAGTAGCACATCGTTACCGGAGCCGGTCATCGTGAAAATGTAGGAAATGTAGTACATCATCACGTTCATGCCGGTAAGTTGCGACCAGATCTGGGTGAAGAGACCAATGTGAGTCCGGTTAATCATCTTAGGTCGGAGTAACTCGATGTAGGATACGTCAGCGTTTTGGCGCTCAAATTCGACCACCTCCCTGATCTCGGACATTTCCCTCGCGACCAGTTGAGAATGCGGGTCGCCTTTGCCGTGGACCAAAGTCAGCACGTCGTGAGCCTCCTCCCAACGATCACGCTTTGCTAACCAACGAGGCGACTCGGGGAGGAACATGAGACCGAAGAGGAGCATAAGAGCGGGGATCATTTGAAGGCCCCATGGCAGACGGAAAGCCGCCTTGCCGTTGATAAAGCTGGATCCGTAGCATATAAAGAACATGATTGCGATACCCCAAGTGATCGCCCATTGTTGCATCGAAATAAACCGACCTCTCTTCGAGGGTGGCGACAGTTCGGAGATATAGACGGGAACCTGAGCAGAACAGATACCCACGCTAATACCGTTGATGATACGACCGACGATTAACATAGGGATATTTTGAGAAGCGCAAACAAGGATGGAGCCGACGAGCCTGTACAGCAGACATTATTAGATCAAATTCTCCAACCTGGCTAACCAATGTTGTAAGACACGTACCAGATGACAGCACCAATCTGAATAGAGGTCTTTCGACCTAACCTATCAGTAATAAACCCGGATATTAAGGCGCCGAGCCAGGAACCTCCAGGCATGGAGGCAGTGATTCCACCCTGCACGACATCGTTCGGACCCTGACACGCGCCAGTTGTCGGGTTGTTGCCCTGCTCTTGTCAGCACACTGTAAAGGCTAGCAATATTACTTTGAGTTAGACCGACTAACCTGCTGGTTGAATTGACATTTGTAAGGCGTAGTAGAGATAATGGCACTCATAGACGAGATATCAAAACCGAATAGCGCGCCACCTAGGTTTAAAGATTAGTCTCTAGCATAGTAGACAGTGTGGCAAGTCCAGAAAGCAAAGTGGCCGGTATGGTGTTAGCAAATATTGCGACAGCTTACCTATAACGGATATGCCCGCGATAAAATAGACATTGCCAATTTGCTTCATGATGTCTGAGACCCCGCGTGGTCTATTAGCGACACATACAGGATACTAGGTAATTAGGTTTCTCAGGTGTGGAGAGATGAGGAGTAAAGGGAGCTGGAGTAATAGTCAAGAGTCGGGGAGACAGGACTGAAAGTTGAGAAGAGAGGTTGATCAGTTATTATATGCGCGAGAGGTGCCGTTTGGGTGGCCAGGATCCGAGTAGGGAAACTTTTCCTAGCTGCCCAGGATGTTCATCCTTTGATGCTTGCAACAAAGCAGATTGGTCACTAGACCTTCCTCTGTGCTCCTGTGGCGTCTTTTCCGGGGGAGATTGCAGCCCGCGAAGAGGTGAGCATACTGGCATACATACGCAGTACTCAGTCCAACATTGAACCAACACGGGATGCTTGGCTGAAAGCTTTCCGACGTATTTTGGTAGGCAGTATGTGCGTGTAAGAACGGTGTGTACGTACTTCTTAGTAGAATGCGGATCCCCAGATTCCTCCTTTCTTGGATTGCTATAGGCCCACCCAGGCTCGGGCTCGGCCCACGGTGTACCTAGGTATTGGACGTTTTGAGGCAATCAGCCTAGGCCCATCGATCCCCATCGAATTCCGTATCGTTTAGAGCAACGAGCCCGGCTAGCTCGTCCGTCACGAGACAAGGAAATCAAGAATGCTAGCTACCAGCAGCAAGGGAAAAGCACGACCTTATCCTGGTCCCGATCTCGTAGACATTTTCCCATAACTGGTACATCGCCCGAGCTCGTACGTGTAAGGACATACGTGTGCGGTGTAAAAAGTACATGATAATACCAAACGGGACGGGAACTCATTCGTGTCTTCCCAGCACGGTGGGACTGGGGGACTGGGAGACTTGGGAGTTTTCCACAAATTTTTTGGAGGTCACACGCGTGCTAATACTTCCTGCAGTGTCATATGCGGGTAACAAGCCAATCCACGGGAAAAGAGACAAGCAGCAAACGACGATTATTGGCTGCTGGAATGCTTAACTGGGATGACTGGGATGAGAGGCGCATGGGTGCGGATGTCTTAATGGTGGTAGAGTGTATGGGCTAATAACATCCCGAGGTTTTGGTTTTATCATTCTTGCGCAAACCATCTCCAGCTCGTCTGATCAAGGCTAGAAGATCAGCAGCCAACTTTGAACGAAATCAGAACGTTCTTCTGCAGGCTTTTCGACGCGAGGGAGAGCCCAATTCCCCCAATTCCACGTCGCGATGCAACCAAATCTTGATCTGCATTGACACTCCCACCTTTCAAAAATTCCGGGGTAAAGGTAAGGAGGTTTTGAGTGTCGCCTAATTCGATGTATCATTGACCATTGGCACCCCTTTAATTCGCTGTCGAATTTGTCTCGGTGGATTTTCCCCGCCGTAGTCGGAAGGTGCCTAAAACAGAAATGCTTCGAGTATTAATTGATACCTTCTATTATGTAGGTACAATTAAACCAATGTAGTTCCGGTACTCGTCGGCACCTGATAATGGAATGATGTCAGTGGCCCATGAAGAGAAGCTAATTAGGAGCTAATAGTGACGGTCTTTCCCTCTCCCCATTTATGCGATGTTTACCACGGGCCGAATAGAGCTTGGGGGAGAGCTAGGGACCCCGGCTTCTCCACTGGGGAAGGTTCGGGGCGGTCGGGGTAATTCATGGAGAGGATTCGAGCTTTCCAAAGTTCTTTTCATTGTTCCATTTGTTCAGGTCTTAAGATTTATCATCAGGTTTAGGGCTTTTTACATGTTACATTCGACCAACTGTTATACCAGCAAGCTCTAAATTTGCGCTAAATCTTATTGATCTATCTTTTCATCCTCTTCCTCTCTTTTTTATCCCCTACGAGGGTGATCATCATGTAGCCGATCTAATTATCTGACTGTGCCTAAGATTGAATATGTATGAGCAAGTCAGCTCGTAATATTTGGTTACACAACACAACGGCCCTTTTATGTGAATATTAATAACAGGATAAGATCCTGACCGCTTTGCTAGCACACCCATACTTGCATAGTACATGAAGTATACTATATACACATGCAAGATGAATCCCTCATCGAAGCTTGCAGGCTGGAGGCTAGCAACACTTTCGTCCAAATCATTTAACAAGTACTCTAACTCATCTAAGGTATTGCTCCATCAACCACAAGTTCGGAGCCGAGCAGTCCCAGAAGAGGTTGAACGTCGAAATACGCTAGTTACAACTAGGCGACCTCGGCCGGGAAAGGACGCTTGCGGTTCTACAACCTGAATTGTGCGGCAATGAGATTTCCCCGGTCTTTGACATGTTGGGCTATCAGTCGGTGTTACTCCGTATGTAACCGGTTTCTCGTCCAGTAAAAAGAAAGAATCGCCACTTTCCTATTCGTGATTCAGCCGCACTGACACGAGGCCAGGCCTCCCCCATTGTCCACGTGGGAGGAATAGGAAAGGAGTTTGGGGTTACAAGTGGACAATGAAAGCGGCGCGGAAACGCTACGACGCGACGTTGCACAATTTGAATCCTTCAAGTCCTACTCACGCCAGGAATCCAAACACGCTAGCTACACGCTCTGCCGTTGGTCGGCTTACTAGCTAGCAGCCCTACGGCACGTTTGGTCCGGGTGCCACCAAAAAAATGCTTAACTTTGCTTAGCACCTGGGCAAACTAGAGCCGGGACCAGCAACGATAGGGTGACTAAGGCAAATTTGAAGGTGTTGGTATTGTACACCACCAGATTGATCACTGCTGTGGAACACACGAGAACAAACAATATAAACTCAAAATCCCGGAGTTATGCGCATATTTGTCTAAAGTTGAAAAGCGCCAGGCTGCCAGGTCATTCCTTATTTTGTGGAATGACAAACCTCTGTCGGTCTTGGACACCATCTAAGTCTCGCTAGATTCAGCGCGTGGCCTGGAAAACGAGAAGATATTCAAGTCTCCGAACCAGTGGACCATGGCAATCCATGCGTTATAGACTTCATATATTTCGAAAACGGATGGATCCATGAATACTAATACCCATCCCGTGGATGTTTGCGACGTGACTGGGACAGTTAGCACCGCTTGGCGACATCAACCTTCTAACCACTAGCAGTTACTCCATGTTATGACTGGAATGTTATTGGGCAAGCTTCAAATGTTCCGGCAACAAGGTGGGCTGTTCTCGCCTGCCTAGCACTCGACAAGTTTGCTCGGGTTAAGCCTCACCGAACATTTTCGATAACCAACATCTATACCTTCAAAACCTCGGATCTCGCCTAGGGAGCCTTTCGAATCTCAAACAACATGAACCTGTCTATCTCATGATAGCATTTGTAGCTATTGAGTCAGTGGTCATAGGATCTGAATATCATAGATGGCCAACCTCGATGCCAATACCAACAGAACGACATATACGATGTCGTCGATAGGATTCAACTACAATTGCGCTATAACTACAATTGCGCTATTACGCAATCTTAGGAGATTTCTCGCTGTTCTCTGGAGCGATCCATCGCTTGTTGCCGAGACTTGCTTACACGTTTCTCGAGGAATGTCCAACACCGTTCTGCGTCAATCCTCGAGCTGAAAAAATAAGCGTCGGACGGGTTGTTTCAATACATTTGAGACTCTCTAAAGAGCTTGCAGAATTGTCGCACTCAGAGAAGGTATGGAGTACTATTACGGTTGCGGTCTATGCTCGATTGGGGCCTCAAAACCTCAAGACACAATCAAGACCACCCTACAAAATCTGAAGCCTCCGACAACAAAGCTTCCGACATGACATTTATCTAATATTATTCATCTAGACAACGCTAGAAGTCGGTGTTCGAATTTCCCCCTCAAAAATTCGTTAGCAAACTACTACAACCTACTCCCGGCCGAAACACTTCAACCCTAATCTCTTGTGGGTGTTAGTAATCAAGATTTCTCCTGCATAGAAGATTTCTGGAAAGGTCAGCTGACAGCAGTTTTCAAGTCACAAACACGGAATTATCCAGGCGTGTCATGACAAACAGATGTGGAGTGATAGTGTTGTTACTTGCTTGCTGCTTAGGTACCGTACCTACGATTTATTTTAATAGGCTTGTCGATTTGGTAAGCAAACTTGGCTGCGCGCAATCGAGGGATTTCTCGTGCATAAATAAGACGGGTAGCCGATTTGCCGATCGCTTATGTACTATATCGACAATCGAGGAACGCGACCGCAAGATGCGTAAAAGTTGAACGCATAACGGTGGTGGCGATGGGATCTACTCCATTCCTTTACCCTTGCCAATGAGAACGCAACTTCAGCTAGCACCGCCACGATTTTCAGGTCTCCAGGCCTTACGGACTATACCATTTAGCGCCTTAGCTAATAGGGAATAATACGATACCTAATGAACCTTCAACCTTGGAACCTATTGGTATGGCCATTGAACGAGGGGATGCCGAAGAAGCGGGTAAGATAAACGAATTCGCCATGTTCCTAGCTTGCTCAGTGCCCACGATACATCTATGTCTGTGTATCTGAGCATGACGTGCATCTTTATTTAGTTGGGGCGAGTAAGGTTCGATGAGATATGAGATCTTGATGAAGGATTTGGTGAATGGCTATCAGACACTCATAATCCTAGTCTCCCCAGTATCCTGAATGTTTCGTCAATTGTCTCTGGAGTGAGTGATGAGTGATGATTGATGATTGAGATAGAAATTCTCAACGTTGCACGTGGCTCAAAACCTTGATTTAGACTCGATTCTTTAGTCGGATAACAGTTCGTAAAAGCCGGGGACGGGCTCAGGTACCGTGCCTTCCGGGACTTTATGTAGTGGATACTTACTAGGAACACCGTAATATGAGAGGCCGCCTTTTTAAGCGGAAGTAGCTGTGACGTTTTTTTTAGTGACTCGAGCTACACAAGCACAGCCACAAAACATTGAAAGACTTGCGCATTCTACGCAGTACATCTGTAAGCAGAAGCAACATTCACACCTGCCAGTCGTTGGCAAAGTCACTTCTACTATGTTCTAAGACGATTCGACTCATACAGCAAATCCAAAGCTTGCCATATCATAGTATTGAAAGTTGCGACTACTACTATCTGAACTATATTCTCGACAGAGTTTTGTTCGTTTTTTTCTTTCTACCAGCTGCCGAACGGTGGTGATTATAACTCAATTCGGTTACCTGCTTAGGCACTCGTAGTACTCACAGTTAAGTCTGACGTCGTCACAGGACGAGGGTACGCGAAGAAAACAGCGGGGCCTGTCTCAACGCATTTTTCATCATATTCCCGACTTTGCCATTGTCTACTTTTCTTCATCAACGATAAATCTAGACAACCGGGATAATTATTCACGCGCAACACAACGATGGACTCGGAGGGACAGCTGAAGCGGAAAGACACCACCAAGGGTCCTCCCTTACGGATACTGAGCTTAGGTAGGTTCATGGTTGATTACCCCGCCATCTTGATACTCTGCATTTGCATTAGGTACTAACCTTGATGTTTCGCGCCCACACAGATGGCGGAGGAGTCCGTGGCTATTCTATGTTTATCATTATCCAAGAACTGATGCTCCGAACCTTCGTCGAAATCGAAGGTAGAGCGCCGCGACGCGATCAGATCCCGAAACCATGCGATCATTTCGACCTAATAGTTGGCACCGGCACGGGCGGCTTGATCGCCTTGATGCTAGGACGTCTTCGATTAGACCTGGAGACATGCAAGGAACTATATGTCCGAATGACGAGGATGGTGTTTGAGTCCGATAAGACAATTGTCGGGATACCCTATCGACACACACTATTTAAGGCATCTATGCTCGAGCGCGCAATCAAGGAGGCGGTAAGGGAACATACTGTTTCTGACGATGAAGGGAACGATGGGGCATCATCAAGCGTTTTCAGTCCGGTATCTGCTGTATCGCGGTCTAGTGCTGCTTCGAGCGGCTTTCCCCGACGGCACCAGAGCAATGCCAGTACCGTCAGTTTCAGCGGTCGCAGTCCGTCGAGTCAAACCCGCCCGGTATTTCGGGGCGGCGGATGGGGCGATCCTGATGCGCAACTTTATGATACTAGAGAGAATAGAACGAAGACGTAAGCTTCATCCTTACTCAGCCTATATTTCTCTGCACAGCCACTAATTCTTCTGCAGCGCTGTCACGGCCATGTATAAAGGAACTTCTAGAGGAGGTTCTGCCGCGCTTTTACGATCGTATGACTCGAGGAAAGAGCCTGCCCCCGAATATGACTGTAAGATTTGGGAGGCCGGTCGCGCAACCTGTGCGATTGGACTAGCTTTCAAGCCGATTAAGATTGGACAGACCGTATTCCATGACGATGGAGCTGGGACATTTAATCCATCGCCCTATGCCCTTGACGAAGCTACAGTTAACGAATGGCCGGGGCGAGATGTAGGTGTGTTCGTCAGCGTAGGAACTGGAAAACGACCAAAAGGAACGGACCAGAATCAACATGTCTGGTATGAAGGCTTCATAGGCGAATATGCGGAAGCGAGAAAAAAGTTGATCCAAAAGGTAGAAGGCTGTGAAGCGATCCACGAGCGGATGAAGAAGGAACTTCTGATGAAGAGAGGTGTCAACATCGAAAATTACTATCGATTCAACGTTGAGGTAGGTGTTGGCGAGTTTGCTATGAATGAGTGGGATCGACTAGGAGAAATCAGCACGGGCACGAAAAGATACCTATCAAGGGATGCTGAACAGAAAATGGTTCAAGAATCGTCGACAAAATTAGCCAAGATACACAGGGCAAAGCGGAGGTTTGAAAGGCTCAGCAGCAATGTACCTGACATCACAACTCAGCCGACCATGGGTTCTCTGAATGCTCCATTAGCTGTAGAACTCCCGGGAGATTTCCCTGCGACTTTTCCGGCTCGAAATAGTCCCCCAAGTCGGGAGTCGTACGAGTCAGGCATAGACCACCTTTCACTTCCCGGATCCGGAGCCGGCCCGGGTAGTACGGCGTCTTCCCGCGGTTCCGGCGATCGCGTTCGCCCACCTACTAGCCATGCTTCTCCGCCTCAAACGGCCACACGCCCGCAGCAGAAACCACCCTCCTCTCCAGCTTTGGCTCCAGCAGTCAGGCCTCCTCCCGATGACGAGCCTGACCGCCTCGTAGTGACCGCACCTACCCCTGCACAGTACCGCCACGCTGCCGGATCTGACAAGATTGCTATCACGGGAGCTGATGAATACCCACGAAGGCCACAAAGGGATCCTATCATACAACCCATGATTCAACCATATCAACCGCACCGTATAGAGCCGCCTCCACTACCTCCGAAGACACCGCTACCTGAGAAGCAGCTCGCGAGTAGTCGACGCCCTAACGGAGCCCCTCTCCCGCCTTACCCTATGGATGAGGAGGGCCCTCCACCGGTAGTCAACATGGCAAAGAAACCAGAGTACAGAAGGAGATGAACAAAAATTTTCTTTGAAGGTAGCATAGAAGCTACGTGGTTGGTCCTTGGGTCGAGTCTTCAGGTCTGTTCGGCGAATTCTTCTACGGTCTGGCGTCTCTAGGATAGGATGTTTCACGTGGCACTGATGATTGATGATACCATTCGCGTATGAGGAGTTGTTATGAAATTTTCTTCACGGAGTATGACGAGGTTAAAGTTGTGCAAATGAGGACTACGGATACCCTTTCTCATTCGGTTTAGACGCCCGGTATATATTCGCCCGATTACAATACGAAATATTTGGACAGACAAATGATTTTTACGACCTGGAAAATTTTCTGTGTGTACAAATTCTGTGGGATGTTTGTTTTGTTCTTTTTGAAATTTTATACATATGTGACGTGGCCATGCATTCTTCGTCGATGGGGACGGACGTCTACGTTCTCGTTGGCTAGCAAAGAATTTAATTATATAATACACTGTGATGGGCTCATACGTCTCTTCATAATGGGGCTATCGTGTGATGGTTGAGTCCCTTTGGTATACTTGTTATGATCGGATGAATGATCCTATCGTTCATCACATTCTAAGCCAACGAGATCTCACTCAGTTATGTTGAATTCAAGCCACTTTCGAGCACCGCTTTTTCCAAGAAGGTGGCCTATGAACGGCCTAGATGAACAGGGTAATCTCTATGGGTAGATTAGAACGCCATGGCCGTTTTTCCGCGTCTCCTGCAGCCGGTGAGGCGTACATCTTGGTGGGTTTCAGTGTACTTTATACAAAGTTGGCGGCACCTAGATCAAGCAAAGAGCCCAAGAAGAAGCAGCGCCCGAAGACGTTTTATTATATTTTCGTATTGTTGTTTAATAATGGACGGATGGGGCGGAAGCTGGATTATGTATGTACTCGGCCGAAATGATGTTAGAGGTGACGGTCACGTTTCCAAACAGAGAGCATTTCCGTTGATGATCACCGACTCCGTACCTATTTGATACAGTCATCGCCACTTCCTACGAGCGGCAAAAAACTAGCTAGTTCTCTCCACTTAAATGTGCCGATAGCACACTTAGCTAATAGATGGGGCAATTAGCTAAACCTTAGGTACACTCTAACACTCTGGCAGTCTGGCCCCCAGTCAGAATAAACGGAGTTGTCATTCGATTTTTCTTTTCTTGGATATGTACATCATCTAATTTATTAGCAAATATTTCCGATACAAACCCTTTCCCCTCAACCTTTGCTATATCGCAATGGTTCCATGGATCCATAACAACTTAAAAACCAGGCTTAAATGCCGTTGATATGTACATCAATAGTATCATTCTCATGCTATGGCCTTTTTTTTCACCAAGCGCTCAACTTACGCTAAAGAATCGCGCCAGTCAGCCCTACATATTTAAGCGCCATTCTTCTCGACGGTCTACCAGCTGAGAATGGCGCTTACTTACCGGCAGATACTTGCATTCGCAATGCGGTAGCAGTGTTCGCCTGTATGGAAGCAGCTGAGTCTGCGTGCATGATATTTAATATGAGTACAGCACCTATACTACTCTATGATATCTTCCTGCTATGGATGTAGCATTTGCAATCTTAAGTTACTGAGGTACTCTGGATCCTCTTCCTCGTTCGGCGTTCATGTTTATATCAGGGGCTTTTGGACCTATCACACCCAAAATCGATTCGAGTTGCCTGCGATTTGCCCAGGCACGTCTTATTCTTGCCTCTTGCCTCTCGCCAAAAACATAGCATATCCCTTTATGCAGGTCTGGAAAGAGGAGTCCAAGGGATCTCAATAAGTTTCAGAAACCTTCACGCACCGCTCAACCCCCTGTCCGGCCCCCATGCCGGCGCGGGCTTCATGCTAGGTAAATACTACATAGTAAATAGCACGTCCTCCGCGCCGCACGCCTTGGCCACTAGGCCGTATCGAGCATGGGACCTCTCGAATGAAGCAATGCGATCCTCCAATCTCCCTAGCAGCCGCCAAGGCGGAACTGCCTAGCATCTCGGCTCTCGCACCAACAGCACCGGAGTCCCGCGCCCCTAATTGGGCAATCCGCCTTGCTACGCCGCACCCTTACGCCCAAAACGTGCGCGACGCGGGTCTTCAACAACAGCGATGCAGTGCTTCTACTATGGTGAACCTGGCTCGCTTGGTGGATTCGTCCATATCGATCGCCGGTTTGGCGTGATTCTCGCAGCCTCCATGAACTGTGCCTCTTGCTTTGCCAATAACTTAGGATCCCGTCAGGTACATCATGTCGTAGCACCGCTCCTGCAGTTCACTGGTGATCTCGTTTCTTTTCGCCCGTTCAGCAAAATATTTCTTTGCCGTTGTTATTATTATTACTATGCTGTGTCACGATGCTGGGCTGGCTTCCAACGACACCCCTTAGCCCCGTAACATTAGTGATAATAGGCAGTTCAAAGCTTCGACGGTTCCCGCGTCGTCAGTGACGACCCTTTAGGGGCTCTTTGTCGTTTTTATCTTCCAGTTAAACAGCGCGATCATTTCCAGTCTGTCGTTAAATAGGTGATCACATATACCCAGGTAGAGAGAATGAGTTCTTCTCCGAATCACAGAGACTCGCAGCCCGGGCTCGAGCTCGCGCCTTCTTCCGACCCGGAGGTTGTTCACCGCCCGAGCGACCCTTATCCCATAGCCGTGCCTGGTCAGGCACCCGTACCCTATGCAAATGGAGGGAGTCTGTATACCGTAGATGGATCGCACGGCTCGCCGCCAAGTACCTACGCTTACGCCAATGGGGAGAAGGCGTTACCACCGCAGTCGTCAGTCTTCGAATCGGGAACAGGAGCGGCGGCAGGGGCGGCTTCGAGGAAAAAGCTATGGATCATGGTCGGGGTTCTAGCAGCGGTCGCCGTGATCATAGGCGCAGTCGTCGGCGGTGTAGTAGGGAGTAAGTCATCAGGGAGCGGGGCAAAGGCGGCCGAAAACTCAGGCTCGACATCGTCGCCTAGTAATAGTAGCAGCACGGACGCAAGCGTAAACACGACGGCTGTGCGACCGTTAACGAGGCTCTCGGTGACGGGGCGGCGGTTGGCGGGGGACGGGTTCACGTCGCGGCTTTTCTGGCAGGGCGGCGACAACCACATCCGCACGTCCAAGTACACGAGTACGGGAGGGGAGTGGTCGACGCCGCTAGTATTCAGCGGGCTCGACGCGAAGCCGGGCACGCCCATCCCCGCGACCATTTACATGCTGTACCCGCAATTCGAGGTGTTCTACCTGGACTCCAAAAACACGTTCCGGGGCGTGAACTTCGGCGAGGACGAGACGGCGCCGAAGACCGACAGCATCGAGACGGACCGGCCGGCCTTCACCGTCGACGACGGCACGAAGATGTCCGCGTACTGGCCGTACATCATCTACCAGAACCCGAATTCGACGTTCCGCCGCCAGGTCTACGATTCCAGGGGTCGGGGATATTTCAACGATACTATGCAAGGGTGGTTCAACCCCGATGTGGTACCGCTCGGCGACAACAGGACGGGGATTGCGGTAGTGCCCACGGTGAAAGAGTTTAAGGGACCGTATGCCGCAGGTATCGCGTATCGAGACCAGGACGGCCGTCTATCCGTGTTCTCGTTCGGAGGCGACGATACGGGGATTTCCTGGGACACTGGTACGTGGAACCATATTCTCGGTTATCTTGGTTTTTTGATATGCTAATCTCTGTACAGGAAGCCCCAACGTCTCGATACCAGCACAAACGTCCATCGCCGCGCTTGCGGTCGGACGCCCTAACAGCAACTCAACAAATACGTGGATCTTATACCAGGACGAGGCCAATAAGATCCAGTGCGTCTACCAGGATGACGCGAACGGGTGGAAAGGGCCCCAGGAGGTAGGCGACGCGGACGCGGGCACGGATATCGCGTGCCTGACGGAATCGGTCCTCGACGAACCTGATCAGATATTGCTGTCGGAGCAGACGGATATGAGGCGGTGTTATTACCAGTACAAAGGCGCGATTCAGGAAAAGCGGCTTACTTCTTCTACTTGGATAGATGGGGACACAATTCCAATGCAATAGATACCTCAGTATATACCTAACTTCCTTATAAATTAGTTAATTCAAGTCATATCATAGCGGTAAGGTTGTATGTTGATGGTGCACCTACAGATCCTTTTTTTTTTCTCCTCTTCGGCACCTGTACGCTACTGGTACTGGACGATCAGCATCAAAAATTCACCAGTTCAAACCCTCTGGTAGGTAAGACTACTTCATAAAATCATCCAATTTTCCTTATCGTCTGCAGTGAAAAGGGATAAAACATAAGGGTCCAATATGGACCGTTGCCTTCAAAATCTCCTTGCAAGCTTGTAGCCTAACCCACTGGCTGTAAGCTCAATGGTTTACCTATCTCTAACCACGCGGGCCTACCATGGCACGCGAAGCTCATCTGTCAACCGTCGCCCCTCCTGTTACATTCAAACCATCTAGCATGATTTCATCACCATCCTGTCTCCGATTAACGCGGGAGCCAAGTTCTAAACCTTCGGAATCCTCTCTATCAGGCTCAGAGCCAAGGGCTTCCCATTTCATTCCCATCGCGGCAAGGAATGAAATCGCACCAGCAGCGAGTATGATGGTGAAACAACCCTTGAGGGCTTCGGTAGTTGCAACCGTGACCATGAGTCGTATCTCCGTCGAATTCCTGCTGTTTAAAACAGGGGAGTCGACGCCTGCGAGCAGTTCAAGCATTTCGTTGTCCGAGAATGAGGAACCCACGTCACCGTCTCCAAAGGATTTCTTCAGAGACTGGAGCCCTATGCCCTGGTAGATCATCCCGGCAATAGAGAGCGACACCGCGATGCCACCCCAATGTGCCATGTTGCTGAGCAGCGCGGCATCCAAACGGTCTTTTGTGTTGGATAGGGTGACCCAGCACACTGGTATGGCTAATTGCCAGAGAACGCCAAGGCCAGCGGCGACGACAGATTCGAATCCCATCACAGATGACTCAGACGTCTCGATACTGAGCGTTTGGAATAAACCACCGCCAACTAGGAGGAGAATAGAGCCCAAGACGAAAAGTGGCTTGTAGAAGTGGAAGGCGCATAGCAGAGCGCTGCTTATGATGACGGCGGCGATGAAGATGCATACAAGAGGTAAAAGGCGGGTCGCGGCGTCAAACGGGCCCAGGCCTCGGTTGAAGGCAAAATAGATAGGCAAGTAGTAGAGCGCAGCACCGTATGCTGCAGCGGCGGAGATCGTGCATATCCAGGCCAGCAGTATCGTTCGGTTGGTAAAGAGCGAAAATGGAGACACGATGCGGGCAGCGGGTGTGGTGCCAATGCTGTACGCTTGCTGAATCACATATAGAAACACAGCAAAGGTAAATGCGCTCCAGGCAGCAATGGCATCTCTGGCTCCGAAAACCCCTGCAGATCCCAGAAATGTGCAACTGAGCGGGAAGAGGAAGCACACTACCATGTGTAGAGTCATTCCGAACATGTCGAAATCCCTCTTTTTGGCAACCCTTACCTCCTCATTCATTATGTTAAGCCAGGGCAAGAAAAGAGCCTGGAGTATCAGGCTGATGGAGCATAACGGAATCACTAGTATGAATGCCTGATAATGTTAATTATTATCTTCTGTCTATCCAGTTAGGGAGCAGTTGGTAATTGCACTCACCCAGCGCCATGTAATTTGTTCGGTGCCGGCGGCGAAAGCACCACCTGCAGTCAAACTCAGCGTTGTTACACTTACAGAGACATTTGAAGTCCCAAGGAACAGGAGGCGAACCCATAGTTGGGCCTAAAACTAGACCGACGACGAAACAAGCGCCCATAGATACATTCACAACTGCGAGCTCTTGAGGACAACAGAGCATGGCATTGAAGCTTGACGTACTTTGATTACTGTCAGAAAACAATCATTCCGGGGAAAGGTTAGGTAGCTTACGCTTGGTAGATGATGCTTGTGCCCAAAGCCGACAGCAAACGGCCGAGAACAACAAACTGGAAAGCAGGAGCGCCCGCGGACATGGCGGCCCCCGCCATCATCCATAGTATAGACGTAAGACACATAATCTTGAAGTGCCTATACTTCAACATCTTGTACCCGAAGGGAATAAAGGCGATACTGGAGACGGAATAGCTAAGTGCGACCCAGGGCAAAGTCCCTAAACCTCCGAAAGCTTTATAGATAGAAGGCTGGATATTTGCAACATTGCCGATGTCGTATCCTGATTGGTCTCTAGGTCAGTTTATAGCGACGCAAGATTCTTAAGTGTAACGCAGGGACTTGCCATGGACTAGACTCAATATGCCGTTCGCAATAAGCAAGGCTTTCCATTTCCATTCTGGTATATTGTCCCTACGATCGAGAGTATCTGCAATTTCATTGAATTCGGAATTATGAGTCTGTTGCGTGTGGGAGTTCTCCGTATTCCCCGGAATACCAAGTGCTGGAGGCGGGTGTGGGCTGGACATATTGTGATGATGCGATGTTTTTGTGTCCTTATCTTCAATATGATTCCAGGCCAAGGTGTTCGTCATGGAAGAAGGATTGTGTTGAACAGCACCGAGATTCATATCAGCAGGACTAGCAGTCTTCGATGGCGATTGATAGCCATGCTGGCGGTTCGAATCCATTTTGTTAGATTGTCGACCTATGACGGACGATTGTGTGGCACCACGACTCGATGGATCAGAAGATAAATTCTTGGAGGGCTTATACTTATTTCGACTTGACTCTGATGAGCTGGAATGCTTGGTAGGCACCATAGTGATGATTTATCAATATGGATGTTCGTTATAAAGAGTCTTGTACCAAATGACGTTTGAGAGAAGATGTATGGTCGAAAAGAGCTCCAAACTTCTGGATACCCCCCAAAGAAGTATATCGCTGTCTAGACAGTTATCGTAGCTCTTGCGCATGGAGGGTTCATTTAAGATAACAGTGAAAGAACACCCGGGAGATGATGATCCTAAGAAGACGAATGGAAGTAACAGCGGAGACTTATGGGACTATGACCTTTGAAATACTGAGAAGGGACGATGAAGTCGTGCCAAGCTCCAACGTTAAACTTATGTATGGTTACTGTGACTTCCAGATACATATCAATGCTCCAAGCAACCTAGTTTTGGAAGCGCTGTGACAACTAAATTCTACCTAGCCATTTCCTAGCGAATTGCCTCGTTCGCCTTTACGTCAACTCCATTAGCCTAGGATACTGATCCGCATACGACGTGTTGCAGTTCCAGCAAGTCTTTAGAGAATAATTGTTTCACGTGTAAACAACTTATCAATAGCTCTTCAGGTTCTTGCAATTGAGTTATGAAAAAAAACGAGATTGATTTACTTATATAACCAAGGGATTGGCTGGATACTGAGCTACCTATGTTGGTATTAAGGGGTAATCATAATCCAGTAACCGAACGATAACTCTTAGTTTTGTAGGTATTTCAGAGTCTTCCTTAAAATGGCCCAAGATACCTGTCTTAGACAAATCCAACTACCCATTACCTACATCACAACGTTCATAACAGATAGGCTGGCAATCCTCCCCGATCTACACTTACCGATGTTGATGAACACGGGTCATCATATCCGCCGAAAGTTATGGAGCATCGGCAAAGATGAACGGGCTCAAGGCTCGCGACCTCAGTGATATGATATCGCCGACTTAGCACGATACTACCTTTGCTGGCGAATTAGAGAAGATCGGACTTAGTGTGTCATTGGAATTGTTGATTCAGCTGTTTACAGCGTTTTGCGATTTGTCAGACATTCACAACTCCGAAAAAAGATACAGGTTCCCTTAGCAATCACAAATTTGTATACTTTCAATAGTCACCCCTTACCAATTCCAGAGGTAGGTATAAATTTTGAATCGTCTGCACAACTGTTCACTTGAGTATCCGATGTTAATTCGCCATAGATACATCAACCAAGAAGGACAGACGACGAAACTAACATCAGGTTCAAAATGACATTTTCCTACAACCAAAAGACTACTTGTGATGAACTTGTTAAAGATTTCGCGGCTGAAGTCAAAGGCAAGGTCATTCTAACCACTGGAGTATCGCCGAATAGTATCGGGGCCACATTTGTGGAAAGTCTTGCTCAGGCTGAGCCCGCACTGCTAATTTTAGCTGGCCGCAAGGTTGAGAAAGTTCAGCAGACGGCCAACGCGATTTCTCTTGCCCACCCAAATGTGAAGACTCGTATTCTTCAACTTGACCTGGGCTCCTTTGATGCCGTCCGCGAGGCCGCATCCACTGTGGATAGTTGGACTGACGTCCTTAATATCGACGTGCTTGTCAACAATGCCGGTATTATGGCAGTGGAATATGCCTTATCTCCGGATGGTTTCGAAACCCAGTTCGCTACTAATCATCTGGGCCATTTTCTGTTCACGAACTTGATCATGAACAAGATATTAACGTCCAAAGCCCCACGAATTGTCAACGTCAGCAGCGATGGCCATCGCTTGGGTCCGGTCCGCTGGTACGATTACAACTTTAGAGTACTATACCCCTTACGTTCTATACCGTTATGGAGAATCTGCTGACGCCATTTAGAATGAAGAGACGTACAACAAATGGCGTGCCTACGGTCAATCTAAGACCGCCAACATGCTGATGACCATTTCTATCGCCGAGAAACTAGGACCTCGAGTGCTCGCATATAGCCTACATCCCGGTGTCATTGAAACTAATCTTGGCTTACATATCGATTGGACCACCAGTGCTGATGGCTTGCGTATGGTATTCGCCTCGAGATGACAATTATGGACATCTAATCTAACCTTAACATCTTTGTAGGAGATCTAGATAAAGACCAGGGAAATAAGGAGGCTTGGACCGGATACATATACAAATCTACCCAGGAAGGAGCTGCGACGCATGCTTATGCAGCATTTAGTCCAAGTTTGAAAGGTAAAGATCCCAAGTTATATACTTCTCTCATAGGTACATATGCGACTAGCTAACCTCGTATTAGATCATAATGGCGCTTATTTACAGGATTGCCAAATTGCTGACCCTTGGGTTCATACAGTGAAGCCATGGGGTACCAGTCCTATCGAGGCTGAAAGACTATGGAAATTGAGCGAGAAGCTTGTGGGCCAGGAGTTCACTTATCCTCCCCCTGATTGCGAGCTGAAGAGCTCATGTAATCTTCTGAAGGGACATCTTTTACCACTGGTCACTATTATGCAGACACCAACTCCTTTCTCAAGTTTCATACGAAAGCAGAATTTACTTTAAAGTGAATTGAATCTAATTTTACCTAGTTATAGATGAATAATGACAACCCTCGTACAGAGAAGAATCTCGAATCTAGATTATATCTCAATCTAGAGCTAATTCATCTAAACCTCGGTGAAAAGAGGGAATTTTATGGTAGTTCTTCTAGGTGTAACTGATGATCTTGTTGTTAGAAATGAGCTTCTACCCAGTTCTTTAAAAATCGAGTACATATCGCGTTAAGCAGCTATTTCCTCACAGCTCCAGAATGCCCAGGTTTAATACCTACAAAACTGATGGATTTTATGGGCATTCATATAGTGCGATTAAACCTCTGACTTCCATCTACCGCCAATTTCACCAGGAGGCCAAGATAGCACGGTTTCAACGCTTCACACCAAGCCATATGATTCAGGGGTATCACGTGACCACCTTCTCCATGGTTGGTCTCATGCGCCCGCCCAAGGATAATGTCTCCTGACTGACTAACTGGTTTATAATAGGCGATGCCACATGAATCGTCGCACCCTTTACGTTCCAAGGGGAAAAGCCTCTAAAAGGTGACTATAGGTTTATAGCCGTCATATATCGAGTCTTGAAAGATTGGTTCCTGCTCCGCAGCAATATGATTCTACTATGCTATCTGGTCATTTAGGTAATGGTTTTTTATTTTATTTATTTATTTAATTTTTTTTGTGAGGGTTCGGTTCGCTTCCGATCTAACTGGTGAGATCATTCATTAATTCAGCCTGCCAATTTTCGCTTAATTCACGTATTCTTATATAACCTTTTCGTTTATTATCGATACTACCTCCCTCCATGCCGGCTATATGTAATTACGATTCTAATTTAAGAACACCTAGGTGCTCCATATGACTACTATCCTGCGGGGGACTGTGGCAAGGTCCCGAAAATGGATATATATCGTATCTCCTCATTTAGAATCGGAAATTCTAGTGACAGCACCGCTATGAGTCCAAAGAAAAGATAAATAGATACAAAAACCGGGCAACCACAAGTATAAGTTATTTCTCTGGTGGAAGACATGCATTTACTCCCTCTACTTAGTGTTGTTGCTCTACGGCTAACCTTGACAACGGGTGCTTACCATGAGGGGTTGAACACGCAATTGTAGGCTACAACACCTAATGAATACCAATTGCCCAGACAATACTTTTACTAAATAAACTATAGGAGAAGGGCCAATCTCAATAGATATTCCACCCCAAAATCCGAACCTCTGGTTGGATTAAAGAGAACGAGGAGCCCTTCAGGCGAAAAGAACCCTAGGATATTGACGTCCTCAGGGGCCAGCCCTTGCGCGGGGGATTTTGGGAGGCCACGGTATCAGTTTTCCGAATTCCAATTCAACAAGACGACTACAGAATCCGGGGATAGGGGCATGACACACTTTCAATTGCACGACGTGGTCAATAACGGAACTGCATTATGCACAACGCCATATCTACAGGATCCAGACGAGCCATTGTGGAATGAGTGCGATGAATATGATAATGCAGCAAGTCCGAAGACTACATTCCAATACGCGCCATCAACCAGGGAACTCGAGATCAATCAAATGTGGATATGTGAAGCCGAGAACAAGACTCATCCGTGAGTTTCATAAGATTCGTTTACTTGCATTAGAGAATAATTGAATGTGACGGAAAGCTAATGTGGAATTGGCATTTCTCCTATTTCTAGTCGTCCTTATTTTTCATCAGCGTCGATTGATCTTACCGAGCTACTTCAATGTGCCGAGGACGGCCAGCAAATGATATGTACTGCAGCAGATGAGCTGGCGCCCTCATTCACTGGCGAATATGTAACTCCAACTTGGTCTTCTGGCTCGGTGGACATAATCCCACCTTCCGAGAAGGAGCCTTCGGGTACTCCCTGGAATCCAACTCCTTGCATCGGTCCGTCTTTCAGTTACCCGAACTGGGATGTACAAGACTTTACTTACGAGGATGCTGGCGACCAAAGCTCCGTAAGCTTTCTCCTCAATAACCATGGTAATAATCGATCAACAAAATGCGCAGTCCCGGAAGGCGAATGGGCCAGTTGTGACAACTCGACCAATGTTCGGTTTAATGAAGAAACCGGAGAACTCTCAGTCAGTCAGACTTGGATTTGCAACGGAGGAGACCAATATCCAGAAAAGTATGGTATTTTCCACTTCGAACTGGGCTTCTCAGCTGATCTGACATGAAATCAGCGTAACATTTCGAGCTGTTGGTAGTGCGCCCATCGATATTGAATCGGTCAATTCGACTTATATCCAAGGGTCGCTAACGGAGCCCATTGAATTGACTCCGAATGTCGCACCAGAAGGAGTTAACCATCCAGGCTGCCTTGATACCTCTGAAACGCCATCGTGGATAGTAACCTCGTGGGAGTGGAATGAGAAGTGGCTTAACGGTTATAACTCAGGCAATTTGACTGTCACTTTTCATAACCCTGCGAACGGCTTCAGTCTCACCTGTACGGGAGACGGCGAGGAATTGAATCGCGATGGAAGATATGGTAACGAGAGATGGTGGGGATGCGCCTCGTCAACTTCTCCCTTTAGTGACTACAAGACTGACTCGTTGATCAAACTCAATCCTCTGACCCAGGTCTTCTCCATAGACCAACGATGGTATTGTAACGGTCACGGTGAAAATCTCCCGTATGCGCAACGAAAACTCTCCCCTTGGCAAGCAGAATCTAACTGGAACTAATAGCGCAAATTTCAAAGCAGTCGGGGATGTGAATACATCATTGGAATGCTTCTGGACAAACGAAACTTGGGCCAACTCATCCATCAAGACCTGCTATCAGACGGAGCTTCCCCTGGAGATCCAAGGAAATGTAATAGAGAAGACCGAGCTTGATAAAGACGTATTCTTCGAGCTAGCCCCTAGCGGGTATAGTTGCACCATCGCCTCCGTCCTCGCAACGCAGTGGCGGATAGGTTGGATGTCGGATTCGCTTTACACGAGCCCCACGTTTGCCGATGACTTCGAAACGAGAGGCCAATTTGGTATCACATTCCTCGCTCTAGCCGGCTACCAGGGCGTGAGTTATAAGGACATTTCTCTTACCCCCTTCATGCACACGAGCGAGCCTGGACGCTGGCACGACTGTAAGAATTACGAAACTGGGGAGGAAACGTCCGATGTTTGGGCACGCAACTCTCTCGACTGTAAATGGCAGCTCGATCTTGCCACAGGTTACTTCGCTATCAATCATACTTGGTTCTGCGATGATAAAGATCCCGAGCATCCGTAAGTTTGCCCCTTTTCATGATGCATTCTGCATACTTCACTTCAGGTCTAACGGCGGGAAATCTAGAATTATCTTTCAAGGTTCGGGAAGCAGATTCTATGACTTCTCTTGCTATGTTGATCGTCAGGGTGATGAGATCTCATGTAACCCCACCGGGTTGAATCCTCCGCCAGTGTTACCGACGTACTTATCCTGGAGAAGTGTTCCGGCTGCAGAGCTTAGAATCTGATTATGACTATCAGAGCAAGATATCTTACAAATACACCGTGCTTCTTTTCTATATTGGCTATTATCTGTTGTCAAGGCCATTCAATAGATCAATATTCTGTCAAATCAAGTTGTACATCTCGAAAGCCTTGGTGAAGTCAGTTGTTGAAATACAAGGAAAATTCATCACCGTAATTATCAGGAGTAATGCGCCATAACCCACCATAGCTACCGCCGACTAGCGCCGTGCTCTAGGGGCTTATTTGAAAATACAGTGTGAATAGAGTCTATTTCTCTGGATACACTGTAGACGAATTGTCGGCTTAGCGCTTTCTCGTACCTGAATTGGGGTTTAACAAGGTACCTACCTAGGTTCTAAGGTGCTCTGTAAAATGCCAACTTAGCGTCTAGCATCAAAGATATAGTAATCCATTTACCTGGGCAATAATACCAATGTAGATACCTACAGTATGGACATGAGCGGGAAGATCCTTGTTGGCTCACTTACCGTTTTAGGGACTCTGGAATTTCCTGATTGGCGAGCATTACTTGTGGCGCTATGCAGGACTAAACGTAGTGCTACAGTGTGGTATTTGTTCAATAGACACTGTAAAACACATCTTGAACTACAGGAGCGTTAGCAGTTCACAATGAAGACAATCGCGAATTGCAGGGTTCTAAACAGAAATCCAGAAAACATCGGAGTATTTTTTATTTCGTGAAAAGTTTTAGAATAAAGCATACATGAAAGCTATAGCCCTAAGGAATCACCAGAAGTTTATGATGAAAAGCCCGCAACGCCACGGGAACTAAAAGGGGGTGTGTCTCATGTCCTTTTCTGCTCATCACGTTCGTTGGAGTCTCTGTGAACTTCCATTGTGCGTATGAATCAAAGGTAAACCCTCCCTCTTCAATATGACCCTGACCTTCCATAACCACGACTGTGATTCCAGCTCCCCCTCCCTCGGCGTCCATCAGAGAGCCATGTCAGCGACAGTACCACGGCAAGTTTTACTGTGTGTAGTACACGATCGGGCCTGTGGTTCCGTTGACATAGTACTGTACCTGGGGCGTCTGTTGGGGTGCCTGCTGGGTGGTGGTGGCGACGTACGTAGGTTGGGCAACGTAACCCTGCTCCGCGACGTAGAACTGGGGAGGCGGGTTGGTCTGGTTTGCTGATGCGCCGGCCCAGAAAGGGGACTGGCTGGGGTAGCCTGTTTTTTTAGTTAGCTATGTCCGTATCGATGATAAATATTTTTTCACCTAGTAAAGGAACAAGGAGAAGGCACTTACACCATGATCCGGTGTTGCCCTGAGGAGGGGGAGGAACAGAGGGCGCCACGAGAGGAGGATTCACCCAGAGGTACGGCTGGTTCGAGTTCACGCCTGAAAAAGCGGCATTCTGGGGAGGCGCTTGGCCGGGAGCGCTTTGATTCTGGTCAATTTAAAACTCTAAGGATTATATATGTGTAATTATCAGTGTACTTACGAGCTCAGGATGTAGATAGGTCGCTGCTGTTGATGACCCATGGCGGCGGCGGCGTGAGGTCCGATAGGTGGAACGATGTGGGACACAACTCGAGGGTGGTATGTCTGCTGTTGGTTTCCGGGATGAGCTTCAGATGCGGCTGGATTGTTAGGTGTAGATTCCGCAGCAGGATCTTGGCCGGTCGCACCTGGGGTGTCGCAATTGCAAGCTCGGGGAGGTTGCGGGTCAGGTTCAGGTGCAGCTGCTGCCGGTGTCGCAGGCGGATTGGGAGGAGGACCGGGAGGAGGCGGTGCTGCAGCAGTATGTTCTGATTCAGAAGACGCTTGCTGTTGCTGTTGTTGTTGCTGTGTGTCGCCCGCGGTAAATGCGTAAGTTGTAGAAGAGGAGCCGTGGTTCACGGGGTGCTGAGACGTTGTACCGTCATTGTTCTGCACATCTGTCCAGTCAGCGAATCGAACTGCAGGTCGTCCTGTGGGTTTGGGAGGGCTCATGTTTCGCGTGATGCCAAGGCCGGAAATGGTTACAGTGGTGGATGTATCCACGCGCACGTTGAAATTTTCCGTTTGTGAAGGGTAAGTTGATGTGGAAGAAGTGGAAGAAGTAGACTGTGTGGGTGATAGTGGGGTGGCAGAGGGTTTGTGGGCACTTGCGCTAGCCGCCGTATTGGGGGGAGCAGACGCGGACGCGGACGCGTTGGTATTAGCCGAAGACTGTTGGGTGGAATTTTTGTCGTCCACTGTTGTGCTAGAGGAAGAAAAACTACTGCCCATGTCAGATGAGCTAGATGTAGAGCTTTCAGCTGCTCCTGGGCTAGGTGTGGTAGTGTGAGAAGCAGTAGCGCCGGCAGTCTGTCGATTAGTGACAGTGCTATCTCCCGATTGGTGCTGTGTGTCCTGAGCTTCGGAGGTAGTAGTACGGCCAGAAGGCTCCTCACCAGCATCTTGACCCGCGTTAGTGGAAGCCATCGTGTCGACAAACTGAGTCGAAATTTTCTTATTAATTTGCCATATGGTTAAGTTGGGGACATGTTAGATGCTCCGCTCTAAAGTCCCGAACCCATCTTGTTGTAATGGAAAATTTTCACATTCCTTGGTATATAGTGACTTAATATGTAATGGCAAAAGAAGAATTAGGCCAATAGTTCAGGGATTGTTACCTCGAATATAGGAGATAGGATGGAATTAGTCCACAGCAAACAGAAGCTCTAGCAGTACTCGATGTAACATGGATTCTCGATCATGTGTTACACTCCGAGTATCTCCAAGTATCATATCGTAGTACCTAGCAATCGTTAATGAGAAGCAAGGAGAAATTCTCAGAATGTCAGTTAAACCATACAACTTTCCGTCCTAGGTACTCTCGCAAAGGCATAACTATGACAAACATCAGGAAAAACTGGCAATTCATCATACGCAGTGACGTAAAAATATGGGATAAATCTCGATGAGAAACAATGATACTCATATCTAAATAGAGAGGAATTTACTTGCCAAGAATTCCGAGACTTTCCTAAATGTAGGGGCTGTGCAAATTAGTGAGTCAACGACAATGTGGTCTGTAGTCGCAGAACACAAAGGTGTTATCATCAACTTGCTCCAGGCGCCAGTTTCATTCCATCGTTATTGGGGTACCAGTGACTTCGTTCTTCATTCTTTAGTAATTATGGTACTAAGTATTAACGTCATAAATATGATATCCCCATCGCTCTAGCAGCCCTCGACATGATCTTCGTGTAACGCTAATAAGAGTGAAATCCCATCATGTTTATGAGTATGCCGTCTTTTTAGGATGAGCATTAGGATGCGGAATAGGCGCAGGAAGAGAGGGTGGTTCTGGAGCATAGTAACCCCTCACTTCCCTTAAGGGGTCGGGCCGAGGTGTCGGCATAGGTGCTGGCGGTGAATAGTATCCTGATATCTCTGGATTGTCCAGGCTCGTCTCGGGAGAGGACACACGTGCTGAAGAAGAAGCGACTGGCACTGGCTCTCGCGTTCCTATTGAACTCGCTATTGACGATCGAGGCGAGAATTCAACTCCCCTGAGTCCTTCATCTCCAGTCGGACCCGGGACAGGTTTTGCTCTTCTGCGAAATAACCCACACAGGTAGTCATTCGCCATTGGGGTAATCCGAAAAGAATGGATGAAATATGTCAAGCACGCGCCACCATTTCTGACAACGCTGTCACGCAAACACGGTCACAGGCAACCTATGGAATTTGTTAGTCCTTAAATTTAGTCACAGAACAAATAAGAGATACCTAGATATGTGTGCGCTCAACTTGAATGGAGTAGATGCTAAATGATGAATAATGAGTGACGTGTACGAATACGGCGATTCGGATGATGGAAGCCTCAAACGGCGGTAGAATGGTTTAAAATGAAGAAAAACATGAGTGAGGCACAGCAGCTGAAGCCTTGGAAGCAAACGCGAAATAGCATGGGAGAAAGCTGCAGCATCTGATTGGACCATCGAAGCAAAGGAATCTCTCATAATTGTTAGGTAGTGTTGCTATTTATACCAATCTTACAAGAGACTACTAACATTAATCATCCTGTTCATACTACTGGCTATGATGCATTCCAGTGCGTTTGGGACCCACCCTTATCTCCCCTAATCCGCCCCCACAGTTCTCGTGAAGCTTTCCTCCAGCCTCCCCAACAATATTCCTCAAGGAATTGGTTAAAAAGACGAACAAATAACTAAAATTAGATTAACAATACCTAATATCTTGATGCTCGAATTATAATGCTTATCTATACCCTTCCAATTCCCTCTCCCCTCACCATCGTAGCCGAGCCTCTAACCCCCACCGCCTTCGCCCCCTTCGGCGCCGTCCTCACAAACCCGGCCCCTGAGACTCGGCCTCCAGCACCGGCTTCGGCGCTTCCTTCCGGATATGGCGCCGTCTCCGCTAACCAGGGCACCGCCATCCAGTACCGCGCCCTGGCGCCTCCGCTGAAGAACCTGTACGAGCAGGCGCGTAGCCGGAAACCCGCATCGCCGCGCACCACTATGTTCGTGTGCGGCGCGCGGCAGCTCGTCCCGGACGATCAGTCTAGCGGCAACGGTGGTGACGGCCTCTTCGAGGTCAAGATCCTCGAGCGCCACCCTTTCACCACCCAGACGTTCGTCCCGCTAGGCGCTTCGGCGGAGACGCGGTACCTGGTCATCGTGGCGCCGAGCCGCGCTCCGAGCGCCGCAGACGAGGACTTTCCTGTGCCGGAGGGCGGCAGCCTGCCCGGTAGAGGGCTGCCGGATCTGCGGGGCTTGCGCGCGTTCGTGGCGACGGGCGCCCAGGCTGTGACGTACGGCGCGGGGACGTGGCATGCGCCGATGGCGGCGCTGGGGCCTGCAGGGTCTGCGATCGATTTTGTTGTTATGCAGTTTGCTAACGATGAGCCTGTCGAAGATTGTCAGGAGGTCGCTCTTGAAGGGGTAGATGGAGGACGAAAGGGAGGCCAGGGGCAGGGGCAAGGAGATGTCCCGAGAATAATGGTCCGGGTGCCGCCGGGTAAGAAAAGGGCATCGAAACTATAGGGTTAATAATGGATACGGGTTCATTATGTGACTGTGTGGACAATAAGGGTTGAAGCTGTAAGTTATGAACTCTTCGCAAATACCGACTGAGATTGATATGCCCCCTCGAAGCGGTGGATTCCTCTACCTACCTTTTAACTGTTTGAGCTAAAGCATAAGTCCGACGTCGACGGCGTTATAATGGATACTCGCTGATCTATGAAGCCATACACGAGGGTATTCAAATCACGCATTTTACACCGTTAATTATATGAAACCTCAATTCAAGGCCCCCGCAATTTCGTAACTAAGGGAGAAGTAAAGCAAGAAGTGGGAAGTCGCAGCAGATCCATCTGTGCCTGTACGGCAGTACGGCCACCTAGAACAGGCCCAGGTCCTGCCTACTTGGTGGATGGATACTAGGTACATACCTCAGGTAGTGTACGTCGTAACTGCTTGCGACTTCCCCGAATAGCGTCGTAAAAGGAAGCCCCACACTAGCCACCATTGATATCAACAGGAGCATTGAGTCATTTGACCGTCCCTCCACTAGTTTTGTTCCCCCTTCCTCTTCTTCTCTTCCTCATCTTCCCTTCCTTCTCTATTTTCCGATTTCTTTTTAATCCATTGCGGGCACATCAACAGTTACTCAGGGCGACGCGGCCGCTTCGGCGGCCGTTAGCCAGCATGCTACTACCTAGCTTGGTAGATGGGGATTTTCTATTTCAATAAGTTAGTCAAATCTTCCTAATAATCCTTTAGGAGGCGGGTTAATTCTGACTTACGTTCACCACCCAGGCGATCAGTACTCGATACCGACTGTATTCAGCCAGTTTGATTCGTTCATGGCCTTCCAGATCTCGCTTGAGGTAAGCACCGACCGAACCCGTTCTTCCCCATTAGTGACATCTCCACTGACAACCTGAGAAGCGCCGGCAGAATTAGTTGCTTCCACACCTTGGACTAGAGGAACGTGACGAAGTCTACCAACGGCCTCTCCGGGACGCACCAAGACGTGAGATTGCCTTCGAAGTTCTAGCATATCCACTTCGATAGTGTGGGCCGTCACAAAGTGGTATACGTGGACTACCTTCTTCTGGCCAAAACGAACACATCGGCCCTTTGCTTGTTTCATATCGGAGTCGTACTGTTCCTGTAATGCCCTAAGAAGAGGACATACAAACATCACATGGTTCGCCTTTTGAAGATTCGTGCCTGATGAGCTCTGATCGTTGAGGTTCAGGAACCTGACCTTACACTTATTTGAATCATCAGGAGACTCCGTAGGGGACTCTGTAGGGGACTCCGTATAGGTAATCTTGTTTTTATCCAGGATTTTCTTCAGCTCTTCCTTTTGGTTGTCGAATTGGAAGAATATAATTGCCTGGTCATCTTCGGGGATTCCCTTGATACAGTTCGCAATCATCTGCGACTTGGAACTAATACCGGCAATCTGGTCTTGTTGTGTACTGGGCACATGGTTAAGGGATCTCTGGGGTTTGTCGATAAGCGCCAGGCTCTTCGTTGCGTCTGCGAGGGACGATTTGCAACCGCTTGCGCCATTAGGACTGTTGTCGCCGCAGTACTTATAATGGAGGTGATCTGCACAGAGCACATGTCCACATTCACAGACTATGTGTAGATCATTTCTAGGTTTGAGTTGTGCGCAATTATCGCAGCGCAACTGCTCCTCCTCCGAAACCAGGTTCTCTACGATCCTTTTTTGCTTGATAACGTGGGCCAAATTGTCAAAGGCCGCTCGCAATCCCACAGAGGTATCACTGGTCTCACTGCTAGTGGCCGTATATTTACCTCCTCGGATAATCATTCGTTTATCAAAATTCGGGAATTCGGTGCGCTTCATCGCCCGGGAATCGTTCATTCCAACATATTCCGAATCATCAAGGGTTCCGTTGTAATGGGCCTTCAATCGTGTCCTTAATTGCTGGGCCGTTGGGTCCTTGATCGGGACTACGCCAAGAGATTTCAATAGGCTAGTGAGGAAGGTTTTGTTGTTGGATTTGGATTTGGGGAGCGAAGGCATTTCGCCCGGAGTTGGTCTTCGCACGGTTGAAGCTTCTGCTCTTCTAAATCTCGCCAAACCTGGTCCGCCAAGGAGCGCAGCTAACTGGTTCTTTTTCGACTCCGTTGGGTTGTTCGACACAACTGACGTGTTGCCGAAGGTCTTGAGAAGATCGGTTAAAAGCTCGCCTGCTTCTTCCTCTTTTATTCCGGCGAGGTGCTTAGCTTCGAGATCGAAGTAATCATTCCAAGATGATTGCCTCAGTCCGTACATAAAACGGAGTAACTCCTTGTCGTCATCATGGAAGTTAGGATGGTTCCTGACAAGCTCGTTGAACCTGTCCTCGTATGAGCCAACATTAAGCGCTTCAAAGATTTGTCTCCAAGAGTCAAGTCCGCCACAAATCTCGGTATCCCTACACCATATATCCTTAAGAATCATCGAGATATCCTGTGCGGCAGTTGTGGCATTTGAAAACGAACACTCTTTGTCGTTGGTAAGGACTCTCCAAGCTAGCCAAATTGCCTTTTCAAGATGGATTCTGAAGACAGCCGTGGCGTGTTGAGCCTGGTCACGTCGTTCCTGACGGAGCGATTCAAGGGATTGCCCATCCAAGCTACAGGAAGATCGAGCAAGGAATAACCTCACGGCGACATTCCTTCCATCTTCAAACCATTCATTGAGTTCAACTAGGGTTTGGAGGCGAGCACGGCACGCCGCAGGTAGCATGTTCGCATCCAAACCACATGCGCGCAGGTCGTGCTCAAGAGCCATGTATTCGATAGCTTCGTGCTTATTCAGTTCGCACACGATAACCTTTTCCTCTACTCTGATACTTCCGGCGAAGGCCGCATCCAGTGGATTGGAAGTGGCGAAAGTTTTCAAGAACTCCATGCCCTTTTCGTGCCTCTCGCGAATGCACGAGTCAGACATAAGTTTGCGATTCTGCAAAGCTTCGGCATTGGTCTGCTCACCGAAAGCCGGACCCACGGTGATTCGCGGCATCCCTACACGCGAGTAAATTGGACGTGCGATATGGATGTTCACGAGATTTGCGATCCCCTGTACCGCTTGGAGGTTCCTTGTCGGTGGTGTGGCGGATAAAATCCACTTAGCATGTGCTGAACAATTGACGAAGAATGTCATAGCCGAGAAGTTTTCGTACGAGAATTCGTCGTACACCGCGCGAGCGAATGTAAATTCGTCGAGAACGTGAAGGAATCCGCCTTTGTTCCACTCGCTGTCCAGTTCCTGCCACGAGGTAATCCGTTGAGACGCCTGGAGGTTCGTCTCTACGACACCATCCTCTCCGTCCTTTCTTTCCATATTACGCGCCTTTCCCCTACGGCGCGACAGATCATTGGCATAGACCTTGTATTCATCCCTAAGACGTTCGGTACGTCCATTCATATCACCCCATACCTCCTTTATCTTGGGATCGGGACTGCTTAATAGAGCACTCACATGAGCTCGAGCCGCTGGCGCAGCATCCTCATACCAATCTACAAAACTGCGGCTGCTAGCCGAGTCTTGATCTTTGATTAAGGATGAATCTGGTGGATCAAGTGACCCGGCTAGGCTAGCAAGTCTCTGATTATAACGTGGTTCAAACAGCTTGTTGGTCACCACAATGATTCTTGCCGCACGGAGCCTTCCTAGAACCGCCTGAGAAGCGTTGTCTTGGAGATCTGAAATCGACTTAATTTTGAAAATCTCGCTCGACTTTATGGGTAAAAAGTGAAGCGCTTCCGTAGCCCATTGATCGACCAAGTGTCCCGGAACCACCACCAGGGTGGCTTTCAAGTAGTTGCAATGCGGTTTTTCGGTCTCACGCTGTTGAAAGGACTTCTCCGAGTCGAATACTTGCTGGCAATGCGCTGAGGCTAACATGACAACGGTCTTGCCGTAACCTACATCGTCCGCAAGTACGCCACCGTGGTTGGTGACAATACGTTTGGCCCATCCAGCCAGTCGGAGCTTTAGCTCGGGCACAATTTCTTCCTCGATCTCTTGTTCGGTGAATTTCGGATTATTTCTTTCCCTGTCAAGTATCCAAGCAAGGGATCTTAATTGCGACTGAGTCAGTTGTCCTTGGAATGTCTGCAAAGCAGGTTCCATGCCATAAGGAAATTCTCCCAAGCTTCTCAGCGCATTTCGAAACGGTTCAAACTTGTGTCTACTGCCGCCGTTGGAATTAACTTGCATGTTTTCGGATAGAACAGCATTGCGCTCGACCTGTACTCCAGCAGTCACTCTAGCCGTAGGGTCCCTGGTAGGAGGCAGGAAAACTGCTGCTCTCTGTCCTAGGACCTTGTGCTGGAATAAGTACTGCACGCGGATAGCATGCATCTTCCCGCTAGCGTCTGGGTTTGGCAGAGCCTGCACCCTCGGTTCGAAAATCGGAATTCGCGTTTTGAAGCGCTTCTCGAAGTCTGCCATCGCATCGGTCAGATGGTGTCCGACATATTTGTTGCCAACTTTTATCCAGCGGATCGGAGGTAGTTGTCCATACGGACACTCGCGAGGCTTTGTTGCAAAAACGCCATCTTTCCAATTCTTGAATTTATCCAACCAGGCCTCAATGTCTTTTAGCTCGAAGCTAATCTCCAAGTCCTCAATCCCAGCGAGTTTGACATTGACATGAGAGATGAAGCCGTGAAGATGATGCAGGTCAGCCTTAGTTACAACGGCCCAACCATCAGTAGCGTCCTTACACTGGGCCTTATACTTCGTGATGGCCTTGTAGGGGTCGCATTCCATCTCTCTCACGATCTGCGCTTCGGCGAGTATCAGCTGTTCAGGCTCCTCGTTCTCGACGATGGAATGCCTAGAGCCAAAGACTTTCACCTTTTCCAAATTCTTAAAGATCGTAAACTTTTGCCCTTCGACGAAATTATCGGCGCCGCCAAATCGAGACTCCTTCCAGTATCCGCCAACGCATGCGTCGACATCGCCAGTTTCCCGCTTCGACAAGTTGACGCGGGTGTCAAACTTCATTAGAATCTCCCGGTATTCGTGGTATTCTAATTGGCGGCAAGACTTTGAAATAACATAGCCGTCTAAGTCTGGAGTAAGGGTACGCGAAACGTCCTTAAAGAGAAACACCTTCTTATCTTGAGCATGAAGGCTCTGCTCTGGCCCATCACAGGTTTTGTAATGGTGATACGACCCATAAGCATCATCTAAATCTAACTGGTGCTGTACACCCTCGGGATACTTTATATCGATCTTGGTGATCTTTAAAAGATCCTTCTCACGCCCGTCGACTGATACTTTCATCCCTATGTTGACGAAATGCCACAGTTTCCAAATGTGGGGCTCTGGAAATACGCTCGGCGAATTGTCAAATAACTCGGCCTTTGCGATAGGCTGTGGCGATCGAACGTATTCTGTGGCCAAAGTAGGATCGACACACTTTATTGTATCCTGAAGGGCATTGCCGGTCTTACTCCATGGGTCCAGGTACAAGTACCAAGTGATACCAATATCCGATAACTTAGCTCGGACATCGAACCCCCATTGTCCAGAGTAGCAGACCGTCACAACCTCTGTAATCCGAATACTTTCATAATAGAAAGTAACGTCTCGGAGCTTTTCCAGGGCGTCCTTAACATCGGCGATGGTTACTTCCGTACGAGAATTAAGTGTCGGCAACCAGTTGGCAGTGGTCATGCCCGTGATCGTTCCAGGGAAGAATCGCATGACTTCTTGTTCCACCTCGCTTAGCAATAGGTAATCAGCAGGTCGCTCTGTTCGTTGGAAAGAATGCTCTGGGTTCCCGGCACACCATTTACAACGGATGGTTAGGCATCGACTGCATTTCATAAAGTCATCGGTACTATACTTAGCTGCTCCATTGCAGAAGCAATAACGGCGAGACCTCGCATACAGTTCTCTGATGGTTGATGCGTTCAGAGATTGGGCATCCATCGTGCTGAACTCTGGAATTTCTTTCAGCTTAGGCTCTACTGTCAATCGAGGCTCCTTCTTGGTCTTTGGCTCGAGTTCGCGGTTGAAGTATTTCTGGGGTCCCTCTGGTTGGCTACAGACTGCTCTGAACAGAGCCACGAGAACAGCACCAACCACCGTCGTACTCATCGCATTTCCGGCTAGGTCGCGCAGTTGTTCTTGAGTCTCTGTGGCAAACTCTACACGGTGGAGAGGCAGCCCTTGAAGAGCCAAAGTCTCATACCCAGATACCATTCGACACTGGTCCGACATGAAGTGTATGCCGCTCGGAGTTAAGCATCCAGTTATACCCAATGGAGTTCCGAAATCTGATCGATGGATGTTCTGACTCAAGTCCGAGATACGATTCTTGAATCGGGAATCGTAGACACAGCGTTGGATTCCATTGAGATAGGTCTTCAAGCCTCTCAGGAAGTTGATTTCTATACAATCCTTGACGCGATCCGGGATAGATTCTAAAACATTTTTATCCATGCGATCATAAGGTTGTCCATTTCTAATTCCCCATTTCGTTATGTCACGAGAATTGCCCAATTCTTCTTTCCTTCGAGTTCGGATATGGATAATTTTCGAGCGCTGCCAGTCAGTCTCCGTACCGAAACCCAGGGTCTTCTCCGAATCATCTTGTCGAGCTCGTTCAGTTAGAGGGTGGGCAGGTGGTAGTAACCACATCAGAACCGGGCTAGATGCTCGTCTCGGCAACACATTCTTGAGGAGATGAAGCCACATGCTTCCAATCTTGCCTGCGTCCCACCTAAGATCTTCATCCTCTTGAGCGCGTTTCTCGGCATCCTTTTCCGCCTTGGTCTTCTTGGACGCCTTACCATTCTTCTGGACATCTTCCTCCTTCGGCTCCTTCTTTGGGTACTTCTTACCCTTGGCGAAGATGGTATTGTCCATTGCAAGAAGGTAACCACGTGTGCGGGTCTGGGGGATGTAGAAGTCTTTGGTGTCGAGCTTGGTGTGATAAGCTGTGTAACCGAGGAATGGGAACCAAACTTTCTCCATCTCAGCCCATGGGGCCCCTAGCACGTTCTCGAGAATAACGACCTTTGGCCTATAGGCGCGGATGTAACTCAGCATCGAAAAGAATGTCTTAGCGGAGGATCCCATTCCGGGGGTTGCCTCAAGACAGGCCTGGAAAAATTTGTCAATGCGCGCGTACTCGGTATCGTCGTAGCCATTTTCCTTTGAGAGCTTCCCAATATGACTGTACTCCTCTTTGAGATTAACTGGGGTGTAAGTATTCGTCTGTTTCGTGTTGAGCGATGAAAAGTCAACACAAGAGCACCCCGAAACGAGAATGTCGACGTCACCGGGAATCTTCTCGAACGATCCCATTGCAGTGGGTCTAAATGTTCCGTCAGTTATATGAGCGGACGAACACAAAGTTAAACAAGACTCACGCCATTCCGTCTTTGGGATTGATAAAGTCTTGGACGTCATTGTACACAATCGTGCCATCAGTGTTTCGCATGATATACGCTTGCTTGAATCTCACAATCTCGGCGCTGAAGACATGCAGGAATTCAAGAAACTGTCTTCCGGGCTGCATTTTTTCCCAGATGTCTCGAATCTCCCTCAGAGCCATGATAGGTGCTTCCGTACCAGAGCACATGGTTGCGATGCGCAGGACAAGATTTCCGTTCTTCTACACGTCTGTTAGCAACTTGACGTTTTATACTTGGAGGGATCAAAGTAAGGACGCCTCCTAGTATTAAACGTACCTCATCCAGCAGCTCTGCTGACCTCTTTGCAATGTCCCAGAATGCGGCATCGATATCTGAGATCGGGGGTAGTGTCTGGTCTAATTGATTCTTGCCGCTGCGGCCTTTTGGAAGGCCGGCAGTTTCTTTACCCCCATCCCCAGGCTCATCTTCCTGGGAACCTTCCAAGGGCTCCTCAGGATTGGATGGTGAGGTTGAATTCTCGTCCTTCTTAGAAGTTCGAGGCTTCTTGGTAACGTAGTTATCAAGTGTCTGATTACCGGCTCCAGCAGAGTCCTTGCGAGCTCGCTTATTCGAAGCCGCCTTTTGCGGCTTGGTAGCAGACTTTGGCGGCATGATAGCAGATTCGAATCAAAAATATGATTGAATCAAAGTACAGGTAGTTGGGGTAAATGGTAGGGTGCGTGATGGAGTAATGGGCAATATATGCTCAGTTGGTGCGAGATGAAGAAAAAGAAAAGCAAACCACCTGCACGAAACACAAAGGTTTACGTGAAGGTGGTAGTGCGTGTGTGAGAGGAAAGGGAAATGAGCAGTCTAGTAATCGCAAGACACGTTTTTAGGTGGGCTTTGGCGTGTACTTGTGAGTCTAGGGCTACGTTTATGCATGCAAATGCAGAAAGGTGTGATGTTTACTTGGTGAAGTTGCGTACGCAGATGGATGGTTTAGGCAGAGAAAGTGGAAAGATTGGAGGATTGAGGAAATGAAGGTTGCGTAATATGAAGAGGAGAGTTGAAAGCTAGGAAGAAAGGAATACGCAGAGGGTATTTATGCACAAAGATTGTGGGAGTGATCAGAATTTTCTGGAGCAGGACCACAACGTACTTCAGTACTAGGGCAAGTACCAACAGTATTTACATATCGAAACACTCACTGACGATGTCATAGTTTACCTTACAGTTGGCCGAAAGGCGACAGCAAGCCCGGAAGCGGACCCGGAGCGGACCCGGAGGCGGAGCTAGCAGCCAAAAGCGGACCATCGGCCCCACGTACTACTACCGGTGGCAGTCATGGGGCTCCGTAGGACCCGCATGCTGCTTCCGTATGACAGTCACAGGGCTCTGCAAGACCCGCGTCCTAGCGAGTCGCTTGCTATTTATCACAGTGACTACAATGAAATAGCCACTGGGGACCCGTTAATCAACGGGGCTGCGGAGTGGCGGCAGTGCGTGTGATGAAAAAACCGAGAGATGGTCAGGGTTTTGACTTCAGTCATGGCAATCAAAGTCTGAACAAAGCAATAGTCATGGTCCAACATGATGCAACGGGCAATAACCAATCAAGAGGAGGGCGAGGTCTACGCACTCACTGATCCCCAAATATCAAGATATAAGAAGCTGAGAGATAATACCAGCCTATCTAACAAACTCGACAAGACCTTGTTGGATGTTCGACGCAAGAAAGAATACGCCATCACTAGGATCACCGCAATCCGCCAAGGCAGAAGACAAGGGGCATCAATTGGCAGAGCCTAAGGAAACATTGGAAATCACCCAAGTGCATCATGAATCCCGTCAAATCTTAAGACGACGACTGTGAACTGACAACTAAGTATATCTGAAATATCAGGGGACATCAACTTCGATAAAATCATGTAACACAGCCACTAGGGGCTCAGTGGGCTCTCCCGCCAATTCAATTTGAATCAAAACGCGCTGGGCACCGACAATTTAACCAGTTACGTTACTCAAAGAAGATCGAGAAATAGCAGATGTTCAGGCATCTTGCAGTCGAAGAATGGACAATTTGCCATGATCTAGAGACATTCACAGATGGCCGGGGAAGGACCCATGCCAGAGTGGACCACGACAGGGAGTTTATGATAGCTCAATATTAAGGCCTATCAATATTCATGCTTAATAACTTTCCCGTGCTTATAATGAACTCGTAAGTGATCCATCTAACTACAAGATTAATGCCGAGATTAACTTCCCTAAACCATGGTCCTATTGTTGTGCTAGTTGAAAGAGCAATAAAGATACAGACCGTAATAGCCAGCTCTTCATTTATTTCTCACACGATAGCTTTTCTGTGAGATATGTCTGGCAAATGGAAAGTCAGGATCTCCTAAGGCTGGTTAGTCATTGGATCATAGGGGACAACCACATCTGTATATGCGGGATAAGGTGATAAATAAAGAAGGCAATATCTTCCGTCTATAATATGTGATAAAGATCCATTATTATAGGATTCACTACGAATAGGATCAGGTGTCTAAGGAGCCCAGTAGTGATACTCAATGAAGGAAGTCAAGATAGGGTTGCCGTCACGTGCCTGATGGCTTGCAGCTGAGGCACGCGCTAATCGAGGCGCTAAGGATACTTACATTAAGTGGCGTTTTTGGCGTATGTTTCACCCCTCTACCCCTCTATTCCCCTACCCCCTTACCCCTATTCTATCATCTACTACTAAATAGACTGCCTGGCTCGCGTTTACTCAAATTTTCTGCTTAGAAACTACTAGTCATTATGAATCCTAAATCTTCCTGAAGTGTACTAGTTATCATCACGAGAAAGTATGAGCGCCTTATGATAAGCGGCATCCAAGGTTCTGCATATTTTTAGATCGAGTGGGCCAGTTTTCGTAATATTCGCTGTGGCTTGCTATTTGATGGCCGCTGTCGCATTAAGACGCCTCCAAGGCTTCCTCTCCCTTGACTAACCCACTTCGATGGGTGATTAGCAACTCAGCCGCACCGCAGCTTGTTTTGATGTCTAGCCATTGTTAGATTCACCAAATTACATATTCTCCTTCATATTTCATCAAGGTTTGATACATATCTCGGAGAGAGAGAGAAAAAAGAAAATTATTTCTTCGTTACGTCTTGCGTTCCATTCGAGATGGGGTCCGTCCTTGAATCTACGGATCTTAAGAATAAGCTGGAGGACTTATCTGGTGTGGTCCTGAAGCCGGGCGAAAACCCTTACAATGCGCTGATCGAGGCTTGTAATGATGAACCAGTTGAGTGCGCCCTTATCTTGTCCCTAGAAGATGCTGGTAGCGTAGACAGCTTCCGGCAATTTAATAAAGGCACCTTGGTTCGAGCCTCCAAGTGAGGCAATGATATGAAGTGCTACGGCTCTATACATTTCCTCAATATCTACAAACTAACAGATATCTAGACGAAAATTCAAGAATTGTATGCTGCGCACCGAGTCAGGCGCAATGCGCAACAGAGGGACAAGTTCCTCGCCTCCGACTATAAGGAATTGATCATCGATCCATATCTACTACGACTAGAGAATCCACAGATCGAGCCAGGTTTTGGTCAGTATGAGAACACGCCAGGCTGATGCTAGAGGTTCCCGTCTCTTAAGCCAGCTCCAGTGCTCTAATAGTTCGATAAGTGCTAACGTTTTAGCAGTATGTCACAATATATTTTATATTCATATAATCTGGCCTGTTTCCCTCTTTATGTGTAAGTGGGGGCCATTCAGCTGTCAGAACACTAACATATAGCAGAAAGATACGAGATATTGCATGACTTTCTGGGGTCGTCCTCCGATTCATGTATTAGAGCTTGCGGAAGTGATTCAGAAAAAGCTTAAAGCTATTGCGCCAAGTAAGCGAAGATTCCTTTCTCGGAGAAGGAAACCAATCCCAAATCGTTTCAAAAACACCAGTGGTATATCCCAAGGTAGAATAAGACTTCAAGACCAAGCTCAGGGCCCCATGGATAACCATCAAATTAAGCATTATTCACAGCATAACACTTATCCCCTCAGGGCTGTAGCCACTGAAAGTCAAGCGAGTTTCTCGAAGTCTTCTACCGTTCCAGGGACCAAGACAAGGATTACACAGATAGCCCCCTTTTCCCCAGGCGACATGCTAACATATCCATTACACAGAGATATGGCTCATGCCGCTCCACCGCATGCACATCACGACCCTCGAAATCGCCTTCTCGCGCACGGCAGAGGAGATCGAGGCGCTGAAGGAGACGCTCCGGCCCGCGATCCCGGACATCGCGAGCTTCACGCACCGCCACCGGTCGCGGCTCGTCAAGCCGATGATCTCGTACGACCTCTCCGCCTTCGCGCTGTCGTTCGTGCCGGCGGCGGGCGAGCCGCCGCTCTCGCCGGCGCCGACGGCGCCCGACGCCGTCGTCGACGTGCTGGCGCAAGGGGACGCGTACACGTACCACCACTTAAGAAGGGACGTGTGGGAGCGCGCGAAGGACGCGGGCGTCACGGTCACCTCGCGCTACGTCGTGCCCAGCGCGCACGTCACGCTCGGCAGGTACCTGACGGACGAGGACCACGCGACGCCGGAGCTGAGGAGGAGGTGGGTCGACGCTATTGATGAGATCAATGCTTGGTTAGAGGCCGAGGTGTGGGATAGGCCTGGCGCGGAGCTGGTGGGCGAGTGGGTTGTGGGCCAGGAGAAGGGCTTGGATATTCGGGTTGGTACGCTGTGGTATGGCGGTGGTCGAACTGTTTTGATGGGTGAGGGATTCTAGAGGACTGGTGTTAGATTTCCTGCGGTCGGGTTAGAGGTCCTTCTGAGACAGACATTGCGTAGAAGATATCGTATCATTGAGAGTACATCTGAAGGATAAAAGACTACACCATAAAGCGCCCAACGGGCTCAACTAGAGCAGATGATGTGACCTAAGTGGCCCTGGCCGATGAGACTGTTAAAGGAATTCTGTAAAATCTGAGTCATATCAAGAAAGAAGGCAGGTACGCGACTAAGACGCGTTCATCACGTCCCTTCACGTGGTCCGTTCCTCTCTCTTATCCGGCAGCACCTGACGACAGGAAAGCTTATAAGAGTGAACAATCGCCGATTCAGACAACCATCTCGAATGTGAATTCGAGACTCCTGTTCCAGGCGTCCATGGAGTAGTAGTCAACTCGTTCCCCTCGCATAAATCGGGCACGGGAAAGACCCGGGTGCAAGTCCCGGTGGGTGCTAATCATTTCTTGAACGCCGTGGGTTCGAGATACCTGTTTGCCTTTATTTTTATACTTTGCTTTTTCAACTTGCACCATTATTCCACATAACTGTTTATAGTTTGTGTCATACCTAGTACCAAAATAGCCGATATCCCTAAGCTATCATACTGTTCCCTTTTTAGAGAGAAAATAGTGATCATATTGATCTTTACTATTGTCATGTTGAAGGCACATCCAAGCAACCATGGCTACGAGACAGCAGTAAACACCACACCCAACTTAGCATACTAACATAGATAGCTCGCAGTCGGGAATTTCATTAGGGTTAAGTTATACATATCGAAATTCTTCCAGAATTAGGCTAGGATCACGGCCGAGAGCATTAGGTATGTTTAAGAGGCAGACTACAATATTTAGGAGCAAAACCAGCAGACGAACCACTTCCTATCGGGGTTTTGGGTAGTATTATGAGTATCAGAGACGGATGTCACGAGATTTCTAGGCCCATAAACTTGCTACTGCAGATCATATAGCCGCCCTTCGCTCCCTCGTCGTCACTTCATCCTAGCATTTGTCACATATAGCATGGCAAATTTCGTAAGAGCAGATTCGGTTCTGTTTTGACCTATCTAATGCTCTCAAACCGAGGATCGAAAGACTCCCGTCGCCAGTGAATGCCCGGCCATGATGAACCACCCTATTGCCCTGAAAGAAGAACGTGCAACGACATAAGTATGAGAAATGCGTTTAGAATACCAGGGCGGCACCCTTCGTCTTCTTGTCACCACTGGAGAATAGTTAGTCTCGTATTGTCCATACAGCGGTTCGATTTGAACGTACCCGAGCTCGAAGTGCTTGCATCGCTTAAGCGCGAGTTGTAGCTTAGTCTTGCAAGAAACGCATTCTAACCGTAGCACAACCTTCTTCGTCGTCTTAGCCTTCTTGTGGAACACAGGCTTGGTCTGACCACCGTAACCGGACTGCTTGCGGTCGTAACGTCTCTTTCCTTGCGCGAAGAGAGAGGCCTAGGCACGAGTTAGACATCGATCGGAATATACGGGTATGGATCGGGTTGAACGTACCTTGCCGGCCTTGTATTGAGTGACCTTGTGTTGAGTGTGCTTGCGGCAGTCCTTGCCCTTGCAGTAGGTCTTGCGGGTTTTTGGAATGTTGACCTAGACGAAATATCCTGTCAGCCTACCATCGTATATAATCGGGTCGCAAAGTAAATCGTGACTGCTCGCGTCTAGAAACGGTCGGTCGCAAGATGAGCCGGCATCCGTGGAGTCAACTCCCTACATAATTCGATGTCACAAGGGAAGAATAGGCGATGGATATCGAGGCATTGATGGTCGCTTTAATTGTCTCGTATTGGGTTTTCGTGGCTGAACCGTATCCTCCAGACTTTCCACCTTCGCGAACGCCGTAACATGACCCGAAACGAGAGTGATGCAGTTTTTCTCCAACAATAGAATTCCTAGAATCAATGATCGAATGTAATAAAATCTTCACTTACCATTTTGACAGCGGTGATGTTGGCTGTGGTCTTGAAAGGTGTCGATGATTGATGTGTGGAAATAGTTTCGTGGAGCTTCGCTCAAATCGATTTTTGCGCGGAATTGAGATGTGTGCGAGACAAGGGTAAACCACGGCTAATTTTAACGTGGAGGGGAAGTTTTTGTGACCACAAGGGCTACTAAGGTCAACTGCCAAAGGTGGTCTGAGCACCCGGGAATAGTTGTGGCTGGTTACGTAGTAGCCACATTTTTACACCAGCCACATCTCCAATTTCTCAAGATCACATGTACCAAGGTATCGCCGCAGACCTCCAACGACAACACAACATCAATTATTGGTTACTGTCGGTGAAGCAATTCCAACAATCGAAGCTCTATGACTGGTCAAACGTGGCATGTCCTTCAATGCCGCCATATCAATGTTTCCTTGCGAAACTATATATGGATAGAACCAGATAAGGACTATCCATTTTATGAGCCCTATGATCGCCAGAAAAAAAACATCCCTGCGATGATATCCGACAGCCGGCCGGTAATAATATCATTCTTTTTCTACCGGACCAGGCCTTCTCTTCACAAGCTGCCGCCACTAGAGACTGTAGCTAATAAGCTCACCGAACTCCATAATTGCCTATAGTCGGTCATAGCACCTATTACTCATTTAAATGAACTTATTCGGAGCGTCTTTCGCTGCGGCAACGGACATGGCGATTTCGTCGTATGCAGTTAGACGCCGATCCCACATCAGGCAGCCGGGTAAGTGAGTACGAGAACGGGAATAAGCACTAGCTACAACATTCATAGGCCAGCTCACTCGCACGAAAATGTACAATTGCGCAGGGATCAGGAAGATCGAATATTATCGAGATCTCGTATCGCTCAGCTATTGCTATCTATCTTGCTAACCTGGCAAATATCCACTATCATCAACATCATCGTCATCGGGTTTACGCCGTGAGTCTACGGCGCCACCCCGGGGCAAGCCGTTGCCTTTTCTCGGATCGGGCCCTCACCGCTATAGAGCCTCTGGACCTTTTGACGGGACCTTACCATTAAATCTGACCTACGTCCCCATCATAAACAGGCTTCGAAGACGACTAACTGGCAAACCTGCGAATCCTTGGCAAAAGCTTCAAAATTCTTAGATTAACGAGCGTGGAGACTACGACCGCAAATGCACCAATGGGGACCCGTCACCGGCATTGTAGCCGGTTGATGTCCACCTAAAAGTTTTAAACTGCCATTTAGCAATGCACTGCTATGCCCTATCAAGCCAAGTTCGGCCAAGCTTCCCACCGATACTCGGCGTAGTGAGTTTTTTGTCCCTGGAGGCGACCAATGTTGACCGAAAGAAAAGAAATACAGAGCCCAACCAGCTGTATCACTGTTACCCTCGAGGGATTGGTTGGTATTCATGTAAATAGGGGTGCTTCCCTCTTTGCCAATACTGGATGAAGTCATTCATTTCATTCTCGTCTTACTAAGTTTTCATAGCTATATTATGTTCAGAAAGAACTATCCGTAATAAAGGCCATTACCACTCAACTCATAGAGTCTGTCTCTTAGTTGTCAGCTGCGAAGCTTGCTATTCTTTCTAACTTACCTAGACTTATACCTATGATGATACCAATACTGTCGTCAAGCTCATATTTATAGACATAAATACACCACAATTCTTCCTGATGTTCGAATCCAAAGAAACCGATTTCCAACCTACTCGCCATGGCTGTCAGAGCCATAACTCCCCCTCAAGCTTATCTTCGAGTAGCTCCTCAACTCACTCGGGGGATACAACAGAATCCATACGGCCGGCGCCGCGGCCCGACGCCGATGACGGGGATCTAGAGCGGTACCCGACACACCAGTCAATGGGTCCGGATATGCCAGTTGAACCGGTTAGCTCGGTGGTAGATGTACCAGACGAAGTTTACGACCGGCTACCCGCACACAGGAAGCTAGTCATTGTCTTCCTCTTGTCGTTCTGCTCGTTCCTATCGCCCGTATCTAGTACATCCGTGCTAGCGGCAACTCCCGAAGTAGCGGCTGAGTACTCCACGACAGGTTCCATCATCAACCTTGTCAATGCCCTATACATGCTATTCATGGGCTTGTCGCCAATATTCTGGGGGCCCATGAGCCAGGTATACGGCAGAAGGATGGTGAGGCGCCCTTATTATCAATCTCGTCGAGATGACTAGAGAAACACATCCAGGGAGGGCCCATCACAGCTGACATATTCGATGTATAGATAACCCTTGTAACGGCCGTAGGATTTCTCGGCTGTAGCATTGGGACGGCGCTTGCACCTAACCTTGGCGCCTTCTTCGTCTTCAGACTGCTAACAGCATTCGAAGGCACGTCATTCATCTTAGTCGGCGCTTCCGTCATTGGGTCAGCAACACTTTCGTTACCATTGAACTACAAAGTCATATAATGACCAGACTACTTACTAAACGCCTAGTGACATTTACCGTCCAACGGAACGGGGAACAGCTACTGGCTGGTTCCTTTCCGGGACTTTGGTAGGACCGGCCCTCGGCCCCTTCATAGGCGGCATCATCGTCACTTACACCTCGTGGCGCGTGATATTTTGGCTACAATCGGGATTGGCTGGCGTCGCCGCCATCGGGTCCTACTTCTTACTGCCCGAGACTATCTACCACATGAAGATCGACGATCTGGTCGGCTACACCGGCGTTGCGAAGGCCAAGGTCGTGCTTGGCATGATTAACCCTTGGCGCGTCGTGCGGCTGTGGGAATACCCGAACCTATTCCTCACGGGTCTGTCGAGCGCATCTTTGGTCTGGAATATGTATTCCTTACTCACGCCGATCCGCTACGTCATAAACCCGAGATATCATCTCGACACGCCCATGCAGGGTGGCCTGTTCTACCTCGCGCCTGGCTGCGGGTACCTCCTCGGCACGTTCGTCGGGGGCCGCTACGCCGACTACATCGTTAAGAAATACATCAGGAAGAGGGGCGTGCGTATCCCCGAGGACCGGATGTACTCGGCCCTACCTTTCATGGGCATCGTGATCCCCGGCTGCGTCCTGATTTACGGCTGGTGCGTGGAGAAGGACGTCGGCGGCATCCCGCTGACGGTCGTGGTGCTGTTTCTCCAGGGCGTCGCGCAGCTCTTCTGCTTCCCGTCCCTGAACACGTACTGCCTGGACGTGATGCCCGGCCGCGGTGCCGAGGTCATCGCGGGAAACTACGCGATGCGGTACCTGTTCGCGTGCGGCGGCACCGCCATCGTGCTGCCCGCCATCGACAGCATCGGCGTGGGGTGGTTCTCGACGATCAGCGCGCTGTTCGTGTTCTCGGGCGCGGTCTGCGCCTACGTGTCGATCCGCCGGGGCGGGAAGTGGCGGCGCAGCATCGACGCCAAGAGGAAGAAGAGAACGATGAAGAAGATACTAGAAGAGAAGAACAGCAGCAGCAGCGGTGGCGGTGGCAACGGCAACGACAACGACAACGACGATAAACATTGTCCGCGCGTGAATTCCGAGAAGATCTTGGGTAGTCCGGCTGATTCCGACTCCGCGAGAGGCAAGCCGCTGACGACGCCCGGAGCGCGGGAGGCAGAGAAGAATAAGGAAGAGGTGTGACGCGAGGCGTGTTCTCTTGGCGCAGGCGTTACGTATACTAGACACGGCAACGAAGAAAGAAAAAAGAGTTGCTAATTAGAGTTGGCCGAATAAGGCCGTAAAGCTGCTAGCTTCTAAGATCTACTAGGTATGTAGCTTAAAGTGATAGAAACTTAATAAACACATGCATTGCATGCGTAATAGTACATGCGTAATAGTGTATGTAGGCAGAGCCCGCGTGTGCCCGCGTGCGCCGACACCCACCTGGAAATGGAAAATGTGGCATACGAGTACGATACCTATCCGTTCCTCGCCGCCTCGTGACTCCTCGTGTTGGTGTACCAAAAAAACGGCCCATTCCTGAACGTTGGAGGCTGAGGACGAGAAGCTTATGTTGGGATCCTTGCGCGATCTACCGGTGTCATCTCGCAGTTCACCGCCTGCGAAGCTTCCGATAGGCCCATCTTGGAAGTTTGTTTGCTTACCTGATAGCCTGGCTGGGTTTTGTAAGTTGCTACGCAGACTGGTAGACTGCTAAGTATGGAATGTAGATTCCAAGGCTTCATTTCTTACTGTAATACACGGGTTTGCCACGTAATACCCGTCGATTTCGATAGGTTTGGGAGGCGATCGTGATGGATGGTGGCAGTCTCTTGTAATCACACAACGGAGTGCAGCCTTGACGTATGTAGTCCTACTATCCTACCAAGATTCGATCAGAAAGCAAGACAGGAGTTGGAAGATTTCATTTCGCATTGTCGACTTTCAGTCACTCGTTCCTGTTTTGGTAGCAGGACGCAAAGGCTGTGCTGTATCATCTTGCTCCAGCAAGCATTTCCTCATTCGTATTCAGTCGCTTGTAATATTTTTGACAAATACTTACTACTAGTAGTCATGGGTCCAAATGGAATTTCCTAGATTTTTCTTCTTCGCGCTGTGTTATCTCAGCTAGCTCAAACCAATGAACCTGTTTTTGGTTATACCTTTCTAGCCACACTAGTTTTAAACCAATCAAATTAAAGGATTTGCAAAAACACCAAAAACGGGCCATTAGTTTAAGGTAATTTAGTGATTTTTTTTTTTTAATATTATATTTTTATAACATTAAATCGTAAATATTTATATTTAAACTTTTTAAAAATTATTTAAAATTTTTATATTTATTTAATTATATTATTATATATTTAATTTAATTTTTTAATAATTTATATAATCGTTAATTATTATTTTATTTTATAAATATAAATTTTATTTTTTTATTAATAATTTTTTTATTATTTTTTTTATTATTTTTTTAATTTATTTAATAATATATTTTATAATTATTTTTATTTAATTTTATATTTAAATTATTTAATATTTTTATTAATATATTTATTATATTTATTTTTAATTAAAATAATATAAATGAAAATAATATTAAATTAATTTTTTTATACGAAAAAATATTTATAAAATAAATTATAAATAATATATAATAATTTTAAAAATTTAAATAATAAACTTTTAATTATAATATAAAACGTTTTTTAAAAAAATATATTTTAAAATAATTAAATTTAAAAAATTATTTAATAAATAATATATTAAAAAAACTTTTAATATAAAAACGTTTATTAAAAATTAATATTAAAATATAATTTAAAAATAATAATATATTTTAAAAAATCGTTAATATAATTATTTTTTAAAATAAATTTTTTATTTTATTATTTTAAAATATTTTTAATAAATTTAATTTTAAATTATTTAACGTATTTAATAAAAAACTTTATATTATTAAAAATGTTTATAATATAAAATAAATTAAAAGTTTTTTTTAATAAATTTAATTTTAAATATAAGTTAAATTTTTTTAAATTATTATGTTTTTATTAATAATTTTCGTGAATTAATAAATTAATTAAAAGTTTTATAATTTTAATAAAATTAATATTTTTTTCCCGGTTATTAAAGTTTATTTAATTATAATATTAATTTTAAATAATTAAATATTATTATAATTAAATTTCTTAATTTAATTAATTAATATATATTTTTATAATAATAAAATTTAATATTAAATAATTAACACGTTTATTTAATTTAATATAAGTTTTAATTATAAAATTATTATAAAATAATTAAAATAAATAATTAAATAATTTTAAATATATTTTAATAATTTAAATTTTTTTAATATAAATTTAAATTTAATAAAAAAAATAATTTAATTTTAAATGAATTATTTATAACTTAAATATTATATTTATATACGATAATTTTAATTTTAAAAATAACATTAAAAATTTAAATTTAAATTATAAAAATATTATAATAAATTTAATTAATTATTTTATTATTATTAACTTTAATATTTATAACTTTTTTTATTAATTATAATAATATATTATAATATTTTTTAAAAAAAAATAATTTATATTTTATTTTATATTTTTATTAAAATGTAAATTTAATGTTATAAAATATTTTATTATTAATTTAATTTAATTTATTTTAAATTTATTTTTTTTTAATAAAATTATTTTTTTTTTTAATTTTATTAAACTTTAATATAATATTAATTATATTTTATAAATATTTATTATTTATGAAAATAAAAAAAAAATATTAAATATATATTAAATTTATAATATTTTATTTTATATAATACTTAAATATAAAAAATATAAAAATTAATTAATAATAATTTACGGAAATTAAAAAATTATATTTTTTATTTAAATTATCGTAGTTATTTAATTTAAAATTAAAACTATTTATAATAAAAAATAATAAATATTTTTTATATTAATATTTTTTTATATTATTTTTAATTTTATTTATATAATTTTTTATATATTTTAAAATTCATTTATTAAAAAAAATATATAATTTTTTAATTACGGTTAATATATTAAAAAAAATTATATTAAATATTATTATAATTTTTTATTATTAAAAAATACGTTTAATATTTATATTATTATTTTTTTAATATAAAATTTAATTAATATTAATGTTTTATATAATAATAATATTTATTTTAATTTTATACGAAAAGTTTTAATAAATATTAATTTTATGTTAATAAAATAAAAGTTATTAATAATTTAAGTTTAAGTATTTAATTTTTAAACTTAAATTAATAAATATATTAAAAAAAAAAAAAAATTTATTAATATTAAATTTTAAAGTTTTTATTAATATATAATAATTATTAATTACTTATTAATTATAATAATTATAATGTAATTTAACGATTATAATATATTAAAATAAATTATTTTTTAATTATTTTAATTTTTTTATAATGGAAAGTTAAATAATTATAAATTAAAAATGTTATATTTTATTTAATTATTTCATTTAAATATTATAAAACTTAAATTAATTATAAATATTTTTTAATTTAATTTTATTTAATATAATATTATTAGGAATAAGTGGAAAATTATTAATTTAATATTAAAATATATTAATAATGTTTTTATTATTAATATTAAAAATAATAAAAATTTTATTTACGATATTTCCTTTATATTTAATTAATTATTTATAATTAAATTATATATTATTTTTATTTATAACATTTTAAAATATAATTTACATATTAATTAAAAAAATTAATATATTATATTATTAATTAATAATAATATAATAAAATACATTTATAAAATATATATTAATAATAATATTAAAAAACGTTTAAATGGGTATATTATATCCCATATTTTATATAATATATTAAATATTTTATTTTAAAATTTATAACATTTTATAAATATAAAAATTAATAAATTTAATATAAAAATAATTTAATTAATCCATGTGTTAAATTAATAAAATATATTTATATTATATATAAAAAATAACTTTATTATTAAAAATAATAAAAGTTAATATTTATATAAATTTAATTAAAAAAATAATAATAATAATAATAAAAAATAATAAAAATAATATTAATTTATATATTATATAATTTTTATAATATAAAATAATAATTATAAAATTAATAATAATTTTATTATTAAAATTATTAATTTATTAATAATATAAAGTTATATATTTATATTAATTTTTAAAAAAAAAAAAATATAATATTATAATATTATTAATATTATTATAATTATTACCGAAATAATTTAATTAAATATTTTTATTATATATTTAATATAATTTTTAAAATGTTTTATTTATATTAAAATTTATATAACTTTATATTTTTATTTAATTATAATTTAAATATAATATAATTCGAAAAATATACATTTATTTATATATATATAAATAATGTTTTATTTTTTTAATTATATTTTAATTTTTTTTTATTTTTATTTTTTTTTCGCTTATTTAAAATTATATTTTATTTATTTAAACTTAACTTTTTTATATTTTATTACTTAAATAATTAAGAAAAAAGTTAGTAATTTTTTCCCTTTTTTTTTTATTTTTTTCTTTTTTATTTTTTTTATTTTTTTTTATATTTTTTTCTTCCTTATTTTCCTTTTTTTCCTTTAAATAATAATAAGGAAAACGAAAATAATTTTTTTTTTTTTTTTCCGTTTTCATTTATTAAAAAAAATGTTAATTAACTTTTTTATATTATTTATACGTTTATTTTTTTAAATAAAGATTTTAATAATTATTAATATTATAAATAAGTAAATATAAAAGTTAAAAAATATTAACATTATTAAAATAATAAATTTATTTATAATTTAATTAAAAAAATTTATAACTTAATTATTTTACTTTTAATAAAATAATTAAACTTTATATTATATTAATTTTTCGTAAATTTTATTAAAGAAATAATTTTTTTATTTTATTATATTTTTTTTTATATTTTATTTAATATTTTATTAAAAATAATACACGTATAAAAAAATAATTAATAAATTATAAAATTATTTTTTTATAAAATTTTATTAACGGGTAATATTAATATTAATATTAATAATTATAATAATAATAAAAAAAATTATCGTTACTTTTATTAAATATATGTAATTAATTACCGATTTTTTTATAAATTATATAACTTTAATTATTATTATATATAATAATAATTATTAATTTTATAAAAACGTATATTTAATAATAA